ACACACACACACACACACACACACACACACACACACACACACACACACACACACACACACACACACACACACACACACACACACACACACACACAAACAAAACACGCGAAACAAACACAGTCATCACAGCGCCATAACTCTAGAAATACATCCATCAATGCAGTGATATAAAGTCCACATAGACAAAAAATCTAATATTCCTATATTCTCTCTTCTCTCTCCGTCTCCTCCCCTCAGAAAATAAAAAAAAAATCCCATCTGTTCCCTATGTCGCAGCTCCGGAGAGAAGCGTATGTTTGCGAAAAATGCCCATATCCCCATATCCCGAATGCACCAACCAGAGTAGTCGATGCCATGATGCCATAATCCCGCTCATCGATACGGAAATGCCAAATCTCCAGAAAGGAGTAAGAAGAAGAAGAAAGGAAAAAAAAAGATCCCACCATCTCCAGAGAGAAAATAAAGGTGATGAAGAAGAGGAGAAAATCCAGTAAACGCCAGTCCAAACCAGGCCCCGAATTCGTATCGTTGCATGCGGGCGCATGTGTGCGTGCGTGCGTGCGTGGGAATAATTTTGAGAAAAAAAAAAAACAAGGTATAAATTGTAGGAATTAAAGTGTGTTGTTGTTGTTGTTGAAAGAAAAACCCCGGCGGTGTAGAGTGTCGTCGCGTGTTGCGTGATTGTTCGGCGGGCGTATGTGTATGTGTGTGTGTATGTCTGTGTCTGTGTATGCGTGCGTGTATGCGTGTCTGCGTGTATGCGTATACGCAACCCCCCAATCCCAACCCCATAACCAAGACCCAAACCAGCCCCAAAAACTCACGCACACACCCCCTCAAACCGCCCCATCCAAAACCTCAAAAATACCCACACGCCCCCTCGGCCTGGGCTCCAGCAAGCCCAAGCCCTCGCCGAACCGCCGCTGCTCGTCCTCCATCTCGCGGTCTAGCGGGGACGGGCTGTGGCGGCGGCTGCGCAGCAGGGCGTGGATGGAGGATGTGCTGCTGGTTGAGGTTGTGGTGGAGGTGGAGCAGATGGAGCTGGAGGGGGATATGCTGCGCATGTGGCGGGTGGGTGATGTTGTGGTGGTGGTGTCTGCTGGGTTGGATGGCGAGGGTGAGGGTGAGGGTGAGGGTGAGGGGGAGGAGGCGGTGCGGAGGCGGATTAGGGGGGTGAAGGGGTGGGTGCGAGGGGCGGGCATGGTTTGTTTGTTTGTTGATGGGTGGTGGTGAGGTTGAAGCGAGTGGTGGTGTGAGTAAAGTAGAGAGCGGCTGATGGAGAGATCCGATCGTAGTGAAAGAGTGTGTGTATGGACGAATATGTCGAACGAGCGTGTGGAGGAGAGAGAAGGCAGTCGTCGTTCGAACCCAAAAAACACAGTCGAGAGGCGGAGACGGGTCGGTATATGTGCTTCGTTGACGATAAGTGACGATTGAAGAAGATGAAGGTGTCGTGTCAGGGGGGGGGGGGGGGGTTCGCGGACGCAGCAGTGCGAGCGAAAAGGAAGACGCAGAGACCTTTCGATAGCACGGTATAGAATACTCCGAATGCAAGACCTATCCTCAAAGAAGAATGGGCAAACTGGTCAGGAGTTCCGGACTGGCGGGTTCGACGAAGCCACGCGTGATGTATGCAGGCAAAGTCCGGTGCAGGAGAGCAAGCGAGAGCGAGAGAGCGAGAGAGAGCGGGATAGTGTAGTGAGGGAGAGCCAGTGGGGCGTCAGGCAGCAGATGATATAAGTCCAGAAGCAGATCCTTGCGCAGGAGGCGTAAACCAGTTCGTTTAAAAAAAAGAATGACGATGGCGCAGAGATATAAATATATCTCTTTTTCCGGTGGTATGAGTTGGTATAGCGTAGTCGAGGGAAGGGTATAGTTCGATATTAGGTCGGCTGGGATCTGCGTGCAGTCGAAGCGCAAAACGCAGACTCCAGACTAAGCCCGAGTCCTGGTGAATATTTCGCGGAATTACTTTCCTACTATCAAACGATAATAATAATAACCTCCTGGGCAAAGCAGAATTTAGACCGGGCAATAAAAGCGATGAGTCGGGCTGGGGCCGATAATACACCCACACACACAAGTCTGGCTGTGCGTGCTGTATATAGGAAGAAGAGAAAGAAGAGAGAGAGAAAGAAAGCAAGGATGATGGGATCCTCCTTAATAGCAGAGGCTGTCTTTCATTCCAGATGAGACAGGGAGACCAGAATAGCACACGCACGCGTGAGACGAGGAGGGCGGAATGCAATATATGCGGCACGCAAGCAGGCGACTCGAAGTGAGGTCTTTTATGGATATGAAATTTCGCGTGTATCAGGTCTGGCGCGGGTGAGACTTTAAACCAAAGCGCACAAGACCCCTTGCTTTGGAGTTTGGAGCTGCATGCTTCTCTCTGCCTTCACAGTGCCCTGTCACACACATTCTTTCAGCCATTGTGAAGACCTGCGACACTAGTTTGCCTCCGACTATGGGCTTGATAGATAAGATCGTCGTTGTGTATCAAGACCGTTTCTGCGCGGACGGGTATGACAGACTGCTTAGGAAGGTTGAGAACGCGAGCTGTGTATCATGTTAAGCGGGCGTAGACAGGGATGTGACGCTTGGAAGTCCTCCTTGCGCGGGCCAGTATTACTGTACAAATCGATGACCTTTCGCTGGAATGTTGCCATATATACAATTGCGGTATTTATCATAGGACACTGTGTGGCCGTTGTCGTTAGTGGCATTCAACTCTCCTGCATGTTCACCGGGTGCAGTAGATGTCGCACCAACAACAACAACATCATCATCACCACCATCAGCATCAGCATCTTATCTCGCCTATGCCGTCACCTCGCATCACCAAGCATTTCTCGCTGTCGCAGATGACTGTCGATCAACCTCGTCTCGTCAGAAAGCCGTCTCGTGCGGGTCTCGTCTATTACCGGCTTTCGTAACAACAGCCGGCTTCTGACACCATAGCATGCATGCAAAGGATCAGGATGGATACAGGAATGCCCGCCAGCTGTTTGCGCCATTGGGCGGCGGGCTTTTTCTCGTGAGACGCGCGCTGAGACGCTGGGACGCGTTAGTTTACGAACTCTAAGCCGCAAGTCAAACTCAAAATAGTAGCAATTCTTGTGTTTCAGCCAGCTTGAATAGGTATCATGAAATGGACCATCAAGCTAGGCCCGAAACAGCAATAGTAAATGCCCAGGCTGGGCGCGAGTTGCATTCCTTCAGCCATTACAGTACTGGCGACTGTACAGCCAATTATCATTGACTTTTCTGATAGGAACGACAAACCCACGAATTTACATTCTATCGTAGCGATGACCGCTGTGTCTCGGTATATGTAACGCCGTCGCTATGCCTCTGCTATGACCTAATCAATCATCAAAAATCAAGCTTCCACCCCATTGCACATCCTCCAACGCCTGTCCCGGCATTTATATCGTCATGACTGCCACGACTTAATTCGGCCTTCATGCGCCTCGCCTGTCTATCCCCTCTGCCCTCCAATATCACCCGTCTATTCTTTCCCCTCCCACCTCTGACCACATACATGCTATTCCATGTCCCCTCCCTGATACGTATTCTGCTCCAAAGACTCTTATCGCCTGTCCTGTGGTCGCCGCAGAGTGAAGCTCCTGCGGATACTCTCGCCCCACGCTGAATCGTTGAAGACGTCCAGTGCATCTTGCGCGGCATTGCTGTTAGCCCTGCTGCGTCCTCCCTCGGGAGTTCCTCCACCGAGAGGACTAGGCGGTCCGCTCAGCGCTGCGGCAAACTGCCAATCTGGTCGATCGATGCTTTCTTGGCCTACTGCTCCCATCGGGCTGATGCCGCGCATTGTAGGAGACTGCGAAGGTGAGATCTGGATCGAGCTAGAGCGACCACGGATGCCAATCGGAGAACCGACAGGAGAATCTCCAAGACGTGCATGCTCTGATCCAGATCCGCTGCGGAACGATGTGTTGATTGGCGACAGAGAAGGTGTTTGGTTCCTGCGCTCCGGATTGGTAATGTCCTCATCTTCAACGAGGATCTCAGGCACCGTAAACTGCGGAATATCTGTCATTCTCCCTCCTGAACTTCTAGAATTGAAGCGTCTTCTCCAGTACAATGTATCGAAGAATCCAACAACTATGTTACGACGAACAGCTTCCTCGACACGCTGCATGCGTGCCCGTCGCCGCAAAAACTCTTCCAGACGTAGACTCTTGTTATCATTGATGACCTTGTGATGCGCTAGAATGATGAGAAGGGCGTTGAAGTTAATGCCCCGATCTGGATCCGCCGATACCATGACTTCCTCATAGAACAAGTTCATTCGTCGACGCCTCATTCGAATTTCCGCGAGTGGGAGCTGTGCGATTCTGGCGTTGAGTTTAGCCAGATCGATCTCGCGAGGTCGCTTGTGGTCGCTGACTTCAAGAGTAGAACCCCTGTGGTCGTCCACACAGCATTCTCTCAATATGCAACCCAGTGTAAATTCACCGTCATAAATGCGCATCTGGAAAACTCCCGAAAGTTCGCCTAGAAGTCTAGGTAGCACTGCCTTTGGAATGAAACCTGTGCCGCTAGGATCGAATTCCGCCCATGCTTGCTTGAATCTGCGGATTTCCTCTCGACTGATAACGGAGAGCCCATTGCTCCTTTGATATACGTAACTGAAACTCTCGTATATCAAGGAAACGAAGAGATTGACAAAGATATACATGCTCAGGATGTTCCATGAGATAAACAGGAATCTGGCCCATTCAGGACTGCCACAGTCACTTTCGAAGTACCGTTCTCCAATAGTGCAATATGGCGGTTTGATGCTGGCGAAGTCCTCCATGAGTGCGTTCCATCCTTCTCCGATGCTTGTCCTGAACAAGAGGATTAAGGCTTTTGGTACTGTCCTAAAATTGACATTGTTCGACTCGTTCTCGCCAAATCGGGTCAAGCCAAAAGTCTGCGATAAAGCTATGGCGTAGACCAGGAAAAGGACGAACCACGTAGCCAGCAGATTGGCAATCGAAGGCAGACTAGCGGCAGCCGTCTTGAACAGCTGGTCGAGAGCGTTGTTGCGAGGTATAATCAGCAGTGCAATTCCGACCAAGGAGAATTTATGTAGCTGCGTGTATGTTCTGTTGTGCAAATTTGACAGCAGTAAGATGGACGTGACCAGTGCTGCAGTTACGGCGACCAGCGAGAACAAGTCCCACGAGCTTTTCCGAAATCTCGTCCAAGTCAGGCCTACGATGCGGATAATAATGTTGGCCGTGTATATGAAGACGAAGAAGAGGAAGATCAAGTCGCGCACTCGATCCCACAATAGAACGCCTGGATAGTATTCCGTGCACAACAGAACCACATGCAGCACTAACACAACGGTGATGAAACGTTGCCATCGTCCGCTCTTTCTGACCGCCCGGTGGTAGCACCACTCGGCCCACGTTTGACGCTTCTTCGCTGTTGGCCGTTTGGAAGGCGATATCTGACGAAGCAGCTTTCGAAGTTCAAGCCAGGATCTTTGTTCAGATGTCAGAAAAGCAACACCAGTCTGTTCCGTGTAGTTGCGCATGAAGACGGAGACAAACAGAGTCAGCACAAAGACCGCTCCAAGCAAGTTGAAAACAACGAAGAATACAGCATTCCCCTCCTGCGAGAACGACGACGGTTGGGTGAAAACGCCTGTGATGCTTTCAGCGGACCACATCACGTCCGTCCAGCCTTCTTGAGATACGATCTGGAAGAGGATGAATAGGGAGTTACCAAAGTTGTCGAAGTCATAAGAGGGATTTGAAGCCTGTCGAGGAGCCAGGACGGTCCAGTTGTACGGTGTGCTCATGTACTCGCCGACGCAATCGTTTAGATCCCTAATGTTTGACTTGCCATCATTACATGACTGAAGGCGACCATTGAACAGGTTCAAACCGTACATAGCAAAGGGGATCAGCAGACTCAGGGACACAAAAGCCGCCGAGGTCAATTTCCACCAGCCTCTTACTATCAGCGAATGGAAAGTATCTCGAGCACTGTCGCTAACGTTGAGCAGTCTGAGCGCTCGCAAGGCTTTGAACGCACCAACAACTCGAGAGATTTGGCCTTCGTTGTCCAGGGATGTGATGATATTGATCCAGAGTGTTAGCAGTACGACCCCGTCTATGAAGCCCCATGAACCTCGAAAGTAGGCGTTTGGTGTCCAGAAAAAGCCATCCGCGATGACTTTGATCAATGCTTCAATAGTGAATACGGCAGCGAAACCCATGTCAGAGAAGACAAACCAATTCTTCACGCTAAATGTATGCTTGAGAAAGTATTCGCGCTGGTAAAGCGGTGTTGTCACACATGCGAGTATGACCATGGCGATAATCGCGGCGTAAATGAATGCAGAGAACGCATACCAAACTGGAGTGGAAGGGTCAACTCCCTGAATACGAGTTCCACCACGGCCTGGACCGACGATCCGCTGGCAAGCTCTGCGAAGCCAGTTGTCCGGCTGAAAGATGAACAGTGATACATTGTACTTCGGATGCTTCTGAAGATATTGACGTTGAGCCAACTTTCGGCGTTCAGTAGCATCGACTACGTGCTTCGCCATTTCTCTTGGGTCCAATTCCTCTTGAGCTTTCGTCAATCCGAGACTTTCGTAGAACGGATTTGGCTCTCTGTTCTTGAAACGTCCAATGATATTTGCCCAGAGTGCGGACAAAGATCCCGAATTCACGAGGGGAATGGTTGGAGCTGCACGTAACGTAGGTCGAGTATCCATGCGAGGGATGGCCGAAGTCTCAGGTTCGTCCAAAAAGTCTTTGACTACGGCGTCCTTCAATAACATTTCCGTAGCCGCAGATCCGAAATCTAAAGGGTCTTTGCGTCGGCCGGTATGCTGTCCAAATTTGAAGATTGTAGACAATGAAAGATTGCCACCGCCCGAATGGCCAATCTCCTTACGTTGTAGGAATGCTTTGACTTGCTGTAGGCGTTTCTCGTCCTCTGAAACATCAAAATTCTCCTGAATGACGGCAATAAACATGTTCAGGACTATGAAGTTGGCAAGAATGAACCAGATGATGAAGAAGGCAGCTCCTATCCATGCGGTGTTGTGGATACGGTTGAAAGTCGTGACAGTGTACAGCACTGTCGTCCAATTCTCACTCGAGAGTATCGTGTACATTGCCAGGAACGAATTGTACATCGAGAAGAAATTATACCGTATAGTCTCTCCGTTCCCGTCTTCCTCTGGAATGTCTCCTCGAAGCAGCTGGGTCGCGAATATGGCCCCAAGAAAGGTAAGCAGGAACACAAACAAGATGAGATTCAATAGACCACTAACGTTTCCCAGCACTACCATGATAAGTTCTCTCGTCATTGGGACTGCCAATACAACACGGTATATCCGCATGATTTGAAAGACAGTGAGCCAAGCATAGGCGCGCCCGTCGTGGGAGTGCTTGACTGTAGGTAGTTGGATAACCATGGTTATGATGGCGATTGCAGCGTCTACAAGATTCTGCTTGCTGCGATGGAAGTGACGCCAGTCTATGACGAATCGAATGATAATCTCTGCGAAAAGGATAATGGTGACTCCGGTCTCTGACACGTCTAGGGTGGGTATTAGCACACGCATTGTAGCACGTACGGAGAAACCTACTGATGAAGGTCTCTCTGCCTTGTCCCATTGACGCGCTCCGCAAACATTGACATACCAATCCGTAGGCTATCACGAGGATCCATATCCAGTCTGTTCTTTCATAGAATCTTTTTAGAGCACTCGGTCGAATTTTGGGCTGCTCATCCGAAATTCCCGGAACAGGTTCGCTGTCTTGCCCAGTGAAGGCACTTGTCTTGCTCTCTTCGCGAATGACCTGAAACGACGAAGTGATGACCGCCACCAGCAAACTTATCAGCCAGAGACTGAGTAATAAAATCCCAATCGCGAAGAAAAGCGCTGCAACGAGATACTCAGAATCCACGAGTTTGTACATCAGATCCGACCACGTATTTGATGACATGACAACGAACACTAGCTCAAAAGATTGGAAGATATTGTCAAAGCTGACAGTTCCGTTGTAAGGATTATGTCCTTCCAGACATATAGAATTTCTCGGACATAGATAGCCTTTGGGTGTTCCGGTGTTGTTGGTCCCGTCCTTTCTTATCCAAGCTCTTGCGTCTCCTGTGACGTTGTCTCGAAAGCCCCCACAGAATTGATTCTCGTTATCGAACTGGTCTAGCTCTACCCCTAATGGATCAGTCCAAACACAATGTCGCCTGAGACTCGCTTTGAAGCTTTGGACACCAACAATAGCAAATAAAAGCCAGAAGTAACAGATAAGAAATGCAACGTTGACGAGTAATGGGGCTGCCTTTTTGAGACTTCGAAGTATTACAGTTGTGCCGCTGGTCATGTTGAGAAGCCGTAAGATTCGAAGACAGCTCAACATACGGAAGAGATATGCATGCTTTCGTGACTCAATCCCGGTGATTGACATTGCGAAGCTGATCCAAAATGCTATGACGGCCAGGAAGTCCAAACGATTGAACGAGTGCCTGAGAAAGGCACGGTGTGCAAGTCTGATACGTTGCCGCTGCCTTGCGTCTTTTGGCTGGTCTGGATCCGTCTGAGCCATGGTAAAGGTTCGTATGATAGAAGGCTCAAATGAACTTCCTGCTCTTTTCAGTGAAGGCTGTCGCGTAATAGCAAACAGCTCATGACCCTTGTTCATAATAGCTTGCTTGAGCCCAACTTTGCGATTAACAGTGCTGTACTCCACTGGATTTATAAGGAGACCGGAGACTATGATACGTATCAATAGCTCGATGGTATATAAGATAAACAAGCTCAGAACTCCATAGTCTATCCACGAAGACCCCCATCGATTACTGGAGTGTTCGCTGTTGCCATCGTTGTACACATTACGCCTCGAATCAGCTGCAAGAAGTACTGTTTGTACTACAATCAGAACGAAAATGCAAGGTTCGAATAGCGGATGAACCAGTAAGCTACACAGCCGGACTCGAATCGGATTGTCAGCAGAGAAGATACCCAGCGATCTCCCTCGCAACGGATTCACGTTAATTTGTCGAGAGCTGCCCGAAGAGCTCTTCTCTATCGGAGGGGAAGTCCCACCATCATGCGCATACTCTGTCATCGCTGGAAATGACGGTGGTGCTTGCAGACGTGCTTCAGGTTCTTGGGGAGTCTCAGTCTTTACCGACGATTTTCTCTTGATACTACGCTCGACCACATCCTGTTCGTTACTAATGTTGACAACTCGCATTGACATGTTCCTCATGATTGTGCTAGCTCGCTGCAGAGGCGACGTGGGTGAGAGGGACCTTTGACGTGACCCGGATCTTCCCAACGCACTTGTAGGCGACAAGCCCACCTCGACATCGCGCATGTCTTCACTACGTCTGTCACTTGAAGAAGCGTGCTCTGGGGCGAGGAAGCGAACACTTTGGAAGTTGCTTGTCCTGTCATATGTCGATTCATCAGCTACAGCTCCGCTTATTGGTTGGAGATGTCCAGGATCTGTGAGTGGCGTGGTGTCTTCGTCTATGGGCGATGAGTAGCCGTAATCGTGGCCTTTTGCGTGGTCGTTCGCATAAGGATCAATTTCTCTCTGTGATGAGAAAGATTCGGATGTACCTCGTCCTCTAGGAACAGGACGCTGGCTCAGCGGTGGTGTGTATGAGGACTCGCCTTGAAAGGTTAAGCCTGCAAACCCACCAATAGCGGATTGGAAGCCACTGATATCTTCAAGTGGTGAGTAGTCCTCGTATTCTTGACGTGGACTGGTCAGATGGTCTTCTTCTGTCACGAGGCGTGGTGCTCGAGAACCTCTGCTTCGACTCTCCGAGTCCTCTTGTATGGCAGCATATCTTGCATTGTTGTGACGCGGTCGGCCAGAGATCGAGTCGCGGTTTCTGTTGAACAGGTTCCTTCCTCTTTCTCCAAGGCTTCTCCTCCGCTGCGAGCCTGAGCCATACTCCTCGTCCCCAGTATCCTGTTGGCGACTGAAATCCTGGAGAGGTATCGATTGTGGGGTTGACTGATTGCGACGATGGTGGGGATCGCTCGAGTCCATTGAGACCTTCTGCGCCGCCTCTTCTCGAGCCTGATTGTTATGAAGTCATCGAGATTCCAATGTGGACTTCAGGTGAATGTTGGGCCAAGGCCTCGCGCGAAGGGGTACGCCTATGCCAGCCAGATGAGATAGATGCGTAGTACGGTCCAAGAAAGTTGTGAGACGCTAAAGGGGTATCACAGATGCGCAGAACAAGCGGAATTGTTTCAGGAGCGAACGTGAGAAGCAACGACTGAAAGCTGAAGCGTCAATGTTGGATAGACAAATATTAGAGCAACGAAGTAAGAATGCGGAGGTATGACAGTCGAGGCCAGTTTTAGAACGCAAGGATGAGGTGCGCGTCTCTCCCGCAGGCATAACTTAATTAGTCGTCTACGCCCCAAACAGTTGCCCGCTAGCCCCTAATGCTCCCTGCTGTACTAGGATTACTGCATACATAAATTAGTACGCCCACGCCCACAGCCTTAAAACCCACTTCAGGTTCCAGTCTACACAATTTACCTTGATCCCCTTAGAAAAGGTTAGGTGGCTCTGTCTAGGGCTCTCTTGCCGAGACCGACCATGCCGCATCCCCCCCGCAAGACGAGATGTGACAGTGCCTACGAACTGAAGCCTTGTGTGTATTGCTTGCTATCCTGACGCTCCCAGGCCGTATATCTGCTGCTGTCACACAGTCCATACTGTCAATCACGAATCGTCAGGATTCCTCAGTGTTTGGCAAGTTCAAGAGTATTTACGGCAGTGGTGGCCTTCTTTGAGAGATAGCACGATGCAGAACTTGATTCCCGATCAATGCATGATAGAACGAAGTACTCGTGTCATGGTAGTACCGTGCTTCCAGTATGCTGTGAATCTGCGAAAAGAGTCAAGTAAAATGGTAGTATAGTATATTATAAAAGTAGTAATAATGATGAACTCATTCTTCTACAATCATCGGCTGAAGTTCGGCGCTTGAACCTAGGGAATTTGGCGCGCGGTCGCGCTCTGCCCGTCACCTCAACTTTCGCGACGGGATCTCATCTATCACTTTTCCCGCTTCGCGACTTGGAGCCCAAATCTTTAACACCCACTATCGCAAGGTCTTGTTACCCCTTGATGCCGACCCGCCTACCACTTCTCATACTCCTATAGTCCTCAAATAGACTATTCGCTCACTCTGCTTCTTAATAAATCTTACCTCGCGCGCGCGGTGCTCGAGGGTAGGTTCCTGGCATCATGGTGACAAGGAAGCGTGCTGCTGCAGAGATGGAAACGGATGAGGTGGTAACCGAGACTTCTAAAGAGGAGCCGGCATTACTGGATCGAATCAGGAACATGTGGCAATTCGCATCACTGTTTCAATACATATTCATCTTTGGGAAAGCCGTAAAGATCGACGAAGACCTAGGTATCGAGGTATGTATGGAGGGAGATAATTTTCGTTTCCAGAGCTAAGTGTTCTACAGGACTTGGAGGCTGAGCTGCTCAAGCCTGTGCACTCTCCCAAACTATCAGAAATTGGTCTTGCGCTCCTCAAATACGTCTCTTCACACAAAGGCCTCACGTACGCTGCAAAATCTCTATTTATAACGCCAGTTGACATACAATCAGAATCGAGATATTTGACGAATACACGAGACGACAATACATAGCTAAGGCACCTTCACGGAACCCCTTCGGCACCGAAGAAGAGCCCAAGAAATTTGCGGAGTTTGATGTCTTCACAAAGATACGCGTCCTACACCAGCTTTCGACGTGGACACTTGGTAATGCAGATCGTATCCGGGAGAAGATTGATGAAAAGAATCATACTGAATGGGTATATAGCGTTTCTGATCACAATGCACAACGCTAACGTCTGCAGCGTATTGAACCTTTCGGTTGGGACGCCGAGCAGCTCACATATTTCGTGCTCGATGACAATCGTCTTTATCGACAGACTCCCGCGCCCCTTCCACTACCTCCGAAGGCTAAATCCAAGGCCAAAACCAAGAAACGCAAATCACTCCGTGCAAGCAAACGTCGGAGGGTTGTTGAAACAGAAGATGAGGAGACCAGTGACACCGAATTGGTCGATGATAACACAACTGAAGAGCAAGAAAAGCCCACCGAGCCTGATGATGATGGCTTCGGGGGTATGAAATGGGAATGTCTTGCCGTCACACGAGAAGACTACAGCAGATTCCTCGACAGCATGCGTCGAACTCGTGACCCAGACCAAAAGGACTTGGTCAAGAGGATCGATGATAATGTACTACCAATTCTTGACAAACAAGTCGAAGAGATGGAAGTCAAGCGCCAGAAACAGTTACGAGAATTGGAAGTTATGCAGAAGTTGGCCCAAGCAAAAAGGTCCAGTAGATTGGCCGGTAAGCAAGAGGCACGCAAAGAGCAGGAGGCTGCTGAGGAGGCAGAACGCAAGAAACAGGCAGACTTGGCCATGGCCCATAAGGAGCAAGAGAGGCAATCAAGAATGGAGCAGGATCGACAATCTCGGATGATGACGCGGGAGCAGCGCCTCAAGGACCGTGAGGTGAAGCGCATATTACACGAAGAAGAGCTCGCAAAACTTGAAGAGGAGAAAAAGAAAGTAGAAGCCAATGAAGCCCGTGGATCGGAGCGATATCTCAAGGCGGAAATGCAGAGGAGGAAAGAGGAGCTCGAGAAGCTCACTCAAGAGGAGGACTGGGTCTTCGACTGCTCTAAATGTGGTGTCTATGGCGAGAATTTGGACGACGGGACCCACAGTATTGCGTGCGAAACCTGCAATGTCTGGCAACACAGCGCATGTCACAATATTCCCCAGTCGCAGGCAGAGAGCGAAGACTTTAAGTTTGAATGCGGCGACTGCAAGAAGAAATCCGCCAGTGCAGCACGACGGGCCAAAGAACCTCCTTTGAAAATTCGCCTCAACACCAATCCGTCATCGCACACCAACGGAACGTCCACTGCGCCCGGCGTTTTCAAGGCAGTAGAGATACCAGTGCCTGGCACCAACCAGCAAGCCCATCAACATCGCGATCACGTCGGCTCTGTCATGAACGGTCCAAGTCTGTCACCTCAAGGTCAAAGAGCTGGTCCACCAGGAGCATACGCCCCGCCTGCTGAGCCAACTGGAGGATTCATGTTTCCGCCAGCGAAGTCAATATCTCCTCCAGTCCACTCGCAATCAACACAAGTACCATCCCAAGGACAAACGACTGCGCATGCGCCAGCTTATGCTAGGCTGAACAGATCGCGGAATTATTGGTACGATGGCCGCTACGAGTCGAACAATGCGCAAATGTCCCCTCCTCCACCAAATATGCCCAGCCATCCTCAACAAAATTCGCAGAATCAGCAGTCGCAAAATCAGCAAAGTCGACATCAGAGTCAAGGCCCTGTCCCTTACGCCTCTCAGCACCAATACTCACCACAGTACTCGCCACAGTATAATCAAACCTATCAACCTCCACCTCCTGTGCCCTATCCCACGGTACCACCGAAACCGAAAGCCCCATCATCGAGTCCGCAACCAAACGTATATCTTCAACTCGAATACCCTAACCACTCCAACCGCCGATCATCGCTCCCTGGCAGTAACAACAGCTCCACAAGCCGAGTTCTCCATCATGACCCCTTCAGAAACGACTTCGCCCGCGTCACGAAGAACTCCACATCCGCATCCCCAACAACACCAAATGGTGCTGCCGTAACTCCACCAGCAGCCCCAGACAGCACAGCCCGCCCTTCATCTCAAAATGGCCCCCCTTCTCCTACAAAAAGCGCGATCGCGACACCACGTCCACACTCCCAAACAAACAGCCATAGCCCTGCTGTCCCCCTGATGACGCCCCTGCAACAGTCTTCACAGCCACAACCGACCGCCTCGCCGCACCCCATGCTCCCCGATCCAGCAACCGGTATTTCACCCGAGAAACACGATGTTGCGCGGCCGCTGTCCAGCCAGGGCACCGAGCTGCTGCCTGGCCCGACCCTGAGTCCGACAGCTAGTCAGAGCATCCTTACGCCACCGGTCAAAAACCCAACGCCTGTGAGGCCGGTTGCGGCGCCGGAGGATATGACGAGTCTCAACGGAACGGATGTTGGACAGAGTAGCTTCGATACTAACGGAGTTGTGTAGGATGGGTTTCTCCGCATCTATTGGGTACGGTCGGGCCTTGGAACTAGATAGTGGGTCGTCTTTTTTGGTCAGAGGGTTTGGTGTCTTTTCTTTTTATCCTAGAGCTTACGCTTTTGGGCACACGGGGATGGGGTGTCAGGCGACTAGGCTTTCGATCTGATGTATCGGATTGCCTGTTGGCCATTCCAGTCATGTGGCAAATCAATGTCAACTAAATGTATCATGACATTGTATTACTGCATCTGCCTGGGCAGAGCCCATACATATATATCAATCAAGCGCCCGTCGCAATGTGCACGGTCCACTTGTTCGAGTTCCACATGTGCAAGTCACTCACCTGTTTACTTCCAAGTGCTTCACCCCAAGTCAATGTAGAACTACGGTAGACCCGTATGATCTTTGTAAACATTCTAGATGGTGCGGAGCTTTTGATCTCTAGGGTCGAATTCTGATCAGACACTTGGCGGACACGAGTCAAGCAAACGAAAGGAGGTCAAACATTATGTAATCCATTGCTACTCCTTGCTAATTGCTAACACCGACGAACGATACGAATAGTCCACCAGGACACGAAGAACACAGCCATTCTACGCTACAGTCTGCCTTCTTGACAGGGCCATGAAATGATCAATGTCGGGAATAGGGCTGCTGCGCTTACTCCTCGGCCTCAATGGGCTCCTCTTCAGCGTACTCCTCCTCAGCATCGGAGACCGATGCCTCCTGGTATTGCTGGTACTCAGAGACCAAATCGTTCATGTTGGACTCAGCCTCAGTGAATTCCATCTCGTCCATACCCTCACCAGTGTACCAATGCAAGAAAGCCTTGCGACGGAACATAGCAGTGAACTGGTCACCGACACGTTTGAAGAGCTCCTGGATGGAGGTGGAGTTACCAACGAAGGTAGATGACATCTTGAGACCACGGGGAGGGATGGAGCAAAGAGCGGTCTGGACGTTGTTGGGGATCCACTCAACGAAGTAGGAAGAGTTCTTGTTCTGGACGTTTCGCATCTGGTCCTCGACCTCCTTTCCGGAGAGCTTACCACGGCTACATCACTCTTAGTATATCCTGTGTGGTCAAAAAAGATCGGGAAACTTACAAGATGGCAGAGCATGTCAAGTAGCGACCGTTCCTGAAGTCACTGGCAGCCATCATGTTCTTGGGGTCAAAGATTTGCTGGGTGAGTTCGGGAACAGTGACGGCACGGAAAGAATGGGCGCCACGACTGGTTAGAGGAGCGAAACCGACCATGAAGAAGTGGAGACGAGGGAAAGGAACCATGTTCACAGCCAATTTGCGTAGATCAGAGTTGAGCTGACCAGGGAAACGTAGACAGGTTGTTACACCGGACATGACGGCGGAGACAAGGTGGTTCAGGTCGCCGTACGAGGGGTTGTTGAGCTTGAGGGTTCTCATGCAGATATCGTAGAGCGCCTGAGAGAGTATCAGCATAAATCTACACCGTCAAATGAGCAGAATATACCTGGTTGTCTATACAGAAGGTCTCGTCCGAGTTCTCCACAAGTTGGTGGACGGACAGAGTGGCGTTGTAAGGTTCAACAACGGTATCAGACACTTTGGGTGACGGTACAACCGAAAATGTGGCCATCATGCGGTCTGGAAACTCCTCACGGATCTTGGAGATCAATAGCGTACCCATACCAGCACCAGTACCACCACCGAGGGAGTGGGTAATCTGGAAACCCTGAAGGCAGTCACATCCCTCAGCCTCACGGCGGACAACGTCCAAAACTTGGTCGACGAGTTCGGCACCCTCAGTGTAGTGACCCTTCGCCCAGTTGTTACCAGCACCGGATTGACCGAAAACAAAGTTGTCAGGACGGAAGAGCTGACCGAAAGGACCAGCACGGACAGCGTCCATAGTACCAGGCTCCAAATCGACGAGTACAGCGCGAGGGACGAACTTGTTGCCAGAGCCCTAAAATGAACTATTAGCTCCATGAGCTGAGGCGAAGGTAATGAGAAGCCTTACCTCGTTGAAGTACACGTTCATGCGCTCCAATTGAAGGTCTGAGGTACCATTGTAGCTAGTGTCGTTAGTCGAGAGTCTTGATGCATAGCACATCGCTGAGTGTCTACTCACACTCCAGAGCCATCTAGACCGTGCTCGCCAGAGATCTGTTGCCTTTATAACATGTCAGTCCATATTCGATGTGATTCGTATTTATCCCAATCTGTCAGGAGCAAAATCGAAGTACGGTAGGGTTGGCGGGAACACACCAGAAGGCAGCACCAATTTGGTTACCCTGTATAAGTCAGCGTCTACTCAATTGATGAGATTCATAGATGACTTACACATTGACCGGTTTGAAGATGTACCTATTTGCGAGAAAACTCATGTTAGCGATGTTGCTCAAAGCCAAGGGGTGCGAAATTGTGGTGCCTAGACCAACGCGGGGCATTCAGGGGACGCGTGAAAAACAACTGTATGTACGAGAGGGGGCGACGTACGATTTCACGCATATTGGCTGAGAATAGAAGTTTCGGATGAAGCTGGTAGAGAGTTGAGTAGCTATGGAGCTGATGATGCTGCGAGTTGGGCTGGTGGATGGAGAGGAAGTGGAGGAAGAGGTGCTGTTTACTCAAACTTGTAGCGGTGAGAAATGGGCGTAGGAAAACGGTAAGAGCGGTCGTTTGTTGTGGGGTGCAAGCGGATAGGCTGCACGTGCACGCGCCAGGGCTAGCTGCTTTGGGACCAGCTAGCCTTGAAAAAGCATTTCAACCGCGCTAACATTCTTCATCTGTGGCGCGTTGCGGTGCTTTATACAGGACAGGAGCAGTGTAAGCGTGCACAAATGGCCAACACAGTCAATTCCGATTCAAGTCGAATGTGCTTCGATTTGTATTCCTCGAATCCCCGACTCTTGCCTAGGTTCTGATATCTGGATTAGTTTGGTCGTCTCGTTTTCCGCTACGCCTAAAATGCACTACAATAGCGAAACTTCTTTTGGAAAAGATGAACATGATCACCTCACGCAAGGACCACGCTGCAGTTGAGAGGCTGTTAGCTGTCGACTGCGTTTAAGATGCTTAGCCGTTGAACGTCAACTAAATCCAATACTCTTGCAGCAGCGGTACGGTAAGCAGATTTATAGTGGTCTGGACTCATCTGTATAACTGAGCACACGACAGCGACATCGAAAGTTGTAGTACTTACGAAACAGTATACTGTATAATTATTGGATTTCTAGGTCTATGAAGGATTGTCTTGGCTACCAGTCTCAACCTGATATAGCGATGCTCGTAGGTCTAAACTCAAGTATTGTGAGGAGGTATGAGATGTCAAGAGAGCTGTGTTAACGAGCTCTACGAAGTTCTGTAAGACAGTCTGTACAGCAAATGCCACTTAACACGCGCTTGAAAGAAAGACAGGGTAATGTCTATAGAAGTAAAGCTGCCCCCCCAAAGTGTAGCGATCATGTCGGCATCGAACTTGTTGCGACTTGGTCTAGTGCACAGTGAGATGTTCTGAAGCGATTTGGGCCTGACATAAGGCCTAGAGGAAGAAAGTGAAATCACCACTCCAGAGTGGTAAAGGGGCCAAATATGCACAGGAACTCAACACTTGTTTCTGGTTGGATCATGACTTGTCATTCCGGGTCATACATGTCTAATCTGGTACGCTAATAACTTCATATTATGGCTTATAAAATGTGAATCAACTCGAAAGACGTGTCGCAAAATTACACCTGCCAGAGCTAGATATGCTGTGGTAATGACAGGGTGGTTCGTATCCCTGCTAATTGTATACTAAGCATATGTGTAGCATAATCTCGGCGTGTTAATCTTCATTACGTCTCGTATTCTCTGATACGCACCACCAGGCGCTGCCTTTACGAAATGGCCCATCCACATATTGTAATCCAGTGTCACTTTCTCGGACGTAACTGGACCATGGAAGTCGAACGGAGGTGCGAACGGTTGGATCGGGCCAGCGATATCGTATGTGCGTTTTCCGGCGTCCTTCGCTTGCCACAATGCCCAAAGCCGATCAAGGTTGGCATGGTGGAGGAAGAAAATGGGGTCGCTGGGGCTGTTGTAAACGTCACCCATCATTCCAATATCACCGCCGACACTGAGGTGGCCTCCACCATGGTAGGTCAGGCCGGGAACATCAATCATGCCTTGGACTGCGATATCGAAGGTGGCAAAGTGGGACTTCGACAAAGTAAGGTCTACAACAGACTTCCTGAGCTTCTTGGAGGCGAGCCAGGGGGAGAAGTCACGTCTCAGGCAGCGAGGATTGTATGCCGTCGAGTTCAACGGACCCATGTGGACAAAATCAGAGATGTTGGCGAAGGGCCCAGTGGTCACACAGCCCCCTCCAGTCTTCCCGGGTATGTGCAATCGAACACTTGGATCTCGAATGGTATCGACAAATGGACCATTGCCACCAAAGCCGTGCTCAGCGTCAAAAATGGGAGACTTGGGAAAGCCTTCGATCGTGGCATCCAGAGTCCAGTCCCAGTAAGGTTGCCCTCCTTTGTAGCCACATTCTCCGAGGGCAGTTTCGTATTCGTGCACGAACACACGATGCCACACCTGGAAGAAGCCAACGAAGTGTATGAAGTCTGTTTCATTTATGTGGCCTGCTACAAAATCGTCGTAGCGGTTCTTGACACCCTTGAAGTAGCTTGCGGACTGAGGTGGCTTCTCTCTCAAGCACTGTACTGCGTTGATATAATTATCCTTCTGGTCGTCGCTCAATTGGCGCCTGTTTGACGTAAGTGATAATCAGTCAGAAATGCTTCTGAACGGTAAGGCTTACCATTCCCTGCGCACCAATGGCTTCGAACACGATGCTCCTTCAGGAGTGTGTTGCTTCTGAGGCAAAGCAACTGTAGTAGATAGGCATGTGATCGCCGCAAGCAAAACCGTGATTGAAAATATCATGTTGGGCGAAGTTTCGACCGAAAAAGCGCGCGAGAAAGGACTAACATGTACTGAGGGGAGGGAAAGTGACGCAGGACAAGACGCTGAGCTACGCCAGCACTTATGGGTATGTGTATTATCCCATGGACACTGACTCCATAGTATCTCAAGATTTCGATAACGCCTGGACTCATAGCATCTCCATCAGCGTACAGGCGCTTGACGTGTCGTTTGACTCTGCGACTTAAGCGATAAGAACAGGCCATCTATGACCTTTTTTAAGGTATTTACCTCGCAAATATGCAACTACCGTATACGTTCACAGGGATATCCGAGCCGTAAAACTGGAAGCACTATAAGCATAGTCCGTGTCATAAGCCCTTGAGTGACATTAAAGGCAAAAGATGGCTAGCACTTCACCGGGGTTACTAGAAGAGGGAAACGCCTGGTTTATATGGAGGCTATTGTCATGATTCACGAACGACCCATTTCTTGACCGATCATTATTCATATGTCGTATACGTATAGAGGGTGAAACTGACACTAAGGCTATATAGCTAGCGACTGATATCTATTAGGCACCTAGATCCTAGCCTAGAGCGCACCTCAGCGAGTCCATAATTTAGATTTAATATAGACTGGATCCTATATGGGCCCAGAGTAATGGTATTCTGAAACAAGCATCCTGGTCTCTGTACTGGGGCTCCCCGAATCCCGTACATCTCCGTGCCTACCAGGCCAAATCTTACTAATCACTCTTAGTCGTAGGGAGTCCATGGACCATCGGACAGAGTTCCGATAAATAGAGACGAGCAACATTTAATCTGCTTCGTCTCAAGGTCTGGTTGTATGCGAGGGCGAAAAAACATACGAAGTACGTTAAAAATTCGCTTGACACATGAGACAAGAAGATACACGATCTGATGTCCCGACTATAACTAAGCGGAAACATTTGACAGCTCAATAGAAGACTGGTTTGACTCGAGACTGACCGAGATCAAGTGGATCTTTGTATAAGTTAGCGAAAGTTTAAGTCAGCACATCACATTTTGTGATCGTTTCACCTGTTCAGCGCGTTCATATGTAGCACCAGGGCGTCAAAAAATCATGGCTTTACATGCATCAACCATACAATAAACGGTCGATGCTGGAGAGAGGTTACTAATGGTAAACTTTAAGGTTTTGACAAGAGCTCGGTACTGTGTTACGGTATGAGGCATAGTAGATAGGATCGCACCTGAAAACCTCACAACAGTCTTTCTCTCCACATATCATAGAGCGGGGTCACCGTATCGGAATCCTGCAGAGCCCAACATCCTCTTTGTAAAGGCTAGGAACTATGTGGCACAGGATAGAAAGCGAACTTCGAAGATACAATGATAATTATCTGGCCTCCCGGGTTGTTAGGCAGTATCTGCCGGATATGCTCGGTGGGCATCGATCCGATTTTAATGTAAGCTCATAGATTTTTCATCCACAGTCGCAGGCATGACTTCTTGATTTCAGAGCTTAGACAAAGACTTGCCTACCAGGAAAATATCCCATTGTCATATAGGCACTGTGTCCTCGCATACGCAAAGAGTCATTACTTATCTATTTCTACATTCTACTCAAGTAAGGAGGGTTGTCCAACGCGGCAACGGCACAGGAATTCTAGCATATTCAACCACACTTTGCAGAGCATGGAACCGGTGTGAGCCGCCGATGTTGAAACCTGGTCCTTTGGATCGTCTATATCAGACTCACATACAAGGCTGTTCTCAGCATCTGCTTCACTCACGGCAGGGTATTTTGCTATTTGCATTCATTGCATACCGAGAAGAAAATCACGAACAGGGTACCCCATACCTAGCCCTGCATATCGAAGTCTGAGATCATGCAGCAACGAGCAACACTGGTACGATATCTCAATGTTGCGTTGGTCGTCGTTTCAACGATAGCAATGTTCATGAGGGGCTATGCAAGACTCTTCATAGTCAGAAAACCTGGGTTAGATGACGTATTTGCTGTTCTTGCATTTGTGAGTAGATCCCCACAATGAGGCTGTAGCATTACTAACATACCAGTAGGGTACTTTAGTTAGTCTGTCAGCTTTGGAAATCAAGTGTACGCCTTCAGACGGCTTCTCAGACATACACACTGACACATGATAGTAACATACTATGGAATCGGCACGAACCAAACTGAAGTGCCACCAGAGCACTTGGCCGTATTCTTCGGGGTGAGTTGATAACGGAATAGTCTGGGTATCAAGACTAACATATCGAGCTCAGACACTGCCCACCATGCAACTATTATATCTTTCGTCTACAGGGCTTGTTAGAATATCAATAGCATTATTCATTCTACGTCTGGGTCGTCAAAGTAAGAAAAGACTCCGATTACCTACATCCTTATCATCTCCGCTGACTATAATCTTTTGGAACAGCTAATTATATGAAGAGCTTCTACGCCCTAATAGCCTCGATCGCGGTGGTAACCATAATCTCTGTCTGTATCTTGCTTTTCGAATGCGTGCCTGTACGGTGAGTGATGTCATCAAGTATCAAGAAATAAGGCATCTAACAGACAGCAGAGCCCTATGGAACCAAAGCCTACCTGGCGCAGTTTGCGTGCCCAAGTCAGAAGAAGCCACTCTCATGTATGCGCATGCGTCATTAGGAATCCTATTCGACTTCATCCTGTTCCTGACACCAATATACATACTCTCAGGATCAGTATTCAAGAGGTGAGCAAGCTTGACAACCTCTCATACCCACTGAACTGATCACACTGTAGTATGAGAATGGTCAGGCTGTCACTCCTGTTCTCCCTAGGCCTTTTCAGTGCCATCACGGGAATCGTCCGGCTGTCCCAAATCGTCAACATTGACATGGCACACAACACCACCATGAACGTCTCTTACGCTTCCGTATGGACCGATCTGGAGGGCCACACCGCGCTCTGGATCGCATGTCTGCCCGCTACACAGCCAATATTTCGATGGGTCTCTTTTTCGCTAGGCTTTAGAAGCAGGCTCAGGAGTACTGGTCCGACGCCCAATGGATACAATGGCTACCAAAACTCTCGAAACAAGGGTACACCAAAAATAGGAGGATTAGCCACCGTCTGGTCAAACAGATCAAGACGAGCCTCTAGAGGGATGGAGATACTCAATACAATCGAGATGGAAGAAATGGATGAGATGGACGAAGAGAGTGCCAGTGCAACATTACACAACAGCAAGCCTTGCAGCAGAAGGAATTCCAATGATGATATCAGTCCAGCGCGAATGGTTCGGCATGGCTCATCGCTGTCTGGAACCCGGAATGAAAACTCACTAATTATCGTCACGACCGAGGTTTGTGTGGCTAGCGAGAAGATTGAAGGGTTGACACGCCCTGCTCCTGCCTATATGTCGGCCAACACCTCGGCTACAGGGGGTGTGCACCACGCGTGAGAGCGGCTTGAACAATCAAGTAATGGAGGGCAGGTTAGGTTCTAGCCCCATCTGAGAGGGATGATCAGCTACAAGAACGTCATCGTAGAATTGTGGCAACCATTTTCGACGTTCGAAAGCCTCAAAACCTATTTCTACTTGCAACACCGCAATCGGTCAGTCGAGAAATGCTCCTGGAAGAGAAGCAGGACCCGGAGAATCAGCGTCCATTCATCTCGAAATGATGTCGACGCAGTCCCGGGATCTGTCTTACGAAATTACGCAAGTACCCGTACTTCCAGAGCATATATTAGAATTTGACAAGGCGCTCCAAGATGGGCACTTAATGGACGGACTGACAACTTGATACAGGACCAACAGCGCTCGGGACCTTTGGCATGTACCAGCTGCGAAGGTCCACAAGAAGCTGCGGATGCTGCACGGCATACTGTTGAGGTCGTTGATGAGATTTGGAGCAAGGAGTATACAGGACCAAGACGAGATAACGAATAATGTCTGGAACGGTCGTGTTGGAGAGATCGAAAACACTTATTATCGTGATGAACCAACTAGTGCTACGAGCATAAGAATCATGATGAGGGAATTTCATGACATGGCCTTATGTGGATATATGTATTAGGGAGTGGACAATAACATATCCGTTGCAGACATGTCGACCTATTAGTGCATAGATATTTCTTTACTCCTGAGAAAACAGTCGCATATTTAAATCGTGCGAGTGGACCTTCTCTAAGTCAATACCAATCTGGGCATGCGGTCTAACAGTAATATTCCCAACATAGCTACCCGTATAGAGCTACGCCCTTGAGGTATATAGATTCTAGTAGCTTTGACGAATTGTGCGCGGTATATGTCCGGAGATAGAAACGACTTGAATTGATACACACCAAAGGTAAGAGCTGTCTCTTTCGTAACCAAGTCAAAAGCGAGATCTGAGCCGAGAGCAAATGATTACGCCCGTATCACACGGAAAAGTTCTTCTTTTTCTGGGCTCTCATTGCAGGGACTGTGCCATCTTTACCAAATTTGCGCCCAACTTCGATCACTATCATCCTTACGAAGTCTCTCGATAGCCAGTAACTGCTGTGTGCACCCAGCATAGTCAAATATTGAATCTCCAACGCACCGCCTCCATAGCGCATGAAGTAATCGATTTGGCCATTATCATTCAATGCATAAGCACGCTTCTCAGCAATCTCTTCTCGCGAAAAATTGTGCGTCTCAAGTTCGACATTCGAGGGGAGATGCGGATGTACAGGCCGGGTGGGAGTCGTGAACTCATTTGTGGAAGGCGTTGATCTGAAAGGGTTGCGGAACACAAGCCAGCCTGAGCTTGCTGAAGGTATGAAGGCTTGCTTCAGTGAAGATGCGTATATTGCGTCAACTGCGGCATTTACGCGATACGCAACTGGATCATAGGGATTAACGATGTTATAAATATTATCGACAGCCAGGCATCCATAGTCGCCGTACTCTCCAGCAACTCCAGGCAGAGTGCTACCATCATCCCCAGGCTTGTCTCGATCGTGCCGAGGTAGGAGGGCGGCATTCTTAAGTAGTAGGAAGAAACCTGCAGGGCTTCCACATAGAAACAGAGACTTTGTGTCGAACGCGAAGTGAGACGTCGGGAGTTCCGATTCAGGAGTTGAAGGATTGCCGTAATGAGGGGAGATGCGAGAGGGTTGCTTGCTGAGTACGTCAACGGCCATCACACTACCTAGCGAGTGTCCGATAATATGAACTCGTCCCCACTCGGAGAAGCCAGGATTGTTAGCACACCAGAGACGGTACACGCGGTTGGCTTCGCCAATACATGCTGCGAGGACTTTCGGGTTATGTTCTCGAGATAAATAATATGGAATATCGAGCATGACGTCGCTGATAACATTTCGCACGGACGGCAGGGTCTCTGGCGTGATGTCCTTCAAGGTATACTGATTGAATGCTGGATCGTCATGGTCACTGCGATAACCACCATCTTCAAATGAGAGATCGACTCTCCAGTTGACCTAGACCACGTTATTGGCGGTTTCTTGCGGGACACTTTTTTACTTACGGGTAGTACCATGACACCACCCATATCTTGCCGTAGATGAGCCTTCACACTGCCTGTACCCATCTCCACGTTCACCTCTCGCCGGAATGCGTTAATCGCATGAGTGAAATGGAAGCTTTCCATTCGCTCCGAAAGCTTTTGACCAATGCCATGTATGACAAGTACTAGATCGGTGACCCTTGGCCGCAGAGATTGTGCAATCGCTGAATCTTCATGTTGACGTGTCTCCGGTGGAGCGCCGCCAAGTGATGTGGACACTCCCTCAGCAGCTTTGGTGGTCATTAGATCGTTTTTGGGAGGATGCATTCTGTTCCACGCTACTTCGTTGAAGCCCCTACAAACACGAACACCTATAGCATGGTTCTTGCGGATATAGTTCGCCAGAGGTCTTCGGCCGTAGTAATGTGAAGGTTGCAAATTTGGTCGCAAGAGGTACGCGTCGGTCTGATTAGCGTATATGACCCCAGCTGTCAAATATTGTCGAATACGCCCATCACGCCCATATGGTGCTGAGCCACTGGCTTTGTTGTCAGGCCCTTCAGGCCCTGTAGAGATATCTATTAGATCACAGGCGTGGGCGACAGTTTCTTGTCTCTCTTTCTCAGGAGTCGTCTCTTCAGGCTCAAGCAGACTGGCGCTACGTTAGACGCTAGGTCTCCTTGCTTCAGTATAAAGATAAAAACTCACTTCTGAACGCCCAACATTCCGCCGCCTCTTGCAGTCGAAGGGCGACTATCGACTGGCTTTGGTGGAGGATTTTCGGGCCATAAGCGATGTAGTATCTTCATCTCTCCTATGGCACCAACTTCCACGGCACTATTCAACTCGTCCGCCCAGGTCTCTGTCCACGGTTTAAGTTCCACATAGCCTATCTCTAACATATTGGCGACATCTGTCTCTACTGGTAGCATGGTGTTTTTGTAGAACCAAGTACCTCGAGTCACAACAGCAACGTCACTGACCGGCTTCCAGTAGATTGGCTCCATACGAATTGGGTTCTTGTCCATGACTACGTTGTGCAGACGGCTCACGCCTACAGGCACCTTGGCTGAAGGCCCAACGGATTCGGGGCTATTATCACTGGTACTTAATACATTGGGTTTTGTTTGTCCATGAGACTCTCCAGGATTCTCATCCCAGTTGTAGCTATCCGCTTGTTGAGGACTGGGTCTCCGTTTTGAACTCTCCTCCCTTAGCGTATGCACCTTCGACCTGGACGGTGCTCGAATGAAGGGATTGCCAGTGATTGCTGGTGTATCGGTCTCCATATGACCATCAGCAGGGCCAACTCGAATCGGCCCAACTGCCGAACCAGCATTGCCACGGGTAGGTTCGATCCTCTCCTCAAGCTTTGCAAATCGGGCACCAAAGGAGCTTGGTGATCCTTGACTACCACCTTGTGTACCCTCTGCGAAAGTGTTCGTAGCACGGAGAGACCCAATCACAGGTCGGCCCCTCTCCTCTGTGAGAGATGTTCCTCTACTCCTATTACCACATTTTTGCAGTGATAGGGCGGCCAGATTTACACCGGGAGACTCACGTCTCGATTCCGGATTCTTTTTCTTCTCGTCCCTCAGCTCTTCGTTGTGTTTTAACAATTTCGTCCGCAGGTCGAGCCATGTTTTCTCTAAGGCTTTATTATCGTAGATGGAGAATGGACGTGGTGGCTGGTTGTATGTGGAAGATGACGTCGAGGTCAGTGGAGGCAACGGAGATAGCGGGTCGTCAATAGCGAGAGGAGATGTATAGAAGTAGCGAACGTTGATTGAAGGAGGCGCAATAGGTGCGTGGAGGACTTCGCGAAGATATCTGTTCGTTTGTCGAGCTACTGAGCCCGCGGGCTCATCTGAGTGAGAGCTCGCCATGGCGCATTAGTATGCCGGATTCAACTGAAAAGGCGATAGCTTCTCAAGTCAATGAGATGTAGCAGCATACACCGCCCCATAGTGACTCAACATGGATTGTCTAGGTGTTGTTGTCTCAGACCAAACATTGGGAGCCTAGAATCGGAGGTTAAGAACTGCGTAGTGCAAGAAGTCTAAGGAAGTCCGCGCTTGGACCTACGCGCGACGTCACATCACGCAGTTCTAACGCGCCTTGAGAAGTGGACCCACAAACACCTGCAAAATACAACACCCCTCTGTATCACTATACACATCTAGTGATGTATAAATCAAAATTTGTATGGAGATAATGTGATCAAGCATGTCCCTCTCATAGAAAAGAACCTCTCCCTTCGATTAAGTCCGAAATATGTAATGATGTTGATTCTGTGGTGGGAGCACATGACAGTATACTGACTGCTATTAAATCGTATCTGTTAACACCTGTGGACGTCCTTGACGGAGATTATTTTTGGCAGATCATGAGCGAGAAACGCCTCCACATGTTGCAATACACGTTCCCAACATGGTGGCATACTACCCCTCGCTTCGAATAGGATACCGAGCGCTGTTGTGAGTAAAGGTTTTGCCATTGTATAGGAAGAATTTGTCCCCAAAATCATGTAGCTTATCAACTCCAACGTCTGTTTTCTGCATCAGCACCAGCACCCTTCCTTTCCCGTTCTAGCTGCGCATCGAAGTCTAATTGAGCTTGAGACTTTCCGGACGTCGCATCCGTGAATGTACCTCCATCCCCCCTTGACTCTTTCCCCTGGCCTCTGCCAGACTTCCCGACCGTAGGCTCCGATGTATGAGATGAGGATCCTCTTCTGACACGTTCCCACGCAGAGTTGCTGGACGATTTCTCTGCTTCACTGTCAAAATCAAAAGTACCCAGCCCACCGGTTGGTGACGCATCATCGTGTGATTGATGCTGTGGTCGCTCTCGCTGCCCTGACCGAGACCAGGTTGAGGATTTGTCAGACTGAGAGTTACCGAATCTCTCATTTAGTCGGCGCTCGTATTGGTGTCGCTGAGGGTCTGTGACGACACCCGTGTTAAGACTCTCGTCTTCACGGCCATACTGCTGATTGGTGTTCTCTCTGATTGTATGATCGGTCGAGGTGATCGGCCTTCTTGTACCCGTGTGCTCCGTTCGCGAATTCTTTTGGGCACCTTGTCTGATTTCTTCTATAAGTCTTTTCAGAATAGGACTGGCCCCAAAGTGTGAAAGAGTGTGTCCATTGCGGAGTGCGTCTCCGATAACAGCACCTATTGTCGAATAGACCAAAAAGTAACTAGGGAAGCGTAAGAGTTGCCACGCTATTCCTGCCTGGGCACCCCTAAGAGAGAAGAATTTATCCAGGGTGAATCCTTTCTTCCTAAGATCGATCCCTGGCATAGTGCAAGCCCCACGCAACTGATAAAAGCGGACAATGCCCATGATATTACCACCCCGTCTACCAAGCTTCCTATACTCTTCAGACTCCGTTGAAATTCTCACGAGTTCGTTCACTTCTTCATCGGTAAGTCGCCGCTTAACTTGGGCAGACATATGGGCGAGTAATGCATCGTTTCCGTCGTATAGGGTGCGTATGATGCCGCTAAATCTCCTATGCTCATTTATGTCATATTTGTATTTGTAGGCGAAGGGCTTGGTGGAGTCGGAGCTTTGGAGGTCATCGTCGCTGGGAAAATCACCTTCGGGCGACGAGGCTACTTCATCGAGCACCATTCTGGTGTGTGGGTAAGGTTGTCTGGATGCACATGGGCAAGCTAAGAGCACTCGTCACGATACCCAATTGGAGTTCAAGGTCCTGACGTTGCCTTCGTTGGTCGTTAGTTCTGTTGCGTGCTGCCAAGTATGAGCGTCGAGGTACTGGTGAAGCCTGAATTCTGAGTAGTGATGGTGATAGTGACGTTGGAGACGAGCACAAACCCTGAGTCTGGAGCTACGTACCTTAATTACTTAGTACGCGACCCGCCATCCAGATTTTACCTTAGCTGTCCTAGAGCCTAACGCTCTTGGCACTCGTATGCTTAAGTCCCTCTACCTCTATAGTAGAAGAGTATATATTAAAACATATGTAGATAGGCTCATAGACTGAGGTGCTCATAACTTTTAAGGAGTCTAACTTAATTTAGCTTTTGATCAGAGAATCAGTATGTATATGCCTTGTCTTATAAATTATATCTTCAAAATACTCTTTTTTAAGTTTCAAGGAAGGCTCTATCCAGATAAATTGGAGTGCTAAGATTTTCCCATAAATATATGTGATCTTCTCCCGAAGACTGTTGGGTTAGAATCTAGGCAAGTAACGGATGGATGCAGGTCTGAGCCTCAAAGGTTCTGTCCCGACTCGTGGAGTATACATGGAGCTAATGAGAGGTTTCGCGTGCTGTATGCATTAGAGTCATGCATCTAATTATTGCAATGCCTTTGCCTCGAAGACGGTTTTCGTTCAGTTTCTCGCCATTATCACTTAGTGCTATGGACCGACGCATACCCAACTATTGTAGTCGATGGCAGAAACCAAGAACGACTATCCATTGTTCCCAACACTTGAAGCGCGTGCCCGTTTCCTTGTCCCATTCGCCTTCTTTCGTTTCACTTTCTCGTTATCTGGATCGAATGGCTTTCTTCGCCTCACCAATTGATAGCCTCTATCCAGCTCGACTTCTACCGCACATCGGACCTTCAAAGCGCCAACAGCAGGCCACACACTTCTTTCCCCTCTAAGAATCCAGTATTCGATACTTTCACGACTGGGATTCTCCAATAGCCGGAAGAAATCGCCCGTTGTCAAATCCGGGACGAGTGTCAGGCTTTGACCAGGAACGCTCTCGTCCAACAGGAAACGCCTTATTCCAAGCGGCAACCAGCCGAGCGAATCGAGCTGGTGTAAGCGGTGCTGTACTTCCATTACCACGAGTCTAAGTATTGGCATAGTGAGTCGCCAGCGTCCATCGATGCGAGGGTTTGGATGATGGAGCTCGGATCGTAAGAACGGCGCAAGGTACGGCCGGGCTTGCGAGACAATGAAATGGTTCACGTTGAACAGCTCAGCAATACGTCCCAATGGAGACTCCTTCTCTGAGTAGCTTGCATGCGTCCATGGACGGAAAGTCGCTTCTTGTGCGGACACCCAGGGGACTATAGACCCACTTTCGTCTTTGCACATGAGAGTGACCGGAGAGAAGAGCGCCGAGGCGGACGCGTTTGATGCGAGCGCAGCGGACCAGATGAGCTGAATATGTCAGGAAAGCTATCAGATATGCGACTGACGATACTTACCACATTAGGCGCAGTGAGATAGTTCAGCAGATTCGGAACGCCGCCCTCAGTAGTCGAGACGGTAATGTTGAGCACCTTCTTCGTCTTTGCGTACGCCTCCTCAAACGTGAGGTCTCCGACGTTGTCTCGAACACATTGCTCCAGTACGCCAACATCAAGGAGGTAGCCTTCCCTGAGGAATCTTTTTAGTCTCCTCGTCAATGTTTGTAACAGTCCAACACTGCTATCATCGCACTCCTTCTCAAACCGGCTTGTAAAAGCGGTGAGGTCTATCCCATCTTCAGAAAGAAATCCAAGTAGTTCATCCTCTGTATGTACTCCAACAAGCGCAGCTATCAAAGCGCCTGTAGCAGTTCCAGCAATGATCCTAGGCAGGAGACCACGTAAATGCAACGCCTTAACAACCCCTAAATGGCACAGACCAAAAATAGCGCCGCCTTGCAAGACAAGACATGACCGACCAAAAGCTTGCCTTGTGTCGTGTAGTACATCAAGTTTCGCTTGATTTGTCAAGCCCGTGTCATTGCTCATAGAGGTTGGATACGCTGTGACATATTCCACCGCAAGAGCAACTTGTGTTATGTAGTCTTCGATCAACAGCTTTGTCCCAGCATAAGCACGATTGAAAAGTCGTGGTGTGGTGATGTTCCCGAGATTGCGGACAAGCCCAGAACGAAGTAGATTTACGAGGCCAAGGATGTCTTCATCTTCTCTTGATTCGATTATAGCTTGGAGTCGTTCGTATATCAAGCGATAATCGTAGAACTTGCTCGTTGGATTCTGACGCCTGCTCAAGGTCAAGACTATTGGACAGTTCCAAAGACGCAGGTACTTACCAAAGATCATAGCCTTTTTCTTCGTCCAGTTGGAATGCAGCAGCTTCCCATTCTTCGAAAATGCGAGCATCGGCTATGGTTTCGAGAAGGGTATCCCAAGCCGACTTCCGTGTCCACCAAGCCCAGATACGCTGTGCAACAAAGGACATAAGGTTAGCATGAGCATATGTGGGCTAGAGGGAGATATGCGAGAGATATGTTGAGCAAATGAGGAGTACGGTAGCACATACATAGAACCAGAAGGATACTATGTCCCAGCAGAATCCAAATACCGAGCTTGGAGAGCCGAGGACTCGTGATGAAGACATGATGGGACGGACCCTTCAACGTCTCGATAATTATCCATGCGTTCTAGTATTGTTTTCAGGTCCAGTCGCAAATCGATCTGATGCGGGATGGCGACGCTAAGACGATTTGCGAAGTATCTCATAGGAAGACGGACATGTAAGCTCACGAAGGTCCGATCCTTTCACATGCTCGAACCAGGGAAGCATCCATGCAGATAAGTGGAGGTCTAACGTCAGGCCTCTTGGCACCATGATCCGGGGAATGATTCTAGCGATCGTCAATTGCTTCTGACTACAACGTCTTGCAACATGTAATACTATGAAGAATAGAAGGGGACTGCACTCGGTGCCTAATAAGAAGATGCCCACAATCTTTTCCGTTCTCCCAATCTTTCTCTTCCAAGCTTTCACCACATCCGCCGCACCAGACGATTCCATCGCCATCGCCGTCACCACAAACCCCCAAACCCCAACCTCCCTCCCATCCTACTGCACAACCGCGCCATCCAGCGTCTACATACCCACCTACACCCTCTCCGGCGACGACGACACATCCACACCCCCTCTTCCATGCAACAAAGCCACATACGCAACCCAAGAAGGCTACTGCTGCAGCAACGGCATCGCGTGCGCCAACGGTGAATGCACCTGTCCCAACGGCACCCTGATCTACTCCCTCCCGCTCGAGCCATGCGTGACACTGAACCCGTACTACTCGGGCTGTCCGGGGAATATATTGCGCGATCTGTGTTGTTCTGGGCCGGGGGTGTTTGCGTATGCGGAGGAGTATGGTGGGAGCATGACGACGCCGCAGTGCTGGCACGGTGCGACGCAGGTATGGACGCGGACTACGATGCCGGGTGGTGAGGTGGTGACGAGCACTTTGCCGCCCGGGATAAGCTATACGGAGACTCGGTGCTTCACTTGTCCGTTGTATACTAGGAGCTCGACAGGAGCTGCGGCTATGCCTACTGGTCGTGTGAAGGGAGATGATTTTGTAGTTAAGATCATGGCCGTTATAATACTTATTACGTTATAATTAAACGTCTTACAGCTTGACAGGGAGAACTCAAACTCGGCAGAGGAACTCACAAGACTTTGGTATCTGCGAATGGTCAGCGCATTGATACACATGCCGATCTCTCCGTGCCTGTGGAGCGACCATTTCCAGTAATCACGGCAGGTTGCTCATTCTGAGTCATTCATGAGTATGCAGCGCCGATAAGTAAGACGAGTATGTCGACCCAACGCCCCTGGGTTCGCATATATTCGTCAGTAATTCGCAGATAATGGGTTCACGACCGTCATTACTGTTTACTTCTATAACTACATCTAGGTTCATGTGCGCTACATGCTACCAGATCATACATGGTGCTGGACATGAGCAAACCGCCTCCGGATGATCGCCCTGAGCCAGATGATGTTACTCCTGATCGACTTAAGCACTTTTGAACGCCGTGACATTCGGCCATTTTTCGCGCGCTACGTCAACGAAGCTCTTCCTGACTGCTTGTTCACTATTCCATTCTTTCAAAACGGAAATTCCCTTTACAACGTCGTCTACTGTGGCTGATGGTAGCTTAATTGATTCCATAAGGTCCTTTTCGTTCTGAGGTAAGGTTTTTAAATCTAGAAATTGGCGGGTTTTGAGGCCGTGTCGTATGTGAGAGACGCTCTGTTTGTTTTCGTTAAGGTACGAGTCGTTGTGAGCAGCTAGCGATGCCTGTGCAGGAACGAGCGTAAAACTTGACTTGATGACCTCGGCGACTGGTATGGCTAGAGGTTCGGACAGAGCGTCCACTGTGAAGAGTGTCAGCAAAATATTGGAAATTACATGTAGTACTTACGAGTGTATCGAAGTCGGATAGCTTGCTCATGGACCACTGGGCTCTCTGGGTCTAGTGCAGCAGCAGCCAGAAGGCATTTGAGAGCAAGGAGGTATTTTCCTGCGGTAATCAGTCGCGTCCCACATCTATTGAGCCTTGCTACTTACTCCTTCGGATGAAGACCTCAAAACCTAAGTTCTGGCCCTCAACACTTTTCGGACTGAACTCGAGTACGGGGGCCAAGAATTTCATGGCATCCTCGAGAGGAGTTTTCGTTGCGAGCAGTACTTTACCCTCTGGATCGGGGTCTTCCTTCTTCGACTCGCCATCTGCACCAGTCGACTTCTTACCACTCTTCCTCTCGGCCTCCTTCTTTTCAGCCTCGGCTTTCTCGCGAGCTTCTTTCTCTTTCTTGGCCTTTCTGTTCGCCTTCTTTTCAACAGCGGTATCCTCTCCATTGACTTGTCCGGATGACAACTTGGGGTTGTCAGCAAGGTTGAGGTAGATCTTGACAGCAGACAGAGCCATGCGGGTGAACATAGGGTGACTTCGAAGATTGTCTTCCCATCTTATCATATCGACATAGGCACGTATTTGTCCTTTTCGTAACGAGAAAGTATGGAAGTCATATTGGTCGTCGGACCAGACGTCAAAGATGTCGTACAAAGACTTGTATCTCTTCAAGGCAAGATTGAGAATGCCTCGTCTTTGGAAGGATTCTGCGTCTTCCGTGAGGAACCACATACATTGCATGTCGTGCAAATCTCCAAGGGGCCCTCCTGCAGTCTCGTTCCTAGTAAATTTGCTCATGGTTTCTATAGCGCTGTCATTCTCATTATTGCGCAATTGATATTTCGCACACTTCGTGTTGATATATCGATCTCTGAGGTCCTGCTCTCGAGCATGGTTCATTTGTCGTGAAGCAGCTTCCGTATCTCCAGTGTGCTTTATAATTCTAGCCTTCGTCCGATTCAGGTCCACAGATGTAGGTGTAAGCGTCAAGGCTTTCTCTATGTACTCCGTCGCCTTATTCAAATCACGGCTGAGATGATAGTCGTAGTGCTGTGCAAGAAAGTACAGGACCGCTTTTTGGAATCCTGAGGCGGATTCGCCGTTGGTCTCTGCATCTCCTGATCCGTTCGTCTCCTTTTCAGCAGCGTATTTTGTTATGAGTTGTTGGATGGTAGCCTGCTTCGCAGGATCAGCATAGAGTGCCTTCACATTCGTGAACGTTGAAGGCACCCCTTTCTCAAGCATGCGGCGCAAGTAGGCATCAACGGCAGCTTCGAAATCCTCTCCTATGAAGGTGCGGTCAGCTATATTAAACACACTCGAAGTGGAAATTCCAAACCTTGTAGAAAGTCCAATGGTATTCGTCTAGCCGCATCTAACCTCTCACTTTCTTGTGCGAATGACTCGTACAGTGCCTTCAGTTGTTTCTTATGTTCAGCATTGCTGCGATCCAGATCTAATGACTTTTCAAGACCCTCATAATAATTTCTGTATTCATTATTACGTTTGATCAGAGCCCGGTACGCTATCTGTGCTTCTTCCTTGCGCCCTAGTTGTAGTAGATACTGTGCACGAAGCTCCATAACTGACGTGCGGTCCAGATTGTCTTTTCGAATCGTGTCCAAATGCTCCAAAGCTCGCTCGACATCGCCAGCTTCGGCAATGATTGAGTTCTTGTACAGTACAGCCTCGGAGTGCTCGATATCGGTCTTTGTAGGTGGGCTTTTCAGGGTGTCTTCATACATAGTCAGGACTTTCTCGGCTTCTGCTAAGTCTCCTTTCAAATGATGCGCAAGCGCCAATGCGGTCCAATTCTGCCTGATTGAAGCCCTCTGCTTGAGCATCTCGGTTCTGCTCTGGATATACCCTTGGTAGTCTCTGATCTGAACCTGCAATTGGCTCATATCGCGCATGATGTTGGGGTTTCCCGGATCCAGACTGTGTGCAAACTTGAAGGCCTTCAGAGCCTCCTCATAGTTCTTTGAGTGTTTATGTAGCAATCCGTACACATGCCAACATATATGGGACTTCATTCCTCTTATTTCCGACTTTGGATCGAGCTTTGAAGCCAAAGCTTTTTTAGCGAGCGCGAATGCTTCATCTGGCTTTCCTTGGGAGTTGATTATGAGAGATTTCATCGCGAGGGTATCCGCATGATCAGGGACTTTGCGCAGAATCTGATCTGCGGCTTTGATGCCTGTGAGGACTGTTAGAACTGCTGCTTTATTCTGGAGTGTATATAACCTTTTTTGTACTGTTTGGCCTCATAGTTCTTGACAACCTGTCGGAACAGTGACGATTCTTTTGGAGGTAGCTGGGGTAATTGTTGCGATTGAGACATTGCCGCAGATATATATCCGGCGGGGCTGGTGTGATAGATGGCTTAGAGGAGCTGGGAAGCGGGCGTAGGTTTTAGGTCGTGATTTGCCAGAGGCACTTAGCGAGTCGACAACATAACAGTAGGTCAGAATGGAGGAAGAGAGATTGAGAGCAGGTCTTAAGAGAATCAGAACTATCTTTAAGACTCGTATAGTTTTTGACTCCAAGTTGTGCTTGAAGCTCTTATTTTGAAGTTGTGTCCCACCGAAGATTCTCCGCGCAGCTTCATCATGTTCGATTGTCGTAGGTTTGCCATGAGAAGTTTTAACTATATTTACTGATTCGTCCCATCTTTGATTCTACAACGGCCTGGGGTCATCTTATAACCATTATCTACAGAGTTGCAGATCTTAATATATGTGTATATTTGTGCATTTCTACATTCCTCATAGGAACTTAATGACTTCTGTATGAACAATAGCAAACAATCCCTGGTATCATGCTATGTGGCTAAATATATGGCTAACTTTCAACATCGTTTTTGGAATTGATCGTCTACCAACCTTCTCTTGATAGGCGCAATGAAAGCCGAATGCTCTCTATAGCATCTAAAATCCTCTGGTCTTCGCTATTACGCTTCTCTTCTTTCTCAATCCTCCCAACAAAAGGTCTTTCTATAGGCGGGCAAATCGTACCTGTCTTAGGAGTAGCTCCGGTCTGGAAGTAGTTTCGCACGGCTTTTGCTGTGCAGATCGATGGTGAAGCAATCGTCGTGTGACCTTCACAGTCCTGCTGGAGCAGGACAGCGTCCTTATATTGCTTTGACATGCGTGCCGCGTTTGCAAGTGGTGTCACCGGGTCGAGGGTATTTCCAATGAAGAGCAAGGGATGCGCAGTGTTACCAGTAAAAGGTCCATCAAACCTCCACTTTGCCTTTGCCTTCCATCCGACACAGCCCAATCGCTCATGGCTCCACCAGTACCCCAGCACAGAGCTCTGGTTTGCTAGTGCTTCCATGTACTCGGAGAAGGCGCTGATGTCCAGCTGTCCTAACCCCGGACTATCGGTACACATAATCGCAGAACTAGCATCGCCACCATTCTGCCGATTGCAGGGAGGTGAGTAAGGACCTGCGAGCTTGCATTCTTTTGTCGGGCATGACTGGGCTGTTTCGGATTGCTTCCAGTCTGCGAAAGCTGACCCATTACCCTTAGCTAGAGCTCCAAAGACATCCGCTACAAATTTGGATTCAGCCAAGGGCTGATATATGGCCATTCGCATGAAGGATATCATGTCGCTCCAAGTAATGACATCGGGGCCGCGAGTCAAGGACGCAGGCACAGGTAGCGGATCAAACCAGATGTCACGTAGCAGTCTGTCGTATGATGCCATGATCGCGTCGGAGCCTCCTTCGACGTACATTGGACAATCCTCAGGACCGGCCTCAGCACAATGCTCGAAGAGCTTCCATAAGATCTTGTCGGTGTCCGGGAGGTTTGTGAACCAAGGGCCATGATGATAGTCCTATCATCATTGGTCAGTCAAGTCGTACATGCTAGCAGCCAGAACTTACATTTGGATCAACAACACCATCCACAGCGATGCGTGCAACGCGATCTGGATACATCGCTGCAAAGGTCTGACCAATAATGGTGCCGTATGAGAAACCCCAATATTGAAGCTTTACGGGTTCTTGTCTTCGCTGTAGTTCTTTCGGCTCGTGTGGTTCTTTGAGCTGCTTGTGAACCCAATCTTGGTGCTTTTCAGCAATTTCTAGCATGTCTCTGATGACGGGGGTTGTGTTCACGTGCTCGCCAACATAGTTAGCTCCCTCTTCAACTGGAATCATTGCCACAGAGCATCCCTCGCCCCTAGCCTTCGACCGATACCAGTGCTTAGTCAAGGCCGTCTCTGAGCTCCCGAGAAGCCCAATGGCATCCTTTCCAAGTTGCCAATTCATTCGTGAATTGGCGTCTGGAAAGCACGATATTGATGGCGTGGTCAATCCAATGCCCCGTGGATCAAAGCTAATGATGTCAAAGTACTTGCCAATCTTTAGATTTGGATCATCACTAGGTCCACCTAGATCCCCCTCTGGATTCACGATAGTCTGGAGTCCACTGCCCGCGGCAAGCACCATGCCTACTCCTGAGCCACCAGGGCCCCCGGGATTGACAAACACAGGACCGCCATACCGAGCATCTGTGACGGGAACGGGAGCAGGCAGACGAATGACAGCAATCTGCATCTTGCTGCCTTTGCCATCTGTGCAATTCCAGTCCATGGGGACCTCTAAACGAGCACATTGATATGTGCTGTTATAGCAATCGTGATATTCTAGATGAGTACTAGGTGTTATCTGTAAACCATATCAGCGCAGCCCCAAAGACACCTGAAATAACAGAAAGTCGAGGACGATTCCACATACACCACTCCATCTGACAGCTGCTTCCTCCGCTTTCTCTGCTTCCTCCACAGCGGCGTCTCCCCCCACACTTACACCCAAAACCCTCCTCCCATCCCAGAAATGCCACCCAAAGAGCAGAAACACAAAACCAAGCATCAGATAAATCGTGCTAGACGGCTTCCGTTGCTTCTTCGCCAGCAGCGCATCTGGCGTGATATATTCTTTCCCATTATCAAGCCCAGCGAGCCCAACCTTACTGTCACTGCTCCACTGCATATTGGATGAGATCCCCAATCCTGCAAATTTCCACGCGACGGGTATCGCGCCGTCCCTAATAGCTCCGAAGGTCCCACTCTCTTTCGGTATTAAAATCAGGCTCAAATCCCAGCGAAGCAACGTGAACAACGAGCGAGTAACAATGAACCAGCAAAACCCCTCCCCCGACTGCAAGCAAAGAGCGCAGCGCAGGCTATGCAAATCACGGCCAAAAACAGAACGTGTAGATAGTGGCTAGAATCTGACAATACTTGCGGCACAATCAAAACAGAATCCCCAAAGGTGAGTTGACGATCCTGCACTGCACTGAGTGCAGCTGCAGATGGATGAACCTGGACGATGGAAGCTTGCCCAGCTGCCGACATGAAGATACCTGGCGCATCCTGGCTTTTTATCTTACGGATGGACCGCTGGCATGGTTTGGAGGGGGGCCTTTCCGCTCCCGCTTCCGGGGGGTGACATCGCATTGCCAGCCAGCCACCCGCACGGGGTGATTATGCAGACCGGCGGCGGCGCATTGGACGTGCGTCTGGCGAGCCAATCATAACATTCGGGTTTATCAGATCCGACGATCGTGTGTGCTAATAGTCGGTCTGTTGCAGACGGGCGAGCAGATGTACGGTGCAGATAGTTGGTGGATGAGCGGTGGACAGCTTTTGTTGGACTTGTGCTGCTGTTGGCGCGGTGCTAATTATGTGCGGCCGAGTGTGTTTGGTAAGTGGGGTCTTGGGTTTACGGCTGGATCCATGATGCTTGAATATTTTTTTTCTTGCGCTGGATGGTCTGGAAGCGTATGACAGCACTGAGTTGACGTTTTGAGTAGTGTTTATAGTGATCATCATTTGGGAGGCTATGCTATTTTTATGCTATGCTAATGCGCTCATATCTCTCTCTACACATCATTGCGTTCTTCATCCGGCTTTGATTCAGGCGTCTTGGCAGCAACTTCATCAGGAGCCAGTGTTTGTTCGTCCCTATAGTCCTGTCAATTTGAGCAGAGCGAATTGCCAGCGAAACCTACTTTAACTTGTGATCCTTCATCAGCAACGTCAAAAGCACAGTCGGCGCTGAGCACCCCAGCGCCGCCAGCGTTATACTCCGTATCACATCAGAATACTATTCTCATCAGTCCATCATCCCCTCCTATCAGGTCTTTCTTTGACTCACCGCAGCATTCACTGCCGCTCTCTCCACGGTCCCCCATGCCGGCAACAATGCAGTTGTGATACTCTCAAAGACCGCCCTCACTGTCTCCTCACTCGCCCCCGTGCCCAGATGCGTCCTCAACCTACTTTCAAAGGTACTCGTATATATGCCGCCCGCAATCGCACTCCCGACACCCCCGCCTAGGAACGAACAGAGGAGAATGACGGCTGTGATTTGTGCCAGCTCGGCATGCGGGACCATGATTTGCGCCGCAGTGATGCACACGATCTGAATCACACCACTGCCGATACCTTGCACGCACTGCACAAGCCACACTTCTGCATCGGAGTTGCTGGATCCCCGGAGGCGTACCATGAGGCCGTATCCTGGAGGGACTGATTAGTCGTAGGCTGAGTAAAGGCAGTGGGCGAGTTCAGAGGCACACGAACCGATTAGACGAATTACAGTGGAGGAAAACAACAGCCATTTGAACCGCCTTGTACGTGCAATGACGAGGCCGGCGATAAGGGCGATGAACACCTGGACCGTGCCGTTCTGTGAGCGTAAGCTTGTTGGTGGTCTACGTCTCCTGTGGAAGCAAACTTACCAAGTAGAGGAAGTACGTCGAAGTGGTGATTTTGTAACCTCGTGATATGGTCGCCCAGGAGTATAGATAAACATGAGTACACTGAAATGCTAGCGTGTCCAGGAATATGGTCGCTGCCGCGATTACGATGGTTGCGTTTCTGAGATACCTCGGCGGCAAGACGGGATGCGTGGCGACGTAATGCTCATACAGCATCAGTCCGACTAGTAGTATTGCCCCAACAGCCATCAGCGCCGGGATCCAGGGCGTGCCCCAATTATCCGGACTCGTGCTCGTGAGAGAGATTGGCAGAAAGAGCAATGCAAAGCCGACGCAAAGCAACAGCAAACCACCTGCATCAATCAGGCTGAAGAACTTCATGAATCCAATCTTCTGTGTCAAGACGACCTCAGACTTGCGAGCCCGTGTCTGGTAGACGAACAAACTGATGACCAGCAAACTTGCTGCTGCAGGCATTAAGAAGCCGTACATGCCAATGCCCCAGCGCCAGCCGATAGCATGGACGACGGAGTCGCAAATCAGGCCAGCGACGAAAGGGATGACAAGAAAGGGGAAGAAAGAGATGGAGAGGGCGAAAGACCGCCACCGCGTGCTCGAAAGGTCAGAGAGGACGATGTCATTGAGGACGTTGGTGCCTGTCTGGCCGATTGCGTAGAAGATGATGCCTTCGAGTATGTCAGAACAAGAATATCGAAACACAATACGATGAGGTTACCTCCAGCATATGTGCCAAAGTTTCGAGATGCAGAACAAAGGATGTAGCCCAGGATGTAGCAGCTGATGGTGATACAATACGTCTGCGCTCGACCAATTACATCTGATATCTTCGCTACGGGAGGCTTCGCCACAGCAGCAACTATGACCCCTGCTGTACTCAGAGTGGCCTTTTGTGATAATGCATTGAACTCGCTAGGTGCGTAGTTCTGGTACACATAAACAGTCGTGTTGTCAAGTTCACTTATGCCAATGATCAGTTCGCGCCCAGCTAGAACTCAGATATCGCTACCACTTACTACATAATCATTATCAAAGCAATGCTAACCTTTGAGTCAGTGAATGATGAGAAGATCAGAGTGTCAACTTGCCCTAGCCATATCACATATTTACCCTTCTTCTCCAGGAGAAGCTTCGCAGCTTTAGCCTGAGCAACCCCAGCTGGAACATTGCCAGTAGCTGAAGATGGCCTCCGTAACTTGTCCATATCCTTGACACCGATGCTTGCTTTGGCCATTGTCTTCGGATTGTTGCTGTTTGTGATTGCTGAATCGTTACTTTCAAGATACATGATGACAACTATAGTTTCACGCGATCTTTGATCAGACCACCAAAATGGATAGCCGCTAATACACTGTCCTACGATTAAGCTCTGACGCACAGATAATATTGGTCTTCGCAGAGAACAAGATCTAGGTGGTAGCTTCGGCGACCATAATTTCAACAAGTCAATTCCTAGATTCAACCCACAGAACAAGGGACAGGATGGTCTAAAATATTATGAACCTTATTAGAGCTGTTGGACCAGCCCCCGCACCCTAAGCCAAAAGATGCGCATCCACAGCTTGTACTTGGGTGGCACTAGCTGGGTTTTCACTCTATTTCAGACCGTCATCGTCTCAGGTGACATGACGTTCCGATAAGCATGGTCAGGGATCCCGACCATCTGGCCTTTTCTATATGAAAGAGTCAACGCTGGCTGCAGACAATTCCTTCGAACTCGACCATGCGTGAGTCGTTACTATGCGATATTGAGACATCTTATCAGCAACAAAAAAGTCAAGCTGCACCTGCAAAGGAGCTAGATCCTCTTGATCTTCCTGCTGCTAAGATAACTGTCACCTCCATCAATGAGGACGAGTTAAAGGCCTTTATCTTACAAGCTCCGCTAAAATACATGGAAGGTACCGCTCTACAATGATGGATGAGACCTGAGCAACGTCAAGAATGGCCATGCTGTTCTTTCATGGCTATTGAGGTGTTGGGTATACCAGGCCTCTCAGATGAGCCAGGGCGCGTGCTTTAGGCTTTAGCGGTGGTAGACGCACTTGCAGGTGGGATAGAGGAAGTCTTAGCGCTCAATTAATTGAAAGAGCTGAGTTCCTGAAGGGACTCATGCGATCGTGGCTTCTAGATGGGAGAGTTTAAGCAGAGGCAGGGCCCTCTGATTGATCAAAGGTCAGTCAAAAATACCTTCAGATGCGTCGTATACTTTTCTAACTAAACAAGTTGTCGATTGTCGATCCTCGTGCCGATATTTGATATTTTAATGTTGTCGATACTCAATTGTCGCTATGCGGGCTCATATCGACAATTGAGTATTGAGTACAGCCCTGTGAACTGGTCTAACTTCAATCAACACTCGATCCTAACACTATCTCGTCCAACAGCTCATCGCAATCGCCGCAACTTCTTTTGCTCTCGAGACAGGAGCTTCGTGCCCACCCTTGATAGTATGGAATTCAACGTCGGCGGCCCCAAAGAATTCCCGCGAATCTTCGATAAACTCGTCCTTCACCACGATGACATCGCTGTCGGGTAGAATGACACAAATCCTGCCACCGGTCAATCCTGGCGGAGCATTGACGGCTTTCCGTTGCCTCAACTCCGCAGCTAGAAGTCTCCATATTCTATCGTGACGTCGATAGACTAGCGCGCTGCGTATGGTGCTCAGATACGAGTTCACAAATCCTTGATTTGCACCCAGCTGCCAGCGTATTACGTCACCAATGGTCACATTTGGCTTGGTTGCAGCGATGGAGACGTTGTCGAATTCCACGTCAGCGTGTCTGTCTTGGTCTGGAACGTCGGCGGACGGGGCGCCATTGCGCGGCTCTAGACTTTCACGGATATATCGCAGTCGGAGTACATCAGGTATCAACCCTGAAGAGTAAAGGAATCGACTCCGAGTGCTGATGTGCGATGTGCGAATTAAACCTCCCGGGGCGATCAAAGTGAGAGATCGTAGCATCGATGCGTGGTAGGCAGCGAAGGCGACAGAGATAGAACCGCCAAGAGAAAAGCCAACGAGGTGAAAAGCGGCGATGCCTGACCATGGTAATGGGGAGGAGGCTAGTACTAGGAGTATTTGAGTCGTGTAAAGACGGGCGTCGTGCTTGAGGTCGTTTGGGGCATCAGAATATCCACGTCCAAATAGATCTGTTGGTAACGGTTAATCGCTGCATCGTCCCTGTTTTTGAGAGGAAAGGAATACCAAACATCATGACCCTATATCCTTTACTGACAAATTCTCTAGCCATATCGCCCATTGCAATACAAGGCGTCCCCAGACCATGCACTAAAAGTATCTTCTCGCCGTCTTCGGGACCCCATTCGAAGACTTGAATCGTGCCATAGATGGTTTTCACTTGTTGTCGCCCCGGAAACTCATCCATATCATACGGCAGGGCCGCATCATTGCCTCTTCGCTTCGGAGACGCTTCAATCCTCGCTCTAGCAACCGTCGCCGTGTCTTCCTCGGGAGAATGCTGCACAGTCCTCAGTAACGGCCAAAGCTGTAGAATGACTCTCGCGCAGAGCGCAACGAAGAGCAGGGTCCACACAGAATTGCGTGAAGAGTCTACGGGGCTGCTCATCGTGCAGTTGAATGTCGGTTACCGGGTACTCGACTGCATTGCTACGCCGAAGTGTAAAATCATTTCCTCGTGCCAGGGGCGCCATGATCAGACTCCGATGCACAACTATACCGCCCTGGGATGTCGTCAGCGCTGAATTGAGTGGGAGATAAAAATGGGTCGCTTGCCCGAGCCTCATGGCCTGCCGACTCCGATGATGGCCCATGCCGGAGAGTTCTGTGATAGTCCGGATCCACTTGAAATCCTCCGAGCCGGGCGGACCATCCGGACGGACAGCCGCGCGTTCGAAGTCAGCAAGTCTAGCCTTTTCTGTCCATATGGTCCAAATGACACAGTTGTCGTGGACGGTATGTGTCTAAGGGCCACACTTCCAAAAGTCAAAAGTCAGAAGTCAAGTCTTAAATCCTGCTTAGTCCACGTTGCAATCAGTCAAAATGAGTCAAAATCACGTATATTGAGTGTTGTTTCGAGGCACACACCGGGACTCAAGACTGAAATTCTTACTTTTGACTTTTGAATCTTGACTTTTGGAAGTGTGGCCCTCGGACACATACCGTCCACGGTATACAGTTCGACCGTATGTGTCCGAGGGCCACACTTCTAAAAGTCAAGGGGATCCTAGATTACTGATTGTCGATTAGATTCCTATTACTCATCATTTTAGAGAAAGGTAGGGAGACGCTTGGTCTTGATGCAGCTCATTGAGTTGACCTGCAGCTACTATTCACTAAGTCAGTGTAATGTATCTAGAATGTAGCGCTATCACGTAGGGAGATATTCAACACCTCGAAGAAAGTCTAACCTCTAGTAGCTACACGATGACCGTTTATAATGGCAATGACAGGTGCTGGGAACGAATTCGCGGCAAATAACGATAGGCGAAATCTTTCAAACCCTACTCTACAAGTACGCCTGATGTTCGATGAAGTCATACAGTCGTACATTTTCAACTACGACAGTTACTTTGCCTTCTCCAGTGCCTTGTGTTTCCCATTGCTCAACTCGAAGTACTCCCGTATTCTCGTCCGGGCGACATTCACAGTGTTGACGTCTTCGATCGTACTCGGAATTCCTACCTCCTTCTCAAAATCATTATTAACTCCATTCTCAAGCAACTCTCTGAGTACCCGCCGCAGAATCTTTCCACTTCTTGTCTTGGGGATAGTTCCGGAGCCTTGAATGATGCCGCCAAGTGAAGCAAAGGCCCCAACTTGTTCGCGCACCAATTTTTGTATCTCTCGGTAGATTTCAGAAGGTGGAATGGGCGACGAGTGGTATGACGAGGTAGAGAGCGTGATGAAGGCGAATGGCAATTGCCCTTTCAATGCGTCAGGAATACCCACAACGCAGGCCTCAATAACTAGCGGATGAGATATCACAGCCTGCTCGATGGAACCTGCTCAATTCGTGTTAGCAGATTTGGTTGCCTTGCCTGGAGGATTGTCCTTGATCACGAGTGACGCTGGAGAAGGACTTACCACTGCTCAATCTGTACGCGCTTACATTAAGCACATCATCGTTTCTGCCCATCACCCACACATACCCATCCTTATCAATCCAACCATTATCTCCGGTGTCCATCCATCGTCCGTTGAACCTTTCTAAGTAGCTTCTATAAAATCTTTCGTCGTTATTCCATAAATTGTGAAAAGCAGTAGGCGCGAGTGGTAACCCCAGAACAACGTTACCCATAGCACCCCTCTCAATCTCTTCGCCTGCATCATCTACTACCCGAACATCGAACCCGGGCATTGGTTTACCAGCGCTACCCGGTTTGCTGGACACGAGTGCATAAGATGAGGGATCCATCTCCGGCAATTCGAGCGCAAGATTGGGCATCAATGCGCCGCCGGTGATGGGACTGCCAACTTCTGTTGACCACCAATTGTCGATGCATCTGGCGTTGGGTGCCGCATGCTTCTCCAGTAAATGTTGGTAAGTCTCAATCAGACTCGGCTCGCTCCTCTCACCCGCCAGGAAAAGAGCGCGCAGCTGTTTCAGTCCACCCATCTTGCCGATGTGCTCAAGCATAGTATTCTCCGGATCATCGTTTCGTATTGCTCGAAGCGCAGTGGGCGCCGTAAACATCGTAGTTACACCATACTCCTTCACGACCCTCCAAAACGCGCTCGCATCTGGGGTACCTACGGGTTTACCTTCGTACAGCACTGTCGATGCACCCGCAAGCAGAGGCGCGTAGCAAATATAAGAATGCCCGACCACCCATCCGATATCCGATGCGGTGAAAATGACGTCGCCTGGACCCTGAATGTTGAACACAGAAGCAATCGATAGCGAAAGTCCAACGGCGTGGCCTCCTGCGTCTCGTAAGACACCCTTGGGAGTGCCTGTCGTGCCGGAAGTATACAGGATATACACAGGTTCAGATGAACCAATGGGCACACATGCGGCCTTCAACCGATCGTTCTTTGCCCTTTGAACGACGTTTTGCCAGACTGATTGTTTTGTGGATGTCTGCAGGCCGATGATCCGTCGGAAAAATGACCATACGCGCGACCACCATGGCTTCGTGGTCCAGCGGAGTTGTGGGCGTTGCCAGATCCATACGTTCTCTGGTTTGTGAGATGAAAGGCGGATTGCTTTTTCTACCAAAGGCTGGTATGCGATCGCAGGTCGATTGCCGACGATTCCACAGGAGGCAGTAAGAAGAATCTTTGGCCTGCAGTCGTCTATCCGTTGAGCGAGGGCAGTGGGAGCAAAGCCACCGAAGACGACGGAATGTATAGCGCCGAGACGATTTATGGCGAGCATACCGATGATAGATGCAGGAATCATGGGCACTGGACTACCTCGTGAGTGACACTACGCTATCATCTTGGTATTTGACGTACTGTAAAGCATTACCACGTCGCCTCTCCTGATGCCATATCTTCTCAGCGCTCCAGCCAGGGCCTCCACCTCTCTCAGAAGATTGTTGTAAGTGTACTTCTCTTTGACATGGGTGACCGGGCTGTGGTAGTAGATAGCGACAGTATCGCCATTGCCCGCAGCAACATGTCTGTCCACACAATTGTAGCATGTCGATATTTCCCCACCCGAGAACCAGTCCCACGTAGGATGCGAAATGCCATTTTCAAGAGCTTTCCTCCCCTTCTGGAGTGCAACTTTTGGTTTCGTGTGCCAGAACAGCCGATCTGCTTGCGATAACCAAAACTCCTCTGGATTCTGCAAGCTTTCGCGCAGGACGTCGTCTTGGACGATTCTTTCTGGAACGCCAGCCATTTCGACGTGAAAGGCAATATGTCAAGCTATGATGCTATGACGGCACGTAGGCCTTCATCTAAGGCAGAACATGCCGCCAATCATTTCGCCAGTGCACGAAAACCGCGACGAAGCAATGGCCATCGAAAGCCTCCGAGCAGTGAGCGGTACAAGAAGCTAGATACCAATCGGCAATCAGAAGCCTCATGTGCATCCCACTTGGAAGTATATGTTCAGGTTCGGATGCTTTCCACGGAGTGTTTATAACACTAAAGTGGAGCACACGTGACCGTAAAGACCTTTCTCGTAACTGCACCCAGTATGCCTGAGTCTATTACAAGGTAATCTGTTATCAATGAGAACTTCATTGATAAAAGTGGATATGGTTGGTTGGTCGTTTGATTCCTACTTGGTTCAGGCCGCGTTGTCCTCGCTGCTATGCCCGGCAGGAACGACTTGGTGAATAGCCGACGCGTCTTGCGTATGTAAAGCAGTAATTGTACTAAAAGCACCATAGTGCTCGGCTCCTTGAGGCTTTCGCCCTGCATGCTGATCCTTCTACCTAGAGACCCCCCCCGGTGCTTGATTCGACTACTCCTCTCTGACCCGGAACTGCCCAAGGGTCTCCGTTCGTTCTATGAATCTGATAGCTTTGGTGGCTAGCTTGCGCCCGTTCAATCTCGCTCGGCTCGGTGATCTCGTCTCCTGATGCTGGATCGGTGATAGCCGGGGTGGTGTTCGGAGACTGTTCAGTCTCTTGTTCTTGCCCACTTAGCTACCATTTGATTGTGCCGGTTCTTAGTGTGCTTGACATATTGAATTGTTCCATGATATCTAGCAACTCTTCTGTCTCGCGATCTGTCAGAATGGAGTCGGGTCGACACATATGTACAGCAATCAATCCTTTTCTCCTTCTATCTCTTTTAGATTCAACTGGCGTAGAGAATCACGTGGTGCTCTCATACGATCTGTCCGGACTACTCGTGATCCTCCTTATAGCGGATGATGGAGGTTGAGGACACCTAGGTCTATATGTTCTTCCTGATGATGTCCCACCAATGCATTGCGAAGGGTTAGAATGGATATGTGCAAATACGAAACAAAATGCCATTCCGCGATTGCTATCACGTGTTTGACCCTAGCTCTATTTTAACTCTTTCGATTGTTCTTTGACCTAGGCACAGATTTTCGCCGAATACGACTATGCACGAGTATGTTGAAAGATGAGGTTGCAGGAGTAACTCATTGAATTGAATTAGTTGTAAGTCGTTAAGAGAGAGAGACTGCAGAAGCTATTTAAGTGGTTGGCCACTAGTCCCAATCAGGAAGCTGGCCCTCACTATGGAGCCCCTTTTAACACAGTACTTACTCACTTACAATCAATTCATCCAGTCTCTCATGCCTTTTTCCATTAATTTTTCACTAAACCGCTGGTTCTCTTCTAGGTGATGATTGCCAAGGAGGTTGGGATAGAGGCTTTCCAGTACCACCTCTCTCGTTTGCACGCTTGACTCTACTTGAGTTTCGCTGATGGCCACAATCTCCACGATATTGCCATCGCCATACTTGGCCTCTGTCAAGATCTTGAAGATCTCTTCTGCTGCTTGTCCTTGCGTTAAGCCGATACTGCATTGCGTTAGCCAAAATAATCTCCTGAGCGGCGAGAAGAATAACTCACTCGGTTGGAAGCAGCTGGTCTCTGCAATAGTCTTGATCGAACAGTGGAGTCTGGAGTACGTCAGTGTATGCGCACTGGAAAGAGCTGTCCTATGGCACATACTTTCGTTGGGCCAGGACATGCTGCAGCATTTCGGATCCCAAACATCTGCCTTAGAGGGCCAAAGCTCTTGGCTATACTGATGATGGCTGCTTTACTGCTACAATACAGTGGAGTCTGCATCATGTGCACATAGCCAGTCACACTGGCTACCCACATCAGATTTCCTTGAATGTCCCGGTTTTGCAGCCAATAATCCATTGCAATTTGCGACAATCGGATTGGAGCCATGGTATTGATAGCAAACAGCTTGTAGACTCCAGGATTGCAATCGACCGAGTCACTCGCGTGTGGTGAGATACCGGGAGCGTTCCAAAAAGTGCTCCATGGAGGCTCGTAGACCGCTGCTCCGTTGACTACGATGTTGACTTTGCCAAAGGCTGCCACTGAACGGTCAAACAGGCTCTGCAGCTGCGCCCAGTCTGCCAGGTCTGTTTGCAAGAAGATTGCAGATGGTTTACCGGCGTCCGGTGCTGGGTGAGGGTACTTTAAGAGTGTGGCCTCCGCCTCCGGACGCAGTCGCAGATCAACCATAACCACAGAACAACCATTCTGCAACAAGATCTCCGTCAGCGCATGGTTGATACCGGATCCAGCCCCTGTGACAATAGCGACTTTGTCTTCAACATCGTATGCGGTTTGGTGTGGAGCCATTGTAGTGTGTTGAAGTTGTGGCTGTATTGGATTATCGAGAAAGCCTCGGGCGGTCTCAATAAGGCGTGAAGCCACGATCACCCGGCTCTTGTCATTATGCCACGACCGTAGATGCTGCTCGCGTAATTATCAGGGTAGTGGCCCTCCAATTTTCTCAGTTTAACCCCCCGAGGTGGCACTCAATACCCTCCGGGTTCCGAATCACCCAGACAGCGGTGCTCATTCTCACGAAGGGACCGACTGTATCGGAGTGCTTCGTAACCGACTATACCATTATCGTAGCCTGGCGAGCTCCAGAATGCAAATATTGGGTATGCACATTGTCAAACGCCATCTGGTCTTGCGATACGAGGTCGCATTTTCTATCCCTGCCTGTCATTTCCGGGGATAACAAGCATGTTGCGAAACTTCTGCAGCCTGTAGATAGACCAGAACCATTCCAGGAAAGCAATCCCCGACTCAGCTTGCGCACTAAAACTCAACTGCAACCGCATAGAGCTTTGTCTTCATGGCTCAGGCACAACCAGTCCAACCTGTTGTGGACGTCGTCACAAATGCTACCGATCATGGACCTTGTCATGTAGCACAATCTAAAAATGCTTCTGAAGAGGCCGAGAAATTGCAGAAGAAGTATGAGGAGGAACGAAATAAACGACTCCGGTCCGACGGCCTCTCACAGTATCTCAACCTGAGCTCTACAGAGAACCCAAAAATACGCCGCTACCTCGACGATCCTTGGGACGACGGATCTATCTCTTCAATTCCTTTGCAAGATGGTGCTCACACCAAAATTCTTATTGTGGGTGCCGGTTTCGGAGGACTTATGTTTGCTGTTGAGCTCATCCGAGCAGGAATTCCACATGGTGACATTTTGATGGTCGATCAAGCCGCTGGGTTTGGTGGTGCATGGTACTGGAACAGATATGCGGGCTTGATGTGCGATGTCGACAGTACTGTCTATATGCCTCTTTTGGAGGAGACAGGCTACAGAGCAAAACACAAATATGCATATGGTGAGGAGCTGCGCGAGCACGCCGAGAGGATTGCTACCAAGTACAAATTGAGAGATCGTGCCATGTTTCGAAGCGAAGTCCACAGTTCTCAGTGGGATGACACTACGAAAATGTGGAAGCTGAAGCTTACACAGCGCTCTCCCAATTCGAACGACATTTCCGCTGCCGTAAGCGCTGACTTCGTCATATTCGTGCCAGGGCTTTTCACGCGCCCAAAGGTCCCCAATTTGTCGGGTCTAGAAACCTATTCTGGCAAAAGCTTTCTCACCTCGCGTTGGGACTACGAAGTAACAGGCGGAAACCAAGAAAACCCTTCTCTCGAAAACTTACGAGACAAACGGGTCGGCATCATCGGTACTGGCGCCACAGCCTTACAAGCTGTTCCTCATCTCGCAAAATGGAGTAAGCATCTGTATGTCTTCCAACGCACGCCATCTTCCGTGGATGTTCGCCGCCAGAAGACCATCACCGACGCGGAATGGGCAAATGTCACCAAGTCTGGACCTGGATGGCAAGCAGTACGGAGCAGAAATTTTACGTCCTTCACAGCTCGCGTTGAACCGTTGCCAGAAATCGACATGATCTCCGACGGATGGACTGATTTCCCATCGTACCACGTCCTTACTGGTGGTGGGAAGCCCGTGACGTCAGAAATGGTAGCAGCACATATTGCCGACTCACACCGTTTGGATCTTCCGCGCATGGAGAGAATTCGCGCGCGGGTCGATCAAGAAGTCAAGGACCCAGCTGTTGCTGAAAAACTTAAACCCTGGTATGCGGGATGGTGCAAGCGGCCCGGCTTTCACGATGACTATCTTTCGACCTTCAACAAACCCAATGTCGAGCTCATCGACACAGCGGGACGAGGAGTGGATGCTATCACCACGACAGGTGTGCAAGCAAATGGGCAAGTATACGATGTGGATGTCCTCATCTTCTCCACAGGCTTCGAATCTGGCTTCCATTTAGACCCTGGATCTCGATGCGGAATCGAAGTCATCGGGCGGGAAGGGCGACGAATGGCGGATAGATGGGAGAAGGAGGGCACGGCAACACTACACGGTATCATGAGCCGTGGCTTCCCCAACTTATTCTTCACTGGAACACCGCAATCCGGAGTTTCGCCCAACTATACCCCCTCGCTGGAGATCTTTTCGCGGCATACGGCCTACATCATTTCCGAGGTTGAAAAGAAGCGAGCAGTGCTCCCAGAATTGAGAGTCGCGGCAGAGCCTCATGCGGATGCTGAGAAGGCTTGGGTGATGGGCGTGCTTGCCGGGGCATATTCACTGGCTCCACTGGGTCATTGTACACCGTCATATTTCAATGCGGAGAGTGATGTAACAAAGCTACCGATGGAAGAACAAGTCAAAGGTGCTGTAACGGCAGCTTGGCCGGGAGGTATAAATGACTATCTGGATATACTCCAAGCTTGGAGGGAAGCTGGTGATCTTAGTGGACTAAGCATCACACTGACAAGTAAATGAGATGGCGATGGCAACATGCCTTTACATTCCTTGACGTCCTCAATTCTAATTAAAGTACGCATGCAGAATCTCCAATCAGCCCGATGAAGTTGTACGTACTCTTTCCTATAATAGATACGAGCGGCTTCCAGCGAGAACATTGCGTGAGTGCATACTATAAGCATCTCTCGCAAGATGATCATGCAGCCTTGTATCGTAGACTTGCTCTGATATTCCGGCGAGTTTACTTGAACTACCGATCCCTGCCATGCAATGCTTGAAGCCGGAAGTAGAGGAGTGGTACACTTCGGAGGTTAAAACCACTCTCCGTGAAATGCCGCCCTCGGAGAGCAGCAGCACATTCACGTGGATCCGACATAAGAAGCGCCGGACACAGTCGGCCACATCGCAATGAGTAATTTAGCTGAGCGGTCTTCACCTGTTTCATCCCACACCCGATTCCATTCCATCATCTCATTTCATCTCATCCCAAACCTCGTTTTCAACCAAGATGGCCGCATCTGCACCTGCCTCGGGCGTCTCGCGCCACATCACCGTCTACATCAAGCCCGAGCACGCCAGCACGTTTCTCGGAGCATTCAAGACCCTCTTCGACCAAGTAGTCACCAATCCCGAATGCAAGTTATTCGAGGTCTACCGAGATTCCAAGGAGCCCGGTGTCTTTCACTGGGTCGAAGACTGGTAAGCAGGGTCACCGGCGTCGACGACGAATAATCAAATCTTGCGAGATTACTAAAAAAAAAATTATGGCAGGGATGGAACTGCCGAGTGGCTGGCCGCTGCACAGGAGGGCAGTGAGGATTACAAGAAATGGCTGGCGTTTGAGGAGACGCTGTATGCGAAGCCGAGAGAGGAGCGCATTGTGGAGAGGATGGCAGGTGATTTCTTTCACGTGAACAAGGCATGAGTAGAGAAAGAAGAGGAACCAAGACGTTGCGAGATAGTTTGCCATGGCAGGTGTTCCATGCTCAATCCCTTCTATCGCCTAGAGGCCAACTACACATTTTGGCTGCAAAAAATATGTACATCGTGTTTGTCCTTCGTATAGTCATCAAATCTAGTCCAGTTACACATTTCCACCATAAAGAATTCTGTAACCCGTGATTTACCACCGCATAGTCATTGAAATCTTACCCGGGCTGCGGTGAGAATGGTCGTGGGCCGGAGATCGGATGTAATATAAAACCCTCCGAACGGGTGGATAGCGCTCCCGAACCACCTTATGCTCGATTCTGATTGGCTTGCAAATATTCTCAGCAGTCCAAGGATTTGCAGACACTTGGTTGATCAGTTGTCCCTTTGGTAAGATCCAGTCAAGCTAAACTGGCAAGGCGACGTTATTCAGTCAGTCACGAAGTAACAGTCATTCATCACGATGCTCAGCACAATTTTATTAGTCATTGCGAGTATCCTACTCTTCTTCTACTTTTCCTATCGATGGGCATTACCCAGACCTATACCAGGGATTCCGTACAATGCCTCGTCTGCAGGCAAGGTGCTTGGCGATGTGCCGGACCTCCTCAACGAGCTCGCCTTGACCGGCGATATGGTGCAATGGCTCTTGAAGCAGAACTTGAAGACCCAGTCACCGATCAGTCAAATCTTTGTGCAGCCACTGGGGAAACCATATGTGCTGGTGAGCGATTGGCGCGCTGCGCGAGATGTCATGATGCATCGGTCCAAAGAATTCGACCGATCGAGTCTAATCACCAATCTTTTCGAGGGCCTGCTTCGAAGGCAGCAGTTCACGCTGCAAACCGGCGCAGAGTGGAGGGCGCATCGATTCTTGGTGCAGGATACCATGACCCCTGCGTTCTTGAACAAGATGTGCGCACCGGCAATTTATGCCCGCAGTCTGGATATGGTGAAGCTGTGGACGATCAAGGAAAGACTTGCGGGCGGAAGACCATTTAGAGCAACCGACGACATCTTCCATGCAACCTTCGACGCCGTCAACAGCTTTTCCTTTGGCGAGCAGTTCCAGCACAGTTCGACGCGGCCACATATCGAATTACTCGAGAAGGAAGAACCAGAGCGCATCCAGGAGGGCCAGGATATCAATGCCCCGGTTGAATTCCCCAAGGCCCATATCGACCCATCCCTCGATGCCATGCTCGAACTGTCCGAGATAATGGAAGCTGTCAAAAACGCCCCTTCGCCCTCCCTGCAATGGCGCTGGACTAAACTCACGCGTTCGTTCCGCCAGCACACGGCGTTGAAGGATGCATGCCTCCGGACGGAGATCTCCAAAGCCGTGCTCCGGGCCCAGCGGCGCGACGAGCGCGGAACACCAGCAGGACACGAGGAAAAGGTGGAGGAACCCAGCACGAGCACCATCCGCTCTGGTATCGATGTTATCATCGATCGTGAAACACGCGTCGCAGCCAAGGAACAGAGAGCGCCGGACTACACCTCCCAGCCCATCATGGACGAGCTCTTCGGTTTTGTAGTCGCCGGCCATGATACCATGTCCACGACTCTCTGCTGGGCTGTGAAGTTCCTTGCTGACAATCCCGGCACCCAGACCAAGCTACGCCAAGCACTTCGTGTCGCTCATGCAGCGGCAGTGAATGAGTCTCGCGCACCGGCGGCAGAGGAAATTGCCAGCGCCAGGATTCCGTACCTGGAAGCAGTCATGGAAGAAGTGCTCCGGTGCGGCTTGACTGTCCCAATCGGCGATCGGGAGGTGGTCGCGGAGAGCGGAGCTGACCTCCTCGGTTATCGTATCCCAAAAGGCGTGATTGTTTTCTTCTTGCACAACGGTCCGGGTATGCGCATTCCGGAATCCGACGCAAACATTGCAAAGTACGGCACCGAAGCTGGCGCTCTACACGGTGGTAAAAAAGGAGGCATTGCTCCATGGAGCGATGATGATATAACAAACTTCAAGCCAGAGCGGTGGTTATCGGACGATGGTAGCTTTGACGCACAAGCAGGGCCAAGCATGCCTTTTGGGCTGGGCATACGCGCCTGTTTCGGAAAGAGATTGGCATATTTGGAGTTTCGAATTTTGTTGACGATGATGATGTGGCATTTCAGCTTAGGACCGTGTCCGGAGGAGTTGAGTGGATATGCAGGGCAGTTGGCGGTGGTACATAAGCCTAGAGTGTGTTATGTCAGGCTGGAGAGTATCACGAAGTGAGCGATCGGTTCAAAGATCATCTCTCATCATGTCGAGTCAGATTCATCCGTTAGAAAATCGTTTCGTTCGTGAGCTTCATTCTTATATACCCACGATATCATCATGTCTCATTAGTATGACAAGTCTAGGTACTTTGCACCGTCAAAGGTCTTCTTGCCTCCATCACTCTTCCAGATCTCGACTTCACATCCACCCATCAGGACACCCACACGCATTGTAGCAAGCAGGTTGTGAGCGGCATTACTGTGATCGTAGATACCTTTGTTGAACAGAGCCGTAGCGTCTTTGCCAATGGCACTCTTGATCAATGCTTGGCCGCCAGGATGCTCATTGATGAAGCTCGAGACGTCGTGGATGACTCCAGCAATTGAGGTTAGTGCTTTGCCTTCAGACCAAGCTGATTCAACAAAAGCATCCCATGTGTACACCGGTAGTTCATTGAGTGGTGTACCCCAGTCGAGCTTTGCGCGACGGACGTCAAGCTTCTTCTGCATTTGTTGTAATCTGCCCTTTTCCACCTCGTTCGAGCGGAACTGCTTAAGATGACTGGCAAGGCCAAGTTTACCCCAGATCGTGATCATCCTGTGTTTAATCAGTGTAAGTTCCAAACGTAAAGGCTGTGCGATGGGACATACCACTTCGTAGGATCGTACTGGTACCACTCAATCGCATTGCGAAAGTCAGAGGGAAATTCATGGTGATAATTGTGATACCCCTCGCCCAGAGTGACTAATGCAGTAATCCAATTATCGCGTGGTGAGTTGCGGTCGTCAAATGGTTGGTCGCCAAGCCAGTGAGCAAGACTGTTTATGCAGAAGGTCGCTTGCTGTACAAAGCATGCGCGAATGATTCCAGCGTACACCAAACCACCGAGCATGTCTCCCCAGATCCCGCACACCAGAGCAGGGAAAATGAAAGCCATGCTGAGCACGCACACTAGGTAGTGCTTGTGTTGCCACCGGACAATTGGGTCCGAATTCAAATCGACAACGTCAGCTCGGCCAATCTTCTTTGCATCTTGGTTGAGTACCATCCAACCAATGTGAGAATACATAAGACCCTTGCGGACAGAGTAGGGGTCCTTCTCGGTGTCTGTGTAACGGTGGTGTGCTCGGTGGCCGCGTGACCACCAGCGGATTGAGCCTTGAACGGAGCCGGCGCCGACCGCGGCAAGATATATCTGAAGGGGAAGTGAGGCTTTATACGAAGTGTGAGCCCAAAGGCGATGGTAACCTGAAAAGAAATTGTTAATTGACAGCTTGAACGAGAGACGTGCATCTGCGGATTACCAGCTGTGATACCGAGGCCGGTATTGAAATAGTAGAAGACGGCGAAAATAGCCGTGTAGAGCCTCAGAGGTACGAAGAAGGTAGCGATGAATCCATATAACGGGATAAGGACGACAAAAATGACATTCAGCCAATTGATATGCTTATACCAATTGGATCGAGTCCATGGCTCATCGCTGATATGAGGCTTTCGTGTTGCTCCATCGGTTGTAGTTGACAAGACCTTTGAGACTGTCATTATGGGTGATATCAAGAAAGTCGTTGGCGGGAATGAGAAGCGGAGGTGGATATATGGGCGGAGGAGAAGGAAAGAGACAGAATCAAAATGTGAAGCGTTGGAAGGTCATTTACTCACATTTACATATGGCGGAGCATGGGAATTCAAACATGTCGTTGGGGTTGGGGAAGTTGAAAGTGGGGCCCGAGTGTTTCCTTGCAACTTGTGAAGTTGGCTGTGACCGCGGACGTGGTTCTGTTGAAAGTGGAGCCAAGTGGGGCAAAGTGGGGCAAGAGCGGCAATCGATCCGATTCCCACTAAGTCCGACCATAAGGCCTAGTGTCTTGGCTGATTTTACAGTAACAGCAACTAATTACCTGCATCAAACGAATCACATCATAGAAATGCAATTAATCCAACAATGCTCACTAAACCCTATCATAAGGCCATAGTGCCTTAGCTACACCAGACGAACCACATTATAGCATGGTAATCGATCCTTACTAAACCCTATCAGAAGGCCTAGTGTCTTGGTTGACTGATGCTTATTACTGGCTACCTACATTAGACGTACCACCAGTTTTTGCGCGTGGACTTCTCCCGCCTTGAGCATTTCCAGGCCCTGGATGATGCTCTCCCACCTGCCATGTGGCTCGTTGGACAGCTCTCGAGGCGGGTGGCACTTGAGCTGTCCATGATCGACGAGCTGCTGCACTTCGTCCCGCCAGCGTTGTCCAAGCTCCATTTTGGTATGGTCGGCGTCACGATGATAGGCTCCTTGGAGCTGTACCTCAGAGCCAAAGAGGGTATATCCCAGAGGGAAATCAATCTTGACAGCTTTGCGCGTTCTCCACGCGTCGGGAATATGGTCTAGGGCACTGATGCGCGCACCGGCCCGCCCCAGAGCTTCGAAACAGGTCGCTACCGATTCTGGTGACGTAATGCAGTCGATGGCGTATCGTAGGGTGCCCTTCGTCTGCTCCTTGATTGTGTCGCCGCACGAAGGAGCGGTGTAATCGATAGTGCTGACGGCTCCATAGCTTTTTACCAGGGTTGAATTGGCGGGAGAGACTGTCGCAATAGGATCGCATCCGGCACTGCAAAGGAAGAATGTCAGCTCTGTTCTGGCGCTTGTCCATTTTGGGTCTAGCGCGTTGACTCATCATATATCGTACATCGCTTGGAGGTTTCGTTCTCAACCTCGTCTCGCACCTCACCTCCACTTCTTTCATCTCCACCACACCACACACGAAAGCACCAACAGCACCTTACCTCGCTCATTCGATATGGGTAAGAAAGTCTCTGCACATACCTTGCTAGCAGTTGACAAGCCATAGTCCCTGTTGCGGTCGCCCCCCCGGAGACCAGGACCACTGGTCGCTTGCCGTCGGCTCGTAGGTTCATTTCCGCGTTGGATGGACGTCCTGCGAGCTGGAGAGATTTTTCAATTGCCAACGCCACTGTCCCCCATCCAACGCCTCCTAGTGCTGCAGCTTCTTTGTCGCTCCAGGTGTCGGGAACTTTGATGAGCAACCGGCTGTCTGCGACAAGGAACTCGGCGAATGAACCAATGTCGGGGTTCCCAGGGTTAGATCCGTGAACGAAACCGCATACGCGCTGCCCAACTTGCAACCCTTCAGTGGAGGATCCGGTCGAGACAACTGTCCCCGTGAAGTCGCAGCCGATGATAGCGCCAGGCTTCGGATTGGATTCTGGAGACTTGAAGTCCGTTGGGTTCAAGGCAACAGCAGCGACCCTGACTAAAACATCATGCGGTTTTCGTATTTGCGGTATAGCATGCGTCTGCGAGACAATTGGCTTCCTCGTACCATCAGAAGACTGGATTAGACACTCCATAATGTGAGCGGCCATTTTGTGCTTTCTTGAGTTCAGTATGGATCAGACTGGCCCTGGTAGCTATAAGAAAGCCAAAAAATCACTTGTCAATCCGAAAGCATGTCGGAGGCACCAAGAAGCAGTACGGTGAATTTCTCTGGTTTCGGAGCCTTTCGCGGGAGCTATCACGTCAATTACATCTCCCGTTCGAACATGTATCCCACTAATAGCTTTCTAGTGTCTTTTACACAGCCTCTCAGCTGACATAATTCCGGCAACAAAAGCTAATGCGTGGTCCTATATCTCCCATCCACATTTAGGTGAGAGTACTGTTGTTAGACATGATTAATAGATATGACTCGGAAACGTGCTATACTATCCTAGCCTCTTCTAATATTCTATTACTTTACTAGACTGTTATTCTGATTCGTTCCTCAAAAGAATGGAGGTTGTAATGGTCACCCTCCATTACGCTTATGTTACCGGAATTATGTCGGCTGATAGCGCAGCCTTATTATGCCTTGGATTACTATATAGACTAGTGCTAAATCGTAGTTGTAGGATCTGTTTCCTGGTCCCTGTGTGGGACTTTTTTTTCGAGACTCGGTCCTCTTGGTATAATTGGTTGGTGCATGGAGCTCGGCCTCTTACAGAGGAATATATAAGGAGCGGTCTCTCCATGTATTTGGTTCTCGCTCTATCTAGTCTTTACCTTAAGAACTATAATCTATCTTCTCTATTATATGATAGTCTATGTTAGTATATATTCCATTACTAAGGAATATTATCCACCCCTTTACCTGTCCTTTTTACATCCTCTATATATATGTAAGACTTCATACAAGCCCTCCGATGGCCTGCCCATACCTCCATCTTAATGTATCAATCGATTGATCTAACGACTGAACTTACTATCATTAGAATATCAAAGGGTCTTCACATTTGTCTACACAAGGGTGACTTCGCTTTTCAGCATGCCTAGCGGCCAGATCGCCAAAAGGTCCGCTTGTGACCGCTGTCGAGATCTCAAACTGCGCTGCACCCGAGAGCAAACTGCGGATGAACATGTTCCATGTGATCGGTGCACCAGGTTCGATGCGCTTTGCATTACGGGTAGTGGTCGGCGATTAGGGAGACCATCGGTGGAGAACAACGATACTCGACCCATCCGAAGGAATTCTTCAAATCATCAACATCGCAACGACCGCAATTCGTGGCAGAGGTTGAATCATCGACCTTTGACGACGAACAATACTCTAGGTCCTCCCAGGCCAGACAACCCTAAGAACGACAACCTTTACAGACTTGCAGACTCGGACTTCTTTTCAGACCCGAATCTCGATCCTATGTTGTATGAGTCTGACTTCTTGGGGGGTTCTTCCAGTGCAACTCCAGCCAATAACGCAAATGGAAACGGCCAACTGCCAATGACCCTCGGTATTGATACATCAGATTTACCAGACTTGGATGTCGACAGTCCATGTGACATGACTGCCCTGAGTTCATCCACTATGCCAGCGCTGGCGAATCCTAACAAGAGGCCTGCTTCACGGAATGATTCTGGTATTGTCCTTAATCAATCTGCAGAGGCCGACTCTTCATCCCTAGCAGGAGTTATCAGTGACACTTCGCGTCAGTTATTTGAGCTGAGAAGCAAGGCGCAGCATCACTCACTCGAGACAATGCTGGATCAACGCAGCGTTAGTTCAGATATAAATGCCGTATCTCGACAGCTATCCGACCTAAGAAACCGAGCTAGCGAGTCATCGATTGATTCAATTATGACCTCAGCAGGCATAGCACACGACTTTGCGAGATTCAATGACCCCATCAAGACAGGACCTCTCGAGAGCATGCTCTCGACGTCCATGCGTTTCATCCTTGTCTTGCAAATGCTTGCACCCGCGGAGTACGACACGGGTAGCACATCACGTCCAAGAACGAGCAGCAACTCCACAGCTCTAGACACCATGCTTATGCTCCTCTCGATATACGTACGCCTTGGCCAGTCCTTCGAGCATGTCCTTAACGGGGTGGTGCAGAACCGCAACTTTATTTCGTCAGGCTCCCAGCCTTCTTCGCCGGCTTCAACGTACAATCAGCAGTATTCAGCACAGTTGATGATGGTAGTCCGTGCTTTAGGACATCAACTGTCCACCGTGGAACGACTGATGGGTATTCCCGCGAGAGTTAGACTCTGGGGACCGAAAGATGACTATCCGGGTATCTTGAATCAAGACCAGTCATTTTTGACCAAGGCGGCGATCTCCCAAGCCCAAGAAACGTTTTATTCGTTACGAAGAACTATGCATGATATCGAAATTTCTTGTACATGAGCAAGGGAGGCAAATCGGACACCAGATTTTTGTTTGTAACATTCCTGATCGCCACAGCTCAAGACAAATCCAATGCATATCAACGTGTTTGAACAAAAGTTTGGCTTAGATCTCAGTGACTTTCGAAAAGCCCTAGCCAGAATGCCAAATGTACACTGCAGTAAGTCAATGTCAGGACTGGGTTTTGGATTGATTACCTATGATTCACACCCAGGACAAGTCATTCCACTTGGAGGAGACTCCTCCCTGCGTCAATTGCCAGTCACGAATGACTCGATTGTCTAAAACCTCCACGTTCGCACGCCATTCGACCCCACTAAGTGACGTAGAAACAAAACCAGGTGTGGTTTATACCTCCTTCTAAAACATGATTTATGGACCCCTGCGTGAAGCCCGGCCGAAGTGTCAGCTAGAATTTTTCAGCTTCAGCGCGGATGGCTGCGACCGATGAATGGTTGTGGAGATCACGCGCGTAGATTACAGATCTCTAACCCTGCACGCACGAGGGCCTCAGAATTGCTTTTTATCCATTTTGAAAACTCTGAGTCGGACGGTTTGCTTGGAAATTTGTGTAAATCCTCCGACAGGCCTCGGGTAGGGACATCGGAGGGTTTGCGCATAACGGCTGTCACGATTCCGGTAGCTTTTAATACGGTATCGGATCTATCTGAACGGGGCATTCCCAGCGCAGAATCTTCTCCTTGCCCGTGGTTCGCCCTGATGCAACGGGTCGGATAACAAGGCTTTCTAAACTAAAGCACTAAACAGTTAAGGGACTGACATGGTCTCTATTGCACCACCGCCACCAATCTTCGACGAATATACTATGGGATCTCTGTTATATCATCCTAATTACTTAGATCTTATTAAGCCCTAGGGTTATATACATAGAGTATAGCTAGATTAGATAGGAACGCTAATTACTCTTCCATACACACCAACATGCCTCACCAAACTTCAACACCAGCGAAGGGAGTACCAGAACCAATCGCAATTATTGGTAGCGGTTGCAGATTTCCTGGCGGCGCCTCTTCTCCCTCCAAACTATGGGATCTCCTACGTGAGCCGCGTGACGTACTGAACGAGATCCCTCCCTCTCGATTCGACACTAAAGGCTTCTATCACCCAAACTCGAACTTCCCAGGTCACGCAAACGTCAGACATTCGTATCTCCTTGAGGAGAATGTCGCGGATTTTGATGCTCAGTTCTTTGGCTTTAAACAGGCGGAAGCCTCAGCTATGGACCCGCAACAGCGGATTCTGCTTGAGGTCGTGTATGAGGCCCTTGAGGCATCAGGTTTAACGATTCAAGGTCTGAAAGGCTCTCAGACCGGTGTCTACTGTGGAATGATGTACGGTGACTACGAATCCCTCCAATATCGGGATCTACAGAGTGTACCTACATATCATGGACTCGGTAAGTTGTAGTTCAACCCTTAAATTCGTGACCCAGAACAATGCTAAGGGAGAATCTATCAGGAATTGCGAGAAGTATTGTGTCAAACAGAGTCTCATACTTTTTCGATTGGCATGGTCCGTCGTGGACTGTGGACACTGCGTGCTCCTCTAGTCTGGTCGCTCTGCACTCAGCAGTACAGGCGCTGAGATCTGGAGAGGTGCCCATGGCTGTTGCGGCCGGTACCAATCTTTTACTGGGCCCAGAGCCTTACATTTACGAAAGTAATCTGCAGATGCTGTCACCTGATGGCCGGTCTCGTATGTGGGATCAGGATGCTAACGGGTACGCTCGCGGTGACGGTGTTGCCTGCATAGTCGTCAAGACGCTGAGCCAAGCGTTGGCAGATGGTGATCACATCGAGGCTATCATACGTGAGACGGGCGTTAACAGTGATGGGCGCAGTCCAGGCATTACAATGCCAACGATGAAGGCGCAAGTCGCACTCATCAAAGAAACGTATGCCCGAGCCGGGCTTGACATAACTTCCGCGAAGGACAGATGTCAATTCTTCGAGGCCCACGGTACTGGAACTCCTGCAGGGGACCCTGTAAGTAGCCGTAGTCAATTGTGCCTATCTGTCGAACGAGGGATTACTGATAAGTTATAGATCGAAGCCGAAGCTGTCCACACAGCATTCTTCGGCCATCTACCTGTGTTAAAAGACAACGAAACGACAGAAGACCAGAAAGAGAGCCTCCTAGTAGGATCGATCAAAACTGTGATCGGGCACACCGAGAGTACAGCTGGAATTGCTGGTATCCTTAAAGCGGTACAAGCCATTAAGCATGGCTATGTGCCCCCGAATATGCATTTCAAGAATTTGAGCTCCCGGGTAGCTCCGTTCTACAATAACCTTCAGATCCCTACCGAATTAACTCCTTGGCCGCAGCTGGAAGAAGGTCTGCCGCGCAGAGTATCAGTCAACTCTTTTGGGTTTGGAGGGACTAACGCTCATGTCATTCTCGAAAGCTTCGATCGTAGTGCGGTTGCTATCCAGAAGCGCCCATTGTTCTCGCCCTTTGTGTTCTCAGCACAGTCAAAGCAGGCACTTGCTGGAAACTTTTCATCTTATATGAATTATCTCGACCAACATCCTGATGTAGACGCGTCAGACCTAGCTTGGATGCTCCGTTCCAGACGATCACACTTACCTCTACGAGTGTCCTTCCCAGCCTCATCGACAGCGCAGTTACAGGCCACTCTAGAGAAACTGACGGCGAACTTTCAGCTGGAACCCAAGACAACACCTGTTAATCGCCAGACAAAACTCCTCGGTATATTTACTGGTCAAGGTGCTCAATGGCCGCGTATGGGAGCGCAGTTGATCGAACAGTCTCAACACGCTTCCAACATCCTCGCTGAGCTTGATCAGGCACTTGCGGAGCTTCCCTTGCACCGCCCTACGTGGACATTGCGCGAAGAGATCCTCGCCGATGCCGCATCAAGCAACGTCATGAAAGCTAGCGTTTCGCAGCCTCTTTGCAATGCAGTTCAAATTCTCCTTGTCGATCTGCTCAAACTCGCTGGGATCGAGTTCTCTGTCATAGTGGGACACTCTGGAGGAGAGATCGCTTGCGCCTACGCCGCTGGAAAACTCTCAGCGCGCGACGCCATTCGCATCGCCTACTATCGCGGCCTTCACTCCAATCTCGCATGTGGCCAAAATGGTGTCCAGGGTGCTATGATTGCGGTGGGTACAACTCTTGAGGATGCAGAGGAGCTTTGCAGTGATGAAGTTTTCGAAGGAAGAATTAAACTAGCCGCTTGCAATTCTCCGTCGAGCATGACCCTCTCTGGTGATGAGGATGCCATTGACGAAGCTATTGAAGTTCTGAAAGACGAAAAGAAATTTGTGCGGAAGCTTCGAGTGGACAAAGGCTATCATTCGCACCACATGATCCCATGTGCAGAAGAGTATCTGAAGTCAATGAAGAGTATCTCCATTGACCAGACTCGCAATACCAATGCAGGTTGCACATGGGTGTCAAGTGTGTTCCCCGACCAGCCTTGGGAGGAGATGGGTAAGATCGACAATCAATATTGGGTGGACAATCTTCTGTCTCCAGTTTTGTTTAAGCAGGCTATCGAGCGAGCGGCATCTTTGGGACCATTCGATGCTGCTATCGAAATCGGTCCCCACCCATCTCTGAAAGGCCCTGTACGAGAAACGTTACAGGATTTGAAGGTTGAAATAGCATATACTGGTACGCTTAAGCGAGGCGAGAGTGACATTGCTAGCACGTCCGAAACTCTTGGTTACCTCTGGACCCAGCTGGATCATCTGGACATTGATTTCGACCGATACGAGAGCACTTTGACTGGGGGAACATCGCACGACTTTCTTTCAGACTTACCCCTATACCAGTGGAATCACACCCAGTCTTACTGGCACGAGTCCAACCAGTCCAAGAACCTACGCCGACGAAGTGAGCCCGTTCATCCGCTCTTGGGTGATCTCCTACAGAACAGCACCGCAAACAACCTCACGTGGAAGAATTTTCTCCGGCCACAAGATCTGCCATGGATCCATGAGCATCAGATCCAAGGGCAAAGCGTGTTCCCTGCCGCCGGATATGCTTCTACAGCTATCGACTCGGCCAGATATGTCGTACCTAACCAATCTATCAAGGTGATCGAATTGGAGGGTCTGACTATCCATCAAGCCATGGTTTTCGATTCGAAGAACGAAGAGAGTGGCATCGAAGTCCAGTTCACGGTCTTCAACATTGATCGAGAATCGCAAGACCTTGTCACTGCTCGTTTTACATATGAGTGCTACGACTCAGCTGGTTCTACTGAGTTGGTAGCCAGTGGAAAGCTTATCATTGTCGTTGGTGAGGACAATGCCGTAGCTCTACCAGCCGACAACCCCTTCGAAGCCCACATGCTTGATGTTTCGACTCCCACATTCTACAAGTCTTTGAAGGATGTCGGTTACGATTACACAGGCACCTTTCAAGCATTGGACAATTTGAAGAGAAAGCTCGGGAAAGCCTCTGGATCCTTAGCTATTGCTACTACTCAGTACGAGGGTGGAGCAATCACAATTCACCCGGGTGTCCTTGATGCCTCGTTCCACTCAATCTTGCTAGCATACAGCTATCCTGGGGATGGCCAGCTATGGTCACTGCATCTTCCCACAAGCATTCGCAGAATCCGAGTCGATGTATCAGTTTGCGAAAATGCCTTAGCGAAAGCAAGTCAGGTCTCGTTCGTTGCCACGATCCCTGATGTATCGACGCTGAACCGTGCATCAGGCTTTGGGGGAGATGTTGAGATACACAGTCCAACTGGAGATCATTCTGCTATTCAAGTGGAGGGTCTCCGCGTTGTCCCCATGGCTGAAGCTACATCCGCAGATGACAAGAAGTTGTTCTACTCCACTAAATGGGTTGAAGCTTCACCAACGGCGGAGATTAGCCACGAAGTCTTCCAGGCATCTGACTACGAGATGGAGCTGGCTGAGGTTCTCGAGCGGGGTCATTATTTCTATCTTCGCCAGCTTGAACACCAAATCCCATCAGACCATCCGGGGCGCACTGATGAGTTCAATGCTGCTTACCTGAACTGGGCAACTCACACTCACAAACTTGTCAGCGAGGATCGTCATCCATATGGGAAGCGTGATTGGATCAACGACAATGAGGATCAAATCAACGCTCTTGCTGCACCGTTCTCGGACCGTCCGGAGATCAAGGCGATGAAGGTCGTCGGCGAGCAAATGCCTCGTGCTATTCGTGGCGAGACCTCTATGCTTGAGCATCTTATACCAAACATTCTGACCGATTACTACACTAGAGCACTAGGTTTATCCCAAGTCTCAGTGCTGGCGGAAACTGTTCAGCAGATCGTGCGGAGATATCCACAGGCCAAAATCTTGGAAGTCGGAGCTGGTACTGGAGGCGCAACACGCCAGGTCTTGAAGCACATCGGCAATACGAATGGTGATGAGCTTGCGCAATGGACGTATACGTACACAGATGTGTCTGCCGGTTTCTTCGAAGATGCCCAGGAAGAGTTCCACCTCTTTCTCGATCAGATGTCATTCCGTGTCTTTGATCTTGAGAGGGACGCCGCTACTCAAGGCTTCGAAACAGGATCCTACGATATCGTCGTGGCCTCCTTGGTGTTACACACAACGAAGAGTCTTGAGGAAACATGCCGACGCGTTCGTTCTCTACTCAAACCTGGTGGATTCCTTGTCTTTTATGAGATCACCAACACAGATCTTATCAGACATACTGGTCTCTTTGGTTGCTTGCCCGGCTGGTGGGCTGGTCTTGCAGAGGGCCGCACTTTGATCCCGGCTGTGGATGAGTCTGAATGGGACTCAGTCTTGCGCAAGACCGGATTCTCTGGAGTGGATACAATGAGCCCGCTTCTGAGCCAGAAGGCATTCTGTAATTCAGTCTTGGTTTCTCAGGCTATTGACCATCAAGTCGAAGCGCTTAGAGAGCCTCTAATGGCACAGCCATCCCTGCACGATGAGAAATTGGCACTTGCCAATCTTTACATCGTCGGAGGCTCGACCCTTCGAACATCTCGGCTGATCGAGGAGATTCAGAGATCAATTCACTCGTTCTGCAACCAAATCACCAAAGTGAAGACCTTGGACAGCATGAAGAACTACGAAGTGGTAAAAGAGGACACTGTGCTTGTACTGCAGGATCTTGACCAGCCTGTCTTCAAAGACATCACAACCGGTACGTTCGATGCCGTGAAAGACTTGTTCGGGTCTGAGAAGAACATTGTCTGGGTCACACAGAATCGTCTGACAGACAATCCCTACTCAAATATCCCCGCTGGATTCGCTCGTCCCTCAGTATGGGAGACTCCAGAGCTCCGTTATCAGTTCATCGACTTCCAAAATGTTCAGAAGATCAATGCCCGGGTACTGACCGAAGCTGTCCTTCGCTTCCAGACTCTAGGCTCCGTGCATGAGCCTTCTTTGAAGAACGTGTTATGGTCGGTGGAAACTGAGATTATCATTGATGATCAAGGTCGCGAATGGATCCCACGGTTACAAGCAGCGGAACGTGCTAACAAGCGCTACAACTCCGCTCTTCGACCGACTAGCCATGTTGTCCGACCCCAGAATCAGTCCGTTGCAATCGCTTATATTGACAACACATACAAGCTTGTTGAGGCTCCAGCCAAACCTGCCTCTGGAAAGAGCGAATCGATAGTCTCACTTCAAGTCAGTCACTCGAGCCTTCACGCTATCAGGACCGAAGCCGGGAACGCTTTCGTCGTCATTGGTACCTTAACAACCTCGCCTGGGAAGTTCATTGCTTTGAGCACGGTTCAAGCATCTGTTGTCCATGTCCAAAAAGATACCCTAGTACCCATTACTGATAACATCATGGACGAAGCGCTGCTCACTCAACATGTTGCTGCACAACTTCTCCAAGCACAATTGATCGGCTCTCTTGAAAAAGGGGAAATAGTTCTGGTTCATAATGCGACAACACTGCTTGTGTCGCTGTTGCGTAGTCACGCCGATCGAGCTGGGGCGAAGGTGTTCTTTACTACGACATCACCGGAGCTTGCAAAGTCAAAAGGATATGTGTACTTGGACAAATACCTACGCCAGTCGCAGATCAAGTCCCTGCTTCCTAGTGAAGTCACTCGCTTCATAGATTTCGACACCCTTGAAGGCACTAACAGTCACTCGTCTTCTATATTGACATGGATTCCTCGTCAGATACAGCCCGTTCGCGTCACTGATTACCTTAAAGACGAGGGATCTCCAATATTGGCGGATGATCACACCTTGAATATTCTGTCACAGGCTGTAGAGGACGCTGAACGTAGCATGGCTCTGTTCAAAGACACCATTATCGCAATCAGCGTGGCAGATCTCCCTGAAAGGATAGTTAAGCTCGGTCCCTTGACGATAGTTGATTGGAATGCCACCTCAGTCACACTTTCCGTGCAGACAGTCAAGCCTCGCATTAGACCAGACAGAACCTATTGGATGGTCGGTCTCTCAAGAGACATGGGTCTTTCTCTTGCTGACTATCTGATCGATAACGGCGCGAAACATTTGGTCATCACCAGTAGAAGCCCTCACGTCGACCCGACATGGCTCGCGAATGCAGAGCGTAAAGGAGCGAACGTCCGTATTATCAGCTGCGACGTCACCGATTTCAACTCGCTCAAGAACGCATTATCAGACGTTGAACGCTCCATGCCGCCTGTTGCAGGAGTCGCACAGGGGGCTATGGTGCTCCGTGATGTTCTTACACGCGAGATGAAACTAGAAGAGCTGAACGACGTTCTTCGACCCAAGGTGGATGGCAGCCTGAACTTGGACCGTCTCTTCAGCAGCCACAAACTGGATTTCTTTGTCTTCTTCTCCTCCGCGGCAGCCATCACTGGCAACGCAGGTCAAGCAAACTATGCAGCGGCAAACTTTTTCATGATGAGTCTGGCCAAGCAACGCCGTGGTCGTGGACTTCCAGCCTCCGTCATGGATCTTGGTCCTATTCTAGGTACGGGCTATGTCACGCGTGAGATTGCGCACGAGCTTGCTCGACCGCTCCAGGAGCGTGGTCTCATGGCTTTGTCCGAGCGCGACATTCATCAAATCTTCGCCGAAGCTATCAATGCAAGCACAGCTGAAAGTGATGGCGAAGAAGCACATATGACCACAGGCTTGACATCACTTCCGGCCACGGCACCCAATCGTCCTCTTTGGTATAACTATGCTCAATTCGGTTGTTTGACTGTCCGCGACAGCCAGGATTCCTCGCACACCACCGACACTCAAGCTGGACTGTCGATTAAGGACAGATTGGCAGCAGCTAATAGTAGCGAGGACGTAGAGGTAGTGATCAGAGGTGAGGCCATGAAACCTACTTAATAAGAGACTCGGAGCAGTATAGCTAACATCGCCTATAGAATCATTTATCGAGGAAATGAGGAACATGCTTCATCTTTCCGAAGATTATGCCATCACTCCGGCAGTTCGCACCGATGAGCTAGGTCTTGACTCCTTGGTTGCAGTCCGTATTCGGTCTTGGTTCTTGAAGCACTTCCAAGTCAACATTCCCGCGCTCAGAATCATGAAAGGTGCAGCGTTGCAGGAACTCGTTGACTTTGCCGTCACGGGCACTCCTACAGAACTCACTCCCTTGCTAGCACCTCCTGCGCCAAGCGAAGAGCAAATTTCTGCTGAAGACACCACGGTCCCATCGAGCACCCAGGTTTCATCTGGGTCGTCTGGGTCATCCTCGGACGCCGGCGAAACAACGAACACGACGGTGCAGAACTCTGTCGCGGATCTCAAGCTCGAGAAGTCAGGGGAAGATAGTGCACCCCAGCCGGAAGAGCTAAACTTGACAAGGTTCGGACGCCTCTCCTACACCCAATCATCCTTCATGTTTGTTCATGAATTACTGCCAGATAAAACGACTCTAAACAATACAGGGATGGTAGCTCTTAGAGGAGAATTGCGAATGGTCGATCTCGGAAAAGCCGTGCAGGCAATCGGTGAGCGACACGAAATCCTCCGGACATGTATCTGCGTACGTGACGGCCGCCTCGTTCAAGGGGTTGTGGATAAACCAACGTTGAAGTTGGAGTACAAACGTATACGTACACGGCAGGATCTTGACGCTGAGTACGCGGCTCTTAGGAACCATGCGTTTGATCTAGCCAGCGGGCAGAATACTCGGATGATCATCTTTTCGCACTCCGCCCGCGATCACTATTTCGCGTTGTCGACTCATCACATGTTCTTCGATCGTGCGAGCACCGACATCTTCATGGCAGACCTGGAACGAATTTATAATAAGCAAAAGCCAACGGTTGTCTCACCGCTCCAATACTTGGACTTCGCGGAAGACCAGCATACTGAGGCTGTTGAGGGACGTTTTAACAACGCACTTGCATACTGGCGGACGGAGTTCGAGACACTGCCAGAGACACTTCCACTTCATCGCAGCAAGGTTGCTACACGCAGTCCAATGGAACAATACAAGTCATGGACACCCGAGCTCCGTATTGATCCAACATTAGCTGCTAAAGTACGTCAGATCGCGCGCAAGCACCGGTCGACGCCATTTCACTTCCATCTCGCAGCCATACACGTTCTTCTGTTCCGTTGGCTTGGTACTGAAGACGTCTGCATTGGGATGGCTGATGGTGGGCGACGTGATGAGCAGGGCTGGTCAGCTCTGGGGCCCTTCCTGAACATGTTGCCTTTGCGTCTTCGATCATCAGCACAGCAAGTGTTCAGCGACTCAATTGTGCAAGCACGCGACAAGGCTCACTCAGCTCTCAACTCGGCGGTTCCCTGGGAGATGATACTGGATGAGCTCAATGTCGAGCGACCTGCCACACACTCGCCAATCGCGCAAGCGTTCATTAACTACGCGGAGACAAGTGTTGAAAGCGGAAAATCTTTCCTGGGTTGTGACATGAAACTACTTGTGGAGGATCAAGCTGAGATGCCCTACGATTATGCATTTACCATCATCAATAATACTGCCGGCGAAACGCGAATTGTTCTAAATGTGCAAAAATCTCTGTATTCGGAAGACGACGCAACACTGTTAGCTCATGGCTATGAAGACATCATCCGAGAATTTGCAGCCGCACCCGAAAGTGCAGTCGGCAGTACCTTCAAATTTCGGGAGGTAGCTCTGCAGGATGCCATTCGTCTGGGTAGAGGCAAGTAATTGTTAGTTATTCACTAGAATCTTTCACTGACTAGATCAGGACCATCATTCACGTCCAGCTGGCCTCAGACCTTGTCACACCAATTCGATGAGATCTCGCACACCATTCCTGAAAAGGTCGCTGTCACTGATGACGAAGGCCATGCAATGACTTATCCTGAGCTCAGCCGCTGCGTTGACCACATTGCATCCGCACTGCTGGTTCGTAATATCAACCCCGGGGACAGAGTCGCTGTCTTTCAGCACCCGTCTATCTACTGGGCCGCATCTGTGCTTGCAATCCTCAAAGTTGGAGCGGTCTACGTCCCTCTTGACGCTGCCACGCCTGTCGCACGGCTATCCCTCATCGTCAATGACAGCGACCCTGCAGCCATACTGGTCCACGAGCAGACCAAAGAACTGTCAGGATCACTGCGTCCAGCTCAAGAATTACCAATTATCGACGTCTCCAATCTTAATGAAGAGCCGAAAGATGCTCTACCCATCTTAGCCACCCCTGAATCAGCAGCGATCATCCTGTACACAAGCGGCTCAACAGGAACTCCAAAAGGTGTTGTGTTGTCACATGCAAGTCTCAAGCATGAGTTCGACCATTGCGCAGCAACATATGGACTGGGTCCAAGGGACGTCGTCCTTCAACAAAGCGCTTGGAGTTTTGACTTGTCCGTCACTCAACTCTTCATGGCCGTGACGGTCGGGGCTCGATTACATTCAGTATCTCACCTCGTCCGACCTGACGCGCGCCGCATTTCAGATCTCATTCAACAAGAAGGCATTTCTACTACATATGCTACCCCGACCGAATATCGAGGCTGGCTGAGACACCAACAGTCATTGAAAGATGCTCCGTCGTGGAATCTTGCCTTGGTCGCGGGCGAAGCAGTTACCGAACCTCTGCTGGAGATGTTCCGCGACCTTGAACGACCTGATCTACGCCTTTTCAATGTTTACGGACCTACAGAAACATGTTGCGGTTCTACCAAATTTCAACTCGACTACAAAACACGAGCAGTTTATGGAAGTGTTGTACCTGTTGGCCCAGCATCCGCCAATGAATGTTTTTACATCGTCGACGAGGGCCTGAATCTTCAACCAGTGGGCCAAAGTGGTGAGATTCTCATTGGAGGGGTTGGAGTCGCTCTGGAATATCTCAACAATCCTGAACGTACTGCAGCTTCTTTCCTTGAGGATGGATTTTCAACCCACCCTGATGTCTTTGGAGGAAGGAAAACAGCCATGATCTACCGAACTGGAGACGTGGGATTTCTGCAGTCGGATGGTACGCTTGTTCTCAAAGGACGGATCGGCGGCGATACAGAGATCAAATTGAATGGGGTCCGCATTGATCTACAGGACATCGAGCAGACAGTACTTCGTGCTTCTCTGGGCCGGCTATCTGACGCTGTGGCATCCCTCCGCACTACATCAACCGGCGCTGGAAAGTACATGGTTGTGTTCGTTATCTGCTCATCTTCTGTAGATGATGGCGACCGCGATGCATTCGTTGCAAATCTACTGCGCAACCTGCCCCTTCCACGGAACATGCTACCATCGACAATCATCCCAGTGCAAAGTCTTCCTCGGACCCTAGCCGGTAAACTGGATAGGAAGGCTGTAGCCGATATCCAATTCGCGTCACAGTCGAACCACGACGTTACACTCGAAAAGTCAACAATGACTAAGAACGAAGAAAGGTGTCGCGATCTTTGGACCTCCGTCATACCAGGTGATGTGTCAAGTCTTCATAGAATAACCAAAGATTCTGATTTCTTCAGCGTGGGTGGCTCGTCAATGCAACTGATTGAGCTCCAACATAAATTCAGCGAAGAGCTTCAGATCAAAGTTTCACTACTCGAACTCATGAAATCATGTTCTCTGAGAGAAATGGCTCGACTTCTTGGCGGTGAAAGCGTCGATCAAGCGCCAGATACGTCGAGCAACGAGATCGATTGGGACGCTGAGACGAGCCTGGATCCTGGTTTGGATGCTGCGTTTAGCACAGTCACTGAACCACAACTTCATGGGATCCAACCTGTTTCCAACCCGCCAAGTACAATCATCCTCACCGGGGCGACCGGCTTTCTAGGCCAGCATATTCTGCACTCCCTGCTCCAAGATCCCAACATCAACGCCGTGATATGCGTCGCCAACAGATTGTCGCCGGCCCGCAAAGCACTATTTTCCGACCTGAGCGCAACATACCCAAACAAAACCATCGAAGCCCTTGAGGGCGACTTGCGTTCTCCACTCCTCGGCTTGGAATCATCTCTTGCGACCCGCATTTTCGACACCGCCGACGCCGTCATCCATAACGGCGCCGATGTTTCGCATCTGAAGACCTACCCGCTTCTTCGTGCCGCAAACGTCGAGAGTACAAAGATTCTCACACGTTTATGCGCCCCGCGCCGCATTCCACTCCATTACATCTCCACTGCTGGCGTCGTCATGTACAGCGGCACAACCTCCATCGTGCCAACCAGTGTGCGAAATACACCGCCCCCGACGACCGGCACATATGGATATATCGCGAGTAAGTGGGCAAGCGAAGTGTACCTCGAGCGTGCAACCAACGCAGCCATGGCTGCAGGATCCCGCATGCCGGTCTTCATCCATCGCCCAAGTAGCATCCTGCGCCCCGAAGACGAGTCCCTGACAGAGGGCGAAAGTCCGGCGGCAGATGTGCTTCAAAACATGCTATATTACGCGCAACGCGTGCGCGCCGTACCGGATGTACCGAGTTTGAGGAAGGGGTGGGTGGACTTGGTCCGTCCGGAAACTGTTGTAAGAGGGATCATGAGCGCGCTTGTCGACAGTACCGCAGATGAAGAAAAAGGTAGTGTTGGTGGGCTGAGGTATCTGTTTGAGAGTGGGGATGAGGAGATTCGCTTGGACGGGATAAGTGACTGGATTCAGAAGAAAGCAGGGGGAAGCAGAACGGAAGAAGTCGAAGAGATTAGCCTCGGGGAATGGATTCGGAGGGCTGAAGAAGCTGGCTTGAGCGAGGGTATGTCGGCGGTATTCAGAGGCCTAGGCGAGGAGGCAGGACTGAGCTTTCCGCGACTGGCGAAGGCGTGAAGAAGTCCCAGCTTTGATGTCAAAAGTATAACTTGATCCTATCTCTCCTATTTTTTATGAATATTTTTATAAAACTTTTGATTGACTTTACTATACATATATATGTGTTGGGATCCGCCTTATTAAGATAATATATACTACTATATCTAGAACCCTACTGAATGATCCAACCGCTTCTATCTTGATAGTTAGGTTTTATTATCGAGGGGCTATTGATCAGGCGATATAGAAGGGCTAAACTTAGGAGATAAGGATAAGATGCGATAGTGCAGCTATAGACGGCTTTAGTAGATAGACTCTGGTATAGAAAAACGGAGTAAGGTGAACGGCTAACGGTTTTCAGTACTCTTATAACAGTGTCTAGTTATCTAGTTGCAGCGAGAGTGGCACGACGGAGGCCTACGACGACATGATAGTGCTCGCCGTGGTGATCGAAGTTGGGACGCGCGAGGCTCGAGTAAGATAGACACGCTTATGGAACCTCCCTCCTCTGGCTGGCTGAGCTACCAGTATATATGACTTCATATACGCGTCGCTGGTAACGCTACTTTTGCAAAAGCTCACCTTATCGCTTGGTACGCTTCCGACAAGTGGTATGCTAAAACATCTGACTCCTCCTACACCCTGCATGCTGCTGTAGAGGAAAAGCTATCTTTTTGGTGCTGGCTTGGAAACGAAACAAGTCTCTAATAGCACGAAGTCAAGCTTCGATGGACAACTATGGACCAGGTACCACATGATAAAGATAAGAGACACCAACCTGTTTCAACGTCTATGTACACAAGAATGGGAATACTCTTCCGTAGGCCACAAGCGGTTCCGGCCTATACCAGACAATCAACCTGTCATGCAAATACACGACTTACGAGATCAACCGGGGTATCTCAAGGACGATAGAAATCGATGCGATGCTCTATGCCAGTCTCCGGTTGTATTTCCGTAGACAATCGGAATAACTCCTGAAAATGCAACAACCTCTACAAGAACGCCATGTATGATTCAGTAGATATTACTTCAGCACAGCGGACGCTACTAATTCTGCTTTTACTAAGAGGCCTCAATAGGCGACGTATGTAGCAGATTCTCCATAGCCCTTGGAAGGACACCGGTGGGGTGTATTGTATCGTCATTCGAAGAACGTGCACAAGCTGATGGGGGAGTCGCAGGTGTTGTCAACGAATTGTTACGCCTATCCTGTGATGGGACTGATTCCATAGTTTTACTGGTTGCTGGAATTTCTTTCTTTGAATTTGTCTTTTGAGGTTTACTGTTCGCCTTGGATCCTCGTCCTTTTGTTTTTGTGGCGGTGAACACACTTGTAAGCTTCGTCGCTTTGACTGCGATGGCGTTGGTCTTCGGCTTTGGTCCTGGCTTCTTACGCTGCGTAGGCGGCTTTGGAGCCGGACCATTGGAAATAACCAATTGCAGCGACTTCCCTTTGCTCGCGGGATTGAGGACTTTCTGCTTCTTACCCTTCGTCTGCGTGGGCTTCGTGTCCTCGACTCTGACATCTACAGCTGGACGTTCAAATTGTGGACTCTCAATCGGCGGTGTGAGAAGTGCAGATTGATCGAGGATCGCTCTGGCCTTCGTTGGCGAAACAACAAAAACACTGGTATTGGCTTTTGCCTTGGCGACCACCTCTTCCGAAACCGGTACACCGTGCCTATAATCATCTGGGTCTTCGGTCCATTTCCTGAATGCTGCCTGCGCAGCTACCTCATCACAAGGGCCTTTGACGACCAAATCCCAGAGATTCTCTAAATCTTTTCCTGAAGGCTCTGGGTCGTTATTGATCCATATGGTAGTCCCATCTCTCCGATCGCGGACGACATTGCACATCTCACGTGCGATTCTTCTGACACCTGGCACTTTCAGGGTAGTACCAGCGACAATGAGCGCATCCGGTCGGGCACGTAGGTCCGCTTGCGTCACTGATCCAATAGCTTCAGCATCAGGATTATGTTCATTGTATAGTACCATGCGCGGCCGAAGCTTGCCAATGCCATGACTTCGTTTGCCCGCGTGAGAGGTTCGTACACTGTCAATCTCCTCACAGTCTCTACAGAGCGGCGGAATGGCGTCCTTGAAAAGACTTGGTTCAAAATCTGAGACTTTGTGGCACTTTGAACAAACCATGTGATCCAGACCACCATGGACCTGGATAGTCTTTGGCCAGGGCTTGATGAGAGGTACGTTAGTTGCCAAGGGTTCTATTCTTGTGTCAATACCGTCCACGTTCTGGGAGTAAAGCCGCAACAGGCGACCCTCCTGGGCTAGCGTGGCGAGAAGATGGTGGAATGGTGTCGGTTCGGCTTTTTTCGTTTTTTCGGAGAGCTCGCGAACCATGGCGTGAAAGGTGGCGGTGGAACTCTCATCTTGGTATACTGAAGCATCGAACAGTTCTTTGCCAGAAGACTTGAGCCCATGCTTGCCTCGTAACGTCTTGAAAAGGCCTTCGGAAGAGCGAAAATCCGGAACTGGTACGCGTCAGTGAGAGGAGACGGCAAGTGAGAAAGCACTACTTACTTCCGGCAGATACAGAGATGCCAGCGCCTGCAATGACAACAATTTTCCGTTTCTTAGTGAGTACATCGAGAAGCCTGTCAAGCTGTGGTTGGTGGTCTGGGCTCAGCTGCGGCGTAGACAGATCGAGGTACTCGGTTGTTCGGGGCTTTGGCTCAGAGATCTTGCGCTTCTTCTTGGGACGATCGTCTCCGTCAGAGGTACTGGAACGACTTTCAGGAGAAGGAGAAGTCATTGTCGAGGTGTGCTGCGAGGCGGGTGGAGAAGGATACAACGTTCTGAAGTAATCCGGAGGTGGTGATGGAGAAAGTGATGCCGGTGAGCTGAGCGGCGAGCTCGCGGTAGATAACGCGTCGAATTCCATGTCGCGCGTGCACGTGTAGCCGGCTAGAATACGGCAGTTGCGAAGCTAAATTGGAGAAAGTGCGAGCGCGACAGTGTAGAAGTAGAGGCAGGAGCAGGAGCAAGAGTAGAAGTGAGGAGCGAAAGTCGTGTCGTTACGGTGGTGCCAGCATGGGGAGAATCGTCAGAATATTCACACAGCGACAGGGTTTGTTTCGAACGAGATTGATTGCACAAGCGGGAACTTGCAATCAGGACTTCGTCGTACTCTGGACGTTGCGCGCGGCGAAATTGGCGGTGGTTGGGAGGAGAAGGGTGAGTGAAGAGAGTGAGAGAGAGACGTTGAAGCAGTGCGAAGTGAGGTATTAGAGAGGATGGGGGCATTGGGCATCTCACGGCAAGAGACACCACAGGTCAAGCGGCCCGCACCCAAGCCAAATTCGGCTAGAAGGACTCCCCATAATCAAAACAACCCGCGGCAAATAAACAAAACATTCGAGATGTCGCTTTTAGCAGTGTTGCATTAATACAGCCCAGCCCCTATCCTTTCTCATCTGTTCCACTATGCTTGATGATGCATTGATGCCACAGGTGCATTATGTTTCGACTCGTCTGACGCATGCTGCTCACATCACATCACAGTGCATCATGACAATGGCTTGTGTGTGTTTTGTCCGTGTGAATGGAACTACGCGCAAGTGAATGAAACGCTTACTCTACACGTTTGAATGACAAGATGTCTCGCGTCGCATGGGAAACTTGCTCAATAGCGATCTCATCATTCAACAATTTCTTTGTGCGCATCTCACCATGCTTTGTTACAAGAGTTCGAGGATCGTACCCCTGTAAAGAGGCTAAATTTATATGTGACTACGTATGCGCAGCTGGTACTGAATAGTACAGTACATCCCCGGCGTATTTCCCAGCCACATCGTGTCGGTTTCGCGCGGCTGGTCAGTGCGATGGGTCATCTGGCGCGTGTTACCTGCTTGGGCTTAGCTCTGTTCCGCTTATGCCTGAGGCCACAGATTCAATGTGCCTATTCCCTTGTCGGCGGTCCTTTTCATCGTCGCGGACCGTGGAACCATGAACCATCATCCAGAACTTTTTTCGAGCTACCAGGGCATTTTATTACACGCCAGCAGAGAAACTTAATACCCGCGCCCGATCAACTATCTATGCATTCACCCATTCAAACCTCTTCACGAGATGACACTTCAACTATATATACTGCCATTTAAGGACCATCTAGCATAAGAGCTTCGAGCAATACTACTCACAAGATGCCACTGATCATGGAAGACGACCAATACATGGAGGATCTGTTCAATGAGACCGAATCAATTCAGCCTGCGCCCCCCCATCCCCCACTTAAAGGCCTCGTAAGAAGACTCGATGAACTTCACACCCGTGGCTGCTGCAGGTGTGTTTTAATCTCCTTTTGCCCATGCTGCAAAGTCTGCTACGTATGGTTTAGTAGAGCTAGAGAAGTGCTCAGATATACAATGCTCTCTGAACATACTCACTTGATTTTACAGCTGATGTTTGGACAGGAAGATAGAATGGGCAGCAAATGGCTGTGTTGCATCAATCTCCAAAGATGGTCGGACATTTCGCACACAAGCATTTGCACGCAGTCCAACGGATGGAAAATGGAGTCTTCAGGATGAGAACCAACCACCATTTCCACCTCTGAATGAAGACGTCCAGCTAGTTCATGTGTCATGGGGCCCGATTGGTCAGGATCTGGCCATCCTTGACTCCTCTGGCCGCATCATGATATTCAACACGCGGGCTGCTCTTGGGAGAATGCAGCTGAGTCGAACACCTAATGGTGAAGTTGAAGACGAACTTGGTTCTATCGTTGGCATGTCATGGTTGCCTATATTTCCACATCAACAGAAGGTACTAATCCAATCACACCATGCATCGTCACGTTAGCCTGACACTGAGTAGGTGCGCTTTATTTCTTCGGCAGCTCGTTCTGGAAACAGCTGGCAATTGCATTCAAAAGATCATCACTGGAACGCACCTCATAATTGCGTCGAAAATAAGGCTGCTTTAGTATGCTTAACCAAGCTCGGCAACCTACGTTTGTTGTTTCAGCATCCTGATGGCAGCTGGGACGAAGTCACCACCGAGCTCGGAACAGAGCAGACCGCGAAAGATATCTTTTCCCATGCGGCATTTGCCCTTCACGGTAAGCCATACACGGACCTGGAGATAGTGAGGATGCTGACACCCACAGATGGGATTCTGCTACTGGCCGCGTATAATATCGCTGGGCGATTGAATCTGTATCGTATACAGATCAGATGGGGATCAGTTCCCCCGCGGCCACAAAGCTCACACGAACCACTCAGGAACATGCAACCCCCTATTCTAGATGTAACTCCAGTCTTGGCTGAAGATGACTTTGTGCCATACGGTCCAGGAAACGAAGATGAACTGCTACAGACAAGCCACAGGATGGCTATACCTGGCCAGCTGACTCATTTGGAATTCCTCAAACCTGCACCTGAAACAGATAATCAGGATGTAGATCCAACAATATTCGCCATCTTTTCGAACAACCCAACGTTCATGTCACCAATGGACCAGGGACAGAGCCACCAAAATCCGACAAGTATCGTTTGCCGTTGGGCACTTGAAGAAAACTACAAGAACGAACTTCATTCAAGCTTCACCCAGCTGCCTGTCGTCAAGAAGAAGTCTGCCGAGCCAGAGGTATGTAGTCCTCATGCTCTGTGGGTCCACGACTTACACATAGCAGAATATTATGCGTCTGAAGCGATTGGCAGATATTCTCACAAGCGCCACTGTCCTGGCTTTTATGCCGCTCTCATACAACACTGTCGTTGCTTTATATCATTCTGATGGGTCCATTGACTTTAGAAACACAACAAGCATGCAGTCTATAACGGCTGAATATAACACAGACCATGTCAGCTCTTTGATGCAGGCAGGATTCGCGTTTCCACTACAAAGCTCAGGTCTGTCAGTAATATGCCACGAAACGTGATCTACACTAACAATTCTACTGTAGCTCTCCATATAGCTTTGTCTGCGAGTGTTTGTGTGGCTGCAACTATGAATTCCGACATGGAAGTCAAGACCAAGACCATGGAATTTCTCCATGGTTCTTTAGATGCTACTGGAGACGACTGTCAGTCTCTCCAATTCTTCCCAGAATTTCCCTCAAACTGAAACTCACATATTTCTTTAGCCAAGATCGAAGCTGCTATGGCGGCACTTGCATTACAACACACATCCTCGTCCAGTCAATACTTCTCTAGCGACGATATATTATCTCTCGTACCGCATGACTTGCCAGCAAGCCGTGTAAACTATCTTCTTCATCTGCTTTACCGCGGCATGCACATGAACACCGACTGCACGAACGTACCGCCCAGCGATAGCATAAGTATGTCAATTGGCCGCGCTCCTGGATTTGTGAAATCTCTGAGTGCGCAAGTCATTCTTGGATGCCATTCAAACAATCATCGTTCGCTCGCAGCGACTCTCGCAAACGCCACACTCAACATTCGACAGTCCTCCATTGTTCTACTCATAGTCATGTCTATGCACCGGCGAAAGCAGCCGGGCTCGCAACAGTCAGGCCAAACTCCTCTGGATCCGCGTAAGTGTATGCCCAGCATCCGTATGACTACCGCTAACATAAATCAGTAATGGCAAATGGATTGGTCGGTATTGCCAAATGGATGGTTGACTACACAATATTCCTCTGGAGCGAGCTCTGGATCACCTCACGCCACTTCCTAGACAATGAACTCACTGTCTCCTCCCTTCAAGCTTACAGTACGTCTCGTCCCCTCCAACCTCCATATCGCAGTTTCACCTCCAACGCAATCTAACCATCCCCCCAGTGACATCCCGCAACTCCCCGGCTCTCCTCACCCTCCTCTGCTCCCTGCCACGCGCCCTCCTCCGCGAATGGCTACGCACGCTCCCCTGGATGCAGCGCTGCGCCCTCTCCTACACACACCCCAAGTACAACGCCCAACCCCAAATCCGCCACGCAATACAAGACCTCGCCGACGCCTTCAGCGACCGCCCGCAAATCCTCCCCGTCATCGACGCGCTCCTGAATGACGTCGAGACCGCAGTCAAGAAGGCGTATGCCGGCGCAAACACCACCGACGCACAGCAGCGCCAGGCCATCGAGCAAAACATGTTTGTCACGGGCGAGGTACCCGAGGTCTTGCTCCCTGCGATCAGGGATGTGTTGATGAATACGTTTGCGGTCGAGGGCGGGCGCGCCGAGAAGGTCGATCTGGCGGATGTGCTGTTTCGCGACTTTGCCTGGCTGGGTCTGGGCAAGTCGGATGCTACGAGGGGGAGGGCCGCTGTGCTGGATGTGTTGCGTAAGGTGCCGATTCCGGCGAAGAAAGGCGTGCAGATGAGGCGGTGCTCGAGGGGTTGCGCGTATGCGGCAGACCTGACGACGCAGGAGTTGCAGCAGATGCATGCGTTGTGGTATTTCCAGGTCAGCAAGACTTGCGTCTGTGGGAGTGCGTGGACGGTGGTCGAGCATCCGGATCTAGAGGGGAAGAAATGATGACTTCTGGTGATCTTGTGTACTTTTTTTGTATTTGAGATTGGGGTATATATTTCAGTTTTATTTATTTGGATCTAAGCTTTGAACAAGGACTATTCCATGCCTTCCATCAAGTCCGTTTTGTCCAGGATCATACCGCGTTTAGATATCCAGTCGCGCAGATAATCCCATTCTGCACCTTCCTCTAACCCACGCTTGCTGTCCTCCTTGAAACCCCATGCCATGGCTACTTTATCGAGAGCTGCGCGCTCGTCTTCGCGGATCCATCGCTCTGTAAGGCCCATCCCTGGTCGCCACACTACCCGCTTCATCTGATCATTAGACGTGGTTATAGATATATATCCTAGCATGGAGACAGCACCTAAATACGTCATGAATCCAGCAAAGGCCGCGCCAGTCGCATACGAGTTATCCACCATATCTTGCAGAGATGCTGCTTGAGTTGCAATAATATACACACCTAAGGGCGCCAGAGATGCAATTGTTACAGGGACGCCTAGTTTCTTGAACAGCTTGTCATTCCTGTATGCCTTGGTGCGATACGCTGAGTTTATAATTGCGAGCGCGAGATCGAGGTCTTTCGCTATGATGGCCGCATCGAGCGCGTCGGCGGCAGTATCCTCGGGCACGGCTTGTGATATTTTATCTGGATTGGGCTCCTTATATACAGGTGGATTCGAGCCAGGGGTTGGGACAGGCTTGTGTGCGTAGAGGGTGAAGGCTTCAGGGAGTGTTTGCGGTCGTTCGAGCATGCATTGTGTGTTGACGTAGGAGGCAAGGACTGCGGCGTTTATGAAGACGGGCGGATGGGAGATGATCCTGAAGCTCAGCTCCGAGAGTATGTCTGGGATGGCCTTTGTGGAGGCGGTGTCGGCTCGGTTGTCGAGAGAGAGGAGAGTAGTGGTTGCTGAGGGATCCGTGGATTGTGTGGGCGACTCGGAAGCCCCTGATGCGATAGCAGCAGCTAACTCACATGAACGAAGCGCTTCAATTACTTCTTCTTCTGGAGGAATAGAATCGGAACTCAGGATAGCTTGGCCTAGCTCTGCAGCTCTGCGTGCGGCCGTCGGGGCATCGAGATCTGTGATATACTTAGATTCCTTCTCAGCCTTTCCTTCCGTGTTTGACTCTGCAAGTAGAGTAGTAGCTGATCGACGAGTTGTCTTCGGAGTCGGGTTCAAGAATCTCATCGGTGAATATGGCTCACGTGGATGAAAGAGACGAAGTGTAGGAGACTGGTAACGAGCAGGAAGCCTGAAATGTCGTCGTTGTCGCGCAGGTTTGCTCAGTAGAGCTTCACAAAGCTTGCAAGCTGCTCGGGGTCCTCTCATTGGTTCCAAGGCCTTGGTATTCATGACTTATTCGTGTTCTATTTGGATGCTCAGATAAGTAGGGAGTGAAAGTGAATAGGCTTATGTTTGGAAAGACGCAGTCAAAGCGCACGGGCCAGGCCGCAAACGACAGGCTACGACAACTGCGTATGCGGCGCCCTTTGACCAGAACTCCACACAGCTTTAGCCTCACCACCTTCGCCAGGTACATAACATTTGATGCTGCCGCCTAATGCAACGCTATCGGCCATTGCTCGCTCAAGGCTGATCTTTACACTATTGGGCTCACATAATCTGCATACACTGAGGACCTGAATCAACGGCCAGCGTCACCAACCCCAGCCCTGACGGTACCCATAGTCTTCCGCCGATAGACCTTTATTGAGCCCTTCGCCTCTTTCACGATGCCCGGTCCTCCTCCTCCGCCTCCTCCTCCGCCGCCTGGGCTTGGAGGTCCTCCTCCACCCCCTCCGCCACCTCCAGGTGCTGGTCCGAAAGCAGTCAAACCACCGTCTGGCAAAGGCAGGGTATGTCCAAGCCCCAAGGTCGAATTACTACAGAGCTCGGTTGCTCTGGTATAGTATTGGACTGATAGTATTAATAGGGAGCGCTACTAGGGGACATTCAGTCTGGGGCGAGATTAAAGAAGGTCCAAACAAATGATCGATCTGCTCCGATCGTTGGCAAGGTATCCGAGGGACCAAGCGGGCCACCTATGGGAGCTGCACCTCCGGTTCCTGGCATGAATAAAGCGCCATCCGGACTTGCACCTCCAGTCCCAGGAAACAGAGCTCGAAGTAATAGCGACTCACGCGATACTGGAGGCTCGTCAATGGGAGGGGGCCCACAGCTCGGAGGGCTATTAGCTGGGGGTATACCTAAATTACGCAAGACAGGAGGCATAGACACAGGTGCGGACAGCAGTTCTCCATATCTCTCGGACCCTGAGAGCTCGAGGAGATCAGTACCTCGACCCCCTATGGGCACACCTCCACGGCCTCCTGGTGCACCTCAGGGGGCACCACCAGCTCCACCAGGTATAGCTGCACTGAGAAACAATCTTCGACCTAGTCCTTCGGCATTTACTCATTCGGCGCCCGAGATACCATCCTCAAAACCAAAACCACCCCCAATCGGCAAGAAACCACCTGTTCCACCACCATCTAGTCGAAAGCCTTCCGGACTATCTGCAGCTCCGCGGACTCAAACACCGACTCCTCCAGCGCCGCCTCCAATACCGTCCTCTTCTGCCCCTAGACCACCTCCCGCTCGATCAACCCCTCCACCGCCCCCCTCTGTTCCCCCATCGGCTCCCTCTGGGCCATCAATTGCAGCACAGGCAGCTCGCAACGCTTTCGGTCGATCGACACCTTCAGCACCTCCGCCACGACCTCCTACATCTCCACCGGCGTCGCCATCTGCAAGGCCTCCGCCAGCTCCTCCTGCGCCTCCACCACCACCATCCGGAGGGCCGAGACTTCCTTCCGCACCAGCGCCGCCCCCACCGCCGTCTGCAGCTCCTTCAGCCCCCCTAGCACCTCCGCCGCCTCCTTCTGCCTCCCCCAGTCGACACCTCACACAAGTATCAGGCCGACCAATGTTAGATGCGAGCTCATACACATTATCGAATGGTGGAGGATCAGGACAGGGCTCGACCTCTGTGAGCCCGGGAAGACAAGGGACCGTGATATATGTTCAGGATACGAGATGGAAGTTTCAAGATGATGACCAACTGCCAAAACCACGAGCATTTAGTGGAGGTCCGAAGAGATATCGTGCTGGCAGAGGAAGCAGTGTCCCATTGGATCTCAGTGCCTTCGAGTAGCACCGTTAGCACCATCGTAAAGGTAGCCTTTTCTCTCGTAAGATAACATAGTCGCCGATTAATGAGATTGTATGTCATCGTATCGGCGCATAGCTCTCTTTTCTACGTTCCGTGCCTTATGCCGTACGTACATTAGGATGAGTCTACTTGTGTACAAACAAGTGAGTGTTAGGGGGAAATTTTGCTTCTGTGATGTCTTTCCCACGATATCACCGGGCCGGGATTTCAACGTTTGACGTCTTCGTGCACTCGGGTTTCAGAGGTAAACACCTTGCCCAGAATGATCGTTGTCAATCGATCTATTCTGATTCCCGTTCTTACTATCTTTCTTTTCCATCTTTTGTTCGTCCTCAACCCAAGGCATCCCGCGCCGCTCTACTTCGATCTTCAGCATAGCTATCTGCTCCCTCTTTCGCCGAATGGTCTGCTCATTGTCCGCGATCGCTTCAGAGAAGTCCGGATCGCTGGTCTCTGCATAGAACAGGGATAGTTCTGAGTTTGAGATTTCGAGATGCTCAATGTTGTTACGAAGCTCCGCAGCTTTCGCGTGTAGAGAGCCGAGCGATAGAGATTCTAGAGCGGCAGCGAAGCGGGCGTGAGTGATTGGCTGGGATTCTGCGGACATTGTAGAAGATAGGTTTCGGTTTGAGTTTATGTCTGCTGTGGTCAGATGCGAGTTACTTGGAGCTCGTAGCTGTTCTCTCGCTAGGATATAGCTTGCATACGAGCAAACAAGCCATCAAAGTCGATCCCGATCCCTAGTGCGGAGAGCTCGGAGGTGGGGGTCAAGCCAAGCTAAGCCTGCAGGTTCAAACACGGCTAAGACTCAAGACTCAAGGTTGAACTCTCTCTGCGGCACAGGTCCTTGGACGGACACACTTTCCGTATCAGCTCGGATACCTGTCCGCAATGAGCAATGCTTCTAAAAGAGCATTGTTGTCCCTAACAAGAACGCTCGAATGCTCCCACCGAGTGAGCAGCTTCCGCCAAACGCGAAGCTTTCTACATGTCGTCGCGAAGAATGCTTGGACATCTCAGCATATGCGCCCGGCAGAGATCGCAATCACGCCACAACTCTCATCACTTGTTACTACACGTGGTATTCGTCAGAGAGCAAGGCATTTTCAAAACTCAGTGAAACCTCGAGTAGGAAAATCCGAGGTACCTGCACCAAATTCGGCTCAAGAGCAGGAGGTTCTTCGAGAACCTAAAGATGAAGCAGCAGCAGCACAGGACGATGCGCCGGTCTATACATGGAGGGACTATAATGATGAAACCGGCATGCCGCTCCCAGAAGGACCTCTAGGAAGACCAGATATCATCCGCTTATTTGGCAACGACGTCTCGTACGAGGAAGGCAACCACGCGCTTCAAATTTTACAATGGCGAAGAGAGAGTGGTGTACTATCCGATAAGGGCATTTCGTTTCCAGATGGCCCAAATATACCTCGGAACCTTGCATTGATTGCGCTGGAGCACTTGCGTGAGAGATACCCAATGGATGAAGAAGGAGCCGCAGAAGAATGGGTTAGACTTGAAGCTGAACGGCTAGAACATGAAATGTACGAAAAGGGTGCTCGTTGGGGGCTTTTCAAAAAAGACGAGACTGCAGTCCTGGATGTGTCTAAGGAAGAGCACGCTACACAGCAAGGCACCGAATATGGAGAGAAAAGGCACGGCTTCAGCGTACTAGAGCAAATCCAGAGAGAAGCACGAGCAAAAGAGGAAGAAGAGAGGGAAGCTGAGAGGGCGAAGGGGAATCGGCCACTCACCAAGGCGGAAAGAGACGAGGAGGCGAAACAGATGCAGCTCGTGGAAGCAAAGGAGCAAATTGATATTAGTACCTAGCCCCTTGTGTTCTTTCATAAATCTGCTCAACTGACAACCACCTAGTATACGCGGAAATGGCAGAACGGAAACGGAAAAGAGAAGAAAAAGCTGCCGCTTTTAAAGAGCCACCTGAAGTACTGTTGAAGATGTCTTTCGTACACAACCACCACCCTCAATTATGAAATTTCAGCTAACACACATACAGTTCAAACGCATCTGGCCTGCAGCTACGATGACCTCCCTCATAATAATAGCATGTCTGCTATATGGAGCAACTTATACTCCTCCAAGTGCATCAGAAAGACTTTTCCCAGATTATCCTCCGGCTCTGGCAACAGTCGCCGCTCTGTTAACCATAAACTTCGCTGTCTTTTTACTATGGCATACACCATTGGTTTGGAAATTATTTAACAGGATTATGGTAATACAACCTATATTTCCAAGACCACTTGCTATGATAGGCAATGTCTTCAGTCACCAAGAGTTTAAGCACTTGGCTAGTAACTTTATTGGTATACTACTCATTGCACCTTCTCGTAGGTCCTTCTTTCAGCATAGTGCTGGACACTGATCGCTGACTATTCCCCTAGTCCACGAACAGATTGGTCGAGGCGACTTCCTCTCAATTTATATTGCCAGCGGGGTTTTCAGTAGTTTCGTGATGACAGTCTGGCTGATCAGGAGGCGTCTGTTCCTGTCTTACCTCATGGGAGCAAGTGGGGCTCTTTACGGAGTCATAGGAGCGCTTTGTGTGGTAATGGAGAGTGTGCGCATTCCCTTCACCCACTACGAGCTCCCGTATACCCCGAAGCTTTTTCTAGTCGGGATTCTTTCTGTCGAAGCATTCCACATGGCGTTTAAGAAGATAAGAGGGGGGGGGCCTGTGGTAAGCCGCCTGGCCCACATAGTAGGGACACTATGGGGCGCCGGGCATATGTATGCCATTAAAGCTCGTTATAGTCTCGGGCAGTACCCCAATCGCCGATCGAAGGACACTGAACGGAGAGACGTACCAGTAGCGACGAGATCGTAGGTGCATATGGCATCAATGTATTATATCTGAGCACGTATCCAAGACGAATGAATATCGAGCTATCTACTATGCTAAATCTACGACACAATATCGCGAGTTAGCGTTTGAGCTTCTTCCAACTCTACCCATGTTTTACGAAATGTACCGGTCTATAAATGCAGGGGCGAGATCAAAGATGTCTTTACTGAGCAGTCGAATATATCCGCTGCATGGCCTACAGATGGATCAGCACCTGGAACATCACAGATATATAAAGTACTCACCGCTGCTTGTCTTGGTTCCACGAACAATGCTTCCGCCTCCACTAAAACTTCGGGCACCTCCCCCTTCGTCTCATCTACCAGTGTTTCAATTCGCCCCTTGACCCACGCCTTCCTGCCCTCAACCTTCGTCGTCTCTGCCCGCAGAATCACATATTGCTCTGCTTTACACGGCTTCCGATAATCGATCTTCAGACTCGCAGTTACACCAACCTTATTGGGCAGCGCTGGGAAACAGCACCGTGCTAACCCCTCGTCTAGTAATGTCGCCAGCAAGCCTCCATGAATCAGCCCCGGATGTCCACACAGCGCCGGCCCAAGATATTGAACAGAGGCGAAGCGCGAGCCGTCTGAGGTCGTAAACGCAAGTGGGGGTACAGCAATACGGTCTTGGCCCAGAAGCGTACCGCCAGTGAGATTGTGTGGGCGCAGTGAAGGGGGAATTTTGAGGTGTGGGCGAGAGGCGCAATATGCAGAGTCGGCGAGGAGGAGGCCTACGACCGGGTGTGCAAAGATGTAGTTATTTACTTCTTCGGCTTTGGAGGACGGTTCGGGGGCGAAAAGCGTGAGGGTTTCTTCGTCGCTTGGGGGAGAGGCAATCTCGATGGCTGTCTGCAGAGCTGGAGCGGCGGCCATTATGAAGCCAGTTGTGAGGGAAAGAATAGATATGAGGATATATTTTACGAAGGGCCGCGAGGGGCGGGGTTTGGGGAGAGGTTCCGAGAGGGGCTCTGGGTCGGATGAAGAGGCTGATTCGTGGTTAGGGCTACAGCTGGTATACAGGTGTTGGCCAGCAGAGCGACTTACTGGTTGTTGAACTGTACAATCGAAAGTGCGAAGGGTAAGGGAGTAAGGATTGAGCGCCGACGGTAGACCGCGCATTTATGGCTCTCCGCGATAGCGGGTAACGGCAGCAAAGTTGCGCGGCGACGGCGAGGGACGGTCTGGTCAATGGCATAGCGGCGTGTTGGAGACGGAGACGGAGTGGGACATGTACATATTCTCCCAATGAACGGAAGATGCTCTCGGACTTCATACGACTGGTCTAAGCGCGTATAAACGATTCATTTTTTACCCACTGCACCACATTTCGTCTCCCAACTTCCTCCAGTTGTCTTCCGATGCCCGCGCCGAGTCGTCCATAAGAGGCTAGCTCCTCGGGAAGGCCCGAGCAAGTCGCGTAGTTGGGACCGCGCTTCAAAAGGCGCGTCTCTCTAGGATACCTGGCCGTGAATTCATACAAGACTCGCCCTGCCAGCGTCTATATTGTCATTCCACTGCATTTTTACCGAGCCATGCAGGGCTTGTACTCTCACTTTGAGCTTCTATTTATATTATGCAGGAGCCCAGCCATGATGGACACATCGCAAAACTCACCCCGCGACGCGACCAGACTACGGGCCTTCGAGAGCCAGCTTCGTCCAATAAGAGGAAAAGAGAGGATGATGATGACCTGAGAGACGCAATTCCCTTATCCAAAAAGGCATTCATAGTCAAAGTAAGTACTGCCTGACTTTATAGTCGGAATGCCTCAAGACTCGAATCTGATCTGTGATTAGCCGTGTCCAAATTCACAATACGATAAACCTTACACCTTTACACCACTCGCCTTACTCCCTCGTGCCCGTCTACCGCTGTCATGTCTCGATACGGCAGCGAATATTCTACCAGCAAATCGACTGTTCGTCTCACGATCTGGATTAACGCAGTGTGAATCAGACAAGGGGGAAGGCCGGGTATGCAAGCACAGGCTCCTAGTTGCTCGACTCGACTCGGATAAGCGATTATATGCCGTGGAGAATGTACAAGATAATGTTTATGCGTTGTGCAAGCTTGCAGACTGGCTCACTACAGAACGCGTCCTTCAATTTGCCGCCACGGAAGGACGAGAGAAAATTCTACTTCAGCACCCCAGTCTCCGGGCTGTAAGTCAGGATGAGAAATGGTGGAAACCGGCAATCCTGGACGGAGGTCAAAGCGAACAACCACGTAAAGCAGACACCCAAGCGCCTAGATTGTTTATGTGCCACGATATCCTTGGCACGTTACCAGAGACGAAGCCAGCGCAAGTGCCAAATGCGATACAACAAAATACTACGAAAGCGGATAGACCAGACACAACAGAGCACATAGAAGTTGAACAAGAACCAACAGCACCATCTCCAGAGAAGGCCTTCGAAGGCTTCGTGCTCCAGTACCTCGAGGCGCTGTACCTCTCCAGAACTTCACTTGCGTATCTTGCTAAAGGGCCTCTCTCAAAAGCTAGGGCTGCTTTTGCAGGCAAAGATGAATCCATGGAGCCACGTCATCTTGTGTCGTATCTCCGGAGCATGGTATTTAGCTTGCCAATAATGGACAAAAAGTACAAGATGAAGCTTCCCGAGATATTACGCGACGCACATCTCGACGATATAGACGATAACTACAACACGAAGTCTGTGGCAACTCTACTCAGGCGTGACAAGTCTAAAAAACAGCTCAAGCTCAATCGAGATGGCATGTACGCCAAGGAAGATCAGGTGGTTAAGCGGTGGTGGAAGTTTCATGACACAACGACCACGTACTCCACGGAACAAAAGCCAGATGCAATCATAAGTACAAGGCTGGCAGATCTAAAGCAACGGGAGATTTTGGCACAGATAATCCTGATTCTGGAAACCCTTTCACTGGAAACCTCACCTTCCTTTAAGACTGCTGCAAATCCAGATGGAGAGCATTTGCCGGCACTAAAGGGAGCTCTCGAGGATGTAAAAGCTAAGAGATCGAAAGTAAAGAAGCCACATGACCTGAAACTGCTACTAGACCTTCTCCTGGACAGGCTTTGTATCTGGCAATCTGTCGAGAATGACCTGGGCTCCATGGATGCCATCAACAAAATGGATGTCTCGAATGCGAACTCGGCGAAAGTGACCAACAGCGATAGATTAAGAGACTTTTGTGTCGAGGTCATCATTCCATTGTACGTGCAATTGAAGGTATTTTGTGGACTATATGTCTAACCTATCTACAGTTACATGAGCCGAATTCCAGAACAAGCCGCTATGGTCAACCGAAAGCTCGGTGGTCCGAAAGCAATCTCACCGCCGAAGAAGCCGTCATCCAAACACAACGCAATCCAGAAGCGGCCAGGCGCCCCCGAGACACGACCTGATTCGCGGAGAAAACCACGAGAACCATTGGGACGGATTGCGACAGGTCCAACAATATCGAAATCCATGCGACCCCCGTCTCTTGCAAGATCAGCCACAGATTCGGCGATTATCCCTGGTCTCAAATCAGAGAGAAGTGATACACCACTTTCAGCTATTCCGCTCGACAGGGGTTCGTCCGTCTCTAGTCGCGCTCCCATATCTCAATACCATCGATTCGCATCTCGAGAGGTAGACTTGACGGCCATGTCAACTGTCACTGCTGCTAAGAGGAAGAGGAAGGAGGCAATTGAGGAGCAGTTGAAACAGGCAATTAGCACCCTTAAAAAGCCGAACCGAGGGCTAGCTGTCAAAGAGTTTGTGGACTCAGCTGACTTAAGGGCCAATAAGTCCAGCACAAAAGTCAAGAGAACCGCTGGAATCAAAAGTGTTCCACCTGTGCAGGTCACGGCAACACCGAAGCGAGCCAGAACCTCAAAATATCACACTCAGTCTCAGTCTCCAGCAGAAGAGCCGAGCCAACCGTCCATGTATGAACAAGAGCAACTACCGTCCAGCGCCTCCTATGTCCCATCGTCTGCTATTCGACCTCCTCATTCGGCATGTGTACCTGGTACTGTGCTCAAAAGTCGACAGTCACACGCCCCGAACGCAACTCGTTCAAATGGTGTAGAAGAAACACCATCTCGCGGTCCGGCAAAGAGGATTTCGGACTATTCAGAACTGGGCAAAGTCAAGCTACCAACGCCAGGACAAGTTCTGCAAACGCCGATCAGACCAATGAATAAAAGCCTCCCAAACGTTACTTGTAATGCCATGGGTTCACCGATTGCTAGACCCCTATTCCAGCGCATGGATAAAAAACCGCCGTCCAAGCCAGCGGCTACACTAGAAGCGTTTGCTCCTACTGAGCAGACCCAGTCACTCAGAAATATGGAGCATATCGAGAAGCGTGATCATAGTATCTTTACTACACCGGTGAAGAAGCCACTTGCCGTCGATACGAAGGCAGGAAGGGACGAGAATACGGCGACGAATATATACGATATGCTGGGTTGGAATGATGATGACGATGATGCTGATGAACTTGCCTTTTAGCGTGCATATAGAAGTAATGACAATACTCGATATTCTGTTTACCGTGGGCCGCTCACTTCATCTTCATCACCTCTAGAAATACCTCCTTTCGCTCCTCCCCTATCTCCCTGACTACGTCCGCCATACTCTCCACCTCCTTAACACCAGTCCCGTGACTAAACACCCACTCCTCGTCCTTTTCAAGCCGTACCTGAAACGCAGCCCAATTAAGTCCCTTCAACCCATTGACATGCTCATCAACATTAGTTGCCGCCCCCGAAAAGATCAGAACGCCTGGGTACCCTGGCTTCGAGACACCAGATATTGCCGCATCCGCCGAGGCCAGTGCCTGTTTCCGCTTCGATGTGTTGAGCAGGTGGTGCAGCCATATCAGCACTGTCTTTTTCCCATGCTCATCTGCACTCTCGTCTCCACTTGCCCGGCTGATCGGATCCAGTCCAGTAGAATCGTGGACGCTCTCCTCGACTAGTCTATCGAATGCAGCAATCACTGAGTCCAGAATTTCCTCACCCACAGGTAAACGTGCTACGGCACCTTTCATCTGGCTGCGCAGGTCGACGTGATGAGTGCCCTTTGTAAACGCACTAATGATATCGGGAGGACTTGATGCTGGATAAGTGGATGGTAAGCGAACGATGAGCTTGGCATGGAGAGTGGTGTATGTTAGGTCCTGGAGGTTTGTGTCGAATTGGATGGAATCTGGGTACATTGATTCGAGGAGGCTGGTCTCGACAGCCACGCGTGTGCTTTGTTCATCCTCACTCATGATTTGATGTAACGGGTTTGTCTGGCATAATTGCCAAATATAGAGGCTTTGTCTTCAACTTTACGTCTCGAGGTTGGATGGCAAACAGGGCTGCCTAGACGGGTAAGTAGTGGCCTTGCGTTCTGGTAAATACGCGTGTTCTAGGAATTTAGACAGGCATGAGATATGACTTCTTTAAAGATAGTGAGAGTGAAGAATGGTTCGGGATATTGGATGCGAAAGTGAATGTATTGATTTCATGGTGTCTTGAGGTTTGATACTGAAGTACTGACGGACACCTTGACGGCTCAACCCCAAGGAACGCGATCGGTCAGACTTATTCGATACGTCATTGGTAAGCCAACACTCATGTTGCAACGATTTCAAGATTATGGCCTCTTCGGTAATCGATATGCAGGACGCGATCCCAAAGAGAACAGATGGAACGTTTTGGGGCCCGCATTAGGGCTCTTCTCATACTTCCAAGGACGTCAGTATCAGATTCAGGGCTACGAACTAGGATTCATCTGGATCTATCCAGCTAGCGTGTAGCACTTGCCGATATCTACGGCAGATGATTCGTGCATGAGCAAACCTTGAGCAATAATTCTTGTGGATCGGTGACCTGAAAATACTCGTCGGTGGACTTGACTTGGACGACATGCAATATATTCATAATGATGTTCTAGTCTCTGCGAGAGAGGCCGACTTCGATAGGAAATCGGATTTGGGCCAGATATCAACTGCCGACCTCCTCGACACGGATGAACGAGCCTTACCAAACGCCAACACCCCCGTAATACGCGGCCCCTTGTTCACAGGTATCAAGTGCTGACAATGTGGAGCGGGAAGCTTACAATTGTGGAGTATAGATAGTTGCTCATGTTTACGTTCATTGTTCGATTTATGATTTAGGACTTTGCTTATATGCAGACGAAGCAGCACATGCGATCATCTCCCACCGATCTGAATCTCAAGCTGTTAAAATATCCGTTCTCCTTCTATTTCCTTCTTGTGGTGAAAGCCTATCCTGCTTACAGAGATCTGACTCTCTGGGATATCTTGAGCTCTTACTAGCCTAGTTACTCTATTTTGCTTTCAAACCACTGCTTTCTCCTTCTGGTGGCCTGCGAAAACTTGTTCTGTGGGACTATCAACGATCCATCACGTTTTATAATCTGTACAATCAAGGAACATATTGACTATCATTTATCATCCATGACTATGGGTGTCCTCTCCTTCGAGCACTTCGCGCTGGTCGCCCTAGTCTCTATTGTCACTGCTCAAACATGCTACTATCCAGGTCAGCCAAAGCCCAGCATCAAGCAAGCAAGCAATCAAGCGAACCAAGTTTAAAATCTGACCTGGACAGACCATAGTACGACATCCGTGGACATACCCTGTAATACCACCGCTGAATTCTCATCTTGCTGCGGCGCCGGCGCCTTGTGCCTTGCCAGCGGTCTCTGCTACATCGACGGCGTGATATCGCGAGGAAGCTGTTCCGACAAATCGTGGGCTGATGCCTCTTGTGCCACTGCATGCCAGGACGGTACGCCTCCCTCCCATCGCACAGTCCCCACGTTCACTCGGTCTCCCCTGAGATCCCTCTCTGACCAGCATCTCAGACAACGCTGACGGCGGCATGGCCCTGACATCCTGCGGAAGTGGCACCGACCACAAGTACGCCTGTGGCTTTAATACCGTCTGCACAGACAGTAATTGGTTCACCCTCGACAACATGACTGACCTCATCTTACGGCCCTCACAAGTATCTGCCGCCGTAGTCGCACTCGGTACCGCATTTCATAACCCAACAACATCTTCAAACTCCTCGATCCCGAGTCCGTCTCCTTCCCCATCTCCCTCCGAATCCCCATCCGCAAAACCAGCAGATTCCACCGGCTATTCCGCCGGCGCCATGGCCGGCGTCGGGGTTGGGGTCGGACTCCCGCTTTTACTTGCGCTGGCCGTGGCGCTTTTCCTACTGCGTAACGAGAAAAAGAAGAATCTACTGTATGCGGCGAATGCCCAGAGGGTAACCGGAACTAGATATAATGGGCAGACTGGCATGCAGGACGCGCAGAGAGGGAGTTCTACGGTGCAGGGGATGTACCCAAAGGTTATGGCTCAAGAGTCCAGGTTTGAGAGGACTCATGGGCCTGTACCGATGGAATTGGAGGCGAATCTGCCGGCGGCGAGTGAGGTTGAGGCGAAGCAAACTCATGAGAAGTAGGGGAAAAGGCTGCTGGTGCTAGGGAGGACCTGGGATATCTGCTATCCCGTTAATGGAAAGAGTTGGATGTTACCCGCCATCCATGTTTTGATGGGATGAGTTTGCAGCACTCAGGAGTGGGACGTCTATCAGATCATAGATAGCGCGAACATGTCAGCGTGTGATTTATTCCGAGGGGAGTACTTATTTTACATATATACAACTCATGTGTAACCTTGCACCCTGTCATCCAGATCGACCTTGTTGGCTTCTCCACTCGTCAAATGCTTCTCCTGGTCCCTGACTGGCCAAGCCACATCGTTCTTCTATCATGCCCCATGTTCGCGATCGTATTATACGCTCTACGCCAATTTCGTTCCGTATCAGCGCTGCTAGAGACTCTGTCCTGCTTTCTTTTGGAAGATATCGATTGTTATAGGGGTCTAATCGGTCTACGAGGTGCTCTCCAGCCTCAGCACTCTGAAGTGCTTGTAGTATTGAGTCTGGGTCATCTTTATCAGGGGATGTGGCAACGCTGGTACAGTAGTTGAGTACGTCTGAGCGTACCTGCCACGATGGGAACAGCACGCGCTCTTTGAAGGTGTTACATGACGACGTGTCGAGTTTCTGGTGTGCTAATGGTTTAACGGAGCGGGAAGAGGTCGATGAAGGATCGAAGCTAGCAGGATTGCGGAGTGCGTTCAGGTTTTGTGCTATTGAGTCATCTATAGTTGATCGTGAAATTCGTAGGAAGTCTACACTTGCGGAGTTGTGTTAGTGTTGTCTGGCATGAGGAAGGTTTGTATTTAAAAAATATGTACCTCGCAGAGCTGTTTGGTTGAAGCAGAACTGAGGACTAAGAGCGAGCTGGTCAATGGGCTTTGCCATGACGAGTTGTGAATTCTGCCCTCGTTTGTTATCTTCGTTGCTGTTATTAGTGCCTGCAGGTGCAGGTTGTCGCCAGAAAAAGCCCGCCGTTGTTGCGAACGATTTGATCCGCTCGAGGGGTAGATGATTATGGTACTGAGACGCTATACGCGGCTTTGGATATTTTAAACAGTATTGATCATGAATTAATATTACTGTAGCTCTGCTTCGACGTGGTGCATTAACATTTCAATAGTTCGATGGTAGACATTAGGTCATCGCTTCCAACATTTAGATCTATGAGCTCTCTGATTGGTTCGAATCTAATCTATCTACGTAGTCGCGTCAATGCGCGTCTTCCTATATTCACGACGCGTGCTTGCTCAACTCTAAACTTCCCCTCCACACCTTATAGAAGCCTGTACTAAGGTAGTATGCGACTGTACTCAATTAATAACCAGTCATTTTCTCCTCGAGATTCCCACCCTAAAGTTCTGCTTCTTCGATACCTCACGACGTTCTGTACAACGACTACGAGCTTTCGAGTCCTCCACCGCAGCAAGCGATCGTATAGTGTCCTTGTAGCATATCGTTGTCATACTGCGACTGTAAGAATTGCTATGCCACCGAAACAGGCGACTCTTGGGTACGTTAGATCTGGACAGCAGACCCTAGGGTGCGAGAACGGGCTGTAAAAGTACGATGGTTTTGAAAGAGCTGATTTTTATGCAGGAAATTCTTTGGACATCCAGATGGAGCGAAGCCAGCTGCCCAACAAACGAAACTGGCTTTCTCGAAGAAAGCAGTGGAGAGTCCTAGCGTTAGCAAGGTAACCGCAGATCACAGCGCAATTATCCCGGAGAGCAACGACCGTGTGAAGAATGAAGTGAAGGAGGAGCAAGAGGATGGCGAGGAGGATGAGAACGGGGATGCCGTAATGGGCGAAATAGAAGTCAAAAGTGAATCAGACTCAGACGTCCCAAGTAAACGAACCCGTATGTGAATCGCACCCTGGCTACTGCATCCACTTGAATGTCTAAAATTCAGGGACATAGCTAACTCGACATGCAATTTCGATCAGGTACATTGAAGGGCGATGAGAAAGTCGCCTTGAAACGAAAAGGCACTACGGCTGATGACAACGAAGGCAGCCCACCAGCCAAGAAGGCTCGTTCGTCGAAGAAATCAGCTCCTCAGAAGTCTTCGAAGATAACGCCTGATGGGACATCATCCAATACCATGAAGACCGAGACAGAGCAGAATACAACTCCCAAGAAAGTGGTTGCGAAGAAAAAGGCGCCTAGCCTTCCTGTCGACGATGCAGATGATGAGGATATTGTGAGGCCGAAGAGGGGGAAGGGTAGCAAACGCAAGGTAGATGAAACCACGCAAGCCAAAGTGAAGACGAACTCGGACTCCAAAGCCTCCTCGCGTAATTCAAAGTCGGCTGATGAGGACGATGCGGCTGCTAGCACTCCTACTGTGGTCACCGAGAAAGAACTCGTATCTGAACCTGAAGAGGATGCCGAAGTACTGTCATCCGAAGATGAAGACCCGGAAGCTGCTGCTGAATCGCAAGAAAAGCTTCAAAGTGTCTTAAAGGGGTCTGGGAAGGATCCCTATCCAGACTGGAAAGCTGGAGATCCGGTACCTTTTGCCGCCCTTTGCACTACATATTCAAAGATTGAAATGACAACCAAACGACTAGAGATTTCGGCCCACTGTTCAAAGTTCCTACAGCAGGTCCTGCGTTTAACGCCAGATGATCTCCAAGTTGTAGTATTACTTATGATCAACAAGCTTGCAGCTGACTACGTCGGAATCGAGCTCGGCATTGGAGAGTCACTGATAATGAAAGCTATTGGTGAAAGTACTGGTAGAAGCTTGGCCATCATCAAGGCCGACCAGAAAGACATAGGAGATTTGGGCCTCGTAGCGGCGAAGAGTCGATCAAATCAGCCGACTATGTTCAAGCCAAAACCTTTGACTGTTCGTGGCGTTCAAGAATCTCTGATGACCATTGCGCAGACAGAGGGTAAAGGTGCCCAAGAGCGGAAGGTTGGTGGCATCAAGAAGTTACTTTCTGCTGCAGATACCCAATTTGCAGGCAAAGGTTCGAAAGGCATCGATATTACGAAAGACAAAGGAGGCCCAAGTGAGTCCAAGTTCATCGTAAGGATGCTGGAAGGAAAGCTTCGACTTGGACTGGCTGAAAAGAGTGTCTTGGTAGCGTTGTCGAATGCTGTGGTCATGCACGAGAGCAAGGTCAAAACTGGCAAAGATGCTAGCGGACAAAAGATTGCCGAGGGCGAGCGAATGCTGAAGTCAATCTACAGGTAAAAAAAATCGGACGTACTTAGATGAACACAGCTAATCATTTCCGCAGCGAGCTACCCAGCTACGAAGTCATCATTCCCGAGATGCTCAAGCATGGAATTATGAAGCTAAGGGATCACTGCAACCTCCGACCCGGGGTTCCCTTGAAGCCCATGCTTGCTAAACCTACTAAGTCGATTACTGAAGTCCTCGATAGATTCGAGGGAAAGGACTTCACTTGCGAATACAAGTACGATGGCGAGCGAGCTCAAATTCATTACGTGTCCAAGGATGCAGACGAAGTATTTGCAACTGCTGCACCGTCTGCGGGAAAGTCTGAAGGTGGCGTCTCTAACATTTTCTCAAGGAACTCGGAGGATCTATCAAAGAAGTATCCAGACATCCTTCAAAGACTCCCGGCATGGGTCAAACCGGGTACAAAAAGTTTCGTGCTGGATTGTGAGACTGTTGCGTGGGACGTCAAAGAGAAGAAGGTACTTCCATTCCAGCAGCTTATGACAAGGAAGCGCAAAGATGTCAAGGCAGAAGAGGTGACCGTTCAAGTGTGCGTATTTGCATTCGATCTGCTATACCTGAATGGCGAAGCTCTCGTGAACAAATCTTTCCGTGAGCGACGCGAGGCGCTTCGTGGAGCTTTCAATGAGACTGAAGGAGAGTTCAAGCTTGCACAATACGGCAATACCAACGAGCTAGAAGAGATACAGATCCTTCTGGAGGACTCTGTGAAGGCGTCCTGTGAAGGCTTGATGGTGAAAATGCTTGACGGGCCCGAGAGTAGCTATGAACCTAGCAAACGCTCACAGAACTGGCTCAAAGTCAAGAAAGATTATCTTTCAGGCGTTGGCGACTCTCTTGATCTCGTAGTCCTTGGAGCCTACTTCGGCAAAGGCAAGCGCACCTCTTGGTATGGTGCATTCCTCCTTGCATGCTACAACACAAACAAGCAAACATACGAGACTGTCTGTAATATTGGTACAGGCTTCTCCGAAGCGATTCTTGAGGAATTCCACACAAAGCTATCTGAGAACACCATTGATCACCCAAAGCCATTCTACTCGCATTCTGCAGGTAACAAGGACCAACCAGATGTTTGGTTCGAGCCGAAATTTGTCTGGGAGGTCAAGACGGCAGACCTGACCCTCAGTCCGAGATACAAGGCTGCTGCCGACCAGCTCGGCAAAGGCGTGAGTCTAAGATTCCCGAGGTTCATAAAGGTACGAGAAGACAAGAAGCCGGATCAGGCGACAAGCAGTCGCCAGATAGCCGAGATGTACCAAAGACAGGAAAGCGTGGCGAAAAATAAGGGGCCAGCTGCAGATGACGATTTCGAATACTAAGACGAGTCTGAACCATTTCAATACTTTCGAGGAATGGTCCACAGCTGAAGGACGTTCGTGTGTATTAGACGGTTATGAACAACTGCACATGCATGATTTTGCCGGGGACTCCGTCTGACGTTCAGGAGCCATTTGTGCTAGTACGGCAAGTACATTCACGACTGGCGTTGCAACATGAGTATCATCATAAAAACCGAGATATTTGAGCAGGGTAATTACACTATGCCCATGAACTGATAAATTTTGTACATCAATGTGAAATGATAGCTCAAGAAAGGTGTAACAGAAAGACCTCATCTGCGCCATCCAAGCGCTGCTCTTGCGGAGACAACCGCTGCGGCAGCTCGCGCTCGCCCTGTCCACAAGAGAAATGCGCTCTAACAATGTTTGTAGGGTTACATGTGATCGCCAAAGCCCCCGCCATGGCCTGATGTAGGATATGGGTATTCCGAGTAATAGAAGATAAAGATATGAGCGACATAAGTATAAACTAGGGGCGAAAACAGTCAACGCCAATGTCGTGCAAGGACTTTAGGAATAATATGCGCCTCATGATAGTAGATCAAATCAAGCAAGATCCACGTGAACCGCACCAGAGTTCCCTCACAACCACGTTATGTCCGCGCCGTTATAATGCATCCAGCTTTTTCATCATTCCGGCAAAAGTATGCAGTAACCCAAAAAGGAAGAACTGAAGAAAGTAAGAAGACGCATGAGAGAAGGATGTACGTATATGTCGTAGATGGTGAGGCGTGAGTGCTGTACGATGCGCTGGAATAAATCAATGCATCAGACCTTGGGTGTTGGACTGATCAACGACATTGTCTGAAAGATTGATGAGAAGTTGAGCCAGGCATCGCTTGGTCGCAGCGTCATCGCGGAGGACGGAGGAGAATGTTGCATCACGGAGAGGTTCCGGAAGGCATTGGCGTAAAGCTTCACGTGCCCGAGCGTTGTCACTAAGTCTTGGTTGTGTTAGGCTGGATCATGTTGGCGCGAGTTCTAAACATACCTGAGGAAGCACCGCACAACATGCTTAAGCAAGCGAACAGTTTGTTGTTCGACTAGCTGGTTCACCATGTTGCTAAGCACTGTGCCAACCGCGTAAAATCTCTCATATGTCTGACAGATGTACGCAAGCCCGATATCATCGAGCAGGATCTTCTGAACGATGAAGATTGCAACAGTTTTGCTCAGCTCGGAGCCTGTCTCCATTATCCGTAGGCATAAGGGGATGATTTCAGTGGTAAGGAGAAAGTTGATTACATCGGAGGAGTCGTTCTTCACAAGGGCACCAATGACCCCGAGTGAAGTGAGTCTGAGATATTCGAAAGGCCGGGATTTAGATGTTGTATTCAGAAACGGGTACAGGAACAAGGGAATGTGAGCTAGAGTGCATTGTATCAGTAGTTGTCCGCGATATCGTTTGAGTGAGTGGCTCGCAGCACGTACCGCTAAGGAAGAGACCTCGAGTGTCTGGGTGCGACGCGACACATTGAAGCAAAGCAAGAGCATTACAGACTCGGTTAGAAGCCGCTGCGGTGAGCTGCGACGGATTCAGTAGCGGATATACTGAGATGATCTCCTGAAGTAACGAGGCCATGACGCCTGCCATCATATATTAGCGATGCTAAGCTATAGATTTGTCAACGTACCAAACGAATGCCACAGTATCAGAGCGAGCTCATGAACCTGTTCTCTCTTCTTGCTCAGCTCTAGTAAGGCTGACTCTCGCGTGTTCGTTTTCATCAATTGCGCGATCCATTCGAGCACCCGTCTGTTCTCATCGCTAATCGAATCATGCGCCATAAGACTCTGGCTATGATCTCCAGGCCCATTTCCACTGATCCCAGGTATGTTCGAGTTGCTATTGGCTGCTATGCGATTATAGTGTTGTTGCTGGGCTGCTGCTGCCGCTGCCGCTGCTGCCTGGGTAGCATGTTGCTGTGATACATGATGTGGGTGCTGCTGCTGGTGATGGTTCTGCGGCCAGTCGGAGGGGTTGTAGAGCTGGTGCTGATGCGAGAAGACGTGTTGCTGCGCTCCTTGCAGCATCATAGATGTGTATAGGCTCTCAGAGGCTAGATAAATATGAGGTTCTTTGAGGTGTTTGGCGACAAAGGTGTTCAGGAAAGTAAAAGGTAATGTAGTCGAGTGGATGGAGGTGAGGTTAGATGAGCACTCGCTTCGGAGCTGTACCGGGCACGTGGTCCGTGGGTGCGCTGACTTGGGCTTTACTACGATGGATCGGCCCAAACCCGGTATTAATCTCCTCGCGGTAATGTCTGCGGTGAACCTTCCGGTGAGAGATCGATCTTGAAAGTAAATACGGCCTCGTCATCATAACGACTAGCTGAACGTCAATTGATGGAATCTGAACGCCATGGACGCGCAGCAACAGGACCATCGGATCAGCATTGGAGAATTTATTGAGAGCTCCATACTAGATACTTGCGTGCCCGCAGCATCATCCACGGACATACAAGAGCTACTACAGGGTTGGGATGGCCATGAGAGCGACACGTCTTCTGCATTACTACCATACATTGCCGAACGAGAGACACTGTTCTTCGGTGCGTTTGCACTCGTCTCAGGTTACGTGACATTCGTCTTACTTATTCTAGGGTTACAGATGAACAAGTTACCGTGTATGTTGTGCTAAGAACACCGTACATCGAAGAGAGCCTTCTCAAATCATACCTTTCGCGGCTGATTCTGACTCTCGAGTGCCGTGTCACAAGTACAGCACCGCCGCCCAAGGTACAAGGCGAGCAAGTTCCGCCTACGAAGGAGCTGTTGATTTCAGAAACCATCAAAGACTCCTGGGAGCCATTGGTCATTATATCTAAGGAGCATGACCTTCAAAAAAAAGGTGCTTCGGCACATATGCATCTTATATGGAAAGCCGATATCTGTTTAGGTTTGTAAGGGACCCATTGAGGACAGATGCAAAGCTAATCTTTCCAGGACATCCACGAATTAGACTGAGTCGACCAGCCATTTACTTCGTTGTCAGTGCATCGTCCCGTGCAGTAGAACCTACCGAGAGCACTGATGCAGAAGATGAATATATGGCCAGTCTCGAACCTTCACCTCTCAATCTACTTCAGGCCTTCTCCGATAATCCAAGCTTCGGGAATACGAGGCCGAAGTTATCAGCGATACGAGCTACGAAACTGTCTTTGACAAATCCACTTTCGAGGGAATTATTGCGGCCAATCCGAAACGCTACTCGACGACTGTTCAAAGCTGCGCCGGCGTTCATTTGGAGAATCAGATATACTCGCTGGCATTCGTCCACTAGCGTCAACGCAGTTGTCGCTTCACTGGATATTGAAGCTACTTCTTTCGCTGGTGGCCACGTTACTATCAAGGACGTGAAAATCATCTTGACAGAAGGACACGTGTTGCCCTACCCAGTTATCGGGTTTGACAAAGACACGACTCAGTGCAAGCCCGGTGACCAAATCACTATGCTTTTCAAACTAACTTCAGATGCTTCCAGTCGGTTCACGAGGTCCCAAGAGAAGATCGTGTGTCCGCTGCACTTGACGATCAACGCGGAAGTCCTAATCTCAAATGTATGCAAACCCTCCGTCACAGTGTCTTGGCGAACAGCAGTCGAGTTTTCAGCAGATTTAATACCAGACCCTGGCAAATCATACACGCTCGAACGACCTGTTTCACAAGCCAGCGTTCCACGGGTCGAGAGCTCTGGTAACACCCAACTGTCTTCCAGTAATCCGGGGCCAGATTCCCTACCAAATGTTGAGGATAACGAAACGTTTTCAGGCCTGCATACTTTGTCAGATATCAGCATGGCTGTTACAGTAACAGGGCCACAAAAGATACGCATGGGAGAATCATTCAAATGGGATATCTTCATTGTCAACAAGTCGGAGACCCCTCGAAGGTTAGCCGTGGCAGCCATACCACGACGCAGGAAAGGGGATCACAAGGGACATGCTACCAATGCGTCCTCGAGCTCACATAAACTTGACTTGAATGACGCTATCGCTGATGCCATTGTCGATGAGAATGTAGTCTATGCGAGGCAGCGCAATGCCAAAGCGGAACCAGTGGAATTGATCTGCCTGAGTACGGATGTTCGGATAGGGTATGTCTCTCTTTCTCACGAGCCAGAACATACTAATCTTTGACAGACCACTGGCGCCAGCTGCATGTTATAACGCAGAAATGAGTTTTCTGCCATTAGCGACGGGTTCCTTAGGCGTCGATGCCCTGCGATTCATAGACATCGCAAGCCAGGAGTGGGCGGATGTACGCGATCTGCCAAGCATAATGTGTTACGAGCAACTTGCCACCAATGTTTAAGGGAGGTAAGAGCTAGTAGATGTATGTATATATGACGGATCGCGCCACAATCTTGTTGACGACTCATGGGTAGAGCCATAGTGTCGTCGACGCAGAGATATCTGCAACGGCGATAACCGCAGGCGTATATATACGTACTGCTCGCAAATCGGCTGTCACGCTTGGCTTGTCGTTCACCCTCTATTCCCTTGTGTGTGGTCGTTTCACGTGAGATCCGTCACTTTTGTAGAGCCTGATAACCTTGGCACTCGTATTATCGGGTCGTAATATATCAACTTATAATATATTAAAGTAGATATAGTAAGTAGTTAACTATCTAAGAGTATCTCTATAAGTTTAGATTAATCTTATAAGAACTTCTTATAAATATCCTTATAAAGAGAATATTAGATATAGAGATAATATATTATAATTTTCTTTTAAGTCTTCTTTTCTCTCTTTTAATATTTAAGATTCCTTTATTATAAAAAGCTTAAATCTCAAAGGTTATGAACAATTTACTATCTTAATTTATTATATATAATATGGATATATGTATTTAGATATAGAAGAGCTTAAAAATATATGTGAATGAATGCCTTACCTGCGCACTCGCACGAGTGCTAAGTTTAACAGGTTTTAGGCAAGTGATAATAATTCCGTGGCACTTAAAACAAACCAGGCTTCGCCTCAGCCTCCATCCAACTCCACATAGGTTCGGCCTGGAAGCTCGTTACGTCGACTCCCCGACGTCAGACCTCTTGCATCACTCTACGACCAAAGTAGTTTATGTACTTGGCTCGTATCAGCACTCATCAGTTACAGTATTGTCATTTTCAGGCCCCTTAGCAGATACTGCTCACGTATCCTGAAGCCCGCATAGTGCTGCTCGCTCGGGAAACCGACACCCACGTCATCCGCACTTATTTCAGCCTGTACGACCTAACAAGATGGTCGAAGCACCACAAGGAGGTCGACTTCTGCGCACCCTCAATAGCAGATACATCTACGGCAGAGTCGTGAGTTTGTCCATCAGTCGTTATTGCTCTCCAACTTATATCCTCTCAGCCTTTACTCCACTGTCTGGTATTCCTCATCGAGATGGCCTTCGTCTCACTACTCGTGCGGCGATTCAATTCATACTATGCGAATAAGCCAGGTGCGTCACTTAAAAGATTATACAACCTTAAGACAAGTACTAATTATCCTCTACAGTCCTCACTACAATGATAACCAACGCCGTTCGTATTTCTACACATCTATCTTGGTCGTAGCGTCACTGACAATACGAACTTCTCCAGGTCCTCGGTGGCATAGCAGACACCGTAGCGCAATCCTTGACGGCAATAAAAGCGCGTAATAGCAGGAAGTTGGCATCAGGCAAAGATGACTTCATCTCTATCGAAATACACGAATTGGGAAAGAAGGATTGGCCCGGCGAGCTGGTTTCCACCAAAGGCCTCCCTCCACCCTTTGACTTCGAACGACTTACCCGGTTCATGGCCTACGGTTTTCTCATGGCGCCTGTTCAGCATAAATGGTTCGCATTCCTATCCTCGACGTTCCCTATTACCAAAACGTCCGCTCTCGTACCAGCCTTGAAGAGGGTCGCCTTCGACCAGTTCTTGTTCGCTCCTATTGGTACTCGGTCCCCAGTCAAGTTCACCGTTTATATTTGCTAACAGTAGTGCAGGCCTGGCGTGTTTCTTCACATTCATGACCGTTGCTGAAGGTGGCGGCAAGCGTGCTGTAGCGCGCAAGTTTCAGGATGTTTACGTTCCCGCACTCAAGGCCAATTTCATGGTATGGCCAGCCGTCCAGATCCTTAACTTCAGGGTGATGCCTATTCAGTTCCAAATTGTAAGCTCAAGTCTACCAGGGTCTCTTATACGTGATGTCTGACATAACCATAGCCCTTTGTTTCGACCATTGGTATCGCATGGACAGCGTATCTATCACTGACCAATTCTTCAGAGGAAGAGTGAAATGACAAAAGAAACTTGGCTAGATTTTTTGGAGAGCTTTAATTCGTACCGTCATGGCGTCATGGCTTTTTTTTACGGCGGTCGGATGATGATCGTGTTCGACGAGCACAACTAAGCATTTCATGGCGCTTATGGTGTAGGTGGTTTACCTTACTCTTCGTTGCTATCTCGTATTCTCTTATGCAAAACTCTACAGCCTTCTCAGCCTTTATAGTCCTTGGTGGTCGTAGACTCATGGGTGAAAGGCTGCCTCTGCCTACGCGGGCACCTATAAAGACTCAGCCGGTAAATCTGAGTAAGCTATCACAATTAAAAGTAATATGTCAGATCCTGCAAGTAGAGAAGAGAGTCTCCTCATTAGCTGAAACATTTTTTAGGAATATTTGAGTCTAATGGTCTAATCTTACCTAGTAGGATTCCACGCCTCGCTCCGTGATTACGATACGTGATGATCATTCCTTGGGCCCGCCAAACATCCGATGAGCTAATGTTCGCACCACACAGAATGCAACTACACTTATGCCTACGTCTTTTGATTAATTGTATGCTTGGATGGCTAATGAATCGTTGGATCAACGAATAGACATTAACTCTCTATTTCTATTCATTGGCTGGAAATACCGTGAAGGTCAGAGTACTCGAATTAAAGATAAGCTATGAATCCATTTGGGCTGCCCGTCGTCACACCCTTGCACTAAAAGCCGCAACCCCACCAAGCACGCTGAGCCCCGCCATACATAACAGCTCGGGTTACCCTACAGAATCCTCTTCAAGGCCCTCCAGTCGAACTCTCCCAATTGCTATTTCAAGATGTCTCTATCCAACAAACTTTCAATCACTGATGTTGATCTGAAGGGCAAACGGGTCCTGATTCGCGTAAGTAAACGCTACGCAAACTTCCGTCTCAATGCGTACCTAATTGGTTGACTCTCCCAAGGTGGACTTCAATGTACCCCTAGACGGAGACAAAATCACGAACAATCAGCGTATTGTTGGCGCGCTGCCCACCGTCAAATACGCAATTGATAATGGCGCGAAAGCTGTCATACTTATGTCCCATCTTGGGCGTCCCGATGGCAAGGTCAACTCGAAATACAGCTTGAAGCCAGTAGTGCCAGAGCTTGAGAAACTTCTTGGAAATAAGATAATATTTACCGAAGACTGCGTAGGGAAACAGACCGAAGACGCCGTAAATGGCGCCTCGAATGGACAAGTCATTCTACTTGAGAACCTACGTTTCCATGCCGAGGAAGAGGGCAGTAGCAAAGATACCGAGGGCAACAAGGTCAAAGCAGACAAGGCTAAGGTCGACGAGTTCAGGAAAGGATTGACAGCCTTGGGAGATGTCTACATAAGTAAAGCCTCCTCTCAGGCGCCATGAGATTATTGCTGATAGCCATTAGACGATGCTTTCGGTACTGCTCATCGAGCTCACAGCTCAATGGTCGGTGTTGATCTCCCTCAGAAGGCTTCCGGTTTCCTCGTCAAGAAGGAACTCGACTACTTTGCGCAAGCCCTCGAGAATCCACAGCGACCCTTCCTGGCTATCCTCGGCGGTGCGAAAGTCACGGACAAGATCAAGCTAATTGATAATCTGCTAGGCAAGGTCAACAGTATCATCATATGCGGCGGGATGGCTTTTACGTTCAAGAAGACACTCGAGAATGTGAAGATCGGGAAGAGTCTCTTCGATGAAGAGGGTAGCAAGACCGTCAAAGACATAGTGGAGAAGGCAAAGAAGAACAATGTCAAACTTGTCCTTCCAGTCGACTATATTACTGCCGATGACTTTAAGAAGGACGCAAAAACAGGCACTGCAACAGACGAGGAAGGTATCCCAGACGGCTGGATGGGCTTGGATGCGGGCCCTAGGAGCATTAAGCTGTTCGCTGATACCATTAATGAGTCAAAGACGATCTTGTGGAACGGCCCACCTGGTGTGTTCGAATTCGACAACTTCGCAAACGGTACCAAGAAGACCATGGACGCCGCTGTAGCTGCGGCTCAAAGTGGGAAGATTGTCATCATTGGAGGTGGAGACACTGCAACCGTCGCTGCGAAGTATGGTGTAGAGGACAAATTGAGCCATGTTTCAACTGGCGGGGGTGCTTCACTGGAATTGCTTGAAGGCAAAGATCTACCGGGTGTCTCTGCTCTCTCAAGTAAGTAGACTGTTCGTTTGTTGGAATTGGTGGCTCTGATAGATCGAAGGGTCGATCGCCAGGCTCTAAGACGTGTACCATTGATAAGCAGATAGTATGCCTTGAGAGACGAATATACATCTTGATGGTCTCTGGTAAGAGGGTTCAATAAAATTGGCTCTTAGCCTTCTCAAGAGGTCAATCAATTCATGTGCTTGCATGCATCCTTCCTGTAACAGGAAAGTGACTGAGCTTGCCATAGTCTTATCCGAATCGTGATCGATGGATGTCTTTCACTGCCTGCTGACTCTGACTCTACCTCTGCCTCTGCCTCAACCGCGCTTCGACCCGTTTACTTTGCTCACTTCCTCCCTGTAACCGCAGCGTGTCAGTACATATGTTCCATCTACCAGCTGATCCACTCTTACTTCAGTTGCGTGGAGAAGTCATCAGTTGTATCGTCATCGTCCCAGCTCTCCTCCCATAGATGTGTGTTGCCGCTTGGTAGCTCGGTATCTTCCTGTGGCCAGTCTACCACGGAGTCGTCAGTACACCACTCGCATATTCTCGGACTAGGACATACCTTCGACGGGAAAGTCTTCGAACTCATCGTCCTCTTCGAGCGTCGCCGCCGGCTTCTGCTGGTCTTTGGCAGTTTCGCTGTTGTTGGACTCGCCGACGATGGCTTTTGAGGTTGTCGCAGATCCTGAAGCTGCGCCAGACATTTTGAGTAAAGCACCACGTTATGTTGATGGTGAGATTTCGACAGTGAGAGACCGTGACGTGGGGGAGAAAGCGAGGTTACATATTGTGACCTGCTGAAGTTCCGATGTAGATGCCAAACGGTTACTCAGCTGCTGTTTGATACCATATTCGGTTTAGCGTGATCTAAGACATAAAGATGCCGCTGATACGTCAGCTTTGGAGGTAGTCGAAACCCATTCCTGCTTTCTTCGGAATGCCTAGTGAGCATATCGCGACAAAATTTCTCGATAAGTTTTCTCTCGTGAGAGTCTCTTGAAAGTGCCTGATTTCATCGATATTGCACAACGTGAGCATGAGTTTGCGAAGCTTACTAGGCAGGGGCCAGCCCAATGGTTCGACACAATCATTGAGTGCTCTGGATGAGCCGAACCTGAGTTTGTCTACCGTCAGTATATAGCTAGCATTATGCTAATACGCGAGAAGTTGCGGATGCTATGGAAGGTACACAACAAAGCATATGCCTGGTCCTTCAACTATACTGATCACCTGATTTCACAGGCGCTGCTTTGATAATGAACGATGACGTGGATGGTGCTGAGACACGTCTCAGTCGGATGAATTCTCCATTTCACAAGGTATGCTTCGGTGAATCAGCTGCACTCACTCGAGTACGTCCATTCTCAAACAAGTTTGATTAGATGGGCCAGGGAGTCGTTGTCTTCTTACGAGCCACCCTAGGATTTGAGCCAGAGATCATGCGTCAAGGTAGACATCTAAGGCTCATAGCAAAGTGAGCTGACTGACAGTAATTAGCCTCAGAAAAACTTAGTGAGGCAGAAAGCAGCGCCTACGAGCATCACAAACATGCTCTAAAGAGAGGATCCACGTATGGGTCCATCATCTATCCAGCGGGGACTGAATTTGCTCTTTGTCAAGCACAAGCGCAGCTGCTGGGTGCTGTTCTTGCCGTGCTGAATGAAAGCTTGCCAGAGAGCATTAAGGGCTTCTATAAAATGCGAAAAGCTTATGTGACTCTTGACAGCATTCTGTCTTCGGAGACGGCCTATGTTCATAGCAGCAGCACAAACAATCCTGCAGATACCCACAGAAGGTCTTTAAAGTCTCTCCCTGCCGTATCTGGGAAGGTCCATATTGCTGGTAATAGCCGTCCCGGCACAGAACTTCCTTCGCAGCAACCGTCGACAGAAGCAAGCAGTGAAGCTGTCAGTCGGAACAATAGTGATGATGAAGATGAGTTTTTCGAAGCTGACGAGGACCACGAAGGAGCTTCGACACCACAGGAATATATTGGAAACCTTACCGAGAACGAGCCAAGTGACTCGAAACCTGACAGTACACGGTCCGCTATCTACCAGTTAGAACGCAAGTTTACGAGCGTAACTTTGACGGACGGACCAGAGAAAGAACTGTTCAGCGAGCATCCTACAGATGGCTTCATCCACGCTGGCTCAAACCTTTGCTTTGGCATTCTATCGTTAATCATCTCCATGATACCGCCAGCTTTCTCGATGCTCCTTAAAATTGTAGGGTTCCACGGTGATAAAGAGCGCGGTATACAGATGCTTTGGCAATCAACCAAGTTCAATAACGTGTATGCTGCCATTGGGGGTCTTGTTCTATTTGGTTACTACCATGGTATCATGGGTTTCTGTGACATTCAACCCCCGAGTGGACCAGGTTCCTACCCAAAGGAACAGCTGAGTATCCTATTAGTAGCAATGCGAGAGCGGTTTCCAAAAAGTGCTTTATGGAGATTGGAAGAGGCACGAATGATGGCCAATGAGAAACGACTCGAAGAGGCAGTTGAGTTCATGGACAAGTCAGAACCGAGCGCCATGGAGCAAATCGATGCTCTGGCATGGTTTGAACGATGCTTGTATCTCATGTACCTGCATCGCTACGAGGAAACATCGAAGGCATTCCAAGAGGTTTGTAAAACTACGCGAATGCCTCAATGATATGTACTGAATCTCCACAGCTATGTACTAAGAACAACTGGTCCCATGGTTTATACCTATACATTGCAGCATCTGCGCATGTCGAGCTATACAGAAAATACAAAAAATCGGAACCCGACGAAGCTGTAAGCATCAGCCATTACCCTTCCCAGATACAAGTTTACAATTGACACTTCTAGGCTCGTCAAGCCAAGATAGCCACCGACCTATTCCACCGTGTGCCCCAGAAAGCCGGCCGGAAACGCTTCCTCGCCCGCCAACTTCCATTCGACACCTTCACCATGCGCAAGATATCTAAATGGGATGCACGCGCCCGTGACCGCAAGATTCCTTTCATCGACGCCATCGGCGTATCCCCTATCGAGGAAATCATTTATTTCTGGAACGGCTACAAGCGCATGGGGCCTCAGCAACTGCAGATGACGCTTGCGAATCTTGGGTGGCCAGATCAAAACGCGTACCATGGCTGGAGTGAGGAGATTGACGAACATTCTATCCAAACGCTTTTGAAAGCGATAACGATCCGACACATGGGAGACTTTCAAGAGGGCAGGAGATTGCTCTCAGAGGAGATTATGGGGCACGACCGGGCGCTTTTCAAGGGGCATCTAAAGGATAGTTGGACGGCGCCGTGTGCACGGTATGAGTTTGCGGCGAGTTTGTGGGTTGAAATGCAGAAGAACGGCGAGGAGGACGCTCTGAAGCTGCAGGAGATATCAGGTCATCTCGAGGAGGTCTCGCGGTGGGAAAGCTACGATCTAGATGCCAGGTTCGTGTTTCCTTCACATAATGTGCTATGGCCATTGCTGACTAGTAAAGAATGGGTATCCGCATTACGACGGCAAAGGATACACTAAAACAGCTGGATGTACGACCGACTATATAATATGGCCAGAGTTCGAGACACGCGCGTACCACAAGTTAGCTTGATATATACTCATGGTAAGCTCTACTATGATATCGTAGCCATAGTATGATAGTAACGTTTCAAGGAATAGATACAAGTATAGACGTTTCTAGACTTAATATCCCCATATTCGGGACGCCGTTGCCGTTACTCCTAGACAAAATACAGAGCAGACTTCAGAATGTCACTCAATTTAGCTACAAGAAGTATTTCTTTAAGATACCATATTCTATGGCCATGTGAAAGAAGTGGGCCTGTGACTGGGCTGCAAGATGTTAGACGTCCCTCTGCCATTGTCTAGACATCATAGCATCATAATGACTCGGTTCCTGGACGCCATCCTTTACAGATGGGGTTCGTCATCAAGCGATGTGGAGGGGGACGCCAATCATGCCATACCATTCCTCTTTCCGTCACTGAGAGCGTTCAAAGAAAGAATTCGGAAGTCTAACTTAGCATACGGATCATGAACAGGCAGATCGTGATCCACCAATTCTGTCGTCGACTCGTATGTCATTTTCTCTTCAACAGTGAGGTCTGACGTTGCAGCTTTTATCCTGACGAACGCAAGGGTGATGATGAGCGAGACTACTGCTACAGCGAATCCAAACCATAACGCCGCTTTGAAGCTCCAGATTTCGCCGTGCTTTCGCTGAGAGATCGCAACAACTTCTGCGCATCCAATGAAAAGTGCCGTGCCAAGGTGAACAAGCGCACTGTTGATAGCGTTCGCGATGCCTTGCTCCTTGAGCGGAACGCTATTCGAGATCTGGCAAAGTCAGTAAGGGCTTCTCCAAGTGGCGCAAGGAGATACCCACGAAGACATTTGAGACCGTGAAGGACGTGTCGACACCAATAGTGGCACATATCATGGCTGGGAAGGTGAAAGCCCAGTAATTGGCTCCTGGAGGTGCGATTGCGAAAAGTAACGGCGCGACGATAAATGTGACACTTGCGATAATCAAGAGAATGGTACCAGAAATTCGGTCCAAGATCTTGCCACTGACGAGAGCAATAATAGCGCCGCCAACCACCATGGGTAAGAACCAAGAAACAATTTGGATAGATGATGCGCCCATTGCCTTCGTCATGCTGTTGGGTTGTTAGATCCCTAGCTGATGAAGACAAGTCGAAGCTTGAAATGATCACGACTTACTAGAATGTACCATAGTACATGTATATGCTCAACGCTCCCCACTCAAGAAGGAGCGATAACATCAAAGCTTTCATGTACTTAACTTTGAAAACACTTGGGGGTATAAGAGGATTGGTGGCGATCCAGCCTTCGTAAAATGTCGTAATGATCGTAGATCCAATACCTACAGCGAGGGTACCGAGAACGTGAGGTGAAAGCCATCCTTTCTTTGCATGTGCGCTCTCGGTGATGGCGAATACAATCAGAATAACAGTTATTGGTATTGTGAAAAAGCCAATCCAGTCCATCCGGACACCCATGCCTTTGCGCTCCTTGATGTCAGACGGTATGGTGAACCACGCCACGACAGCGGTGGAAGCTGATATTCCACCGCCAATCCAAAAGTACAGCTTCCAATTGACATACTCCTGACTGAGTCCGGCGGATAGGATTCCTAGGAAGAAACCCAGAGGAGCACAGGCGCCGTATATGGCGAAAACGATGTTCTTGCGGGGGCCAGGACGGTAGATGCTACCAATAAGCATGAGACCGGCGGGAAGAAACGATGCTGCTCCGATACCCTGGGATACGCGGCATAAGTTAAGCATAAGCTCGTTTCGAGCAAAGCCGGCAGCGACAGCCGTCATGGTAAGCCATACTAAACCCGCCACATAAAAGGGGAAGCCACCGTACATATCTATGAGCTAGATCAGTAGTGAACCATCACACACCCCAAATATAATCTACCTGATAAACGACCCATGGGAAGCAAAAGAGCGCAAATTGCTAGTGGGAATGCTTCGGCTGGCCAAGTTTGTTTTGCGGGTGGAATGTTGAGGTCCTCAACCGCGCGGGGAATGATCACATTGAACCCAGACGTGGAGTACTCCACCAGAATCTGAGACATGGCGATCGAGAAGACAAATCCTACTTCTTGCCAGAAAGTCCGGAGGCCATCAGGTCGTTTGTTTCCAAGGATCCCTAGATGAGCTTTTCTGGATGCCTCGTCATCAAAGTTCGCAAGAATCGTCAAGCTGCGAAGGCTGGTTCCGGTAGTATGACTACATGGAGCGCAAAGGGTTACCTCGCTGATATTGATAGCGAGCGGGGAACTGGTTCTATGACACCTCTATGAGCAAGCTGGGTTAAGGCCAAGATTGAATTTCACCAACACAGAAGGGGTTTTGTCGACCATCGTTGCTTTTAACGAAAGTGTGGTACCAAGAGACGAGAATCAATCATCAAGCAAGGTTCTTTCGTTACTCGTCAGAATGGAAATTGTAGAGCGGCTTCTGCTAATGAGTCGGTGCCATACTGGTGATGCAAGCACCAAAAAGAGAGATGATAATGTAAGAAAGGCTGGGACTCATTCGTGCGATCTGGAGGAGAGTAACGGGTAGACGAGTAAATATAAGATTAAACAGGGCGTAATTACGCATTACGATCGCTTCCAAGTCTGAAAGAGCAGATGGCGAACTACGGCCAGTGCTCCATTCGCCGGTACTAGCCTCTGAACGCAAGGGAAACACAGTGTAGAGGGAAGGCATCGAGTGATGCTCCTGTTCACATGTGGTATCCATCTCCACAACAACTCCATGTGGCTACGAGTTTCAACGAGCTCCCGCTCTAGGGTGCAATGAGTATCCGAGCTCCTTCTCATACTTAGTTCTTTGCTTAAATTGAGGCATTACAGTAATTATCAACTAGAGAATGTGATAGAGATGGTTCGTGGCGGTCCTGTCGGTCACATAAAGGAATATAGTCGGCTATTCACGACTTGAAATTGGTAAGTAAGTCTGCCCGTTCTTAACGTTATTGCGGCACAATCTGTGCGGTCGGCCGTAAGAAGCGACTGTTCGTGTAGGCCTTCATCTAGAAAGGTAAGTGAAGATTTCATAGCCCTAATGGGCTAGAGTGTTGAACGATGTGGCTGGGTGAAGACAGGGATACTATCGAGCCGCAATGGCATGCTCGCGCTGGGTGTGTATCCCGAAGTTATCTCCGCCATCGCTTAACAGATGATGAGGTCAGCGAGAGTGAAACAGCAAATGGAGACCCAATGGCAAGGAGGACATGGACAGCTCTGTCTCTGTTGGAGACAATCCGGTCGTTTGTCCGGCCAAACCTCACGGCGGCTCTGCTTGCTCATGCCTGTCCCGGGAACTCGAAGGATGGATGTCCTTGTGCCTTCACTACGCAAGAGTGATCGGCAAATTTTCTAGAATGCATTTCCCTACCCTTGATGTAAAGGATCTTTGTTCATTGCTCCCTTCGATCGACAAGTTTCCGTGCTGTAGAATCTCCATAGATCTTTTAGTGATATCAGTATTTAGTTGCAAATATTAAAGAATCATGGTAAGGTGACACAGCTTAGCGCCCCCGGCCAACGGGATACCTTGCTAACAATAATTTCACCGAGCGGGCCATGCCGCTGTTCGAGATCTTCTGGGCCAGCTCTATGTTCACATTTGACGTGAGCACTATGAGCAGCGAAATGTCCGTCATGGCCAGATGAGGCACGGTTTGACTTCAGATGATTGATGGTAGCCTTCCTCACTAGTTTACTTGCATATAAGGTTGATCCTTGACTGACTCGTTGCTCGCATATTACTAGTTAGGCTTGGTTTTTCGACTATGCTGATCGTCTGTGCATTACGACGAGTATCAATTTTTAGGTCTGTCAATAAATTGATCGACATGTCTATACATGCTTCACCTTTTCCACTTGCTTTGCGTTTGCCTCAAGACACATCAGCGGGATGCAAGTGAGGATTGAAGATGAGACAATGTGAGTTGGACTCCATTAATTACACAATAAGCATTCAGGGTCACCTGGAAACCCACCCCTCTGTCTGAGACCCGGTGCTCATGACAACGCCGCCATTATGCAACCTTTGGGCCTACATGGAACCAAACGCAACGCCGGTGATATGTTGACACCAATGCTAAGAACCAAACGGCTTGAAAAATGACCCACTATACAACGCTGTAACGACCGGAAGCTGGAGCGCGGAGGGCAGTTGTCGCCGCTGCAATCGTACCCTCTTTGAGCAGCCTGTCCAACTCTGCAACGGCACCTTTGACCTGCATCTCAGTATCTCCTTCGATGAGAATATACAGCTTTGGTGCTTCGCCCTCTTCTGGCTCCTTGCCTGCTGCATAGAAATTGCCCTTGGTAGTGATAGAGGTACCAGTGGCATCGAGAATCTTGGCAACATTGGTACGGTTTGTGACGGCCCAGCGGGCTTTCTGCGGGAAATCATTGATGTTGATCGTAGTATGATAGAGTCCAGCGTCAGGACCTCTGTTATCGATAGGTTGACCAGGGAATATTGTACCACGTTTACTCAAACGATTGTTGACCTTATCCGCAGCGGCTCTAACTTTGTCTAGAGGATTGCCAGAGCCACGCGGTGTCGACTCAGGCTTTTCTGTCTTGTGAATGATGACATTGTCCAAATCGATGAGACCGTGATGCTCGTGGAGAGGTGCGGCAGGGGGCTGAGCCTGAGCCTGAGCCTTCGCAGAAGCGACAATAGGCGTACCTTTGGTTTTGGCAGCGATCTCCTCGTCCAACTTCTTGTCCGCTTCATCATCTTGCTCATCTGGCTCGTCGCCGGTTTTGTATGCTTGACGCTCGCGCTGTTTAGTTGCATCTCGAAGCTCATCGTATTTGTCAATGCCTCGCCCGCCAAAGCCACGCCCATGTGTTTTTTCCTCGCCAGATTTGACCTTCTCCCTGAAAGAATCCGCAAGCTTTTTGACATCATCGGGGACCTCTTGACCGCTTTGTGTCAAAGCCTTTGATATGTCGACAGCGTATCGATCTTGCTCGGGCGTAAGAAATGTGACAGCGGTACCGGTGTTGCCAGCCCTGCCAGTCCGGCCAACACGATGGACGTAGTCCTCTAGATGGTTAGGACAGTCAAAGTTGACCACAAGCTTTAGTTGTTTCACGTCGAGTCCCCGGGCAGCAACCGAGGTAGCGATCATTATTGGGAAAATACCCTTTTTGAAGTCATCAATGGTGGAGTCGCGGTCAATCTGATCTTTGCCACCGTGGATTGACATACATGGATAACCCTTACGCATTAGTTCTTTAAGTAAAGAATCGGCCGACTCCTGGCGCTCTACGAAAATGAGGGTTCGCACATCGTCATCATCCACATACAGCTCTCCTAGTAGCTCGAGCAGACGTCTGAACTTCGTAGCTTCTTCACGTACCTCTACGACTTGAGTGATTTCAGGTGCGACCACGCTCCTGCCTCCGACTTGGATTTCAATTGGTCGGTTCAGAACTTTGCGGGCTAAAGACTCCATTTGACGCGGAAATGTGGCTGAGAATAGGACTGTTTGTCGGTCTGGGCGAATATTGTTTAGAATCTTCATGATTTGTGGTTCAAAGCCCATGTCGAACATGCGATCTGCCTCATCAAGAACAACGTACGTGACACGTGCCAGATTAGTGACTCGTCCTTGGTTGGCTGCCAATAGTTCAATGATGCGTCCAGTAGTACAAACGATGATCTCGGCGCCGCGCTTCAGATCCGCGATTTGGTCCTTGATGGGGGCGCCGCCGTAGGTACATACAGCACGCAGGTCGAGTGCTTTCAAAAAGGGCTTGCAGTCTCGATGGATCTGTGTGGCTAACTCACGAGTAGGCGCAATGATGAGGCCGACTGGACCATCCATACCTCCCAGCGGTCTCTGGTCTTTGATGTGTCGAAACATGGGAAGCATGAAAGCCACGGTTTTACCGGAGCCGGTCTTGGCAACACCAATCACGTCGCGCCCAGACATGATTGCAGGTATGGCCTGGGCTTGAATTGACGATGGCTTCTCGTATCCCAGCGACGATATGACGCCCAAAGTCTGCATACCGAGACCACATTGAGCCCATTTCTGAACCGGCGCTGGTACGTCGGTGCCCTTGACCTTGATCCCATCAAGCTCGAGGCGGATGTCTGCAATCTCTTCTGGGGTCAAGTCGGCTAACTCACCAGGTGGAACATAGAAATTCTTTCGGAATGGCTCGTAACTCATCTTTTCATGATTGACGACCGCCATCTCCTTTTTCTTCGCACGCTTATGTGCCATGGCGAGGAGATCATCTTCTTTGACACCGAAAGCTTCCTGATCTTCGCCTTCATCGCCGAAGAATGCTTCAGGTTCCTGTTTGCGTTTCTTAGCCAGGATCTTGGGCTTAGAAAGAGACTTCATTTCAGCCTGCTGCGCTTTAGTGCTCATTGTTTTCATGAAAGCATCAAGAGGATCTTCCTCCTCTTCTTCTACGACATCAATAACCGCAGCATCTGCCACGAGTGCCTCGGTCATAACAGCATCTGCGCTGGCGTTAGCAACATCCGTTTTGGAATCTTCCTCCTGTTGTTGTAGGCGCTCCTCTCTCCGCTCGGCAGCAAGGCGAGCAGCAGCAGCGACTTCTTCTTCGTTTCCTGCATCAAACGTGATGTCTTCGTCATCATCCACTTCAGGCTCTACATTAGCATGCTCCACGTCTTGGTCCGCTCCAAGCATAGCAGTTGCAGAAGTTGGCAATCTCTCAAGTTTCTTTTGAGTTGACTCTTCATCATCAAAATCAATCGCTCGTTTACTGTCAGCCTTGTCAATATCAGACTGCTTGTTGGTAATGCCAAACGCGTTCAACTTCCCGCTGGGCTTCATAATTTTGCCCTTGGTAGACGCCACTACTGAAGTCAGAATGTTGGTTCTTAGCTCTGGTGGCAGACACTTACCAGGAAAGGCACGCTGCAGAGGTGGCGGTCTGGTTTTGTGGGCCTCCGGGATGGACACATCGTCGCCGAGAGCGGTTGAACCAGTTGTAGGCCCTGACGACTTCTTTACGATGGCCTTGGGATCGAACCTTTTCAGGGGTACGGGAGATGCTTTCTGAGAGAGCTCTGGATCATCAGGTAAGCTCGGAGCTGGTGTAGCTTCAGCACTTGCGGTCGCAGCGGCCTTCCGGTCCATCTCTTCAAGCAATCCGCGCGTTCCACCAGGAATCACTTGCTCCTTTTGCTTACGCTCCTGCTCAGCCCGTTGCTTGGCCTTCCACTGCTCGACCTTTGCAAGACGTTCCGCCTGCCTTTTCGCGTCATCAGCTTGCTTGACGGTGGGATTTGACTGTTTAGAGAATCAGTCACGGGTTCATCACAATGGTTTGTTCAGGATACAGTGCTCTCACCTCGCTTGCTCTTGAACCTGGAGTCTCATCGCGGGCTCGATCTCTGTCTCTATTACGAGACATGTCCCGATTGCGGTGACCCTTGCGATTGTCAGTAGAATCGTCGCGTCTTCGACGGTTCCTCTCCCTGGAATCATCTCGCCTGTATTCCCTATCTCTGCTATGTTCACGATAATCTCGGTCTCGGTGGCGATCTCTTCGATCGCGGACAGGAGAGCGTGCATGCCGGTCAGGACGATGACTATTGCTGTTCAGTCGGTCATTTTGACGATCTGGAGATCGATCCCTTCGTCCGTTACGAACATCGCGTCGTCGCTGTAGTGCCTGAAAATCAGTCTGGGAATGCTTGTACCGAGGACTATAATGACGAACCTCTGGAGTTCGCGATCGACCACGATAGGAACCACGATCATCTCTGGGGCCACCATTATAGCGGCCATGTCTATCGCCCCAGGATTTTCCTGCTGGTGATCGTGAGCGAGTGTCCCTTGGGCGGGCCATTTGCGCCGGCTTAGTGACTAAGTGAGCTTTACTGGGAGAAGTGTCGCCGTTGTTTCTGTCAAGATACGGGTAGCCACGGTCAGTAAGGGAAAGCCGACATCAGACACTAGTGTATAGATGATGACTGGGTCAGCACAGCTGTTTTGCGTGCGGAGTGTATGTGATAGTGAACCGTAAAGTAATGGTAGAAGTTGGCCTGACGTTGATGCTCAAGTCTGCGTGGGGCGCTAGAAGGGTTATGTAAGTGGAGCTCTTCTCTCCGGGGCCGATAGTCATCTTCCTGAGGGCAACTTCACAAGCTCAACCCAGTTCAACGACGCGCCTAGACCCGGATCTCGATCATGGACTACCAGGTATGTCTCGGATTGCACGAGAGCATTTGATAGGGGAAGAACTTGTTGACAATAGAATCAGAATCGCGCCGGCTCAAAGTTTGGAGGAGGTGGTGTTGCCTCGCGTTCAGCTACCAATGCTGATCGACGTGAACGACTTCGCAAGCTTGCTCTCGAGACTATTGATCTTGATAAAGACCCTTACTTCTTCAAAAACCATGTTGGAAGCTATGAATGTCGTCTGTGTCTCACGGTTCATCAAAACGATGGATCCTATCTTGCCCACACCCAAGGTCGCAAGCATCAGACCAACTTGGCCCGTCGTGCTGCTAGGGAAGAGAAGGAGGGCAAGAACCGCCAAAACGCCATGCTAGCTATTCCTGGAATCCAGGTGCGACGCAATCTGATCAAGATTGGGCGTCCTGGCTACAAAATCACGAAGATTCGAGACCCCTTGACCAAACAAATCGGACTGTTCTTTCAACTCCACTACCCCGAGATTACCCCCGACATCGTTCCTCGCGTGCGTTTCATGAGTGCTTTTGAGCAGAAAGTTGAGAACCCAGACAAGAATTATCAGTACCTTCTTGTCGCCGCTGAGCCCTATGAGACTTGCGGATTCAAGCTTCAGAGCCGGGAGGTGGACAGGCGAGATGGAAGGTACTGGACATGGTTCGATAAAGACAGCAAGGAATTCTGGATCCAAGTTCTGTTCAAGTCGGAGCGCGAGGACCGCTACAGTGGAGTACCAGGTCTAGCTCCTAGAAGATGAGAGTGTGGGCGACGGACAGAAGAGAGATTGGTGTCCAAGAATCCATCAGCCCCTTGAAAGCTGGGTGTTTGGCACAAGACATACGAGATAACCTCAAAACAGGTGCCTGAAACTATTTGGGATGGAAGTGGTCACAATATATGGCTCAATTGCTTTCAAAACCAGGGCGTTAGATATCCGGACATGGAAGGAAATGCCTAAAGCAGGAGATAGGGTGCAAGGAGCCGGTAGATGCTGCACTATACTGTAATGGTCTTCAAAGATGGCTGACATATGAAAGCACGTATCTTACCCAGTGAAAACAAAGTCAACCACATCTTGCAAAGTGTGACGTGTGGCACTTGGCTCGGTAGCACATCCGCAAGTCTTCTGCATCTAAGCCCCGTGGCTTTGATCAAATATCGTCGTGTATTACACAGGTCATTGCCTTATCAAAACTCAGTCGTGTGGTTCTGGTGGGACGCAGTAGGATTTTTCCAGACCTCTCAGTTTTCAACGGAACGTGATTCGTGGAGCTGGAATCGCTACCAGATTAAGACATCGTATTCGACTTCTGCGAGTGTTGTGGGGTACCGAGATGTTTGAAGGAGCCAAAGCTCGTTCATAGCATTTACCCATCATGACGTCTACGTTTTCAACCTCCCCAGACCCTTCCCTCCCGAGGTCACCAATATCACAAACGACAGATTCGTTCAATTCCAAGACTGGGCTCAGTCGAATTCAAGTCACTCAACACAGGTGTATTTACTGGAGAGCCGCATCCTCCAATACCGGAATGTTCCTTCACCACTAGCATCAAATTTGGGAAGTCTCACCACCACTATTATTGTGTTTCGTGTACTCAACCAGCCGTATAACACACGACTCATTAACCCTACCAAAACACCTATCTGTGCTGAGAAGTACGCTATTCTTCCTGCAAGGTTCCACACTTCATGAGCCAGATCTTACAATATGATGCGATCGCGTATCACGCGAGCCGGTTTACCCGCTTCTGGCCTACCTCCACAAATGCCACCGACCGTCTTTTGAATGCCATTCTCTTGTGGCTTGTCGAGACAACGACTAAGAGTGGTAAACATATTCTTGGCAGACTGTCCAATCTAGGTTGTATGAGTATGCTTGCTCGATATGTCCAGACGAAAATACTGTATCGATGCCACCTTCCGTTCTTATGAACGACTTAGTATGGCATCTTGTATATTCGTGCATGTCTATGGGGTATCAAGAAGAGCTTTGCACGCCTAGTCATGAGCATATTCTTTAGAAGATCTTCAGGGTCTCTCAACAATCCTCTTCTGGCTTCACGTCCGCTCGTGCAGAATCTTGTGCGGTCTACTGAGTCGACATGACTGTGATATCCATCTCGAAACATTGGACCCACTCTACTAAGTGCATAAGACGACTCGAAACTGGTTTTCTACGGAGTGACTGCTGCAATAGCAAGATTTTGAACTATCAATAGCGCGAACATCCATCTGACTGACTCTTGGCATGGATCCTAATGGCTTGAGGAGACAAGGTGAAGGAGTCATATGATGCTACACAGATGGGTGTTTGGCTGTTTTACGAGAGTCAGTGGGTTTTATTGTCAGTCAAGTTCTAGCCATGGCGGCAGGGTCTATACACGCCTTGAAGAGTCCAGGTCTGGCAGTGTTGCGTTTCCGTCGATAGCACAAAGTCATGAACTCATAAGATATGAACTAAGCTGTGTGGCGCACCAGGGAGTTCCAGGATATTACGCACTGCTCCTTGACTTTAGTAGCTGAATGTCTGTCTCTACAGGGGCTTCCTTTAGAGTATTTTATGGATGCGCAAGCCACACTACTTGGACGCACATGGCGTAGACTTACCAGTACTAAAACTTCGGCCCATTCCCCGCGAGCCTCACAGCTGGCTACTCGTTAGGGACAATATGGCTTGGATACTGCAGACGGAACAATGGGGGACCCTGCAAGAGAACCAGATGACAAGATCTATACTGAGACATCTTCCCCCCCCTCTTCACACGGGCGATGACGGGGGACTGCAGCATTCTCAAGCATTCCTGGAGCACCAAATGCTATCCGGTACTTCCGATCTAACGGTCGCGCATACGGATCTACTACACTATATTGTCTCGTACTACACTATATTGTCTCGTACTACACTATATTGTCTCGAAGACTGGTATACGCCGTCAATCGCGTGAAGGTGCATGGACTTAGAAGCGGGCCAAGGCATGGTCCTTGGACAGTGTTGAGGTTCCAACCGGGCTGTAGAATGTGGCTTAGTCATTACGACGTACAAACCTGAAATTTAGACATGGATGATGCCACCTTGGGTGCCATCTATGCCCCATATTGCAATTTGACGCGTGAACCCCGGTCGCGCGTCCAGAACTAATATGAACAGTATCGCCATCAGTGCATCTGAGGCCAGAGCCTGGATGCTCGAGTCGCTATCCAGCTGCTTGTCGATCCCTGCGTACAGTGTAGAAGACCGATTTTGGAGCTAGACCCACGCAAGGAGCTCCCAAAGATGATGAACGGTAAGGTGGAACATGGCATGGTACAGAACGAGATACGAGACCGGACGAAGCACCACAACGGCGCCAACAGCGCTAGCAACGACACAGGAGCCTAAATGGTGCAACAAACTAAACATGCGGACGCGGATGAATGGGATATAGCGAGCAAAAAGGAGAGAAATGAGCGTAGATTGCGGATACAAAAGGAGGGGGATCTACCATGAACAGATACAACTTGGAAACCGGGGACGGAGAAAGAGAAGGAAGAGTCATCGAGTCAGACGACAGGACTTCTAACAGGCAGTCGTCTGCAGCTGGCAAAGCAGCGAATGATGCGAGCGATGCAGATGCCGTTTGCGGCAGAAGAGCAGCATCAGCAGCACTAGCCTTTGACGCCTAGTAGATCTGAACCCATGCATGATGCCGCCGTAGTGTTGTAGCCAGGCCAGGTCTCGTCTGTGAGTGGATGGGAGAAGGACGGCCCTTGTCCTCGTCCAAAGTCATCGAGTGATCATGGGACATGGACATAAGCAGTGTAAAAGCGAATAATCATTATTATGGGATGTTTGCGAGCTGCTAGGGCGCTGAAAGGCCATATACGACTAACTACTGGTCCGCGGACGACTCGCTTCATCCCGCAGGGTTTACTGAATCGACCAGAGACCGCGATCTGCTCCAGTCAACGATTAGTGGGTGGTGGTGGTGGTGTCCCAGTGGGGTGGCTTGATGAAGGTGAGAGTCGGGGCCGGGGATTATCTACTGTCAACCTCAGACGGCTGCTGACAAGGACACTGCTACTGCTTCTGGACAGTGTTTTGCTTTGCCCACTGCATCGAGCACTGCCTGGGTACCCTGGAAGTAAAGGCAGCCGAGTGCAGTTGAATACATTGTTGGGATCCCTGAATGTCTCTCCATTCAACCATGATCAGGCTTCACGACATTGCGTATTAGACGATCATCCATGCTGGCGGCAGCGGCTCGGCGCATCGTTATGTGGGGCTGCACTCATAGTGCTCCATGGCTTTTCTGAATCTACCTTTGTCATGCAGCTCTCCAGATGACCTGCAGGCTGCAGTAAGCTCTTCACTAGCCTGTAGGCCTGCTCTGGAAGTGAACTAATTCTCCTCACCATCCTACTCCGCAGCCAATCTGAGACTATCATTATTGATGGTCATCGCTATCGCTTCCACTGTTGCACGCCTGATACGTAGAGGCAACTATTCGTTCGCTAAAAGGACCTGTCAGGATCGCCCTTTGGCATCTGTCCTGTACTACCTTGTTTCTTGTCGTATCCAGCTGGCTAAACCATCCTGATTCTAGGGTCATACTCGAGGAACGAGTCATGGTGCGGGGGAAGTATCGTAATCACTTACAGTTTGCGTATCTATCCTGTCTGCCACCTTCCGATCGCAAGATTTGTTAATCCGCTGGTGGGTACGTCTTTGATGTTAACATCATGCTCGGCGTCAAATACAGGCCACTCCATCTGGGCAATGTTCTTCGTGGTGCAGGCGGCGCAGGTGCAGGTGCAGGTATAGATGCAATCGATACACATATAAGGCGCTAAAACGATGGCGATCTGAGCGGGAGTCCTGCCGTCCGCCAGGGTGGCCTGCTCGCGCTCGCTATCCATGCCCTGGTACTGTAATAATGAACGCTCGTTATGATATTCACCCGGACAAGTGCACTTTTGGCCAAGAAATACCTGTTCAGGCTTCATTATACACTCAACATTCTTCTTCACGGGCCCGCTCTCGGGGCTTGTTTATGTTAATCACTCTCGAAAGCAGGGTGACGAAGACTGCAAGCCGATACTTACTTTTCCCACTGCTTCTCTTGTCTGTTCTCCATATCCCGGATAGAGATAATACCGAGCGCCACTTGATGTACCGTGTTTGTCTATTCGTGAGTTCGCTGCATGCTTTTTAAACAAAGTAATTTCCTGTATCGTATGCCATGTCTAGTATATCGACTTCTCACATGAGGGTCTTAAGGCATTTGCTCGTCTATCGTCTTTATCCTAACATTTAGACCCTCGATTCCAATGTGACACACCCTCCACAGTCTCGAGCTTTACGGCCGCTGCTGCCGTTGCCGTAACCCGCAGCCAAAGCAGGCAGTAGTAATAATAGCTGCCGTGAGTGAACGGAGGTTGTAGTAGATGTCTGTGGTGCCGTTAACGGCCTATCATTGCACAGGGCCTACTCCACCAGTTCGCCCGTGCTGGGTTGCTTTACATCTATCCTCACCCACACCCCTTACGCAGCCCTCCTAATATCGCAGCATCACGAACTCTTTGGCACTTTGTTTTTGTCGTGCGTCTAGGGGGGTGCGACTGGTCCCATTTGTGCATCAGCTGCAGCCCTATAACACACTATTCTCCCTGTCAAACCTGCGGGTATCTCCCGCTGTTGGGGCCGCCTAATTACATGCCCCCAGTCCCGTCTCTTGTGGCGCGCTCGCTCAACGCAAGCCGGACCGCTCGTGCTTCCTCCAGTATACTTCCAGGTTTCACCACCAACGGCTCTCTTGAAGACCCTTCGCCGTCTAGGGTTGATTTGTGGAACATACTGCTCACTCTGAGACGTCTCACTAGTCTACTCTAAGGTGCGCAAGCTTTCCCAGCTCTCACATATTGCTTGTCATTTATTATACTCTCGGTATCGCGACAGTGGTGACTTCTGCCACCGCGCGGCCAGGCAGCTGTCCGCCGACGGGTACATCCATTCTTTCTGCATTGCTAGTTTTGGGATCTGCTTGGCTCCGCACCAAACTAGGATGTCTAGGCGATGTCTGAGGCGATCACCCTCTGTGGCTCGTTATCATACATGGGATATACCAGGATAATGAATACTGATGAGCGGAGTAGGCTGTGTGAACGCGTCGTCGTTTTTCTGGGCTGTCACTATCCGTCGAAGAAAGAGGCAGACTGATAATCACCACCATCATCATCAACGTCATCGTCATCGTCATCAGACACAAATTCTCTCCATCGCTAAGACCGTTAGATTGTTGATGTCTAATTAGCAGACGAACTAATAAAGCAGCGTAGTCTAGTATTAGTTGAGTTTGCTTGTTAATAGTCGTTGAGGGGGTAGTAATAGAGGCGAGAGAGCGTGTGCAAGTTGGGTGGCTTCGGTCGCGGCTAGGCTGGTTAGGCGGCTTGTCTAGTGGGTTGCCTACGCCTACTTACCTTTTTGCCAGTGCCACTCCGCAAAGCAACCTTGTGAACGGCCCTGCCTGCCTTGCCTTGCCTTGCACTCACACACACACACACTCACTCACTCACACACACACACTCACTGACCACTTACTCACACTACTCACGCTACCCATACTACCCACACACTTGTTCACTTACTCACTTGCTCACTTGCTCATCAAGCATCCTCCGCCGTCCGCCGCCAAACTTACCACTTGCATCTCCTGGTCCCAGTCTCCAGACAACCAGTCGCAGCATTCGCTATTATTCCCAAAACAGCAACTTGCATCTGCCCGACTGTTGCAGGTCAAGCCTTTTTGTCTCAACCATCTTGCTACTGCTTTTGCCAGCTAGGGTCGCTCGGTCACTCTTGCCACGCCGCCGCTATAGATCCGGATCCCACCCTGTTGCTGTTCCACTCCGGGATCGTGCAGCCACGCCTCTCCTCCCCACCGCGTCGTCGTCCAACCATCACCAACCTGCATCTTCGCTAGACGTTGATGTCCTATCGCGTCGCTCCGCGTTCTAACACTATCGCGACGACCGTATCATCGTCGCCAGTTCTTCTCGCACGCCTCGCGACTGCTTCGTGATCCCGCCGGGCACGTCAACAAGAGCCGTCCAGCTCCGGGACAGCTCGTTGCCTTTTTGGCATGTCCTCGATGTCCTATCATCCAGTATCGGCATCTCTAAACGGTGGAGGTATCGCTTCGAGTCTGATGGACGGTTCAGGGACAATTAATCCGGCTGCCTTGAACTCTGCAGGTATGTTAAACCCGCCGTCAACTTTGCAAATCTGCGCTTGCTCGTGAAACTGGCCACGACTCACTCAGCTAAATCACCTACACACGATAAGACTGCACAGTTACACCCGCTGTTCGCATGCGTTCCAACATCAATTCGCTAACTTCTACTTCCGTGGACACAGGTCTCGCCGGCGCCAATCAATCCGCAACCTCCCAACCGAGCCCACGCGGCGTCAAACGAGGTCGATCACCTGGAGAATATGGCGATGGAGCCAGCATCGTAAAGGAAGAGAATGGTACGATGAGTTCTCCTCTTCATTCAATAACGAGAACGTGCACTGACGCGTCAACCGCAGGACGAGAAGCAAAGCGTGGAAAACCCAAGGCTACCGACGACAGCCCGGCCTCTCAGAAGACATCTCAATCCAGTCACCCTGTTGCAGGGCCTGTTCGGACTCCACAATTGAAAGCTCAGTCTTTACCTCAGACGTCGCCCCCTCAGTCCTCTCCGCCTAAATCCACACCAAGCAAAGGCGCCGTATTGAAAGCTCTTCCCACGGTAAGGGATCACACCACGGACCAATTAAACCCAGAAGGCGATGAATATATCCCACGGGAGTATGACGATGCCGGTGAGAAAAAGGTGTCACCTATGGGCGATCCACTTGGTGGACGAGAGTACAGGTGTCGGACTTTCCTCGTGCCCAATCGTGGGAACAAACTCTTCATGCTTGCCACCGAGTGTGCCCGCGTTCTAGGTTACCGTGATTCTTACCTTCTTTTCAACAAGAATAGGTCTCTCTACAAGATCATCGCGACGCAGCCTGAAAAAGACGACTTGATTAACCAAGACGTTCTTCCCTACTCGTACCGCTCACGACAGATCGCCATTGTTACTGCTCGCTCAATGTTTCGACAATTTGGGAGTCGCTTGGTCAAAGACGGTAGACGCGTAAGGGACGACTATTGGGAGAGCAAAGCTCGCAAACAAGGTTTCACCGAGGAAGATGCTGCCGGGGAAAAGAGACCAGGGGGAGCGAAACAACGAGAAGCAGCAGCAGCCGAAGCCTCTACTGCCCATCAATTGACATCCCTCCCCCATGGCGAGATTATATACAGCAATGGACCAATCCCTACCGACCATGGCATTGGTCCACACCATCACATCAACCCTACTACACTCGCGCCTTTACCAATGATCAACATCCCCGCGGCCGACGAACATATGAGAAGAGATTATAGTAACATACAACGTCCCCGACACGAGATTGCTGGAGCACCCGCGTATCATGACCGTACTACACCTAGCGGAGCCGCAGAGATTCTGAATCAAAGCGCTCAGGCCGCAGAATTCAACAAGTCCCTCGGCAATCAGCGATCGGAGCGGGAGCAGTATATGTCGGAATACTGGAAGAGACCACACGAAGTACCTGGTTCTCCACCGCGACAGGGAACGGTGGATGGCGATAATGCAACTGTGGTCTCTCAAACCATTCAATCTCCTGCTCCTGCACCAGCTGTTGCTTCCACCTCACAGAGTTTGCCGCCTCGAGCTCAGCCTCCTCCTCACTTGATTAGCGGTCAAAGCTACCCGCAGACGCAACATCACCCGCCTACCATGCAATCACCCATGCACCCAATGCATAATCCACTGCGACCAGAGCAAATGCATCATCGATCTCCTAGCATGGGCATGGGTTCGTCTGGACCGCCTGGTCAACCTGCATACGGCTATCCAAACAGTCAAATGTGGCCGCCACAGCAGCCTCAACCTTCGCCACTTGGCCAGCACCACAACATGCAACAATACGGACAGCCACCGCCCCAGCAACAATCACCTCACCCTCAACAGCCTCAGCTACATCAATCGCCCCAAATGCATCACGCACAAAGTACTGGTTCCATGCATGGTATGCCCATGGGCTACCCTACAGCTGGCGGGATGAATGCACCTGGGTACTCTGGCATGGGAAGAAGTCCATACCAGCCTGGCGCCAATCCTCAGCAGTTCATGCACCAAAGCAGTGCTGCGCAACAACCTGGCATGCAGGGCTGGGCTCCTCAGCAGGGACAACAGGCACAACAGCCGAATTGGAACTTCTGAGGCAGCAGACATCGCCAGATTCGCGTTTCCCGTATTGCTAGAAGACCATATCAGTTACACTGCCCTTGCATCGCTACGCAACGCATATGCGTCTCTCGAGGGTGACAAACTAAGACGATTGTCAGCATCAACGCTTCTTTGCGCCAGCTTGCACCAACCAAACCTCAAGGCAAGAGGGTTGAGCTTGGATCAGGAATAAATCTGCATCGACGATAATCTCACTCAAGTTTGTTTGTTTGCTCGTCACATCTATTCAGACATCATGACCTGTACATTATGAACTGCCTTACACTACCCTCAGTCATGGTACATCGTTGGATCTTTCTTTCTTTCTTCTTTCTTATATGCACCCATTGCACTCATTTGGTGGCGTCCAGGTGGAGTCGAGGCTGCATTTGAGCCATACATAAGGTTATTCGGTTCTTTCGATTGGGAATATTCTTGGATTTCGCATTGCTCGTTCCGGACGATTCACGGGTTATCGCACTCATGGTACCACATTGAGATTGTGGATCGCCCTTGGTGACCCGTTGGGACGCTCATGCACAACGACTCAGACGATCTACGACTTATGGATGGACATACAGCTCGAAACGATACCGAACCTACATTGCAGCAAAGTTGAATAGGCTTGTTCTACGATCGAATGGGCTGTGTCATCGCTCCCGGAAACATCTCTCTCCTGCAGTCGTCAACGTTTTCCATTACCTGCAATCCCATCAGTTCTCATTTACTTGCTGGTTGCCAAGGCACATTTTTCGCGCATCATCTCTCGTCACATGGGGTTTTTTTCAAGTCTCTTAATCATACAATTTCTCAGCATATCCCCTCTCGTTATCGCGGTTCATTACGGAGATTGAACACGTCATCTTGCTAAGCGGATTAGCAATAGTCGTCGGTGAATCGTCACGTGCATTTTAGGGTTGGGGCTGTGCAGCATCATCGTCATTATCATCATCATTCTCATTTTCGCTATCATCAGGCCACGGGAGTATGACGAGCGGAGTCGTATGTCTTGCAGGACGGGATCGAACGACGCCGACATGAAGGAAGGAGGGCGAGCATGAACATCGGGGTTTTGATGATGACGACGACGTCGCAAGATTCCCCCGTTCGCTGGGATATACACAGTCGCACGCGGCGCGGCGCCTCCTGATAATCATTAATATCTATTCCATCTTTTTTATCTCCTGAATATCAGACCGCATTTTTCGATTTTCCTGATTTGTGCTCCTCGTCTTCTATTTTTTGGTGTTTTTGGTGTTTTTGGTGTTATGTGCACACATGGACTTGTCAACTGTTGTATCGGACCCTGTGAAGCGGCGAGCGGCTCCGTACTAACTTCGTTGTGACCATCTGACCCTTCAATGCCTCCTGTGTCCTCACCTATATACGATACGCCATTATACATTAATCCACCACCACCACCAAAGAGATAGTACAGGACACATCAAAACGCAATACCTGTTCTCTATCCATCCATCCATCCATCTATCCATCTCCATATTAATCAACCCGTCCGTACGTTGTGCCAATGCCAAGTTAATGTCAATGCCAATGTCCGTCACTCATTCAATCAATCAGTTACATACCATACCATGCCATGCCGCACCGCCGTCCTGCCACAGAGCTGGTTTTCTTTTTGATATTTTTGTATTTTGTATTTTGTGTGTTGTTATATTTGTATCTTGTTATATTTGTATCTTGTTATATTTGTATCTTATTATATTTGTATCTTGTTATATTTGTATCTTGCTTGTAGTCTGTAGTAGTTGATTAGGTTGAGAGCAAGAGACGACGACGTTATTGGTGTGTGTGTGTGTGTGTGTGTGTGTGTTCATACGATGCGGCGGATTATGATGAATATATATTGTATGTATGACACACTACACACTGGAACGAGACATGAGATGCGTTTCAATGCGGGGAGGATGTCATTGAGAACATGGTTATAGTTTTGTTTCTAGTAGGGAGAGGGGGTTGGTTTTGTTCTGGGATTGGAGTGGGGTTATTTTGACGATCATAGATGAGGGAAAGCGACGAAAGGGGAAAAGGAAGATGTGTGGGCGTGGGTGTGGGACGGTGCATGAAATGAAGTATAATGGATGGATGATTGGGCTGCTAAATCTATCGCGTACAAAACCATGCAGGACCACAAAAACACAACGACGTCCCGGGTCTACAGGGCTCCTACTCAAAGGTATACCTCAGCCACTCGCCGACTGCACGCAGACTCTCCCATCGCACGGCCTCGTCGCGGTCCTGCATCAGCTCCATAACCCGCGTCTTCAACCCGAGTTTTTCCAACTGCGCGCGCTTCTCGGGCACCTCCTTGACCAGACTTGCGATATCATTGCATCCGATCGCGAGCACTTGCTTGTCTGTGTCCCACGTCTTGCCCAGGATCTCGGCGAGTTTCTTGGGTAGGGCACCCTTGTCGTCCTCGAGGATGCGGCGGGCGTTTTCGCGCCAGAAGGCTGGGCTGCGGTGAGGTGGTGACCAGCGGAGGTGTCCGGATTGGACTTCGGCGGCGTAGCTGTCGAAGGTGGTTTGCGTCTTGGTGTATTCTTCAAGGGTGCTGGTGAGGGCTTTGAGGTCTTCCTGGGCGTCTTCGTCGGTGAGGTGGCGCGATTGGAGAGTGCTGAGGAAGGAGGGCAGCTTGGCGAATGTGGCAGCGGGGAGGAGTGTGGACGGGTTACTGGTGAGGAGGTTGTGCAGCGTGCTGAGGAGGAGACGGGTGGTCTTTTCTTTGGGGGAGAGACGCAGGAGTTGGACGTAGAGGATGATAATGTCGTGCTCCCTGGTGTGTGGGTTAGTATTGCAATCGCAGTTGACGGAGTCGCAGAACTTACTCGTTCAATCCATCCCCAACCAGCTCACCCTCGAAGCTCAGTTGCCATATTACGAGTAAAACATGATAAAGTAGTTGTAAGCCAACGCCGCCCCCGATGGTTGTATCAACGCTTCGAATGCTGCCTCCGGCTCCGCTTCGCATTGTTGAGTCCCCGTCTCTGCCTGAGCCTGCAGCAGCCCGTAGGATGTCTATCAAGGGATCCAAGGTTTCCTTCCTCTGTTCCCAGAACAGCTCTCTTGACTTCTCCGTCTTGAGGACTAATGAATATTGTTGAACGGCAATGTCTTGTTGCATGGAATCGGAGCTCTTGGCAAGGATCGACAAGTAGCTGTACAACTGAGGCAGGGCTTTCGCGACCTTAGTCTGATCCTTTCTCGAGAACGACTGCGCATGTGATATCAGCGCAGACAGTACCGTTGATGTGAGTAGCGGGATCGCATCTTCTTTATTGTTGTTCGTCTTCAGCAGCGGGAGGAATGGATCAAAGGGGGCAGCGTGCTTTGCTAGACCTGATGTCAAAGACGGAATATCTGTATAACATATTAGCTTTATATACATGATATCGGATGGCAAGGGACTTTGTACCATCTAAAAGATCCCCGGTCAGTACTAGCATGTACTGGACGATGTCACCTCTCTTGGATGCCGTCTTCTGGAATATGCTGTCAGAGCCGTTGCCGCCCAGGAGGAGCTGTACAAAGCCGTCGACATCTCCTTCTATCGTTTGCTTGCGCTGCTCTTTGCGGACCTTGTCAATTGACTTGATCTTCTTAAGGTCGGCATCGCTAATAGTTCCTGCCCGTACAGCTCCTTCCCAGGATATGGGTCTCGCTCGAATGTTGTTCTGCAGAGAAACAATGTACATCGGTGGATCGAGAGACATGTTGTGAAGATGTTGAGCGGGTTTCGTGACCAGGAATGTTGGAAATGGCTTGGTCACTGACGTTGGCTCCAAGCACCGACGTAAATGCTGCGGTAAGCTCCAGCCTGCTTTGAGGTTGTGATCGTTGGTGCGCTATATCAATCACACCGGTATAAGAACTGCGCAGGCTCTCTGACATAATCAAACGACTCCGAAAACTTCACACCACAACTACATAATTACCGCATGCGACTAGCACTCCGGATAGAGCTACATTCATACAAGTCGAGGTCCTCTATCTGAGGATACCAAGTACAAATATGACAAGTTTGAAGCGCTCGCTTGCCTCAGACCCAACTTCGGCAAACTTGTCCAGCAAAGTTTATGTTAGGTCGACAAAGAGCGGCAAAGTCCAAAAGATAGTCCGAGAGGTCTACTTGAGACAAGACATACCATGCTCCTCGAAACTCTGCCATCGATGCCTAGAGAATGCCCCAGCGGACTATCATGACAAGGCCTCCAGGTTTGTCCTTTCCGCCACGCCGGCTGGAACAAAGGCCTTTCCCAATGGCCACTACATCATTCCGGATACGAACGCCTTTTTAAACGGCATGGACCTGTTCGAGGTGGACTCTGCATTTTACGATGTAGTCATTCTGCAAACAGTGCTTGAAGAGGTCAAAAATAGGTCCCTCCCCATCTATCATCGGCTTGTAGCCTTAGCCAACAACGAGGATAAACGATTTTATGTCTTCTTCAACGATTTCAGATTAGAAACTTATGTCACGCGAGATCGTGCCGAGACCATCAACGACCGTAATGATCGTGCAGTGCGCAAAGCCGTATCATGGTATCAGCAGCATCTTGAGCAAGCCGTCAAATCACGTGGCTCGCAAAGATGTCCCTCAGTCATCATGCTCAGCGATGATAGAGCTAACCTAGAGAAGGCGAAGGCCGAGAAAGTGACGGGTTCTACATTATCTAAATACCTGTCAGGACTGGACAATGCTGACCAGCTGCTTGACATGCTGAGCTCTTCTCAAGAACAGCGCGAGATCAAAACAGGACCGAGAGAGTTATTCTACCCTGAATACTATACCATGTCGAAGATGAATACAGGGGTGAAGGCTGGCACACTTCACCAAGGCATTTTCAACGTCTCTCAATACAACTACCTAGAGGGCTCAATACATGTACCAGCGTTCGAAAAGTCTTTGCTGATCCTTGGTCGAGAGAATAGCAACCGGGCTGTCAGTGGTGATGTTGTCTGTGTCGAGATACTGCCAAAGGACCAGTGGAAAGCGCCTTCAACAACCATTGTTGAGGAAGAGACTGTCAACAAGAACGACAACGCAGACGAGGAGAGCTCGGAAGGCGTGATCTCAGAACGAGAGCGTCGAGCACTCCAAGATGAAGTAAAGAAGGTGCACGGAACAAGCGCTGAAGGCAGGCCACAGCCTACTGCCCGTGTGGTTGGTGTCATCAAACGCAATTGGCGACAATACGTTGGACACGTCGACAAGGATTCTGTAAAAGCAGGGTCAAAACAGAGCAGGCAGCAACAAAGCGTGTTTCTCATTCCTATGGATAAACGTATTCCGAAGATCCGTATGCGCACTCGTCAGGCTGGAGAGCTACTGGGTAAGCGTGTTCTGGTCACGATAGACTCCTGGGATCGAGATTCCCGGTATCCTGTTGGTCATTTTGTCCGCTCATTGGGCGAACTCGAAACCAAAGGCGCAGAGACGGAAGCGTTGCTGCTTGAGTATGATGTCCAATACCGACCATTTCCAAAGACTGTACTGGACTGCCTCCCAGCTGAAGGGCACGACTGGAGAGTCCCAGCCAGCACAGACGATCCAGGCTGGCAAGGCCGACGAGACCTGCGCGATCTCATTGTGTGCAGTATCGACCCACCAGGTTGCGTTGACATTGATGACGCTCTGCATGCACGTAAACTACCTAACGGTAACTTTGAGGTTGGCGTCCATATCGCCGACGTCTCTCATTTTGTCAAGCCTAACAATGCCATGGACAAAGAGGCTAGCATGCGTGGCACTACTGTCTATCTGGTTGACAAGCGTATTGATATGTTACCCATGCTGCTAGGCACCGATCTATGCTCGCTCAAACCCTACGTAGAACGCTACGCATTCTCCGTGCTCTGGGAAATCACCCCTGAAGCCGACATTGTCAAGGCCGACTTTACCAAATCCGTCATCCGTTCCCGCGAAGCCTTTGCCTACGAGCAAGCGCAACTCCGCATCGACGACGCATCCCAGAATGACGAACTCACTCAAGGCATGCGCACCCTTCTCGTGCTCTCCAAAAAGCTCAAGGCCAAACGCATGGCTGCCGGCGCCCTTAATCTCGCCAGCCCGGAAGTCCGCGTGCAGACCGAGTCTGAGACTAGTGATCCGGTCGACGTCAAGACGAAACAACTCGTCGACACCAACTCCCTCGTCGAGGAGTTCATGTTGCTCGCCAACACGAGTGTTGCTGGCAAGATCTACGCTGCATTCCCGCAGACGGCACTCCTGCGTCGCCACGGCGCACCTCCAAAGAACAACTTTGCGGAGCTCGCAAACCAGCTTAAGGTCAAGAAAGGTCTAGAGCTTCGCGTGGACAGCAGCAAAGCACTCGCCGACTCCCTCGACACATGCGTCGACCCGCAGCAGCCATTCTTCAACACCCTCGTGCGCATCCTAGCGACGCGCTGCATGATGTCAGCAGAGTACTTCTGCTCCGGCACGCAGGCGTATCCCGAATTCAGACACTACGGCCTGGCATCCGAGATCTATACCCACTTCACGTCTCCAATCCGAAGATATGCAGATCTGGAGGCCCATCGCCAACTTGCCGCCGCAATCGACTACGAGCCGCTCGACGCCAGCCTGCACTCGCGCGGCAAGCTCGAAGCCGTGTGTCGCAACATCAATGTGCGTCACCGCAATGCCCAGCACGCGGGCCGCGCGTCCGTGGAGTACTATGTCGGGCAGGCGCTCAAGGGCCGTGTCGTCGACGAAGACGGTTTCGTGATGCGTGTGTTCTCGAACGGATTCGTGGTGTTTGTGCCGCGGTTCGGTATCGAGGGCTTGATCCGGCTGCGGGATCTTGGCACGCCGGAGCCGGAAGGGGTGTTTGACGCGGAGGAGTATGTGCTGCAGACGACGGGCAGCAGGACGGTCAGGGTCGAGCTGTTCCAGCCGGTGAGAGTGCGCATCCAGGATGAGGTAGAGGAGAGCACGGGCAAGCGCAAGGTCAAACTGGGGCTGTTGTGAGGCCGTGATGACATGATGTCACAGCCCGGCGATATCTATTCATAGTCCGGCTATATAATGGGCCCATCACTATTGTATATGCAATGTACCCGTACACTAACTACCGCAACTATCGACAAATCCACAATCCATCAAAACAATAATCGTCCCTCCCAATTCATCCTCACTACTTACCACCTCGGCCCATCTAAATCCGGAAATCCGCCCCGACAAAAAAAACCCAGCATCCCATCCATCTCGCTTCACCTCATCTCATTAACAGCCCCACTGAATCGCCCCACCCATCTACGCTCCGGCCATCTCCCTCCTCTCTCATCAGATCAAGATTGAGATCGAGATCGACACCTTACCCGCACGCAAATATGCCTGGCGGTATGTATACCCATATATCATGTCCGAGCGCGCGCTTGAGCAAAATCTCGTAAAAACGTAGTAATAGAATGCGTGAAAAAGGAAATATTGGACTAGGCCTTTTTAGGTCGCGGTCGTATGATTATGATCTAGGGATACTAGGTATACTATACCTTGGAAACTATATGAGGCTGCTAGGCTGAGTAAGTTGATTGGTTGGTGGGAGGGTGATGTGCGCGGTGCGGCGGGATGGGCTAGAGTGTGTGTGGCTAGGTATATATGGTAATAGGTAAAGTACACGTACGTCCGTGATAGTATACATATATAGTTGTATACAGTCATACGTCCGTGTTGACGTATGTATGTACTACTATATATACACACGTAATTACATAACGCATGTACGTATACACACGCACACGCACGAAAATAGCCAAGAACATCCAGTAAACACAACCCTCCAACCCCTTCAAGTAATAACAAATACCAGTACCGTATCATCTCATAGCATACTCCCCAAGATCACATACTTCTTACTAGTCCCACTCTTCCACGGCCATACACCCTTCTAGCACTACAAACTATAAACACGCGATCTACTACAAATAGTCCTGTACTTCGTTGATAAGTCTGAATAATTCCATATCTCCCCCTTTCCCCCCCCCCCCACGCTCGGCGATATATTAATTCTCTACGTAGTAAATAAAAAATTCAAATATATATAAAAATATCCGGATGTTTTATGGTTTATAACCCGGTACGTCGGCGTCGGGCATGTCGGCGCATGTCGGTGTGTGCAGGACCGGCTGTTTAGCATGACGCTGTATATCTAGGTACGGAGCAGTATAGAACAGCACAGCACAGCATATCACAGCATAGTATGGCACAGCCCATGCGTTCGTGCGTAAACAATGACAGATGACAGGTGACAGGTGACAGGTGACAGATCAATCATAGACAGCCTCACCGTTCGTTCGTGCGTAAAGTAATGACAGATTATCCAGAAAATATCAAAATCCAACGATTATCTCCGTCACGCCTATCCTATACACGTTCAGGAATCCTTCCTTCTTTAGGCCTTCTGTTATTCGTTTATCAGCTTTTGTCCATCGTCGGCCGACTTAGACGAACCTAGCCTAGCTAACTAACCTAGCTGAGCAGGCTCGCCAAGGCTAGTTGGTAGGGAGATGGGAGATACTTAAGAGAGACATAGTTAGAGTTTGACGTATGGACCTCGATCTCCATCCCTTTTGCAGTTGCTGGTAGTGGGAGTGGTTCTGGGTCTGGGACTGGGACTGGGACTGGGACTGGGACTGCTGGCCTTATCGATTGCGAGTGGTTCCCGATGCCGATGTCAGTGCGTGCCGCGCGGATGGGGCGAGGCGTGTGGACAGAGCCGTGGTACGTATTTGGAGTGTTTGGGTGAGTGGGGCTTGGGGCTTGGGGCTTGAGGAGGTTGGTGGTGGTTTGGTGGTGGTGATGATGGGATTAGATGTTAGAGGTGTCTAGTCTAGTTAGTACACATATCGGAAGGAGAGAAGGAGGAGGGAAAAAAGTGCAAGTGCAAGTAGAAGTCATGATGTAGCATGAGGATTTGTTCATTTAGGTTGTTAGTTGGTTGTGTTATCTGTGTCTGTCTGGTTACCTAGTTGAGTTGAGCGATTGGTAGGAAATACAATTAATACTTAACCTGCTATATGAGATGCTTAGTATATACATTCCCGCTTCTTAGTCTATATAACTTGAATTATACACATTATGCCAAGGGATAAAGATGGTAAATGTGGGAAATGGTAGATATTCAGATAATATTAATATGGTGCTTGAGCTAGGATAGAAAGGTGAAACACATAGCTATCTATACTTGTTACAGCTAGTATTTACCACTTACTATTGACTATACGCTCCATATAATTCAATCCCATTCAACCCGATTAGTACAAGACTAATCCCGTTCGTTCCAACGCCCTATCCAACGTCCAATCGACGCGATGCCATTGTCACCTTTGCATAATCCTTCCTTCTCTTCAGATGTATACATGCAGCAGCATACAACCCCAATCCTCCTCTCTGACCCAGCCCAGCCCAGCCCCAGCCCCAGCCCTGTCTCGCCCTATCCAGCCCCAGCCAGCTCGCAAATCTGGTCGTCGGTTCATAGACAGATCTGGTCGCAGCCCTGTCATCGATCCGGTCCCGTTCCAGTCCCTGTCGTTGTCATCGATCCAGCCCTGCCATAGTCATACATCTAGCCATATATTCTAGCCACAGATCGCAGCCATAAATCTATCCGTAGACTGTAGCCGTAGATCGCGAGCCGCGGGTCTAAGTGTATCCGTCATTATTACCCGTAGTATAGTATCACCCGTAGTACTACCCGGCACACAATAGTAGTATCCCAGATCTCGCACCACCACCAGATCGCCCCAATCCAGACCCGAGGTAAACGTCCACGGCCATTTTAAGCTTTGAGTCCAGCTCAGCCCAGTCTAGCCTAGTCTGGACAGCCTCGGCTAGCTGGCTACTCAGCTAGCCCTTTTAAGGCAAAGGTACAGGTGTACTTATGATATAGCTACGTATTATCTAAGCCAACGACCCCACCATGCCTTTCCTATCCCTCTCCAGATACCACCACCACCACCTAGCTACCTTACCTAAGCCCGTATCTACTAGGTAGTACTCTGCCCAAACACTAAAGGTCCGCGGACAAAACTCAACCTAACCTACCCTAACTTAACCGTTCGAACCATTTAAACAAAAAAGGCCCGCCGCCGGGTCGGTCGGCGCCAAACTTAATGCATTGCCGCAATGGCTGCATTGGGATTAGCTGGCGATGAATTGTAGGGAAGGCCGAAGGTGAGAGGTGAATTGGTTTGGTGTAGTGTTTGGGGGCGGGGATCGGGGATCTGAGATCTGAGATCGGATAATTGGGATCGGATGCTTGATGGTGTATGATTTATAATTGATGGTGAGTGATGAGTGATGTTGAATGGTGAGTGAGATTTTGGGTGAGAGTTTGGGGGTCGATGTAATGGAGAGGGGACGAGAGGTGGTATGTACGTTGTACGCCGGTTGTTTGCTGTGAATTGAGATAGGAAGGGGAGAGGTGAGGAAGGAGTGGTGATATAGATGGGTGGTAGTGAGACGCGTGTATTTGGCGCAACGTGCTACAGTACATATAGTATATGCAGGGCAGGTACATGCATGCAATGCAGGTGATGGGTTGGTAGCTTGACACCTTGACAGCTTGGACAGGTACGCGCCACGGCAACTATACATGACAGTCACGACAACGTGTATCAGTGTGGCGCAAGACAGGCACGCATGATTCAATACCATGACAAAAGAGACGCGAAAGCAAGATATGTGGTACTAGTAGTAGTGATGTTATTGCTACTATCTGGTAGCTAGCTAGTGCAGGAGCTACGACACTTTCCAAGACGGAATATATACATGAAAAAGAATATAGAGAGTGCGCGGTGAGAGGTTTAGCTGATGTGGATGAAAGGAAAGGACATATCATGTCTGACCTGGCGGGGTTTGATATATGTATGTATGCATGTGTGTGTATTTGTGCGACAGGTTGATAGGAGATAAAGTGTGTATGTTTGTGAACAAGGCAAAAAAAGTGGGTATCTTTTGAATATGCGCGACAAGGTGCCAACATGATGGATTCCCCATCCTCAGTATATATGCAAAGTATGCGGCCTCGGTATGCAGGATGCGGAACGGAAGGAGAAAAAAAATCACAAGTGCCGCCGACCTTGCGTCCATTGTCCAGCACGGATTTCGAAGTCTGACTGCGCGGCTGATTTCTCCAGGTCAAAATCGAAGTCTGACACCTCAGATACGGACGGGTACTGTCGGTGTGACTGAACCGAGGTGGTGTTTGGGGAAGGGGGAGTTGCAATGTCGCTGCTGCTCTCGTGCTTGGACGGCCGGTATGGGGTGGGCGGTCTGTCCTGCGAGTAGATGCTCGAGCCCCTTCGTCTGCTGGGTGGATATGTGGATTTGTTGTTGTGGGCAGACATTGGTCTGGAGAAGTTTGGGCTTTGCGGCATCTGCGCTGTGGATGGACGGTCGATGAGTGGTTCGTCCTTTTCGTAGGTGCATTGTGTAGTGATGATGGCGACTGGGAGTGGTTTCTTGGGCATGCCCATGTATCGTGAGGAGCGTCGGGTGTACTGACTCGGCCTTCGCCATGATTCAATCTCCTCGTCGTCGAGGGGTGTGATGGATCTATGACTGAAAATGGAAACTCGTCGGGAACGTTTGCGGTAGATGCACAGGACGGTGACGCTGATTGCGACGACAATGATACCCAGACAGGATCCAAGAACGATCCAGAGGTTCCGCTTGCTGGGGGATTGGGAGGATAGTTCAGCCATATTGATGCAACCTGGCAGTCGATGCTATGTGAAAAAGGATCCGGGCGATGAAGAGAGCTTTATGCCATTCGCGATGGTATGGTTAGTGACCAGCTATCTAGCGGGGTAGTCTGGTATTTGGAAAGAATGCGAGCAGATGGTGAATAATGTCCGACTGAAATATCGAAGTTGACGAGACGGTCCAATGGGCGAGAGGCAGGATTGGGTTCATGCAACGGAGAATATCCAAAGAACCGGAAAAGGAATATGTGGTTCTGGGAGAATCGGTGGTAGAGGATCCCCGGAACCGACGACCAGTGGGGCGGAACGAAGGGAGGGCAGAAAGCCGTGAATGCTAGGTAGTAGTATGTAATTATGTCTGTTGAGGCTGCACAGAACGACTGGACGGCGATGAACAGAATGTAAGATATTATCAGGGCGAATTGAGGTGGTACAAATCAAAAGAGAGACAGAGGAGTTGGAAGGCGGGGAACAACAGAATATAGACAGGATAAAAGGATATGGTCTCTCTCAAATGGACGATTAGAGAGGAACAGGGGCGCAAGAGTCGGTGAGCGGGCTCGAGCGATGAGAGATGATTAGATGGAGGGGGAAGAGTGGTATCGTGCAGGACAGGGCTAGACAAAGTGGTAGCAAGTCCGACGCCATACTGGGTTCAGAGCGGAGGCTAAAGCGATGTATTGCGAGTGAATGCAAGAAAGCAGAGGCAAAGAGCCCTGGAGGGAAGAAATGGAGACACGATAGGCAGGCCGGTCGTGTTTCGCGCAGCTCTATCTGGAGACTACGGGAGAGAAGAGTGGAGAATGGAGAGCTTGGAGAGGGGTCGAGTGGGCATGTGGATAGCAGACTAGTGATTAGCTACATACTGCTACTGTAACTACTTGGAGATGGTGGTGGGGTGGAGTGTATTGTGTGTGTTTATGTGTTGAGTGGTTGAGTGAGTGGAGTGGGCCGGGATAACGTGGGCTGTTTGGTACCTGGCTTTAGTCTGCCTGTACCTATGCGGGCTGGGCGGCCTGTGCCTGTCAGTGTGTCAGTGTCACCCTGGGACCTGTCCATGTCCATGTCCATGTCCCAATGTCCAGTCAGTGTCGTGATAGCAGTCCAGTGTTGCAGTAGTAATGGCAGTAAATAGTTATAGCATATGTCCCTGTCCCTGTCGCCGTCCTTGATCCTCTCATTACTGCTGTTAGCACTGCCACGTCCGTGTGTGTGTGCTGCATGCCTCCGTAAACCATCATTACTACCCTCCACCATTTCGCATTCGCACAAGGGACATGCCTGCCACCGATCAGACTTGGCCGTCGATACTCCTCGCATCATGATCGTGCACATCATCCGGCCAAAGGAGCGCTAGATGACTGGGCTGAAGATCGTTTCCAGATAGACGACATGCGAATTGTCATGTCGACTCTCAGCTGTCAGATCGCAGGACTCAAGACCAGACCGTCAGGAATATCCGAAGGGGGGACGGTCATCAGAAACTCCGAAGATGTGCAAGGAGTAATTACTATGTATTAGTAGTGTTGTAGTTTATGTAGTATAGTGTGGTGAGTGAAGGATGAGGAGGGGGGACGCCCAGAAGCCGGAGACGAACGGCAGCGGGAGTACCTGAACTGCCAGCCTGGCTATGTAATTACCTGCCCTGCCTACTACTACTACTACTACCTACCGTCGACGCCGTAATGCTGCTGCTGCTAGACTATGGACTGTGGAGTGCGTTATGGAGAGTATCAGTTAGTTGGTGTACAGCCTTGTGGAGTTGTAAATTACCGTGCGTCGATTGGAGTGCATGCTCTCATAGCATCGATACAGTATATCTGCACCTCTGAAGCCGCAGATGGATCATTTGACCTCCACTCTTGACCCTGAACCTTGACCTGCCTCGACGACCTCGACACTGGCAGTAATAATAACAAGCTGTATGATGTATAGCCTGTGTCTGTATCATGTATCCTGTATCCTGTATCATGTATCATGTACCTGCATCCTGTATTACCATGTCCTCTGTAGCTGTGTCTGTGCGGCTTTGCGGCGTCTTGACAATTGACAGATACCGCGCCCAGACCAGCCCGCGATCCCGTCCAACTCCCCCTCAGGTAGTTGTTTTACACTTTTCGAAGCTTCAGATGCACCCGCGCCGCCTCCTGGCAGCAGCTTTACAACGGCAACGAACAATTGAACGACAACAACAGCCTATTCACGTCTTTATCATCTTGCCATATCGCGTTGTCGTCTCCAGACAAATATTGTACCAGGTACTCGCCTCTCCACTCCTCCATCCTACGGACACGGCTGATCCGCATTCCTTTTCAGGGACACCACCATGTCGAATGCCTCTAATTCCCACTACGCATGCACCTGACCGCTAGATGCATACAGCCTGCATCAAACTCCCCCTTCACTCCAGGCTCGGCTGTACAACCGACTCGCTGTGCTGCATGAACCTGCATACTATCACATCATTCTTCCCGGCTCCTGTCCATCGCTGCATCGCCTCCTTCCTCCGTTTGCCGACCTTAGCTGTCAGTAATCTCCGTCTGAGACGAGACCGGGACAGGCATCTCTCATCTCCATCTTCAAGCTTCATCGCCAACTTCAACTCCATTACCATCACCATCACCACTTTATCGACGACGACTGCTTTCATGACATGCCATACCATGCGAGCTATCCATCCTTTGATGCGCTAGTAGAATCAATGGCCCCTAGTGTCCTGCTACACTACTCTATTAATCGCGATGCCGTCCAGTCTAACATGCTCGATCCCAGCAGAGAGGCGCAGATGGCACCTCTCGTCGGATCTCCATCTTCTCCAGCAACTTGGTCGTCGGCAAGGAAGATGCACCTTCATCTCCAGATCCATGTCTATTGTTGCGATGCTGAAACACGATAGTCCATTTTTGGTTGAGCTAGGCATACCATAATGAGACGAGAATGGCTGTATTTCGGATCTCTATATCCAAGTACTCGACTCGACAGCAGCCCGAATCGCCAATAGCCTGCTGGAACGTTCTCATTGATGATTATTGCACACTTGCTGGCGACACTCTTACAATTGTTGAATCCGACTCTCGCCTCGCGCGGCAACCCTGCCGTCTCATACAATCAATCCATTCCCTTAAGATGTAAGTACTCTGTACATCCTTCCCTGCCGAGGCCTGGTGGCGCTTGGTCAGCTGCCTTCGTCGCTCCCGAGTCTCTCACCATCATCTCTTGGAGCGCCACAGTCGCACTAGTGAATGTCAGGTCCTTGACACGCATCATGTAAAGTCATCGACGCGCGCATCTGGCGCCGCAATAGACGACACTACCGCTGACCTGTATCTTGCGACTTCACCGCCTTTCTTGCTTGCAGGCCGTTCCATGTCCTGCTCACCCGCCGAGGCAGATCATCAATAAAAAAGGTACTTCTTCCACACGAGTCAAGCACACTGCAATCTTCGATTGTCCATTTCTCAGCCCTGTCCGGTCCATCTGACCTCGTCTGCCGAACGCTCGGCCAATTCTCACTCCTATCGTCCAATCATGCCGGACACGCCAAACGACCAGATCGCTTCTCAACTGCATTCCACACGCACAGCAAATTAACAAACATCTCCAAAACCTGTCACATGGTGTAGATGGCAGATCAGCCACTATCTCTCATTGCCGTCGTCCAAGCCTTGCATCTTCTCACCATGCCCGTCAAGGACATCGAACTTACACAGGGTATCCTGCCTGCCACACTTCGCTCCTGACCACCATCAAACACCATGGAAGCGCACTCCGATCATCACTGCAATATCTGTCAATGTCCGCAGCTTCGTGAGTATTCGGAATTCCCTGCATATGAGGTCACCCCTGTAATAACACCACCAAGATACTACATAATAGTTGGATCTTGACGGACTGGCTTTCTAGCGAGACTCTAGCGCTGACTTTGCCCTCTCGTCCATCCGCCAATCACACATCCAAAACCCATACTCTATGATACATCCATTTCACGCTATCGTCGAACTGCTGCTCGTCCACTCTTCTGGCACCCAATCGCATCTGCAATCTGCCGCATCCCACGAGAGTACCATTGTCAAAATCCTGCTCCAGCCTTGAAAAATGCTCGTCAGCCCTGTCAAGCAGAGCTTTTTGTCTGTACACGTTGCACTTGCTAACGACCGCTAGTTGCATGCCTTGGAAGAGGATTGAAGATGTATGGTTGCGCTAGGCTTGCGTACCGCTTCTGGAACCCGTTCTCGTACGAGCTTGAGAAGTCGTGGTGTCGTGAGTGCAACATGCATCCACATCGACGACTTACGCCGCGACGACACACGCACATCATCCATGCAACACCACCACGTTCACTCTTCGACTTGCCTGTTCAGTCCGCGAGACTGTATGAGACATATCATGATTATCGTGCCCTGACATGAATACACGTGGCTCGGCATGTTCGAACCGACCTTCTCAGCCCTTGCCGCACCACCATCACGACTCACCGATCAGTAATAGCCATCACCTGCATTCAGCTTCGCCATGGTCGGCTTGCGACGTACATTCATCGACAACCAGTGTCAAACTTGACCAATCGGGACGAACTTAACAATGTACTCGTGGTCGTGTCGAAATGATAGACTAATTGACTGAACGAATCCCCTAAAATCTGACTTGATAACCATGTCCATACCTCCGACGACACACGGCACTGGTCCAATCACATTTCGCGATACACCACTCTGCGACAGTGCTCTATCGTGACCAGAGTCGTCTCCACGAACACGATCTTCCCGCCCACCTGGGAGGTTTCGTGCATCTTTACAGGGGATAATGTGACAAATTAGATGCCAAAGAGCGTTGTCCGTGGTGCCGAGCGTCGTTGTAGAAGGGGTATCCATCTCTTGATTTCGCACATCATTACAGGGGGAATGAGACAAATTCAATACCAAAGTGTTTCGTCGACCGTGCCATGTGTCGATGCAGAAAGCGTTTCCCATCTCTTCGAACCCTAGAGCCTGCACCTGCCCTTATCCCTAACATGAACAGAGACCCTAAAGGTCTCGCTATGCATGCTTCTGTGTGCGGTCGTTGTTCGACAGGACTTGCCACCTAAAAAGGGGTCCTTTCTTACTGCATCTCGCAGGCGTAGTCATTGTTCTTATGTACTAGTAATGCCAAAGCTGAAGGAAACGCTCATGCCGTATCTAGACCTCCTAAATCCCTGTCCAGATCCTAGATATCAAGTCATCCAATTCATCAATGAACCATTAGACTCCTATCCTTTACCAGAAACTGCTGAGCAAAAGAACTACCATTCAAGCCTTGTACCGATTGTACTGAACATTGATATAATGCCGTAGAAATCTTTCGAAATAAACATGTCCGTGTTTGATAGTGATGATGGAAATAGTGCTGTCGTGCAGATTGACCATGTATGTGAATTTATTTTATTTGTACCTTCTGATATGACTGCTCTGAGATTGTTCGTGTTGTGTGGATGTTTTGTATGGGCACTGGATGAATGGATGCGTGAGTAGGTATATGGATAGGGATGTGAGTAGGTATATAAGTGGATGGTGATGGCATGTTTTGCGTAGATTTAGCAGGTAGTAGGTTCAGTTGTGCTGGGAGGGATAATTATTGTAGTGGGATAGTCTTCCACGGAGAGAATAGGAATCTGGACTTTGATAGTCAGATAGACAGCATAAAGGGGAGGGATGGTAGCAAGGGCACTAGAGTTCATATGAGTCTGGTATTCGTGCTTGATCGTGGAGTGCACTGTGTGAATCTGGGCAGGTGTGAATAGAGAGTTATGTTTTTGTGCCTTGCGAATGGATTTTGTTATTAAACTATGCGTCTGTGACTCAACAGATGTCGGTATTTTTCCAAATTCGAGCAAAAGAAAACCGTGTGAATGAATAAATATCACGCATCGAGTGAAGGAATATGTGTTTCCGTACCCGACGACCTGAGCGTCGAGGAAGGTTAGCATTGATTTGATTTATGTTTGTTTAGGAAAGATTATTTGGGTGATTGGGATGAGGGACAGATGATGGGTTGTTTGTTGTTAAGTTTCGACGTGTGAGAAGTTGGTGAAGTGAAAGGTAGACGATTTGGGGACAGGGGTTTTGATTGTATTCACTTCACCTTGTAGCTCGACAAAGTGTGTTGGAACGGTGAGCGACTTGTTCTTGGGTATTGTAATTCCCTGAGCTCACCTCCCGCATTCGTTTCGCTCTCTATGTCTCTCTGCAGTTGATATTACTACAATTGCAATCCTCGACTCACCTCTCGATAACCTCGATCCGACCTCAATTGGAGTCATCATAACTACAACCGCAACCACAACTCGATATAACGTCGACTTGCAATCATAGCTCTCAGCTACTCTCGATCGCGATCCTCAACCTAAGACGCACCACTTCCACAATCCCAACCACAACCACAACCACCAGCAATGAACTCCCCATACTCTCCAGGCCCTCCCCCTCCCCATATCTTCACCCCGCCCCACCAATCCGGCCCTCACCCAACCGCCTGGCCCTCACAATTCCGTAATCAACACCACGGCCCCCCAATGAACCATCCCCTCTACCCAGGCCCCATCCCGCAACCAGACAATCCCCAACCCAGCCCGAGCCCCGAGCCCAAGCCCACAAAGACACACCAGCCAAGCCAAGCCGACGTCAAGGCCTCATTTGCCCGTTTGGCCGAGTGTATCCCAGAGGCAGCACTTACGTCGTCGGAGAGAGCTTTGTTCTTCGGTATGTGTAGTAATCGTGCCTTGCGTTTTGGATCCTGGGGTTCTTGACATTATCAATCATTTCCTCATCAGCTACCTATAATCTAACATACATCACAGCAAACATCCGCCTCGCCTTCCCGGCCCACACTCACGCCCTCGAAATCGTGTCCGCTACATCGACAAGAACAGTCGGTCGTGACGAACTGTATCATTCCCGCTGCCGCTACCTTGCGCTGGTCTCATTTGACCACAACAATGACGGCGATTCCGGCAATGACGGTGAAGAGATGCAGATTCTAGCAGAGAGTGGCAGGGCTGTGCTGAGGTACCAGGATGAGGAAGAGGAAGTGGAGGAGGTTGAAGTCGTGGGAGGGGGAGGAGGTGGGATGAGTTTGATGAAGGGGTTGTTCAGGGGCTTGTGCGCTGCTGTTGAGGAGGTTGTGGAGGGGAAGTTGGATGGGGTTCGGAGGAGGGATGGGGAGAGGGAGAAGGAGAAGGAGAGGGAAAGGGAGAAAATGAGAGAGAGGGAGGGGAAGGGGGCTAGGAAGGGGGAGAGGAAGGTTGCGTTTGATAGGAGGGGATAGGGGTATTGAGGTGCTGGGATGGTGAAAGCAAGCAAACGCAATCAAATTGGGTTGATGACAGCGCTGAACATTCGAGCTTCAAGGCATAATTGGATATGCAAGCACTTGGGCCCAAGCAAACAACAAAATATCGATCAAGCAAACCATATACAGAGTGCACAATATACGCAAGCAGTCTCGCCATCTCATTCCCCCTTTCCTCTCCGGCCCTTGTCCATTAAGAAATCTACAAAACACCCACGGCATATCTCACCCTACATACTTCCCACCGAAGAGAGACTCTGGAGATAGTAGACTTTACTAGCCGCTGGCGTGAATAACAACAACCAGGACCCTTCCTGACCGGGAGTCCTGCTTAAAGGTCTGTACTTTTGTTATATCTTGCCACATGATCTGCGGGACTTTGCGCGCGTTCATATGTACGAGATTCAGTAAGATGGCCACGTGTGTGGTGATCACGATGGTGATGATGATGTTTGCTATCAAGAGCATGGTCATGTTGTTAAAGGGAAACTGAGAACTGTGTCTATAACCGTCAACAATCCCTGCCCCGCTAATCCATAAGCGAGAGGCTAGGCCAGGGTCTTCGCTTCGTACAGTGGCCCCACCTGCTTTTTGGTAGATCCCCGCTAAATTGTCAACCTCCAGCAACCTTTCTCCAAACTTTCATACCCTACCAATACACAGTCGCAACGCTGCTACCTCTATTGTCCGTCCCAGACGACCGCAACTCGCCCATCGTCGTCGCGCAATGGCAGACAGTGACGAGGAATTCTACACCATCCCGATCAAAGACCAGCGTGTCTTCGGCGCCGGCATCAAGCGCAAACGAGTCGCCTTCGTGCGCGCCTCTACTGCAGCTTCCACGACTACATCGCCCAACACCAGCAACACCACGCCTACTCTCGCCGAGCAATATCTCGCCAAACACGCACAGAAGAATACACAGGCATCGCAGCTCGCCGCTGCCGCCGCTGCTACTGCTGATGACGGCGACGATGACAACGACAACATAACACCAGCGCAACCCCCTCCCCTACCAAAATGCGAAATATGCAAACACCCAATCCGCACACACACGCCCACCTCACCAAGCAACGGCAACAACACCCACAACAACACGAAGCAAACCGTATCAATCCCCCACGAAGCCACAATCCCGCACCAGCTCGCCCTCGCCCACTCCCACCCCCCCTCATCCATCGACCGCACAAGCAGAGGCCTCCCCTACATGCAAGCCCGAGGCTGGGACCCCGACGCACGCCAAGGCCTCGGCGCGACGGGTTCAGGGATGCTCTACCCCATCGAGGCAGTGGAGAAGAGAAACCGGTTCGGGATTGGTGTGCGGGTGAAGAAGAAGCAGGTTTTGGCAGAGGGTGAGGATAAGGAGGGCAAGAAAGCGGAGCGGGAGAGGGAGAGGATAATGAAGAAGAAACTGGTCAATCTCGATGCGAAGCAGATTCGTCGTCTGGATGACGAGGAGCGCAGGGTGGCGGATCGGATGAGGGAGTTGTTCTATCGTGATGAGTCGGTGGATAAGTTGCTTGGAGCCATGAATGAGGCGCCATCGCTATCGGTGGTGAAGACGGCGAAAATGAAGTCGAATGTGAAGAGGATGCGGAGGCAAGTTAGTGGGTTTGAGGGGTTCGATCAGAAGGGCAGGTGGATTTGAGCATCTGAGCGTTTGGCTGGCTGGCGGAGTGCGTGCATGCGTGCATGCGGGCATGTGGAAGTGAAGGGAAAGGGGAAGAGGCGTTCTGTTTGATTGAGATACCCGCAGGAACACTTCCTGCATCCTGCACATATGGCGTCATGGGTGGGAAGACGTCCATGAACACACAATTTATGCTTGGTGGAAGAGGCTTGGACCGAATCAATGGGAGGCTATTTGTTGTTTGTTCGTCTTTCGTGCCGCTGATGTTGTCCATGTTGTCAATCAGCAGGCAGGTGGCTACACAGCATAAACAACAACACAGCCGTGTTTGGTTGAACCGTTGTTCGTTTGTGCACCACCATGCCCATGCAGACGCGCGCTTTATATTCATAGGCGGATGAAAATGACTACTGCACATTGCCTTAAATCTGATATATGTACGTATATAGCAAATGCTAGAGACAGCATGCCATCACCCATAAAAACGTCGCTGCAGCAAACGCCCCCAAAAAGCAGACAATCCGACACACACAACGCCAGCTATTTGAAAATGACAATCAACAACACCAATATCACAATCAACACTACAATCAGCGACAGACTCCAATTATCCTTTGCTTTTCTGCTAAAGTTGTCCAGGTTCGAGCGCGCCCGGTTCAACGTACTCTGATGTCTGTTCACGCCCTCCTCGACGTCTTCCAGCAGCATGACGTGGTCGTCCAGCTCGTTGCCGATCTGCATGCTCAGCTCGCGCTGTCGCCCAATTGAGCGTCCGAGTGTGTCGAGTTGCTCGTCTTGCTCTTGTATCACGCCCTGGTGATACATGTGGATTTGTTCATTTGACAAGTAGGCCTGGGCGTCTACGGCCGAGGGCTCTGAAGGCTCATCCGTGTAGCGGGCGGGGAAAAGTGCAGCTCGATTCGGATCCGGAGATGCTGGGGTTGGAGGTGAAGAAGAGGAAGAAGCATCGGTAAAGCGGACAGATTTGCTGGCGGGCTTTTGCGCGGCGGCGAAGTCGGGCGCGAGAGAGGATGAGTTTGGGGATGTGAGGGCTGCGTCAGGAGAGTGGCCGAAGCCGTGGAATTGGGATTGGAGGGCGGAGAGTTGGGATTTCAGCCGGGGGAGGTCTTGGGCGTAGGTGCTGGGGACAGCAGGTCAGATCATGCATGCATGCCATGTAGGAGAAGGGCCATGTAGGATATAGAGACGTACGAATCAGGTCTTGCTTCCAGTGCCTCGATGCCAGACGAGAGCGACTCGAGCGATCTGGAAATCTGGCCATCGTGAGAATTGGGCTCGAGATTCAGCGAAATGGCCCGCTGTCGCTCGAGGAGGGATAGCTTGATGTGATCGGCGAGGAGGAAGAGCTGCGACGGGTTCGAGGAGGACATGGCGCTTCTTTTTTTGGCGACTCCTCGATGGGAGTGGGTAGGCTCGATGGGAGTAGAAAGTGAGCTGAATGGCAGAATATGCACCCAAGCGCAGGCACAAACAACCGCTGCCGGGGCGTCGGGCCGCCGGGGACTGGTATAGGAGAAGCAAACTTTTGGCTGAGGAGAAAGGAAAAAAAAGACAAGTTGAGGTTGTACACAGTCTCGGCGATCAGGAGGCTCGGGAGTGGTGTAGATGAGATTGTTTGGCTGGCGGTGTATTGTGACGGTGATGTAGGAGAGGAAGAGCGATTGGGAGTGTCGTCAGTGCTACCAGGGCCCCCCCCTACTTACCTAGGTACTTACCCCCCCGCGCGCCTTAGCAAATGCAGCAGTCGCAGGTGGTGCAGGCGTCTTTTGCAGCGGGCCTAGTCCCTACGAATCACGAATCGGTCCGCCGTCCGCGGGAGTTCCTCCGCCGAACGCTCCCTTGGCTCCTCCGTCGTCACTACCCACCCTGCACCACATCGACAATACACTTCCAGGTACAACAAACGTGCACGCGCATTCCTCCATTGTTCATTCACTTCCCGCCCCCTGCCCTTATCCTTCTTTGCTCACACATACACGCTCGCAAATTGCCTCATTCCACAGCGCCCGCTTTTGCTCTCTTTGCAATGCCCCCTCTCATCTTATAGCCTTTCGTTTCCACCTGTTGACCACAGGCCCCTTTCGTCCGACCTTCGCTTTCAACCTCGCCCAAAAACAACATGTCGGATGCTGGAGATCGTAGCTCGCGACGCTCGTCCAGGGCTGCTGCCAGTAGGCCACACTCGCCTCCGAGAAGCCCTCCGATCGAAGTCGCAGGTTCAAGTTCTAGGACTCCAGAGTTCCTGGAGCGGCACAACAATGATGCCCAAATTGTCGGTCACCCTCCGAGTACCCCTTCACCGATTGCCATCGCTGCAGCATACTCACCATCATGTCGACTTCGACAGCCTCAGGACCAGTCTTCAGCCGCCCCCAACCTTTCAGTCGACCTCAGAGAGGTCGAGTATGTCTCTAACGTAGACGACAACTTGGTCTGTCTGATCTGTCACTGCCCCTTCGTTGAGCCGCGCATCCTGTCGTGCGATCATGCGTTCTGCAAGGAATGTCTGGTTCAGGCCTTCGCTGTCCAGCGTCCCACACATACGACGTGCCCGACCTGCCGCACTCCGGCCAAGCTCGAGGACTGCTCCCAGAAAGTCCACCGAATGACCGAACGCATGCTGGACGAGTTGGTTATAAAGTGTCCAAATAGCTACCTGGGTTGTGGCTGGGCCGAAAAAAGAGTTGACGTACAAGACCACATTGAGCTATACTGCAGCTATACCATGTTGGCGTGTCCTGACAGGGACTGCAAGCTTCAGATCCTAGCAAAGGACTTTCATCGTGGCTGCCTGCATGGCACCGTGAGTTGCCGAGACTGCCACATCTCGATGATGAAGAAGGACATCCAGGTAGCGTACAACGTTACGAACAAGTATCGGGTGCTGACGCCACTTAGGATCACATGAAGAAGTCGTGCGAGAATCGCATGACTACCTGTAATGAATGCCAGAAAGAGCTTGTTCGCGTTGACTTGCCGTCCCACCTTGCCGAGTCCTGTCCAAAGGCTATCATACCCTGCACCGGCGAGCCTATCGGCTGTGACTTCAAGGCTGAGCGTGTTGACGTCTTGAAGCATACACCAGATTGTCCCATGGTAAAGATGTATCCTCACTTCGCCGCACAGAACGCCAAGATTGAGGAGCAGGGCAAGGCTCAGAAGCTTATGAATCGCAAGATCAACATTCTGGAAGGTAGCATGTCAGCTCTTCAAGACATGCTTACTCCAGGAAACGTGCCGTCTTCATTGTCTGATATGAACGATCTGACCGGGGCTCCTTTCGACTCTGGCATTCATCACGTCCTGTCAGTCAATGAAACGCTTCGTGAGGAAGTCGACCGCACAACTAGTGCCCTGGCAGAGTTGGACGGCCGCTTAACCATGACGGTGTTGAATGAACAGAGTCGTACTAGGGACGAGCTCTTGCACATCAATCATGCCATTGGATCCATGCGAGTGCAGCTTCAATGGCTAATCAGCGCGCGTATACAGGCTCAGGGACGTGTTTCGGGCAGTTCAGTTCCAAGTGCTAGCGGACCTTCCGGGTCTGCCAGCGCCGGTTCTAGTTCCGGGGTCAACCTGCAGCCTGTCCGTCGACTGAGCGATCCGAACCGTCAAGACCCCAAGCTATAAGCTGGTTATCAAGCAGGCAAGCACACTTTACGAAATTATGAATTATTGACTACTCAAAAAAAGGCGTTCTCAAAAGCGGAAAAGACTTCTGGCGGTTGAAAAGTTCTGCTCACACGGGGGTGTTTGGAGGCTCAATCATCGAAAAATGGATTTGTTGTTGATATCATGATTCCGCGAAAAGGCGAAAAACGATTGGCGGAGCCACATGACTTTCAGCGTACTCAGTTTGTCAGGACGCAGTTTAGAGATTAGGATACCCGGGTTGTATTTGGAGTCGGATGGATGGAGCTGGCGTACTAGTAGAGCAGGCTTCACGACTCGACTCTTCGTCATATGGTGTGTGGCCCAAGGCGTTGTCGGACAGGTGTCTGTCTGTAGAACACATCGTCTTGAGACGAACATTTGAATGCAAAACCTCAGGAGGAATTGCACAGGTCGGAGAGATAGCATCAACTCAACTCAAACATTCGATAATTCTACTGGCTGCTCGTGCTGTTCCTGAGGTTCTTGATGTAGCTAGCGTGAACCACTGGTCCGTGCTTATCAAAAGTCTTCCACCAACACTGACTGGTGTCCTTACACCAAACACAACAACGGAAGGGAGATGTACTGTCCGCGTTGAACATCTTAGCTACCACTCAAATATGTTTGATGTGGGAAATTGATCATCGACATTAGCACAAGTTGGTAGAAAGAGCTATGGACATGGCGTCACGACAAAGTGTCAAAGTCCTCAGGGGCTGCGTCCTTGATACGATTCCAAGACGAACTCGGCTTCAACACATCAGGAACCGATCATCTATGGCAGTCCCAGCAGCTTCGTGTCTGCTCCCTAAACATACACGTACATGTACCCAGGCACGCTTCTACACTTCATCATCGACACAACAAGACGCTCGTCACGCGACCTCGCTCTTCGACATGCACGACCGCGACGTCGAATCCATCATCAATGGCATCCGCCGCTTCCACGCCCACGGCGAACCCTACCGCATAGCACACGGCTCCACAAACAGTACCCGGCCGCGCGCCCCTGGCACAAACGTCATCGACATATCCCGCCTCAACCGCGTCCTGCACATCGACCGCGACGCCCAGACCGCCATCGTCGAGCCCAACGTGCCCATGGACCGCCTCGTCGAAGCCACTCTCGACCACGGCCTCATCCCACCCGTCGTCATGGAATTTCCCGGCATCACCGTCGGCGGCGGCTTCGCTGGCACCTGCGGCGAGAGCTCCTCGTTTAAGCACGGCTTCTTCAGCGATAACATCGACTGGGCTGACATCGTCCTTGCGAATGGCGAGCTTGTCCGTGTCTCGCCTGAGGTGCGGCCTGATCTCTTTTCTGGTGCGGCGGGCGCGCTGGGGACTTTGGGTGTTACGACGCGTGTGCAGATTAGGCTTGTTAAGGCGGAGAAGTATGTCGATGTTACTGTGCATCCGCTTACTACGACTGGCAAGGGCAACGATGGAGGAGAGGAGGATATCTTTGCTGCTGCTGTGGATAAAGCAGCGCTGTTCGCTCGCCGCTCAGACATCGACCATCTCGACGGCATCCTCTTCTCGCGCACCGAAGGTGCCCTCATGACCGGCACCATGACATCCGCCCCTCTCTCACTCTCCTCATCCTCATCTTCATCCTCACACACAAACCCCCAACAACTAACACGCTTCTCCCGCCCCAAAGACCCCTGGTACTACATGCACATCTCCCACCTCCTCACCCAACAACCCCACAACCCACGCCCAACAACCTTCCGCACCCCGCTCGCAGAATACCTCTTCCGCTACAACCGCGGCGGCTTCTGGGTCGGCCACGCCGCATTCGAGTACTTCCACTTCCCCTTCACCGCGCTCACACGCCGCCTGCTCGACGACTTCCTGCACACCCGCATGATGTACACCGCCCTGCACGCCTCAGGCCTAAGCGAGCGCTACATAGTACAGGACTACGCGCTGCCGTTCAGCGGCGCGGTCGGGTTTCTGAAAGGTGTCCAGCGAGACGTGGGCGTTTGGCCGCTATGGCTGTGTCCGCTGAGGACGGTGTCCGGGACAGCGCATTTCCATCCGCGGGCGCGGCGGGCGACAGAGAGTGCAAGTACGACTACGACAGAAGCAGGGACGGCGGAGGGACAGAAGGCAGACGAGGAGCAGCCCGAACACATCCTGAACATAGGCATCTACGGCTGGCCTCCTTCGCCTACTACCTGCACGCCCACCTTCGCAGCCGTGAACCGCCACCTCAACGCCCTCGCCGCCACCCATGGCGGCACGAAATGGCTGTACGCCCAATCCTTCTACACAGCCGAGGAGTTCTGGCAGATCTACGACCGGGCGTGGTATGAAGGATTGCGGGCCAAGTATGGGGCTGCTGGCGGCGGTAATAATAGCTTGCCGAGTGTGACGGATAAGGTTGCTTGGGATGGCGTGGAAAAGGAGCAGCAAGTGCGGGATGTGTGGCCGGCGGCGGGGATACGCGGGCTGAGGGCTGCGATTAAGAGTAAGTCGTATCTAGATGCGCGGAAGAGTCGGTGGAAGGAGTGGAGTTGAGTTTGAAAGGCCCGGGTGGGGGATTGTTATTTTGAGGGATAGGTAGGTTATGTAATATTATATAAGATCAATGATAGAAGGGAGATATATATATCAGAGGGCTATATGTACTACGGACGTACACACACACACACACACACACACACACACACACACACACACACCCACACGCATTCTCCACAGAGCATGTGTTATATAGACAAATAACTGATAGAGCTGAGCTTATATATTACTACGGACGGAATACTCGTGCATCAATTGTACATCCAGGCCTTTTTCCAGTCTGGGGCGGGGGGATTTTAAAAACACAAAATCGCTAGTATACAAAGGAAAAAGGTGGGTTTGTTTCGTGCGGTGAAGAGGTGCAGTCTAGATCATCTCCATCTCCATAGGCGCAACGCGCTGGTATGATGTGATGTGAAGTGGTGTGTGGGGTTGTGTGTTGGTAAGGGGGTATCTCCGCAATGCATGCAAGATCATATTGCAGAAAAAAAAACACCTGCAGAAAAGCGCAGAGAGCAAAGAAGAAAGAGAGAGCGGCGGCTTCACCAAATGGACAGCCAGTCAATGCTAAGCCAAGCTTCGCCATAGCCAATAAAGGAAACGCGTTATTGAATAATGTGCAGTCTGATAATTTTTGTTGTTTCATCTCGTGAGCCCGCGTGCTGGCTCAAAACTCCCATCCGCGCTCCTCTTCTTCATGTCCACCAAGCTCCTGCTCTGGCGCTCCTCCGTCGATAACGCTATCTTCATCGTCGTAAAACCCATTCATGCTGATCTCCTCGTCACGCAACATTGGGTCTTGGTCGTAGCTGGATTCGCGGAGAAGCGGCGGCGTGCTTGGGCTTTGCGCAGGTTGTTTGCCCATCTGTTTGCTTGTCAAGCCCGTAAATCGCTGGCCTGTCGAGCCAAACGCAGAAGGCTGCTCAGGGTAATGTTGTGGATGTTGGTGCCGGGACTGCTGTGGCATGGTCTGGGGATGCGGTTGGGGAGAGGCGCGACGCACATTTGAGGCTGGCGGCGTCATCAGGCCGGAAAGGATAGATTGCGAATGCGAGGGTACTGGCGATGGCTTTGGTCGAGAAGGAGTGAGACTGCGGTTCAAGGCGTTCGACAGTTGAGGTTGCTTGAGCTGGGGAATGGATGCCGTGCTGCCCGCTCGACTGTCTCTGCCACCCTTACGCCAGTTGCCAAACGCTGCGGCAAGCTGAGCTGCTTTCGGCGTTGCCAGGTTGGAAAGCGTTGATAGCGTAGGGAAAGAATTGCCATTTCCACTTATCAGCCGCTCCTTTTCCTGTTGCTCCATCTGTAGGTTAGTGCGGATGCGGATAGCCGCGTCGCGAACAGCCTCGCGATTGACGTTGGGTTGGCCAAGAGCATTGATCAGCTCGCTGATATCATCAACCCGTACTCCAAGGAGCTCACGAAGCCAGCCGATCTCGGTATCGCGCTCCTTGAGCTTGGCTGGAGCCTCAGTATCGATTTCTTCAAGCTGCCGTTCAAATGATTCGATACGAGTTTCGCGTTCCTGCAGTTGCTCCTGCAGAACGACAATAGACTCTCGTAGGGCTTGAGGAGATACCTTCTCCGGCACTCCTGCGTAGCCGCCTGGCGCTTGTTGTGCAGCGGGCGACTTGACGGATGCAGCAGTGAGAGCAGCAGCGTTAGCAGCATCCCGAGCAACCTTGAGCTGTGACTCGAGATGTTCGGCCTTGGACTTGAGCAGTTCAGCTTGGTCTTCAAGGTGTTCAAGCTTCGCGTTCGAAAGATTCAGTCGTTCCTTGAGATGCGTCTCCTCACGGCGGCTGTCTTCACGGACGTTCTCCAGCGCCCGGGCGTGTTGATTGCGGATCTCTTGGTATATCCGCTCATGTCGTTCCTTGACCTCGTCGATTGCAGCCTCACGCTGATTGTAGGCCTCGTTGAGGGCATTGCGTCGAGCGTCCAACGCTTCTTCGAGTTGAACTTCGTAACGAGCCTTGGTCTGATCGTAGTCCATCTTCAAGTTGTCAAAGTCAGCTTGCAGTCTTTGCTTCTCCCTGTCGGCATTCGATCGAAGCATATTGATCTCATTGTTGGCAGCTTGCAAATCAGCTTCCATGAGGCGTCTAGTGCGTTGCACTTCTGTTTGTCCCATATGTCTGGCTTCCCGGAACTCGCGCTCATAACGAGCAGCGTTTCTTTCGTGCTCATCGCGCTCATTTCTGAGCTTCTCCGAACTCTCTTCAATCTTCGAAAGTTGTTGCTCGGTGTGTTCCAGCTTGACTCTGAGGCGCATGCCTTCCCGTTCCTGAGTCTCAAGTCTTTCCAGCTCGCGCTCGAGTCGTTCTCGAGTTCGAGCCTCCGCCTCGATCCGGGCACGAAGTACCTCGTATCTGGTCCTGTGCTCCTCGTCCTTCTTTTGCCATGTTGACTTTTCTTCGGCAATTGAGCCAGCAGCTTGGGTCATGTCATATTGAAGTTTCTCAATCTTAACACGCATGCCTTCACGGACCCGCACGACTTCTTGAAGCTGTAGCTTGACGCTGTCAGATGTCTTCTTGAGCTCGTCATTCTCGATCTTGAGGTCCTCATTCTCGGCGCGGAGCTCATCGTTGCGTGACTTGCTGTGAGTCATCTCGTCACGCCATTTGTTGCTCGAAAGACGGTACTCGTCGATAGTGGCCTCGAGAGCTTCGTTCTGATCTTGTAAGGTAGCAAACTTCCGGCGGAGCTCTTCTTCCGCAACTTGCCGAGAAGAACGTTCCGAGCGAGTGTTATGCAGCTCCTCATGTAGCGCCCGAGTCTTTGATTCTTCATCTCTCAAGCTTTCCCGAATAATGTTAATCTCTTCGTCGTTGAGCTTGAGCAAACGTTGGGCCTCCTCCTCGCGCTTCTCGGCAGTTTCGCGTGCCTCTCGTTCTTGGTCGACCTTGATCGAGGCTTCCTTGATCATGGCTTCAAGGTCAGCGATACGGCCTTCATTCTCAAGAATGCTCGCGTTGTCGGACTTCTTCTGTTCCTTAGTGTCTTGACGCTCAAACGCCTCTTCAATGAATTCGCGAATCTCGTCCTTGTTTTGCGTCGCAACATATTCCTGACGAGCGATGGCCTGGTTCATGATCTCCCGCAAGTCCTCCTTGTGCTGACCAGTCGACTCATGGTGTCGCTCCAGGGTCTCATGCATGAGCGCTTTGAAGGTTTCGTTCTTCTGATCAACATCGGTGTGTTGGCGCCGAAGTGCCTCTTCCATAATATCCTTGAAGTCTTCGAGAGAGACATGATTGGAAGCTGAATGAGCCAATTGTACCTTCATTGCAGCTAATGCCTGGTACACTTCAGAAAGGCTGAAGTCGTGCTTATCCTCAGTAACTTCTGGCATTGCGGTCCGGATCTGTAATTGCTCCGAGAGAGATGCTTTGAGATCGTTGATTGTGTCGTAAAGCTCCTTTGTGTTGACAGACGGTAGTTGTGGAGACTTTGGCTTCGTGTCCTCCAGAGACTGCTTCTCGGCCATGGAAAGCTTGAAGTCCGAAAGAGCAGAGTAGAAGTCCGACAAGTCCACCTGCGCAGGGGCTGGTGGCTCCACTGGTCTGGCCGCCACCTCAGCAGCAATCCTGGCCTGCTCCTCCTGCTGCTGTCTCTGCTGTTCGGCGAGCGAAGACTTTAGCTCGGCAAAAGCTTGATGAACCTCAGAAAAGTCTGGCGCGGGTGGTTGGGCAGCCAGAACCTCAGCTTGATGCTGTTTCTGCTGCTCCGCAAGAGAGGTCTTTAGTTCAGCAATGGCTTCGTTGATGGCGGTCAAGTCAGGTGGTGTCGATACGATCTTCGGTTGATCCGCCCGCTGTTCGGCGAGAGAGACCTTGACGTCGGCCAAAGCCGAATATATTTCAGATAGGTCAAGAGGCGGGGCTGATGGAGTTGGCGTTGCAGAACGTGGGTCATTTTGCTGCTGTTGCGAGGCAAGCGCTTCCACGACAATTGATCTAATTTTCTCAAGCTTGCGATCTTTGAGTGGCGAACGATTACGGAAGCGTTGCTCATCGAGGTCGTCATCTTCATCATCAGCATCGCTGCCGAGTGGCTCCGTGGAATAACTCCTGCGCGTGCTTCTAGCACTGCGTCTAGACATTGCTGCAACAGACTCCTGCATGAGACGCATTGTCTCTTCAAGTGGCCCAAGACGAGTGGAGAGAACGCTATCAATGAGACCATCCACATGGTGGTCGAAGAAGCGAGCACGAGATTGCAGCTTGTCAATGCCGGCTTCATCTGAGACCATGTCGTCCCAATCGCTGACAGGAGCATCTTCTGCAGTGTTGAGACGGTGTACAGGAGACTCATACGCAAGACCAGCCCTGGAATCGCTGAAAGGATCTTGGATGAGTTCTGATTCACCATGTCGCATACCGGTTGGAGCTTGCATTCTGCGGGGGCTCGGGCTGGGTGCATCGCTACGTAGATTGGTGAAATTGGGTCGCAGATTGGGTGTGCCGAAGTCCATAGAGCCTTGTGGCTGGCTAGAACGTTCCCAAGTCTGAGCCTCTTCCTTCTCAACGCCAAAGTCCGAACCGGCATCATTCATATGCTTCATGACCTCGTCGATATCGTTGAACGAGGGCTGCGCAAAGGAATCGAAATCGACACTATCGTTATCCGCATGCGGCATCGGTCTACGCGACAATGCAGTTCTATACGACCCATCGTCGCTTGGACGGAAGGTTGTGGTCGGGCTGCGGCTGACCTGCCTGTTAGGAGCGCTTGAATTGTGCTCTATGTCAGTGACATCAGAAGGCTTCGTAACGTGAAGACCAAATTCAAATGCACCGGAGCCAGAACCAATCCGGGGTGTGAATTCCTTGGCGATGGCCGAGAGCGAGCTCTTGTTTGCCGCGTGATTGCTTGGTGGACGTTCTGGCAGCTTTTCCACAGAAGCAGAAATGCTCCCGTCGTGTTCGGTCATCGAACGACTGTCGTCCAGGAAGCTGGAACCAACAGGTGTGGCATCGGAGCTTCTGTTGATCCCCACAATATCTGCCGGTGCGTGCGCCCGAGGAGCTGGTAAGGCCTCCTTGACGACTGGCTTCGTAGGTGCAAGATTTTCCTTTGCATCTGGTATGGGGCTTCTCTCGACCTGGGGTTCTTGCTTCGAGGCCTGGAACTGAGTAGTCTCGGAGAGCGGCTGGGAAGCAAGAACGGGCTGCGGCGCGAATTTGGGCAGAGTGTCCCCATCATCGCCAAACCTTCTAGCCCTCTTCTGCCGGGCATCTGACTGGGTAACACGGCCATCGGCGTCTTCTTGATCTTCTTCTTCGATCTCATCATCATCAGACCCCGATCTCGCGCCAGAGGCTCTTCTAGGAACAGCGTCAGGGCGGATGATGGGTACAGCCTTGGAGCGTTTCGCAGGTTTGATGATGTCCTTGTGACTGAAGTTGATCGGTCCGAATATGTGAGATTGCACTTCTTTCTCTTCAGCCTCAGCTGGCTCCTCAGGCATTATAGCAGCATCTACATTTGGTCGGAATGAGGTAGAATCAGGCTTGAAAGCAGGACCACTGGAAGCAAAGTTGAAATCTCCGCTAGGGGCAGGATTCGAGTTTAGGCTCGCACCAGGAGTAAAGCTAGGTGCAGCCACGTTCCAGCTGCTCGCAGCAGGGTTGAAAGAAAATGGTGCTGCCGAGCCGTAAGGAACGCTTCGACTGAAGCTGTTCTTCTTATGGCCTCCGCTTGGTTGATACTCGAAACCCAGTGAGTTGAACGAAAAGTTGCCCGGCTGAAAGGACGCCGTTGGATTGAACTTGAATTCTTTTGCACTGGCGTTGAGACTTGAGCCAATTGAGGCCTTTGAAGCACGGCTACCGTGTCCTGGTTTCCAGATGTTACTGCCTTGAGACGTTGTCGCTGAATGCATTCTGGCGCCAACAGCTTTCTCTTCCGCACTTGGGTTGGTGATTTCTGATATATTGGTCTTCGCGTCGTCACTAATGTCACTCCTACCATTTGCTGCAGCTGTGTTGTATGAGTTCTGCTTCGTTTGTGTCAGGGAGTGATTGCGGTTATGAGGCTGCGGCTGGTGAAGCACTTGCTCAACTGGACGCGGGCGTCTCCATTCGGAAATGCTATCATCCAATTCAGATTGGTGAGAAATCTTGGGGCTCTCAGCACCGAAGCGACTACCGGGACTGAACTGCCCTCCTGAAGCAACGTCCTTTTCGAAGGTGGCCTCGAGGTGGTAGTCAGCGGACTCAACGTCGCGCTGCAGGTTTTCACTAATATTGTGCTGATGACGTGGCTTTGGTACGGCCATCTCCGTCTCAGCACCTTTGACTTGGTGTGGTACATCATGTTCTTCCTCGGCCTCTTCTTCTGGGACTTCCTGAAGAGTGGACGATGGTCTCAAGTTCGTCAGACCGGGAGATTGCATGCGCTGTTGATGTAGCTGCGCAAGCAAATCGTCCTTCTGAGGGAAAGAGTATGTTTGCGGCGTGAAGCCAAAGGGTGATACGGGTGACATAGTGTCGTTCAGACTTGGCATACTGTTGTTTTGGGAGATGCCTGGTGAGCCGCCTCTTGTTGTGGCTTGTGATCCAAAGTATGATTCATGTGGGGAAAAGGTGCGGAATCCTCCAGGTGGCGTTGCTTGAGGAGCAAAACTTGACGGCATCGCAAACATCGAGTTCCTGTGCATGTGGGATGACATGCTTCTCTGTGAGTTGCCGAAAGCCGACATAGGCGAAGCAATTGATCGCGTGGACTGATGCCCTGACATCCCACTTCCGTTTGGTCCAATCCGCTGACTGCCTGCTGAAGAAGAAGGCAAGGGTGGAGAGAACGGTAAAGGAGGGTACTGAGACGAACCTTGCCTCGACATCATTGTTGGTGACTGAGATTGTGAAACTTCTTCTGAACCTCCCAACGACACGCCTAATGCGGCCAGCTTCTGCTCAACAAGGAAGTCCTGGTATGCCTTCCAGTCGTTCTCATTAGGTATATGTACCTTGAAGGATTTAGTACTCATCTGCTGAGATTGATCGGTTGGATCAGGGAAAACATCGCGGTTTTGAGCATGGCCAAGCGGCTGAAGGATGTCCGGGGTACCTCTCCAGTGCCCGAAACCTCGCGTATCGTAACCTTCATCCTCGAACTTGGCGAGTCTTGCCCTCACTTCAGCGTGCGACAGAGGCATAGGTGCATGTCCGGGCTTGCCTCTGTTTGAATCAATCGGGAAGTCCATAACCACACTTCGACCTTTCTTCGTTTTGATCACTTTCCTTGGACGCTTGGGTGGTGGTGTCGGTGCCCGTTCCTCGACTTCCTGTACACGCTTGACCGGAGATGGTGAAATCGGAAGAGCTGTCTCAGTGGGTATCGGCGTAGAAGGCTTCTTTGATACCAGTCGAGTAGCGGCATCAGAGGCTTCGATTGGCGACAATGATTGGTCTGCCGGAGAAGCTGTATTCGCAGCATTTTCAACCGGCGAAGTCAAAGACTGTCGAGCCACAAGTTCCTTGGTTTCCTGAGAGCTCTCAGGCTCCGGCTCCTGTGGCTTCGACGCATACCTTGAGGCCATCATCTTGGCGAGATGTTCCTTCTCTTCCAGACCAAAGTGAGACCAGAAATCTTCTTGCTTTAGAGTCAAGTTCTTCTTGTGTCCCTTCCTCGCCTCTGTAGGTTCAAGCGATGATTGTCCAGTGGTTTCCGATTCAACGGGCTCTTTCGACTGAGCGTCGACGAATTTGCGAAGTAGCTCCTGTCTTGAGGCTTCTGGACTTTGCGACAGCAAATCCCTGAAGGCTTGCCTCAGGACTGGTCGCGGTGTGGCTTCTTGTGCGGCAAGCAAAGACGCAAAATGTTCCGCAGTCGGCGTTGCTTGTAGAGCCGGGACAAGAGCTGGCAGGAGATAATCAAGCCCAAAATCGGGGGTCTCTTCGTCTGCTACTCGAGAAGGAAGTAGATGGTCAAGACCAAATTCGATCTCTGACGATTCGCTACCTAGATCGTCACTTCCAAAATGCTCTGGATCTTGAATTCTTTCACTGACTGTGCCTGGTGAAGGCTGTCTATATGGAGACCCCCAACTTGTTGTGTAGTACGACCCAGGCTCTTTAGGTACCGACGGCGCAGAAGGAGTCCGTGGGATACCAGCGATTGATGGTAGCGATGGAAGAGGTGGGAGCTCGGGACTTGAGTGACCTAGGGTGTTTGCGGGAGACGACCACTGATCCCGCGAAGGTGAGAGATCGTTCGAATGATCGAAGGGTTGCAGGTCTTCAACAGTCTGTCCGGGAGCAGACGGAGGAGAAGACGGCAGGGTATCTTGAGGTGTCGATGGTCGTGAAGCTTGCATTCAACATCTATTCTTGCAGCCGTCGGACCCTTGAAAGACGTCGCGAAACGCGCCTCTTTCGCGAATTAGTCAACGGCGGATTAAGTATGTATTCGAGACAGAATTGATGATGTCCAGAGCGAGATTAGAAACGCGTTTGGATTTTTTTTTCCTCGGCAGCCAGAGGGCAGGGTGTGGCAGGCTCGGTACGGATGACGCGCTAAGAATTATACAAGACAAAAGAAAGGCTTCGGGTTTGCAAGTGGCTGCAAAAGGAGGGACATCTAGTTGGCAATGGGAGCGTTGACACCAGTAAGCACCATAGCGGGTTGCTGAGGGCTATGAGGAAAGTCGTGATGGTAGAGGAGTTGGCGGTGGATGAGGAAGTTTGAAAGGAGTCGAGGTTGGTGTGGAAGAGCAAGGATGGATACGGACTAGCGTGGGCTGGTATGGAACCTTGTTGGAACTTGGAAGGATGGATGAGCTGGCCTGAACACTCAGGACTCAAGACTAATTAAGGACTACTCAAGAACAACATATACCATCGAAATCCGTCCACGTCAACACACATGATGCTGCCACATGTCGTCGTTCCTCGACTTTGGACAGACAGAGAGCTCGATGCCTTTTCCCCTGACCCTTACATAGTACCTACCGCTGTCACCCTCGGCCATGATCGTCGCGGCGAATGAACAGCACAGCATGGCACCTGGCAACGTCACTCGAGCATCAACACTCACCATGCCCCAGCCCAGCCTTCCCCAGCTTGTCGACCGGAGCCGTACAAAGCATGCGGAGATGCGCTCAGCTTGGATGTCAGCGCCATCATTCGCCTGACGTACGAACCTGCAAAGCCATGACGGTGCTGTGTCACTGATTTTCTGGGGTTCATATAAACGTATATCCAACGTTCGACCTCCCTTGTATGCTGGTATAGTGCGTATCTCATTCTCTTAGCCTCTAGTTACGGTACTACACTCGAGGTCAGAAACCAAAACCTTGCCAGAGTCGCCACTTGCCAGAAGTCTACACGAAGATCCAGCATGTACGTAGACAATGATAATTACTACAAAGAAGACCTTCGCAGCACTCAGTTACCCGTCTTAGCGCCCGCGGTGTTCCTAGCAGCCATAACGCTATCCTAACACGCTGACACATCAAATCCATCGCTCAAAAAGATTGACATATCACGCATCACGTGACATGAAAAGTTCCTCTCACTTAGGATTCCGGGTAAAGCGGCACGGCGCCCTCTGACTGGACAGCACGTTTCTTGCCGTCATGCAATACTCTTGGTAGGCATATAGTTACCATATACTACGTCAAACAGAACTATCCCGCCCAATATGAATATGTACACACCCCAGTCTTACAACATCAACATCTCCCGCCCCCTATTCACAAGCAATCTCAAGATAAGACGAATAATACCGCATCGTAAATATCTCATAGATCTCCACCGTAGTTACCCAGATCAGATCGATCTCAGTGATTATATTTAGCCTCGGCTACGCCCGCACTATTATTATCAACACATCAGCGTCACCAACGTAATTAGAAGGAAAAGCCTTCGGAGACGCCACATACACTCACAGGTTGTATATATCAGCATTTTAACAGGCGTTATGGCCAGGGACGTCGTTAACATTCAGCATAAACCGCGCGACCGCGGGGATGATGTTAGCAGTGCGAAGAGCTGGCCGGATAACACGTTCCTAGACTCTGCTTCCGAGAAAGACGAGACGGAGACGAGCACGATCACGCAGCAGTTGGAGGAGCCTGTTGTGATGCAAGCGGATCATACTTCTGCTACTGTTGCTGCTGCGCCCGTGGTAGTCGTTGACGATAAGCCTCCTAATGGCGGCTATGGATGGGCGTGTGTGGCGGCGTGTTTCTGGATCAATGCGCATACCTGGGGCATGAATAGTGTGCGTATATCTCTAATCATTGCTCGTTTTCTTCTTCTTCGTTTGGGTTGTCATTGGTGACAGTGATTGACGCCGGCGATGGCTATGTCGTACGGAACCACCGTGGGCGCATTGATGGTGCTTCAGAAACAACGTACCACTACCGTCCACGTTCTCGTGCTCCCTCCCCCCGTTCTATACAAGATCTCATATCTAACGCCCAGCGCTCCAGGCCTACGCCGTCTTCCTCGCGCACTATCTCTCCACAAACACCTTCCCGGGCGCCACCCGCCTCGAATACGCCCTCATCGGCGGCCTCTCTATCAGTACCGCCCTCCTCATCTCGCCCATCGCCACGACCACCACTCGCCTCTTTGGCACGCGCACCACGCTCTTCATCGGCATCTTCTTCGAAACAGCCTCCTTCATCGGCGCCTCCTTCGTCACGCGCATCTGGCAGCTCTTCCTCAGCCAGGGCGTGTGTTTTGGCTGGGGCATGGGCTTCCAGTTCGTCGGCAGCGTGAGCGTGCCGCCGCAATGGTTCACCACGCGGCGCAGTCTCGCAAACGGCGTTGCCGCCGCGGGTAGTGGGCTAGGCGGGCTGACGTATAGTCTCGCAGCAAATGCGATGCTGCAGAGCATTGGTCTCGCGTGGGCGTTTCGGGTGCTTGGGATCGTGGCGTTTGTGGTCAACACGACATGTGCGCTTGTGATCCGCGATCGCAACAAGCAGGTTGGGAGTACGCAGTTGGCGTTTGATTATGCGCTGTTTCGGAAGTATGAGTACTGCGTGCTGCAGGTTTTTGGCGTGTTCAGTATGCTGGGATATGTGGTGTTGTTGTTTTCGCTGCCGAATTATGCGCAGCAGTCGTTGCACTTGACGTCGATGCAGGGCAGTATTGTGGGTGCGGTATTTCAGCTCGGGCAGGGACTGGGTAGGCCGCCTGTGGGTTACTTTTCTGATAACTTTGGGAGGATTAATATGGCGGGTACGATGTCCTTCCTGTGTGGGCTCTTTTGCCTGGTAGTATGGGTGTTCGCGAAGAGTTATGGAGTACTCCTGTTCTTTGCCCTCATTGGTGGAAGCGTCGCTGGAACTTATTGGGCGGTAAGTTGTCTGACACGATCCAGACATCATATTACCATTTGACTCATTGTGACAGGTAATCGCACCGGTCACAGCTGAAGTCGTAGGACTCAAGCACGTACCCAGTGCTTTGAATATCACGTGGCTGGTCTTAGTCCTGCCTACGACCTGTGAGTTCCGTATTTGTGGCTCTGCCGCCCAGTGGAGTTTGTGTCTAATAATTGTATAGTCTCGGAAGCAATTGGCCTGCAGATAGTGACCATGAATGGGGGCAAATATCTCGGTGCGCAGCTCTTTGCCGGTTTTATGTATATGGGTGCTGCATTATGCATGGTGTTGCTAAGAGCGTGGAAGATTGGGGACATACAGATATCCAAGAAAGTCAAGGCTGCCAAGGATGGAGAGATCGAGCACGTAGATGGAAAGGGGAACTTTCTACAAAGAGTAGTCAGCATGCAGCGAGTGTGATTTTCGTCGAGATATGTTCAGGAGCGCATGTCGCATATAGTAGATTTCATTGGTATCTGTACAAAAGAAAAATGCTAGTCCGCACGTAGTGTTGGTATGGCATGCATTCGCCTCTGCTGGAGCTGAGGTGTCACATGCCCTGGCATCATCACCTAATCAAGAACGCCTTAGTACAAATTGTAGCCTACTGTGACTGATACACCACTTCACCGCCAGGATGAAGCTGATTCACAATGCTCCATGAACCGATAAATGCCTTCAAACCCTTGGTATTCCAAAGGAGTATGCTTGTCGAAGGCATGATCGGAAATCATAGATTCACTCATGTCGCTCGCATATAGACTGTCGAATTCAGACGGTGACGACAGCCACGGATTTTCGCCCGCAATGTCTTCGAAGTCTTCACCTGTATCAGACTTTGTGGAATACTCGACAGCTGATTGCCGTTCAGGAGTAAGCATCGTCTGCCATTGCACCTTGTCTTGTGCATAGCCTCTGTGGTCGATTGGCTTCTCGTAGAACGAGCACTCGGACGCGGTACCATCGGGGGCGAAAGGGAAGAGAAGCGCTATGTCTGTACCGACAAAGGCATCAAACTCCTCATCTTGCGTGATGATGCCGCGTGATATGCCCATTTCATCGCAAAGATTCAAAACAGTTTCCGCATCACATCCTGGGAAATGCACGCGCAACGACGTTCCTTGATAGCTTATAGGTAGGTCCCCAAGAGCGGACAGGCGATTCAGGTCATTGAGAACTGCAGAAAGCTCCTTGAGACTTCTTGAGAAGTCAGTGGCCAAGACGTCTTTGAGACCGTCAGTGTTGAGGTTGTCCGGGCCATGGGCTGGTGCGAAACCAGCAATGGCGCTCAGGGGTGTCAGTGCAGTTATTGTAGGGTTGATTTTGAAGTCGATGAAGGAGCCAGGAGTAGCCTTGGGAAGTTTGTTGACCTTGCGGTTCACATTATCCTGTAGTGGTGTGATAGCTTTGTATCGCTTCTCACCGGTAATCGGATCAACGCCATTGAATTGTACCTTCTGCCCGGAGATCAAGAAAGCTCGTACAGCCTGAGACACATTCTGTACAACCTGAGCTGGTGCCGTTGGCCCATGCGAGAAGTATCTTGCCGAACCACCACCGAAACCATATCCGCCTGCAGAACGGCCGAGTGTACCGCCGGTTAGATTGGGCCGCAGAGTTGTCGCAAAGGGAGCCCGACCACTGGATGCATTTACGGCCGATCCGATGCGGGACTTAGGAAAAGAGGCGCGATCGTATCTCGAAACTGCTTTGGCTTGAGTGGTAAATCGTCGAACGAAAGAGCCTATAGCACTGTGCGTCGAGTACCACCTGCCTTTGCTTTGCTTGAGAGCAGCAAGTGGATGAACAGGGTGACGAGCAGCATTACGGACGACTATAGGTTGTAATTCGGTTTGTGCTGCGCGAGTAGAGGCTCCGAGATGTGTTTCGACGAGACGAGAGGCTTGCTTCCAGGCTGCCCTACATCTGGTCAATCTAGTTCAAGTCTGAGGTCGTTCGGATACGTACTTGACTATCTTGGCATTCCTGGCGAGCAGCGTGTGCAGATGCGCCACCGAGGGCGGCATAGTGTTGAGATACGCAGTCGAGGACTGGAGGGGAAAGGTGTTTTGATGATGCGAATGAACGGGAACGGCGACTGTAGTTATCGATCGAGTGGCGAACGCGCCACGTGATTTGCATACGTCAAGTGAGGATGTGGCTAACGGGCCGCGCTATTCCTTTTTGAGAACGCGGGGAATTAGATAATAGGTGTAATTGAATGTACAGATGTGATTCCCAGTTAAGCATGATACACAATTCCTCGCCACTACGACCATGTCACATCACATAGGCCTTGGTGTCCAGTGTTAATGAGAGTATTACATATTAGCTGGCGCCAGAAGACCTTACACAGATCCGGTGCATGCGTCTTAGGCATAATACTAAGCACAACCTTGACTTTAGACTGTTGCGTGCACGAAGAAGGCAGTGAATCGATTGGCCTCCAGAATACAGAGATTTGAGATTATTTTTGTGTCCACGAAGGTCGGAATCTATGTATCGTCAAAGCAGGACAACGCAAATGCAATAATTCTTGTCCCACAGATCATCCCAAGCAACGCCATAAGCCCACCCGACTTTTGAATCCGACAGGATGATACATCGATCGAAGCATGCAAGGACGCCGTAAGGGGGAATTGAATGGGAACCCGACGTGCGCTAGAAGATGCCAAATCCAAGGTGCAACGCGAAGGAACAACCCCGTAGGAACAAACGAAATCCATGATTCAACAGTCACTCTACGCCTCCAATGCAGCTTTTAGAGCAGAATCGATATAGTTGCTGATCCTTTTCCGATTCTTCATGTTTAAAGCTCCATTTCGCCATGCTGAGCGCAGCTGTTTGAAAGCAATACGGTCACCTTCATGGGGTTCTGCGTTGATAAATTCAACATAGTGACGAGCAACACGTTGGCGAATGACGCTCCTAGGACTCATTAAAGCTTCGCCGTAGTAGTTGATCAGGTTCGTAATGCCGCTGTCAGATCTTCTTCTGTGAAGGTCTTCAAAGGCAAGAAATCGGAATTCGTTGTACATATGTGTATTGAAGTTGCGAATCAAAAAATGGGACCAGAATTGATACAAAACTTCCATGTCGTAGGGGCAAGATCTGAAGGGAGCAAGTCGCCGTTGTTCGAGTGCTTTTATTCGATGTTGTGTATAATATTCGCCAGTTGATTCAGGGGGAAGAGAGTCCACGGGCTTGTCTTTGTCTTTGACCCAATATACTGTCAAAGGGCTGGTGACTTCTACTTTCTCGATAGGTTTCGTTGGAGTGAGGGTGCGGTGGAGGTTCAGCGATGGCCTCCGATCATCTCTGCAGGCTCAATGAGCATTGGCACTCGCATTCGCACGTGATCAAATGATCTGGCTTACCCGTGCGCCGCATTGACTCCGTTGACTTGGATGCCGTTGGGTCGGTGATCGGACTTATGTATGTCTTCGGACACGTTTTGAAGATCAATTGAGCCGTTCGAGAACGTTCGAGAAGAAGCTGTGTGGAAAGAGCCAGTAGCAGGAAGAGGCTGGGTCGAGATTGGCACGTCACGCACAATGATCTTCAGCCCCTCAATTTGTTCATCGGAGAATGAATCTGCCTCTGGATTCATCGCGGGCGGTATTGATGCAGTGTTGACTTGATCGTTCTGGCTAATGGCGGTGGACGGCGAGAAAGGCTCAGCATGTTGTGCATTCTCAGCTGTAACACGAGAGTGCTGTCCATTTACCATCGGTGTGTTGGAGATATCCTGTAATGACTGATAGGTCACCTCATTCTGGTGCCATCCCGGGCTTGATGGGCCTGTCGGCGACATTGTTGGTGGGTAGCGCATGCCGCCTATGTTTTCAAGGCCCTGGGGATGAGGCACAGGTGGATTATGAAGCTCGTCAGGACCATCATTCTGAGCGGTGGAATCTCTCTCAGATGTACTCAAGACCCATTGCTCCCAGCCTTCGCGGCGTCGCAGCCTGTCTTTACCATCGACCCCAAGGCGGTACTCGATTATCCGAGACTGGTAGCACACCAGCTTGATCATTTCCAGATCTGTGGTGAGCTGCTTGATTCTGTTGAAATCGGCGATGAACGTAAGGTAAACAAAGCCCTTTGAATCCATGTGCTTTCTCATGAACATATCCTTGCAGAGGTTCTCAACAGAGAAATAGTATTCACTGTGGATATTAGCGTCGAGGGTGTTGCATCGGTAGTCGTGTACTTACAGTTGCATTTGAATCATGCTGACAAGCTGATAATTGTCCATCATTGGACTGTATGGCATTGCACTCATTGATTGCATGTACGGCTGGTCATACATGCCCGGAATGAATGTCTGGATAGGTGATAGTTGTTGACTCTGAGGATAGCCGTTGGCAGAACGTCCATAGTTACTGTCCATCACCATCGACTGTGGTCGGCCCCCACCACGCATCGACCTTCCTTGGGGCGGAGGCCCAAAATAAGATGTTCCCTCAGAGAAGGACGGCGAGCGAGGGTACGTATACTGGCCTGGCTGCATTCCAGAGGTATGTCCATTCGTGAAGCCATGGGCTCCATGATGGTTGAAAGAGTTGGTTGCACCCCGTCCACCACGCATACTGCCACGTCCTCTACCTTCGCCACGCTCCCTCCCAGACACGGAGCCAAATTGTCCGTTGCGTCGCTCACCTGAGCCATGCTTAGCCGGAGGGAATGAGGTCTCTACTGCTGTAGACTGCTTTCTGTACGCAGCTTCCGGACGATCTGATGTTGAGGCACCGGCGTTTCGTGATTCTTGAGTCGCTGCGATGTCATTCATCGAAGAGGAGAGATCGTCTCGTCCCTTTTCGGCAGACGTGGATTCGAACTTGCGGGAAGCCCTCTGGCGGTTAGGCATGGCTTGTTTTGACCCTTGACCACTTTGGGTAGGTCCAGGAGATGGGAAACCTACACCCTCTGCGGCACTGTTCCGATATCCATTCGGAGCATCGGCAAACTTGAACGTACGGTCACTGCGCTCATTTGAGCCACTCGAGGTCTTCCCATCCTTGTAATGAGGACCGGCACTGGTGGCGCGGCGTGACTTCTCCGGGGTGATGTCTCGCGCGCTGGCTCCATCGCTTCTTTCTCGCTTGGTAGCATCGCCGTTGTATGGGGTCGGGCCACCTGTAGACTCTTTTTCAGGACTACCAGAGGTGTTGTTGTAGGCACCACCTCGTGACGACGCTGTAGCGCCACCACGACTTCCACCGCGAGCACCTCCTCTTCTGTTTCCAGGATTGGGCAATGGTGTATTGAACACAACTGTGGGTGTATATGGCATGGACACCCACTCATTCTTACCGTGTGTACGAGATGCCGTGGTGGTACGGTCTTTCACATCCTTTTCAGGCTTGCTGACAGCCTTCTTTTTGTCCTCATCCTGTGCGGTTTCAACAGTCGGCCAAGACTGTTCGTCTCTGGTTGGTGGTAAAGGAGCTGCGACATTCGAAGGATCTTCTTTGTGAGGTACTTTACTAGTTCGCGTATCTCGGCGTCCTTGCCCTGCTTTGTCGTCCACTTGAGTACGCGCATCAATGTTAGCATTTTGTCCTTTTTCTCTCCGGCCAGCGGATCTTAAATAAGTGCCTTCCGGCCCAGTTGGATGCTTACTCTTTCTTCTAGTCTCTGGCTTAATCGCATCATTGGTCTTCTCTGTCGAAGCTTTCATCGACGGTATGCTTGGTACGGCTGGGACACTGACCGGGCCCTTTTTAGGAGCCTGGGGAAGAGCAGAGGGCTTGGCAAACTCAGATGCACGCTGCTTCCAAATGTTGACTGTTGGAGGAGGTGCTTCATGCAAAGGCTTCTGCTGAGTCTTTTCCTTTGACTGGCCCTTCTTAGACTTCTCTTCTTGACTTGCACCTTGATCAGCAGACTTCTCTACCGCTGCAGAGCCCTGGGACTTGTTCTCCCATGTTGACTCAGATGAGGCGTTGGCTAATGACGAAACATCATCGTCTTTCCCAAGAGTGGATGATGATGCAGTGCCACCGAATTCCGGTGATGCAGGACCCGAAATTTGACTCCGTTGCTGGATATTGGGCTGGGTTTGAGGAGCGACGCCATTGGCTTGCGGCTCTTTACCAGAAGACTTTTCCAGTTCTTTCTGAACTCTTTTCAGTGAAGCTGCAGCGGTATCATCTTCCACATTATTCACGACTGGTGGGTTTGTTGGCAGAGTGTTACTGGACGGTGTGGCATCCTTTGCGGGTGTTATTGACCCAGACGATGCTTTGGCCGTAGGTGCTGCTGATGCTGATGTCGAAGAGATGCCTTTCGCGGCTTGTGCATATGAAAAGGAGCTCATAGTTCCAGTCGTGTCGCTGGATGAACGGTGGGAGGTAGTGGCCATGCCAATATGAGAGGCAATTAGCCGCAAGCGGTGAGGTCTACCAGGTCTTTCGATTGACCTTGGTAGTGATGAGTGATCTCAGACTAGAGCTTGAGCGAGAGACACCGAACAACACAGCCTGTGACTGTGTGTCCGGAGAGGTGAAGGTCGACCCTCTCCGCGCTAGCTGTCCGATCTTGTTTGACTCGGTCGCGCGCGTGGGTGCTTCGACTGGCAGACTCTGTGAGAGATGAAATACCGAATATTTGGTAATGAGATGTGTAGACGAGAGAATGGGTGAAGTTGAAAGTGAAGTCAGGAACGCTTGTTGAGAAGGCAAGTCAGAGGGAGGGTGTCGCTGGAGCGGTCGCGAGCTGTTACGAATGAGTACCAGAATGATGAGGAAAACGATGGCGGAAAGGTGAGAGAGTGGTGTCGCAGATGAGCAACGAAATGGGAGGTTTGGTTTGAGGGGAAATCGATTCGGTGGCAATGTCGCACAACGTGGGTGGTGTCTGAACAGGCAGGCGAAAACAGCAGCGACGACGGATGGAAACAATTTTGCTTACCTTCTAATAGTACCGGTGTGCCTGAGGCGTCGCGGGATCCGCCAAGCAGCGAGGATTCGGTCGTAGGGTAAACGGTGCGCCAAGTTGAGGGCTTTACCGCAGCTCGAAAACAGAGAAGCGCGAGAGCGAAAAGGGAGCGAGACAGCAGACCGAGAGATATGAGGAGGTGAAGAGTAAGTGAGAAGAGATAGGTGGCAGGGTAGTAGTAGCAGAAGAGAAAATCAGAGAGAGTGGTTTTTGTTTGGAGTGTGGAGGAGTGGCACGATGGATACCCGCAAAGATAATTTTCAACTGCTGAAGACCGAGGAGTGCCCGTTGTGCGTTATGTGTGCTCGTGAGGTTTTTCAATTTCGCCGTGCTCAGTTGTGCACCGGCTGTGCCAGACTGTACCCGCCCGCTCTCCCCAACTTGGATGCCACATAGCCCGCGGGCCGGCAGCCTTGGTGTGTTAATACGACTACGGTAATAATTGTTAACCAGGTACTAATAAGTGTTAAGGCTTCGACCTCATTCATTCTGCATCATTTATCCACTAATAATCACTAATTGTCACCTAAGAGGGCATTCAACGTTAGGATAGCCCACTCAATAGGCTCATTTCGGCTTTCATTCCAACATCCTCGGCCGTGGCTCTCTCTCACACACACTCTCTCTCTCTCTCTTTCTTCTCTCCATTCGCGCACCATTGAACTTTTGCTATAATCCTTCGTATCCCCTGGAATCAAAACTCTTACTGAAACACTTCAAGTATGTGCCTGTCTCTCACTTGTCATTTTTCTCCTTGGCTTCCATTCGGCATAATTCACGCGGAGAAATGAGTTACCTTAGCTGCCTGACAAGCCAAGGCGCTAAGTGTCCCAGTTCATGTCGTCATCTCCAGCAGCACGTGAGAAGTCGATACTCAGTACCAACTCCTATCTACCTTTTTTATTTATTTTATATGATTCTTCACTTGCTGTGTCTGCAATCAGCTGCATTCAGGCGTTTCCCGTTACGAGACATCGGGACACGTCCCCTCGTTCTCGGTGGTCAGGTGAATTGTGTTAATTGTGTCACTCACACGCGTTATCTGTCCTACACGTCGTATGGTGACGCTGCTGCAGATGTGGCGCTCATCATTGTCCTCTTTTCACCCCAGACGCCTGTCAGCTCGCTGGTCGCAGAGTCCTCCTGTTATGAAGTTGAATGCAGTGATCATAGCGTCGTCCTGCATCAAGCATATCACACATCTCAGGCAGTCCTAAGTTTCTCCGACTTGCATTCCACTCGGCCCACATCAGTCATGATCTACTGTTGAACCCAAACCTTGCGTGGGAAATGAGACTGCGAGAACGACGACATTGTATGGTAGATTGTAAGAAAGGTTGCGAGCGTGGGATAAGTCACCTTTCAAAACAAAGAATATTGGTGCCGTTGAGGAAGAGCATAATGAAGAGTGATGATAGGGAGTAAGAGTAGTGACTTGGGGGTGTAGCGGAGATGGTATCAATATCTATGGTCGTATCAGACCGAAAGTATGGTATTGTCGAGGCGCCGTCGGTGGTCACAGTACGTCTGGCTCTTCATTCACATATCGATATGCTAGACCTAGGAGCGATTTTTAGTACATCTGGGTCTCTTTATGGGAACTGGCAGCCTTTCATCGTGGAGACTATCAATCATCTATGTGGTGCGAAACGATGATATATCCAGTCCGATCAGACTTACACGAAAACCGACTCTCACGCACATTATGTCCTTCTAATCCTCCAGCTTCCGTCCATCAGCAAGTTTGAACGTAGCCTCGAACAGATGGAATTTCATAAAACTCTGTAGCCAAGACTCATAAAGAGAGCCTATCATCGATGTACGTCAGGTCTTGAGGGATCTATGAGACCAACATCCTGGCTCCACGTTGTATCTAGGACATCTCACGACACAAACGTCTTCCTTTGCCCTGCATGCGTTGTTCTGATTCACATGGCACAGTTTGTTTTCGTAATAGCGATTAGTTTGTGGTTTCGGTAACGAGCTTGAAAACTACATGGCGGTGTTCTAAATAATTTGTCATTCGGTGACTTGTGTCCACTGGTCTGTGAGGTGATGTGCGTGAGAGAAACAAGCCACGGAATGGTAGTAGGAGACGGTATATGTCTAGGTAGTGGTTCATGTACAGCTACGAAAGCATTGGCTGTTGTCTTCCTATCCCTCACTCTATGTAAGGTGTTGGTATTGTTTAGCCACTGTCACTTTCTGCATTGTTGACACACGAGTGAAACTGCCGTGCCATGATATTGAGACAAGTGCCATGATGGCATTTTCTTCTGCTGATAAGATACACAATACTCTGCCCTTAGCTTTATAGTCGCCTATGTACTTTCACGCCTGATTACCAACATGCGTTGATTTGAAAAACATATACATTGAATTTCGACATGTCTAAACCGAGATCATGTTCGAGCCAAACAAGCGTTCAGTATTACATAGTGTTATACAATCAAACCACTTTGATATCCCCGAAAAATCTGCCTACCGCCTTCTCTCCCCTCCTGTCTCTCCCTCTGTCCCTTGCACTTTCTTGATGTTGCCTCCTCGGCTCTTCACCAACGCCACCCCTATCGCTCATCATCGAGGGACTATTCCGCCCCTGCTGCCTGAGATACTGAGCATAGAGCCTCGAATTCTCAGCCTTTGACACGTCCCTTCCGTGCGCTGACTCCATCCCGCTATCCTCAGCCGGGCGCCATTTCGCCTGCGGCTTATGCTCGATACCGCCATTAATCCGCCCTGTAAAGTCCTCTCGCTCCACCATGACGACCATCCACACGCCCACCTTGTTGTCCGAGCCCAGGAGCGGCGTGCAGTGAATCCAGCGCGTCTTGGACTCAACAATGTTGGGCCCGAACTTTCCATGCAGCCATTGGATTTTGGCTGTTACGCCGACGCCACGGTCGAACGCTTTGGCGACTTCGGCGCGCACGTGCGCCGGACCGCCGACGCGTGAGAGGAAGTTTGATTGGAGGAGTCCAGGGACTCGGAGAGAAGCGGATGTGAATACTATACGTAGAGAAGGGGATGGGCGCACGAGGAGGTACTGGACAGTGTTAATAATGCGGTTGAGCGCACGGGGAGAGAGAGGTCTTACGTTTTTGTATACTCCTGGCAATCGACCAGAGGATCCGAAGCGTGCTGGTGGGTATAGAGCCTCATCAGAGTCGTCGTCGAGACCAACGTACTTGTGGTTGGGATGATGGTTCTTCCTCGCACCACTAGAATTCGGGCGCGTGCTGGGGGCTGAGCCACGGGCGTCCTGCTGCACTGCCCTTAGCTCTTCATCGCTCAACATGCGTCCGAGCATTCTAAGGTGTTTGAGTGATTCTTTCGGGGTAGCTTCTGACTGTTCTTTCTGGCCTAATCTGTCGTGCATCAATAGGCGTTGGAATGACTCGAGACCTCGCCCGCCGTCTACCAAATTTGTCACATCGACTTGGCAGCCGATGAAGTAGCGCGCTTGAAGGTTATTGTCGTGGAGAGGCGCAACAAGGAGAAGGTTGAGGAATGGTGTACCTTCGCGACGGCTGAAGATGTTAGCGCAAATACCTACAGATGCCATGGAACTATGAACTGACTAATTCAGTAATGTCTCGCACAGCTCTTGTCCCTTGTCTATGGCTTCCTTGATCCTTCTTAGGGTCGCTTGGGAGCTTTTCGGGCCTTGTAGAAAGCGACAATTCTTGCCGATAGTGTATTTGCGTCCGTACTGGGTGGTGCGCGTGAACTCTGGTTGCGATAATCAGTAAAGTTCCCACGATAGATTTGCGTGACTCTAACCTTCTGAACAGTATACAATGGGGTTATCAGGCTGAGTTGGATCTGTCATGCAATATACTTCTGCAACTCCCTGTACAAGATCCTGCATAATCGGCGTGTTCGAACCTGTGATTTCCTTGACAAGACATTCTGTCACCACCTGTGTTAATTGATGGGTTATGTAGACCGGAAGAGCTTCCTCCACCAGTGTTTGCAAGAGCTGATCAGCAGTGTCTTCGAGGCTGGGGTTAATGCTGACTGCGCCCTTGTTCCCACCGCGAGGAGACAGATCCATACTGATACGTTGCGCAATTATTGCGTTAGCGTAACGTGCAGCGGCGATTGCCTTTTGGGAGTCGAGGTATCGTATCAGGAGCGGCACCAGTTGTGGTTGATAGCGATTGAGAAAAATGGTGAACTTGTGGAATAAAGCGTGGTCTTCAAGGATAGATTTGAGGTGGTCAACAGAGAACAAACGTTCGGCAAGCATTTCTGCATCTGACTCTGTTACCGTTGGAGGAGGTGGCCTCAAATCAAAGGTCTCTGGTTCGTGATAACGCGACTTGTCATGATCATAGGCCTCAGATTGCGGTAGTCCTGGGGGAGGTTCCTCATACAAAGGCTGATCCATGTCTTGACTTGGATCTGTCTCATTTGAGTCCTCCTCGTAGCCATCAAAGATCGATACAGCCCGTACGCTCTGACTAGACCTTGGAGACATTTGGCCGGGCGCTTGCAAATCATCGAAAGCATCGTCTCGTAGTAACTGGTCATCGAACTCTGTGTTTTCTATCGCTGGTGACATGATTGGACTGCTAATTCGATGCAATAATGGAGGAGTGGAAGACCTTGGCCTCGGGCTTTGTTGATAGGTCATGTCTTTGGATAGCCTATCATTCCACAGTAAAAGCTACTGCTGGTTGTATGTACAGGACCGAATTCTTCGAGAACAACACGTGTTTTCAGAGGGAGGCACACTATCTTAAAGGACGACCAAGACCATAAAAAGTAGGGTGACGGCAATCAAGCGACTACGTCACAGGAGACTATTTAGCCTGTCAAAGTCTAAGTCGGCTTTGACATCTGTCGGCAAAACGGTCGGATGGCTCACAGAGAAATCTGATAGAATGTACCAGGTCATGCATGCCAACCGATCTGCCGCTTGTGAGGATGGCCCTAGTCATGCAAGATAGAAGGACTCCGGACCGGACTGGAGGAAAAGTGATAGCCCCGTCGAATGGGAATTATTGGCGCAGCTCAACTATATGCATTAAGTCTCTCTTGTCCGGTGGTGGCGTGTGAGTCTGCATGCCACACGTGTGAGGACGTCGGCCTTGACCATAAAATCTACCAACATGGTGGGCTGACATCAGACCCCAGATGATATCATCGCGAGTGTCAGTATACTCAGACAAGACCCGCCCATGTTATCTTTTCTTAGTAACGATATGGATAGAATGATGCGATAATAGACCCTGGAGCCGACGACAAGGTTTCCATGTCATACAAATCCGGGTCGCGCTGGAGTCCGCTCCGTGTGTGCCATCGTCCAAGTCCAGTTAACCAAGGATGAACGTAACAGTACCACACCGGCCCGATACCGAAGGACGAAAGAGATTAGACTGGTGCGTGTGGTGAGGCTGGACCGGGCGTCATGCTGTGGGTTATTGTGTTACCAACATTGAGAACCTCATTTGATGAGGGACGTTCGATGGTTTGGGCGTCAGATTCTTGGATGGGTCCACACGTACCTGTCAAACGCTGAATGTCAAGCGATCATATGCAGGGAGTAGCCATTATCGACATCTAGATCCGAGGGTCGTCAGGCACTGTCAACGCCAGCTAGGTTAGTAGACAGGCATTGCTTGTGTTTGCTCAGGCACACAAATTCTCGAGATGTTGGAAAGTCTGAAGATTGATTTCGTTATTGATGCAGATATAAGTGAGCACGGCGGAAGAGGTCCAGTGTATGAGGTTGAATGGTTCACTTCGGTGTTGTCAAAGCGGTGTCTTGTAGATTGGAGTGGTATTGAAGAAAGGATGTCGAGGTGGAAGAGCATTGAATTACGACGCTAAGCCTATCAAGTACTAGATCTTGATCCATCTCATACCCGTGCTGATCCATCTTGATCTTATCCTCACCCTCATACTTCTCTCCTGGTCACAACCCAAACACCACATTTCTGTGATCGCGTTCATGCAGACATGTTTGTCATAGTCCATCGGTTTAGTTAAGCGTACAGGAAAATACCAACAGGAGGATGATCTGTTGACACGAACAGCACAATATCTAATACACTATATGCAAACTCTCATATCAAATCTAAACAGCTTCGATCCCCGATCACGACGAAAGGAATCAAAGATCTCGGGAGACAACACTTTCTATCAGGCCATATCCCCCTTGTCTGGACTGACACCATGTACCGCGATACGCCATATTAATGCTAACCCGGGAACGCCTTTGCCCAGCAGCTCTAACCTATACTAGCGTCCATCATTCGATCATTCGACCGCAGATCCTTGATCAAAAAGTCTTCACTTGCTAAACATATCCACCTCGTACCAGCTATCGCCATTAGGACACTGAACACTGTTCTCCTTCAATCCCAACACCTTCTCGATTGTTGCTTCGCCGCATCTTTTCGAAATCGTCAAGGCAAATTGCCAATAGGACCAGTTATCGGCTGCGCTGCCGTCCTTGAATTTGTAGGGGTTGCTCTGGTCTTCGTTTTCAAATTGCCACTTGTCTGTTCCGGATGCTTTCTCGCATTTGTCCAGCTCACTCTTTAGCTTCTTGCCCCACTGGTCGCCCTGCTCGTATGCCGAAAGCTTCAGGTTGAAATTATACTGCCAAGCACCGCCATCGGAGCGCCGACAAGCGAGGTGGAGATATCCCAAGTGCTGGTTATCGGCAGGGAAGCCATCATGCTTGGAACCGCCAGGACCTTCAGTGTTGATGTCACGGACGCCGATTTGGTAAAATTCGTAATTGGCTTCTGTTTGCAGCCTGCGCGAATGCATTAGTCGGTGTCATGCTCCTGAACAAACGAAAGAGAAAACTTACCACGCCGATTCCTTTGTCTTCCCGTGTTGAGTCAGGAGCTGCTCAGTGGCCTGGTAGCAATTGCTACCGTCTTGGGTCGCGTAAAGGTAGAGCTCCTTATCATTAGAGATCTTGACTGAATAGGCGCACCCTTCGTCTCCTACTCGAGTAGCTCGGACGAACTGCGACGGAACATCCGCAATAGCACTGGCATCGCAGATGTTCTGACAAGTCTTGTCTCGGAGCCGATAGTACATATCAGTAATGTCATGCTGTTTGCCGTCGCCTAAGATCCAGTACTTGGGAAAGTTGGCGCTCAGCTCCCCTTGAGTACCAATCGCAGGATTTGATGGCAAGGGTGGCTTGATGGTACATGTACCTGCAGACAAGTCGACAATGTCAGCTCCCTGACCGATGTTCAACTGCTTCGCCCGAGTCTGTGCCATGTGGAAGAATATCTTGCTGGCTATAATAGCATGGCCCTTCTTCAGCGGATGGAACACACGCGCCCAGTTGTCTGGAATCGGGAGCGAAATGAGCGATTGTGGCTTAGGATCAGAGTCCGACATATTGGCTTTGATTGTGTCCTGGCCTTCCTTGATCAAACCTTGGACTTGAGCTTCGAAAGAGCCCTCGGGGAACCCATCCTCGTTCTGGCGCTTCTTCTTACTGCTCTCTGTGGTCCCGTCCTGGTACACGTCAGCCAAGCTGAGAGGCACTGAGAGGATGAATGGAGACTTACCAGATAGAACATTAGTTGATCACGGTTTGGCTGCGGCTCCTGTACTCCAGGCATGCAATATCGGCCCTCAAACGTTCCAAAAGCACTATCCCACTCAACTACCACGAATTGAGACCCAGCACGCTTGACAGCCTGTCGTATCTGTTCGTTGACCAGGTCGACTAGCTCATTCATGGCCTTTCTGCGGTCTACCGTAAGATACTGCCAATTCAGCCAGTTCACGGGGAATGTGAACCAATGCCAGGACACTTTGTCGCAATCGTTTGAGGTCTCATCGAAAAAGCGACCATAAGAAGTGACATAGACAGTGCCTTGCCCAACTTTACCTTTAAGCTTGCCATAAAGAGAGTCAAGGTTTTTCGGCAGAGTGTTCTGGATGAGGTCCTTTGAATTGGCAATTGTCTTTTCACATCCGATCTTAGGATTCCAGGTGTAGACACACTCGTTCAGCAAGTCTACGAGGCCGACATCGTTGCCACCGGACGACACAGTAATCATGTCATATCCGCTAGACAACTGCGCGACTTGTTTCTCAACATCTGGACTCTTGGCACCCGAGCAAGCCAAGAACTCGAATGTTTGCGTGCCGCTCATACGTGGCGACGAATTGAGCAGATTAGCATAAGAGCTATCGTATCGTGAGCACGAGTAGTCGATTCTGTTTCCTGCGCCAATTCCTGCCTATAGACTTCATTAGTGCAAGGTCCAGCGACGAGGGCTTAAAACTACCGAATACTTACAGCATAGGAATCCCCAACTGCGGCCCATTTCTTGATCCAGGATTGCTCATTTGCATTCTGCTGGGTTTGTCGGCGCTGAAGACCGAATATGTTTCTTGGCAAAGAGATTCCCGCTGCGGCTGGGGCTGCAAGAGTCTCTGGGATTGCGAGCAATAGCAAGAAAGCTTGCAGGGTGGACGAAGACCACTGCATCGTAACAAGGAGAAGATAAGTGAATGAAGATTAGAGTAAAGAAACAATGGTTTTGGTGGTTGGATTGGTGCTTGAGAGTGGTGATCTTGTCGGCGTGCAAAGGAACTCCACCATTTATACATATTGTAAGTTGACTCTGGTAAACAAGGCAATCTCTATTTCGAGAGTCGATAAAGCCCAGATACGAGATCTCACCTCATAAACACAAGGCTGAAACTGATGGTACCTGAGAGCCATGATGAATAATCAAGCCACATCCCGGAACAAACGCTCTGATTGGCTACCGACCATCTATATCGGGGTCGTGGAGGCTGTGGACATGCTTGTATCACGCTTATGCATCCGCGCACTGGACAAGGCAACATTTTTCTAGAAGCCCTGCTAATTTAGTACCTGTCAGCTCAAAATGGAATTCAGCTACGGAAGAATTTGATAAATTCAAAGAGAATAAAGCTTCGTAGGTAGTCCCTTTCGTTCAACAAGTCACTCGCTCTTCTCTAGATTTCCAAGTCTTTCTCGTCTCTCTGCCTCAAGCTTTGTATTTCCTCCTTTCTATCTTTCCTTCATATCACCGCCACCATGCTCCATCGCCTCTTCTACATCCTCCCTCTTCTCTCGACCCTCACATCCGCCCAACGCTGGGGGGTCCGAGAAGACTCCCCTCCAGCCGAGACCCACGAGAACGTACAAATCACCCATTACTCCTCGGCCGTCACAAAGATCATCACCACCAACCCAGCGCAGGACCTCGACTTCACAAACGCCCAGGCCCTCACCGATGGTATGCTCTACCAAATCGCGCTCGAGGCCGCCGCCGAAAAAGACGACCTGGCCGAGGCCGCCGGCACCATCGACAGCGTCCCGCCCGCCCTGACAGTCATGCAAGCCGGCTCCGAGATCTACATCTCCTCGTCCATCAAGTTCAATGCGCCCGGCTTCATCACCACCTTCCCCTCGTCGCCCGCCAGCCTCGTTCTCGCACAGTGCTGCGCACTAGGCCGCTCGTTTGGCCTCGACGATCGCTCGAGCTCGAACCATCGCAGCGAGGGCAACTGTGGCGAGCCCGGTGCCGTGCACATGTGGTTCAAGCAGCACAACACGAACGACTTTGCGAGGTTCCCGCAGAACGGGCGCATTGTGACCGTTGGGTGGTATAATGGCGAGTACTCGATCTGGAACCCGTGTGGAAATAATGATGATCCTACGACGGGAAATGCGAGGGCTGATTGGGGATGTACGCGGTTTATACAGGAGTTTGGTCTGACGGCGCTGCCTGCGGGGACGCAGGCGCAGCAGGTGCCGGACGATTGGTATATTCAGACTAATCAGATCTGCCTATAGACGATGGTGTGGGTGTTGGATAGTGTTTTGAAGTGTTGGGTGTTGTGTGTGTAATATTTCATAACGTTGAGTCTTGGGTATGACGGGAGGGCAGGGGGAGTTCTTGCTTTACATAGAAGGGGTTAGTAATATTCTTACTCTCGAGATTATCTACTGTTACTGTCTCGGCACTCTGTTTGCTAAGTGCTACTGTATGTGATATGCCACATAGAAGTGCTGCAATAGCAGTCAACACAGCACTCAGTCCCCATCTGACCCCTGACCAACCCCCTACCACACCAAGACCCCCTTGATAACCTCCCCCTTCTCCATCGCCTCCCTCGCCGCCGCAAACTCCCCAACCGGATAATTCCGCAACAGTTTCTCCACCGGCAGGAACCCCTCCTTACACCACCGCACCAGCTCCGGCAACGCCTCCACCGGATCTCGATCCCCCTCAATCACACCCACAAGCCGCCGCCCATGTACCATATGCGCCAGCGTATCCAACTCCAGCCTCGCCCCAACGGGCTTGACACCCACCTGCAGCACCGTCCCATTATTCGCCACGGCCTCCAGACACGCGCCCAGCACCACCACACTCGGACTCGTATCCAGCACATGCGTCGCACCCCGCCCACCCGGCGTAAGCGCCCGAATCGCACCCTGCAAATCCGTCCCGCGCGCCTCCAGTTCCGCAGGCGCCGAATGTAGGCCATGTGTTGCGCCTAGCGTACGTGCCAGCTCGACGCGCGCCGGCACCAGATCTGCCGCGATGATGGTCTGGACACCTAGATGTTTGGCGGCGCAGATGGCGGCTAGACCGACGCCGCCCAGGCCGACGACGGCGAGCACATCGGACGGGGTGCAGCGGGCAACGTGTGTGATTGCGCCGGCGCCGGTCATGATGCCGCAGCCCAGGGGCGCGTAGGCGATGAGGTCGTGGGCGTTGCGGACGAGGGCGGAGACGTTTGCGGCGCAGGTGGCTTTGACGGGGGTGGGCGAGGCGAAGGAGGATTGGCCGAAGTAGCCGCCGCCGATGACGCGGGAGGGGTCGGCGGCGAGGACGAAGTTTGGGTCGTTGGCGTGGAGGGTTACGGCGGCGTGGGAGGTGCAGTAGGCTGGGTGGCCGGTGGTGCAGTAGTGGCAAGACTGGCAGGAGGCGGCGGAGAGGATGACGAGGTCGCCTGGCTTGAAGTTCTTTTCGAGAGACTTGGAGCCGAGGCGGAGGATACGGCCGGCGCCTGGGTGAGGGTGTTAGAGATGTTTGAGATGGTGTTGAGGGGGCAAGGGGAGGAGGGGAAGTCGGGTTGGATATCTTCACTTCGGAAGGACAGGATTTCGTTGTAACGGGGATGTTGAAGGGGGAACGAGCACTGACTGACCTTCATGGCCCAGTACGCGCGGATATATGCCTCCATAACCTGAGATGTCGGTATGGCAGACGCCGGTGGCGATCATTTCGACCATGAATTCATCTTCATGGGGCTCACGAGTGAGGAGGTCTTCGAACTTCCAGTCATGCTCGGAGTAGGCAACAATGCCCTTGCACGGGACGGTATATTGGGACATGGGATGATGCTGTTGTCTGGAACGTGTCTGGCACGAAGGTTTGGGTTGCGCGGGTGTGCATGATGGAAGGTGAGTTATGATGTCGGCGCAGCGGCATCAATTGAAGATCCTCGGAAAGAGGTGGTGTTAGTGCGAGGGGTCGGAGGGTGATGTCAAAGGCTGGGACTGGCTGAGGATACAGAGCTGTCGCGCGAGGAGGGGGATGATGCCTTGCGGTGGCGCTAGATAGAAGTTTAGAGGTAGATGTTCCGGATCCAAGAAGTCTACTATTGACATGCACGAGCATTAGAAGCCATCTTGATAGTGTGTTCTGTGACCTCCTGTATCTCAGTATCTGTCGTTGTCAAGCTCTGGGAGCTGTCAAGAAAGGGCTGATTGCATGTTGAAGCCGCCCGGCAAGAGAACATGGTAGAGCGGAGCCACAGTCCATAAGGAGAGCCGTGTATAGATATAGCAAATTGGTGTTGTATAATGCTTTCCACCTTTGCATCAGCACAGCCGGAGGACACCAGGGGTTCAGGCCTGAGGCGCCGAGTGACGTTGAAGGCCCGAAGCAGCTAGACCAGAAGTCAGACAGTCAGGCGGCAAGGCAGGAAGTGGGGCCAAGCTAGCTCTGTTGACTCCACAACTTCGACAGCTCCAATCTACAGCTCTCGCGTTCCTGGAGCTGCAGCTGTCAAAACTTTAATATTCTCTCTCTCGGTCCACTTCAAGTCTACAAACGCCCAAATCGTGTGTACGACGTCTCTGTCAAGCTGGTTTTCTCTCTCTCTCTCGTGAGCTTCTCCGATTGAGCCCCTAGGTAAGGGTGTTCTTTGACCTGCGCGATCGCTTTGAGCTCCATCATGGCCTTCAACCAGCCCTCGGGCTGCCTTGAAGCTGAGAAGGTTGCTCATTCCCTCCCTCGATGTTCAGCGTCGCTAACGCTATCCAGCTCCGTCCTGTGTGCTTGACTGAGAGTATATCTTGAGTGTGACCTCGTCGTAGCCATCATGACCGACCCTACCTCTGTCCGCAGACCATTCCCGCAGTCCGATACCGAGTTCGCAGATGACGAGCGCGTCTCCTTCTCCCAGGCCGACAACGCCTACATTCTTGAAGCTGAAGACCAGACCGAGTGGATCTTCAACGATGCTGCGAAGAAGTGGATGCCTCAGGTGAGGCATTATGTTGCGCACAATAGCGTGTTCACTTGCGCTAGCGCTGTGCTGACATTGGCGCACAGATCGATGAAGAAGAAAAGGAGCAGCAGATGCAGGCCTATCATGTGCCGGGCGTAGCTGAAGATGAGCCTGCCGTCTCCAACAAGAAGCGCAAGCAAGATGCCGACGTATGTGCTCACCTTCCAGCCTTTACGACCGCCTTAACAAAGTGATAGGGCGACCAGGCTGGTAGTAAGAAGAAGCGCACTGAGCCCGAGCGCAAGAACACCGCTGTCTACGTTACCAAGATCCCACTGGATGCTACTGTAGAGGAGATTCACAACGTGTTCTCCAAGTGTGGCATGATCGCCAAGAGCGTGGACACGGATGAGAGCCGAATCAAGATGTACGAGGATGAGGAGGGCCATTTCAAGGGCGACGCACTCATCTCTTATTTCCGCGAGGAGTCCGTGTCGCTTGCCATCAAGATGCTTGACGACGCACCGTTTCGCTTTGGCGCTCCAAAGGAGCAGGAGAATATGCGCGTCACCGCGGCCGATTTCTCGTACAAGAAGGAGAAGGGCGTCAAGGACGGCGAGGATGGCGCAAAGCCGAAGAGTAACAAGATCAAGCGCAAGATCCAGCAGCAGTACACCAGCATGGCCGCGTATGTGTTGCTCACCAGAAAACACGACGTGTCTTCTCACACTGACCGATCCAACAGCAAGCTCGCAGACTGGGACGACGACGATCCGCAGACTCTCCAACAGACATCGTCGCGCTTCGACAAAGTCGTCGTCATGAAGCACATGTTCACCCTCCACGAGCTCGAGGAAGACCCGGCCGCGCTTCTCGACATCAAAGAGGAAATCCGCGAGGACTGCGCCAACTACGGCACCGTGACCAACGTCGTCCTCTTCGACAAGGAGCCCGCCGGCGTGGTGACGGTGCGGTTTGGCACGGCGGAGGCGGCGCGCGCATGCGTGGCCAAGTGCGACGGCCGCTCCTTTGCCGGCCGCTTCGTCGAGGCGTACATTGCCGACGGCTCGGAGCGCTTCCGCAAGACGAGCAACCATGCCCGCACCGACGAGGACGAGGCGGAGGAGGAGGCGCGGCTGGAGAAGTTTGGCGACTGGCTCGAGGCGCAGGAGGCTGAGCAGCGATAGGGGCTTGGTCCTGGCTGCCTCTGATATAACCTTCCTTTCTTCTCCCTTGTGTCTTTGTGTGTAACTAGCGGGGCATTCTGGCAGCAGTGGCGGCAGAGGTGGCAGCAGCGACGGTGTTGTCGGCGTCCTGGGTGTTTGGTTCTGGATAGGATAGGATGGGACAGGGTGGGACAGGCAGGGTAGGGTAGGATAGGACAGCGTAGCATTTCCGTGGCGCCCTGAATACACATACACACATCCATGCAATCGTATACACATTCAAACCCGCGGCCTCCTCTGTTGGAACGGATGAACGGATGAATGGATGAACGGATGAACGAATGAATGATAAAAACACACAGCACAAAACCCATCAGCGCATGAGACTTGACTCCTCAATCTCTACAGGTATCCAAGACAGAAATGATTATTGTGGGGAAAATAGAGAGAAGAGAAGGAAGAAGGAAGAGGCAGGTTAATTGGATTCGATGTAATGGATTGTGATGGAGGAGACGCTTTGTTGACTGTTTGGTCATATACATGTATTGCCCCGGGTGGGTGTTGGCGTTTTATCTATTTTCTTATAAACCTATTAGGATGGAATGGGATGGAATAAGAGAAGAGAAGGAAGGGCTGTTTTGAGTCATGCTTATTTATGTATCCATCTACTCATTCAATAATCTATTCGTTGCGCCGTGTATACACACACAAGTATAGTATAGTCTACCCAAACAGCGCGACTTGAGTTGCAGGAGAGAGTGTGTGAGAGGTAGATAACCGGAGCGATACTCGAGGTAGAATGTACTTTCATGTTCGCAAGCTAAGCGTTTGGGGTTTATTGAGTATACAAGAATTCAATAGTTGAAGAATCCAATAATTTAAGAATTTGGGAATTTCAAGATTCTATGCCCAAAAAAAGGAAAGAAAAGAAAAGAGTGGTCGAAGTGCGATGAGGGTTTGAGATGCTTCAATCGAGGCTACTACTTGCCTAGATACCTAATCCTATCTACGTAAGCCATTCAACTACCATCACCCACTCACCCATCCACACAAACCACCATCAATCACTCACCGAAAAGGACACGGAAAAAGCACAATAGCACCACGCATCCGCATCAGACGGAATGGGCAAAAAGTTCATCGATCTGCCATATTTCCACATCCATCCCATTTCCACATTCCACACCCCATAACTCCACACGGGTAAGTCGTAAGTCGTAAGTAAGCACGCAAGTCAAACCCTCCGAAGAACCGTCACGTCAATCAGTCAGTCAATCAGTCAGTCAGGCAGACAGGCAGGAGATTGCGCCGGTACAGCAATCCCTCCGATCATTCCGATCAATGCTTATTGATAATTATCGTCGCCAGTATCACTGTTACCGTTCGCGCGAGAGGGAAGGGGGAATTGCGATCGACCATGGTAACATTGTATGTACTGTCTGCTCATTGCTGCGGAGCCGGAACGGAGGAAGCGGATCGGAGGTTGTTAGAATGTATGTATGACAGTACGTACAGGAAGGAGAGAAAAAGGGTGCGAGTGTGAGGGAGACTAATGTATGTGTATGTGTAGTGTATGTAGGACGGAGAATGGATGAATGGAGATAGTATGAAGGATGCAGGATTGCAGATGGGACGGGATGGGAGTGCGACTGCTAGCTAGCAGCCTCAGGCCGTCAACCCATCTGACCCAGGTCCCATCCCAGCAAGAGTGCGCGCACTGCACTCCATCATGAATGAGCCCTGTGAGGCGCCCCGTTCGCAACCTGCAAACCACATCTCCACAAGAACCATAAAGTACCACTATATCCACAACGCCCGCATTACGTGGAAAGAGGGGGGTGTTTCATGTATTGTGTCTACTAGCTAATAAGCCCGCAGGGACGTTCACGCTGACCTGACGCAGGCACAACCCACCTACATGATTATGGCATGCAGCCGGCCAGCCAGTTAGCCAGCCAGCCGGAGCAGTGTTGCAGCACCTGGGAAAAAACCCCTTGCATACTCTATCCACTCCACTGCACTGCACTCTGTCCACTCTATCCACTCTATCCACTCCACTCCATCTCATCCACTCCGTCCGCCAGCACGCAGGCACGCAGGAACGCAGGCCCGACACATGCATGCATGCATATGTAAACTCACCGTCCACGTCCACGTCCACGTCCACGTCCACGTCCGCGGGCAAGCCCTGGCAATACCCGCGAGTCTGGCTCCTCGACAGCATAGCAATATGCGAAATCACGTCTCGCTGTAGTAATTAGTAGCCCTGTAGTAGCCCTGTAGTAGCCCTGTAGTAGCCCTGTAGTAGCAGCATCATCCACGCGGCACAAGGTTGGGGGGAAGGAGCATGAAAATAATCATAATCCAATCTTACCATCTCGCCAGGATGGCAGTTTCGTGTATATACCCGCTCGCGGGACCTAGGACCTCGTTTCCTGTATCGAGCAGGTGCGACGAGGGGTGGTGGTGGTGGTAGTGGTGACGAGAGGGTGGAAGCGAGATGTAGGGATGCTGGGATGCTTGCCGGGGTACGTGATTCATACACAGTACAGCAAGACTCCACATCCGGCACCGAGGGGCCCGATATCGACATTCGGCACGATCCGACGTGAGGAATAGAGAGGCTGTTGCGGGGGTCCTGGTTGTCATGGTTAGAGATTTCTCAATTTGTTGTTGGTGCTTTGGGGTTTCGAGGGCCTCTGGGGTTAGTCAGTCGGCAATGATGGGGGGGTTTTGGTCGGGAGGATGGGGGGATGGATGGATGGGCATTTTCGGAGATTCGTTGCGTTTTGGGGAGTGGAGGGTATTGGGTCTGCGAGTGCATGTATGTATGTGGTTATGTAGTTTATGCCGTGTGTATATGCAGTTCAGGATGATGGACGTCTGGTGTGAGTTGAGGCCGTTTTGACTGCCTGACTGCCTAACTGCCTAACTGCCTAACTGCCTAACTGCCTAACTGCCTGACTGCCTGACTGCCTGACTAAAGTCGCACATCTGCTCCAATGAGCACACCGGGCACACCGAGCCTGCTGTATCTCAGTTACACGGTTCATAACAGCAGATATTAATCGTTTCAGGCTGTTTTTGCATTCCTCGCAGGGCCCTGATAAAAGTCAAGCCTAGGGTGGAGCAGCATCAACGCTTCGCAGACCCAGCCGAACCCCCGGTTCGTTCGCGTGTCTAATCTGTGGACTCACAGTCGAGTAGTCGAGTCACGTCACGTCGCGTCGCGTACGGCACACCGACGACCAAGCTATAACATAACAGTCACCAGTAAGAAGCACGAGTATTGACGCTCGGTAGAGTATGACTGTGGCTGCTGGGAGGCTGGGAGGCTGAGGAGACGAGGTGGTACAGAGTGGCAAGGAAGCCGTGTGGAAGACTGCAGTGGGACCGCAACGGCTTTTTTGACTCGTGTGTGTGTGTGTGTGTGTGTGTGTGTGTGTGTGTGTGTGTGTTACAAGCCTATGCCATGCCATGCACACCCGAGGCCTCGTACTCGCCTCACCAGCCAGCCAGCCACGACACAAGCGAGGCAGGCAGGCAGGCAGGCAGGCAGGCAGGCAGGCAGAACCAGCACGATGGGAGGGAGGAGGTCTGGAGATGCATTGCATGGGTGGGCGGACAAGGAACAAGGGGGGAGGCTGCTGGGTCAATGGTTCGGGGTGTGGAAGCATCGCGAATCTCTAGCTATTAGGCACAGGGATGGCGGGTATGAGGATGAATGGTGGTGAGGGTTGCACGAGAGGGAGTTTTGGGGGGTGGGCATGGAATGGTGAAGATGGACGGATGGACGGAGCAAGAAGAAGAAGAAGAAGAAGAAGAAGAAGAAGAAGAAGAAGAAGAAGAAGAAGAAGAAGAAGGGAGGCAGCAGTAATTGACTAGACAGAACGTGTAGTTAATGACAGCGACGAGAACGTAGTAATGTGGTTTGTGTATTATGTGTGTATTATAGTGTAGCAGCTTACGTAGGTAGCACAGAAAGTCGAGGGTCCTCTCTCCTCGCCTTAATTAATGCTGACAGCAAAACACTAGTCGGGACGGGGCCTAGCGCCATCATCGGACGAGAAAGGGAAACCAGTCCAAACCCGCATGCTTATCTCTCCCAGATCGGCCGGGCACGTTTTACAGGTTATAATCTCAAGTCCATGTAGCCGTAGACATGTGTAATAGCAAAACCTAACATCAACCTCTAATTATTTTGCCTGAGGGGTCAATCAATAGACATGGAAAAGGAAAAGGGTAACAACAGCCACAGAAGAAGCAGAAGAAGAAGAAGAAGAAGAAAGATCATCTTCGGCTTCTCACTGCCGGCGGGAGGAGTAGGAGGGTGTGTGTTTTAGTGAATTTCTTTTGTTTATAAGGTTTGCGGCAAGCAGGGCCCCACCAGACAGACCAAACCAGCAGATCATACAGTATTGGCAATTTGACGCGTGGGGCTGACTGCCAAGGTGAACCGGTAGTAGCGGGCGCGGGCACACACCTCACATGCCACGGGGCGGGAGGGTTAGTCAGGGGAAGGCTGGGCAGAGCTTTTGGGGATGGATGACTGCTTTTTGAGCAGCAGGTGAAGAAGAAGGGCAAGGCGATCGTCCATCCCATCCGTGCCACACCGACTTATCAGACTATTATCAGTCTGAGAGAGAGAGCAATTATTACGCCGCCGGCCGTCCATCTGAGCATTATCGGGCCTTTTTTTATTTTAATCCTTATTCAATTCCCAGAGGAAGATCCGGGGGACGGATTGCGGCGCGATTAAAGCAGGTGCAGCATCCAGGGTATGGTAGTATGGTAGTGAGGTGGCCAGGCATGCGGAGGACAGTCGGCGCAAGAGAGTGCTAGATATAATAATAGCAGGTGTAGCCATCTACTACGTCTTGGGTCTTGCAGCAGCAAGCTATATTTACAGTCTATAGATGTCACTCACACACACCACAGCTAATCATCTTGGCTATTCGCGACCGTGACAGCCAGCCAGGGCGCAGTCTTGGCGGTTTGATATGATGGCATACACACACAGCTTGGACAGACAGAAGGATCCGGGCGCGCAAGATCAATGCAAAACGTAAGAGGATTACGCAAACGACGAGATGGACGTTACGTAGGCGATTCGAATGCGTGGTACTGTGGTAGAGAGTTGTGCAAATTATGGGGATGCAGAAACAATGGATGCAAAGATATATAAAGGGAAACCATTTATTGAAAGAAGATGAAGAACGGGCAAGCTAGCAGTAAAGATGCAGAGATGGACGGCGGGGATCGACAGGACTAGAGGTATTAGTAGCATGCGAGGCTCTCCCTCCCTCTGTCTGGCTGTCCCGCCCGCGGATGTCCATGATGGCCCACAAGACGTAGAGGGAGAGGATAAGATTGAAGATGCGGGATGGTGCAGTCAATGTAGGTATCCAGCATGTAGGTATGATATTTTATGATGCGGGAGAACGGACAAGAGAAAGGCCGGTCGGAGAGTGCAATTGAGAAGAGAGGCAGTAGGTAATAATAGTGCTGTAGTGAGTGTAGTGTAGTGTAGATGGGGGAGAGAGGAGTGTCACTGACTGTATGTACTGTACTGTACCAGGGTGGTCACCTAATATTAGCTGACTTAGGGAGGGGGGGAGGTCCCCTGGTCGCGTCGTCCCGGCTGGTTGGCAGCTAAAAGCGGTATTATGTAGTGAGTCGGCCACAACCAGCAAAAACGCCAGCGACTCTCCCCTGCCCAGCAAGTCCGGGCAGCTCATAATTAGATTAATTTACTGACTTTCTACCTACTGTAATTACTGTACTAGTACCCTACAGGGCTAATCATGCTAATAATGCCCGGCACAAGCCCTGAGAGCGTTGAGTCTGCTGTCTGTATGTAGCTGGTGGTGGGTATATGTCCCGCGCGGTCACCAGTGCCAGGCCAGGGTCGAGGCGATACCCTGAAAGTACTTAGTCCAGTCTGCTTAACGCTTAACCTGCTTAGACGAGTCCTCCTCCTCCTCCTCCTCCTAATCGGGTTCCCCTTCTTTTTTGCCCATCATCAAATTCATTATTCTCCCGCCCTCTTTTCAATAATATAGATACTTCCTCTTCCTCCGACTACTCCTCCTCCTCCCTTCACCTCCCTCTTACGTCGACCTTGTCTCTTTTCCGTCCTCGTCGTCGTCGTTGTGCTCGTTGGTGCGCAATCAATCAATCCATCAACCACTCTCGCTTCACCCTTCGCTTCCTACTCGTTCCAGGAGCCTGCTTGTTCGTCTGCGGGTCCCCCTGTCGACCTTGTGTGGCCACTGCTGCTACTTCTGCTGCCACCCGCCTAGACCTCTCTGTCTCTCTCTCTTATTACTACTCATCCCGCCCGCACTACCCACTTCTGCTCCACGAACCAGCTCGTCTAAACTTCGTCCTACTACTACTCACTTCAACAACAACAGACTTCAACCACCACACTCCTTTTGTCGTTCCTTATTCCCTCCAAGCTACTTCTTCCATCCTTCTCCCGCCACTCTGCGACGTTGCACCACCTCCGTCCGTCCTGTCTTGGCCGCGACATTCTTCTTATCTGCCAAAACCCCCTCACTTCTTCCCACCCTTCCACTTGGCCTCCTTCTTTTCTTCCACCACGCCTCCCACTCGCGCCTCGACTGCAACATCATCATCACCATCATCACCATGTCCGAGTCCCAGCCATATGTCCCGCTGGAGCCCTTCACCAACCTCACCATTGCCACGGGTGGTGACTCTCTCCAGTATGACCTGAATGTCTTCTACAATGTACGTCGCCTCCTCCAGTGAATGACATGACACCTGCCACTTATCTCTAACACACCTCACTAGGCCGGCGACATGGCCTTTGTCATCATCTGCACTGCTCTCGTGCTGCTCATGATTCCCGGCGTCGGCTTCTTCTACTCTGGTCTGGCGCGAAGAAAGTCGGCTCTGTCGCTGCTATGGCTGTCCGTCATGGCCACCGCCGTCACCTCCTTCCAATGGTTCTTCTGGGGCTACTCCCTGGCCTTTTCTCACAAGGCCGGCAAGTTCATCGGTGCCTTGGACAACATTGGCTTCAGAAACGTCTTGGCTTACCCGTCCGTTGGAAGCCCAAAGGTGCCTGATCTGCTCTACGCCGTCTATCAGGGCATGTTTGCTGCCATCACTGTCGCCCTGGCCGTCGGTGCCGTTGCCGAGCGTGGTCGCATGCTGCCCTGCGTCATCTTCATGTTCGTCTGGTCCACCGTCATCTACGATCCCATTGCCTGCTGGACCTGGAACTCGTCCGGCTGGTCTTTTGTCATGGGTGGTCTCGACTTTGCCGGTGGCACACCCGTCCACATCACCTCTGGTTGCGCCGCCCTGGCCTACTCGTACATGCTTGGCAAGCGACGTGGTCACGGCACTCAAGAGCTCAACTACCGCCCGCACAACGTCACCCACATTGTCATTGGCACCGTCTTCCTCTGGGTCGGCTGGTTTGGCTTCAACGCCGGTTCTGCGCTCGCTGCGAACCTGCGTGCCGTCATGGCCGCCGTTGTGACCAACCTGGCTGCCTGCGTGGGTGGTGTGACGTGGTGTCTGGTCGACTACCGTCTCGAGCGCAAGTGGTCCACCGTTGGCTTCTGCTCCGGTGTCATTGCCGGTCTGGTCTGCATCACTCCCGGCTCTGGCTACGTTCCGGCATGGGCTGCCGTCATCTACGGCGTGTGCGGTGGCGTCTTTTGCAACTACGCCACCAAGCTCAAGTACTTTCTCCGCTGTGACGACGCGCTCGACATTTTTGCCGTCCATGGCGTCGGTGGCTTTGTCGGAAACATCCTGACCGCATTCTTCGCCGCCGACTACATAGCCCATCTTGATGGCTTCTCCACCATTCCGGGAGGCTGGCTGAACCAGCACTGGGTCCAGCTTGGCTACCAGCTCGCCGACTCGGTTGCCGGCGCTTCCTACTCCTTCTTTGGCACTTGCCTCATTCTCGGTGCCATTGACGGCATTGGCAAGTTCTTCCCCATCTTCAAGCTCCGTGCCAGCGAGGAGGAGGAGATTCTAGGCATCGACGACGTCGAGATTGGTGAATTCGCGTACGACTACGTCGAGCTCACCCGCGAAGTCAAGAGCCCAGACGACTCGGACGACAACATGAGCCGCAACAGCATCAGCAGCTTTCCGGACCACGCCCAGGCGCCCGAAAAGGGCCACCGACCGCACGACTCGGTCGGGAGCAGCCAACAATGACTGCATGGCGCCACTTCCGACGACATTCCCTTGAGGCCTCTGCAGTCAACTTCAGCAGCAGCAGGAGCACGACAGCAGCAGTAGTAGTCTCTTCCCCTCACCCTGATTTTCCATTGCATATAGCCCTTGCCGCTTTTCGTCCCCGCATGGATAGACTTGGCCGCCGCGGGGGCCAATACCATTGCAGCGGAAGCAGTCTGGCGCACACACACAGCGAGCGACATGTAGCAAATTCATATTATCGATGAGGATCCATCCCTCTCCTCCTCCCCCTTGCCAAACAAAGCCGCTGGAAGGGGGGGGGGGGGAGGGTGCGTGGCGTATGGTATATTTTTAGATTTTATTAAAACACGATGTCAAGACCACACTATCATATTTTTTTTTGGGAGGAGCACGCACATATACAACAACAACAACACCACCCTCGACGAAAACGAGACCAAATACAATACAACACACACACACACAACACACACAACACACGGCACCCCGCCCCCGTCTTGGGATCTATTTTGCACAAATACGTCATCTACTACATGACTTTTATATTTTTCTGTTTTTCCCTATACGACGCCTTGTTTCTTGGATATCCTAATACGATCGATCAATCAATCATGTACCAGTCTGTCTAGTGCCTCCTCTCGCGGGCGCTTGGGCGCTTCTTGCTTTATGTTGGGGAATAGGGATAGGCATAGGAATATGAATAGGGATAGGGATAGGAAGGAGGGGGTGGAGACCTTGCTTTATGAAGAAGACGGGACTTTTTTTATTTTCTCTTGCCTTTTTTGGCTAGGCCTCTTTTTTCTTCTCCCTACGCATGAGAAGAGGCGGGGCGATTATATCATGTATCTATCTTTTGATCTTTTATCTTGATCTTTATCTACCTGTCTGGCTGTGCGTCTTCTGTTGTGGGCAATTACTTGCTCTGCAGACTATGACTATGTGTGTGTGTATCGCATCATCGTAATCGTATCGTGTGTACCACCAACAAGTCATGTGACGATAGAGTTTGTTTTAGCGTTTGTTTGTTGTTGTATGTAGTTGATTTGAGATGGGATGGATATATGGTTATGCATGGATGGGGACTGTTTGGTTCGTGTGGCGTGGCGTTAGTGCTGTGCTGTGCTGTGCCTCTGAGTCTGTGTGTGTGTTGTACGAACGTGTCGATGAGGGATGTGTGTACAGCGCGTGACTGGTTTACTCCTTGCGTGCCTTGCTTTCTGTCCTGGCTGTCCTGTCGTGTCTTGGGTTTCCTGTCCTGGTTTCCCTGTCCTGTCTTAGGTTTCCTGTCCGGGTTTTCCTGTCCTGTCTTGGCTTTCTATCCTATCCCATCCTATCCTATCCTATCCCATCCTATCCTATCCTGGCGTTCCTATCCTGTCCTTTCCTGTCTTGTGATCCCTTGTCAGACGCCAGACGCCAGACGCCAGACGCCGCCGCGCTGCCGTGCGGTATAGGGTGATGATGAGTCTGCATGTATATTCCGGATGTATTCCAAAAATATTCCAAATACATGCATGCATGCATACCTATACATACATAGTTGATATCGATGCTCTGGCTGGCATGTTCGCTGTGCCGCGCCGTTGTGCGCGCGCGGGTAGATGGTAGATGGTAGTGCTGGTTTAGGAGAGGGTGAGTTGGGATTAGGGAGTGTCAAGGGTCAGGGAGTAGGGATCAGGCTTCTTGGAGGTATCGCGATTCACGATGGAAGTGAGTAGGTGGCAAGGATTGGGGCATTGAGGTATTGAGTGTTGGGAATGGATGCTTGGGTATGGTATTAGGTATAGTGTCAGGCATGGTATCAGGCATGGTATCAGGCATGGTATCAGGCATGGTATCAGGCATGGTATCAGGCATGGTATCAGGCATGGTATCAGGCATGGTATCAAGCATGGTATCAAGCAAGCATAGCATCAAGCATCAGGCATGGTATCATGCATCACGTATTCTAAAAGAAGCGCACGTCGGGGGGCTGCCGGGATGGACTGTATAATGCACCGTTCACTGCACCGCACGCTACACCGCACGCTACACCGCACGCTACACCGCACGCTACACCGCACGCTACTACGCCCTGTATGCTCGATGCTATTCATACGCCTTGCTTGACTGTACACCGTCACTATACTCAACTCTACTCATAGGCCTTGTACTGCTAGGCAAACCCTGCCTAGTTATTTCTACTATCTCTTCTCCTTACGTGGAGTTATGTACCTTAGCTTGCCTTGTCTCTATACCTCAACGTACCTTAGCTATATACCTTACTTACCCTACACCCTATACACCGCCTTACTCCCTAAAACCTACCTCTACTTATGCACCTTAACTCCATCCAACTCTACTACTCTACACTCCTAACTCTACTTAAATCAGCTACGCCTATACCTAACTCTCTCTGACCAACGCCCTATACCTTGACTTAAATAAACTCAAATCACATCATGCCAAATCAAATCAAATAAACTCAAATCAATCCAAATCAGACTTCCATCTCCTATATACTATACATACATACATGTCACGCCACGCCACGCTATATACCCGTTCCCGTTTCTAGCTAGTTACGAGCTGCGCCGTAGAAACTGTGCCACACACAACATGTGCCACGTGTGCCGTAGATCTGTGCCGTAGACCGGGCTGTTGACTGTGCTGTTGACTGTGCTGTTAACTGTGCCGCATGTCTCGGAGGGAGTTTAAGAGTTTAAGAGCTCAAGAGCTTAGTTAGACGGGAGGGGGGTTGGAGTATGGGAGTAGTAGGGAGGGGAGGGGATGTGACTTGATATGAAGGGGCGCTTTACGACGCGTTATTGGGGGGGTGGTTATACGTTATTCATACGTTAGGGTGGTGTGTGTCTATTGGAGGCTGTGTGGATGGATGGTAGATTGGATATTATTACTGTGATGTTATGGAAGATAGTCTGGCTAAGCTAACAGCTGGCGAATTTGTTGGTCGTTCGTTCGAGGGGTCAAATAGCTTGAATGTGTATTAACTTGGTAGTATGGTTGCTCTATAGATGAGAGGCGAAATGAATTATAGAAGAGGAATATTGATTAGAGCATTGCGCTGATACAAACACGCAGTAGTAGTCATCTACGCGTAGTATAAATACGCTGCTATTTAATTTGTACTTCACGCCAGGCAGCAAGGCTAGCAAACGGTCACTGCAGCGCGCAGAGTGAATAGGTAAGCAACGGTCGATCTACGTCCCGTCCGTTGCGTCAAGCGTCGCGAGCAAGCATTGCCCCTGCTATCCATGTTATTAGTTGGCACGGCCAGGATGGTGCAGGCGACGCGTGTGTGTTGGCTTGCGTTCATTTGCTTTTGCGCGCTGTTGGGGTGTGTGCGCGTGTCTGTCTTGCTTGGGCTGTGAGGGTTTTTCTTGCTTGCCTGCTTGCTTTGCTTCAAGTTTCGATGTCTATATCGCGACGATACTACCCGTGGACGGCACTGCATGTGGCTTGTCGATTGTTATGATTGTTGTACATTCATCCACGCGGCAAGAACAGGCCCGGCAAGAACAGGCGCACCGCCACCGCCACCGCCAAGTCAGGCAATCTCGCATCAGTAGCCCCCGAACTTCCCGCCGATCGCTGCCTCGAAGCGGGTCCCAAAGTCATCACCACCATCGTCCCATCGTCAACGTCGATCGTGAGCCTCGAGCTCTCACTCTCCTTCTTTCTCTCTCTCTCCCTCTCTTTCTCTCTCCCTCTCCTCCACACCACAACAACCACCACTACCACGTCCGTCTACAGAGCCTGCTGCCAGACACCATACCTGCCATGTCCGTCTCCTCCCCCGCCGAGCTGCCCAACGGCCCGTCCTCTGGCTCGACCTCCAGCGGCGAGTCCGACCTCGACCAGGCAAATCCCTCACGCCGCGACTCCGAACTCGACGACGAGGACTTCAGCCCGCCCATCGTCACCACGCCCCTCCACGACCCCAGCCTGCCATGGCCCGGCCCACGATTCCAACGTCCGAGCCTGTCCGCCGCCGCCGCCGCCGCCGCAGTCGACGGACCCGCCTCCACTCCTGCAACCCCAGGCCCCGGACGCGCCCAGCGTCCAGCAGCCATCCGCACGCCCTCCAACGCATACAACCCAGCCCGCCGCCCCGCCCAGTTCACTCTCAAGACGCGCACCTCGTCGTCCTCGACGCGCATGCGCCGCAACCCAAACGCCGAGTACCGCGCGCAAGAAAAGGCCTACGTGCAGCGCCTCCGTCAGGACGCGCCCGAGGACGACTTCTTTGGCGCCGACGTGCGCACGCCCAGTCTCGACTACAGCACCGGCTCCGAGACGGACGAGAGCCCGAGCACGGCCGACTACATTGACAATGACCCCTACGACCAGGAGACGCTGCTGTACTATGGCAACGACGACATGCAGCCGTCGGTGGAGGAGCTGAAGATCCCCGCCAACAGGGAGCGGCTGGAGTGGCACTCGATGCTGGCCAGTGTGCTGACGGGCGATGTCGTCAAGCAGGAGAAGAAGCGGCTGATTGGCAGCGGAGACGCCGCCGCCGACGCGAATCGCAATGCCGAGATCTGGCTCGGCATACGGGCTAGAGTGTGTGGCCGGACCTTGCAGGCGCAGCGCCGGATGGTCGAGGACGGGCGGGAAAAGGCGAAAAACACGATTGAGAGCCTGATCTCGTTCGAGGTTGCCGGCGAGGCCGAGGCGGGCAAGTCTGCGGCCGGCCAGGTCAAGGATGTCGTGAGCAAGATTGAGAAGATTGAGAATCTGTATCCGACGAGGAAAGAGATGGAGTCGGCCAATCCCAGGGCTGCCTCGGCGCAGTTTAGGGAGACGTGTGATGCCGTCATTGCGTGGCACAACACCACCCAGCTCATCAACACCGAGCTCATGATCCTGAAGAACTGGGTCGGCAATGAGGAGCTCGACTTTACCAAGGCACACGTCCGATCGCCGACCGACAGTCATCTGGCTGACGACTCCTCGTTCGTGGACAGGATACTGAAAGAGGACGGCTTGAAGTCGCTGATGCTCGACAACGGCCTGCTCGCCGGACTGCACGAGGCGATCAAGAAGGCCAAGGAGACATTCATTGCAAACGCGCAGGCCTTTTCCGACCGACACCTCCCGCCCTTTATCGAAGAGCTCCTCACGCTCATCAACTTCCCCTCGCGTCTGGTCCACGAGATCATCCGTATGCGTCTGTCGTACGCGAAGAAGATGAAGGATCCGGCGCAGCAGGGCGTCTTGATGACCGAGCAGATGATTTCGCAGTTCCAGATCCTGCTCGGCGTGGCTAGCAAGATCAAGCTGGAGTACAACGAGATCATCCAGCCCAAGGCCGGATGGGAGCCCCCGCCGTGTCTCGAGGACAACTTCGATCGCTCTGTGCTCGAGGCGCTCAAGTTCTACTTTAAGATGCTCAACTGGAAGCTGTCGGCCAACAAGAACACCTTCAAGGAGGCTGAGATTCTGGAGCAGGAGTGGGAGTTTTCCAACAAGCTTGGTCGATTTCTGGAAGGCGGTGATGTCGAGGTGGCGGAACAGTTTAGTGTGTTGACGTCAAAGTCGCTGTCCAGGCTGACGATACACTTCGAAAAGGAGCTGCAGCGACGTCCGGAGGAGATCTCCGGGCCCGAGATGGAAAAGACGTACAAGGGCATTCTGGACTCGGTCCGGGTGCGGCAGCGGAAGCTCTTTCGTTTCTTCCGTATCCTGACGCAGCGGTTTGAGAATTCGACAGAGTACAACATCAACATTCAGCAGGGTCATATGTCGGAGCTGATAGAGGAGCTTGTTGCCTCGGAACATTTACTGCTTGAGAATACGTCTACGCCCGAGGAGAACTTTGGCACGTACATTATTGTATCGCCAGCGCTGCGCGACAGACCAAAGGACATCCAGTCGCTCCTCACGACCTGCTACCATGCCGAAGAAAATCCCGAGGATCCGTCAAATCCGTACGTTCTCATCCTCAAAACCGAAGGGCCCTTCCTCTGGACAGGCCTCAAACTACCCACCGACGTTCGACACCCATACCTGGATGTGAAGCCGGGCCGTCTACGGCTCGTTGCGGATGGCTCCCAGCAACGCCTCTCGAACGCGAACATCACCTTCCTCCAGGCAATCAACATGGAACTGACGACGCTGATTGAGCAACGCGCCAACCTGCCACGCGTCAGCCAGGAGCTGCAGAAGATCAAGAAGACGGCCTACAAGCTGTCAAACACCATCATGGACAGTGTCGAGATTGTCAGGAAGCAGACTGCCGGTCTCCAGGTCCAGGAGCTCATCCAGACCTGCTTCACCTTTGCCACCGAGTTTGGACAGCGCTCCGTGCTCTACCTCGACCATAACCGGCGCGCGCTGAACAATCTCAAACTGACGAGGCTGGCTCTTGACTGGGTCAGCTTCATCTGCGACGATTGCATCCCGTCGGACAGGAAGACGTTCAAGTGGGCTGTTGTGGCGCTTGAGTTTGCGATGATTATGACGCGTGGTCAGAACATCCTGTCCATCAGCGAACAGGAGTATGCGAAGCTGCGATCGAAGGTTGCTGGCTGCATGTCGCTGCTGATATCGCATTTCGACATCATGGGCGCTCGCTCGACCATGGCTGCGCAGCAAGAGAAGCAACGCCTCGACAGCGCCATGGGCAAGCTCAAGCTCGACATTAGCAGACTGAAGGATGACGACGAGTCTGTCCGGGCAGTCAGAGAGCAATGGATCGAGCAGCTCGAGGAGATTGACGAGTTCAGGAAGCAGAAGGAAGCCCAGCGCCAGGCTCTCGGTCGCGTGCTCGAGGACTCCAACGAAGCCGACCGCGCGCTCACGTACCTGTCGTCGTCGGCCACAAACGTCACGCTGCGCTGGCAGCAGGGCGCCTTTGTCGGCGGCGGCACCTTTGGCTCCGTGTACGCGGCCATCAACCTCGACTCCGGCCAGCTGATGGCCGTCAAGGAGATCAGGCTGCAGGACCCGCAAGTCATCCCCACCGTCGTCTCCCAGATCAGAGACGAGATGAGTGTCTTGCAGGTCCTCGACCACCCCAACATTGTGTCGTACTATGGGATTGAGCCGCACCGTGACAAGGTCTATATCTTTATGGAGTATTGCTCGGGCGGCTCGCTTGCTGGCTTGCTGGAGCACGGCCGGATTGAGGACGAGACTGTCATTCAGGTCTATGCGCTGCAGATGCTGGAGGGTCTTGGATATCTCCATGAGAGCGGTGTTGCGCACCGCGACATCAAGCCTGAGAGTACGTGCCCCGAACCTTCCCTCTCCCCCAATTCCCACAAAACTAATAAGCCCCCCTACAGACATCCTCCTCGACCACAACGGCGTCATCAAATTCGTCGACTTTGGCGCCGCAAAAGTCATCGCCCGCCAAGGCAAGACCCTCGCCGCCGAACACACCGCAACCACGACCCGCCAGCCAGGCCGCCAGAAATCAATGGCCGGCGGCACACCAATGTACATGTCCCCGGAAGCCATCAAGGGCATCTCCTCGTCCAGCACCACCGCCCGCCCCGGCGCCGTCGACATCTGGTCCCTCGGCTGCGTCATCCTCGAAATGGCCACGGGCCGCCGGCCCTGGGCCTCGCTCGACAACGAGTGGGCCATCATGTATAATATCGCCCAGGGCATGCCGCCGCAGCTGCCCACGCCCGACCAGCTTAGTGCCTCGGGCGTAGCGTTTCTGGAATGTTGCTTTGAGAGGGATCCGGGCAGGAGGGCTAGTGCGGCTGAGTTGTTGCAGCATGATTGGATTATGACGTTGCGCGCGCAGTTGAGTTTGGAGACGCCGCAGACGCCGCAGACGCCGAGCTCGGATGGGGGTGGGAGTGCTGCGGGGGGTGGGGTTGGGGTTGGGAGTGTTGCGGGGAGTGCTGGTGGGTTGGGAGTGGGATTGGCGAGTGTTTCGAGTAGTGGTGCTGGGAGTGCGGCTAGTTCGAGGCATGGGAGTGTGTTGGAGGGGGTTAGTGAGGATTAGAGGGATGGATGGATGGAGGGGGGGTTGATGGATTTTGGGGGGGATGAAGAGGGGGATGAGGAGGGGGAAGAGGTTTTTTCGAGCGAGTATGCATACATACATGCATACACATCCATGCATTCTCTAGAGGGCATACCATACAGCCAACCCAGCCAGCACAGCACAGCAAAGCACAGCACAGCACAGCACGACCAAGTAATCATCACATACAGCACTACAGCACAGCACAGCAAATCATCAGCGACGGCGTCTCTTTTTTCGGTTTTTTCTTATTCTTCTTCTTCTTCTGGGAATTAGGGGGGGTGATGAGAGCGCCTAGGGGGTTTCGGGAAGGTTCTTTCAAAGGGGGAGGTTCTTTCAGGGGGAGGAAGAGGCGAGGGTGAGGGAGAGTATGGGCAAGTGGGCCTTTTTCTTTTTTCGTTTTTGTCGTTTCTTTGTCAAAAATTCTTTGAGTCTTCTTCGTTTCTTGTGTATGTGTTTGTGGGTGTGTTTGTGTGTGTGTGTGTATGTGTGTGTATATATAAATATGTTTGGTCGGACTCCTTACGGTTGAGGAAGAAGGGAGAGGAGGGAGAGAAGGGAGAGGAGGGAGAGAAGGGAGAGGAGGGAGAGAAGGGAGGGAAGGGAGAGAAGATGATATTGTGCGTAGTTCGCCTGTTTACTTGCCTTGCTTACTCTGTTATGAGAGGGAGCGAGAGAGAGAGAGAGGTAGCTAGCTAGCTAGCTAGCCAGCCAAACAAGCACAAGTTTATACGCGTAGGCGTCATGTGGGATTTCTCTGTTATTTACTACGTACGGTGCGGTGTGGATATATATATACTATCTATACTATCCATCTATCTATCTATCTGTCTGTCTGTCTATGTGTCTATCTATGGCAAGACGAATCGTGATGTTTGTTGAATGGCGGTGTGTGTTGTTTTGTGTTATGCTCTGCTCTGCTCTGCTCTGCCTCTCTGCTCTGCTAAGAAGAGAGAGCGAGAGCGAAACAGGGCCCAGAACGAGTCCACGACGTTCAACGAGACAGCAGGTGCGATATATTGCCTTTTTCTATTCACGGGCGCGGTGATGGTTGGACGGGACGGGACTGGGCTGGACTGGACGGGACTGGACTGGACTGGCTGTGGGTGAGTAGGTGCTTGGTTCGTTGGCTAGATGGAAGTGGTGGAGTGGTAGGTCGAGTGCAGGTCGAGATGTTTATGGTGGAGTGCAGGTCGAGCGCAAGTCGAGATGTTTGTGGAGGCGTCTGTCTCTATAATGATTCTGCTCGAACGGGCCCAGGCCCCGGTCTGCGACGTTCGACGATGGATGTGATATTTGCCTGTTTGTCCTCATGGGCGCGGTATGGGAGGATGGGACTGGCTGGCTGATGGGATGGCTGGATGGCTGGGTGGAGAGTGACGGTAGGAAGGGCTAGGATGTACAGATGCGTTGTCTGGAATGACCTGGGCGCCCGGGTATGGATGGATGGACGGATGGCGGAGAGCGGTGAAGGGGAGGTAGGCTATCTATAAATAAATGTATTCAAGGTTCTATGAGAGGGAGATGTATATACTGTATATACACACGGCGTCATAGACTGCGAGTGAGTGATGTGCTACACACTCTGCAGTGCGTGATGTTCGCAAGCCCACCCCGACGACGCTGTGAATGCGAAGCTGGCAAGACGAGCGCAACAAGGCTGAACATGCAAAGCATGCAAGAGTGCCGACGTCCATGTTCGTAGGACGGTGCCGTTTGGGCGAGATCTTTCGGTGCGAGTCGAGGCCCGGGCCGGATGCGCTAGGGAATACATGTCCAACGCCTGTGCATAGTCTGGACCCTCCACCCGAGTTTCAACGCCCGACCATACACGCCAAAATTGCCATTCTCAACACGTCTGTCCGAGCAGCCATTGGACGGTCCTTGGTGTCGCAAATTGGAGGCGCGAGGGATAGACAGTGGAGTCTGGGGTGCGACCTGGACGGGCGAGCGGCGCAGACGAGAAGACCTACGATTGATATTTAGCGCATACCGTCGCTGCGGACGCGTCTGGGTGCGCCGCAGAAAGGGTCTAGAAGTCCCACACGAGGAACGACAGAGGAGGCTCGACGTGTTATTACTCGGTTTGCACGGCTTTGCGGGGCTGGTATTGGCTGGAGGGCAGAGTTGCGGTCTGGATATTACTGGGGACGACGGGGGGCACTTCATCGGGAATGGAATCCAGGACGTGCATAGTAATATCGAGGAGGTGTTGTCTGTTCGCCAGTTCGATCGGTGGTGGTTCGTGCTTCCCTTGTTCAACGTGAAACGGTGCGCGTGCGTTTGGGCAAGGGTGCGAAATGCCCCAGTGGCAGCATGGGTCGGGACGGTCTAGAATAGTCTCACGAAGAACAACGAGACTGCGGCTCGACTGGATGCTGTCTTTGGACGTCGCGGGGTCCCTGATTGGCTCCAGTCCTGGAGGGTTTCTAATAGGGAAAAAGACATCGTCTGTAACGTGGACTGTAATAGTTGCAATTTGCCGCGTGTGGTTAGACATCAAGTATGCTTATTGTTGACGTTGACAGCTTGGCGGCATCCTCACTATCAGTCACAAGCGCTGTCAGCTTCTTGCCCTCGAGCATGACCTTGCCGTTTGGACAGGTTTTGTTGTGAGTAGGACGCCATCTCCCCTCAGACATTCAGACTTTCCAACGTCGATACCACCTGCTCCATCATTTGATGTGGGGACATAGGATGCTTCTCATCCTGGTCATCATACGATATACACTTCTCAACAATGCCCCTGTACAGCGAGCCAGTCTTGGATCCCAAAGCGGGTACTCCAAGCTGAAGAACCTTCTCTTTGAACACTGTATGGGAGTACTTTGGCTTGTAGAGGCTCCTGACACTGCGCCAGAGTCCAATCTCCAGAAGGACAAGGCCAAGCGAATAGATGTCAAAAGCTTTGCGGTAACTTTGACGCCACACACCCAGCGAGCTGGGATGTCGATATATGTCCTGGCCTTCGCTGTAGATCGGATCTGCTGTCATCTCTGCAAGTCCGTCTGGCCGGGAACTGTCGAATCCAACAACATACGGATGTCTGAGGTCGTGGTGTTGAGCACCACTGGGCATGTTGCCAGTGAAGAATAGTACATTATGACTGCTGAATGATTTGTGGAGCCAGTCCAGCGAGTGGAAGGACCACAGCGCGATTGCCAGTGTGTGCGCCAGCTTTATCCGGACGTCGAGATCCGGCGTCCGTTTGTCCTTGTCGTTATCTCCGAGCAGCGCGTATAGATTCTGGAAAGGAGGGACATTTCCTGCGTTCTGGGCAAGCTCGAGCTGAGGACCATTATGTACGACGCCATATCGATGGCTTTTCGTATCTTCAACATAACCCAAACAGTCCAAGGTGTGCAGGTCCGGGTGTCGCGATGAGCAAGAATGTAGCATGCGCGACAAGTTATCCACCCTTTGGTAGAGATGCAGCCTTGAGTCAAGCTCCATCTCGGCATCGTAGTCGATCCAGTCGATGAGTACGGGCACGTCCTCTGACACTTTCCCGTCCCGCATGGTGTCCAGAGGCTTCGAGTATACAGCCCGGACCCGCCGCGCAACTGCTTTCTCGCTCGCATCGACTTGGATGCGCTCGCGGCGGATCTTGAGTTCGGACGAGGACAGGATCTTGCGCGACGGCTCCCGCTCCTTTCCGTCGAGATTGATACGAAGCTGCTTCAGACGCGCAAGCGTATTCAGACTGGGGTATTTCTCGACAGCAGACGTCTCGAGCAGCTGCAGAATATCAAGGTCGCGCTGGGCAGTGTGGAGAAGCTCGTTCGTCCATGTGCGCTGCAACGTCTCGACTCTCCCAGGCGGGAAGAGCTTCTCTAATCGGTCATTAAAGTAGGACAGATCCTGGACAAACGTGTCGAATTTCTCTCTATCAGCTATCACCCATCTGGCCTTGAGCTTCATGTCCTTGCGGAACCTGCTGCCAAACGAACTGGTCGCCGGGTCCGCGGCCTTCTTGCACGTGGAATACGCGTCTTGGTCAACACTGCCCGGTGCCTCCTCCCGCAGCCCATACTTGTCCTGGAGCTTGTGACAGTCGAGTATCGTGCCCAGGAGCTGTTCCAGGATGTCCTTGGCCAGGTCTTTGAGGCCCTCCCACGACGTCGAGGAGAGATGAGCTTCAAATCTGCCCTCCACGACGCCCCACTCCCGACCCCAGACCCAGAGCCGCATCTCCTCGATACGGATCTTGCACACCATCTTCTCGCTGTCTTTCCCGAGGTTCTTGGCCGTGCTAAAGACGCGGTACCCCGTGATGCACCCGTCGAAGAGCTGCCCAAGCAGCCCGACCGCCCCGACAACGCTCAAGGCCAGACCCGCGATCTCTGCCATGGCTGCACATAAAATCCACCGACGGCACACGGTCACAGACGGTCGCGACAGAGAAAAAGGAGGCGTAGGTGGGAGGATGTGTGTTAGGGGACAAAGTCGCCGAGCAAATTTCATGAGAAACCCCCCGCAGGCCAATCCGACGTCAGAGTGAAGCCGCTAGTCCCGAAACAGCATCGCGGCCAGTCTCAGCAATCCTCCTCTTCTCCCGAGGTCCTCTTCCTCGTCCTACTTACTGTACACAACAGGAGAAGACTTGTCCTTCTCCCCAAACAGACTCGCCGCGTCCTTGCTATCGACACGATCGGATCTTTGCTATGACTATGATTTAATTACCTGGCCCTCGGGCCTGATCAATTTGCCTTCGGATCGATTGTCAAACACGCCGCCTGCGATAAGCACAATGGCGCAACGACAACCTCCTCCTGCGACGCATGTTTGTGCGGAGGCAGTCTTCAAAAGCACTCCAGGATCGCCCTGCTATCCCAGAATGAAAGCAGGAATCTCTCACTTCTAAAGTCTCTCTCTCTACATTTCTATTCTCTGACTGGCCTGGTGCCTTACTGTCTCTCTCTATCTCTCTCTTATTCTCTATATATCAAGCAACGCAACGATGCTTACTCTCACTCTTTTCTTCTTCTTTTTCTTCTCCTTATTCTCCATCTCCACGTCCCTCCCCAGCGACGCCCTAGCCACCCAAACACCAGCCTGTTGGACACAATGCCTCCTCACCACCCAACCCGCCGATTGCAAGAGTCCAACTCTCCTCTGTACATCCCAATCCATCTGCATCCCACAATGTAAATCCCCTTCCCCCCTCTCACATCATCCCTAAACTTACCACGACAACAGGCCACTGCACCAACGAAGCCACCACCACCGCCCTCCTCGCCTGCGCCCGCACAGCCTGCGGTAACGATCCCGACATAAATACAACCCCTCTCCTCGCATCCATCGAATCTCTCTGCAGCCCCGCAGCGTCTAAACCTCTCGCTACGACTACCCTCACTGTGCGCGTTACGCCCTCGCCTATGCCCTTTCTGCCACCGGGTCTGATGGCGCCTGCATCGTTGGCTACGCCCGCGGTGGTGGTGCCTTATACGAGCGGGAGTGGGAGTAGGAGTACAGGTGGGCGGGCTACGATGGAGACGGGGAATTGGAGGGCGAATGCGACGGCGACGGGTGTGGTGGCGAGTAGTAGTGTGCGTGCGTCGGGGACGGGGTCGGCGACGACGGGTGGAAGTGGGAGTGGGAGCGGATTCTTTGTGGATGAGGATAGTTTGGGGGTTAGGACGATGGTGGACTTGTGCTGGGGGTGGCTTGGTTTGGGCGTTCTTGTTGGTGTTGTTGGGTGTGGAGTTTTGGGTGGATAGTAGCTAGTATGAGCTCTTGAAATGACGATCTGTGTTTAGTACTGAAATGAGTAGATGTTAATGCCTTCGTTGGGACTGGAATAGTGAGTAGGTGAAATGCTGTGGCCTGGTGAATACTCGAACCCACATCGCTGGCACGTTACTCGTACGTGTTGTGGGTATCTCTATAATATTTACATCATATTGTCATAAGTCATCGTCCATCATTAAGAATCTTTTGAGACACCAAAAAACACATTCTAAATCCATGCGCCCAAGCAGCATTGATCCGTCCCTACGCCCTTCCAAACTCAAAGTTTAATAGCCAGACGCGGCTTCACGGCGTCAATCGGCTTCGGCTCGGTCATATCAATGGCAGAATCCTGCCTCGAGGGTGCCGACAATCCCTTCACTAGCGAAATGTTAGTTTCTTCTGTTCAGTCACCATAGTCCTGGTTCTTCTTACATGTCTGTTGTCTCCTATGATTCTCCAGGAGCTCGATAACAGCCGGCTGAGCATTGACGGTGGCCGCATTCAAGGCATTGTCAAACTTGCCACCCACAAGGTCCATATCAGCGCCCACGTCAAGAAGCAGCTGAATGACGTCCCCGTGACCGAACGCGGCGGCCGCCGTGAGCGCGGTGTGATATGGGCCGCCAGTCTGGTTGACAGCAGCGCCGCGCTCGAGGAGAAGCTTGACAATCTCGCTTTGGCCGTTGCTCGCAGCTGCCTGCAATGGGTTGCCGTAGCGGCCGCCGGGGTTGTTTGCAGATGCGCCGGCTTCGAGGAGCATCTTCACGACGTCGATGAAGCCGTTGCGCGACGCTGCTTGTAGCGGGCTACCGTAGTAGCCTTCGCAGACGTTGAGGTCTGGGTTGTGCGCGAGGAGCTGTGCGACGACGCGGTGGTAGCCGTTTCGGGCAGCTGCTGATATGGCACTACCGCCTAGGCCGCCTTTGAGCTTCACGTCGGCGCCGTATTCTAGGAGGATCTCGACTACATCGTCGTGTCCGTTGATTGCTGCGGCTTGGAGTGCGTTGTCGTAGTATCCGTTTTGCTTGTTGACGTCTGCGTCGTGGTCGAGGAGGAGTCTGACTACATCCTCGTGGCCGTTGAGCGAGGCGGCGAGGAGGGCGTTCGAATACAGTCCGCCCTGGAAATTGACATCGGCTCCGTGTTTCAGGAGGACTTCGGTCGCTTTCAGCCTTCCGTTCAAGGATGCCGCCTGGAGTGCATTTCCAAAAGCACCGCCTTGGCTGTTGATGTCTGCACCTCGTGCGATAAGATGCTCCACCACTTCCGAGTGTCCATTGTTAGCAGCAGCTTGCAGAGCAAATCCAAAGGGTCCGCCTGTCGCATTAACCTCTGCGCCGTGTTGTAACAGGATATCGACGAGATCGAAATGACCATGTCTTGCAGCTGATTGCAGCGCGTTTCCATAAGCTCCGCCCCTGATGTTTGCGTTCGCGCCCTTGTGAAGAAGCATTGCAGCAACCTCCAAGGAGCATCCGTTGGCCGCTGCCTGAAGAGCACTGCCGTGATATCCGCCCACCGAGTCTAGACCAGCTCCATGATCTAGGAGAAGCTCGACCACTGAGTTATGCTTCCCGACCGCAGCAGCTTGGAGAGGATAACCAAAATATCCCCCCTGTGCGTTTGCCGAGTGGCCTTCTCCAATCAGGTGTCGACAATACAAGTCGAGCCCAAATAGGGACGTGAAATACAGTGGTGTCGGATCTGTCAAGAGATACGTGTCGAAACGCCTTTGTACACTTATGGAGTGATCACAAAAGACTTGTAGCCAGGCAAGCCACTTATGCGTAACTGCAGTACTCCACGACCTACCGAAAAGAGGCAAGGTCGCCTCCTGTACTGAAGGGGCTTTGGCGTGTTTGAACCAGTAATTCGCGGCGTAGTCCAGAAAGGGATATGCTGCTAGTCTTGTGTCAAGTTCTTCATCGCTGTGGCAAGGACCACTGGAAAGATCATCATAACCTAGATAGGTCAGACACATTGAAGTAATCTCAGTCGATGCAGCTGCTTCGTCCATGGCGAAGAATCTGGCAGGCCCCTGTCGCACACGGTCTGATTTCAAGTACTCCTGAACCGAGTAGTGAGCAAGACCAATGATATCGCCAGTAATGATGATCAGGCTCTTCCATCCGCATAGCAAATCTTCGGGCTTGGAGAACCGATCTTCTGGATCCAATTCAGTCGAGCCGTTCTCGATCACAGCAGCTTCGGCAATCTCGAGCAGCGTCATCGGCCTTGCGCCATATATGATGAGCATAAAGACACGTAGGAGCAGAGACTTTTCTTCCTCTGACTTGATGTCCACTAATATGCGCTCATATGTCTCGTCTAGAGTATCTGGCAGACCTGTCAGGGCTTTCCTAATTGCTTTAGGTCGCCTCAAGCCTTTGATACTGTCGAACTGGCACTTCACCCAGCGGAACCTGATGAAGATCAGAGTGGCGCAAAATCAGTAGTCTGTACAGGGCTACGTACATTCCTTTCGCGCCTTGTACCAGAGTTTTGATTATATCCTGCTTCAAGTCGGACTTGAGGTTTGCTAAAAAAGGTTCTGCGGCAATCTGCTCTCGGACGAACAACTCAACGTCCATAGCGACCGCAGTACTGTTTATTGAAACGGTTTGAAGGTTCAAAAACCTAAAGTCAGTTGAGATGTGCTGCTCATTACGACTCGTCATTAATAACGATATGGAGTGACTCGATATGAACTCTTGCAGAACGGGTAACAGAAGACTCCATTCCTTGCATTCGTCCAGAGCATCGACGAAGACATTGACCTTCTTGAAATATTTTCTGGCAATGACGATGAAAAGAAATGTGAGTTCTTGGGGCGAAGGGCGCACTTTCTCTCCCTTGTACTTGTCGTAGAGCGATAGAAGATCTCCAGGTACGGTGTCAAGGTTCACTGAGAGTTGATGTATCAAGGAGACCAGTAACCCGGATGCAGTTTGCTTGGCGAGATCACGGAAGTCAAAGTAGAAATATACAATGGCAGTGTCGTGAAGTCTGAGCGACTTCTTCTGAAGCCTGTCGATGATAGTAGAACTGTATTCTCGTGTTAGTGGAGCATTGCAAAAGGACCGAATGCATGCAGCAGCTTACCATAAGATAGTCTTGCCCGCCCCAGCTGCGTGACATGGTGGTTAGTAATGTGATTCAAGACTCGTAAATCGGAGACTGACGAATTGCGTGAAGCCACAAGGTGTCCGACTCGGCGGTAGACCATGAGCGAAATTCACTGCCGTCTAGAAACCACAGTCCTGTGCCATCTTGAGCGAGGTTACGCGCATTAGTATGATTTACTTGGTAACTTGGACATTCAAGCCAACGAAGCGCTTTGCGCGCCTTTTTCTCTGGGGCGTAGCGTCAGTCCATAGTATGGCTCCGAGTAGGTCACACCACATGGGCGTGAGACGCTGGAGGAGATACGGACAAACCTTGATGCATGAGCCTCTCAGCTTCCGACCGCTGTGTGACTTGGATAATGAGGTTGTCGACTTTGCCGTCGATGTCGGTGACGGTGAGCTGGATACCGTTCTGTTGCACTCCAAGGACTTCAATCTGGCCTAGGATCTTGTCCTGAATCGCCTGTGCTAGAGTGCTGATAGGGAGACGACAGTGAGCGTTCAGTTTCTCGTCTTCGTTGCGTTTGACATGATGTTTCGAGAGTAGAGGATGAAGAAGAATAAGCAGAAGTCGAAGAAGTAGAACTCACTGGTGATCGGAATGAAGGGCGAGGATGAGGCAAGTCTTAAAGCGTTCAAGCTGAGGAATGAGCTCCGCAAGTCGCTTGGTATTTCTGTGCCCGGTCAGCGCAGTTTTGAGCCTTGCCCCGCGCTGACTGTGAATCTCATTCAGTGTGGTGGCAACGCGGTTTAGCGTGGAGGCGCAAACATCCATCATTCCCCCAGGTTGCTGCAATAAGCTGCACACAGCCAGCGTCACGGCGGATTTACTGACTGTTGCTGCTGCTGCTATTGTTGTTGTTGTTGTTGCTGCTGCTGCTGCTGCTGTCGTCGTCGCCGTTGTCGAGTTCGTTGTCGTTTTTGATGCCGCCGTCTGCGCAGCTTCAAACTGCGTCAAGAGTGTCGTCAAGAGTCCATACAACAGAGTGAGTTCTTCGACTAGCTTCTCCATGCCCTCAGGTGCCTGTCCCTGATACATCTTGACACATTCCCATCCAATCCCCAGCAGCTTTCCCGTTATCCCAACGACTGCAATGATGCTGGAAGCAACGCTGAGACCAGCGATAGCCTCCGCCATTAGCGATAATCAGGGGAGAATCTCACGTCTGGTTCGTTTGACCCTGAGCAGAGAGAAAAATGTACGTGTCATCGATTGCGGCGTAAGCTGAGAGGGCGTCACCTACATATGTAATGTAAGGAGGTGTATAAGAAGGCGACGGTGGTGCGTAAGCACTTCGGATTGCTGCCTCAACTTGTGGTTTGGGGCTGCGTGATAGAACAATACGAAGAGCCTCGCCCTGCTTATACCATTGGTTGCCAGCTTCAATTAAGATGTAGCTGTAGCTCCAGCCAGAAGAAGCCCTGCACGGATTACTTGCCTGTTCATTCTCTCTTCCTCCACTGATATCTTTCTCAGCTCGTTATAGAAAGGCTCTGTTCCTCCCAACACTTCTACCCCAAGCTTCCGAGCATTGTATACCACTACAAATCATACAATCTTGCTACTGCATCGCACCGTTTACGGCTACCAACACCATGGCACAAGCAAGTGATCAGACACTCCCAAAAGACACCCTCTACTTTCCTGCAAAAGACCGCGAGTTCCTTGAGCCTCATCTGCCACAAAAAGATGGCCTGGACAGCAACAAATGCTTTGCAACATTGACATTTGCAACCTCGCTCGACTCTCAGCTGGCCTTGTCTCCCGGTGCACCAACACAGCTCTCCGGACCGCAGTCCAAGGCGATGACCCATTATCTACGCTTTCGACACGACGCTATCATGATTGGCGTGGGCACTGCCGTGGCCGACAACCCCTCACTCAATTGCCGGCTAGAAGGCGCCGGTGGCTACGGTGGCTCGGACCTCATAGGCCAGCCAAGACCGGTCATCATCGACCCGACAGCACGCTGGGATTTCAGCGAGAAGAACAAGATATTCGTCTTGTGCCGCGAGGGCCGTGGCAAGGCGCCGTATATCATCACGGGGGAGCAGAATCCGCCGGCTGAACAAAAGAAAATCCTCGAGGAACATGGCGGAAAGTTCATCACCTTGGGCATCAAGACTTCTGACATTGGCAGCCACCGTTTGGACTGGTCGGAGCTTCTCCAAACCTTGAAGGCCGAGGGGCTGGACAGTGTTATGATTGAGGGTGGGGGGCAGGTCATCAACTCCCTCCTGGATCCCGTCTTTCAGCCTTTGATCGATTCCATCATTGTAACTATCGCCCCTACCTGGCTGGGACAAGGCGGAGTCGTTGTGTCCCCCTCACGCCAGGTCGACGAGCATGGCAAGCCTCGTGCAGCCGCGAGGCTCAAGGAAGCCAAGTGGTATCCATTTGGTGAGGATGTCGTCTTGTGCGGCCGAGTCAAGCTGTAGATCAGTTTTCCTTATGCTTGTGTCTGCACAGGTTTCTCACTCTGGTCATGATTTCTAAATTGCAGGTAGACACAGTACTTAGAAAAAGATATCAAAACTCTATGGTGACTCTACTAATTCTCTACATTATGTGTCAAGTCTGCCACTAGCATCATAAAAATAGTACGAACCAGACCCATATATTTCCTTGTGCCGGTACACTAACAGCATTTCCCGCAGACGGCGTGCGCTGGTCCCAATGCTTACTTTGACTCAATAGCCAACACTGATCAGGTAGTCGCATAATTGCTCTATCAAATTGGCAGTCTCCGAGTGCGAGCTGGACTCAGGATAGTGGACGAAGAATATGGCAGTATTCGTATTAACGACCATGATACCTTGGCGACCCTAATATGCTGAATGTGAGTTCTAGAACCTGAGGCAGGTGATCAACCATCACCTGTCGGCCATATAGACTCCTAGAGTCTCCTTTGACTGCCTTGTATGTCGTACCAGCAACACGAAAGCCGTCATTTCGAGCCCGTTGTATGCTTGGGCCTGTTCCTGCATCGGCGAATATCCTGCGAATCTCAGCGAGCTCGTCTTGCGTAACCTGATCCCATATCAGCCAGAACGTTGGTCATAACTTCGACCACCCGGGTACTAGATTGTCCAAAGGCGCATAACAGTGCACGCACCAGGTATCCAGGAGAAGCGGCGAGAATGCCGTAATTCTCGGTTCTGGAGAAAACAATTGCATTATCGACTAGTCCCGAGCCTAGTAGACTATGCGAACGATATCTGTTAGATCGTGACAAGACGTGGCTTGCGTCCGTTTCTGGCAACGAACCTGGAGTCGACGTATGCTATCGCGGTCCCGGGAGTCAGCATATGTTCGTGGTCATCGCCTGGATTCTGGTCTTCGAGACTCGATTCAGAGGATTACGGACCTTGCCAAGGCATCTCTACATGGCCTACAATCGTCCCGTGTATTTATTATTCAAACGATGATAGTAAGGCACACACGGAGGTTGGATACTCGCCCGTGGCAGTAAGGCGTACTCGAGGCAGACTTCTTATCTCATGCGGGCAAGTATTATGCGGGTGTTGGAAGACATTAGACGGGGCTCCCCGTCTGGCGACATCCCCACACTAAAAAGAGTTCCTCCAGAGTAGGTGCGCCTGCCGAGATGGCGCATTAGCGCGCTCGTTTAGGCCAGGTCTTTAAGGTCTCGAAGAGGTTTGGCTTGCATGAAGTGTCAGATTGACCGATCATGCAAAATGAAGCGGTCCTGCACGCCTCCATGTATGGGTATATCGATTGCATGCGATAAGTATCAGTCGACAAGCAGCGATCGACTGCTTGCTTTCGTGGACTCTCCGGGAAACCATCATCACCGGACCTGAGGACACGAGATGATGGATGCTCAACATGTGCAGAGCGAGCAATCTGTATTGTTCTGTTCCTTGAGCAATATCTGTCTTGATCATCTAGTGCTCCCTGGCAAGCCTCCTCTGATTGACATTGTGGGCGGGCCTGGCGGCTATGGTATGTAAGAGCCATCGATTCTCCATCGATCAGTCCTGAGACGTGTTCAGCTACCCTTGGAGCCCGAATATTTGCAGCATCGCCTCTATCGAAAAGGATAGGATGGCTCATAACTGTCGGTGGAGATTTTCCGTCCCAAGTGAAGGAAGAACTGGAGAGCTGGGACTTGAGCCTCTCTCTCAAAATAGACGACAAGCAATTGACACCCCGCGGTCTCCAACATTATGAGGATGAAAGCTTCGGGCGTAAGTATATAGTAACGAGGCAATTGGCATGTAACGCCATCTCTAACCAAGTGATAGCCGTGTCGTTCCATGAACTGACTCCTGCATTTGACTTTTCACCTTCGGATCTGCTGGATGCAAAAGTAGCTCACGCATCAGCCTTCCATCTCCTTGGAACACCGGAGATGTGTGCGACTTATATACCTGCAATCCATCGTCTTCGGAGATCTGCTGGAAATCCGAAGCCCTGCCTCGTGGTCTGGGAGCCAGAGCCTCGTGCGTGCCGTACGACCACTCGTGCTGCTACAGTCAAAGCTGCAGCAAATGTAGATGTAGTGTCTCCTAATCATCTTGAACTCAGAAGGCTGTTTGAGGATGACTTCTCTACGTCACGTCCCACTGCAGCCATGATCGAGGATTATGCTCAACGACTTGTCGCCGAAGGTTTGGGACGCAATGGTGATGGCCAGCTGGTCGTTCGTGCAGCGGAGCTTGGATGTATGGTCCTCTCGCGCAAAGAACCCGCGAGGTGGTTTCCTGCGTTCTATTCTCCCAGCAGAGAAGATGTAGATCGCGCCCGATTCGAGGGCGTGGAAGTGCCGTCTCATCCGTCAGTCGTGGATCCGACTGGTGCTGGTAATGCTTTTTTGGGGGCATTCACATTCGAGCTTGCGATGTCGAATGACATATCTGAGGCTTGTTGTCGCGGCATTGTCGCTGCGAGCTTCACCCTGGAACAGATAGCTTTTCCCACACTTTCCAGAGGGAGGCACGGAAGAAGTAAAGAAACCTGGAACGGTATCCAAGTCGAGATCCGGCTGAAAGAGTATAAACGTAGACTAGCTATGGGGTGACACCAAGTATGCGTAATAATCATACCTCTGGACAACTTATAAGGAAATACGCTGAATGATCTTGACAATATGGAACCCTCCTAGCGAGCTCAATGCCTTGCCAGCCTCGCCTCCAGCCTCGCCACCGTGGCCTCCAACATCCCCAGCTGGTCATCCTTCTCATTCACCTCCCTCTGCAATACCTCCTTCTCGCCCCTCAAGCCCCCAAGCAGCCGTCCCATCTTCTCCCTATACCGTAGATTCTCATCCACCATACCCTCCCACCGCGACCACTCCACTCCACTACCAACGACATGCACCTGCTCCGGCTCATGCGTCGTCGCCCAGCTATGTGCACTTTCTCGCAGGCGCGACAGCTCCTCCTCCTTGCGCCGAAGCTTGATCTCCAGGTCCTTGGTCGCTGCATCGTGGCACGCCTCGTGCAGCCGTGCCTGCTCCTCCAGAATCGCGACCTGGCTGATCAGATTAGAGTTGTGGCGCTCGAGCTCGAGGACTTTCTGCTCGAAGGCGGCCGTCTTGGCGACCTCGAACAGCGTCGTTGTGCTGCGACGCTCGGGGGATTGCATGATGCTCTTAGGTCGCGCAGGCATGGGTTGCTGAGCCGACGGCGGCGTCGCTGTACCAGATGAACGACGCCGGGCGGAGACGTCGAGTTTGCGGGTGGCATCGGCGAGTTTACCACGGACGTTTACGAGGTTGGCGAGGTCGTCGTTGCGCAGCTTTGTTAGGGCTTCGTGATCGCGGCGTGAGGAGGCGAGGAGACCACGGACTTTGCGCAGGTTGGCGACATCTTCGTCGCGGAGGGCGAAGAGCGCTTCGTGGCGAGTGGCCCAAGTCTTCTTTTCGGCCTCGAGGGTGGCGACGCGGGCCTGGAGGGCAGCGTAATCGGCTTGTGAGACGGAGATTGTGGGTTGGGCGCGCTCGATGGCGATGACCTTGGACATGAGTGCTGCGAGTTGCATTTCGAGAGGGCCTGGGGTATGGGATGGTCGTGTAGCTTGGTCTTCTTCCCACGTCGGTTGCTGCTGGTCGGAATCGCCATCTTCGAAGGACATATGCTTCGGAACTTTCACGATCTGAACGTCTTTGATGACTTCCTTGGTGGCCGCTGGGGCTGAGACTGGAACTCGTTCCTGTGTACCAGATGAGACGACTGCCTTGGGCACTCTTATCTCATCATTCTTTGAGAATGGCATTACATGCTTTGGCACTGGTATAGGAGTGATGTCTTTGATGCCATCTAGGTCCCGCGCTACTTGTAGATCCATGAAGCCCTCTTTCCCAAACATGGGTGTGGGCGCGCGCTTGGTATTCCAGGGTGTGGGCGTCTTCTCCGGGATATCTGCATCATTGTCCCCGTCCATTGTACTCTCACTGGCATCGTCGCTGTCGAATGGTTTCAGCGGCACGAGCTTGATTTCTCTTATCTGCTCATTGAAGCTGGCCTTAGGCAGGACGTCAGGTACCTTGACCGGAGGAGGTTTGAACCATATGGGAGGCAGCTCCCGGGTGCTTTGGGCCCCGACATCTTCTGCCATTGTGTCGCTGCTCCTATCCGACTCGTAACCTGAAACCGAATTATGAGATGAATGAATGCTGTCTCGTTGTGATGCGATTGAGTGTATTGATCCGCGACTGGCATCATGGCGAGAGCGAGATAATAAGCTTGAAGTCCACATTCTTCAAAGGTGAGTATTACTGTATCTATGTTCGGAAAGTGAGTGCAATGAAGGATGAACGAGGAAATTATGTAGCAAATAGAGTGTATCAAGAACGTGTTGCTAGTGGTAAGGAGAAGAAATAATCACTTGGAAGCTCTGTTTGAGAGAATACAGTCTCTTTTATTCGATGTTCGAACCTGACGAGGATATTGACTCCTGAGACAAGCTGACACCAAGGGGCAGCGTTGTTACATTAATGGTACCAGGTCTTCGGAGTACATACGTTTCGCGGTCATCCACGACTGTTGTACATATACAAGTACAATATCTTGCAGGCTGTTTATAGCCATCTAATATTAATGTTGTTACTGAGAACACTTCGAGGTCTCACTGGCATTCCGCATATACATAAATGTGTCGATTAATAAGCTTTGATGCTATGATGGCGTAGGCCCAGATTCTGCTTGGAGTAATTAATTTCGCACAGGGCCATAGATGCAATTGCAGTCCTGCTACTGTAGGAGTGGTACTACAGAACTTCGATGTATAGACCTCTCGAGGCTTCGAGTTGGCTTCGAGACGCGTGTCCGAGAGGCCACGGACCAACAAACGTTGAGACGTGTTTCATGTCAGACCCCGAGGACTGAACAACTCTCGACCGAACAGGATGCGGATATATTTGGTCAGAGACATCGAGGCACGATAATGCTGAACGTCGACAAAGACACAGTACCTGTCAGTCCGACCTGGGGTCAGTCGATTCGTTTCGAAGGCTCGAATGTTCGGATTGAAGCTTGACGCGGTCCCGCAGCATCGCGGAGCACCGGCCGCAAGGACATCGGAATGAATCCAGAGCTTCGGAGTCGCGATGAATCGCGATGAATCGCTGCAAAAGACATTACGCTCCTGACAAGTGCATTCCTGTTCAAGGAGTTCTTGGCTGCGAGACTGGTGGAGATGAAGTGATCGAGGTTGCGGATCCGTCGTTTTCCAACCTAAGTCACTAGCACTAATTAGTGCACGCATGTTCTCTCCCCCATCTCTCTACCTAGAGCTCTTTCTACTTTTACGTCTATTCTAAATATATTAGAACTTTAAAAAGTAGATATAATAAGTAATTAGATATATTTCTATCCTTAAATAATTTAATTTTATTCTTATAAAGTATCTTTAAAGAGATAGAGAAGAATATTAAAAGGTTCTTTAAAGAGGGCCCGTATAAAAACCACGTTATATTCTACCTTATTCCTCTTCTCTAAGAAACTAGACCCTCTTATTATAGACTAAATTAAATAATTTAGAGCTTAAAAATTATATAGGAATAATTACCTTACTCTACTCTATAGTTCTATATAGATATTATAATATATAGACCTCTATATAGAGATAGAGAGGTAAAATAACTATCGAAGATTTGGGGTGAGAGCACACGCGTGAGATGGAAAATGCCAAGCTCGTCAGGTTCTAGGAAAACGACGGATGAGCCGAGGGTGAGCCGATCAACTAAGGATTTGCGGCTGAAATTGGGGTCTGATAAGATTACACGTGCTGTCCAGAACCCAACGTTCACCGCACCGTCTATTGGCTAGCACGCTACGTGGACCCCAAAACCATGAGGGTTGGTGCTATTTACATCCATTCATATGAGGCCTAGATTACGCGTGGCAATATCTGTCATCCTGCTTCCCCGCATTAACGACTCGTAAACTAGTCGTTCAGCTGAATAGGTGCCCAATTTAAAGATGTAGTACTAAGCGCGTACCCAGCCGCGATGAATGTCTGATACAGGCTTTCCAAAGTCCCTCCCGAGCAGCGTCAAGTGTGGGCAATATGGCGATTGCGACAGCAACAGATTCGGTGACTCCAAACTATGAGCGCTTGTACTGGGAGAAAGCGCGCAAGGCCTTCAAGGCTGGTAGACTTGACAAAGATGGAGAGAAGACGGAGAGCAAAATCGACGATTTTCTGAAAGAGAGATCTACTCCACAGGAGGCGCGAGAACTATGCAAAGCTACTAAGCAAGCTGCTGGGGAGGAGTATTCAGCATCTCTAGGTGGCATTCTCGAGAAAATCGAGATCGCAATGCAAGTTGGTGATTTGGCAATTAAGAGCGCACCAGAGTCTGTTGGGCTTGCGTGGATGGGAATCCGGCTATGCTTGCACTCCGTTGCAGACGACTTCTCTACCTTCAGCATCTTTGGCCAGGCCTGCTCAGACATAATTGGGATCATGATATCTTGTGCCGTCTTTGGGAAGATGTATGGACCCTCTAGAGGCGTCAACTCCTTTCACGAGATCCATTCACAAGTAACGGACAGAATTCCTAAAGTCTACACAGAGATCTTAGATTTTTCATATTCCGTGAAGAAACATATGGGCCACAATAAAGCATGTAAGTACGATCTTTACCACACTTCGATATTTTAAGGTATCTCATAAATATAGATCGCATTGGTAAAGGCTTGCTGGTTCAAGCTTCTACGAGGTTCGAGGCTAAGATAAAGTCGATTAAGAATCATGACACTACTATGGCCGAGTTCGCTCGAAGAGCTTACGAACAACTGTCTGACTACTACCTACGTACGGGTTTGACTAACCAAGAAGCAATGATGGGCGATCTGACCAAGATCAAGAGCAAGATGGAAATGTCGTTACGCATAAATCAGGACAACGCCGATCAGATGCGAGTTCTTATTGACGAGATCAAGAAGAGGAAAGAGATGACACCACACGATGTTGCTGTCAAGAACTACGAAGAGAACATGAAACAGTTTGGCGGGTCTAGTGATCAGAAAGCAGTATATGCAGCCAAAATCTCGAGAAGATCTCCCCCACAGACTTGTACTTGGATCTTTGACATGGAGTTGTTCAAATCCTGGTATGTCTCAGAGAAGAGCAGCGTCCTATGGGTATCAGGAGGGGGTGGTTTCGGCAAATCCATTCTGATGTCTGCCATCATCAACGAACTCCAGGACCGGGCCAAGGACACCGGAGCACATGTTCAGTATTTCTTTTGCAACGCTGGTGATGAGTCGACGAAGAGGACTGATCGAATTCTGAAGCATTTACTCTATCAGATGTACAGTCTATTGGAGCATCACTCGACAGAAGCGCTCGAGAAAGCGAACAAGCTTGTGTCTAATTTTCTTAAAAACAGGTCAACCTCCTCCAAGGAGAGCAAAGGCGACAACAAAAAGGACGATGTTGACTTTGCTAAAGTGTTTAGGGGACTTGTCGGACTAGTTGGAAAACCCATCTTTATCGTTGTTGATGCTCTGGATGAATGCATTGATCGATCCGAGGGTTTACTGAGCTCGCTCAAGTATCTCGTGGATGGATCTACTTCAAACATTAAGTTAGCAATCTGTAGTCGGCCTGAGGCAGATATTGAGACTGCCTTTGAACAAATCCCTAGAATCAAAGTAGAAGGGAACAATGGGCCGGACATCAAACTCAATGCCCAAAGTGAGCTAGCAAGACTCCCTGGGCTGACGTCACACGAGCGAGCAACAGCGTGTGATAAGATTGTAGAGAAAGCTGGAAGCTTGTTCCGATATGTCGAGCTGGCGGTCAGATTCTTGAAACAGCCCTGGCAGCGTCCTCTCGAGCGACATCTAGAACAGCTCCCTATTGGTCTCGAGGCAGCTTACGAACAGACCGTTCGAAATATCGACCCTGCGTATTTAGAATTGTTGAAGACCTGCTTGACATGGACTTGTCTTGCTGAAGGACAGATTCGTGTCCCAGAAGTGATCGATGCTTATAGTCGTAAGTATGTCGTAGAACAAGAATCTCATGAAGCTGGGGATGTAGAGTCCATTGAAGAGCCAGAAGCTCAAGAGGATCTGCATGTGGATCAAATTCGAACCGCTGGATCTGCCTTCTTAGAGGTCGATTCCATGACTCGGGTCATCCAGTTGAGACATGCCACTGTAGCGGACTATTTTCTTGGAGCAAAGCCTGAAGTCCAAACAGAAGAGCAGTGCCTATGTAAAAACTGCACAAGAACAGGGAACAGCCAGAAGTCTTTTGCTCTATCAGAGAAGCATGGGCACTTAACGATGGCTACGACTATACGTGAGTCTCTCTGTGGGCAATCCCTGCTAAAATTCCGAGCTAAAACCTGTGTAGTCAAGCATTTGTCGTGTGAATCTTTCCGCCAGGAATTCCTTGTGTCTTTCGAAAGGCGCGATGTCAAGGAGACGGTGGATACTCATGATAAATCAGGAGAAGAAGAAGAACAACAAGAACAACAACAACAGAACGACGAAAGCGAAGCTAAGAACGTAAATACTAACGACGGTGATATGACGGTCGAGCCTACTCAAAGCTCAGAATTACCACCTTCAGGGACAGAAGATGGTAAATCATCAGAGGAACCGATTAACACGGGAAATACTACCACCGACCAAAGTAGCGAAAAGGAACAAGACGCAGAATCCGAGATCGCATCTGCCACAGATAGCGATGCTGATATAGATCCTCTGGATCCTGTCCAGGCTGACTCTGACGATGTACAGGATCCAGGAGCTCGCTTCAGGTACGAGATCCACTACTTTCAGTTTCACATGTGCAAGGTCGAGGAGCTGTGGGAAGCGGAAGACCGAAAGGGTCCGGAATGGGAAGAGTATGAAGCTCTTCAGGATTCATTCTTCGTCAAGGACTCTCCCTTCTTTCAGTCATGGATCAACCTCAAAAACCAAGCGCAGGGCAGTGCAATTTCATGGATATTTGATATCAAAACTATTCATCCCATACACATAGCCGCGGCATACGGGCTGACCAGTTTAGCTGGGCGACTCATCGAGCGGGGTGCAGATCTTGCAGCTGTCACAGATGAAGGCTACACAGCACTTGATTTTGCTGTTGAGCATTACGGCTTTTCCAAAACGGAAGAAAGAGCCCACAAGAATGTCCTAAGACTCCTTGAGCTTCTTTTGAAAGCAGGTTCCGACCCCAATAACCTCGACAAAAGGACGGCGCGTACTCCCTTTTTACGCTTGTTCTGGCAGAACCCTAAAATTGAAGCCATCCAGATATTCTTGGACAATGGCGCTGATGCCAAGGGTGTTGACCTGGCCTGGGGTGCAGGCTCTCTGCACTATTGCTGTGGCAATTGTGATGATCCAGCTGTACTTAAGGCACTTTTGGCTGCAGGTGCTGATCCGAACCTCGAGGACAATAGTGGTGAAACACCATTACATTTCCTGATGATGACGTGGAAACAGGATTCACCCCTCGAGCTGGTAGATATCATGATCAGCGGTGGTGCCAATGTCAACGCGGAGGATAAGACCGGACAGCGTAAGTATCGCCTGGTATCAGACTGTTCTGTATTGATTGGTATTCAGGGCCACTATACGAGCTTTGTTGGTCTGGAAATGTTGAAGTCGCCAAGATATTGATCAAGAATGGTGCTGACGTGACAGATGATGATGTGAGTTTCTGATGACTCTTCGGCCAATCGGACTTGACTTTGGCAACTGCTTATGATCTTAGGTCAATAAAATCACCGCTTTGCACATGGCCTGTCGAGCAGGCAATACAGATCTCGTGCTTCTTCTTATCGAACATGGAGCTCAGATGTCAGCCGTGGATGACAGAGGCTGCACTCCTCTATACTACAGTTGTGAAGCTAAAACAGATACAACAGCTCTTGCGCTGATAGATAGGCTTGGCACTGATGGTCTCACCGTACTGGGACTCGCCAACTCTGATGGAAAATCGCCTATCCGGAAGGCCGCAGCGCGGGGACACCATAAAATCGTCGAAGCATTATTTGAGAAGTTGGGTTTAGACATAGCTGTTCTTGAGACTCAAGATAAGAAACAGCAATGGACACCCCTACATGCAGCTGCCCACAATGGCCAAAAGGAGGTCGTTGAATTCATCTTAAGCAAAGGCGTGAATATCAACATTCTTGATAGGAGAGGGGACACGCCACTCAAAACATGCTTAGCATCCTGGAGAGACACTAGGACACAGGATTACGAATTTGTTGCGCTCAAGCTGTTAGATGCGGACCCGTCTAAGATTAGTGGAACCGAACTCTTACATTCAGCTGCAATAAGAGGAAATTTGGCAGTTCTCAACAAATTAATGGATAAAGGTGCCGATCCGTTACTACAGGATGAACACGGTTGGACCTCCGTGCAAGTTGCTCGGCAATGTGGGCAAGATGAAGCCGCCTCTCTGCTATCATCGAAACGGGCTGTGACTGGCATTCGACCTAGTGGGTTGGTGAATACGCTACCGAAGATCTTCGACGTCTCAGGGGACGGCACCAGCATGACAGCGATGACAAGTACACCCCCTTACTGCAGACTTTTCATCTCCGTTACTAATCTTCTGACCAGAGAAATGCGAAGGCTCACTCTTGGCCAATCATCCCATACCCGCCGGGATAGACGGTTTCTACTATGAGATCGAAGTTGACTGCCCAAATGCGCCATCACCGGACGCCCCTGCAGCAGAGGAATACCCGTAAGGCTCATTTTTCGGATAAGATGGCACTGACTAACATCTGCACAGGGAAGTTGCACTTGGTCTCTGTCCCCACACGGCCCGAACACGAGGCTGGCTTCCTGGCCGCAGCTGGCCTCGCAATCCAGCTTGGGGATACCACGGCGATGATGGAAGTCTGTGGCCTGTCGTTTCAGGTGACAAACCTCACGCAGGTCTGCATGCAAGAGGTCACTTTATTGGAAATTTTGGCCATGCAGACGTTGTGGGCTGCGGTATCGATTTCACAAATAACAAAGTTTTCTACACCAAGAATGGCGAACTGCTTCGGACCTTGTCTCAAGAGAAACCTCCCACTCATTACGCTTTTGCCGAAGTCACCGGGCGTTTGTACCCTGTGGTTGGGACATCGAGGCAGAACTTGACAATCAAAGTCAACTTTGGCGGCGACCTGGAGACCAAGCCGTACAAGTGGACGCCCGGTAATGCAACTGATTGTGGTAGCAAGTACCTCAGGGAGCTTGAGGAGGATCTGATCGCAAACCCTCCGAAGGTGGAACCTGAAAGGCCAACGAGTGCATCCAGTTCAGCTAAAGCTGTGGATGAGGATGGAAAGGAAAGCGGTGTTGAAGCTGATACTGCAGTCACTGTGGCTATTGGCGTGCCGGAAAAGACAAGTGTGGACGTTCGTGTGAACGATGTAGCTCAAGTCGCTGATAAGTAGATACATACCAAAGAGGCTTGAGATTTTGTGCTTCGTGGAATCTGATGTAATGTATTGATACTAAGCGGCGCGTACTATCAACGCGAATGCTAAGGAGCAGGCGCGAAACGTTTCGGAGTCTTCTCCGCTCCATGACTCTGGGTGATCTCACTCAAGCAATAACATTGCTCTCCACACCTGTCACGCGAACGACTGCTTGTGCTCAAGCTTAAATCGTCGAAGCCGATTGAGGCTTCTAGTAACCAGCTACTAAACCTCAATGCGCGGGTTCTGGCTCCGCAGACAGAGCTGCATCAACCTTTCAATATGAACGCTATTGATGCGACCGACCGGACCTTCAGGTCACCAGATGGTGCGTATTACTCCAGGCTCACGATGCCGTACAGTATGACTGATGAACCTCTCAGCTCCTCCTCCGTCTCTCCTCACTATAATTCTCGACACAAACCCTCACGCATGGGCGCATCTCGAACCTACCCTGCCACTCCAAAAAGCCATCGCAAACCTCCTCGTCTTCATCAACGCCCACCTCGCCTTCAACCACTCAAACGAAGTCGCAGTCCTCGCTTCTCATTCGCAGAAGATCCAATGGCTCTACCCAACCCCAAAGCCCCCATCTCACAACCTTACCAGACCCGCTTCTCCCCGCCCAAACGGCGCATCCAACGGCACTCACTCCGCCCACGATGACGCAAACAAATACCGCCCCTTTCGTATCGTCGAGCAGCAAATTCTCGCCAACCTTTCCGCCCTCCTCGCATCCACCACCTCGTCCGACCTGTCCAGCACAACCACAACCCTCATCTCCGGCGCCCTGACCACAGCCCTCACATACATCGCCAAAGCCGCCCTCGCTCACGCGCCCCCGACCGACCCCTCTGCATCCCTCAACGTCGCCGACCCGTCGCCCACTTTCATGGACGCAAATGACGGAACTACAAGCCGCGCTCGTACCACGCTCACGTCCCGCATACTGGTGCTGAGCGTCAGCGGCGATCTAGCTGCGCAATACATACCGGTAATGAACGCCATCTTCGCGGCGCAACGTCAGCGGATCCCAATTGATATCCTGAAGATCGCGGGAGATACAGTTTTCTTGCAGCAAGCGTGCGACGCGACCGGTGGAGTGTACATGGAGGCACAGGAGCCGGCAGGGCTTCTACAATACCTAATGATGAGCTTCTTGCCAGATGCAACAGCGCGGGATTTTCTGGTGCTGCCAAGTGGCGGAGCTGTAGACTTTCGGGCAGCGTGTTTCTGCCACGAGAAGATTGTGGAGTTAGGGTGGGTGTGCTCGGTGTGTTTGAGTAGTAAGACTTGAAAGGATCGTAACGGTGGCGTGAATGGGAAGCTAACGAGTGTATAGTTTTCTGTGGACCTCCTGAGCATAACCAGTGCTTAACTTGCGGTAATCAGCTCTCTATGGCTTCGACATTACCAAAACCTCCAGCCTTGATTCAGCGAAAGAAAAAGAAGAAGAAACGGGCAGCCGGAGATGGCGCTTCAGCGGGCGTAACGCCAAGTGGTACTCCAGGGCCTGCTTGAGTTGTAGAGAACAGGGAGCGGAAACAGGTTTTGTGTTGCATTATCAACTGCATTGCATTGCGTGGCGTTTGAACAGATAAAGTGGATGCATTGGAACGATGTATATAGAGGCTTGGCACGAGAAGAAGAATTCCAGTAGGGCACTTCAAATAGACGGGCCAGTATCGAACTTGATCTATCATCCGAATTACAGGTCAAGTCCACAATGTTTGAGATGTTCAACAAAGGCCATGCGCCTGATCACGCCTCCGCGAACCGTATCACTTAGCTACCATTCATCTCCCATCAGAGTTGTTCGCGTTGCTAAGATGTGGAAAAGAGAGGTTTGTGTATGGTCCTTGAACGGGATGGACCCCTACTTAGGTTATAGGGTCGAGGTATACAGTGGACAATGGTTGTCAGGGAAGTGCTTGGTACAATCCAGGTCAATATGCGTGCTACCTTTTTTTCCGCGGGCGAACAGCACGCCCTCCATGCGCGATCGAGCCACTACCTGTGCTCCTAGACATGGCGCAGACCGGCTTGGACTCATCAGAGTGCATCGAAGAGAGAGCCTGTATAGATTTTTTTAGCAATAGCTCAGAACTCGTAGTAAGAGGACATACGAATGAATCGGTGTTATGCGCATAGTAGAAGAATATACCGTCGCGAGTCTTCTTCGCGCCTAGGACGCCAATTGCTCCTGCAGAATTGCTATTCTGCACGCTTGGGTGACCCATAAAGTCGTGCTCGATCATGGAACGTATCGCGTCATCGTCATCTACAGATTCATAGCCCGCTCCTTTGGTCTTTATGCTGTGGTATAGGCGCTGCGCACATATAGTCGCAGCCAGTGTAGTCGCCATGTGCTCACCCGTTCCGCTGGTTACAGTTGCTACACAAGTCTTGCTACGGTCGTCGGGATTGACCGGTATGACCGCTGAGCCAATTCCGACGAGCGCTGCTGGACCAACACGCCCGCGATACTTCATGCCAATACCACCGGATGATGACCCACAAGCAATATTGCCCCATCTGTCAATGGCAATAGCTCCGACTGTATCCGTGATATGATCTTCGCGCTCGTCGCCTTCCTGGCCCAAAGATGATACTGGTATTGGAGCATTCAAAGATTCTGTGGGAGATGGTTGTAGAGGAGACTCATCTTCCTCTGTCGACGTGGTCAAATGAGAGCGCTCGTGGCTCACAGGGCTTCCGTGAGTTGGACTCGGAGTAATGGATGGAAGGACTAGAGTGCCTGATGATGATGGGGACGAGCTGGAGTCTTCGCCACTAGAGCCATCATGCCAACGCGACCCAGGGATTGTACTGCCGGAAATATCGGTGTTTGCCTGATTTGAGCTCACCCTACTCTTTGCAGATGAATATGACGAGTAGTTACGCATCGTTGGGACTTTCTGAGTGCTGTTGATGAAGGCACTGGTGGATGATTCATGGGCTGAAGGAGAAGCTGGAGTTGCGAGAGTTCCCCGGGAATCGACATAATCATGGCCGCCTCGAACAGGCGTGCGCGGAAGATCCGGCGTGGATTGTGAAGAGCCGGAGGAGTTCAAGTCATCACTGCGTTGAAGATCTGATGAGGATGATGCTCTAGAAGGACTATGCTTGAGTGTGGCCTCTCGCCGTGAGTCTCTTGTCGGTTCTCGTCCTCTTGGGTGATTGATCTGCACTGGTTCGGACTCAGACTTTGGTCTCGTACTGGAGGGAGCCAACGAGGACTGTGTATGTTTCGCTTTTCTATCAGCGTTTTTGAGATCAGACCTCCACCGTACCCAGCGTTCATGTGCGGCTGGAGAGACTAGAGCGCTCGGATTCAAGATAGGTATGCCGTGCTCAAAAGCGAAGTCTGTCGCACCCTGAGACACTAGTAGATTGGGTGGCACGCGCCGTAACGTGAGGTGTTTTGTGGTGTGATCGAGTACAGTGCGGGCCAGAGATATAGGGTTTTTGATTTCTAAATTAGTCAAGTCAGCCTGCATTCCGACCATGAACTGAGAACCTACGAGATACCGCACCCACTCCCCCGCTACGCCCATGATGGTCCACGATCGAGGCATCACATTCGACCGTGCCATCGATAGCCAAGTTACTCCCGTATCCGGCGTTAGTGATTTCGCGGTCTTCCAGAACTTTGATCGCCATCTCAACACCATCGACTGCATTCCCTCCAGTCCTCATGATCGCCATTGCCGCTTTGGCCGCGCTATAACAGTCAGCCACTTGTTCCCACGTAATAATACCATAGTACGACGATCCGTATCCATTAGAGGAGCTTGCTTCACTTACTCGTTACAGGCTTGTAGATGGATTCCTTCGTTCTGAGTGCTGTGGTAGCCAGCACCAGCATGAACGAAGACTGCCGCGATATCATTACCTTTGTGTGATCGCCCGCCCATCATCGGTCCAACAGCTATCTTGGTGACGACAACGATGCTCCTAATGATGCGCTTGAAATGATTTCGGAAAGAAGGTATTCGTTTTCTCGCAAAAAAACGGCTCAAGTTGTTCCTTCTACGGGCAGCCGTCTTGGAGTCGGAATGCGCAGACTTGCAAAGGGACACTCTCAGGGACGTCAGGGTTGATCGATGGTAAGGAGAGGTAGCTGTGTTTGACTTTCTGATTTGAGGCAAGGGTTTAAAAGCGGCTCCTCGCTTAGTCGTTGTCGCAGCTCCAGGCAGCTCACGTTGGCTGCCGGTTTAGAGTTCGCACAGTGTAGGTCACCGCTGTCATGAAATGAAATGCAAACGCAGGAGAGTAAATTCAGAGAATGAGATATACCGAGTTAAGAGGACGTAGGTTGCGTGTTTTAGGTGTATAATGACAGTGAAAGAGTGACGGTCTCGGTAAAATGTGGAACAAGAGACCGAGGGAGATAGCACTGCTAGAGATTAATGCTGAGACTGAGAGATGCCAGCCGAAGGAACAGGTAGGTGGGTGAGTGCGGGTGAAGTGAGAGAAAACAGAGCGGAAGTAGCTCAGAAGCATGGACTGATTGTGCTCGTAGACCTCAATCGTGATGCCCCAACGCATCAAGCATGGGCTCACTCTACCTGCAATGTGAAGACCGAAGTGACGATGGGCAATTCTCTACACCAACTTCCAAGGACAGTCCAAAGTGATGGGATGTGTCCAGGCTCACTCTTGTCCAGCATGCTGAGAGTAGATAGACGGAACGCGCTATGTATGTTATACCACTACAAACCGAAACATTGCAGTTGACTTAGATAAGCTTGAAGTGAAGCTATTCGACATGCTGGCCCTGCACGTTTTCCGCTCAAAGAGAGCTTGGCATAACTTGGCGTTAGCGGAAGCGGGGCGAGGACGAGCGGAACTCTGCCCACCACGTTCCCGCTGGCGGCCAGTGGGCTACCTTCCTGCGTACGTCGTCAGCGCCAGGCGACAGTTTATGCGACTTTGTCCTGTGCAGCTTTCGTTTGCGCAGTATTACACTTCCAACGTCTAATTGCCACCCCTACTTGGTTCTCACACAACCGAGTTCGCCAGTATGGCACCCCAAACTCCGGCCGTTGTCATGGACAAGTAAGTTGGATCCACCTCTGTCCCCTCCACGTCGCTCAACCCATAACGATGCGCTACATTTGCATAAAGTGCTAACCGATTCAACTAGCGGTACGGGGTACTCGAAGCTAGGTCAGCTCGTCGCAATATTCCACAACTCATCTCGGTTGTCCTAACGTCACTCAGGCTTTGCCGGAAATGACTCCCCGTCGTTCGTCTTCCCCACAGCTATTGCAACAAAAGGCCCTGCTGGAGGCTCTGGAGGCTCTGGTTCAGGTCGACCAGCTGTGGCCAACAAACCCTCGTTTCTTACAGGGGGCGCTGGACAGGGTGGTAATCTATCAGGAAAGAGGGGCACGGAAGATTTGGACTTCTTCATTGGCGACGAGGCTCTCGCTGCTTCCGCAGGACCCGGTATGCGATCACCATCTACTCGAGAGTTCTCCTTACCGTTATACTGATGACTTAGGGTACGGTATACACTATCCTATACGGCATGGTCAAGTAGAGAACTGGGTACGTCAGTTGACACCTGCGCAAGGAAGCTTGCTGACCACTCTTTGAACAGGATCATATGGAGCGTTTCTGGTCCAATTCTATTTTCAAGTATCTTCGGGTTGAGCCAGAAGACCACTACTTCCTACTGACCGAGCCGGTAAGCTTTTTGTGTGCTATTCCAAACGCCCTGAAAACTAAGCGAATGCACAGCCTCTTAATCCTCCTGAAAATCGTGAGGCTACGGCTGAGATCATGTTCGAGTCGTTCAACGTCGCTGGTCTTTATATTGCTGTTCAGGCAGTGCTAGCTCTAGCGGCATCTTGGACCTCTTCAAAAGTCCAAGATCGCTCCTTGACAGGCACCGTAATCGACTCTGGTGAGGGTGTAACTCATGTCATCCCTGTTGCCGAAGGTTACGTAATTGCCTCATCGATTAAGAGTGTTCCCATTGCTGGACGTGATATTACATACTTTGTTCAATCACTCCTGCGTGACCGTGGCGAGCCAGACAGCAGCTTGAAGACCGCCGAGCGCATCAAGGAGGAATTCTGTTATGTTTCCCCGGATATCGTAAAGGAATTCGCACGCTTCGATCGGGAACCTGACCGTTTCGTGAAACACACAGTCACGCAACCGAACGGCAGAGCGGTGACAGTCGATGTCGGCTACGAGCGATTCCTAGCGCCCGAGATATTCTTCAACCCAGAAATCTACTCGTCCGACTTCCTTACTCCATTACCGAACATCGTCGATACCGTCATTCAGTCCAGTCCGATAGACGTACGGCGCGGTCTTTACAAGAATATTGTGCTGAGCGGAGGCTCCACTCTCTACAAAGACTTCGGGCGACGACTACAAAGGGATATCAAGCACATGGTAGAAGGCCGTATCAAGGCGTCGGAAGTCAGGAGCGGAGGAGCCAAGAGTGGTGGCCTAGATGTGCAAGTAATCACTCACAAGCGACAAAGGCATGGTCCTTGGTTTGGAGGGAGCTTGCTAGGCCAGACGCCAGAATTTCGAAGCTACTGCCATACTAAGGCCGAATATGACGAGATAGGTCCAAGCATTGTGCGAAGATTTGCCCTCCTCGGTGGCCCAGGAAGTTCATAGGCAGTTCTCGGGATGCTTCAGTGGCATGATAGAAACTCTTGAAATGGTCAAAATCGAGCACATGAAATCGAATGTCTGATGTCACCTAGGCTCAACCGCCGCAAATAACTCTAGATTGTGGAATATAGCGACCTCAATGCCTTATCAGTCTACTCGTAACATTGATTCTTGATTGGGCCACGCGTACTCGGCAGCTAGGCAGATGCGCGCAGGTGGTGTCACCTTAAGGTCCAACGCCACACAGGCAACAACGTATACCGCCAAAGTCACGTCAAGAATCATTAGTGTATTTTTCTACCACGGTGGAGGTCTGACAGTAGTCTGTCTTCTTTTAGTACCATAGCTATCTCCTCGTGGACGGCTGCCAGCTAGATTGTTCAACATAGAATATCGGATAACGCTGTAGATGCCAAAACAGTCACAACGGCACATGCGCTCTAGCAGTCATGGGAAATGCATCAGCACCCAAAATTATCATTCGTCCGTGCTTAGAGATGCTCCCGTTTGAGATTCTAGAGGAGATATACAAACATCTCGGCACTATTGATGATGCTCATCACTTGGCTCGCACCTGTAAAAGAATCAATCAGGTCATGGATCTTGATGGTGTCTACAAGAGGATCATGGGCATGATAATTGTACCATATACCTACATAAAATCCTACAAGACTAACAAATATCAGGTGAATTCGAAAGTCCATCGCTTTGATAAGCAACTATGCAACTTGCTCGTCGCCCATCATCATATCTTAGAACACTTTACAGAAAACGGAATATTTCCGCAATGTAAAGATCCGAGCCTCCCTACCTCTGACCAAGGTCCAGATCCAGGTGCTGTCGATCTCTCTCGGGCTACGTGTCCATCTTGGAAATCTCCTGAATATGAGTGGCGCATCACCGATACCGAAATCTTCGATATTCTCGCACGCTGGCAAGGACTGCGGGAAATTCAACATCTCTACACCAAACAAACCGCAAGCAAAATGAGTTACCTTAACCCCTGGATGTGGGGTCAGCACGATGAGTTGCAACTTGCTGCTCTGCATCGACACTATATTTATATTACTAACATGGGCTTCGAGGGAGTACGAGTTGACGCACTGCCGAACCGCGACACTCACATGGATTCCTTTGACGCAGAACAGACAGATCGTTTCTATGTTGCGCTTACCTTAAACTGGGTTCTGCAGCAGCATCGTTGGTGTTTGATATCCCTGAATTGCGCTACACCTATGATTGCGGAGAAGGCAAAATCTGCGTTCGAAGCAATGCTTCAGCATGATGAAGCTCGATGGGGTAAACGGTCACTACTCGATGAGCTTGACCTGCTTGAGGTCTACGAGTTCCTCTACCACGCCATGTTACCGGTCGCCTTCCGTGTGTTACATGGAGATGGTCAGACTAGTGGTATTGGGAGGACAAGAGTGGGTCAACAAGCGTACGAAGTTTCGGCCGGTAGACTGTTGCGTCGTCGTCTCCAAACCAAGATGGCGATGTTTCAACCACCAGACATAGTCGAGGCGATCCTTTTAGCACAGCACACGGGTCCAGTAATGGAGTACGATGATGCACTGCAATCACCCCGGGCGACGTTCAATTCAACGACCCTATCTGCAGCGTGGCGCCCGGGAATGGTTACTTATAGACATGAAAGCTTCGGTTTCTTGCCTTCTGGGACCATCTTGAGCATGGGTAACAGAGGTGCGCGAAGACCGGAAGTTTTGGGGGACATGCATTACTTGTATCTGTCGGAAACGAGGGTATATAACGCTATCAGAGCATTCTGCAGACAAGGGCTTCCAGATCCACGGGAGAAGGAATTTCACAAGTATTGGGCCGATAGCCTAAGAGGCGGAATGTTTTGGTTCGCGCAGTCTTCAGGCAAAGCAGAATGTCGAATCGACCGCCTGCGCGAAGCGCCTGAGCGGAAAGACTGCGAATTTTGAATCGTGGTAAGTTTGGTGCAGCTGGATGAGGTTTAGACGAATTACGCCAGGAATCTGATAGGTGCTATAATCGCTTGATTATCAGTCGCAGGCTTGCAGTTCAACAGGTTACCAAAAATGATACTGATACTAGCCAACCTTTGATATACCCGAGGTTATGCCGCCTGGCTCAGGATCCCACGTGTTGTTAATTGAACCCTGACCTTTCCGTCTCCGTCTAAGGTTCTCCGCATCGCGTATGCATTTCGTTAAGCCGAGCTCACCTTTGCGCCTCCAGTACCGACCCGCCTTGACTTGCGCTTAATTCAACACATTATGGCAGATCCAAGCGGGTCTCAAGTTGACCCCCACGTGAAGGCAGAAGTCAAAGAGGAGGAAATTGATGCGTCGATCGAAGAGAACATCAATCCAAATCCTCAACCTGACTCCATGAACCTAGACGGCGCAAATGACATGGATGCCACAATCGCCCCGGCGAACATCGAGCCGCGAATACCTGCAAAGAAAGATGCCACGTTGAGAGAATTTATGAGCAAGATGGACGACTATGCCCCTATCGTACGTGGTGGATTCATGCGCACCGACTTGACATAGACAATACGGAGACGTGGGCTAAACGTTGAACAGATACCTGACGCAGTAACGAATTATTATCTGTCCATCGCTGGCTTACCACCGCCACCCCAGACATCGCCACATCTTGCGCGCCTCCTTGCACTTGCGACACAGAAGTTCATCGCGGATATCGCGGCCGACGCGTACCAGTATTCTCGCATTCGGTCGTCGAATACAAGCAGTGCCAATGCTATGGGTCTAGCACCTGGTGTACCCGGAGCAGCGGGAGGTCCTGCAGCAGGTGCAGCAGCTGCGTCAAAAGAAGGATCAAAAGGAGCTGCACTTGGCGTACAAAGACCTGGTTTTGGAGGCGGTGGACAAGGCGGAGCTGGGCAGGGGCGAACTGTGCTTACAATGGAAGACCTTGGGATGGCTGCGGGCGAATACGGAGTGAACGTGAAAAGGAGCGAATTCTACAGGTGAAAAAGTGTCCAGCGACAAACTCTAATCACCGAAGCGGAGAGAGATGGCAGTCGCTACAGCATCATCAGGGAAATCGCATGGAAACGGGGAGTTTGGGAATCTTCTTGTAGATCACAAAGGATGCTCTACACAGGATGGCGCTTTGGTGTTTCTTCGGACTGGGATGCTCTGTCGCTTCTTGTTTCTGATGTATATCAAATCTATGATGCAAATGTTTACATGTTTTACACCATGTTAATACAGAAGATATACGTCCGTACTAACGCCTGTGTATATGATATCGAACGCCGGATGGTGAAATGCAAAGCCTCTATAATCGCGATTGTCATTCACTTGTTGGCCGTCCTTTTATACGAGAAACGTTTCCTTGTCCTGTATAGCTGTTAGCATAATCGCTTGAGTACCTGATACTCCTAGTACAGTATCAGCGCTTGGGTCAAGACGTACGGCGAGAATTCGCCCAGTTTGTGTCCCACCATATCCTCCGTCACCGTCAGTTCGTGGTATACCAGGCCATTATGAATTTGGAAGCGCAGTCCGACGAAGTTTGGTAATATGGTTGCTGAGCGTGCTTGCGTCCGGATTGGCTGAAGCTTTTCCCCAGCTTTTGGTCGAACGATAGGGAGGGCGACAATATTCGGCACTGAAAATTCGATATGGTCAAACACCTTGTCTCTAGACCTAAAAGCATAAGGGTGAACTTACCTTTCCAGGCTGATCGCCCTTTCGATAGGACCTGTGTCGCGCGCATATTGTCGATGCGGAGGAAGGCACGGGTGTGATGCTAGTAAATTCGAGGTTCCTGTCTACTTTACAGCACAGACCATTTGGTTGGAGCATCACGTGAACACGAGGCAAACGCGTCTGAGGTCTGAGCTCATTCGCATTTCGCGTTCCAGCCTGCTGTGAGTGCAAACATCTGCTAGTTGTAGTATGGCATAACGATTCTCTTTCTCCGAGCCGCAAAGGTTCGTTCTTACGCGAACAAGCCGCGCTCAGCATTCAATCTTCAACATGCCTCCTCCAATAGGTAGACAAGAATAGCAGCTGTCATGTCAGGGCATGTCATTAATCTGAGGTACAGATGCAGATACAATACGAATTCTGGTTGCTACAGACAATCACGTTGGCTATAATGAGCGCGATCCCATCCGTGGATCCGACAGCTGGAGGAGTTTCGATGAGATCATGTGCCTTGCCAAAGAACGTGATGTCGACATGGTTCTTCTCGCGGGAGACCTATTCCATGAGAACAAACCGAGCAGAAAAGCTATGTATGAAGTCATGAGAAGCCTACGAATGAATTGCTTTGGCGAGAAACCGTGTGAGGTCGAGATGTTAAGTGATGCAAGTGAGAACTTTCAAGGGTGAGCCCCCTCCTGGTTCAAGGAGAAGCGTGAACTGAATGTGGTCAGAGAGTTTAATCATGTTAACTACGAAGATCCGGACATCAACGTCGCGATACCGGTTTTTTCCATACATGGTAATCACGATGATCCTTCCGGTGAGAATCATTTAGCGGCTCTGGATATTCTTCAGATGTCCGGTCTGTTGAACTACTATGGCCGAACACCCGAATCCGATAATATCGCCATCAAGCCAGTCCTGCTTCAGAAAGGCCGCACGAAACTTGCGCTGTACGGAATGAGCAACGTTCGCGATGAGAGATTGTTTCGCACATTCAGAGACGGTAAGGTCAAGTTCTTCCAGCCAAGTACAGCAAAAGATGAATGGTTCAATCTGATGAGCGTGCATCAGAACCAGTAAGCCCACAGATCTGTGTCGAAGAGATGCAATGCTAAAGATTTGCAGCGCTGCTCATACAGAGACCAGCTATCTCCCCGAGAACTTTTTGCCCGAATTCATGGACCTTGTAATATGGGGGCACGAGCACCAATGTCTGATAGATCCACGCTACAATCCTGAAATGTCGTTCCACGTAATGCAGCCAGGTTCTTCTGTAGCCACATCTCTTTCCCCAGGAGAGACTGACACTAAGCACATTGCGATTCTCAGTGTCACTGGGAAACAATTCAAGAGCGAGCCCATTCAGCTAAAGTCAGTTCGACCGTTCATCATGAAAGATGTCGTCCTACAGAACGAGCGCGCCCTGAGAGATGTATGGAGACAGGACGACAACAGGACTAAGGTTACGCAACATCTGATAGGGATCGTTGACAAGATGATTGCGCAAGCCAAGACTGAATGGAATGAGGCTCAAAATGACCCGAGCGTTGAAGCCCCACTCCCACTGATACGCCTTCGCGTAGAATACACGGCCCCAGAAGGTGGTAAGTTCGACTGTGAGAATCCACAAAGGTTCTCGAACAGATTCGTAGGGAAGGTGGCCAACGTCAATGATGTGGTCCAATTCCACAGAAAAAAGACAGCTTCGCGAAAAGCCAGGGATGCCCCCGAGCTCCCAGAAGAGCATATCATGGACCAATTAGCGCTTGATTCAGTCAAAGTTGAGAAGCTAGTACGCGAATTTTTGACTGCACAGTCACTCACGATTCTACCTCAGAACACCTTCGGCGATGCAGTCAGTCAATTCGTCGATAAAGATGACAGACATGCGATGGAGATTTTCGTGAACAGCAGTCTAGCAAGCCAAGTCAAGCATCTGTTGGACAAGGATGATATTGACGAGACTGAGATAAATGACGCTATGGAAAGTTACCGTGTGCAACTAGAGGAGATGTTTGCTACTGGACAAGTTCGGGCAAACAAAGGGAAGCGCAAATACAAGCCGAAGCCGCCAAATTGGGATAGTGATATGGATGGTGATTGGGAAGAGCAACCAGGAGCACTCATTATCTCAGATAGAGAGAGTGGTAATGGTGACGAAGATGACGATGAAGAACGCAGAGCTGCGACGACTCGTGGGCGCGCACGAGGCCGGGCAGGTAAAGCTTTAGGTACAGGCACAACTCGGAAAACCATCACTGCGAAAAGGAATTCTGCCAAGGCGCCTGCTAAAGCTGCACCAGCTAGAGGGAAGAAGAAGATCGTCCAAGAGGAATCGGAGGAGGAAGATGATGACGTAATTATGATTGACGACGACGACGAGAATGATGATGATGGTGATGAAAGCCAGGGGCTCTTTGTATCTTCAAAGACTACCACTGCGAGAAGACCTCCGTCCAAGGCTCTTGGAAGTGCACGAGCAAAGTCGCCAGTGAAGAAGCCGACAGCACGAGCTGCAGCAACAGCGTCTGCTAGACAGACTAAATTGGATTTCTCTCAATCTGCGGTGCGAAGTCAAAAGATGCAGGCTAACACCCGAGGAAGGGCGGTCGAGCCAGTAAGTGTTTTTCCACATGCAACCACCTCTTGAACTTTGAAGCTGAGTTCCTTGACTAGAGTGACGATGAGATATCCGACGATGACGACGACGACGCGTTTGAACCGGCACCTCCCGTAACGAGAAATTCTCGGCGATGAAGAGCTTGTACAGGGCAATTGCCCAGGTATGGTCTTTGTAGAAAAGCAAAGGGGTCTTGGTCGAGTCTACTTTGCATAGCGAAAGGCGTTGCCTCAAAATGCCAAACATGATTGCATCCACAAGCAACCTAAGTGTTGCAGATATAGAGTGGTAGCATCTTCAAATCTTGTATTTCAAGGTTTGTGCCCAGACTCTTCCAAAGCTGTTGCGACCTATGTATGTCACCTCTTTTTGATGGGATTTTGATGGCTTTCGCTCTCTTTGGTTTGCACCATGCTCCTTCTCTGAGTCTACGTTCTCCTTCCAAGTCCCCTCTTCTCTCATAAGTTGCCGCCGTGTGCCAGTATGTCGGTTCAGGGACATGTACCTCGCCGTGCATCCCATCGTTTCCTTTCGGTTTACGCCCTCGCGGGAAGGAGAGCAGCATATGCCCTACCTGGTGGTTGGAAGGGACCAGACGCCGGCCATGATGCCTACCAGACTTCTCCTAGACCTCCTTCTCTTCTTGTAGTCCCTACCGCTTCCAAAGTTATCAACCCATGCCAGTCATGTCGCCGCTTCGCAACTGCCGCATCGTGAAGCTCGTCATATATGGCTTCTTCTTCACCCTCATCAACCTCTTTTTCCTCCTCCATGCATCACATTCGATCACTTTTGCTCCACATTCCGTTTCTTTATTCCACACCCACACAGTGTCTCAATCGCTTGGATAGATCAGACTCTGACTAGCATCAGGACTCCACTGGTATGTGTGCCCATCTGCTTCTTTCTGGCAACCACTCCGAATGTGCATGCAGAGAGATTATGCTTAGTGACGTTCTGATATTCGGGTTAGACATTCTCATCAACGATCTCTATACCACCCCACATACTCAACTGCCACCCCTGACAGCACTGTACCCAGTCGACGTGTTTGAATACGACACGAAAGCAAAAGACGGAGGATGACAGCATACAAAGTCGAAGAGCTCTTGGCTCTCAGAGATTCGGCATCGGAGTCTGCTGTTTCATTTATCGAGAAGTTCGGTGATGAAGATGCAATTAAGGGTAAGCAAGCATGCACAGTTCACGATATTCGTCCCCTACACGCTACTGGTCATGCACGGTTGCCACGTCCAATCAGCTCACGCTCTTGGTGCGCTTTCTTTCTTTCCACTGACCATGCATGGTTATTCCTCACGTCCACTTGATCCTCAGCTTCGCTCCTCTTTCTTGGCTCATTCTTCTCAAACCACCCTCTCTCCATCTTATACAGTCAATCCTACTCCTTGAATACATCGTATCATTACCTTCCTTAGCTTTAAAGCCAGTTCTATCCTCATGAATCCCACCGCCCGACCGTTCGTGCCTGTAGAAAAGTGGCATTACAATCACTATCCTGTTACACCATCACCGGATGAGGAAGACGAATGGGAGGAGAACCCAGAAGATTTTTGTTGGAGAAGGCTGACACCACGTACTGCAGAGCATGTTCTGCGTCCTTCAGCCTCTGCCGGAGTGATAGGCTCGCAGCTGATGGGTAATCGCATGCGTCCCTCTGCAGGCACAGCCAACGGTAACAACAAGAAACCTTCACCCTCTCCTTCGTTTAAACGAAAGACTGTCGAGCGCATGATCAAGGAGCACGGTAGTCCCCCTGGTATGCGAGTCACGGCTGGTGGCCGGGTTGTGCCTATTGACCTGCCGCCGCTAAGCAGTCCTCGATTTCCCTTCAACAACGCAAAGTCTCAAGCGACTAGCCGCGCAACTTCGGCTCCACAGCTCTTTGCCAATCACAACAACAGCATCAACGGCTCTGTCTTTCCCTTCGCGGGTCATTCGCCCTTGTACGTTGTCAACAACCACATTTGCCAGCTCGTCAACGGACAACTTGTTCCCCTAGCACTACCTGTCTACGAGAACAACGGAGTGCTGCCCTCACCTCAGTTCCCAACGATGACTGCCATGGCGATGGGTGATCAGTATATGCCACAGCTCACTAATGGCTTTCTTGCACCTGTTCCTCCTGTCAATCTGTCTCCACTTGCTCAGGCGATTCCTATGCATTCTGGAATTCCGCCAATGCCATCTGCCGTACCAAGTCAACAGGTGGCCTCTGATCCAGGCATTAACCTCGCTACGAAGATCAAGATACTTGAAGATGAGTACAGTAAGCTGGAGAGTCAGCTGAAGGAGCTTGAGCGCCTTGAAGTTGTGCAGTCTGATCCAAGGGGACCGCAATGGCGACAAGAAGTCGTGAAGACGAAGCGGACCTTCATTACTGTCCTTGACATTATTCGCAAGCTGCTCAAGGCTCTGCGCGCTGGTAGCTCTGACGGCGGAAATGCCATCGACGCGAACCCTCAACCGCTCCCCAGCTCCCTATCAACCGGTCACTCCCAGCCACCGAATGCGCACTTACAGCTTTCCACCTTGTCAGGTCTGGGCAACACTGCCCTGGGACCATCGCCTGTCTCGCAGCCCACCCAAATGGATATGTCTGCCTACTACCAATCGTTTGGTTACCATCCTCAGCTTGAGCTCCAGGCGCCTGTCACGAACCAGGCCTCAGTACCAACCACTCTGGGCGCTCCGCTGTCCACAGCCAACGGGAGTGGAACCTTTGCTGTAGCAAATCCTCCTTCCCAATCTACTTCATCGAACGGCATCTTAACACACAACAGCGGTCAGCCACCTTCTCCGTGGCGGTCAAATGGCCCACGTCGGTCACATGCAGTTGAGATCAAAGATCCTCGTGACGGTTCCAAGAAGTCAACTGGACAGCAGTCTAAGTCTGCACTCAATCCTACGAGTCCGACGTACGAACCCAATTCTCGAGTCAAGACACCAGAGCCGCGATCACCTGGCATCTTCGTGCCTCCCTCTCCCTCACCAATACCGTCCCCAAGTCGTCATGAAGCCATCGAGGCTCAACATCCCTGGTTGTTCGACCAGTCTGATCACCATGGCAACGTGGAAGGACACAAGAGCGCCTCTGGAAAGACTGTTAAGCACAAGTCTAGTGCCGCCAGCGTCCAGACGGCCGATTTCTTCCCGGTCAATACTCACGAACACTCGAACAAGACTCCTAGTGGCGCTGCGAGCAAGTCAGGAAGTCCTCTGAAACTCGGAAATATTGAGGGGGCGCCAGCTACACCGGAGAAGAAGTTCTTGATGGACTTTGCCGAAAGCCAGTTTCGAAGTCCGAATGACGAGAATTCTCATCCTGCGGCTCCTCCTGTTTCTCCAGCGGACGCCCGGGGATCGTCTCACAATGGTGATCTAAGTAAAAGCTACGATAGATACTCCATGTCCAGTGCCGACACATTGAAGCAGACACTGACAACCACCGAACATGCACATACATTTGTGACTTCAAGCTTAGATGCTAAAACCTTCGGAAGCATAAGATCTGGTCAGGACTTGTCTACATTGCCAGTGCACAAGCCACAGCCCACAAAGCTCAACTCGGACTCTTGGCTAAGGGGCTACGGTGCGGGTATGAATCGAAGCTGTCTTCCAGACGGTGCAGACGAGGACTTTGTCGCCGGGTATTGTCGGGGCCTACAAGACTGGCAGAAGTCTCAGAGAAGCCAACCTGGAAATCCAGGAAAGTTTACGGAAGTGTTCCATACGAGCTCCACTACTCTTTCTTCAAGATCACCTGCTAATGTCGTGGCTCTTGAATTGACTGCGAATGGCATCGCCGTTCCTACTAGAAGACCGCATGCCCCTGACCATCCTCACTGTCCTCCTGGTCTTGGGGCAAGACCTTCTGTGGACGTTGGCTTTGTCACTCGTCCCGGCTCTAACATCTGGAGCCCTACTAAGACCGATGGGTTTCCGAAGGACTTTCAAGCCCGGCGACAAGTTCCAGCTCCAATAGGCACTTCTGCTACTCAAGGCGCGGAGCATATAATCTTCGATCAGCGTGCGGCATCAAGTTCTCCAATGATGAGTCTCTCGCGCAGTGTTCAGCCGAGCTACACCATTGACTCACAGAGCTCGAGAGCCTTTCCAGCGAGTTTTCCTTCGCAGGTTGCTCCACCTGTGTCCAGCCAACGCTACTACCCTCCTATGAGGGCGCCAGGCCAGCACGTGCCGCATCATAGTCCTCGAAAGGGTGATCCCAGTCGTATTTCTCAATGTGATGGTGCACTCGATGACATGGTCGATGTTGTCACGGACTCTGGACCCAGTTCCCCCCCAGCTTCCAAGACTACCGGGACCAGATCCAACGGCAATTCACCAAAGAAGGGCGAGTCTCCTGCGAAAGCCAAGCTCGAGCAGATTGCGAACAGTGTAGCAAAGCAGGTCCGAGGGAACCGAAGCAAGAAAACTGCCGAAGATGAGCAAAAGCCTGGAGATGACCCTGCGCACATGAGCACTCAAGATAAAAGGCGCTGGAGAGAAAATTGGCGCAAGCGGTTCGGCGACCTCAAGAACAGAGAGAAAGAAGAGATAGATCGCTATCAACAGGAGAATGCTACTGATTGAGTGGTTTCTTCACCACTTTCGTACCTCCTGCCACGAACTTTCCTTCGAGATCGGACATTGACAATCACAAATACTTCAATTCCAGCGCTGATCAAACCATACATCCGTACCACGGCTCTTGGGTCTTTGGCTGACTCTATTCATTACTGACCTCCATCGAACGCTGTATCATCGCTACTAGTCCTGGGGAAGCGGTTTTCTCTGTTTCAACAACTTCCATTGCGCGACATGCTACACGTTATGTCAAGAATTCTCTTGGCGGAGCTATCGACGACGACCTATCATTGCATCATTACTATGACTTTACAAACCGGTATCTCTTCAACACTAGATCGACCCACAAGGCCAAGCTGGACCTCTTAAAACATGGCATGGTAGTTGACACTTTTTATCTAGAACGCATTCCCCATTTCATTTTCACCGCCATGGTTACCACACCGAGAGTAGTACCTTTTCTTGCAACTCTTACACATGCGAACATCTTCCTTTGTACCATCAAGCACCAAGCACCTAGCACTTTTCTTTACATCTTACTGCACATCTTGTATCTGCAACATCGCATTGCGAAACCTAGGTTGGCATCGTTCCTACACCGATCGCAGCTCACCTTTGCTTGCCTTTCTTTGTGTAAGATAAACCTGCCAGCTATAGTAGAGCTCAATACAACATTATCAAAGAGCTCCACGTATGCAATGACATGTTATAGCCTCATGAGGCCGCTCATACGGGTGTGTGAACACTAAAGTGACTGTACTTGGTGAAAATGTCACGATTTTAATTATATAGTTACCGAATCGTGGGTTCCTAGCAAATGCAAGTCTTGAATCCGGCTGATGTCGACTAGACATTCTACCATGTTTAGGAGAGGTCTGTCTGATCTTGGTTCAAATCTTGTGTAGTAAAATATAGCCAAAGTAGCAATCCTGTTAAAATATACAGTACGTAGGAATGTTGATGTGCCTATTGCTCAAACTATGGCAAGATTTTGTCACATACATCCCATTCTAAGCCTAAGCGGCTTCCAGTTTATCCACACAGAATGCGAACTCGTTCTACTGCCTTGATTGAGAGGAATAATCAAGACAACTCTGCACAGCAGAGCAATTTGTACGTCACCCCCACAAATTTCAAGAACTAGACACAACTCTCCCTCATGGATTTGGCTCTGCCACCCATATCCCAGCCGAAGGTCAGGCCAGAGATTTTGTTTCCTTAAGAAAACGAAGCCGAGCTGACAGGAAAATGGGCGCATGGTTGGGTGGTTGGTGAACCAGAAGAAAGCAAGCTTTACTACTTGTGAAGAGATTGATCGGAGATAAGCAACGCTAACCACAATTTTTTTTTCCAACTTTAATCATTATATATTTTCAAAAAAGTTAGAAACTTTCAGTCAGCAGCACTGATGGCTTAACTGCCTCCAACGCGCACATATTCTCGCTCAAAAAACCAACGCTAGTCCCAAGCGGTATGGTTTCTGCCTGAGATCCCGGGTTCAATTCCCCCGGGTCCGGCAGTTTTGCCATTTTTGGCTTTTGTTTTGTTTATGAATGGGGCGCTAGGCTGGATTGGGAAGGGCATGAAAGTGAATACATGGTGGGGGTGGACACTACTTTTCCGGGATGAAACGAGGGACTCTGTTTTTTGTGAGTGATGATGATGATTATGATTATGATAGCTAGATGTAGAGTGCTGGCTGCTGTGTCTGGGTTTTCACTTATAGGTCGGGTTGAATAAGTGGAAAGTCTGATTCAAAGCGGAACTAAACTGGCGCAATAGGCTGGTTAGAGAATGAATAATGAGCTGTTTAATAATCGGTATCAGTGGCAGATACTCCTTGCATATCATTATGATCGATATAGGTCATACATGAGGTAGTCAGGTTTTGATAGATCAGATGTGGAGACTGAGTGAAAGTATTGCTGGCAACAATCATCTCGTCATGTCGTCTGCTGGGCATGGCAAGATCCCCTGCTCTCTAGCACGTATTCTCGTGTGCATTATTCATGTCTTCCTGTCTTTTCCTACTCTATGGAGGAAGTGTACTGCATTACATGCCTCTCTGTAGACGTTGGCTCTGATGCATGACCATCTATCCCTTAGAGATCACCAGTAACTTTGGGACTAGGCGCAAAGGTGGAGGAACAAAACTCAAGGCGGGCAACACACCTGGTATTTGGCCCAATATGATCTCCATTCATCACAGTCCCACAATACATATGTTTCAACGACCTTCCAGTGTTTCTGACTTATATATCCTTGCTCAAGACCACCATTCACAGTGACGGTCATTAGCATTGTATTCTCTGACAACAGCTGCAATTGACAGTGTAATAAGTAACAGTGAAACAGATACTCGCATATGACTTCATCATCAAGAGGGCAACATGATGCTGATCCATAAGCTAGTACGGTCAGTTGTGAGTAAATCCTATGCGGCAAGTATATAAAGACTACACTGGCTAGTCATTCATAATCCTAGAGGCCATTAAGGCTGACTTTTAATTCTATGTTATCTGGTAAGTCGATGGAATTAGCTACTCCTCTGAAGCTGCATCCATTGTTCGTTGGTGAGGGACTCATGTAGCTGTAGTATTCGTCTTCTAAAAGGGGTTAGCAACATCGCATAAGGGGCTCATGCAAGGGCTCACTAAATATGTTTTCCTTCTCGATTTCCTATCCATCCCATTCCTCCATCTCGGCTTCATGTTCATCCCATTCCTCCATCTCGGCTTCCTGTTGATCCCATTCCTCCATCTCAGCTCCCTGTTGATCCCATTCCTCCATCTCGGCTTCTTGTTCGTCCAATTCCCTATTGCAAGCCAAATCTGCTTGTCGGTTAAATGCACGAGGAATCCATTCGTAGTTCACATCTCCTCTCTCGCGTATTTGCTCATCAAGGCCACAGGTCTCTTTGATCAGATCCTGATTTGCAACTAATTTCCCCGAGGAAGTCTTCCAGCCATTGCTCTTCTAGTTATCATTCCATTCTTTCATACAACCGATAGCGTATTTGGAGTCTGAGCGGATCTCAACATTGAGCTTGGGAGAGGATCGCAACTCGTCATGCTTTTGCAAAGCTTGCTTGAGGGCAAGGTTGATAGCAGTGAGCTCTGCACGGGAGCTGGTAGGCTCTGGGAGGGACTCTCCACGTTCGAGTCGCTCGGTGTGTATCTTGGTTCTACCTGATGGCCCCTTCTCGATGGCAGCGGCAGCACCGACAGGCTGTTGAGCACCGTTGCGACGACAGCCACCATCAACCTCAAATACTATGTTGTAGACCATCGTAAAGCTTGAGCTTTGATGTACAAGTGAGGGAGACAGATCAGAAAAGGAACGTTTTGGCCAGGATAGGAGTACTGATCAAGAAGCAAAAAAACAGAAACGGTAATGAAGACAGAGGTTACAGAGGTATCAAGGGAAGGTGAAGCAGTGCTTAAGTGCAGCTTTTTAAGGTAGGCCGCTCTTCCCTTCTTTTGCTTCGGAAAGTGTGGTATGCTGCTGCCCCAAAGTACAGTAGCTTCACCTTGTAGTCCCTGCCTCCCAGGATAGGTAGCCATCTGCTTGGAGCTGTCTACATAGATTGTGTTACTAGGTATCAAGTTGAGTCATGATTCTCCTTAACCACCTTCACCTGGCATCAATCGATTCTCGAGGTGATGACACCCTCTGTCCTCGCTGGGTGATATAATCACCCGTCGTGGTATAACACAGAATCTAGCCTGAGTCATTGTACTATGTCTTTGATACAAAGAGTTGTACGTGTTATTAGCTTGATAAATGCATCTTTGCCCTGTCTGAAGCGAAGCTAAACTTTCACGAAACAGAAGCTCTCAAAAGTCGTGAATCACTGGAGCGAAACTCACAAAACCTAACCATCTCTCCCAGCTCTATTATCTAGATGTATAGTATGCTCATTTATCTTGGAATATCTATAGATTATTGGTTAACTTAAACGTAGTACAGGATTTCCTTGATGTGGATCTTGACTAAAAAGAGAACTATCCACGACTTTTACAACGCGCTGTTCCACGAAAACGCAGCTCAAGATGTGATTGGCAGGTGCTTATGCAAGAGATGGAGGGGATGGATTGGTGGGGCATCGTCATTTCTATCAATTCAATCACGCTCAATGACCACTATTATCAGTGAACTACACCCACTAATCATCGCTATCGTCAGTCGATAAGCATATCTTCTCAAACAAGAAAGAGATAGTGTAGTCTACACACAAGGAGTCAGACCTCTGTGACAGATCACTCAACATGGACACCACCAAACCACTTGACGTTTCCACCCAATTCTCCGCCAAAGACGAAGTCATTGTCGTGACCGGTGGAGGCACAGGTAGGTATGCGCCCTCATCTCCCCGGATAGCACGTCTCTAAAACTTCCCAGGAATCGGTCTAGCAATCGCATCCGCCCTAGCACACAGTGGTGCAAAGCGTGTCTACATCCTTGGCCGCCGTCTTGATCTTCTGCAGGACGCTGCTTGCCAATACCACAACGTCACGCCACTGCAATGCGATGTCACATCCATAGACAGTATTCGTACCGCCGTTGAAGTCGTCAGGAAGGAGTCCGACCATGTCGATGTACTCATCAACAACGCCGGCATCATTGGGCCTAATCACCTCGACGTCCACAAAGCCGAGACCATCGAGGACCTCTCTGGCATCCTCCTCAGGGATTGGGATAAATGGGAGCCGACATTCGCCACAAACACAACCGCGATCGTGGGTGTGTCTGCGGCTTTTTTGCCATTGCTAGACGCAGCAAATCGAAGGAAGGGCTGGGAGAGTGGGAGGAAGGTTGCTCAGCGGGCGCGGTCACGAGAGATCAATGGGCTTGCGGAGGGTGTTGATGGGTCCGATCCGAGGACGGCACAGATTATCAGCGTAACATCGATCGTATCGTTCAACCGAAATATCACTGATGGACTAGCGTACTCTAGTTCGAAGGCGGGTGCGACACATGTTGCTAAAATGCTTACTACCTTACTCGCGCCTTGGGGAATCAGGAGTAATGTTATTGCGCCAGGGTTCTTTCCTAGTGAGATGACGGCATCCATAACTGATAAATCGTTCCCACCGGAGATGATCCCAGCGGGTAGGCAAGGGTCCTATGAGGACATAGCTTCACTGGCGTTGTTCTTGGTTGGTAGAAGTGGTGCGTATCAGAACGGTGTTGTTCAGATGCCTGATGGTGGTCGCATCTCCGTCCAGCCAGCGACCTACTAAAAGATCATCATAGAAAAATGATAGACATATACGAGGCTTATCAAAGCCATTGGTACATTCCTCATCGCCATTCTAGACGTATCTGTCATCCCCAAAGATCGCTTTTGAACCACTCGCTAAGATGCAATTGTGCCCCTGAGCGGCATGCTGCCAAATGAGGCGTCACCAAAACTCCTATGAGCACCAAGCAAGACATGTACTCGATGATGATTCATGAACTGCCGTCGCCGCCACCGCCACCACCATCACCACCGCTAACGCTACCGCCTTGCAAACTTCCCTCGTTGACGCTTGCACCCCCTTCTTCGGTGGTGCCATTGATCTCCTGGTACTCTTCAATACTGACTCCCATTTCTCTCGCCAAGCGCTCCTCCTCCTTCTTCGCTCTGGCTGCCTCAGTCTCTCTTCGAAGCGCCTCAAGGTTCCAAGCACCTGTGTTCTCATTATCATCGTCATCTTCATCCCCACTGGCGTCCCAATCACCACGCTCGAACAAGGCTCTGCCCGTTGCCTCCTTCATCGCGGCGGCCTGCTCCTCGGCGGCCTTCTTGTCGAGACGATTCTTCTTCCACACGGCGAACGACTCTTCTGTGACAGGTGTCAAGGTACCAGTAAGCTTATGTCGTTCAGACTCTAGGAAGTCCTCGAGCGTGAGAGTGGCCATTGGCGACTTGTCCATTAGAGCCTTCTCAGCAGCACGTTGCTCCTTCGTCTTTAGTACGAACCTGGTACCCATTAGATCGTAAGTTGACGATAGTTGGAAGAATACTCACCCAGGTGGTAGTGAATGCTTGTACATGCACTTGTCGCCACCATTCGGACACGTCCAAAACCAACCATATTTGCCGTTCTCCACAGCCTCGATAAAGAACTTGCAGACCTTTTCAGTCGTCGTTTTGGGGTTCCCATGCTTGGACAGAACGACGTTCCGCAGTTTCTCTTCGTCCCAGGTGGCCATATCATCCTTCTTTTTCTCCTCATCCTCTTCCTCCTGACGAGTGTCTGTATATAGCGACTTTTTCTCGCCTTTTCGCTCAATAGCGAGGTCATGTGAAAACTTACAGCGCTTACCTGGTCTTCAAGTTAGTGCATACCTACAATGAAAGTGTGTCAAATTTCCAATACCAACATACCCTTCTCGCAGTGACCCTTCTTATAAAATTGACATAATATTGTCTTTGGGTCCACGCCGAATGGAACTTTCTGAGTCTGTACAGGTTTGAATAGTTCTGCCACTTCTCTCTTCGCATCCTCTGCTGCCTTCTTCTCCCTCTCACGCGCCGCCTTCTCGGCCTCCTTTTTCTTCTGATCCGGCGTCTTCGCGTCCGCAACTTGACTCTTGATACGGTTTATCTCTTTTTGAGCTGCACCACCCTTCTTGTTTTTCATGCCAAAGGTCTTATCCACCTGCACCTTCTTGGCCTTCTCCTGATTCTGGCCTTTAGGCGCCATGTTTCAAAAGTTTGCGGCCAATTGATATTTCGTATGAGCTCGCGTGAGTAGGCTGCAAGACGACCGGAAACGATCCAGATGTTCTCTGTGACGTGATTGGGCCTAGAGAGCGTGGATGAAGTTGGTGCGCGCGTGCGAGTTCTCAGGAATAGGGGGAATACAGTGTCGTTGTAAGCGGTGTCGGTCAAGGAAAAGTGCATAACGGAAATGACGTTCGCCGCCGGTGGTGGGCTTTGAGTGGGGTGTTTTAGTGTTTTACGCGTGGGTCACTGGCGCTTAGTCAGATATCTACGGTTCATCCACGTCGCTCATATGGCCGCATTTCGGGCAGGCCTCGTCGAGCAATTGAAGTCAACAACATACCAATAATTGTATCCTTCTCGGACTCGTAAAGTCTCCGCCATGTATGTCCTCTGTCATGGGAGCCCTTTGACGTGCTTTTAAATGCTTATGCGCCTCTAGAAATCGAACTCCGGTCAAGTGTAGCTGCGAAAGCTTCACACCTCATATTCGCGATGATATCTGACACCTCGCTGTACTCGCTCGCCGTTTTTCTCGGGAGCGCAGCCATGGTCATGATCGTTCTATACCATTTTCTTGAAGTCAACGCCAAAGACTCTGAACCACTCACAAGCGAACGGAAAGCGGACACAATACCTGCGCCCGCAAACAAGATAAAGGCATGAGCGGAGTACGATACAGCATCGCATGGCGTTCTGGAGTTCAGTATTTTATGGGACATGACACGTTGCAAGAGCAGTAGCTCGATGGACCACATGAATGGGCTGGCAGAAAGTCATCAAAACTTCGTACGCGAAGCCGCCTGCAAAAGTATATGTATCACAACTTTACGCAAATGTCACTCATCTCAACTGGGCATTATTAGAATACGAAGAAATACGCCCACTACGATAACACCTTCTAATCTATCGTTCACGATCCCCCCGAGCCCTTGAATTCCGTCAATCTTCTGCATCTACAACCTCTTCGATATGTTCATCGTCAATGAAGCCCATCCGTCGCTTGTCAGTTGCGAGTCGCGATCCGCCCTGGTCAACGCCTGGACCAAACGAGCGTTTGCGATTCTCAAGATCCCTCTGTGCCTCTCTTGCTTCTTCCTCCACTGGCTTCTTCGGTGGACGGCCAGGCTTCCTGGGCTGGTCGGTAGTCTGTCCCTGAGAGGATGGCTGTCCAGAGGCTGAGGTGATCCTAGGTGTTACCCGTCGCCCACGACTGTCTGACATATAAGCTTCTGACATCTCAGAGTCATGTGCATCTATCGAATAAGATTAGTTCCTGCTGTAGAATATATCATAGTGCCTTACCAGATAACCCACTAGCTGGTCCATCACCCTGTGTCCATGCAATGCTCTGTAAATGTTGTAACTCGATGTGCGCTTTCCATTGTTCCTCTAAAGAGAACCAGAGAGGCTTCCTGGTGGATCTCTCATGGCCATTCTCGTCGCGTTCTTTGACATCTCTACCACATCCTGACCACAAACAGTCAAGACCACCAGTCGTGGAAAACTTGCGGTGGACTTTGAACACGTGCTTCCGAAGAGTATTAAGGTTGTGGAGTTCAGCTACACAGTCTTTCCAGCCACATTTGAACACGCTAAATGACCTCTCCGGGGAACGTTTCTGACCGTTAGATGGTTCGGTAGTAGCCGTCCGTTCGTTCACAGTCGTCGCATTACGTAGGGTACTGGGTGGCCTACCTCCGCGAGTCGGGTAGCTTGTATGCGATTGAGCGGCGGCAGAGCCATGAATGGCTTTGCGCCAACCCACAGGTCGACCTTTCCTTTTGATAGGCGTGCCATCTGCTGCAAATTGCTGAAAGGCTGCATATCCAGTCCCTTTGCCAGGGGCGCTATAAACACCACCTGAGGGATTAGATGATGGGGTTTGACTTGGCCCAGATTGTGAGGAAGGTAGTCTGCGATCACCGTAACCTGAAGGTCGATGTTCGCGTGCAGATCCCACGGGCGCAGACTGTGGTTGAGGCTCGCCGTCTCCAAATCCATAAGGCCGTGTGGTGCCTGAACGACCGTGCAAAGGCGGACGGCCCCTTCGTTTTGGGATCTTATGAAATGTGGGTGTACTTGGAACCATCGTCATAGACGTGACTGAGTTTCCACCAGTGATAACCGCTTGTTGAAGCGCCATTCTCGGTCGAGCCAGCTGTCTACGTTCCTCATCATCCGAATCGTCGTCTTCGTCATCAGCCAAGTCACCGTCCAACGTATTCATCAGCATCTCTTTCGGCGGCTCTCCTGGGTCTACAAGCCCCCATCGGAAGGTGCTGAGGTCAGAGAAATTGTCGACGTATCTGAAGGTGGTCTTGAGAATGTCTAGATGCGCATTAAGAGGACGCATATCTGGATGACGTCCAGTTGCCAGCAATACGTCACGAGCGATGGTCTTAGAATTATAAGTTGATCTTCGAAGTGCATTCTTCCGATCAAATGGCTTGACAACATCTAGTTGGCTCAAGTCATCCTTCGAGGGAGCAGGTGCGACGGCGCCGGACCCGAATCGAACTGCGTTCGTTGCTGGCTGGCTCGTATTCGGCTGCTGCCATTGAAATGTTGTCTCTGTCGCAGACACATCATACTTCGGTGGTATTTGCGAGTTTGCGACAGGCGCCTGTGAAGTGTATGAAACCGTCCCCGTGTTAATTCGTTTCGGAGGGAGGGGGTCGTCTTCATCGGAAATTGCTGTTAGGTCGATTAGATCGCTGAAGTTACGTTTTCGCGCAGCTTCCTCTTTGCTCTTCGGCTGGCTCATAACCGGCTTTGGTACTGTCAGAGCAGATCCTATATCGTCGACAGGCGGAGCATTATCGGAGTCATAACTGGAAGCAACGGGCAGGTCTGGCGTGAAGTAAGGGGTAGTGGAGCCGCCAGCGGGAATATCTGGGTAATTGGACATAGTAGATGCACCGTCATTTCGAGGACCGGACGCTGTGTAGGGTGATTTAGCATAGCTTGGACTTTCGTAAGCGACTGAGGGTCCGGGATAGATCGTAGTAGGGAGTATCGTGGAACTACTTGTGGCTGCAGGCAATGATGTCGGCGCTCCGTTGAGAGGTGTAGTGGTCGAAGGAGATCTCTTAGGCGCGTCACGTTGTCTGTGCTGTCGATATGCCGAATTAACATCTGGAACTGCTTCCAAAAGATGTCGCGCAAACGAAGCTCGGTCAAGCTTAATTGCGCGAGATTCAAACCATTCACAGAGCTCGATGTAGGTTGGATTCTTGTCAAGCTTGTCGCAAATCTCTTTAGCTGAGACGATCTTGTCGACATTTGCAGGTTGGCTGTTCAGCCATCTTGCCGCAGCGGCTGCGAGGGCTTCTCTCTTTTCAGGGGGCCAGAGAGCCCCTGCTGATGACTTCGGGGCGGGCCTGGCAGATGGAGCACGCGAGGCGGAGACGGCGGGCCCGGGTGGCTGAACTGCAGGTGCCATACTTTGTGGAGTTGGAGTCGCCTTTACGCCGTTTGTCTGACCCTTGGTAGGTTTGATGGGTACTGACTGCGTTGTAGCCTGTGCCACGGGTGTCGGTTTGTGTTGCACCGTTGGAGACTGTGATGAAGTACCTTGCGCCTTGCGTTCTTCTTCCCAAATCTTAGCTAGCAGAGTTGGGTTCTTCGTGTTGTATTGACGCATCTTTGCCATCAATGCGCGGATTTCTGCTTCTTCAGCAGTTTCCACTGGCTCGACATTCTGAACAGCAGGGCTGTTTGACGCGGCCGCAGCAGCCTTGGCTTCATCTCTTTTCTTCTTGCTCTCTGCCCGTTTCCTTTTACGCTCTTCGTCTTTAACTTTCTTTTCGTCTTCTTTTTGTTTCGCTTTAAGCGCCTCTGCCTGTCTCTGAGCTTCTTCGGCTCTCAGTGCACTCTCTTGCTCAGCCCGGATCCGCTGCTCTTCAGCCAACCGTGCCCTCTCCTCCTCGGCCTTGCGTGCATTCTCCTGCTCTGCTCTGCGTGCAGCTTCCGCTCGGATGGCATCTTCGGCGGCCTTAGCCGCGCGTGCAGCTTCCTGCTTTCTTTGGATTTCGGGCCAAGGGTCATACACCTGGATGGGATCAACAGTGCTTGTCGTCGTTGACCCGTAAGTACCAGTGACGCTATTAGGAGTCGGATGCTGATATTTTGGGCTGCCACGACTTGGAGTTTGAGTGGTATTACTATTGTGGTCGGACCTGGAGGCGTTGCTGGGGTCCCTTGCATGAGACGTAGGTCTAGCATATGAAGCGGGAGCTTCTGTACGGGTTTGCGGACCTGCTGTCGTGTATGTCGTTTGTGATGGGAAGGCCACAGACGCTGGCATAGGAAGGCCGTATCGTGCACTCGATTGGGTCTGTCCTGCAGTGCTCGCAGGTCGCGAGGGACGATTCACATACGCCGCGGGAGGAGTCGTAGTGCGATTGTTGGTAGTCTGCTGTGAGTTTGCAGTATATCGATGTGCTGCCGTTGTCGCTGCTTGCATGCCGGGACTGCTTAAGGCGCCCCCGTTGTTGTAGGCTGTGTTGCTCAGATTGCGCAGCGCTTCAGCAGCTCGACCGTCTTGCGCTCCTTCATAGCTTCCATTCCACCCCGAGGCATTGTGCGATTGATGTGTAGTGGCATATACACTGGCACGGTTTCGATCCTGGCCCTGACCCTGATTTGGATGCTGAGCTGGAGCGTGGTACTCCGTTGAGAAATTCTGATTGTATGGGGTTGTCGAGGACTGAGACTCGTACCCTGCGAAGGACTGTTGACCATTTGACTGGCTGTTCTGTCCGTAATAATTTGCCGGAGCATAGTATTCGTTTGAGCCCATCTTGTCGCGTATTCAAGAAGGACCAGGATGTCAACTTCGATTAGTCGCTGCGGCGCGACGTGGAATGGTTAATTTTGCCAGCATGTATCGAGCCAGGACCGTTAGTCGGAGGTAGTCCTACATAAGAGTTGCGGGTCTGAATAGCAGATTTCGAAGTGCTGTGTAAATGGACCAAAAGTTCATTCACGCGTAATTAATGGGATCTCGTGTTCTTGGTTGATGGTCGTGATGGCCACTTACGATCATGACTAAGATTCATTAGCGCGGTAAAGGGCTCGCTTAGCAGATTTGGAGATCACGGACACACAAGCTACAATTTTGACGCCCAGCGACAACGACACCTCCCCGCCCGACTCAACTAACCACAGCCTCATCCTCCGTCATGACGAAAATCAATACCGGTATGCGTTTAAAGGTCCCTAGAATGTCTCAATACTAAGCTCTACAGCTGTGCACTCCTCGCGGAGAAAGGCGCGCAAGGCGCACTTCGGTGCTCCCTCCAGTGTCCGCCGCACAATTATGAGCGCACCATTGAGCAAGGAACTGAGGGAGAAGTACAATGTACGAATTCCTTCTCACATAATCTGATACACCGCGTTCTGTAAGTAGGTATGATGCGAACTAAGACGCTAATACCCAGTCTCTAGGTCCGCTCAATTCCTATCCGCAAGGACGACGAGATTGTTATCACCCGAGGAACCAACAAGGGTCGCGAAGGCAAAGTCACCTCCGTTTACCGTCTGAAGTGGGTTATTCACGTCGAGAGAGTCTCCCGCGAAAAGTCAAACGGCCAATCAGTACCCCTCGGCATTGCCCCGTCAAAGGTTCAGATAACTAAGTTGAAGCTGGACAAGGACCGCGAGAGTATTCTTGAGCGTAAGGGTGCTGGTAGTCAACAAAAGAAGGAGGCATGAGTGGCCCAGAGCGGTCAGGGTTGACGATATTTCATGGCCTCTTTGTCCTGTTTCACCGGCGTGGGATTGTATTCGGTCTCTGTCAAGAGCATTGCGCTACAAATTCGGCATGGGACAATATGAGGACAATGTGCAGTGTGCTAGCGGATTATCGATGGTCATACATGCGGACCTAGCAAAAAATCGAAATAGTATCTGCTCACGGCGGTGACACACTCTAGGCTCATGTGGTGCCCTTGGTGTGACGTGGAAGTGAGCATGGTTTTGGTGACGACATGTGAATCTTTGTGATATCACCACTAACTCTGTTTCCTTTGTCCTAGAAACATACAATATCCGCTAAATATCAATTCAGCAGCCACCTCCGGCAACGGTTGGACTTCATGGTTGTTAGAGTTAAACGACTAGCGAAGAGCGAAGCAATCTGGCTTTATCAAGCCAGACTTGCCGGCAGACTTATCTCAAAGAAGCAATTCAAGGAAGAGACGAGTTTGAAGGCGAGAGACATTTGGAAGTCAAAAAGTCCTGCTAATAATTGAACGGACGCGGGTAAATCGTAATGCGCTGTTGCAGACATGACTGTATCTATGTTTGGTTGTATGTCCTTGACTGATCAAACTACGACACCTAGACGCTCACGGTTACTCCGTCATCTCACCTGTCCTGTCACGTGCCACTATATATAATCAATCATCCAACAATCGGCTAATCCGGATGACGCAACCGTTCCCTGCAGCAATCGACAGCCTTTCGGCTCCGCATTTCTAAACATCCAACGACATGTTGACAAATCATTAACCTATGACCAAGGTATATTAATCAATACATGAACATATGTAAATAATTCAATTTCATGTCACCCATCTTTCTCTTATCTTTAAATCGAGTCCATCAAATAGCATCTTACAATCCCATCCAGAAAACACAATCCCATTCTTCAAAACCACAATGGCATCCAAGCTCATCGCCATTGTCGCCGGTGTTGGTCCCGGCACTGGTGCTGCAGTTGCAAAGAAATTCGCAGCATCATACCCTGTCGTCCTCCTCGCTCGTAATCCCGACAGCTATGAGCCTCTCGCAAAAGAGATCAACGGCGGCGGCGGCAAGGCCATCGGTATCAGCACTGACATCTCCAACTCACAAAGTGTGAAGGATGCATTTGCCAAGATCGAGCAAGAATTCGGCAAGGACGTGGCTGCTGCCGTACGCCCAAGTCCCACCTTGATTGCTGGCGTTAGGATCCACCATAACTGACGTGTTATTCTAGGCCGCCATCTTCAACGCCAGTGGCCGTTTTCAACGCAAGCCATTCCTCGAGCTCACCGAGGAAGACTTCAACGTCGGGCTAGATGTTAGCGCGAAAGGAGCATTCTTATTCTCCCAAGCCACGCTGCCACTCTTGCAGAAGGGCAAAGCTAGCTCGCAGCACCCACCAAGTCTGATCTTCACAGGCGCAACGGCGTCCGTAAAGGGGTCGGCGCAGATGTCTTCGTTTGCCACGGGGAAGTTCGCTCTGCGAGCGCTGACGCAGAGTCTCGCGCGCGAGTTTGGACCGCAGGGGATTCATGTTAGCCACGCGATTATTGATGGGGTGATTGACATTCCACGGACAAAGGAGTGGATGAAGGACGCTGGGCCCGAGGCCAAAATCTCGGCTGATGGGGTGAGTATTCCTGTTTCTCCGTTGTTCAGTCTAGATATCCTAACATGGCATAGATTGCGGATGCGTACTGGCACTTGCACACGCAACCGAGGACGACCTTCACTTGGGAGATCGACATTAGACCAGCTGTTGAGAAGTGGTAAGTTTGAACATATAGTTGATCATCGGAAGTAGTCACGATTGTATGTAGTAGAGGCTTTGCATATAATCGAGCCTACATTTCTCTTCAGGCTTTTACGCCGTGATAATAGGAACTGGAAGGCTAGATGTTCAACAATCATCCACGTACAAAACAAATGCAAAGTGTAGTATGGGCACACAGGTTCCACTCCTAATCTGAAGCAATGATAACTGAGTAGTTCGGCTTATAGGTAATAGGAATATGAGCATAGAGATGGCCTCCATGAAGCCATACATACACAAGGTTTGCCAAACTCCCGGAGAATGGTCAAGTCTAAGCTCCACATGCGGGCTTCTAGTACAGTGTTTGCTGCCAATCGAATGCGTGGTCTTGAAGAGGCTACCTGATGCATAGTGAGTCCGAATGAACGACCTGCACGTACCCGGACCCGACCTGTAAACATGCTTCTTACCATGCTCGGTTCGCTCGATCCGGATCAGATCCTTCCCTTCTGTGTGGCGTAGTACGACCCTCAGATGTAGCAACTTGCTGTGTTTCCTGAGCTGGCGTCGGATGACGAGGTGTTCCTCTCCAGCGTCTCATCAACCTCTCTTTGACTTCAAGTCAATGTTAGTAAACGCGAAGTAGTGAGAGATCTATCAAGAACCTTACGTGTCATATCATCTTTCCATTTTTTGCCGAAGCAGACATGCAGACCAATTGCTAAGATAGCGACAGCCCAGGCTCCAAGCATTGCAACCCAAATAGCCCATGCTGCAATCTGAAATTTCTTACCTGCATCACGGCAGGTCCGCCAACAGTCATTCTCATTGTTACAGGCCTTGCTGTAATTGCTATAAATCCAGCCTGCTGGATCTGTGTGATTGAATCCCTCTACACCCGTGCAATTCTTGGTTTCTGGTTGTTCCGTACATTCGACTCTGGTGTCCATATCCGTACATGTCAGTAGGGGTCCTAGTGATTTGTCTTTGTACCGTTCATCGAATACTCGATCTGAAAGGCCCCAGTGGTCAGTAGTAACGGTCAAAGCTGTCGAATAGTTGTCGCCCTTCATGTAGCTTTCTGTGGCGCTCTCAAGCTGACAGAAAGTTTCAATGGTTATCCGGGAAGTATATTGGGCCATACAATTTTCTATGAGGCAGCGCAGAGGCTTTGGCGTAGCTGACCCTCTACCTTTACAACCAGTGGCTGACTTCCAGCAGTTCACACCCCACATGGTAGTGTCACACTTATTTGGGCTTGAAGGTGTAGGTGTTGCTGTGGGTGCGTCAACGGTCGTGCTAGAAGACGTGGCTGAGGTCGCGAAGGCAAGATCATTAGGAAAGGACCCTGGTCTAACTCTTCTTTGGGATCGCAAGTTTTGCGAGTGACAGCTGGTATCGTCTCTGCAAAGTGGGACGGTGTTCGTAGGATCGTGTTTGGTAGTAAGTGTAGCGTGTATATTGGCAGGCCTAGGGGCGAAGCGAACTTGCGCTAGGTTATGAAAGTTGTTCGCTTCATTGCTTTCTGTGCAGCATTGGTATCGTAGTCGAGAGATCGGCTTTCTACTTACGCTCTCGCTGGAACTCGTTCCCATAATGAAAACCAAGTCCAAGCACTTCGTAACTGAAAGATAGGAGTGTGAGACTGGTGAGTCCAAACCTCATAGTTCTTTACCGGAGATGAATGAAAGTGTTATGAATGAGGCTGGATGCAGCAGAGAGCGAAAGTAAGATTTTATTTTTGTGTCGATGAAGAGCGTATCCAAGAGAAGTCTGCCCCAAAAAGGGCATGAAGCGAAAGATAAGCATCGCAGTCTAATACAAGCAAGGTCGTTCCGACCGGTACCATCCTCGTCAAAACAGAAGGAGCATGCTGCATCTGTAGACTAATGTGTCGGCTCGTCTGGGACGTCCTTGATCTACAGACTGATCTGAAGAAAGTATGATACTCACCCAGCTCCAATACTAATCAGAAAATGCACATGCGCGCGTCTCAGCCAGATCCCGTGCAAAATGTGTTCAACGCGTGAGAGAAAGACGACGGATAAAATGTTGGAATGGCATGAGCGTGAGGCTTGGCATGGTGTTTGGTGGGGGTTTCCAGTAAAGGTTCAGCCTACTACCTGGCTGGAGCCACCTAGGAAGTCTTTGCCTCTCGTGCCGTCGCGCGCTTTCGACTTCTCAACCCCCTCCTCTTTACGAAGTTTCATCGCCATTTACACACAAAGTCGCCAACATGCCTTCAGGAGCAGGAAGTACGTAAATTCGTACTAGTCGTACACCAAAGTCACCCACTAACGCGCCTCGCAGCTGGTACCAATCCCATCCACAATAAGCAGAAGAAAAAGGTTGCGAAGGAGTTGGACGAAGATGAGATAGCATTCAAGGCAAAGCAACAAGCTGGTCGGTCATGAATTACGTCCCATTATAGACATACTTGCTCACATGTGGATACAGATAAGAAGGCGCGCGAAGAGATGGCGAAGAAAGCGGGAGGGAAAGGGCCTTTAAACAGCGGTAACCAGGGTATCAAGAAGTCTGGAAAGAAATAGGTGCTTTCGTACTCGATATTGAAGCAGGACTGCGGTCAGAGACGAGCACATTGCTAGCATCTAATATAGAACCCTTGAAATTCTGCAGTAGTATTCGAGGAAATACACTTGGTACTATTGCACCACACGATAGCGCTCAGGTAGAACGATTCCACCCTTGCAAAGTCGAGGGAGTTTGTGGTCTTTTGGAAAAACCATAAATACAATCACGCAAATGCTTCGACTCATATTCTTTCTATCACTACAGCAGACAGATGCGATCATGGGTCTACCAAGTAAGGCTGTTATCGATTGTGGCTGATGATCCACATGAAGCGGTTGCCCCAGAGAACTCCACTTTGTTGTGTGTGGCTCGCTAGTTAGCTCATCACCCTTCCGGTTTCCATTCCTGGCAGTTCTAAACCACAAAACCTCTTCGCAAACTTGTGCGCTTTCTCTCTGATACGTCATCATCTGTATTTACATATACACACCGTAAGCTGCGAACCAAACTCTACCATTACGTTGTCCCCTACTAAGCGAAAACCCGTAGCAAGTCTTAGTGTGCCATCGGTTCCGCTCCGCCAGCAGGCGTTCGTACCCCCATATCACAAGCATGCGGAATGCAGTAATATCTGGGACTTTTCTGCTATCTGTCCTGGCAGCAGCAAACACCGACGAAGTCTACGCACCCTTCGACGAGCCAACCTTCGCCATTCTCGAAGATGTATCGGCAGACACCCACGATATCTCCCCAATGCGCGAGCTGCTAAGACGACAGAATGGATGCGATAGTGGATACACAAATTGTGGTAACCTAGGAGCAGCAGGTGCATGCTGCCGTCCAAACCAAGTCTGCTCAGCAGATTCACAAGGCCATGTAGGCTGTTGTCCTATCGGCGCAGCATGCACAGGCTCACTTGGGGGCTCAGCACCGACTGCAGGTTCCTCGTCGCCTACATTTATCTTCCCCTCAGGTACAGCTGCAACCACTACACAAGGCTTTTCAGTGGGTGATCCAACCGGGGTTAGCGACGCGCCTTATAGTTACTCGACGGTGTCCAATCAATATTATCCGATACTCTATATACCCACAACTTACACCAACGCAGCCGCGTGCTCTTCGGCGTACTCGAGTCTTCAAACCGCTGTGGCGTCTTGTACAGCTGCTCTAGCAGGAGGAGCAAACGGTGTAACGATAAATGCTCCTAACGGCGGGATTACTGTCGCCCCTATCACGGCGAGTCTGGATCTTCCTCAGGCGAGCTCGGTATGTTCGAGCTTGAGCTCAAGAGCAGGATTCGGTCTTGTGGTCGAAGCGTGCGGGAACTTTGGCAATGGTGGATCGGGAGCTGCGGGCAAGAACTGCAAAGGGTCTATATACGGCATTGGAGCAGGTCTCGCTGTGGGTGTTGCAGGCCAGATGCTATGAAGCTATTTTTTGAGATTGCGTAAACATGCAGCAATTCTATTATAGCAGGATGCTATATTTGTCTCTTTGAATGTGAGACCCTGAACGGTCGAATATCGAGCTTTAGCGACTGCGGGGTTAAAGTAATTTAGTGTGTACTTCTACCTTAAGGTTGGGATGTAAGATCATGAGATTTCCACACTACAGCTCACACATTACTCAAATTTCCTTGCAACGTCTTCTCTAGCTGCACCTATTGAATGCCGCAATGCAGTCCGGTAATCAGTCCAAATATGCCATTCACGAAGCTGCCCGCGAGGGTCGAAGTAAGTATTTGCGGCGAAACCGGACACCCCCGAGAACACCATCCATCCACTGACATCCCAAACAGCAGCCGAAGTCGAATCTCTTCTAAATGTACGTACGATGACCACTAAAACCAACAGCCCCACCGCCACCAGCTCAAACTCACATCCTGTCCAGGCAAACCCAAAACTCGCCTCGCGCCGCGACGAAGATGATCGCCTCCCCCTCCACTGGGCCGTGTCCTACAACCGCACGCCGATAATCACACTATTAATGGACAGCCCAGGCTTCGACGTCGACGCAAAAGTAAAGACCACCCAACAGCCGTCATGCTCGCTCTCCTGCCTCCTCACATAGACAGGAGCTCACTGACCGGTGACGCAGGACGGCTCCGGCTGGACGGCACTCATGATGGCATCCAGCGTGAAAGACGGCGAGGACATGGTCGCCGTCCTGCTCGCCAAAGGCGCAGACGTGAATCTGAAGAGTAACGTTCACACATGCACGCTGCACGCACGTCGTGTGCGCGTGACAAGGTAACAGTACTGACATGTCCTTGCAGACAACAACGGTCAGACTGCCCTGCATTTTACCGCCTCGAAGACCAATCTCGATATTGCACGCACACTCGTTGCTGCTGGCGCAACTGCTCGTGTCAAGGACAAGCGCCAGCAGCTCCCCCTTCATCGTGCCGCGGCCGTCGGGTCTGTGCCTATGCTCAAGCTCCTGCTTGAGAACAAGAGTCCTGTCAATGCGACAGATATAGACGGGATGACGGCTCTGCACCATGCGGTGTCCGAAGGGCATGGCGACGCGGCGTTGTTGCTGATGAAGGAGGGCGCGGAGACGGATAAGAGGACTGGTGACGGGGTGCTGGCGATTGATCTTGCGCCAGATGCAAAGGTTTGTACTGCGAAAGGAGGGTCCAAGGGAATTGGCTGACAACATATACAGATCCGTAATTTCATCCTGAGCAGCGCCGAGCGCGAGGGCATTGATATAACAGAGTCGTAGCTAATCTATACTGCGCGCTACATATGCAAAACGTAGTCCAAGCGCATTCTGTATGCTCGCTCGCTCGCTCAAAACGCAGTCGCGTTAAGCAAGATCCAACAAGACCCGAGACGCCGAAATTTCCAGCTAAGACATGGTCCGCTCAACCAAGTCCCTATAAATATTCTTCAGGTCCTGGACATCATTCGTCAACTCATCCACACGCTCGCTCTTCTCACCCAGCATCTCTAGCGTCGTCTGGTACCGTGCATCTACCTGCTTGACCTCTTCCTCGAGCCGTGCTACACGCTCGTCTGCGGCGCGCTTCTCCTCAACTTCGCGCATGAGTGCGACGACTTCATTTCGCGCCTCGTCGCGTTGTGCAAGCATTCGTGCCATTTCTTCTTTTGTGGCCGCCTTTTCGCTCTCGAGTCTGCGCACCGCAGCACTCATGCGCTCCACGAGTTGGACTGAGGGACCGGCGCCGGCGGTGCTGGCGGATATGACATCGTTGATGGTCGGACGCGGCGAGGAGATGGTGTCGAAATCCTCGTCCATTATGGGGTGGATCGAGGGTGCATGGTTCAAGCCACCGTTCATGTTGGAGAGCGAGGGCGTGGAGTCTTGGCGCTTGGGTGTCGTTTCAGGGGTTCGCACAGGCATACTAGGACTGCGGCGACTTTCTGGTCTTGTTCCCACGGTTCGTCGATTGTGAAGACCACCACTGAGACCGAAACCTGGGAAGTCGGCGTTGGATTGCTTGCGCATGTAGGACGATGCCGGGGCGCCGGGAGATTCAGCGCGGAGGAACGATGCATCGGTCGGGGTGTGATTCATCATCTCGGACTTCCACTTTGCCTTTTCCATGTCTAGTCTCTGAGTGAGCTCTGCGTCCCATACTTTTTTCTGGCGATCAAAGTCGGACTTCGTATCCTGTAGCTCTGCCTCGATCTCAGCCGATTTGCTTTCGAAGCGCTGGGCAGCTTTGCGATGCTCGTGGACATCTTGCTCTAGCGTCCTCGCTCGCTCGTTCACGGACTCAAGCTCGTCTTCTAGTTTGCGAGCTTTCGCGTTGACATCGCGAGCTTTCCGGCGAATATCGTTTTCCCGCTTCGACACATCGTCCCGCTCCTTCTCGAGGGCTGCGACCCGCGAGGTGAGGGTACTTTCAATGCCTTGCCAGTTTTCGCTCGCTAGAGCGTACTGGGTTTGAAGCGTTTCGATTTGACGGAGGAGTTTGGTCTGAGAGTCGCCGGTGGAGGAGACTTCTTCTGTGCGAGAGCGCAGAACTTCAAGCTTGGTTTCAAGATTCTGTCAAAGAATATTAGTTAGGCAACAAATACGTTCTGACACGGATAGCTCACCGAGATTTCGCTTTTGAGCTCCATCTCTACGACCTTTGACCTCTCCGACTGCCGTGCGGCCTCCTCCTTGACATCTTGGACCTCTGTCTTCGCCCGATCCTCTGCAAGCTTCTTCTCAATCTTGATGTCTTCCAGCTCCTCATTGAGTTTCGCCACAGTGCGTCGTTCGGCCTCCAGAGCTCCAGATTGGGCCTTTTTCTCTGCCTGCTCTGCCCGAGTCACGCTGTCAGCTAGTTGCTTCCGCAATTCTGTAATAGTAATCGACGCGCTCTCTTTCTCTCGCTTTATTTCCTCAACATCTTTCTCTATGCGCGCTACGATCTTCAACTTCTCCTGAGATAGTTTTTCGGCAGCTTCTGCGCGTCTCGTTCGTTCGCGCTCTTCCACAGTGATTTCTTCTGCCTTGGTGACTCGCCGCTTGAGGTCCGCAATCTCTATGTCCTGCTCTCCAATTTTTACTCGTAGCTTTTTGATCAGACCGGATTGCTGCAACTCCTTTTTCGACAATTTCTCGCCCTCTTTCAGCAGCCCAGCAATCTGATTGTCCTTCTCCGCTAGTTTCTTCTCTGGTGATGAAGCAGGCGCAGCTTCCGCTGAGGCTTTCGAGGTCGCTGATAGTTGGTCGGATAGGTAATTAAGCTTGGATTGAAGAGCATCAATGCGCTCCAAGTGAGAAGTGATCTCAGCCTGGTGCTCTTCAAGAGTCTGTGTATGAGCCCTCTGGAGCATGGTCAGCTCGCTATCAAGGGTGGTGGGCGATTTAGGTCGCGGTTGTGAAGCCACTTGCGCATCCTCTGCAGGGAGGTTTATTGCAGGCACATTTGGGTTCGCCTCCTCTACGGCGATTGGCGCAACCGAAGCTGAATCCTGAGATATTTGAGGGAGGTCTTCGGGATCATTGATAGTAGTAATCGTTGCGCTTGGTTGTATATCTGCTGCCTTTGGCGTATCTTCATTGATGCTCGCGACTTCCTCGATCTTGGACTTCTCTTCCACTATTTCTTCAGTTTTCTCCTCATCCTTGGTATCCGGTTCAGAGGATGTTGGTATGTTGTCAGAGTTCACCTGATTAAGCGCCTTGATGATTTCAGAGGTCCTCGAGTCTATACTCGACCGTGTTGTGTCTGCTATAACCGGACTGGCCGTTCGTTGTATTTCCACAGAGGGTCTGCTCGCACTCGGCGATCGACCTTGAGTGGCCCTCTCAAGCTTCTCTTGTAATCTACTCTTCTGCACAGCCGCGGCTGATCTACTCTGCGAACCGGCCCTCGACATGCCTTCAGCCCAGGTCAGCATGCTGAAACACCTTCAGATACGATGTATTGGCGACAAACCTTGCTCTGGCTTTGGCTGTTCAGCTACAGCTGCTTTCGCAGCCTTTGCCTGTTTAGCCTCCAATTCAAGCTGTCTGGTCTTCGCCGAAGCTCCATCTTCTTCGCCTAGTACTTTATCTAGGCGGTTCTCCAGCCCGCTGACCGCAGCGGTCGCCCACGAGGACCATTTGCTCATCCTCAACTACGTGGATGCAAACGCAATAGGTGGCCAGATGTCGTACTACAGTTGTGCAGGCGACAGGCTGCAATTGCTATGCATGACGTTCTAGAAGCTCTACAGCAGTAGGGTACCGGGAAACGAGCAAAGTCGATGGGATGCAGGAGATGCGGTGGACTGGAAATCGGCGCGCACAGAACGAGTGGATGGCTCCGTGAGCAAGCTGGAGCACAAGGCGCGGCGGATGGTGACAGGCGGTTGTGTATATGTGTTCCGTTGTCTGAGAGTGGTGTTACGCGGCGAGGATTGAATGAGCAGTTGTAACCTGGTCAGCCTGTTTCAGCGCTAGCGTCGGTTCTCTTGCGACGGCATGTGGGGCCAGTGAGTGACCAGCTCTCTAAGGTTCTATCAAAAACGTCCCAGCCTGTTGCTACGCTTCTGTGCACACTATGAAATTAAGCAGGTAATCGGGCTTTCACAATGGACCAGTGTAGCTTTTATATTTCCGCATAGCGTCAGGCGCAAGTTTGACCGTGCCACAATGCAGCATAGGTATGGCGCTTATGAAGTCGATGAGTACTATTTTCGGACCACACTGCGCCAATTTGCTATGCTGTTATTGGAGAACCTGTAAGGAACAGTGTGGAGATGTTTCTTAGTTCTAGCACTATGCTTGGAGTCTGTTTCTAGATTCCCCAATCTTGTCTTCTAAAGGTGCCGTTTATGCATACAGACTGCGACAACGTGCTCACCTTCAACACCACATTTCTCTCGTCTTTTCAATCCAAGTAACAGCACAAACAGGGAATCGGTCAAGTGTCCCAGAGAGCCGGAATACAAGGCCCCAGAATACACACCCACCCAATCTGATATCACAAGCGTCTGTACATTCGCGCAATGTCATTTACGATATCCCCAGCATTGCGCTTCCCACTTCTGAGCTGGAAGCCCGAATCTGTACTGAGAGAAGCTCGCTCAATTAGTGTCGTCGTTAGAGCTTGATCTTATCACAAGTCTATTATACTACCTGAAGCCATATGTCATTTTTGGAGATGTCTGGACAGATTCACTCGGTCGATATAATTGATAGACCGGAGTAAAGCCATGAATCATGGGTTCACTAGCAATTCAGATTGATAGAAGACAAGAACCTATGCAAAGAAGTCAATGTTTACCTTTTGACGCCCCGTTTGCTCTCTCCAAATTACAGACGCCCCATCCCTCCGACCGTATGAACTCCTCGCTCCATTCAACAAGTCTCTCAATTGTTATTCTCAAGAAGATGACACCACTCTGGAATATCCTTGATGAGCGTCCACATGAACTTCTCCAGCTTCACTGCACACTTCGCGTACACAGTTGTAGCATCATTGTACTCTCGGCAATTCGATAGGACCAACTTCAGATCATCAACGATTTCCTTTGGCGTACTGTAAGAGCCGCTCTCGAGCCTCTCCTCCATGGTAGACAGGTCCATGGGGTGAGCTATGGCAATATAGTAACCAGGAACTTCGTCTTTGTTGACGGGCTGAAGAAAGGGCCATGCTTGCTTATGGTTTGAGATCTCACTTAGGAAGCGTCGGAAGACATTGAAATGAGGTCCGCGACATGGTTCCCGTGCTAGCTCGTCCATCGCTGGGGTCCAGCCAGTGGCTTTGATTGCAGGGATAGAGTAGGGGTCGATCCGAGTAATATTCCCGCTGGCCCATTGCTGAGGCGGCACATAGACAACGTGGCTTTGGCTCAGGATGCGGAGTTTCGCTTGCACAGCTTCTTTCTGTTTCAAAAGCATGCGGCCAGCCTGAAGATAGCGGATTCGGGGGAGCATAGTGCACTGCATGAGAGTTCCCCCATCATAATCCTTGATATATCCCCCCCAAACGGACTTAGGCAGTGTAATGTGCTTTGTAAACCCTTGCTTTCGGAAATAGCCCGTTGCAAGATTGTCAGCATAAGTCAGAAAATGCATGATTGGAGAAGTAGCCCGGACATAGTCTTTTAGGTGAGCCATTATGTGTGCTCCATACCCTTTATCCTGTTGATCCATAGAAACTGCACAGAAAACGATTTCTGCAAATTGGCGAACAGCGAATTCACGAATTGATATTCCGGCAATGACTTCAAGGGGCATTTTGACTATGGCAAGAGATAGATGCGTGCGATCGTAAACAAGACGTGCGATATAATCTTTGGGCATGTTCGGCAGTTGCTTATGAAATAGATTTTTAAGCCCGGTCAAGATGATTGTGCTTTCTCTGGAAGCATCGTTGTGGACCACTCGAAGCTCGATTTCTCCATTTCGTTCTTCTATGACTGCAGGCTGACAATGGATTAGCTAGCTTTTTGCAAAAGTAGTATGTGGTCAGTATGCCTACCTTTTCCGGGAGAGCAACGCCCCACTCGTTTGGGGCGGGTTGACTCTCCGTGTCAGCCAATCTATTGTCTAGGAACTCAACCCTTTTAGGTCCGGGGCTTGGGTGCGACTCTTGGGAGGCCTTGCGCTTCACAAGAGCAGGAGTAGACTGCAAATCAGCGCTATCCATGACCAAAGTCGTAGGTCAGCCCGGAGGTTCAAATCATGAGAGTAGCAGTATGTCGTATGTGCAGTGAGAATGTGGTTTGTTTACAATTTATATTCGTTTCGCCAGTCCAAGGAGCATCGGGCCGCGATTTATCCGCAATTAGGGCCTTGTATTGCACTAGCCACCTGAAGCCCTGCAGGAGCGTGACAGCCACATTGCTTTAATTAGAACTAGAACCCTAGAACTCAATCACCACGATCAAGTTGTAACTGAAGATAATCAACAAATAGCTGTTTCGACAGATCCTTACTCGGTATCAGCATAGCAGTACACTCTACGACGAGGATTGAGGAAAAGATGGGATGTGAGGGCATCCCGTAATATGGTAAGCGTACAGATACGAATAAATCGTAGAAGAGCTGTTGGGTATACATATGGATGCATTGGGAGATGTACTGGTGAGATTATAAAGGTAGAAAAGTGGAAAGGCAGGGGTGTTGGCATATTGGGAAAGGGGAGGCAAGGTTGGAGTGCTGCAGACTTGTAATTGCGGACTTGTTTTGAAGCATATCAGGGGAGAATTCCGGTCGTAAGGAATACTTATGCGGGGATGGATGTAGATGCAGAGACGTCGCGATATGAGCAACGTGATCGCTGCGCTTGAACTAAGAATATGATAGTATTTCAGATGCGTCCAGCGAGAATTCGGAATCGATTGGGTCTCCGACAGTAGATTCGTTCTGGTATCTATAGCTTGACACTCTTCACCAAGCCCTTCTTGATACCAGTCAATTCTCCCTTGTAGCCTCCCCTGCCCTCGCCCCCACTGTACACCGGCTTCATACTCTTCAACTTCTTTTTCTTCTCGTCGTACTTTTTGCGCTTCTTTACACGAGGATTACGGACATCCTTCTTCCGTTTTGGCGTCAGACCCTTATTCTTAGAGATCTGGTAGCTGATTTCACGCCTTCCGTCCGGACCAATGACCTCCTCTTGGATGACCTCGCCTCCCTCGCGAGCAGCCTGTGCGAATGCCTCCGCGCGGTCTTGCTTGTCAAGTTTGCGCTTCTTGGATCGAGCGGCAACCATATCGTAGTATTCGTCGTCATCGCTTTTGTCGTCGCCCCTAATCTCACGAGCTTGCTTGTGGTCCTCTTCGTCGCTTTCGCCTCCGAGATCATCCCCCTTTTGATTTTTTCCCCGTTTGACTGCTTCCGCGTTAAGCCGCTGTTGACGATCGCGAAGGCGCTCACGATGGGGAACATCCATATCTCCACCATAGTCTCGCCTTGACGCATCCCTTTTGTTGGACTTCTGGGTGATTTGGGAGGTGTAAAACTTGAGACTCTTCCGCTTTTTAGCTTTCTCAGCGAGTTCCTCTGCAGTCAGGTCGATCTCATCGCCCAAGTCCGAGTCATCCTCTGCATTTTTCGATGGATTGATCTGTGGCTCGGAGAATTTCTTTGACTTGATTTGCTTCGTTAGTGAAGACAAAGCAGCCAAATCTTCCTCCGTCTTCCGTTTTCTCTCTACTTTTCGAGCCTCAGCCTCAGCCTTGGCCTGTTGTACGGCCTTTTCGGCCTTTGTTTTCTTCTTGGACGTGGCAGCCTTCTTAGCGAGCGTAGTCTTACTTGGTTCTGGCGCTTTCATGGTGACTTCTTTCTCAGAGACTTCATCCACCTCTTCGATGTCAGAAAGCTCAGTGTCCTCGTCATCTTCGGCAAGATCCTTAACTCTGTTCCATATAGTCTGACATTGAATGAGCGTGTGTATAACAGGATGTTCACGAATTTCTTTTGGTGCCTTGGCGGTGATGATATTCTTGTCGTCGCTGAAAGTTGACGTCAACAAGGCGAAATACATCGCGATGGACGACAAGTATGAAGCCAGAGCTTGATATTTGATCATGCGCCTGGACGTATGTGAAGCCACGCCAAGCTTTTGTGCAGCAGCTACGGACACCGACAGACGGTTGTATGTAGGTTGTAGAGCCACGAGCTCCTTTGACAAGGGATCGAATTCGGGATAACGAGTTTTGAGCTCTTTGAGCTGCTCATCGCTGGACATGTCCGTGATTTTCTTTTGTGGGAGGACCTGAGTGACGACACCCTCGTCGTCGTCATCGATGTCCTTTTTGGCGCCGGCGGCCCATTCCTCTTCGTCGAAGCCATAGTCTGCATCGGTCATGCTTTGGAGCTGCTTCTTCTGCATCCTCAGGGCCTCCGCCTCTTCTTCCAATGCTTCTTCCTCTCTCTCGATTTCATCTGCACCATAATAATCATTCTTAGACTGACCCCAGCCCTGCTCGTCCAGGTCGTCTTCTGAATCTGCTTGATCGGCGCCATCTTCCATATCATCATCGTCATCATCCTCTAGTTCATCCTCTTCAGATTCGCCCTCGCTATCGCTGGCTTCGGCATAGTTAAGAGCCTCTTCGTCTAGTTCTAGGAACTCATCTACGTAATGTTAGACGCATCGCACAGAAGCGCCAAAGAGCGAGACAAACCTTTTTCTCTCTGCTTCCGCTGCCTCTTGACTTCCGGCCCTTCGTCCAATAGCACCTTATCCCGATTCAGCAAAAATTCGTCCTCCGAGTCTGCGACATCCTCGTAGGTCCGAATGTTCAGTTTGGAAGGCTTCTCCACCACATCTGTCTCGGGAATTTGCCCAGATGGCTTTCCCGCTTTCCTCTTCTTGCCCATATTTGAATGTGTGGTGTGTGTGTGGTGTAGACCCTTTCGGCAGGGATGCTTGCGGAGAGTTGATCATCACAAAAATTTCGTTTGACGTCGGGCGTCGGCACTTAACATGCGCCACACGCCACAGCCAGGGTCAATTAGCTGGGGTTTATGGTCGCGTATACGCTAACACCTAAGTAACTACTAGCCGTGAATCTTCTTGGCTGACATTAATCTTAAGCAAGTAAGAAATGAACCACAGCTCCCACTCTCCTCTTCCGCACGCTCGATGGCTCTCGGTCTGTCCTGGACATCCGTCCTGCTACTGATTCTTATCATTCTACTCTCAATTGCCATCATGGGCCTCTTCAGCTTCAAGAATCACCTGCCGGTAGAGGGCAGGGTACGTGAGCCCCCCATTGCGCAAAACACCATGCTAACGAGCGTTGTAGACAGTACTCATAACAGGCGCATCGCAGGGCATGGGGAAATCCGCCGCATGCCAGATCTCCTCGCGCGGCGCAAACGTCATCATCGTCGCCCGCGACACCAAGAAGCTCGCCGCCGCCCTCACTGAAATCAAAGTACGCACGATCTAATCCCTACACGCTCATGCTCTCACAAACTCACTCGGCGCAACATGCTGACAAGCCAAACCACTCAGGCCGCAGCAAAGAACCCCACAACCCAACGCTTCCTCTCCATCAGCGCAGACGTCACCCTCGCGTCCGAAAACACCCGCATCCTCGCCGAGTCGACCGCCTGGAACAACGGCTTCCCGCCCGACATCGTATGGCAAATCGCCGGCGCGTCCAAGCCCACGCTGCTCCTAGACTCCTCCCTCGACACCATGCACGCCCAAATGGACCTCAACTACTGGGCCGCCGTATACCTCGCCCGCGAGACCATGACCGCCTGGCTAGCCGCATCCTCCTGTCCACAATCGTCGCAAAGCTCCTCCTCCTCCTCCTCTTCCGCCGCAGAGCCACTGCCCCGACATATCATACTCACGACATCCATCGCCGCCATGCTCGGCGTGGCAGGCTACGCCCCGTACTGCCCGGCCAAAGCCGCTATGCGCTCATTCGCAGACGCCATGCGTTCGGAGCTGAACCTGTACAATGGTGCGCGCCGCCAGGCCGACGCGCACCGCGACCCGGCGTATCCGCCGCCGCCGACGGAGATGCACATCCACCTCGTTGTGCCCGGCACCATTGACTCGCCGGGCCTGCAGCTGGAGAACGAGAGCAAGCACGACATCACGAATATGATTGAGGAAGTGGACCCAGTGCAGCACCCGGATGCCGTGGCTAGAGGCGCGATCCGCGGGCTGGAGGGCGGGCAGTATATTGTCATTCCGCATTGGTTTAATCGCTTCATGGCCGGGAGCAGTTGGCAGGGGAGTCCGCGGAGTAGTATGCTGGTTGATACGGTGCTGGGGCTGGTCACAGGCGTTGCGTGGCTGTTTGTCGGGCCGGATTTGGAAAGGCAGGTGTGGAACTATGGCAAGAGGTGGGGTCTGAAAGGGAGGCCTAAGGGGCACAAAGGTTGGACTTGAATGCGAGATTCGAGACTTGCTTTGTGGTCGGGATAATACAATCGACAAACACTGCACAATATAGACAAAAAGTGTCCGGGCGCCAGGCACTATAACAGGGCCGTGCACTGCATGCTATGCTACATGGATTAAATTTGTGTCATTAAAATTTTACTCGACACATCGCGAGCTATACCGTCTACATCTTACAACTTCCATCTATATACCACGCCTACGCTATCAAACAAATGTGCCCGAACATCGCACGTAAACAGGAAACAGAAAACAGGGTATCTCAACATGCTTAGTCCGATGCGCCAATTGGCTTCGGTGTCGGCGCGTACTTGCTTTTCGTGCGTATCTGGCCGCCCTTGAGATAAAACCACACGGGCACAGGCACCAGTAGCGCTGCCACTATTCCCAGCAGTGTACTCGCCCACTGGATGCCCATACCGTTAAACATGTACATGGCAAACAGCGGGAAGACGCCGCCGAACAGCGAGCGCAGAAATGTATTCGCGGCAATTGCGGACGCGGCGAACATCAGGTATGCGTCGATCAGATAGTTGAGCGCTTGCAGGAAAATGCACAGCAGGCCGAAACCGGTCAGCAGCCCGGAGAGCGTCGGCACGATCCAGTGAATGTCGGCGCGGTAGCCAGTCCAGCCGAACCAGAACAGGCCGATAGAGAAGGCAACGCCGCCGATGATGACTTCTGGGAGTCGCCATTCCGGGATGGGCATGCCACCGTTCGCGGCCAGTTTCTTCTGGTAGCCGGGCTGACGCAGGATGATGAAGAGGCCCGCAAGGAGTTGTCCCGTGATCATACCAAAAAAGGGGAGGCCACCGACGCCGAGGTTGAAGCCGTGCACGCCCTGGAAGACGAGCGGGTACGCAGTCAGAAAAAGGTATAGCAGGCCGTAGATGAAAGCCATGTAAATGGACAGTAATAGCACAATAGGCTCGGTGAACAGCATCTTCATTGGGCGGCTGAAGTTCTTCTCGACGAGCTCGCGGAAGTCGACTTCGATTTCCTCCTGTTTGGCGTGAATGCCCCAATTCTTCGTGCGGCGGCGCAGCTCTTCGGCTTTGGCAACGAGGATAACGGGCGGGTAGGTCTCCTCGAGGAAGATTAGATTGAGCCCAAAGGCCAGAAATCCCATGATGGCGGTGATGTATGCGGTCCAGCGCCAGCCCAGGTAGGACATAGTGATGAAGCCGCCAATAAAGGGCGCCAAGAGAGGACCGGTGAAGACTAAACGGGGGTCAGTGGTGCTGGAGCTGAAATGTAGCAGACAACTTACCGGTCATGGAGAAGACTGTGATGGCGATACCTCTTGTCCGGTTGTCGAACATGTCGGAGAAGACAGCACCGACACAAGTGAGCGGACAAGCACCAAAAAAGCCGGCCCAGAATCTACAAATCAGGATTGTTTGTAGGTCTTTGCCTGTGGCGACACCAATGTTGAATATCGAGAAACCGAACGACGCAACCACCAGCGGAAGTCTACGTCCTTTAAGTTCTGAAAGAGGTGCCCATAGAATGGGACCGGTAGCGAAACCAAGCACGTAGAGTGATACACCCAGCGTGCCAACTTCAGCAGACACGCCATAGATGGTCGCGACAGTCCTCGTAGCAGCGGAAAATATACTTGAACCAAATGCCGCACACAAGGTTGTGAACCCCAACATTGCGGCAATGCCCAGCTTTTTCTTCAGAGGCCAATTCATCGCGTGCAGTGGATCGTCGGCGCCGTCAAACTCAACGACATATTCCTCGCGATCTGGCAGTGGTGGTGGATACGGCTTTCCACCACCGAAATCGGGTAATGGCTTCGTCGACTGCCGCGACTTCAGACTCGCGCCGACAGTGCCGCCATGTTGACTGCGGCCAGTTTGGATACGCGAGAGGGCTGTTGGGTTACGTTCGAGCTCAGGACCATCGTCGCGTTGAGTCTGGACACGCGACATGCCGCCGTGAGTCTCACGACCTTCTTCTTCAGACCCTGAGCTGGAGTCGGTCGAGCTGGTCATGCCCGTGACGGTTCGTACGAGAGCTTCGCGGGCGTCGGGTTGGTGGTGCGGCTGTGTGCTGCCGCGGCGAGCATCTTCCTCAGCCTTTTCAAGATCGCGACTGACAATGTCCATGGCGATTGTGGGCAGGGGTGGAATATCGAAGAGACGGATGACACGAGAGGATCTGACTGGGGAGGAAGAGGTGTGACGCAAGGCGCCGCAAAGGCTCTTATATGGATAAAAATTGGACAGTATTAGTGGATCCGCCTAGGTATTGCTACCTATCTGGGGCGGTAAGCCGTGTCGGGAGATGGTGGCTCGGACGGCGCCGCGGGTTTCGCTTTTGTTGTTTATTCGTCTATAGTGATTATTAGCGTGTTGCGGAGAGTAAAGTAGTCCAGACAATTATTGATCAATGTGCTAAAGGTAACAATTGAGACCAGCACCAGGTAACAGACATGGATTGCAGGAGAACGACGGAGAATAGAGATGGCGAGATGATAGTGATGAAGCACAATGGAAAGTGGCCGTGGGCGATGAAAACGACAGGGATTAACGAGTCGCGATGATGCAAGCCGAGCGTAGCCGGCAGCAAAAAAGTCATCAAGTGGGGTCGCATCTCTAGGGCTAGCGATTTCCTTAATTAAGCTTTTTCACGTGGTGGGGACTGGCATGTTTCGCAGATGCATCGTGCTTGAGCTTCGGTTCAGTGTCAGTGTGCTGATCCACTGCTGCACTGGTCAGCTGTTGTCGCAGCAGTCATGGAGCCGTGTAGTCGCGTCTTCATTGTCTTGTAACAATAACAATAACAACAACAACAGTAAGTGAAGAAGAGAACACGTGACAATATTGATGGCAACTCTAACTCTCAATGACAACAACAAGCACAACTGGAACAACAACAAATTTCTGCACAGTGACGCCACCGCGCACCCTTGGTCAGCAGTGGCGCTCGTGCCTGCCCAATTCGTAAGAAATCTAAGGACTGTGCCTCCTCGGCCTTTCGGCCCCGCTTTCTCTCTCGCTTCGGACGTTTTCTAACTCCTGCAGGGCCTGAACTCCTGATATCTAAGGCATAAACACCGACACCCGCGATGCAACATTCTTAATGATGGGTCCTCTCCTCTATTAAGTTTCTTAGCCCATCGCCGACTCTCCCGACTCTTGCCCGCGTTCCGTTCCGTCTCCGGTCTGACGTCGTTTCGCTCATCACTTATACTATTATTGGACTTTGTACTAATCATTAGTCGTGCTTCATTGATGCCTAATTATTGCATTGTTAGATCAGACCACCTTAGCCTACAACTTATCTCTCAGTATCCGTCGTTGCAGCTGACACTACGCAGCTAGAGTCTACCTCCTCACTCATCCTCTCCCAAAAACACCTTGACCCCTTCTGGGAGCCACGCATCCCCACAGACCTTGAACCTCTCAGGCATCGCACTAATCTTCTCCATCTCCTGCTCACTGAGCTCCCATCCATCAAGCTCAAAGTTCGCCTCGATTCTTTCTTTTGTCACACTCTTCGGAATGACGCTTGTGCCTCGCTGCAAGCCCCACATCAGCAACACCTGCTGCACCGTCTTGCCTTTCTCCTCAGCAATTGCTTTCAAGGTGGCATTCTTGTAGAGTGGCGAGTCAGTGGACCCTAGGCAAGAATACGCCGTAGCATGAATACCCCTCGAGGAGAGGTAGCTAAGAAGCTTGGGCGAGGGGTTATTGGGATGGAGTTCGATCTGATTCACCGCCGGGGTGGTCTTGAAGCCCGGGTCTGCGAAGACTTGCTCGAGATGTGTGATGCTGAAGTTTGATACTCCGATATTGCGTGCTTTGCTTGTGGGGATCTTCTGCATTTCGTTCCTGGGGTTGTTGGTGTCAGTGTGATTTTAACATTCAGTAGTGCCTCGAAACCGCAAGTCTCAGCGGTAGACGTACCAGGTCTTGACGAAGTTCCAGTCTGGCAGGTGCTTCTTCGTGTCATTGGGATCGGTGCTGCTGGGCCAATGCATAAGGTAGAGGTCGACATACTCGACACCTAAAGACTTCAGAGACGAGTCAATCGCTTCTGGCACAATGTGATGCCATGTATTGTTCAACTTGGTCGTTATCCAGATCTCCTCACGGGGCACGCCAGAATCTTTAATTCCTTGTCCCACCTCAGCCTCGTTGCCGTAGGCCAAGGCTGTGTCGATGTGGCGATAGCCCTTTTGCAGAGCGACTTTTACCGCATCACGAACTTCATTGGGTTTCGATTGCCAGGTGCCTAGGCCGACCATGGGCATGGACGCGCCTGTATTGAGCTTGACCGTAGACTTTGTGTGCTGGAGGTTGGACGCCATACTTGAAAATCGACGAAGTGTTCTGGGCAATTGGTTGAGAAAAGTGATGGAGGATAGAGGCATGAAATGGGAGGAAGCAGCGGGTAGTAGGAGGAGGTGGGAGCGGTTGTGGACTTGATAGCTGTACTTGTACCTCCCGTATACTGGTATTGTTTGACTAGGTTTGTACGAATATAGCCTAAATGCTATGCATACATGGTCCTGTATACGTCGCGTCGGTGTAATTAGGTCCGTCTATACTCTTGAACCTATTTGTACACCTCTTTTCATTGGCTTTGAATGGAGCATCATCTCGATCACCACTGCGTTCATGCCTTGGTATGCATAGGCAGCATTATCATGTTAGCTTGCTGAAATCTTCTCTACCCACCAGATTACATGATGGGAAGGTGACAGCGGGTGGGGACACCCGGTTTCCCCACCAAGAAATGCTCTAACCTTCTTTGGTCAAGTTAGATCGCAAGTCCGACGTCCATGATTAACGTACACCAGTCTGTTGACACAATTCTTGTTCATCCTACCTTGACGAAACGAAAAATTCTCCTCCTAAGATAATGTCAAAGTTCGTATCTGGCGGAACTATCGATGAACCTCTTGAGCGCGACGAAGAATGGCGCAAGGCGCATGCTGAAATCGAAGCTGCGCACCTCCGCAGACTGAAAGAGGGCCAACAAGAAGGTGGAAAGTCGCTATATGAGGTTCTCCAAGCGAACAAAGGTGGAAAGTCGCTCTCTATTCGCTGCAACACTGGCTGTCAAGGCTGACATGTTAGGTCTTGGCTGATCTCAGCTGCAAAGCAAGATGCATTTGAAGAGGTATGTTCAGCTTGATCGCTGAAAGATGATGCAATACTAACAGCATACTTCTAGTCAATACGTCTAAAGAACCAGTTCCGATCACTCGATGAAGACGAAGTCGATTTCCTAGATAAGGTCCTCGAATCCACACGCGCGAAAGAAGCCGCCGTACGCAAGGAGACCTCCGAACAGTTAGAATTGTTTCGGCGGCAGCAAGAAGAGATCGAGAAGAACACCAATCTGGTTGAAGAAACGGCAGTCCCCCCATCATCTGAAGAACACTGGGTAGCAGGAAGGAAAAGGAAGAAGGGCAAAGAGTCGGACGGTCTCATCAAAGGGCTAAAGCTCCGAAAGACTTCGTCTGCTGAGCAAGATACCCATAATACTATCAAAAATCTTACCCCTAACGCGCCTCAAAGGACCCTGGGTAATGTCCAAAGCAAGGAAAATGACGTAGCAAGTTCTGGCGCGAAGGTTCTAAGGGACGAAGGGAATGATAAGGCACAAGCCATGTCCAAGTCGCCGACACCAGCACCGCCAAAAGCGAATGGTTTGGGCTTAGCAGATTATTCTTCTGACGAAAATTGAAACTATAGGATGACTTCGCACCTGATACCCTCAGTCGACCCTCAACAAACAGTAATTAACTACAGGCCCTTCTGTTTTATCGCGCTGTGCACGGTTTCCCTGCATGACCTGCACCGGAGACCTATTGATCCGCAGACAGAGAACAGACATCTAGGCGACCTTGGTAGTCAGTGCGATCCGTAGCTCTTCGACTGGCATGCTTATTACCCTTGTCACAGCTTAGGTAGCTATCGATATCACACTGTACAATGTGTATGCTGCGTTGTGTCGGTGAAACATAGTGGCCCATGCTACTTTGTTTTCACCACGTGACTGCGCCAAGACTGAGGCTGATCCTTCGGACTGCGCTAAAATGTGTTGTAGCCAAACATCTGGGTCTGCATTTATCCTGTACACCATCCTCCAGTTCAGTTATCATCTACAGCATCTATTTCAGCACTCGCTTCTAGCTTTCCAATCTGGGTATCATCTTTTTAGACTCTTGTAATTCTTCTATTCTCACTACGAGACAGCTCAGACAGGTAGCTGAACTGTTGAGACCTTCACTTGATCAAGTCTCACTAGCACTGTAGAAGTATTTGCAGAGGGTCGTTACCTATCTGATCAAGCTGCCTGTGAGACGTGATAAAAATAGTCTGTTCACAGCGATCATTGCGCTTTCGCTCCTAAGCCGTTTCAACAGCTTAGGATAGTATGGATGGGACCAATGTCCTCGGATGACATACTGCCGGATTCTTCGACAGGAGATGTAATAGGAGAAACAGACGATGTAAGTGTTTAGGTCCTGTCTCGCGGCCGGAAGTGGTGTCTAAATGGACGTACAGGGATACCTCATTCAACCACGTGCTGGCCACATGACTGCAATTAGGGGTGCTGAAGAGTGTGATATGGAAGATAGCATTCTGACGGATGATGAGGATACCAAAAGTATTCTCACTGAAGCCAGCCACTTGCTTGGCCACAAAGAGACACCGGAAGACTTGCATTTACGCTTCGCTAAGATTTTAGGAAGTGCAGCTGTATCGTCTCTTGGAAGTCAGGCTACAGTCAGTGTTCCCAAGGACTTTTCCATGCGCTATCCAGACGACAATCCGCATGGCTCTTATGCGGTACAACTTGCCACCTATCAACAACTGCTGAAAAATCGACAGCTAAACAGACGGAGAGAGGACTCTAATGCTTCAGCTGCCAAAGGGTCTAGGCGCAGGGGTAAGGCAGTGAGACCTGGCTTTGACCCTGTCCAACTTATCAAGAAAAGTGCCCTGCATTTTACGAAACAGGCAAAATCAAAACTCTCGACCCTTCAAAACCCTATACATCCGATATTCCGCGCGGAAAACTTTCACGCTACGTCAGATGTCCTGTACGAGCAGTTCAAGCCCGCACTACGCTTAGCCTCACTACTGTTGACTGATAGAGCATGTTCGCAATATTTTCATACTCTATGGTTTGGGCGGCGGTTGTTCTGCGAAGCAACCTCACGAGCGCAGCAGACAGAGTCGTTCCGCATCAAAGAGGACGTACCATACACCTCCGAGAACGCTCGCATCTTTCATCGGGTCCTCGCACAGCATTCGGACCATGTACATTTCTACTTCAATAACAATCCGCTCAGCGATAGATCCGCCCAGGCATCCATGACATTCATCAAAGACACCAAAAATCTCCTTCCTCTCCACCACTCTCACAGTTATGAGACTTTTACCAGAGGCAAAATATGTTTGCATGGCGACTTCTATACTGTTGCTAAACGGAACTCTGCTCTTTCCCATCCGGATCCTGCCGCAGTGCTTCGATATCATTTTTGGCTCGCTCTATCTTTGTGTCACGAAGTGGCACACTTCCTGGAATGGGTTCGTCGGTCTTCGATGCCGAGTCACAAGAAGGAAGTGTATTACTACGAGGACGAGTTTAATGAGGCTGGTGAGGCGTGGGAAAAAAAGCTTTTCGGCGGTCGTATAGAGCCCATTAATAGCCGTGCAGACTGTGCTTTTGGGCTTGCCACGGTGGACTGGCCAATGGTGCACATTGACAACGTCGAGGATACAGACGCGAACACTTTCTGGGCACTGCCCATGGAGTTCATCGCCGAGATTCAACAGCAGAAGTTCTGGGATTTATTAGCTGCGAAAGAGAGGCCTGAAAGCGATGCAACAATCTTTCACATTCCCAGAATAGGCACGCGCAGTCAGCATCTCTCAAGCGTCAATATGAAGGTATGGGACGATGAGGCTGCGCCTGACCTGATATCGGACGACTTTGACAACGTCGATACGATACTCAAACGAACCGCCAACGGGCGCATTGTCAAGAGACCACGAGAGAAGAAGCGACTTGGGCTGATGTCGAAGAAACTTACAAAGAGCAGGAAGGATGCGAAGACACGCCCAAGTGACAACATCCCCAATCCGGGGCCGTACAAGCTTAGAAAACCCAGTCAGCGCGGGAAGGTCAAGCTGAAGGAGGCTGCCGCGGTAGCAGCAAGACCGCCGCAGAAGAGAGCAGATGACATGTCTGAATGATTTGATGTCCTATTTACATAGCGTCGTGAGCAGTGGAGAACAATTTAAATATGTTCGGTCTTGTGGAGCGCATACAGTATATACACCAACACGAAGTTTTACCTGGCTATGATAGTGTCTCGAGTCTGTTGCAGTAGCCAAAACGCCCATTCCTCTACATCAAACACCTCGCTTTGCGGCTGTCCAGTAGATGATCTACTGATTTCACTCAGTTTGCAAGCTCTCATTTCCAGTATCTAGCACTGCCTCACTTGATTCAACGGGGTATCCGCGTCGCACGATCGCTCGAGAATAACATCAAAACCAAAGAATCTAACCAACCAACCCATTCCAATCACCTCGAAACCGACAAAACCCTCTTCAACACCGCCAACGGACTCTTCTTTCCCACTCCTTTCCTCAATCCCCCCTTTCCCCCCTCCCTCCTCCTCAACGCCTCCCTCACCATCAACTCCACCATACCCCTAACCACCCCATCCCTATCCTCCCTAGCATCAAAACTCACAAACCCAGCCCCCCACCCCTCCGCCAACCTCCGCCCCGCCTCCTCCGTAACCTCCCACTCCGTCCTCGCCCTCTCCACCCCACCCGCCACAACCGCACACACCACCCCATCCCTCCTCCCCTCCCCCTTCTCCTCCTCCACACACCCATGAATCCCCTCCAACCCATCAAAACTCGCCCGGCTACCCACATCATACACATAAAGCAGCCCGTCCGCGCGCGCCAGCGTCGCCCGCATGCTCGCCCGCACCCCGCCGTCGTGATGCGTCAGCCACTCGCACCGCGGATACGTGAGCGTCACGACGACCTCGCGCTCGGCGATGCTGCGCATGCAGCGTGTGGGCATGTCGCTGTCGTCGACCTTGTCGGCGTGCCAGTCTCTAATGTAGCTGGTTGCTAGGGTGCGTTGGCCGCTGTCGGCGGCGCCGCAGATGGCGATGTGGATTTCGGGGGTTGCGGGGCGCGGGGTGGTGGAGAGGATGTGTTGGTGCGCCTTGGAGGCGAGTTGCCAGTTGCCGCGGAGGGTTTGGGTGCGCATTTTTTTTCTGTGGTCTTATTTTGTTCTGTTTTGGTTTGGGTGTGAGAGATGAGAGGATGGGATGGGAGATGGAGAGATGGGAGTGGGATATGAATGGTTGTGGTAGGTTGGGGGTGAGGTTGGGGTTTTTGGATGCATGCCATCGCGGAGCCATCAATCAGCCATTGCAGATCGGGCGATGAACGGGGCGGATCCGGAATTGGCGAGTCAGGATGTAATGCCATGCCAGTGTCTGTTGTGTGGCACGTTGTTGACGGATGACCAGAGCGATAAGGGTGTTGGGTGGTCAGAACACGTCACGAAATGAGTTACACATGTGATATCGTTGTCGATGAAAAGCCGCAATGGGAGCTGTCGGGTGCCAGTGGCAGACTTCTGCTTGACATGCTTGGCTGACTATAAGCTAAGACAAGGACTGGGACGGACATGGTGCTTCTCCATGCGAATATACACCTTGATACCCATCGTTTCTAGAGAGGGATGGCGATGCTGCAGAGGCTAAAACACTTTTTTCACACCAGAGAAATAGTAGTGGAAGGCAAGACAATGCGGGCCGTGGTGGATCAGCTAAGATCTTCAAAGGGGTTCATAGAAAACGACCGCGCTAGAGCTAACCGAGAACTAACTAGCTTGCGCCAAACAGATACAAAGGTAGCTTCCGTCTCAGGGGCACTCAGGGGCAATCAGGGGCACTGGACATAATCGTCAATCATCATCTGGACAACACAAACTCGTTGTGATCTCGTCGGCTTTCTCATATGTCCCACAGGAATTCAGAATTCTTATATCCACCAAACGCCTTTCTGAATGCTCCTTCCATAACGGACGTTCCACTCGCCCAGAAATCATACCCTATCACCGGTAAATTTTCTCCCTCTTGAATTGCGTCGGCTGTCTCCAGAAACGCCTTCACATATTCAAGACCAGAAGGCCCAGGCGGACAACCCGCGCAGCATTCCATTGAGGCAAATCCGATAGCCCTCAGAGCCTCTGCGATTGAGAGAAGCGCGTCGCAACATGCCAAGTACACTTTGATCCAGTTAATCCTGGCAAAGGGCAGGTCCTGCTCGTACAAGTCTGCTTCCAGAATCTCTTTGACTTTGTTCAACAGTGCAGGGTTGATGCCAAGCGGACCGTCAGTCGGCTCTGCGAGGCCTTCCACAAGCTTGCGCATCCTGTCTAGATTCCCCGGCGTCTCGCGCAATTTTTGGACCCTACAAAAGTATTTTGCGTTGGGATGGAAGTCTTGAGCCACCAGCAAGAAGGTCATGGAGGCATGTCCATACACTCGATAAGCTCTTGGGTTGTTTGGGCACACATGGCAGTCAGCTCTGATAGTGCCCAGTTTTCTGCTAGAGCTGTCTACAGAATCGGCGCCCCGAGATTGATTTCCCCACAGTCGACCAAAGTCTCGCACCCGTGTTCCCCCCAAGGCTGCTTCATGATGACTCAGGAAGTTGTGCTTCGGTCGTGATCCCACAAAGATGGTTGGCTCTAGGACACTGGCGAGAGCCTCTAGTAGAGGAAACGCGTTCCTATCCAGGATAGACGATTGTACAAGGCAATTGTAGAGATGCATCACCCCAGTCATAACACCTTTGAAGCCACATAACGCAGTGCCAAGGTCCTGAATCTGAAACCAACGACAGATCATGCCTGCGCCCGCTGTCCATGGTGCCTGCGAGTACAGGTCGATCGGCTTAGGTACTAGTACACTTTTGAGACCCTTGCTCAAGCACTCCAGCTTTCGAACAAGGCTATCATGGTCGGCATCTCGTAACGTTTCATGTCTTTCAAGCTTTGTCACGTAGGACTGAACATCTTTTGCAAACTTGAGGTACTTGGATAGGCAACTGGGCCTATGTGGAGTTTCGGAATTGTGCCACAGGTACGCTTCGTGCGTTTCCAGCATGATTTGTAGCCCAAAGACGGCAGTTGTGCTCAATACGTTATAGCCTCTCCAGTATGTGCCGATTTCGTGTTGGAGTGGGCTGTCCGAGTCAAGTCGTGTTCTGAAGTCCTTCTTCGTACAGGTACAAGATACCTGCTTGGTAAGGATACTATTAAGGATTGATTCGCAAGCAGCACCCTGGGCCAGGATGTATTTTGCCTGACAAGTGTGAGAGGCCATACGAGGGACGAGAGTCGCAGCTTTCTCCATTCTGACATCGCTGCTGGCACATTCTGTACTCTTGGTGGATCCGCCGTTTACGACGATACGATTGTAGGCATGGTAGAACCCCCATCCAGTAGAGAAGATACCAGCGTGGCCATGAGTAAGTGTTTTCCACATACTAATACCATCGGGATTCATCTCACCCATGCTGCTCATCTTGCGTACGAACATGACATGATCCTCGATACCTAGGCGGCTTTTGTTGGACACCTCAACCAGTGAGAGCAATTTGACCGCCGTACTTGTGAGCATTGCAGCAACGAAGATACTCATGCTGCCTTCGTTGCATGCTTTCCAGTAACCTTTGAGTGTCTCGCACAGGGTGTCGGCGGTCTGTTAAATGACTGGTTAGCTAGGCGATCTCTTTCGTGTCAGATGTTGCATACGAAAACTGTATTTATGACACCAAGCTTCACTTTGAATTCCTTCAAGATAGGGTCATCTGAGATAGTAATACTGGTACTAGTCTCGCCAGATATGCCGAGCTGTTGTCGTAGCTTGCGGTACTGCTCTGCAGAGGGCCGATCACGGAATTGCCGTTTCTTAGCCATGTCGTGCGATGTAGGCGTAAGGTGGTCCCCATCAACCACCTCATCGCCCATTTCATCGTCCTCGTTGATGTATGGAAGTGTATCATCAACGCTTACCTCATCAGAGGTATTTTCCTGCTGTTGTCGAGACTTTCCACCTTTGGAGGGGGGGAACAAGGATCGATATATGGAAGAAAGCCTGCACATGTGATAAGTCGTGTTTGCGGAAGCTAGTCTGCAGCTCACCCTTTGATGAATTTGATGTGGCCTGTGTCGTTGTCACCATAGTGTTTCATAACAGAGATCCGGTCTCGAATTGCGTCCTTGAGTGCCCAGTAAATCTCTGGAGGTACCGTGATGCCAGCACGGAAAATGGCCTTCGAAGCGCGTACGAGCACGTCAATGCTGCAATTCGTCGCGTCAAAGATGGGATGTCCAGCTCGTCGGCCATTGAGGGCAACCCATGTCGTAACAATCTCAGTTGCCTCCTTGTATTTCATATACTTTTCGTGTAACTCAGGCGTGAGCAGCGGCGTGGAATAGACTTCTGCCATCTCGAAAAGTAGATTTTGTGAAAAGAATAGGTTGTGTGTAAGGGCGAGGATATTCAGATGATATATGAATGAGTGACAAGTGCCGACTTGCCGACTTACCCCTGTAGTGAAAACAAACCATTGTTCCCGTCGAAACGGTGAACAATGTACGCCTTGTGGAAATGCAATTCACTTGTGCCTGAGGTTCTTTCAACTAGGCTGCCAGCTTTGCCAGTGTGTCTTGACAGCGCTTATGATTGTTCTCCTGCACAAGCTTCTCTCGAAGCAAGTCTGCGCTGTTGCGCTCCCCGGTTCGTTGTCTGATAGACTAAGAGACTGTTCGGCTTTACAAGAGTCAATTCGAGCAATACAACCAAGCTCAGGGATAACATATCTCTAATTCGATTACCATTTACAGCTTTACTCCAAAAATAGAGCCCTCACCACGAGGACCTTCTCGAGAAGGCAGTAAACCTCTATCAGCTCAAACGGTAACAACAGCCTCTCTAAGTCTATCCGCTTCATCTACAATCCGCAATAAAGTTTCCTTCGACAGCTCTATCCACCTTTCAACTTGCTCCCACTGCGGTACACGATTGTCAATCAAGAAGTCGAATTCCATCAGTCCCTGTCGCACACAGGATGTGACTTCAAAGACCGCTAACCCTTTTACTTTCTTTGCGCTTTCTGGATCATTTCCTGGCGGTACGCGCACTCTCTTGAAGAGGCTGTCTGTCCGCTCTAATTGCTGGAAACTGCCCAGGAAATTGAAGTTCATCTCCATGCCTTCGTAATTGAAGTAGGATTTACCGAGCGGGTGTAGATAACGCGAAGCAAAGTACGCCCAACCTTTTTGAGGTACATTTTGGATGCGCTGCGTCGTGTGTGTGATCATGCCACGGAGGTCAGCAGCGCTATGACACTGCAGCTGGATCGGATACATTGTGGTGAACCAGCCAACTGTCTGCGAAAGGTCGCTCGATACATCAAGAGGTTCGCGTCCATGCCCCTCCGTATAAACAGAGGGTAGTGTGCGATCGGGGAAGACGATACCAAAAGCATGCATAAGTGCTGCCATCATTAGGTCCATAGGCTTGGAGTCGAAGATGTCGTTGACCCACTCCAGAAGCGCAGATGTGGCATCGGCTTGCAGGACAAATTTACGGTGTGTATATGATGACAGGCCTACTTCTGCAGCAGTCAAGTTCCAGTAATCGAATCGTTGCGCTTCTAGCGTATAGTTCAGTGTCTTGCTGGGCTCGAGCATCTGTGCACCTTTGTGTTGGCGGCCGACCCACTCCTGGAAGCCAAGAGAGTGGACAGGAGTTGTATCCTTGCCCGAGAGGATATCTTCAAGGTCCTGGAAGATAACACGGAATGATACAAGATCACTGACTAGATGGTTGATGGCGAGAAACAGATGTTGCCTGCCAGAGTCTTGGATATGCACCGCTGAAGTCAACGGGCCGATCTCGATGTCCACGGCATCCCGACATTTGGCAAATATACCAGGAAGACCATCCTCGGGACAATCCGAGACGGAAGTCAACTTGAACGAAGAATCAGTTTCGTTGGTAATCCTCTGTGTCCATACTCCTGAGACTGTATGCTTCTGGAATCGTGCTCTGAGCATCGAATGGCGCGAAACAACCTTTGCCAGCGCTTGTTGTAGTGTTTCCGTGGAGAAATCCCTGCTTAGCTCTAGAAAGAAACAGATATCGAAGCAAATGTTTCCTTCTGGATGTTCATCCACAAACCACTGCTGGATTGGTGATAATGGGAAGGCAATCTCAGTCTTCTCTTCCATGTTCTCTATCTTACTTATCAGACGTGCTTTCGACTGACACGTCGCTGCCAATTTCGCTATCGTCCGTTGTGTTTGGATATCTCCTACAGCGACAGAAAGCCCCTGTGAGCGAGCAGCAGCCGCGACCTGCATTGCTGTAATAGAATCTCCGCCCATGCGGAAGAAGTCTGTATCTACGTCCAAGGCCTCAGAATTGTTCAACACAGTCTTCCAGATTGATTCTAGTATGACCTCCGTGGCTGTACTTGCGTATCTACTGCTTCTGGATCTTTCAGATTCCAAAAGATCGCTGGCGGTCAGTTTACTCGCGATTTCACGGAGTCGTTTCCGGTCGAATTTGCCAGTGGTTGTCATTGGTATGGTATGCAAAGGGATAAACGCCGATGGAATCATATATGCAGGCACTTTTTCTGATAATCGATCCTCGATACCTTTCGCGAGGACTCTAACGGCTTCCACGTGGTCCTTAGGCAGAAGTGTGCAGTTTTTGTTGCGCCGATTAATGAAAGAAACTAGCGTTGAGTTGGTACTTCCTTTGAGCGTGACGACTTCAGAGATGACGGTGATATTGCAGTCCAGAGGCTGAGGGCTGTCTTCCGTCTGGTATCCACTGTCGCTACTGCCGCTGCTACCAGTGTAAGACTGCTCGTCTTCATTGGAGCTTGGTTCAAGTACTGTTTCTTTCGTGATTATAATGGCTTTCTTCAACGCGGCAGTAACATGTGCATCAACCTCCCCGAGTTCGACTCTTTGGCCGCGGACCTTTACTTGGCTATCTTTCCGAGCCACGTACAAGATGGATCCATCAGATTCGTATTTGACCAGATCGCCAGTCTTGTATAGCCTTCCGCGCCTACCTGAATGACCGGGGGCTCCACGAGCGAGCCACTCTGGGTCATCAATGAAAGCCTCCTTGGTCTTTTCGTCGTTGTTGTAGTAGCCGCGTCCTGTCAGAGGTCCTTCCAGCCATAATTCTCCCACGGTACCTATAGGACAGAGTTGCTCCCCGCTGACAATCCAGGTATTTGTAGCCATGCCTCGACCAATCGTGTACTGTTGATCTTTAATCTCACGCAGAGAAGCTGAAGTAGCCAGAACAGTACACTCGCTTGGTCCATACACAAGCCATATCTCGCACGATTGCCCAAATTTTGGGAGATCTTGAGCCCTAAACTTTTCTCCTCCGACAAGAAGTGTCTGGAGGGTCGGAAGTAACTCAGGTGTGAAGGTCTGCACCAATGCAGGCGTGAAAAACCCGAATGTCACTCCAAATCGAGCCATGGATGACACGGGGTCATCTCGGCGCTCAGTCTCATTGGGGACGCAAAGACAACATCCAGAGAACATTGTGAGAAGCAGGTTTGACCAGGCGAAGTCGAAGCTGTAGGAAGCGAAATCATAGATGCGTGAGGAACTGGAGATTCCGAATGTTTGAATATGGCAGTCGATGGCCGTAACGAAATTGCGGTGTGTAAGCGGCACTCCTTTGGGCTTGCCTGTGCTTCCAGATGTGAAAACCACACACAAGTCATCTGTAGAGTTCCCCGCAGGTGTCTCGAAACTTCCTACCGGACAGCTTTTGATCGCATCGTGACTGACTACAACTGCAGGAAAGTCACCAACTCTTCTGCTCAGTTGCTGATTCTTGTCAGAAGTCAAAGTGACGATAATGTTAAGCTGGTCAGTGATACTACTGAGTCGTTCTCGTGGCTGTGTAACATCTAGTCCAACACCAATACCCCCAGCTTTGACGACAGCAACCATAGCAACAGACATCCACATGGACTTCTCGAACAATAGGGGCACTGTGATACCGGAGCGGACTCCGTATTCCAGGAGCTTGATCGCTACTTGAGTTGACCAATGATCAAGTTCCGTATAGGTCATCGAGCCATCCCACGCCTCCACAGCAATGGCATGCGGGTAACGAGCAACAGTCGCGGCGATTCGTTCCGGAATCCTATCATCAAGAGCTGGCGGCAATTCCTCATTCCATTGCCAGATCTGGCTCAAGTCCTGATCCGTAACTGTCCTGATGGCAGAGAGAGCAGTGTGTCTGTACTCCGTGGTACAGACTTGGCGTAGGACCAGCTCGAATCGCCCAAACAGGCGTCGGACGGCCTGCTCATTCAAGACAGCGGGGTCGAAGGCGGCAAGAATCTGCAGACTATTTCTGGCGAGGACGAAGTCAACCATCAGGGCAAACGTGCCAAAGCCTTCTGTACTTGTGAACTGCTCTTCATCGCTTGTGTTTTCTTCCTCGATCTTCTCGAATATATCACTACTAATGTCTAGATCTGTACCGGGCTGTACCACGATCAGAGACTGAAAGTCGCAGGCTTGCATGGCTTCATGATTGGTTTGCCGAATGCTTTGGAGTCCTGTCTGTTCGAAAGGAACCATGCAAGCTGACTGATCTTGAATCTGTTTCAGAAGAGTCTCAACGCTCGCATCCATCTGTAGGGATACTCTCACGGGAACAGTTGCGATGGTCGGTCCGACCATAGATTCCACACCCGGTACTGCCGCTTGTCGACCAGAAACAACCGCGCCAAATACTGCTTGGGAGGAGTCGCTGTCTTTGGCAGCGACTAGAGCCCAGGCTGCACGAATGACGGTTGACAGTGTGAACTCCGCAGGCACAGGTAGCATGAAGTCTGTGTTGCGACGATATTGCATTCTGGAGTGCGGATGATAGTTTGGTGAAGGTAATTGAGGAAACTGTTGAATATCCAGACCCCCAAACTGATGAGCCCAATACTCATGTTGGGACTCCTTGTCGATGTTCTGGATATATCTCACGAACCCAGAAAAGGGGTAACGGGCAAGGTGAAGGCTCCCATCCTGGTTGTATGCAGTCTCAACAGCCTGTATGATCATAGGGAGGCACCAACCATCATATACGGCGTGATGAAGCCACAGCACAAAAGTTTTGGAGCCAGTGGTGGAGTCTGCGCGTATCTCAGAGGCGTGGAGAGGACTGCCTTGCCGAACGAAACCAGACTGTAGCTCGTTTGTTTCAAAAATCCGCTCCTCTTTCAACACAACTTGTACAGTACCCTCACTGTCAAGTGTAAGAATTCTTGTCCTCAGAATGGGATTTGATAGGACTGTAGCCTCCCAGGCTTTCTTGAAGCGAGATACGTCCACGCCAGGCCGGAGCTTATAATGAAAGTCTGCGATATAGTCACCTTTGCGGCGCTCAGTGAGCGCCAGCAAGCCTTTTTGTAGAGGAGTGCAAGGGATAATATCTTCAATTTGGTCCTCTGCGGTGTCACAAAGACGCGCAGCTTCAAGTCTGAGGCCAGCAGCATTTGTAATGTCTTGCAGTAATGAGAAAGGCTGTATGGTGAGCTCGACTGACTCGGTAGTCATCACGAGCACCTGAGCCAAGTCGCATAGGCGTGGTTTCTGGAAGATAACTGGCACATTCAATGTATACCCGCGCTCACGAGCCATGCTAACAAGCCGCATAGCATCAATTGAATCGCCGCCAATGTAGAAAAAATGGTCCGCTGCACTGATCTGCGAGACTTCTAATCCAAGAACTTCAGACCAAAGTGCTGCCAATTCAGTCTCTGTGCTCGACTGTGGTGCCACGTAGTGACATGTTTCGAATGGTTCTATCACTTGCTCCAGAGTCATCTGAGCCAAAGAATCCCGCAACTTACGGCGATCTGTCTTGCCCGTTGTCGCGGTTGTAAGGCTGCACATGGGTACATATGCCGCTGGAATCATATAGGCTGGAACTCGACCAACAATCTTTTGGTCTATGCCCTTCAGTAGCTGATAAATGACTTGATTGTGTTCGTCTTCCGTCCAGGTATTGTCATCATCCCTAAGCAAAGTGACGAAGGAGATGAGGGAAGGCCGTGTGCTTCCAAGAAGAACGATCGCTTCTGATGTAACGTGAATCTGTGTAATAGCAGCAGACCCCCTGTCTAAGAGAGAACAATCCTCACTCGTCAGCTCTTCGGCTGCATTCGAGGTACAGATCTCGAGGGCAGTCTCCATCAAGATATTTCGAACATTCACGCTGACGTCGTCAAGTTCGACACGTTGGCCTCGAATCTTCACCTGGGAATCGATTCGGCCGCAATATATGAGTCCTCCTTTATTATTAGGGTTGTATCGTACCAGATCGCCTGTCCTGTACAGCCTCCCACTTCTTCCTGGATGGGATGCACTTCCTCTCAATAGCCATTCTGGATCCGTCACAAAAGCAGATGTTGTCTTTTCGGCATTGTTGAGATAGCCACGACCGACAAGAGGGCCTTCTAGCCAAAGCTCGCCGATTGCACCTACAGGGCAGAGTTCCCCACGATTCACGACCCATGTACATGTCTCGAGAGCATGACCAATATCTAACGGATCATTCCTCTTTGGATCGATTCGAGCAACAGTTGTGGTAATCGTGCACTCAGAAGGTCCATACGTCACCAGGAGAGTAGCGCTGTCCGTCCACTCTAAGAACTCTTCTGCAAGTACCGCCTCGCCACTCAAGTTTATCACTTTCAAGGATGGCACCGCAGAAGGATGAAAGAGCTTGCTGACTGTCGGCGTCAACTCAACCCAAGTAGCATCATATCTCGCAATAGCTACTGCAGGATCATTTCTTTCATCTTCTGATGGAATGCAGAGTGTAGCACCTGCGGTGAAAGCGTTCAGTACGTTACTCCAGGATACGTCGAATGCGTATGATGCGAAGTCCAAGATACGAGCATCCTCTGTAATGCAAAGGGCCTTATGCCCATCGCGGATCGCTGTACTAAAATTACGATGAGTAATAGTAATACCTTTTGGTGTGCCAGTTGTGCCCGAGGTGAAAACAACATATAAGGCGTTGTCGGGTTGGACTCTCGTTTCTGATCCGAGGGAGCCAGGAGGAACAGGTAACGCCGCGACATGCTCGGCGATGATGACTTGTCCTCGAGGGAAGATTTCTTCTCCGACATTTGATCTTCGCTTACTCGAAAGGAGTACCTTTGGATCGACTTGTCGTACAATTCCTCGCAATCTTTCGAGTGGCTGATTGACATCTAGCGCCACGGAAGCCCCGCCAGCTTTCATCACTGCAAGCATAGCTACAGGAGTCCAGTAGCTCTTCTCGAACAAGAGTGGGACGATGCTCTCTGGATCTATGAGGTGTATAAGATGGGCCGCTAGCTGTGTCGATAATGCATCGAGTTCCGTATATGTCAATTGACCGTCCCAGGCACAGACTGCCACATGGTCTGGTCGATTTCTCACAGACTGTGCAATCAATTGGTGGACACATTTATCGACCGGGAGAGGAACTTGTCCATTCCATTTCCATATTGTGTCAAGATCGGCAGATGATGTTGCGATAACAGAAGACAGCGGCACAGAAATGTGCTCTCCACTCTTCAGCTGTTTCAGAACGGACTCAAAGCGGGCGAATATGCGATCCACCTCAGTCGGTCGGACCACTTGCGGATCTACCGCGATTTGTATCTCGAAAGAGTTCGATGCTTGGAGGAAGCAGTCGATCGTAATTGCGTAGCTTCCGAAGCCGTTCGCGTTGCTTGACACTGGCCCATCAGTTGGGCTTTTTGAAACTTTGAAGATCTCTGTGCCACTAGTTGTATTTTCTGCCGGATTGATTGTCAGAAGAGACTGAAATCTACAGGCCTCTTCTGCATCATCACTGGCCTTTCGAATCCGTTGCAGTCCGGTCTGCTCGTATGGTACAAGCTGAACCATTTGTTCTTGTACCTGGCTGAGATAATGCTTCACGGTCTGTTCGCGTTCTAATTTGATTCTCACAGGAACCGTGGCGAGAGTTGGACCTATGATATCCTCAATACCTACAATCTCAGTAGCTTGTCGACCCGAACAAATAGCACCAAATACAGCTTCATTTGATGCACTATCACTGGCGACGAGAAAGGCCCACGTCGCACGGAGGAATGTTGCCATTGTAAAGTGAGATTTCGTGGTACTGTCAGAAAGATTTATGCACTGTCGGTTTATCTCAGTTGCTTGAGGATAATAGTCTGTAGATGGGAGCCTTGGATATGTCTGAGCATCTAATCCGTCAAACTGAGCTTTCCAGAAACTGTCTTGTCCCTCGATGCTGGTAATGTGCTTCACAAACCTGCCAAAAGGAGCAATGGCAGGAAATGATTTACCTTCATAGGTCTCGACAAGGGCATCAAAAATCTTTGATACAGACCAACCATCATAGAGAGCGTGATGAATCTGCCAAACGAACGTTCCGTCGTTCTCACCATTAGTCAAAACAGTAGCTTTGGATAACGGGCGTCCAAGAATCTCGGTACTTAAACCAGGATAATTTTCAGGAGTCTTTTCCAGGAACTCTAGGGCTTCCCCACTGGACAGTATGACCTGCGACATCCCTTCTCCGGGTAGGTTGACAATATAAGTTCTGAGTATTGGTATATGGGCCACAACTTTATTCCAGGCATCTCCAAGGCGCGAAAGATCCACATGGCTTCTCAGCTCATATGAGAATGTGGCGACATAGTCTCCCTCCCTGCGCGCAGTCAAAGCTAAGAGGCCCTCTTGCAACGGTGTACATGGAAGGATATCTTCAATATCTGCTGCCCTTACGTTGCAAAGGGATGCGGCCTTGATCACAACCTCTTCGAGACAGTTGCTGGAGTTTAGAAGAGAAAACGGCTCCGGGTCTTTCGACACTGGTAATGGTGGCTCTTTGTCGCGAGCAACAGCAGCAAGCTGCGAAAGTTGCGGTGTTCGGAAAATCTGCGCGACTGTGACTTTAATGCCTTGACGTTGAGCAGCACTGACTACTCGCATAGCGTCTATGCTATTTCCACCTATCTGGAAGAAGTCGTCATCGATACTGATCTGAGTCTTGTCTCTTCCTAGGACTTCTGCCCACAAGGCTGCCAGTTGGATTTCCTTGCTCGTTACAGGTTGTCGCAATTCCCGTGACGATAGCTTCTCAGCCGTGATTTCATCCAAAGTGAGACTGCTCGCCAACTGTTGAAGTTTCTTCTTGTCCGCTTTGCCGGTTGCCGTGAGTGCGATCTCATGGAGTGGGATACATGCTGTAGGGATCATGTATACTGGTACCCGTTGGCGGAGCTGACTCTCCAGCCTGCGCACCAGAATTTTCACAGCAGCATCATGCTCATAAGTTGTCCAAGAGGTACCGACTCCTTGCTTCAGGTTGATGAACGCAACAAGGGAGACCTGAGAGCTTCCTTTCAGCATTACAGCTTCTGCCATGACATTGATTTGTGTCGTGGTCTTGATATGTGATTCGTCTTGATCCAACTCTTGCTGGAGCACAGCTTTGATATGATGTTCTACTTCGCCAAGTTCAATTCGTTGTCCCCGAATCTTGGTTTGTTGATCTCTGCGTCCGATGAATACCAGACCACCGTTATCATTATACCGGACTAGATCTCCAGTTCTGTATAGCCGACCTCGTCGACCAATACGATTTGGGCCACCCTTTAGCAACCACGGAGGGTCCTCTACAAAAACAGCATTGGTCTTCTCCGGATTGTTAAGATAGCCTCGACCTACGAATGGACCTTCTAGCCATAGTTCGCCAACGGTACCGACAGGACACAGCGCATCCCCGCGAGCATTGACAATCCATGCATTGGTACCAAAATTATGACCAATACCCTCGCTCTGATGAGATGATTGGTCAATGGGAAGACAAGTAGTACAAATCGTCACCTCACTAGGACCGTAGGTAACGAGGACCTGTGCGTCTGCAAACCAGTGACGGAAGTCTTCGAAGCAAATGAACTCTCCACCCATGTTTAGAACTCGCAGCGAGGGTACAGAGGATGGTTCGAGAAGTTTGGCTACAGTTGGTGTCAAGTCAACATAGGTAGCACTGAACTTGGCTATAGCCAGTCCAATATCGCTGCGTCGATCGTCCTCACTAGGAATGCACAGTGTTGCGCCAGAACTGAATGCATTAAGGAAGTTTGACCACGAGACATCGAATGCATATGACGCGAAATCAAATATGCGGTGATCTTCAGTGAACTTCAGAGTGTCCTTCATATAGCATTCTTGGGCAGCCGTTGCGAAGTTTCCATGTGTGATAACAACGCCTTTTGGAATGCCAGTAGTGCCAGAGGTGAATATAATGTAAAGAGCATTCTTGGATTGAATGCTTGGCCATTCCATACTCGAACCCATAGTCTGTGGGGGTTGTTGAAGAGTATTGTTTTCGACAATGATGACTGGTCCAGCGGATAGTTTCGATGCAAGAGTCCTATTCGATGCGGAGCAAACAAGAACTTTCATGTTACTGACTTGGTTGATGATTGAATGTAATCGCTCTTCAGGCTGACTGATGTCTAGAGCTACAGATGCTCCTCCAGCCTTGAGAACTGCGAGCATGGCGATGGGCGTGAACATGCTTTTCTCGAACACAAGAGGTACGACCACTTCGGGACCAACACCATAATTATGAACAAGATCAACAGCTAACTTGGTAGAAAGTGCGTCAAGTTGTGTATACGTGAGTTTTCCATCCCACGCGTCAACGGCTAGAGAATCTGGACGGCGGCTGATAGTAGAGGCAATAATATCTCTCACATTTCCGTCAATGTATTTGGGACAAGTCTGGTTCCAGTCCCAGATTTGATTGAGGTCCTCGTCTAGAACCAGTCTGATATCCTCAATTTTAGTCGCTTGGTTTGTCTCTGAGCAGATTTGTCGTAGTATTAGCTCGAATCTCTGAGCAAGGCGCTTGATCTGCTTTTCACTAATGACGACCGGATCAAAGGTTACCTGTAGCAGCATCCCGTCATCTCTCAAGAAACAGTCGAGAGCCAGACTATGCGTTCCATAACCTCCTGAAGACGACATGCCAATCTCCATGTTATGGTCTTCGTGCATGTCAAGCAATGGTCGAACCGACTGTATCATTTTCTTGGGATGGACAATCAAAAGGGACTGGCTATCGCATGCTAACTGAGCTTCCTTACTGGCCTGGCGAATGTTCTGAAGCCCAGTCTGCTCATAAGGAATCATATGGACAGCTTGCTGCTGCACCTGGGCCAAAATTTCTGCAACGGTCAGCTCAGCACTTGTTCCAATGCGCAAAGGTACAGTATTGAGGGTAGGCCCAAGTATGTCCTCTATACCCGTGATTGCAGCTTGACGACCGGAAACCACAGCACTGAACACTGCTTCGTCAGATCCAGTATCGCTGGCTAAGAGAATTGCCCATGCTGCACGTATTGCGATGGAGCTTGTCGCAATTGTTTTTCCCCTGGGCAGTGTCAAGTCGTAGCGGTAGATATGAGAGGGGTATGGATGGTATTCAGGGGATGGGAGGCTCGGAAATTGTTGCGCGTTCAGTCCATCGAACATAGTTTCCCAAAAGAGCATGGTCTTTGTAGGATCCAAGTTCACTGTGTGATGGACAAATGTTGCGAATGAGGGTGATTTGGGTATGCAATGTCTAGCATAAAGCTGTCCCACCCGGGCGATGATCTTGGGTAAAGACCATCCATCGTAAACAGCATGGTGCACTTGAACTTCCAGTTTTGCGACGTGGTCAGTTTCGTTCGTGTTTATTCGCGCGAACAGCAGCGGTTGGCCTAGCATACCAATCGATTTCAAAGAATTTGCGGAATTTTCCGTAAGGTGGAGCGCGAGTGATTCATCGTTTTTAAGCACGACCTGAACAAGTCCGATGCCGGTCGTGTTGACGATACGAGTACGGAGAATTGGCGTCGTCGCGATAGTGTCATTCCAAGCTTGCTGTAGCCGTGTCATGTCGACGTCGGAACGAACATTATAAGTGAACTTGGCAATATAGTCTCCCTCTCGACGTGCTGTGAGAGCCATGAGACCTGATTGCGACGAAGTGCAAGGAAGCACATCCTCAATACAGTCGGCTGTAACATTGCACAAAAGGGATACAGTCTCTCGAACGTCAATAGGATTCGTGGGCAACAGAGAAAAAGGAGTCACCTCCAACTCCATGGTCGGTGGAGCTGTACTTGCAATTGTGGCAAGATCACAAACACGAGCGTGCTCAAAGACGTCCAGAGCATTGAAATACAATCCAGACTTCCTAGCTAGGCTAACAAGTCTCATTGCATCGATTGAATCGCCGCCGATCCGAAAGAAATTGTCATCTGCACTGATTGAATCAATTTCGCGCATCAAGATTACCGCCCAAAGGGCGATTAGTTGCGTCTCGACAGCAGTCTCAGGTAGGATGATGCGGCGAAGGGAGTGCTTAGACTTGTAATCAAGTTCCTGTGAAGTCTTCCCCTGGAGTGAAGCCCGAAGCTTTCGCCTATCTAACTTACCAGCTACAGACACGGCCAAGTTAGATACACTTACATACATAGAAGGGATCATGTATGTGGGCACTTTGGCTCGTAATTCGTTGTTGACATTGTCGGTCATGTCAGCGATAGCTTCTTCTTGTTGCTCTTGGGGGAGAGGGGCTGCGTCTTGGGCACTTGAGATCGAGATAAAAGCAACAAGTACCGAGCGTTTGTTGCCATCCAGCGTAATGGAATCAGCCGTGATATGAAGGAAATTCGTGGCCATACCCCTGGAATTCATTTCCGCTAGGAAAGCATTGCGTACGTGCCACTCAACTTCGCCCAGCTCGACACGCTGGCCACGGATCTTGACTTGACTGTCATCTTTGCGTCTAATGTAGACTAGACTGCCATCTGGATTGTACTTGACAAGATCGCCGGTCTTGTAAAGCTTACCGGCTCTGCCAACAGACGTGGTAGATGGACCACCTTGAAGCAGCCACCACGGGTCTTTGATAAACGATATATCAGTGCGCTCAGGATCGTGTAGGTATCCGCGACTGACGAGTGGTCCTTCTAGCCATAGCTCCCCAATTGCTCCTACAGGGCACAGCTGGTTGCCTTTGACAATCCAGGCATTACTTGCGATAGGGAAGCCTATCCCAGTTTCTCCATTCGCAAGTTGAGCACATGTAGTCGTGATGGTAGCTTCCGCAGGACCGTAGGTAATTACCATCTCAACATGATCTCGCCAATTTTCGAAGTCCTTGACCACAACTTTCTCGCCACCGAGATTGAGCTTCTTGAGACACGGGATCTTGGTTGGGTCTATCGTCCGAGCCACAGTGGGTGTGAGATGTACGTAAGAGGTACGATACTTCTGTATTGCCTGTTCCAGATCTTGACGGCGTTCGTCCTCCGATGGAACCACGAGACAAGCCCCGGTAACGAGTGTGTTGACGAAGTTCGACCAGGCCACATCAAAAGAATACGATGCAAAGTCGAGCACTCGATCATCTTCTGCAAAAAGCTGTCGTTCTCGACCAGCCTGGACAAAAGTGCAGAGGTTGCTATGCGTTACCACAACACCTTTAGGTACGCCGGTACTACCGGAGGTAAACTGAATGTACGCTGCGGTGGACAGATTCGTGGCAGAGAGCACAGCTGATAGAGTTGATCCTTGCTCGATGGTATCTCGATCAATGATCATTACAGTACCTGCATGGGCAGAGTGTGCAAGTACATTGTTGTTGCTTGAAGCAAGTGCAACAACAGGTTGTGTCGTCCCCATCAGACGAGATAAACGCTCTATAGGTTGAGTAGTATCGACAGCGAGGCAGATCCCACCAGCTTTCATAACGGCAAGCATGGCCACTGGCATCCATACGGACTTTTCGAAGAGTAGCGGTACCACATTCTCAGCCGTCACACCTTGGGCGACTAGCTTCGTCGCTACTGTGTTCGATAACTCATCCAGTTGTCTATAAGTTAATTCGCCGTCCCAGGCATGTATTGCGGTCGCGTCAGGCCGTCTTCGAGCAGTATCGGAGATCAAGTCGTGCACACATCTGTTATGGGACACAGGTACAGAGTCGTTCCATCGCCATATATCTACTAGATCGTCGTTGATAGCCACGTTGATGTTGCATATCATCTTTTCCTGGGATTGCGCAAGTTGATGTATTACTTGCGTGAGTTGCTGAAGAATTCTTTTGACCTGCCATTCGGCGATGACGTTGCTGTCATACCAGGCGTCTATGTCAATGCCATCTTTTTCGAGAGAGCATTGAATCGTAAGAGCCTGGCTAGCGACTCCGTGATCAGCCTCTTGACGACGCCAGCTACCGATGGATGAGTCAAGTTTCATGGTGCTTTTTGAGGGCTGGACAATGAGTAGCGTTTGGAATCCACTAGCAATACTGCCTTCTTCACTGACACGTGAGATACTGCGTAGACCCAGATGCTCGTAAGGTTTTGAGGTCTCGATCTTCGTTTGTGAGTATCTAAGAAGATCGTACACTCTGGTTTCGTCTGTCAACACCAGACGTGCAGGAAGTGTGGAGATTGTGCATCCCACAGTCGACTTCGGGACGAAGTCTCGCCCGGCAACGATAGTGCCGAAGCAAACATCATTCGTACCAGTATGGGTTGCAATAACTATAGCCAGCGCAGCTCGAATGAGTGCTGTTCTTGAGACACCTTCAACCTTGGGTATCGCCGGACAGAGATGACAACAAGTCGAGGTTGCCAGAGGCTTATATTCCTGAGTAGGTAATTCAGGGAAAATAACCGAGTCCAGCCCATCCAGTTCATCCTTCCAGAATTTTTGGGCATCTTCAATACTCCTTTCTTGCAAATTGGTGATAAAATTTCGGAAAGGTGGGACTTCTATAGCCGGCTTTCCATTATATATTGAACAGACTGCTTTTGTCATGTTCTTGAAAGACCATCCGTCATAGATTGCGTGATGAATCGTCCACACAAAAGAGCGGTGGTTAGAGTGGGTGTTCACTATAAGCGAGTACCTAGCCAATGGCTCTCCAAGAGACCAAGTGAAAGACTTCGCGGCCTTAGCACATTCCTCGAAAGATTCGTAACGACTCCATTCAAACGAAGTGTCAAGGACCACCTGAATCAAGCCACTTTCCTCGGTATCGATGATTCGAGTTCGGAGAACATCTGTTAGGTTGACGTATTGCTCAACTGCTGACTGGAGAGTCGCTAGGTTGACTTCTGGGGACAAGTCTAGCACGATATGCCTAATCGGTGCTCGAGACCCCCGACTTGTTTGAGCAATGAAGCCCTCCTGCATAGCAGAGCAAGGAAAGCTGTCTTGTATAGCAGCAGGGCTACAGCCAAAAGCTTTGGCGAGCTCCTGAGCAGTTGGTGGTGATGAAGTCATTGTTAGACAAGATTTTATCACCAAAAAGGAGAAGCTGAGACTTGGTCAGTGCAATGCTCATATCACATGGTCTTTGGACGTTGTGGAATGAGACTCCTACGAATATTTGATTGATCCAGCTGAGAGCTAATCTGCTACACTCTGTCGTAATGGCGCGAAGGATCTGGGGATTGTGGAAAGAAACAGAAACAGCTATGCAATGTGATGTTGCTGTTTGTGATCACGAGAAATCTCAAGCCTCATATAAACGGTCCACGCTGCACCTATAGAAGGACAGTGACCTAGCAACGTTACATCGGAAAATGCTCCTACCGCCATACGATAGGAAGGTTGGGGTCTATTCGTGCCATTGTAAGCAATACTTGTTGCACCGAAATTCTCATTCGTCGATGTTGGTCGGAATCCTTTCAAGCAACGTTGGAACATCCACTGCCGGCATGATGCCAAGCCAAAAGGCCATCGGAGAAGGAGAGCAGGAATGCCTGCTGCACTATAATCATGAATTAGCATAGTAGTGACCAAGCTTCAAGCAAGCACCTGCACCAGTAGGACATTGAGTTCCTGGCTCCGTGGTAAGCCACAAGTTACTCCATTCGGGAAATGGTGACCAACAGACAATACAACTATTAGTGTCCAAAGATGTGGAGCAATTTCTGAAGCTCTTGCAGGTGAGAACTAATTTGTCCAAGTAGCAAGCGTCTAGAGGACACGCGGATGAACTCTGTGAATTCCTATGGTCAGCGTTGTAGTCCCGATTTCGATACAGGCATAAGATAAAAAAATTCAAAACGGCCGAGCCGAAGTTACAGACTCATTACAAGCAGCCACTTTGCTTCGCGCAGCTACCGGTCTTTGTGTCTTACTAGGAACTATTACTCATATTCTGAGACAGTGTCGGCTGAGATCCAATGGTAATGCTAACTCGTTCGTTGTGCTAATGTTAATCACTATACAGGAGTTAAAGCCGAAATACCACCTGCATGACCACTGATCAGTAACCGCTTACGTGAGTAAATGCCATGTACGGCACGGTCCATGTGCAATCCCTGCATGATGAGGTTAACGGCGTGTCCTAATGCAAGGTCAAGCGCAGAGCCGCAGCCACATATTCAGCCGCAAGCTTTGATATAATACAGCTCAATAATACAAAGCTAGTAATGAGTTGCAACTTTTTTCCTACTCCATTTGCTCTTGGAGGCGTAACTAAGTACGTGATTTTATCACGTGCTCAGCGCTTACGTCTTAGCTCCAGATGACATCTGTCAACCTAACGCGTAAGAGCGTAATTACTGTAGGTCCATCGGATCTTAATCAGGGTCCAAGATCAGCAGGATCGGCAGTGAGTATTTATGACCTATATTATATGAACACTAATTACTATTGCCTACTTGTACGACTGACTACGATGATATGCTTTTGTATAACACAGGTTGCAGAGTACAAGATGATCCAGGTGTGGGTGTGTGCTAGACTCACCGCTTGGGTGATGATACCTTGTTGAAGTGTATGTTAACAGTGGGTTTGCTGACTTGGATATTCCCACCCCCCTCTCCCCCAAAAAAAAAGCCTGCGGGGAGTGGGTCGCAAGCAGGAGACCTAGAGAGCGTCCTGTAAGCGAAACTAAGGATCTTTAACTCCACTGCTCGTGACGAGTCAGCTGGATTCAGCCATTGACAATGAACCGGTAATGTGCTGGTTTCTGCGACTCTGACCGCGCTTTTGAAAATAGTTGAGCCTCCAGAGCTGGGATCTATCACTGTGAAAGCAGTAGGACCAAGGCGTCTTGGAATGTTTAGAGCATCGCCTTAAGAAGGCCATGGCGTTGCGAGGACCAAGCCGGCATACTTAATCCAGTAGATTGAGCGACTAGCAAGTCGTAGTGTCTGCTAAGAGCTACTAATCGACTGGACACGATTTGATACCTTGACCATGATTGGAGAAACCACATACCTAGAAACCCTCCATTTCGTAAGCCTATTCCAACTAGATGCCGGCGTATTAGTATTGAAACCCCTGTTGGTCACATTTCAAATCTGCAATGTATTTGACGCAAGTGGGGAAAATGGCCCCGGCACGAACCTAAGTTGCAGCGTGCATATTAGTGCTACCGGTACCCAGGTGTGTATGATACTAAAAGTTGGAATGAATAGTAATGCGGTTCTCGAGTCTCAGTTGCGCATAAGTCGGACCTGGAAAGCTGTCGGCTCAACGCCATAATGTTTGAATGCTGATTTCCTGCTAAGAATCTGGTGCGTAGGTTGTTGGTTCAGTGTGTTTTGACGGTAAAAAGTAGTCCGCCACATATCACAGACCATAGCCCTATCAAATCAAAGGGCATTCCCACCCAAAAAGTACCATGTCTCATACCCCACCCAAATGCTGCAGCCAGTATTGGAGCTCCAAGCATCGATCCAACAATGTCTATAACGCTGATGACACTAAACAATGTTGCTAGGCGGCTGCTCGGAACAAGGGACGCTGCGAGGCTCCGCAGAAAAAGAGCAGTGCCACTACCTAGAGTACTCACCGTCATGCTAACAGCTACAAACAAAGTGTTCGTTGCCATTCCCGTTCCAGTCCAGCCTGCAGCTTGCAGGAAGATGGAGACTCGAGCAAGGTATAGATCCTTAACTTGCGTGCTCCATCTTTGTTCTCGCGTCATATACGTTGACAGGCGTGGTAATACCACAAGGAATAGCAGAATGCTACAACCAGCTCGGAGAGAAAAGAAAAGTGTTGCCTGTGAGATTGTGAAACCGAGGCGGCGGCTCAAAAATTGCACCTGCAGCTGGGAGGTTCCTGAGATCAATAAATGCTCGGTGTACGGCAACAGAATGATCATTAAGGTCCAGTACTTGAACACGAAGTTCTTGGTCTGTTGCAGCCACGAATCTTCATAGACACTTGAGTCGTCGGTAATTTGTTCTCTGTTGGGTGTGCAAGGCTGGGTTTGAGGATATTCAGTCCCTGTTTCCATCAGACACTCGTTGCACGCCGGAGACGTGTTTATTATGTCTTGTGCCTCGTGAGGGTCATGCTCTTGATTTTTCAACGTCTCTGGAACGAACATGGCCAGAAATAGAGCGACCAGAAGAAATAAAAGACCTGCGGAACTAGGGAGCCAAGGGCTAACTCGCATAGACCATGCGGACAGCGGTGGGATTAGTAACAATGGGAATAGAGACGCTGCTCCGAGGCGGAAGAACGCGTTTGTCTGTTCTTCTTGCGGCGTCACATCTGATACAACCACAAATATGAGGTTGTAGAGGACCGTAGTACTTCCAGCGAAAAGACCGTTCAAAGATGATAGTAGGGTCCAATAAATGCTTTGTTGTTGCCAGAACCAGCACACGTACTCGTACCAGACCCATCGTGCAAGAGACGAGACAAAGCCTGATATTAAGAAAGGTTTCCGTCCAAACTTATCGGCTGCCATTCCAAAGGGGAGGGCAAGAAGAAGGCTCATAAGGCTATCGAATATTTGTTGATATGAAGCCAAATTCGCCATGTCTGACTGAATGGCGTCGACTTTGCACCAGGACTCATCAACACCATTCACGGCACCTGCGGCAACCGTGTCTCTCCCATGGAGAATCTTGCTGGGGTCATACTTTTCGTAGAACCTATAGCAGAATATAGACTCCACGATACGGGTTCTGGGGGCTTCAATCAGTTGCTCGCCGCAGACTTGCAAGAAGACAATAGCGAACAGTAGAACAAGGGTTCGCCTTGGCCTATCTCGAATCTTTATATCATCGGGCTTGAACACCCCTGCCGTGCCAGACTGTTCATTGGACGATAGTAATATGCTGGACTCTGTAGGTTCCTCGAGTTGGTGCTGTACTCTTCTTCTGGAAGATTTATGGACGCTAGTGTGCCTGACTGAGTTGATGTGCACCATGACCTTACTTTCGACTGGTTTAAGGGCAGGAGGCGATAGGTTTTGCGACAAAAGGGTTGCCTAACACAGCATAGAATTCATGAGAGTGATAGGGTTCGATAGCAAATGCCTCCGGAGCTCCTTTGTAGTTGCACTGTGGTGACTGTGAGTCTGTGCCCTCACGAACGTTCGAGGGTTTAAGGGATTATGCAGATTAGTTAGTCCCTGTGAAGGATCACGCTATGTTATAGCCACCCTCGCACCGCGATTTACGCTAGGGACCAGCCGACAGCCTTGGCGTTCCGAACTCTATGGATCCTTCAATAGGCCCCCAAGTAGGTGCCGGCGTTTGCACCTGCCCGGCTTACGGATTCCAACATAACAATGAACACCTGCAGACTGCGATGCTACCGTAGCAAATGCACCACGATTTTACCACATCTTAGCTCAATATCAAACTCACGTGATATGTGAAGAAGGATGGGGGTTTGGTTTGGCACCCTAGACTCGACATGATCTCTGCGTTCTTCCTGCGGTCCCTCTGGAATGACTTGTGGGCATCCGGATGCTTATTTGTCCTCAAGAAGACGGTTTTTTAACGAGTATCCAGAAAGATCGAAACCTTCTAGTCTGAGGAATCATTTCACAATGTCCTGTCAAGACTCAAGCTTCGGTCCTACAATCACAGGATGTCGCTCCGGATTCGACTTCACTCTGTACTTTCAGTATGTGATATTATCCGCACTGCCGTCATTGGTTTTCATATTCGCAGCACTGGCGAGGATATTCCAATTATGGCAGCGAAAACCTGTTTTGGGTGGTCGGAGATTGCAGACACTGAAGCTGGTTCGCATAATGTAATACCTCTAGCGTAGTCCAATACTAAATCCAGTCAGATCACCAATTTATTATTTTTTGCTGCACGACCAGCAATACTGGGGACTGGACTCACGTACTCTGGATCATTACGGTGGAGCTTCTCACTGTCCGTTGGCTTATCAATATTTTGCGCTCTTCTCTTCATCGTTCTGTCTTTTCTTGAACACGAGAAAAGCATTCGTCCATCTACGATCCTCGTCACGTATATGGCCTTCACGATATTGTGCGATGCGGTCTGTATCCGGACCTATTGGCTTATGCAAGTTCCTGTCGGCTTGTTCAGCTCCCTGGTTACTTCCACTGCGCTGAAACTTGTGATCATGAGCCTCGAGAGTATCGAGAAGAGGAAATATATTCCTGTAGGAATGCGGCCTCAGAATCCGGAAATGACGAGCGGTATAGCTGCTATCATCACCTTCTTTTGGCTGAATCCTTTGTTGTGGATCGGTGCACAACGAGATCTTCGTTCTTGTGACCTGTACAACCTAGACTCGGAACTTGGGACTGACGATGCTGCTGCCAAGTTTGCGCGAGTTTGGAAAGACACAGCTCAGCGACATATTAAGGCCCGAAGCATTCGGTCACTTTTATGGATGCTGAAGTGGAAGATATTGGGTACAATTCCTCCTCGGATTACTCTCCTAATCCTCACGGTATGCTCACCTCTCGCCCTAAAGAATCTCTTGAATTATTTGCAAGAACATGAGCGGTATTCGTCTGCTCTAGGCTACGGCTTCATATTAGCTTTTGCACTGATCTACCTCGGTATAGCGGTGTCCACAGGTCTCTACTGGTATAACCACTTTCGTGTCATAACAATCGTACGAGCGTGTCTGGTATCAGCAATCAGTAGCAAAGCTGGAACTATCGACAATGCTTCCGCAAAAGATCCACAGGCCACCTTAACTCTTATGAGTTCAGATGTGGAGCGTGTTGTAGAGGGACTACGCACGGCGCATGAGCTTTGGGCCAATGTTCTACAAGTCGCTGTCGCAACATACCTCCTCTCAAGAGAAGTAGGCGTTGCCTGCGTAATACCTGTTCTTGTAGCAATCATGGCATCTACTGTATCTACTTGGGTCAGCAATCTTGCGAATGGACGACAAATTGACTGGATGGCCCTTTTGCAATCGCGAATCGGAGTAAGCTCAAATACTTTACTTGCCATCAAAAGTGTAAAGATGCGAGGCCTAGAATCAACACTCCGTGGAATTATCGTACGACTCCGCCGCGCGGAACTACACGAGGCCAATCGATTCCGTTTTATGGGTGTATTCACGGTCTTCTTTGGCTACGCGCCAGAGTTGCTTTCGCCAGTCCTGACCTTTCTGGTCGTATTAGTGCGCACAGGTTCACTGGACGCCACCACGGCATTTACAACGCTTTCGTTGATCCAAATTCTGGCCCAGCCACTAAATCTATCTTTGCAGAATCTGCCTTTCTTTGCATCGACGTTTGGGTGCTTGGAGCGAATTGATGAATATCTCGAGTCAACTGACTGGATAGATCCTCGAGCTAGATCTGAGAATGAGAAGCACTCGGTACCGATCAGAGATCATTCAACTCAGGAAAAACTACCTCGCGAATCATTTGACCATAGTTCGTACGTCAGCTCTAAGGCCATTGCTTTCGAAGGCGCGTCATTTGCGTATGATGGTCAGCCTGAGACACTCAGGGACATCGTGGCAAGTGTTGCATTTGGAGACCTAGTTTGTATCATCGGCCCTGTAGCTTGTGGCAAAACGACGTTCTGCAAAGCAATTCTCGGTGAAATTGCTCCCAAACTTGGCAGTTGCTACATATCCAGCCCGCATGGTAAACGCTCAGTCTCATACTGTAGCCAAGAGCCTTTCATCAGGAATCGCACGGTCAAAGAGAATGTCATCATGTACTCAGATTTCGATGCCAGCTGGTACGAGACCGTCAGTCAAGCATGTGGACTAACCAGAGAGTCATCTGGTCTATCAGAAGGAGATATGACCATTGCCGGCAGCGATGGTGCAAGGCTAAGTGGCGGTCAAAAGCAAAGGATTGCGGTCGCACGGGCACTATACGCTCGCAATTCTATAATGATATGCGACGACGTGCTTAGTGGACTAGACGGTACAAGCGCTTGGAATCTCTTCCAGGGTGTTTTTGGCGCCGATGGTCTGGCGAAGAAGCTTGGAATAACAGTGGTCTTTGCGACGCATACAGTTCGCTTTCTTCCGTACGCAGATCATGTCATCGTCCTGAGACCGGGCGGAACTATCAGTGAGTCAGGAACTTATGACTCTTTGCGGTCCTCTTCAGCATACGTACAAGCCCTCGCAACCTACGACACCACAGAAGTTGAGCTGGCCAAAAGTGTGGATCCATTGACGCCCTCTTCAGATGGTAAACTTCATGAAGGTGGAGACTCACAACAAACATCGTCGACTAGACTACAAGGCGAGTGGTCCACCTATGCCTACTATTTCAACACCATGAAGTCGTACACGCTTATAATTCTTATCATCTTTGCGATTCTCGTGGCTGGCTTCTACGTAGTTCCGTCCTACTGGTTGAAGGTATGGACAAGCGGTAGTATTGGTAGTGTCGGAGAGTACTCATACTGGGGCGTGTACACATGCTTCCTCTGCACTGCGCTCTTCTCTCTGCCAATCTTCGAGTATGTTTCCCTCATCCAGGCTGCAACGCAAGCGGGCGTTGCACTGCACGACAGGATCCTACAGTCCGCACTAAATTCTTCGTGGTCACACTTCTCCCGGATCGACGTTGGTTCAATCACGAATCGCTTTTCTCAAGATCTTCAGTTGATTGACGGAGAGCTCCCGTTGGGTCTCCAGAATCTCATTCTGAGCATTCTCCTAGCTCTTGGTCAAGCCATTCTAATCGCTGTTGCAGCGCCATATGTAGCCATATCATTTCCATTCATTATAGTCATACTTGCAGTTGTCCAGAGGTTCTATCTTCGCACCTCACGACAGCTCAGAATCATGGACTTGGAAGCCAAGAGCCCGTTGTATACACATTTCACAGAAGTGATCAAAGGCTGTTCGACGATTCGAGCGTTTGGATGGACCTTGGAGTCTAATAAGGAGCTGCTTGAACTTCTCGAATCCTCACAAAAGCCGTTCTATCTGCTCAACATGGCTCAAAGATGGCTCACATTCGTCCTTGATGTAATTGTCGCGATTATTACCGCGCTGATTGTCGCCATCGCAGTGACCCTGCGGTCTTCAAGCGGGTCAGTCGGAGTTGCGTTGACGCAAGTCATGTCGACTAGTCTAATATTGCGTACTATCATTCTCACGTGGACTCGTGTCGAACAAAGTCTCGGGGCAGTAAGCCGCATCCAAGACTTTGCAAAGAACACGCCATCGGAGCACCTCGAGTCCGAAAACCATGAGCCTTCACAGCGATGGCCCAAGTCTGGTGAAATCGTATTCCAGAATCTTTCAGCAATCTACACGTAGACATACCCTGCCCTGGAGATTTCTTTTTATCTCGTGCTAATGCAATTCCAGGTCCCGTCCACATCAGCCAGCTATCAAACAGATCAGAGGCACCATATCTGATGGTCTCAAAGTGGGCATTTGCGGTGGCAGTGGCAGGTAAGCCGTTGGGCATCTCAGAGTGAAATCAAGCTAACACGGAGAAAATTACACAGCGGGAAATCCTCCTTACTACTTGCCATCCTGCACATTCTCGAATTCCAGACCGGCAGCATCGAAATAGACGGCGTGGACATTCGCTCCGTGCCACGAGGCCGCCTCCGCCGAGCCCTCAACACCATCTCCCAAGAACCGCTCTTGCTCACAGGCACAATCCGACTAAACCTCGACCCCGAAGGCCAATGTCCCGACTCCCAGCTCCTCGCAGCGCTCGCAAAGGTCGACCTCCTAGCATTCGTCGAGCGCGAAGGAGGTCTTGACGCCGCAATGAAGCCCGAAAGCTATAGCAGCGGCCAGCGCCAGCTCTTCTCGCTCGCATCAGCCATTCTGCGAAGAAGCAAGATTGTCCTGATTGACGAAGCAACCAGCAAGTAAGCTCATATGACCCTTCTTTCCTTCGTGTATGTTCTCTGACGGCAGTATCATTTCTAGCACGGACGCGCAGACGGACCAGCTTATGCGGAGCGTCATCGCGACGGAGTTTGCAGATTGCACCGTTGTCACAGTCGCGCATCGTCTGGATGCTATTGCGGATTGCGACCAGGTGATTGTGATGGGTCACGGGTGTGTCCTGGAATGGGACAGCCCGGCGAGCCTCCTGGCCAGAGACTCGGAGTTTAGGAAGCTGTGGATGAAGCAAGCCAGAGCGCCAACAAGGTCGGGGACGGGCTTGAACAGCATAGAATAAGTACTCTGTGGACAGGCATAAATGTAGCGGAACGTCGCGCTCGGAAGGGGGCAAGCCATGAATGGTGATGTTTTGACTTATTTTGTTACGCCATTATGAAATTATGAGTCGGTCATATGCTGTTAAGAAGAGCGCTGTAGCTCAACAACAAGCCCCTACAAACGTCGACACCTCTGCTGGTGCCGAAGCCAAGCATATCAAAGTGGCAGGACAGCTATACAAGCAATGAATCCAAGAAACTCACCGCAGTGTATTCACGATAGCCAAACAAGCATACCAACAGTAGCACTCACCAACAAACTGACATCATACAATCACATTCAATCACAAAACCTGAACCAAACAAATACTTACTTAATCCCCATCAGAAAAAGCACGCTTCCAACAAGATAGCAATCCCGCTTCATGGGTATATATACGATCATCATCTAATGCTCCGTTGCACTAATCAAGCATTCACGGCCAATGTTTACATGAAAGTTATCTAATATCCTGAATCGACATGCACGTTTGGATTTTGACCTGGGTAACACTCCCCGGAAGCATGTACGAAATGAGCTCCTTGGCGGGGAACTGATTTGTTATTGGTATAGTATCTTGGTTTGGTTATATAGAGTGTTATTATTTTGAATATACATATATATATATATGCATGCATTATCAAAGAAACTCTATCTTAAAGCTACGAGCAATAGCTACTTGATGCTAGACGGATAGCCACATACAGCCACATATACAAATCACCCACACAATAAACATTAAATACGTCACTATTCTTGTTATACAAGACACTGATATATCTATCTAGTACCTCTATGTAGGTAGGATATTGCCCCCACGCCGTGAAGATCTCCACGAGTCATGGCTTATAGTACATATATAGTTACCACGTGTGGGGGTCATGTCATGTAGGGTTATAGATAGGTATTTTATTCGAAGTTTTGTGTGGATTGCTTGCGTAGGTATTTTTTGGGTCTGTGTAGATAGATATAACTAAATACTGTATTGATGCGGATAGATTTGAAGTAATTTATCTGATGATAGGGTATATGGTGTATATATAAGACCTTTAGATAGGTGTCACATGGTATGATATCGATGTTTAGATCTAGACTGTATGAATTTGATCTTTTGGCTTGGTTTGTTGTATCTACCTGCAACTTCCTTGCTTTAATCTTGTGTATACGCTAATATTTAGGACTGTTAATATCTTTTGGCGGAGAAGGTATGGTTTGCTTCTTCGCTGGATGGGCTACCTAGAGAGATTCGTCATGTGTCGTATTATTCGTGGCGTCATCTCGGCATATCTATTGATGTAGGCCTTTGCGTTGCATCGTAGATTCATGGCCATCAATGCCACTCGTTGGGTAATTTACGCAAGAGCATTCCGCTGCTTGAACTGTTTTGGACGAGTACGTCCTTCGCGAGATGTACTGCTGACCCCAGACCAACCTCACCTCCACCCCCCAACCCTGCCCTCATCCCACCTCTCCTTCCGCTCCCTCCTCAACCACGCCGTCTTCCGACCCTCCCTATACCTCCTCACAAACTCTCCCACCTCCCGCTCACTAGCCAAGCCCTGCTCGTCAAGGAAGCTCTCCTCTAGCCCGCGGCAAAGCGCATCCTGTTCGCCCGCCGCCGCGCTCAAACGCTGATACAGACTCGGCGGACTGAACTCTTGCAACGCCGTGTCCTGCTCAGCCTGCTTTGCGCGCCATTGTCGTTCGAGTGCACGTAGTGAGAGGAGGCGTGATTGCGTGCTTTGCCGCTGGTGTGAGAGGCGCGACTCGAGATCTTTGAGAGAGGAGGCGAGGGAGAGGTTTGCGGAGAGGAGGGCGCGGATGGGCTGTGCGGAGGCGGGGAGGGAGGGGTGTGTTGTATCGGGAGACTGGGCGAGGGCGGCGAGGAGGTCTGGGTCGGAGAGGAGCGTGTGAAGGTCGGTTGTGGTTTTGTCAGTTAGTGAATTGGGGAGCCAGCCTTCTTCGGGGCGTTGGATGATGGGTGTGGATTCTTGGGGTTGTTGGTAGATTTGAGGATGGCTCTGGGTGGGAGGAGCGGTGGAGTCGCATCGTGATGATTGTTCGGGGGGTGGAGGAGGTAGAGGAGGGCCGGATAGAGGTGTTGCTTGGCCGCTTGATTGCACGGATGGCTTTGGTGGTGGAGGTGGAGGCGGAGGAGTTGAGGGATCGTGGAAGTGAGCAGGATTGGGTGATTGGTAGGACATGATCGTGCAGTTTCTGATATGGTCCGAAGTGAGTAGGTCTTCTAGAAGGCTGAATAATGGAATGCTTCGTTACGTGTCTATCCGCACAGTGTTATGGCGTCTTATGATTGGTGCGCATTGTCGGAGTGTATATGACGCTTGAGTGCTATAGCTGGCCAGTCGGCTTATCGTTGATCCTGACCCGAATGCGCGCACGTTCCCTCCCGAGAAGCTAAGCTTTCAGCACGGATGCAGGCTTACCGCATCAAGTGCACAAGAACTCACAACAACAGTGCTGCATACTTCAGAGAGAATCGTGACCGTTTCATGCTCCGAGCTTCCTGTATGCCGCGGATGTCTCCATAAATGATTGTTACTGGCATCTGGGCAACTCAGGGGTTTTCCGTTTGTCTGTCTGGCGAGTGACCCATGGAACTGATCAATGTACATCGCCCATTAATGGAACTGGAACCCTTGGGCGATGACCTACACATCTTTACTACTGTGGAGCGTCATAGCAGGAGGACCTTATAGAAAAAACGTGACTAACAGCTGTAGATCAGCAAGTATGAAGCCGTCACATGTCTTGCGAGGCGCTATGACAACGGACCGCAAGCAGAAATGAAGACGTGCGTGCGCCAACGGATGCCCAGGGGCCCATGTCCATCTTTATGATCCATAGTCCATATTGCTGCTGTCGTTGATCTGCTGCTCAGCAATGCTAGCCGCCCCTGGAAATTATGCCTCGCTACTCCATTATGTACTACTGAGTAGTACAAGGGTAGTGTAGGCACAAGAGAGGGGTGCAGACATGACTACTCGTAGGGTTTCATGACCTGCAGGCGCCACGTCGGTCGGAACGCCTGAGACATTATGTCGTAGGTGTATCTCTTACGGAGGCGCATAGCACGTGGGAGTTGAATACGAAAGAGAGACGTCTGTGTGGTGTGAGTGAATATAATTGAAGCTGAGTGCTGCGCCAACGTCGACCAATTGTCAGAAGACGAGAGAGTCGAGGGCAAGGCGAAAGCGGCACGGGCGAGATGACCACAAATCTCACTACTCCATGCGACGATGCGATTTGAGCTCCAGTGCGCAAGTAGGAGATGAAGAGAGGACTGATCGATACTTAATTGGTGATGGGCCAATCGTGTAGGCGCGTCGCTTGGCTTTTGGAGGATGCGCAAGGGGAGGGGGGTGTATAGGTAGTGGAGGCAGCAGATGGCGCACTTGTAGGTCTCGGCAGCGCGTTCCTGCATAAGACCATGAGCAATCAATTCATCGTTATATCCATATATACATTGAACGTCCTGAATTATTGAAGGCAATAGTTACTGTGTATGAAGATAAGGCGCCACACAGTATGCGCTCTGAGGAAGAAGCCATAACGTCACGTCGCGATGCGCTGGCGAGGGAATATGTCGAGGTCCTGCGCACGAATCAGCGCGTAGCAGTGAGCGCAGAAGTGCAGACGGGACAATTCTGAAACGTCCAGCGAGGATGATGTGTTTATCGAAAATAATTATGCCGACAGCGATGCACCCAAAGTCCCCGAACAACCAGCATCCAGCAATAATATTGGCAACTGGGAGCCAGGTAGATGTATTAGCACGGTACAGAGTCATTTGCATCCCAGAAACAGGAGAAATGGGGGGGTTGTGTGTGCTCAGAGTGCCTGAACTCCAAGGGGGATTCTCAGGGTCTGACTGGCGCCCTCTACCACTATTCACTGGGCGGTATTCGGTGGTTTTCCCCTGGCTAGGACAGACAAGTGCGGACGACTACAACTACTACAGGTTTAGTCTCGCCGGTCCTGAGGCTGGTACTGATACTTGGCGAGGGATAGCTAGTGAGAGCCGCCTAAACGATGTTCCCAGCGAAGCCTTGCGGAGGCACTTTGTTGCTGTTGTAGGGGAGTTTGGCGCGCGGCCAGCTCTACTTACGCCAATCATTCACCACCGCCTTCGTCCTATTGATGTCTGGCGCACTCACCTCCACCACCACCACAACACCCCCCCCTGGCACATTTCCCCAAGCCATCCCATCCCCTTTACTTCGCCATTCCCAAATCGCTCCATCAGCCTTCTGTCTTTGGTCGAAACTCGAAAGTGACTGGCAAGTCCTATCTCCCATACACACACTCACACACTACTACCATTGTCTCTTTGTGCAAACCATGCCACATGCCCTCCAAGACGCTATAGCCTTAAGATAAGCTCACAATGGAATCCCAACATCCTCACCCTCCCTCATCCTCTCATCAACCTCCTTCGCGCTCTGCTCCGCGACACAAAGCAACCTCTCTTTCTGGCCTCCAACCTGCTTCTTTTGCGGCGATTCGTGCGCAGAACTCACAGGTCCCTTCCCCTGTTCGTCGCAAGCCATTGCCTGGACAGCTATCACCTCAGACCACTCGCTACTCCTCCATCGACATCTTTCACAGCCACAAGCCAGACGACAGGTACTCGAAGCGGTGGCATTCTGTCGATAGCCCTACCTTGCCAGACCTGCACCACGGACGCTTCAACCAGTCCTTGCCACCGGTGCCAGATCCAGGAAGTCCAACAGAGGCCACATTCCCAGACGCAGACACGTAAGACAAACCGCATGATTATGTACCTCCATCATTCACTGACTGTCAGCATCAGACCCGCTCACGTCCGCGATAACTCGCTAGCCGCCAGGTTAGACGACTTCCCGACCCCTCCATCGTCACAACCATCAAGATCACGGACTCGTGCCCGAACATATTCCAAGGAGCCTGCGCGGCATGACATAGAGAGCGATAGCGACTACGGTGCACACGATTTGATCTTCGAGGAGGAGGAACCGGCAGAAGAGCCTACTCCTCAGCCTCAACGCCAGTCCCAGACTATGCCCAACTATTACGCCGGTGCTCAGCCTGCTCTCGACATACAATTTGATGACTTCCTAGACGATTACAACACGTCTCCTCAAAGTTCGCCGCCACGAAAACTCAAATCTCCGAGTGAGAAACTCACCTCCTTCTTCGGCTGGAGCAAGCCGAGACAGTCATCTGTCGAGGAGCGATCGTCAACAACAACATTCTCAGAGAGGTCGGCATCGCCTACAAGTTCGCCCATGTATGCTCGCCAGAATGGTGACAGTGCTCCTCACAATAAACCTACACCTGCTGCCCTGGACATACCAAAGGCCAACGCCTCAGACGGAGGTTACTTCAACGTCCCAGGCACACCTCTGCTATCACTCTCACCACACATGAACGCTCACGTCGAGGAGCTTGAGCGCGAGCTCAAGCATATCAGCTCTGAACTCGCAGCATCGATACGACGCGAGATGGAACTCGAAGACGAGGTCGAGCGTTGTAAAAATGAAATACCGGCCACGGCCACGGAGCGGCGAACGAGCGATTACTACTCCGACTCCGGAGCAAGTTCGACTAGATATCCTTTTGGTGACAGCGAAACCAAGCTTGATGAGCTGGAGAAGCTGAGGCGGAAAGCTGAGCAAGAGAAAGCTCAGATAAGATCTGATATGGCCTCAAGGATACAAGAAGAGTTGCGTCGCCGTCGGGACTTGGAAGCTCAAGTCCAGAAACTGGAAGAGCAACATCACGGATCGCGAAGAGGTTCACAAGAGGTGCCGTATCGAGAATTAGAATCACAACTTGAAGATGCGAAGAGGAGACTTGTTGAGGAGAAACAGGTCAAGGAGAACTTCGAAGACTTACTATCCGCGCTACAAAAAGATCTGGAACTCCACCGCAATGAGCGAGACAACCTGCGAGACGAGGTCGTCCCTGCACTCAAGGCTAGAGTTGAAGGACTTGAAGCACAGGCCGCAGAGTCTCAAGACGCCACGTATGAAATGAGCCGTATGCAACAAGAGATGGCCCATATAAAGAAGCAAAGAGGATTCAGATCGATCGCTGAGGAAGACGACGGCTCCACGTCACCTCGGATGGGTTTAAGTCGCTCAAATTCTCTTGCCCGTCACTCGATCACAGGTGGCAAAAGGGGCTCTCTTACTAGGTCGAACTCAGTGAAAGAACTTGCCAAGTCCGAAACGAAAGAGGTGTTATCTGAACGTGTCAAAGATATTGAAGAACAAAGGAATGCACTGCACCGTGCTTTGAAACATTTGATCATTAGACACGAGTCACAGTCAAGGGAACACTCAAAGCGGATAAGGATACTGGAGATGGAGCGTGATGCTGCCTTGAATGCGTCGCCCCGCCGTACCGCCTTCCACAAAGAAGTAACCAATCTTAGAGACGAAGTCAATCTTCTTCGACGGCGCGCAGACGATGCTCTCGACCAGAAGTGGCAGGTCGAGAAGGGACTAGGCGGTCTCAAAATGGACCTGGATCGAGCTCAACAAGAGACGAGCTCGTTACGACAAGTTCTACAAGAGCATGATATCTCAGTTCCGGAGTTGACCCTAGGTGCTGAAGACAGCACTGCCTCTCCTCTCGACAAGGCTTATAAGGAATTACAGACAACACATGCACTCTCCATCGCAAGGATCCGAGAAATGAATTCTAATGATCATGCGGACAATGATGATGCTCTAGGCCTCCTCATCCAGAGCATTTCGGATGCTGAGGCTGAGCGCGATGCCGCCCACACGGAAGCTGAGCGGTATCGTTCGCAAGCACGCGCATTACAACAGTCCGAGTTGGCTCACTTGAGCAAAGAACAGAGTCTAGCTTCCGATCTGTACGCTGCCGCTCAGCGTATGGACGAACTCAGCGGTAAAGTTGAGCGACAATTGAGCGCGAATAAAACCCTCCGTGAACGTCTCACCAAAGCTGTCGCTCGTGGTGATGAAGAGCAAAAGGCTTCTGCTGCTAAAATCATCCAACTCGAACGGAAGCTTATGGCCGAGGAAGACTTGGTCATGAAGGCCCAGTCCCAGTCTGACGATGTCATTGCTCGTCATGAAGACGAGGTGAAGGCTCTCAAGGAGTCGTATGGTGCCCAACTCCAGCGTATGAAGTCTGGCCTCAAGTCTCCGATGGGACACCCTTCACCCCTGAGCCCTCTTCTCCTGAAGAGCCCAAGACTCGACAAGACAACGAGCGGACTAGGCGTGTCATTCAACGAGGCCACCCAGGCTGACTCTCTCGAGAAGCAAGTCAAAGATCTTGAGAAGGCTCTCCGTGACGCCGACCGCGAGATGGAAGAAGTCGTTGGCCGCATGAACAAGGCGCAGATTGAAGTTTTCGAGCTCCAAACCGACAGAGATGAAGCTATGCGCCAGACCAAGAAGCTACAGGCTGCGATGCAAGCAGAGCGTGAGAAGGTCAAGGCTCTGATGAATGTATGATTTCCCTGGAAATAGAACATACCCTGGACGACCATTACTGGACCCTGGTTCACGATCTTGGTCCTACGTTCGTTCCGTGGTACACCAAACCGCCCCAGTACCCAGATCTTGTCCGTCATTACACGAACTGCCTGTCACTTGTCACCTGTCATTTGTCACTTGTCGCCTCCACTTGTACAAACCGGTTCTAGAAACTGCATATACCCGTCTTTCTTGACAAAGGTCCTTGGCGTTCACGAAATCTCATTTAAGCCGAATCAACTGTCACCACACCCGGCACACTAATCCTTACGATAAACCTCACGAACCGAAACTAATTATCTCTCTTTAATATGACCCGGTTCGCCCGGTATGTCGCTTGCGTCTTCTGTTCCCATAATCACAGCATTCTCCCATTCGAACCTGCTTGACGAGCCGGATAAATACCTCAGGCCTTCTTATCACCACCAACCACTGCCTCCGTCCGAAGTGCTCGGGCCGGCGCCTATTCCTTCTTCTTCATTATCATTATTCTTGACCTCACGCCGCTGGATGAAGTTTTTTCTTTAGTGTTTGACATGCATGCATGCATGCATGGGATTAAATGCATGATTTGCGAGCGAGCGAGTCTCGTGCGTTTGGTTGACAATCGCTTCTTGCCTTTTTTTGTTTTATTGCTCTGCTCTTATTCTGGAGACGCGTGTCCATTGCAGGAGGAAAATCAAAGAGATATCTTCTTTGCTTGCTTGCTTGATTGCTTGCCTTGTATCATCAGTTCGTTGAGTAAAGATTTTGTTTTTTTCACTGCGGAAGAAAGCTTTCTGGAATTCTAGATGCTTAGATGGGCTGAGGGTGACGCAATCAATGGAGGGAGAGGAGAGAGATAGAGGAGATAGAAGGGCGGTGAATGGGTGGGAATTGTAAAGATAGAGAGAATTCAAGATGAAGTAAGATTTGATCGAAGACGCGGACTTTGCTGTGTGTATGTGTACGGTGATCGTCTTGATCAGTTTCTGGTCTACTACTAATTTCCACTGTTGTGTGTGTGTATCGTATCTACCATCCCCCTCCTATACTACTCGCCAGCCCAGCTACACGCTCGACATCGCTGACTTTCTTCGCTTTGCCCTTCCTGCTGTTGTTGCCGTTGTTGCCGTTGCTGCCTACATCACTCTCGACCTCGCGATAGCTCGTGAAGACGAGCTTGTCAAGGGGTATCTGCGTGACGTCCGCCCAATGCTGCAGTACCTCGTGTATATACCGATGCGAAATGCCGTTTACTACTACGTCTACCTCGGAATTCAGAATCTCGGTTGTGGCTAGATTTTGTGCTCCGCCTCTTCCTCTTCTTGTATCGGCGTCCATGTCTACATCCACATCCATAGAATCTCCGGGTCCAACATCGTCCCTGTCCTCGCCTTCTGACGAAGACGACGACGACGACGACGCAGAATAATACGCCTCGTCGACGCGGGCCAACCACTCCTTTTGCTCTTTCACGCCTGGCTTGACCTGCACTCCTTCCATACCACTCATACCATCCGCAACACCCAGACTATTATCTCCTCGTACATCCGCCACCTCACTGACTTTGATCTGACCCCCGCCATTCGTGCACCCGCCGGGACAAGCCATGACCTCTACATAGGCGAACTCATCCGCCGCGCCAGCCCCACCGCTATGCGACGACGATGATGCAGCAATCTGACGCGCCGCGGCCCCCGGAATACGACTTGCGCGCTTCGGCTTAAGCCGGCGCACGAGGTTTTGGATATTGCGGAAGCCGTAGAAACGTGCTGTTTTGAGGACTGTAGCGCCGGTGGCGCGGTCGACCAAGGCGTGTTCGAGCACGTCGGCGTTGCGACCGCGCGACGTGGTGATTGTGAGGTGAGGTGAGGTATGTGCTAGCGTGGACATTATGTGGTGCAGGTAGCCGCCGGAGGAGCCTGCGGCGGGAGAGCCATTGGCTTTGGGAGTTGAGGGGAAGAGAAAGGAGGAGAGTATTGGATCGGGAAATGGGATATGTGCGATGGGAGTCAAGGGGAGAGATGAAAGGGAGATAGAGCGGGAAGCGGCAAGGTGGACGAGTTCGCGAGCGGTGATGACGCAGTCGACGTCACGGACCGGCTGATGTTCGAGTGTCTGGGCGGATTGGGGGATCCAGGATGCGGATGTGAGTTCAGAGCGGGAGGCTTCTAGTTTCTTATCGAAGCAGGGCATTATAGCAAGGTGCCAGATCCTGCTTGGGGAGATGTTGAGTTTCTGGCTCAGGACTGACTTGACGAGCGTGCCAGCTAGAGCTTGGGGGCTCTTCAGTCTTGATAGATGCGGGAGGACGTATGGATGTGTTTTCTCGGCATAGCATATCCATCCAGGACACGCAGACGTCAAAATTGGTTTCTTGGGTGTGTCGGAAGAACAGCGTAGGGACGCCTGAACCTCGTCTGCAGCGAGTACGAGTGCTGCTTCTCGAAGGGTGTTGGTATCGAGTACCCAAGTGAAACCACTGCGGTATGTACCACCGCTCTTCAGTCCTTGAGGGCCCGAGAGAAGTTGCGCCACCAGATTACCAGCCTGTCTTTCCGTTATATTGTACGTCGCAGCAAGGCTGGCACGGGCTTGTGGACTCATACTCGCAACAAAGACCAACGATTCTGCATCTGATATGCCTACTGTAGTGTTCACGCCATCTAGCGCTTTCCCCGTCCCAATGACCCCTCCGTTCACCAGGCCTCTTTTACAGTCCTCAGCACTTTGTGCTAACTCTAACGACGGATGTGCGTTGAGGGTATTTGCAACCTCAGTATGACTTTGGAGGCTCACGAGCACTGCTTCAGCAGAAGTAACACATCCTGAGCAAGCAAGGCAATCGGTCAGAGAAATCGAAGCGGGAGGCGCATTCAAGGCGGCGACTTTATCTTCGGTAGTGACTTCATAAGGATTCTGGAGTCCGCAATCAGCATCGGACCATGACTTTGAAACATTAGAAACGGACCTCATTACTTGTTTCCTTAGGAAGAGTCTCTATGGGTTTTATGCAAGCAACGCCGGGCGAAATGAAGTCATTCAGATCGTCAGAGGACAAGATCGCGCTCATGGTGGGATGCGACCGGAACAAAAGGCACAAGTGGGATAGACAGGAGCGCTCCGGTCATATACAAAGGATTCAGTGTCCGGCACTGTAAGTAGAAAGATGGAAGAGCATTGGGGCGACATGAGGGATCAAACGCGACGAGTAGAAGCGAAGTGATTATAAACGCAAACAAATCAGACCAGGCGATAGCGGAGCGGAGAAAGAAATGTGACTTGATGTGGCGGAATCTGGAAACATGGCAGCTGGGGCCTCTTTGAGGCATCAAGGCAGTATTTTAGCCTTCATTAATTTCACCAAGTCACACCGCGTCCGCAACGTCCTCTGCACAACCACCACTTGACTCTCGACTCACAAACATATCAAAGACACGCAACGTTCGAATACGCGCAAATATGTCTGGCTACCAACCCACGTCTGGACCGGCTTTCAACGCCCAGCCCACGAACAACAGCGAGTACGAAACCAAGCCGGTGAACTACGTCTGCGGCGATTGCGATGCGACGGTGTCGCTGAAAGCTGGCGATGCTATCCGCTGCAGAGAGTGTGGGCATCGTGTACTCTACAAGATGCGGACCAACAGGTAAGGTCAAGCTGGCTCAGAATGAGTCGTGGTGTTTTTTAGGCGTGTTCTGTCAAATTTGCCTGCTAACATGCCTCCTTAGAATGGTTCAGTTTGAAGCGCGATGATGGCAAATAGGGCGGAACATTGATCTGGTGAATTCACACGGCGTATAATACGGATGATGGGAAGTTGGGAGTCAAGGCGCATGTTTTCAGGTTATAGCTGAACAAGAGAGAATGCAGCGAGTAATCCTGCAACGGCTCTGCTATCACTGTTAAGCCATAAGGACTATCTCTACACGATCAGGAAACGTCACGAGCCGAATGATTTTGAGGCAATCTCCTTGGTTGCATTGTTTCATGCAGCATCTACATGACTGCTACATCGTGCGTCTAAACCGCGCTCAACCATTCATAATCCATTCCTTCGTTTCGTCGGCTCCAGCCGAGTAGTATTGACATGCTTCCCAACGCCCACACGAATAATCTGAAAATGCTAGGCTCGCTGCAGTCTTCGAAGACAAACATGTAGAGTAATATGAGCAGCTAGAAAGCATTTCACAATCGCCGTGCTAAGAGCACTATAGCTTGGTAAGAAAATGACATGAGAAGTCTTTCAATTCTGTTGCTGTTCACTCGCTTCTAATTTCGTTCCTTTGATTGGTGCGTTCGGCGTCGGACAAGTCTTGGTGCACTCAGGGAGCTCTAGAAGACCCCCGGAACCATATCTAGGATCCCCTGAATGCATCAAATCGCTTGTAGGTGTATCCAATAAACGGCAGGTTCATCTCGGCGGCCGCATCCTCACCTTGCTGCGCAGTCTGTGCGCGGAGGACCGCGCTGGTGTCATTCTGATCGATCTCGTCGATGGGAAAGTACTGCGTGTCAATGGCGGACTGTAACTTGGGCTCGAAAGGCGCGCGAATGCGTCGTAAGCCGTCCCATTGCACGCCACGGAAGAAAGGGTGTTGCTTGATTTCGTGGGCACCACCGATACGCCCAAGACGATCATCGGCTGCGCAAATAAGCCTTGACATGGCGTCAGTATATGGAAACCAACTCCACAAACTCCCACTCACCTTCGAATAAAGTCGAGAGCATCTGGACTTAATTTGCAATCGGGAGGAAAAGAAAGATATCTTTGCCATTCGACGATCTTGCGATACGTGTCTGGTGGCTCTTCCGCACAGAAAGGTGGCCAGCCAACCAAGCACTCGAACATGATAGTGCCAACAGACCACCAATCGCAGCCAAAATCGTATCCATTGCCACTGAAAATTTCAGGTGCAATATAATCGGGAGTTCCGACCGTCGAATATGCAAGCTGTCGCCTCGACTTGCGCCAAGTATTGATCTGCGTCCGATTTGAGACGGTCAGCTGGATCTGGTCCAGATTCATGGAGTTTCGGTTATCGCGTGCTGACTTGTGTGCTCCAGCGCCTGTCATCAAGGTTTTATAATACCCAGCATCATGTTCTTTGTGAAATCCTGTAGACAGACCAAAATCAGTGAGCTTGATGTGACCTCCTCTATCAAGTAGGATATTGTCTGGTTTGATATCACTGGGACTTGTCAGCCATGATGAATGTACATTAGGTGGCTGTTCTTACCGATGTATAAAGCCAAGCTTATGAACAGCTTCTATAGCCAAAGCAATTTCAGCCATATAGAATCGAGTTATATCTTCCGTGAAGACTTCATACTTGATAAGCATAGTCATGAGATCACCACCAGGGAGGAACTCCATAAGCATGTACAGGAATGTGTTGTCCTGGAAAGTGGTGTGAAGCTTCACGACCCAGGGACTATCAGATTCAGCAAGGATATCACGTTCAGAGCGTACATGAGCCAGTTGCTCTTTCTTGAACTTCAAAAGTTAGTCTCAAAAGTGTCATGTTGATATATAGATGCCCATACCATCTCGGATTTGACAAGTGATTTCAGGGCGTAGACTTTGCCGTCGTTTCGACGCTGCACAAGCTTGACCTCACCGAATGCACCCTTGCCAATGATTTTCAGGGTTTGGAAATTCTCAGGCTTCTCCTTTGTGCGAAGGAAACGCAGAAAGTCAGATTCGGCCTGCTTCATCGCGAGACGTTTCGACTCTTTCCTGTTGCTGCTGATGCTCGGCTCTTTCATAATATGTTCGAGCTCCAGAGCTCTAATTCCAGAGTCAGTATCTCTGTCACGTTATTGAGGCAGGTTACCAATTCACCTTTGGTTACGATCACGCGCGCGCTGCACGCTGTCTTTGAAGAAGGTGCTGACGAGGCCAGTAGAGACTTTTGCTTGACGCACAATGTTATCCCCGTATTTCTCATTGCTCTTATCCGGAGGCGTTTCATCGTAGACTGAAGGCTGGCGGGGCATGGGAAACTGCGAGCCCATGTAGCCGCCATATTGTTGCTGTCCAGTCGCACCAGCAGTCCTCGGTCGCTGGCTACTCGGTGAAGGCTGTCGTCCGTACGGACTGCCTGATCGTGCAGCTCCACCGAGGTGTTGATTCGACAATTGATGAGCCAGACCATTCGCCTGCTCGTGGTATCCACCAGCGCCACGGTAGGCAGCTCCAGGTTGCTGGAGGTTAGCAGGTTGCTGGTACTGTGACGGATAACCGCCACCACCAAAAAATCCCTGACCGTACCCAGGCATATTCTGTTGTGCTCCCCATACTTCTTGTTGACCGGCCTGATTTGGAAAAACGGGCTGAGGAAAGGTAGAAGGGGTCGTAGGGAAGGCGCGTCCCTGGTCTGGAGCGAAGTTGCGATCCTGTGGGCCGAAATTCAGATGAAGGCGGTTCGGGTCTCTATTCTGCTGTTGTTGTCCCTGTCCCTGGCCATTGTAATTCATGGTGAATGTTCAAAGCCACTAAGAGCCTGCGAAGAAAGAGGTGTCAGTGTGTTTAGAGGCACAACTCAAAGAATGGTACGTACAGCTGATGTTTGGTGCTGCTCGAGTATCCTCGCGTGTCTGCCTGCTCTCTTCTGCCGTGCCAACGAATGCGCCGCACCCAAGAAGCGGTGAACGGACGATTGCAGATCAGGTAGAAGGAAAGGATCCAGACCGACAACAACACACAATTTAGGACTGGAGGAGGTGAGACCTTGCAGAGGAAGCAGGAGTCTACCTAAGGTAGTTCAGAGTCGTTCGAAGTGCACTAGTAGGGTGGGGTGAAGCTTGGGAAAAGGAGGGAGTGGAGTGTTTCAGGCTTGCTCCCAGCAGAGAGACGGTCTGGCCTGAGTCGCGGGCTAATACTGCGTACAAAAGGGGGTGCGAGGTATTTCTACACTCACATAAGCCGACTACGTTCGATCATGACTTGATTTCGCTGGCCATCCATACACTGAATCACGAGTCTGAGGAAAGTGCAAAGTATCAAAAGTAAAGCGTTCTCTATCGTTCGCATGGCGCGGCTGTTTCGTATCGATTAATGCATTATTAGTCGCGACGACTTGTGTGTGATAGAAAGAGCGGGTGAATCGATAATATTTAGTGTACCGGCCCAGTCTGTCCGAACCGCGCACGAACACTACGCGATTTTACGCTCTCCGCAATGATGGGGTACGCATATACCAGCCCTGTCGTGGTACTTCTAGGAACGCTTGTCAGCATGTGTGGTGCTCCAGTTTAACTGGAGCAGGATCCCTGACTACTTGTTGCCCAGATCTAATACTTTATCGGGCCTAGTATATATTCTTTACCAAAACACCTGCTGCCTAGACTGCCTTCATGCCTTTGTGCCTTGATGACAGTTACAGGAGCCCGTCTTCACCTGCACCCCTCCACATTGTCAGCCATGAAGTAATCTAAAATGTTGTAGACTTCCAGGAACACGCAGGTTCATCGATCTTCCATGGGTGCTGGCGTGACAATACGCAGAATCCGCGTGGAACATGGTGTGGCGTTTCCTTCTCGGCGTTATCACAACCACCAGCACCTAACCTCGCCACACGAGCCGAGGCCGCCTGATATAGAAAACTGTCATCAACGTGGAAGATCAGACTAGGAACGGATACGCGCGTAGCTGTCATTAGAATAGCGGGGGTCAAAATTGTCAGAAAGTGGTACGGAATGGACGCCGGCACAAAGATCGCCATACCACTATGCCTTGACTGGCAAGTTTGGGCATCTCCAGCCCAACATCACAAAGCCCAAATAGTCCTACTAAAGCACCAATCTGCCCGCTGCTCTTTCTCAAGATCCTGATACTTCATTCTCCACTGCTTGGATGCACGATTCTGACATCCATCTCTCCTCTCGTCCTCCCTCTATCCTCCCTTCACTCGGCTACAGTTATTCGCAGGCTTGCAGATCGACCGGTAGACACCCACCGTCATCTATCAAACCATCACCAACGCAAATAGCATTCTCTTCGAGTTCCTGTTACCGATTCATCTTCCCGAATCCTTTCTTTACTTCCCTGTGAACATTTGGGTCGATGCTATCATCACGACAGCCTGATGATAGAATTGGTTCAGCATGATCGATCATATGGTCGATCATGCAAATGAGAAACTACATTTATCATCAACATGTCGACGCATCGACCACAAGCGTTATTCCAGCAGATTAGGCACTTTAAATAGTCAGTAGTACCAACAATGTCCCGAGGACTCTTAAACGATTTGATACTTAGTTTTCACGTCAGCCGTTGTGTTAGATATGCAGAGGGAACTTTTGTCTATAGTTGATGTTATCGTGACCATCTTCACTCTACCAATATGAACAGGCGTTTTCATTGGAAGCGCAATAAGTTCCACACTTAGTTCAAACTTCTTTCTTTTGCAGGCCTGGTGGAAGCCTCGAAACGTGCTTCTTGAACAGATCCTCTGCACGTTTCCAGACTGGCGCCGAGTCCCGGTCCTTCAGGGTGAGAAGGCTTTCAAGCAGACCCTGGCTGAACGCATCGCTTGCCTCTCTTGGCATCATTGATGGTAAGTGATCCTGTTTCTGCGTTAGGAGTGGGGTACTACATTATATGGGGAAACTCACAATTGCAATGACCGATAGGGGCAGTTCACTGCTGGGGACCTTGACCGGGAGCGTTGGCTTAGTGAAGGTCGTGAGGGTGTTGTAGATGGGTATGGGATTATGCGGATTCGATGTGTCACACGAAACATCGCATACAACAGTCAGTTTACGGTCTGGAGAAGAGAGAGTTTCTTGGTTCACGAAGGGCGGAATCGGATCGGAGAGGTAGATCTGCGCTTTATTAATTCGATTCCCTTCATGCTCAACGACAGTACCTACAGCATTGAGGAAGATATCGCTGTCGACGATTTCTTTATACGGTCCTTGTTTGTCTTTGGTCTCGTTGAGGTCCCACTTGGTCAAATTCTCGTCTGTCAGACCAGCTCTCTTGAACATGTCTGCAGCACCGCGCCCGCATCTTCCAAGCGCTCCCAATATCATCGCATGTGGCTTGCGTCCTGCAACCTTCTCGCCAGCTGCAACATCCTCCCGAATCTGTTGGACCAGCTCCTCTTCATTCAGATAGTAACCCCTTCCACTCGTGAAGTTTTCAACACTTGGTAGTGGTTCTGACGCGGGATGGGTTAATTGCCACGCCCACACCTTAAGTGCCAAAGCTGCACCCGCAAAGCCTGCATGATATCCAAAGGCGCTCACTCTCCTTCCCTGCTCATCTACCAGAAACTCCAAATCGTACAAGGTGCTGCCACCACGCGGGAAGCGGCCGAGCACCTTCTCCCATCCGCCTTGGTCTTTGTAACAATGGCTGAACTGTATATGGTCGTTCTTTAGAGGGAAGTCTTCTTCCGGGAGCTCTTTCAACCCGAGTATCAAGGTGCCCTTGTCTGCGTCTGTCCAGGTATGCGTATCTACGAGCTTGGCGCCAGCATCGGAGTATTCCTGGTCCTTGAAAATGCGTTCATAGGAAGGATCGGTAGAGGAGCGCTCGACATGTACTGGGTACCCAGCAGCGACAAGCTTGCCTACAACATCAGGAGAGAATGCACGATGCTCGTAAGGCCGTTGTTCTTGACGGAGGTGGAGGACAGGATAGGATGACATCGCGCTCGTTTGATATGATCGAAGCTGGAAGGAGGTGAGCTCAAGGGATTGGGCAATTTTGGAGACACCTGGAGTTTCAATTCGTCAATGAGTCAATCCGTCTTGGGTCAGGATGCGTTAATATTTTGGCGGGGTTGACGATTTGAGTCATAGCGGTACGTGAGATACTGGTGAGGTTCCATATTACGTAAGGGGAAGCAGAGCGAAAGAACTTAATGACTGGCTCGCTCAGTAGCTGAAATTTCCTTTCGTAGACGTTCATTGTCGCAGAACATAGATGACAAGGGCGGAACATATGTGACTATCAACTACGAGAGACGTGATGCAGCAATGGCGCACACCAGAGGTGATACCGTAGAACGCGAGTCATCGAGAAGCCGAATACGCAACCAGAGGTCGAAACAAATCACCAGAAATCTTAAACCCATGCCTAGCGATAACGAAAGCAGGGTCGATTTAAATATAACCCACGTTCAGCCCATTGACTCGTCTTTGCCTGCTGTCTTGGCAATTATGCAACAGCTATGCAACGCCCTAGTGCATCTCACAGCCTTTCATTGACCGTCTCCAACAACACTCATAATGCGTCTAATGAACGTTGGAACAGAGCTCCTGGAGATATTTGTCAGTGATGTTCCAGACTATGCTATTCTTTCGCATACGTGGAGGGACGAGGAGATCAGCTTTGAAGATATGCAGCAGCAGGCTGGACTTGAGCTCAAGAAAGGATTCGCCAAGCTCCGCAATTGCTGTGCTTACGCTCGTCGCGAAGGCTTCAAATACATTTGGATAGATACGTGCTGTATCGACAAAAGAGATCCCACTGAGCTCTCTGAAGCTATCAATTCGATGTTCCGGTGGTACTCAAACGCCGCGATCTGTTATGTCTACCTCGATGACTACGATGCAACTGGGCAAACTCCTCTTGAGAACTGTCGGTGGTTTTATCGTGGTTGGACCCTCCAGGAACTGCTTGCGCCTTATAGCGTTGTGTTTCTCGATTCTTCTTGGACGAAATTTGGGGACAAGTCATCTCTTCGAGAAAGAATTTCGGACATCACAGGCATCCCGAAGCGAAATTTGTTCGATCTGTTCGATCGGTACAATGTAGAGGTCAACGTAGGAACCAAGATATCTTGGGCGGCACGTCGAAAGACTACGAGGGTAGAGGACGAAGCTTACTGCCTTTTAGGTTTGTTAGGCATTCATATGCCTTTGCTATATGGAGAAGGTAAGAATGCGTTTATCAGACTCCAGGAAGAGATCGTGCGTATCAGTAACGATGAGTCTATATTCGTGCACAGTCAGTCCATCAAGCAACTAGATATTGTGCGGAGCTTATAGTGCATAGGGAACAAACACCTTTTTGCAGATGCCCCTGAGGACTTTTTTCCCAGTCAATGCTTTTTCGCCGACCAACGCATGGATTATCGAATCACTCACAGAGGGCTATTGTTCCAGATGGCCTTGTACTATGGCACAGAACGTACTGGTTTACATCGACTGTTCGCACCATTCAATTGCGGTCCTTCCGAAAATCTTCAATGGACGTTGGAGCTTATCGGTCCAGGCCCTGAAGGGTACATCACTTCGTCGGGAGAAACAAGAACATCCTTGGCATTGCAACCAGGCACATCATTATACAAAAACCCCAGTCTAAGGCTCATGGATTATCCGCGCGATGATCACGCAGACCACAAATCTCATGCCCACCTCACGACTACAATGGACACTAGCGATGGCTTACGTGTAGCACCAAGTTCCATCGAAGGTGTCATGAAGATGCAATCATTCTACATCGAGGCAGGTAGACGGGCTGACGTATACAAACTCCACTATGTGTATGATATACAGACGTGTAGCAACGTGAAGCTGGAGTATGCTGTACGTGTCTTCGGTAATGGTCAACGTAAAAGCCGTCGCTACAGATTATCAGGCTACCATCGTCCGGAATCTGTTGGCCGTCTAGGCCACGGCCATACTTTTGCGTATAAAGCGAGTGCGGGCGTCAAAGTCAATTTCGTCGTGTTTGTCTTTCAACAAGAGGACCACAGAGGCCCACATATCTATATCGAAAGCCATCCGTATCTGGTGGAGAAAGTAAGGAGTATAGCTAGAGGAGCTTTGCAAGAATATGATGCAACTGCATGGGCGGACGCGACTCCAGGGTTTGCTGAATTATCGTCCGGAATCACAGTCGAATTGCACCCGGGACAAGCTTCTGAAGACACGGTGAGAAGACTTTGCCTGAGTGTATGCGCACACCCTCGCACTTCTGACTGTAGCGGCACATTTCGAACGAACACGCCTGAGGATTCTGTTACAGACGAGAAAATGCCATCTCTCTTCTTTCTCACTGCTTAATTAGCTTTTGAAAACTAACGACGGATGCCTATTTTCCGTTCGCTCTCTCGTCACTTCATCCAACATCATGCTGTTGGCATTCATAGCGCGGCGGATCACATGACTGGTTCCTACTAACCTTCACCCTGGAGTCGACCAGGCAATTGTTCTGCCTGGGGCCAGATGCTAACAAGGTTGTCAAAGCAGGCCCACGATAACGAACTGCCTGCTGACTAGATCATCTCATCTTCCCTTTTCCACCGTGATTGTATCGTGCTTGACCGACGCTTCGAGGATATGAGACTCTAGATTATGTGACTTGCTGTAAGCACGATATCTTCAATCCTGTTTTTCACTATTCGTAGTAGTGCCCGTGATATGTGACCTGGGCTATGATACGATAAATCCATTATCATGACTGCCTCGCAAAGGTAAGTCTACTTAAGCATATACTTGCTGCACTGTTCATTCAACAGCGTCTTTAGACCATTCTCTTCCATATCCTTATATATAGTAGCAATGGCCAGCTTTGATTTTCCGTCTCACAAGAGTAAGTCGGCGTAAGTCAGGGGCACTAACCCAATAGCGAGGCCCCCTTGCGTCCGAGTATGAATCGTGCTGTCACATGTTGTCACAATCTTGGTTGCTTATGGCTTCTATAGGGTGGGAGAAAGGCACGTCGTCGTCGTCGTCTAAGCGCTAATCCTGATTAAATTGCGCTCATAGCTTACTGAGAGTATCCAATAGAAATCCATGCTGTATAGCGGGTAGATTTCTGCACTATTGTATAAAGTCACCACATGACGACATCATAGCCTGCATCCTGCTCTATGTGTTTCCCAATGGCGAGAACTCAGATGTCAAATGACGGCATCAATTCCAGGGACGTAGAAGAAAATATGGCTTTATAGTACCGATACCGACATCATTCCATAGAAAAGAAGTGTGACTAAGAACTAATCTCCGTCTAGTTATCTATCTCTTATCAGCCTAGCTTTTGTAAATTCTATTGCTCTGGAAAATATCGAGCGGTATTGCTATATCGCCCTGTGCCATTGTCTGGTCATCATTTATGTAGTGACTTATTTCTTCTCATTCCTTGAGACAAAAGGCTAATCACTGGAAGAGACTGCTAAAGCATTCATTGGACTGGCAGCTGAACCTGTAACAATAAATATGCATGTCGACCAGAAAGACTCAGATGGTAGCGTTATAAGCAAGAATCCGCATAAGATCAAGATCTGTCAAATAGCATGCAGCAATACATTGACCAGAGTTGCGCTTCTAGTGTAGCTACAAAAGATGAGGTTCCAGTACCAAATATCCGATGAGATAGGGAGATGATGCATTATATATCGAAGCTACGAATTCGTACATCGACACCGGGTACTATATTCTCCTTGATCAGCCTTCCATTCAGCGTGTCATTGCTGTCGACCCTTGCAAATGCATCCCCGATCGTCTTCTCGATACCCGCGGCCACATGTCGTTGAGCAACACGTGTTCGTGCAACGTCCTCGTCCACATCGACAAATACTCGGAGGTCCATCAAAGGTCCTATTCCACGCCATATGGGTTCATCCAGAAGAACGTATATACCCTCGATGATAACTATGTTTGTGCTTGTGGGTATCGATATTCCATCCTCGACGGGGTCTTTTGCGGCGTGGTCGAATGATGGAGCGAATATAGGTACCTCGTCTTGACTGTCCACATACGTCGTGTCAACTTCCGTGTCTGCCCAGGCCCGGAGTCTCTGAACGAAAGCAAGGGCGCCGGCAGCATCGAATGTCCAGGGTGCACCGCGACGACGATGTGCTTCTTCCTTGTTCGGCATTTGGTCGAGAGCTGAACGTGGGAGGTGGAAACCATCCAAGCCGATGGATATTGCACGAACCGGAAGCTCTGTTTCCAGAGCGTCCTGTGCGTCTGTGGAGATGGATGTGCTTTGTTCATTGATTAATTTGACTGTTTCGGTTGCGATTGTTGTTTTGCCTGATCCAGGTGGACCTGCGATACCAATGAGTGTTCGATGACGTGGATTTGTGTGGGCGCATTCGATAATTGTGTGTGCGAGTTTCAGATATGTTTCTTGCATGGTATTGAGCTCCACGGGTACAAGTATCGTGCTTGTAAGAAGATGCACGATGGATAGATAGATAGGCTAATCATCCATGGCCGAAACGAGCGCCCGGTGTCCGTCGTCTCGAGGTGGGGGTGGGGGAACGATCCTTGATCCATGGATCGTGGAGTCACGCAAAATTGTATGCGGACAAACTGTGCATGACTCGTGTAATCTAATAGTTATGCCTCTCGAACTGTGGATGGAAGCATCTATATCGACGGAGAGCTCTAGCGACGGGTAGTCTCCTATTGCACGAAACGGCAGGTCTTGTCATATTATTGAGACGTATGCTGTGTTAACTACACGATATCCTACATACCAATATCCTTTTCATTATTTCGAGTATGCAAAAACACAGATCATGATCTTAATTAGCAGAAAGATTGGGCTCCGGACTACTTGTTGAGGTCTAGCGGCTGTTTGATTTATGCTGAAGTTTGTTTGATTCGACGAATCAGAGTGCACGTACAGGTTACTATTTCTGTACATCACAACTGAGTGAGCTTGCATGCGCCGATGAGACAACTTTCGCAAATACACCCCCAATTACATAGATCAGTGTGTATCCAATTCGGCTGCTTGATGACTTTGTACAATTAAGGTTTTCGTCATTCATTAAATTAACAATCGCTATAAAACAGAGTCAACATTACTCGCGCTCAATATCGATAGCACAGCCTTCTATTCTGCGTCGTCAAAAGCTCTTCTACTTTGATATCGCTCGCCAGTCCCGCCATATGCAGAAGGTCAGTGACTTGCGCTCCCGGCGGTATCACACCATCAAGCTGGTCCTGAGTTCTGATGCCTGCATACTCGCGGGTGCGCACTAAGGGTGACTCCTGCTGCCATAGCCACCACAGCCGATCAACCTGTGCATGGTGCAAGAAGAATAACGGATCATTTGGCGCGGTTGCTGGACTCATATCGCCTCCAAGCGCTGCATGAATCGCACCGTGAGGCCCGCTCTCCAGTGCTATGCGGAAGCTGTCGTAGTCTTGGCTCTGCATCACTTGCTCGACTGCGTCAGGCGTATAATTCGGCGATAGCATATCGCCAGCATCTTCGCCGCCGGCGTTGAAGGTACGTAAAAGGCAATGAGGCTCGGCGTTGTCTCCGAAGTAGGGGAGCTGGAGATCCTTCAGAGGGCCGTCAGCGACGCAGCGTTGGGTATTTCCGTCCAACTGCATCGCTTTATCGGGAGAGCCGTTGCCACCGAAACCGTTAATGGGGGAAAACACGGGCGAGGATGGCATGGATGCTACGTCTCGTGTCCAGTCCCAGTATGTCGCGACGCCAGAATAGCCACAACCTTTCAAGGCTTGCTCGTATATGGATATGAAATAGCGATGCCACGGAAGGAATGACGCGACAAAATGTACTATACGGACACATTAGGGATGAAGAGAAAACAAATGGCTGAATATAGCATACTTTCGTTGGTAAGCTTGTTGTGGACCCAGGGAAAGTCGTCATATAACGAAGTGGACAGCCCTATACTTGATGGCTTCTTCTTCATGCATAGAACGGCGGCGACATAGCTCTTGCGGTCTGCGCGACTGAGATCTCTCCACTCCCTGCGTAGTTGAGGCTTCGTGCAAGTTCCCCTTGATTCATCCAGTGGTAGAGCCAGGGCAGTACTCAGGCTGAGCAGCAAGAGATTGAACAGGACGGCGAAAAGCATCTTCGCGACGTAAAGCGAGGACAGAGTGGGACGAGGCTTGCACAGATTTGAGAAGGTCGGTGGAGGCAAGTGAAGAGTCTTGTATGCCAGCCCGTGGCTGGTATTCGGAAGTTATGAATTGATATCGAAGTCTTGACTCGTCCGAATGCCAACACTAACACCTCAAATCGTGTCACAGCATAGTTAGTGAGACCTCCGAGAACACAAGATCAAAGATATTCCGCCTCTAGCGGCGTTGTGTTCAGTCATGTAGATGGCTTGGATTAGATAGCGATGATGTTCCTAACAAGCAGTTAATCTAGCACCAACTGAAAATATGGATGATTCTTCATCCACGTAGCAGCAATCTCGAACCGACCTGCGAATGTACCAAAAATCAAGAAGTACTGAACTAAGATACCTGAGGAACACTGCTTGTTACTCGGAATACTTTTAATTTGAGGTGGCGTGGTGCCAGATTTGAGGTGGCAATTCGGAAGATTTGACGTCGCTAGATCTGATCATTAATAGCGGCTCGGTGAATTTACTCAATTCGGGAACTTTCATGTTTATGCTCGACTGAGGTGTCGTGCCATGGATGTTCTAGCCTAAAGACAACAATAGAGATCCGCTCACTAAGTCATGAGCGTACGGTCTCTGAAGGTAGAACTTAGATCGCTGTTGGGTGCACACCCTGATGAATTGCTTCAGATTCTTTTTTACGATCGCAAGCAACGGCTCTGAAGCCCAATAGTCTGTAATCGTATGAAGTGAGACTATGTGGAAAATCTTCAAGCCCAGACTACGCCAAGTAGATTTGGTATCATAAGGATCATTTAAGGTCGTGAAGTCCCATGAACCGAAACGCCAGCTTTCTGTCTAATCTCATCGAACCAGTATCGCGTTGATGACTTTGCACCAGTATTTCCCTTCCCATTCAATCGGAGTCTCACCGATAAAGCGTGCGTTAGGTCTCTCCTCCAGCCAGGCTGCGCCAAGAGAGACTCGATTAAACCAGTCACGCACAGCGTCGTCAACATGTTCGCCGACTGGAATTATCACCCCATCTGATTGCCGTACAGCTGGTTTTGGTGGAACACCTCGCATGCGCAGTAACATTACCAGCACATCACTGAAACGCTCTCCCTGTTGGCTGTAGTAGGGAGGAGCCTTGTCAAGCGGCCAATGCTTGGATACAAACTGTTGTTCGCTCCCCAGTAGGGTGGTTCTGAGCTCAGCTGCCGCGTCTGCAGGGACACTGGCTGTATCGGTAGATGTTTCATTACTCGTAATTTCCCACGTTTTGAAGTACCAACACATACGCTCAACACACGCCAAGAGGACGATTGAGACCAAGTAGGTTTCAAAAGGCTTTGCTTGCTGCCTCTGGAGTAGCCGACGCTCAATGTCATTCATAATTGATTTGGAAAGTGTGGCAGCACGCTTCTCAGTGGCTCCGAGTAATTGAAGCGCAATTATTTTGTAAGACTCGTGATCTTCTGCTGGCGTGATAGGGAGTCGATTAATTGACATTTTCGAGTCGTTCTCGATATCAGAGTCTGTTATTTCAACAAGGTTGGCGCAGGCTGGAGTCGATGCATTCAGTGATATCTGCCATGTAATGTTTCGATTTGCGAGAATTGTCGTTGCGACCCACAATTCAAGGGACCTCATTATAAGATCATCCATTATAACGTCATCCTGATAACATGCGGTATTAGAGTAGAGCATGGCTCATATCCCATGATGAACTCACCTTAAGATCCGTGCCAAACCCGGCTAGAGTTGACAAAGTGATCTGCATGAACCCAGAGCTTTCAGTTTGGTGATAAGTCTGGGCAAGTTTGCGGATGTATTGTTCCATCTTGCCCGCAAGGTCGTCAGTATCTGCGTCAAGGGCCGCAGGATCACTGGTATCCACTGTACCGTCAACTGTAGTACCAAAGAGAAGAGGATCTAATGGGGTTTTGCCCTTTAAGGGCAAGAATGTTACATATGTCGTAGACTCAGGTATATGTTTGACCTCCATCCGACCCGGAATCTTCTGTAACTGGCTTTTGACATTTCCAAGAGCGTGAAACGCCAAAACGGTGTGAAGTCCTGTACCGACGTGTCAATTGCGATGGACTTGGTTGCTTATCATTTATTCACCTGCAGAGTATAGACCAAACTCTTCTGCAATCCTAGTCCGGATGCAAGGGTGCCTCCACAATCTCGCACTATCGACACTGCTACATGTACCGCAAGGTGTCTCACCAGAACACTTTGAGATTAGTCGCTGTCAAGAACCTGACATGGTTGCAAGCTCACAGGTTTCTTAAGCATGCGGCAACGGATACATGCGCCTCTTTTCCTAACCTCCTGAACCTCTTTGCGTCGCGTATCTGAGAATCGCCCCCGGACTTTGTGTTTCCCAGGCTTTTGATCGATGCTGAAGTCCGTGGTGAAATGTGTCTGTGAAGCACTAGGTTTAAGCATATTAGACCCTAGTTGCGTTGGCGTGGTGACTGCCTTAGACTGTGTTTCTGAAACAGACACTGGTCCGGGGTTCGTTGTTTCTGTTAAAGATGGATCTATATTCTGCAAGTTCGTCCATAATGGTCTACCTGTGGCAGGCAAGTTGAACTTATCTGACAGGACTACGTTGGGGTCTGTTAGATCGGGCATAAGATTCTGGGCAGCAGAAGCCGTCATCATCAAAGTGGGAGATGACACGCTAGAGGTGGATACTACATTGTGTCCCAAAGGTGGGGCAGAGGGCTGAGGAGAATCGTGTGCAGTCAGAGTACTGTTGGACTGTGGGAACAAGGGGGGTAGACTGGAGACATCTAGAAGCTATCAGCTTATGTGGATAACTCATGAGTAGAACTCTGAAAGGGAATATACGCTGCCGCAAAGTTTCGAATTGCAATCCGAAATCCGCGAACGTTTCTTGCGGCTGAGTTGGTCCATGCGCATTAAAATTCTGTTCCTTATGGTGTGTGTACCTACCGTGGCGATCGGTCACTCCAATCGTGTTGAGGTCAGACCTAGAGTCGTCTGACACGAGGAAGTCTTCCAGGAGAGTTCCACCATGTTCACCAGTATTACGAGAATGTTGTTTCTTTCCGCCTCTAGAGCTCACATGTTTTCCTGTGAGATCCAATTGTTGCCTTGAAACCTCTGCTAGTGCCTCTAATCCAGACATGCTCTGCTTCGGAGTAAAAGGTAGCCCATTTTGGATTGCAATGGAGGGTCGTCTGGTTTCTGGAAGCTCTGGAAGATCATGGAATTGTAAAAGTGCTCGTTGGCGGTCGCTAACGGGAAGCGCAGGACATTTCTTGGTTAGATGATTTATGAGGCTATCAATTCTACCCTTGGGAAACTGGAGAGCTTGTCAAGACCTGATCGCCAGAGAATTTTGCTTCACCAAACCTTCTCTCCGCAGGACTTGCAAGTGTGCTGGTATCGATTGCTCGCGTCCTCCAGTTTAGGGCCGCGCTCAAAATACTCTGTAATGAGTTGATTTGGCTTGCGGCCCATACTGTAGCGATAGCAAGGGCGAGGCCGTCAAGCTGCCGAATTCGCCTGGTTGATTGTAAGTAATTGAAAAATGTGTGGGACAGGTTCTGCCGTTCTAAAAAGGCGGTGGCGCGGCGGGCGGTCGGAGATTGAGATGTCCAGGTGCACACAAGACAAATTAGATTTGTGGGTGTGCTACTTGAAAATGGTGTGTCCTTATTAAACTCCCAAAGTGTCCGAAAACCTCGGTCAGTGAACATCTATTTGCCCAACGTTGTAATACCACAGTCCTGAATCATGAAAATAGTCGTTGAATTAACATATCAATTGCAAAGTATCTTCTTCACTAACCTGCTCTGGTCTATCATATAACAATCCCTAACAAATACTTGGCGACTGAGTGGAAAGTCGTACAAGTGGAATTGTCATCAACTGTAACAGCGTAAGGAACGTATTTCCTTATATTGAAGTGACTGGTAAAATTATTCTAGCTAGAACTGATGCGCTACGCACTACATTTGATTGGTTCTAAGTATCTATGCCATAGAACAGTCCTGGGAGCCAATATCATTGGGACTTCAGGTTGTCTTTGACAACTGGTTGGTGACTTCGGTGAAGTTGTGCCATTGCTGAAGGGCAGCCCCGCTGCTTACGGCCCATCGTGCTCGTCGAAGGCCCTCTTTCCAGCGGCGACCTCCTGGCCCAGTTTCCGTGATTACATTACCATCATCTCCTTCACCCATGGAGCTAGAGTCTGAGTCGCACAGGCCCGAAGCGACAAACAGGGCTGCCGTGTTGATTAAGACAAAGTGAAGGATTGGATCATTTGGTGGTATCTCTCCTCTCAAGATTCGCATCAATATGAGGGCATTTTCTTCTGGCTCTTTTCCAGGGCTGACCTGGCTAAGAGGATGTCGAGGGAGCCCAAAGTCGGCCGGTTCTAGCATGAAGTGCTCGATATCTACAAGCGTCCTTGGTGGCGCGTCGTCATCACTCGTGGTATAGTCGTCGTCCGCTGCATCCTGAGAGCCTTTAAAATCTGGATTTGGTCGCTCCACTAGTTGCCAGCAAAGGGTGCGCCCGGCGATACTAATCTCATCTAGATCCTCCTCTCCGCATACAACCAATGCTTTCTTTGCACCTGCCATCTGGAGAGCTTCAGCGAAAACCCCTCCCATATCTTTACGAGCAACCCCGATGACACGGGCTTCGATGAGATCTTCGAGGGGGTTAGCCAAGGGTCCTAGGAGATTGAAAATAGTGCGCCAGCCCAACTCCTTCCGAATAGGTGCTACAAATCTAGCTCCAGGATGGAAAACCGGAGCGAATAGGAAACAGTAGCCCGAGCTCTCGTATACCGCATGAACAGATGATGGAGTTACGGCAGATATAACTGGCGCATTCGGTTTCGTCGAGCTCAAAAGATCTGCAGAGCCTGACTTGGATGTCGACGCACGATTCCCATGTTTGGCGATCATCAAAAGGGAAGAGGCGAGAATAGACGATGTAGTGCTGATGTTGAAGGTATTATGCGAGTCTCCTCCAGTCCCTACAATATCGCACTGGAATTCTTAGCATAAAGAGTAGATGATTGGTAGAGAACGCACAAGTCCCCCTCTATAGTTCCCCTCCTTTCTACCTTTAGTCTTTACCAATTTCGCCAGTGACTTTGTGTCTACTGGAGAAGAAGCATAACGCATTGCAGCAGCACACTTCCCAACTACATCTGCTCGTCTGTCCCAGCCTGTGAAATGAAGTGCCGTAAGGAGTGCTCCCGTTTGCACAGGCGACAGACTGTCTGTGAATATGTGTGCAATAGCATATGCAATCTCGTTTGCGGTCACGCCTTCTCCATCCGGGGATGGCCATAGACGTCGGAGCAGCGGTGTTATAGAAACTTTCGCATTTTGCTCCTCTTGATCAGAATTGATGGCCATAGTCACAGCCGGCGTGCCTCCACGAGGGTCAATTCTGTGTAGTTGGAGCGGAAAGATCCCATGCGCAGAAGAAGACGATCATGCGATGCTCTGCTCACCTTTTAATGCTCATGCTCGCTGTACGATTCGAGTCATAAAGGGTGGGTCGGGACTGATACGCTAAAGAAAGTTTCGCCTGAAGATCATTGCCGAACACGTGCAAGCGGGACAATTATCTTGGCATCCGGACGATAATTTTCTCCTCCGCAAACACCTCCGAGAGCTCAGGCACGCCAGGGCGAAGCAATTTATTTTCAAGCACAGCAAGATCTTGTAATGGGGCAGAAGAGGAAACGTACGGACACTAGCCAGGAACAGGCCGTGTCCAAGCCCTTTCAGAAAAAGAAGTCGGATCTTCACAATGGCTCAAAAGGAAAAGAGAAGAAGGTCGGCGATGGGCATAAGCCTAAGTTGGTACGTTTTTGGCGCAAGATAAGATGAAAGTTATATGCTAAGCATAGCTGTGTAGACATTTGAACCACGACCAGACTGGCACGCTGCCGAGCTCCCAGAGCTACCTCTCGTCGATAATGCCCCAACTCCAGACTTTCACATTCTGGACGACCTGCATCGATATGGCGAGACCTTACTCGAAGCCGAGAACGCCATGTTCGAGAGTTCGAATGCAAGCTCCTCGTCCCACAAGTTCATGTACCAGACCATATCCTCGGGTACATTGGAAGACAAAGTTTCCTCATTGACGTTGCTGGTTCAAGAGTCACCAATACACACGAGGAAGGCGTTTGAAAACCTTCTTGGTCTCGCAAGCAAGAGGAGTCGTAACCAGGCTTTGATGGCGATTGCCGCGCTCAAGGATCTGCTGGGACAAGGCGTCTTGCTGCCGCCAGACAGAAAACTGCGTGCATTCAATCGGCAACCAGCTCTTGCTGGCGCGCTAAAGGGAGTGACGACGATACAAAAGATATCAGGGGTACCGAAACTTCCACCGGGGGTGGAGAAAGTGCATCTTATCTCCTGGACCTACGAAGACTGGCTCAAAAAGCAATACTTTGAGCTATTGAAGACTATCGAAGTCTGGTGCAATGACGAGGTACAATACGCTCGCATGCGATCTGTCACGTTCGTTTATGAACTGTTGAAGGAGAAGCCAGAGCAAGAGGAGAATCTGCTGCGTCTATTGATCAACAAGCTAGGTGACACGGACAAGAAGATTGCGTCGCGGGCTTCATATCTTCTCTTACAACTGCAAAACAGTCATCCTCTTATGAAGGAAGTCATTGTTAGCGTTATAGAAGCAGAGTTTCTCTTCCGACCGGGACAATCGGCACACGCTCGGTACAATGCGGTCGTCACTCTCAACCAAACTATCCTCGGCTCCAAGGAGCAAGAGGTATCAGATAAGCTACTGGAAATATATTTTAAGCTCTTTCTTGGACTTATCAAGGATCCGCATGCAAGCGAGCGTGAACAAGGTGGAGGCTCAAAGCCGGGCAAAATGGCGAAAGAAAAAGCCAAAAGGAAGGAGAGTGCAGCGGAGGTGCAGAAAGAGGCCGACGAAAAGATGATTGCTCAAATACTGACTGGAATCAATCGAGCCTTTCCCTACGCAAAGACTGATGATGAGGCGTGAGTTATGAGATGTATCGGAGCAGATGTTGATCAAAACTAACTTTGCACAGCTTCGAGTCCAAGCTTGACATGATATACAGAGTCACACATGCGTCCAATTTTAACACCAGTCTTCAGGCTCTGATTTTACTGCAGCAAATCTCCGCCACGAAACACTTCACTGCTGATCGATTCTACCGTACCCTATATGAATCTCTTCTAGATCCACGTCTCACGACTACGTCCAAACATATTCTCTACCTCAATCTTCTGTATCGGGCCTTGAAGTCAGACATGAATCCCAAACGGGTACAGGCATTCGTCAAAAGATTGATGCAGATAATCACTCTGCACGAGCCACCATTTGCTTGTGGTGTATTGTTTCTTATCAACGAACTGATTATCACGTTCCCAAGTATACGTGAGATGATGAATTCTCCAGAGGAAGACGACGAGGAAGAAGTTTTCATGGATGCTCCTGAGACTGAAGAAGATGCCATGGCAATGAAAAAGAAAAAGGAAACGCAAGAAGTAAAGCGAACATATGATGGGCGCAAGAGGGATCCACAATACGCGAACGCAAACCTTGTTTGCTTGTGGGAGTTGATACCGTTCAAAATGCACTTTCATCCGTCAGTATCTCTGTTCGCATCTCGACTACTTTACGGCGAGGTGATGCCACCAAAACCAGACCCATCGCTGCACACATTGATGCACTTCCTCGACCGATTCTCATACCGCAACCCGAAAGCCAATGCACTTGAAGGAAAGGGCACATCAATATTTCAGCCTCTTGCCGGTAGCGAAGGCACGGATAGACTCATCAAAAGACGGTCTGGTGCTTTTGTGGAGACACCGCTCAATACTGAGGCGTTCTGGTCGCGGAAGGCAGCCGACGTGGCCGCTGACGAAGTTTTCTTCCATAAGTACTTCAGTCAGTCTGGCAAGAAAGTGTCGAAAGACAAGAAGGCACGCAAGAGCAAGAAGGATGACGATGAGGATAGTGAGGAAGAGGCCGGCGAGGAAGAGATCTGGAAAGCCCTTGTTCAGTCCAAGCCCGAAATCGAGGGAGACGAGGACAGTGATGATGGTGGCTTCGACGACGAAGACATGTTGTCCGATGATGATGATGCTGATGACAGCACTGAAGAAGCTGGAGGAGTCGAGCTCAACCTTGATTCAGATTCAGATGCAGAAGATCTCGACGACGCCCCTGAGATGGATGTGGCGGGAAGTGACGAGGAGGAGGATGATTTTGACATGGCTGAGCTCGAAGACGACGAAGACGACATTGTTGGGAGCGATGACGAGCTACCATCAGACTTTGAAGAAGCAGCAGAAGGCGCAGATGAAGAAGAAGTCGAGCAAGTGTCAGACAAGAAGAAGGCAAGAGACGAGAAGAAGGCCAAGAAGCGAAAGCTGAAGAGTCTCCCAACTTTTGCTTCGGCAGATGATTACGCGAAACTGATGCAAGACGATGAAGACGGATTCTGATGGCGATTTCAATATGATATACGATAGACAAGGAGGTGCGAAAGAAGAATTGGAGTACACAGCCTCCTGCGATTGAATTTTTGCAGGCTACAGACACAGCGGCTACAATTGAATCATACATGAGCACCTAGCATATCAATATCCGCAAAAAAAACACGCCGTCAAGTTCAGATAATGTACGTCTGCATGATGCTGACCCTTCTGACAGAATCTACAGCGGTCTTCAAGCAACATAACCTACGCCGCAATCCACATGAAAATCAGCGGGGCGAGATGGGAAGTTCGAACGGACCGAGCCTGGAGGCATTAGCCATAGTCGGCCCTTGAAGTGGACCGTACGTACAATAAGTGAACCATGGGACGCTCTACAAGACGGGAGCATGAGGGATAATTCGAAACGGAGCTCTCTTTCACGGCAAATGGCACAGAATGGAGATGAAGCGAGGAGATGGTCGTGGCGTCGATGAATTGTGGGGTGGTCTGGAAAAGAAACAAAGGGACTGATGGCGACAGCGGGGGGCGTCCTGGTGATCGTCAAGTCGGCTTGCTGCCGACCAGCCCGAGCGTCTTGCATCAGGCAGCGGACGGGTTGCTGCAAGATGGACGGATCCCCCGCCTGTGCATCTCGCATGTTCCCGCTGTCTCCACTGACTGCTAGCTACAGCGCTGAGGAGTTCCAATGGACGAAGGCGTCTTGCCGCTGGGACTAGATATTGAAGACGGCTGCTTGAATACAACCATAGTTGACGCACGAAGCAAGGAAGACTGACGATGATAATGATGATTAGGGCCTGAATGAGGATGAGGACAGATATAGTAGGGGTTGTTTTGACGGTGTAACGCAACAAGCCAGGTGGGGGCAGGGGGGTAGAGGACAGGGCAAGAGCAGCCCGTTGACCCCCCCGCATTCCGGTCATTTGGCGCCTATCCTGCCTGATAACCCAACTAAAACCCCCTACCTTAAGCTCGAAGGTTGTCCTGTTGATCAGCCATCATCATTCATCATTCACCTCCCAGCCTCCTCTTTCTACTCATACACCACCACCTCTACCACCTCTACCACCACCAACACCAACCACACCTCCTCTCTCTCCTCATCCACCCAGCCGTCAATAGTGCTAATACTCTCTTGTCGGACTTAGGAGAGCCGGTCTTTTTGATCAGCTGGCCGGTATGTTGACGGCCCCCCTCCCCTACGCTTGAATGGCAACCCTTATCACTATCGTTGCTATTATCGTACCGCTCGTCTCGAGTATCCGCGAGGACCACACTGACAACGGACCAATAGGTCGAGCAGTATCTGCTTTCTGGAGTCGCACGTGGAGTGGCGCCGATGTCTCGACCCTAGACCCTGCGAATTCCACCATCGCACCCTAATAAATAAGCACAGACGATACTGGTGGATTTGTGTGCATCATGCCAAAGGCGATGCAGATGCAGATGAAGATGCAGGTTTAAGGCCGGCCGGGGTTGACACAGCTCGCCTTTTGGCTGCATGACACGCGGGACCTCCCCTGTCCGTCCAAAATCACGCTGAGCTGCTACACTATCCATCTGGCCTCACTCAACACCCACAACACCATCGACACCTCTATTACACCACACTCTTGCCGCTTAAGGGTTAGCAATCGATCCATCACTCGACACCATTCAGCTCTGCCCTGTTTTTCTGTGCTGACTCTCGTCCGTATATCATGAGGTCTGTGCTTAGCTCTACCCACGCCTCTCTCTCTCTCTCTATCTCCATTCTACACTGCCACTAACTACCCTGACGAGTCCGTTGACTGGCACCACTGATCGCTAACGCCCTAGTCCGACTCATGTCGCACATCGCACGTATCGTCTTCGATCTTGCTACACCCACACAGAGTGTACAGTGCCAGCCGCCGTCCAACTCTATTGTGCTCAGGCTTCCTTTTCCCTTCGAAACCGGATTGCACACCGCCATGGCTACTCGCTGCTACATATCTATACGCGTCTCATTACTCATGATCCTGCTTGTTCATCATTTCTCCAGAGTCCACTCTCGCGAATCCTTCCGACCGCACCCGTCACCTCAAATGACATCTAGACCTGGATTCTATGATGGGAACGAATCAATGCCACCTTGACCCTAATACATGGTTCTAACACGCCTATCATGCCGCATTCCCGCTGTCCGAGCTTAATCGCTGCCGCCCTGCCAATCCCAATTGCTCGTTGATTGCGCTCACTCGCCCAATCGTCTTCTATACGCTTTCTCTTTAGATAGAAAGTCGTTAGAATGCGGACTTATATATGAAAGCACCATTCCCTGACATCAATCTCAGCACAGTCGTCCATGCAATAGATCACAACTGCGATTTGAAGAATGTATCTATAGTTATCAGCCTTCCGGTTGCCTTTGAGAAGCCATAGACCAACATATTGGACCACCTGATCATCGTATTGAAGTCCATCCGGCATTTCCCGACATAGCTACGTATACATTTTACGCTGGGTTCCAGTGGTGGTCAGCATGGGAAGTACCATTACGAGCTAGACGCTGCCCTGGAACAATCAGGAAGTGAGCTATCTCCCTTACGGAGCCGAAGTTCTGAAGCCCCTATACCGAAAACTCTGATGATCTCATTTACATTACGATATTGTCTTCATAAACCATACCATACCCTGCAATAAGGAATGGAAGGGTGCCCCATGAGTACCTATATGTAATGCTTAATATCTCTAGTGTCGCTCAGACAGACTGTGCATATCCATTCAGAGATGGATATCTATCTGCTTACTTTCAGAGCTAACTCTTAGTTGTCACCTGGGCCCCGAGCCTATTCGCTCGCATTGCGACCCTATCCTGATGCGCATGTGCACAGTTTTTTGACATCGCTGCATTGCTGCTTTCCAAACATTTGAAACAGCTGCGCAGCTGGTAATCATCAGGCTTCGAGACGGAATGCTGCTCATTTGTGGAGCATCTCCCTGCCTCAACCAACCTTGTGATGTACCATTGGTGAGCAAGGTTCGCATCTGCCGGCATACCATCATAAATAGTCTTTGACATCATCATACCTCTTGCCGCACTCCTCATGATAGACAAAGTCATCACTACCTAGTTCGAGGGGGTCCTGTGAGTTATTGCATGGCTCGTAACCATCCCTTTGACTCCTAATCACTACATATTGCTATACCGCGTCGCGTCATCGATGCACCGTCTAGCTTACGATTAGCCACTATGTGGATGCACACTACACAGGCTCTAGATCGCGGACGTCACCCCGAAGACCCTCACCAGCCACACTTACGTTGATCCGAGGGTTTGGAATTTATTTTCCGGGAAGTATCTCTATCAACTTCGCGGGCAAGATGTGTTCTATTGCCAAGGATCCTCGCAGCAACGCTGCCTACTTCTACGCGTCATCACTCCAGCAGATACAATATCTCTAGCAGAACGATATGAGACTCCTCTACACCATACCGACACCTCAGAAGAGCACCGGATCTACGATTCATGAAGCTGCGTCCAGACCCTTACCTTCAATGTCCAAGACCCTGTCTCAGACTCCTCATAGCTCGAGCCTACAGATCAGATGACTTACCGCCCGCACGCCTGTGCATGCCACCCTCAAGCGAAGCGGTCTGTATGGCTACACCGCCACTATGCCTTGCAGCAGCCCGGATCGGCGCGCCCTGCATTCTAGCCTGTCCTTGCTGTGCGACGGCATGGAATTGAGAGCGCACCGACTCGCGTGCATGCATGTGTAGAAATGCATATCCGACGTCCGTGATGAACGTCATGAACATCAAGTTTTTCAAGTTGTCAACCAAACCAGATCAGCACCTTTCAAAAAGACCACCCCGACCATCTCCCATTATGCGGTGAGTGGTGCATAGAGCGGTCCCGTCAAGCCACCTCACGTTTTTCCAGCGGGGTCTCTCCAAGTCACCCGGAGAGCCCGCTGGCGCGTACCACATCCATCTATCTATCCATGGTCCCGCGTCCCAGACGTCGGTCCCAGACTCCGAAGTTCTTCTCCCCCCTCCCCTCCCCTCAAACGCCCATCAATTCATCAACACAAAGCCACCTTTGTTTCCCTCTTTGCCCGCGGACTGTTATTATACCTCCGGCATCGCAAGCTGCGAACCGCACCGGGGCGCCGCTGGCGTCCCTCGCGTGCCGTGCCTTGTGACGTGCCCTGCCCTCGGTGTACCGTTTGAAATAACCCCTCCCGCCTCCCCTCCTCTCCCTTGCAGCAGGCACTGGACTGGAACTGGGACCAGACGGGCGATATACTTGTTTTTTCGCGGTTCCACGGTTCCTTTGGGGAGCGGACTGCGCGCGCGTGTGTGTTGTGTAGTGAGGGAGGGCTTCTTGGCACTAATTGACTCTTGGTGTGGTGGATGTGTATGTAATCTGCACACACACACACACACACAATTGATGGACGCACGGACAATGGCGCGGCGTGGGATTACTTTGCGGGGAAGGAAAGAGAAGGAAGAAGGAACGACGAAGGAACGAGGGGAGGGAGCTGTGAGCGCCATGGTTGCGAATTGTGATGTTGATTGATGTCTGTGAGTTACGGGACGGTTGGCGCGAAGAAGGCACAGCTATTCATTCAATTATTTATTTATTCATTCATTCATTCATTCATTGTTGTACTGTAGTCTGGATGGATGGATGGCTAATTGCTCTGATTGTCTTCATTCATGTCTTCTATCTCAATTTTGTAGATTCGATTTGACGACTGCAAAAGGGGTAGGCAAAGGAGAAGTAATAGAAGATTAATGAATAAGGAATAATTATATATGTTATACAATACAGCGCAACAGTATGCCATGGCACCAGAAGGACTGTGTTGGTTTAGATTCGTCCCGTCAGCCGGAGTCATTTGTGTCGTCTTTGCTGTTACATGCCCGGCCGGGACCATATCTGTCTGCGCTTTTCCAAAAAAAAAAAAAACACACCCTTTCTCCTACTCTTTTTGCCTTGCCTTGTTTGATATGTGTGTGCGCTCCCAACGTTCAGATCCGATGAGAGAGAAAGAGTCAGTCACTCTGAAGGCCAATAATCTTACACTCCTCATTCAATGAGTCCCCTTAGACCCAGCAAGAGTCCCCACAGTCACTCCTTCTACTTACTACAGCTTTAACAAAACCGAAAATCTACCCATTCATCCACGCAGCGACGCGATTCCCAGCAAAGCGCGCGCCAAACCGCAGCCCGGTACTGCCCATGGGGAAATAACTCACAGCATACCAGAGTAAAGCAACAAGTTGCATCATGGCGGCGAAGAATGTGAGGACCGTACTATGGAGCTACAGACACCCAACAAAGGGTCAAGTCAGTCGAGTTGATTTCTTTTTGTATATTTCTGATCTTTGCCGGAGGGAAAGGGGGGGAGGGGGGAACTTGTGGAGAGAAGAAGGGGTGTTGTAGGAAAGCTGAGTCAGCGGCTGACTTTCGTCTTGCGCGCAAGAAAAAAGATGGTGTTGTGGAATTTGTGCATGTGGCCGCGTAGTCACGCGGACGCGCGAGCGAGCGCGCAACTGGCACCGCCTCTCACAAGGCCGGCCGTGGGGGTACAAGGGTCCAGTGCATAGCGCGTTTTCCACTCGCACTAGCATACAATAGACCGCTTTAACATGTTGAGGCCAGCTCTGTCACTGAGCAGACGAGGCCTAGATGTAATACTTTGGAAAAAGCCCACCAAAGTGCACAAAAGGCCACTGCAACAGCACATTTGTGGCCAGGCAGGTGGGCGCAGACGTGGGAGCGTAGAGTTTGAGGAGAATAATGCACTTACATGTATGGAGAACCACAGTGTCAGCGCGATGGATCCAAAGTATGTCGCAGTGAATGGCAAACGCGGCGCAGAGAACAAATGTTGGACTGTGGCATGTTGGTTTAGCGAGGAGCGGAGGTAAAATCCATGGGGACGTACTGTATACCATAGGGCCCATCATGACCGCCCATGACGCTAGGAACAGAACAGATCCCATTGTCCACCTGATGCAATACTTTGTTAGCTCATTCCTAATCTTGAAAGTGAACAGTCACTGTTGCAACCTTAAGAAGGCCTATATCAAGCACATTCCATCCAATATGCAGCTTTAAATCCGCATACCAGGATGCTTGAGCATGATTGGGTGGCGAGTGAATGTCATGATGCTGATATTTGGAGGCCGCGCGCATTCAGCAACAGGATGGCGTTATTGCGTATACCGTTACAGGTCCGAGGAATATCTTCCAAGACAACTTTCGTATTGAAACAGGTTGGGGAGGAAACAGGATGTAGAAGGACAGAGGGCCCGGTGTGGAGTACAAGGTCTTCAAGCCTGAAACACAAGGAAACTTGACTCACAGAATTGGGAATTTACGCGGCCTCAAAAGAAAGACAGGCGTAAACATCAGACCTATACAAGCCGCAAACAAGCCTATGGCTGCAAGATTGAGTCCCGCAAATATGAGGATTCGGTCCCATCGGCTGACTGCAGAGCCACGGTGGCGTACGTTAGCGCATGCTATTGTTTACTTCGAGTGATGGAGCCCTATACTGTGACTTGTGATAAGACTCATCGCATTCTGCAGTGTGAACCAGATGCATACGCAGGGTAACGGAGCACGTAAAGAAGTTCCTCACTCATCACACCCAAATGTTGATCGGCGCTGCATTGTAGCAAAGAATAAGGAGGGTATGGGGGAAATTTGCGTTGCACTGAAGGTGGCAACTTGAGAATGAGAAACTTACGCGCAAACCAAGCCTCTTCCTCCTCCCTCCTTGAAGGTGCAGGTAAAGGGGCACCTGGATTCTCTGATGTAGGCAACCTGACATAGCCGCCATCACCAAAAGGGTTCAGCGATTTCAGCCTGGACAGGATGGGTGTGGACTGATTCGTATTGACCGGGATATCATCGTCTCTCCTCGTCCAGCCCATCGAGCTCATCTGATCCTGGAATGCACGCGCAGACATCTTGGTAACTGAAAACGCAGGATGCACTCTGTAGTGAAGGTTATGAAATTCGTGAAGATAGTCGTTGAATGATAACGACTGAGTACTCCTTGATTTTATTCCTTCAGGATGGCAAAGCTGGTGCCTATTTGCTCCTTGACGAGCACCCCGTGTATTAACCCTTCTAGCTGCTTGCGGTAGAAGCTGGAGGAATCACCAAGGCTGCGTGAAAAGATTGGAGCTTATTTCTGACCGATGACGTACTCTGCTTAAGTCGTGACACGGCCGGTCGACGCGCAAGCAACCACTCCAATATGCGTAAGCTCTTTCGTGAATTTGAGCCTATATTGTCCAGCCTTTGACCGTGGCAGTCGAGAGGGTTGTATTGCGGAATATGAGACCCGGAATGCGGTCACCAGCTGAAGGCAGGAGCGCCTCGATATTGACCCAGTGTAGGCTTGGCAATAGATAGGCAGAAGCCAAAGGTGTTCTTCAGAAAGATCTACGAACGTTCGCGGTCCGGCTTAGCTGCTTGGATGCTCGAGGGGAGCTGCAGCGGGACGCAGCGGAGGATTGCCTGCAGGTGATCCCTGAGGATGGTCGTAGAGAGGGAGCCCAATGACAGGATGTCTGACAGGGTTTCAGATTGGGAGGGTATGGGACGAGGCTTGTGATAGAGGGTTTGGAGACTGTCCGGCAGACCGGCGAAGCTGTCGAGACGGAGAGGGCAGTAACGGCGCGGACGGATGCGATGCAGGTGGGATCGCTATTGTGGTGGCGGACGAAGGTGATAGGACGGAGACGGGAGTGACAGGCTGTGGTGCGGGAGGGTGTGCAGTGCAGGCCTTAAGGTGTCAAGGTGTCAAGAGTAGGAAACAGTCAGAGACAACACTTTGTGCGAAGTGTGTGTGTGTATGTGCTTGCTTGGGTGTGTGTGTGTGTGTGTGTGTGTGTGTGTGTGTGTGTGTGTGTGTGTGTGTGTGTGTGTGTGTGTGCGAGAGAGAACGACGAGTATGGACGTGGTTGTGAGCGCCGCGCGGGCTGTCGTCGGCAGTAGCGTGGATTGTGATGGCGGTAGTCCCAAACAGGATTAGATCCAACTGTTGAGTGAGTTGACAGCCCTGAAAGCTCTTGAGGAGTGCTAGACTGAAGAGTGAAGGCTGCATCAAGGTGTGGCTCACGCCTCAGGGGGGGCGGGGGCTCCCCTGCATCAAGATGTGCGGAGAGAGTCAAGAGGTCTTTTCAGTCTTGAGTCTTGGACGAGATGCTAATAGATAGTCCGGCTGCATTCCCTGCTTTTCACTAATACTACTATCGATATAGGTATTGTTGTTGCTCCTGACTCCTGCTCCCCCACCATCATCCACACCCATCTGCACGTTACACGAACAGCTTCAACATGAATATGTACCGTCCAATGTAGTGATAGCCGCTACCTTCGAATGTTGCTGCATGAAAGAATTCACATCGTGGCGCATCGTCTACCGGACTATCATCCTATATCTTTGCATTTCTCGTCTACTACCCACTCAGTAGGCTGTACTTCTTTGTCCGTGAGTACGGTGGCCTCGTGTTCGCCTCGACAGGGCTGACCGAAACCAGAATCCCATCAGCATAATCGGGCCTATCCGCTGCAAATCATGAGTATTATGGTCGACGGGCCAAAGTCCAAGAATACATGACGAAGGCTTCAGACCTAAGGGAGTCAAGTGGTGAGCTATGTCCCGTTATCGCCCTTTCGGCTCACACCTACCCCCCTCCCCCCCCCCTCGCTCAGCCTCCAATACACCCACGCCCATCGTAGTGGTGTGGTAGGAGAAGCAATGTCTACAAAGAAATCTGAGACGTTTCGTTGCTGCCCTCTCTTCGTGACCTCGACATCCACCTCCATGGGGGACCAGGGACATTATGGTGGGATCGCTCAGCAAGGAAAAAGTGGGCTTTCTTGACGAGCACTGTTTAGATGGCAAATTGATGTGATCGAAGATCGAAGACGAGGCCTAGAGAGGCTCTCCTTTGGGAATATAACACTGCTGCTGCCCATCCCGCCCCGAGCTGATATCTGTTCTTGGTGTTGCCCTGCTTCTTCTCTATTATCTTGCCAATAACAAGCACTTTTACGCCAGATCGCTCACAGACAGACAACCTGAAGAATATATACATACATACCTACAGCTTACCTTACACTCTCGCCCGCACCTCGACCGCCTACCTCAGTACTAGCCAGCTAACTTACTTTGACTCTGAAACAAGCCTGACCTCGAGTCTCGAGTCCGACGTTGCGCAGAACCACGAATCTGCCGTTGTGTGCGTGTACTCAGGTAAGAGACATTTTTGACTTCATCCAGTCCCACCCTTCCCACAGGTCTACCACGGTATGATGCATATTGTACTGCGCGCTTCGCCTTCTTCTTGTTGTTGTTGTTCCTTTTTCCCTCGTCGGCGCTCCGGAGCGGGACACTGGCCAACATACTGGGATTTCTGGGTAAACACTATAGTGCTGTTATGGCATTGTGGTAGACCCATTCTACGCAGGACTGGCTCCGAGCAGCGAGTCGCAGGGCTCCCTTGGGCTCGGCGAGGGCGCTGATTGGCTGCGGCGCGTCCGGCGGTCGGTCGATCGAGTTGGGCAGCCCACTGCACTCCCTACCCACTATCCACTACCCACTATCTAACTAACCAGCACTTTTGCCCACCGCCTCTTCTGGCTGCCCTTCTCCCTTCTTATTCTTCTCCGGGCGGGCGTTTTTGCTGCTGGTGCTGCTGGTGCTGCCCGGTGCTTGCTGCCACTAATAGTGCCACTGCTCGACACGACACGGCGACACGATCCTTCCATTCCGGGCGGGCCCTGTGGCTGACCCTTTTTCTCCCTCCCACCGCTCTCCGCTGAGAAAACACTCATCTCTTCCTTCTCTCCACTTCCTCATCCCTTCATCTCTTGTCCGCATCTTGCACCCGCAAGAGTCACTGGGGGTTCTTGACCTTCTCCTCCGCCTGCAACTCTGGGGCTACACCCAGGTTGCCCCACCAATTACCCTTCCGCGAGAGTCCTGACTTGTGAGGTATGTCGGCTTTCCCTGCGCTTCCCCCGCCATCCTCTCGGTGTTTCGCCTCCATGTCGCACAACTCCCTCTTCACCCCTCCTGACGATGCTCTCGCGCAATCGGACCGTATACACTCTCACCTGGAGGGGAAAAATTGGGACTGGAGACAGCCATCTATCTGCTCTGTGGCCTCGCTCACGACCGCATCTTACTGCTGTGCTCTACCAAAGGAGAAGACTAGTCTGCAATCCTCAAGTTTGCGCCCATGGCACAAGCAGCTACCCGCACGCGCATCCTTTCCCAATCGCTGTTTATACACCCTCCGCACTGCCCTGGTCGACACAACACGGCACATGGAGTGTCGACAGTCTGAGCTTCGCCTGGCCACAGGCGATCGTTGCTATGCTAGCTAGGCCACCGTAAATGTTGTAACGCATACGCTTCGAGACACAAATAATCCGGTCTATTATACCACGGACAAAGTTCTAGCTCTGTGTGACGCCATATACACTTGACCTCACAACTTGTGGATGCCTGGAATCGTTGAGTCTGGCTTATATTCACTATGACTTGACCATGCCCAAATGTTGATCACATTAGCTTCACTTCTCACAATTAATTTAGCATTTTCAAGTTACAGCGAGCTAACAAAATATTTTGTACAGAGCTCTCAAACCCTCCTCGTTCTATAATCGACCTACACGCTCTCAACTTGAAAGCGTTATTCAGCCACTCCTCCATCTCATACCACCAAAGTCAACAATCACCGTCTCGGAATATTTACCATAATACCGAAGTTTGTAAAGCACCTCAGCTGAGCAATATCTTCACGTCAATCACTCAGACTTGACTCAGATCGGAGGTAACAGGTAAGATTTGTGCACTTTGAATGCTCGAAATATGCAATGGGCAGCAAAATGAGTGTGAACACGCAGGACTGACGCCTGAAATGCAGTTCAAAGTCGAAGCAAACAAACTCTTCCGATCTCCTACCTACATTACACACTTTCGCCTTCTGCGACCCTCGTCCACTCCATCAAACAAAGTCCACCTCTGGAGTTTGAAAGTTTGTCCACGTGCTGGCACCGCCTCCTTGACAATACTGCACGATTCTTCACAAGTGGTGTCTACGTCACGGGATTCTTAGTGTCTGTGGCTCTTCAGTGGACGGACTCGAAATTCCTCTCCAAGATTCTCCACATACACCACATACCGCATCGTTATGCCGATAGCTTGTTAGTTGCCTTTTCCTGTCGTATTAATCTGTTGTGCACGAAGCAGTACGAAAACGTGTCTTGAGACAGGTACTCACATGCCACTTATCGTTCCATTTCGCACACGCATAAAGACTGGCGTCTTACCTTCTTCGAGCCCAAAGCTAACAGCTAAAACAGCCGATACACTATTTCATCTTCCAAGTTACTCCTCTAGCACTGCGCAGAAGGGAACACCCATACCTGATCGCTTAGATTACAGTTCAGACGACGGACTAGACGTGGACATATTCAACCAGGACATGGCAGGCTCAACGTCGCCTTTCATCAAAGACGAACCATTCGAAATGAGTTTTAACTCGCGCTTCGCCTCGAACAACGGCTTCGACATGGAGCACCAATACAGCGGCCAGCAATTCGGCCAATCTCCAAACAGTGGGAGTGTAAACCCCTCTGAACTTCAAATGAGCGGAAGCGGCATGAACAACTTTAGTTCTCACATGTCTTCCAGCTACATCATGGGCCAGGCAAATATTGGCGATGATGAGTTGCTCGATCTAGGCAACCTAGACGATCCCAACCCCCACTTCTCCAACTTCAACGAGCAACAGCGCAACCAACATTTCATACCCAACAACGGCGGTCCCGTTAGTATGACTTACTCTCACACCCCCGAGGGTGCTCCTATTCAAAGTCCATTCGCTAGTGGGAGCTTCAACTACGGACACTTTCAGTCCTCACAAAGACCAGGACATCATCTTGGCGTCGCTACACAGGGTGCCAACATGAACAACACTGCCTTTGCTCGACCAAGAATGCCATCAAACCTAGATCGCAAGCCTTCAGATTCACGAAGCCCCATGACACCAAGCAAAGGCTTCGGTGAGCTACACATTGGCACTCCAGGATCTAGTAGTGTTAGCTCTCACGCTCATCCTTTCATGGGTCATCGCCCAACGCATCAGCGGGCACAATCTCAGGTCGAACATGTCACTCCAGGCAGTGCTGGTTCCTACCTTGACTCTCCCTTGCAATCGCCATACGGGGTATCGATGGGTCACCCACAACCACTGCAGGAGGTCATGTCTGGTAAACACTCAAGCCTTCCCAACAAAGTTGAAGGCAATTCAGCATACCAGTCTCAGGAAGCTAAACGGAAGAAGAGACGTGAATCTCACAATGCTGTTGAGCGTCGCAGGCGTGATAATATCAATGAGCGGATCCACGACTTATCTCGTCTGGTACCGACACATCGACTCGAGGATGAGAAGGTCCGCAAGCACATCCACAACAACGGACCTTTGTCACCAACTATAGCCGCCAGTGGCATATCCCCGCCTCATGCCACATCATTGCTGGCAGGTGGCACTGGAAGGCGCGCAGCTGGCAACATAACCACAGGTTTGCCTCTCGAGGACAAAGACAAAGGCCCTAACAAAGGCGATATTCTAAACGGAGCTGTGAGCTGGACACGCGATCTCATGTGGATGCTCAACGAGAAGGTCCGCCGAGAGGAGGAGTTGAAAGTCCTCATTGAGAAGCTCGGCGGCACTTGGCCCTACCAGTACAACGAAGAAGAACAACGCATGCGCAGTGAGCTCATCAAAGCTGTAGACGTCAACGGGACCGAATCCTTCACATACAGTCGTGGACACGGAAGTGGACTTCGCGTTCCCGGCCACACCAACGTGGCTGGAGAGCCTCTTGACGGGTCACCCAATGCTCTCAGCCCTGGCTTCCAAAGTGGTGGCAGTGGTTCCAACTCTGGCCAACCACAATACTGGCCTGACGACAACAACCGTGGCTCCTTCAGTCTGAAAGAAGAGGACGAGTTTGGAACCATGGAGCTATCCTAAACACCAACAGAATGCACGTCTTCCGTTTCCGTCATGTTTTGTGATACCCATCTGCTCCAGCATTTTCGCACTCTCCATACTCGTTCGGTCATGCATGACATGATCGTAACACTTACCGCATGATGTCCCCGAGCCTCAACACCCGATCAAAGTTCAAAATGAATATGATGGGTGTTGACTCGGGGTCGTTACTTCTTTCGATATTGCCGATCATCAGACGAAATCTATCACACGTTGTCGGAGTCTCGAATCATTTACTTTGGCGGAGTTCCTCTACTTTGATATACTGCTGCGTCTGGTGGCGTTTGAAGGGGCACATCATCTTTCTTTGACTTTTCTTTTTTTTTCCTCCACTATGTTCTGCATTACGACGCTTGCTACCTGCTGTTCCTCTACTGCCGATACTCTTCGATACAGACCGCGACCAAGGCTTCGGCTGACGTCCGTCTTGGAATGTGGATTATGCTCGTCGCGCTGGCCGCAGCGTTTTTTTATTTCCACGTAGCTCATCGTTCAACGTCTTCAATGCATCTCTTGAGTGGGATAGACCGCCGACGACCTGCATTTCCCGAGTCATATATGATTACCTTCCCTATCTCTTTTGTGTGCGTCTCGTCATGGATGGTCATCATGTCGTGGATCCAGGAAATGAATGATGCGAGATAACGGACCTCCGGCCGCGGTCGAATGGTGGTGGTACTCATGGAATGGGCGTTCTCCTTTTTTTCGTTTTATTGTCGCTTTTCCTTTTTTACACAGTTCCTAGTTTCCGAGCATATATCTAATACATACAAACTCTCCACATCTCACTCCTGCAGCCGGGACCTGCGCCTCCTTATATATGTGAATTTTCTCCCCTCTTTGGCCACTGCTAGGACCCCACCCTTATCAATAATAGCTTGAACCATCCATGCCCCCTCCTTCTCCTACCTATTTTATCGTTCGCCTTCCGCGCTTTCCGATTTAAGCGTGTCACGCTGTCGCGTCTACTGTTGACGTGGGCGATGCTGATAGGGTGGGGGTTTGGCGGGGGTTATGCAGGGTCTGGGAAGCGGGAAGCGGAACGTCATGTACACTGTACACATGCGTGCTTTTCTTGCGTTGGGATGGGGGATTTGATTACATCCTGGGTGCATGCGTATAGGGTCAGATGAGTAGTTGTTGTTGTTGCTGTGTTGAGTGCGTTGTTCAATAGATGGTGGGTGAATGGATAGATGGTGGTGGGTGAAGGTCGATTCAGATGGTCTTTCAATCAATCTCGGCGTTGGGGGCTCATTAAGTGGTCTGTATCGACATTGCATCGCATAGAAGCGCAGAGTAGTAGGTAGGATCCAGAGGTTCTCCCATCGTCCCGAACCGGCACCCCGCAAAGAAGGAGTTTGAGTGAACTCTTTGCCTCCCTCCCTTCCGCAAGCCGCCCGCTCCCCGAACCATTTTTCTCTCGCTAAGTAATCAGTAGCCGACTTGAAAGGGAAAAAAAAACAGTCGTGGTTTCTTCTCCACGCTACCATCCATTCCTGGACATTATCATCCTCTCTGAAGGCGGACACTAACAGTATTACTTACTAACACTGCCATGCTTGCGTCGGATTGTTGGCGTACTAGAGCCGTAGCTGCAGAGGTCATATGGTGGTGATTGTAGTTCGATGTGAGGACATGGGAGGTTGAAGGTTGGGGAGGTAGGGCTGGCGATTGGTTTGGTTTGGTTTGATACATACTGGCCAGCCCTATGTACGTAGCGAGATGGGGACTGGGATCGGGATTGGGATTGAGATCGGGGGATGGTAGAGCAGGTAATGGTAGGGTTAGGTTAGGGCCAGGTTAGGGTTAGGTTCGGTTAAGGTAGGTTAAGGGTAGGTAGGTGAAGCAATGCGATGCGTTGGCAGTGCATACATACATATCCCGTGGCCATCGCGTGTTCGTGTCTGTTGTGTCAGCCGCACCACGTGTTGTCGAGAGTTGAGACTAGGACCGTTGACAGAGGGGGGAAGGGGAGGGGGCTGAGGATGGTGGGATAGGGTTTGAAATTTGTATGTATAATTATTTGGCTGGATGGTAGGTACTGGAAGTGGGTAGGTGGAGTGAGTGTGAGTGAGTGAGTTGAGGATTTGAATTCGAAATATTTAGTGTGCTGGCTGGCGTGAGAGCTGGTGTCTTTATCATCACCGGATGGAGGTTTCTTTTTGGAGAGCATGTTCATAGGAATATAGATTTATCATATCATCATCCAGTTCGTGTACTAGGGACTTAGCTGTTTTCCGGGTCGTTAATCCGGACACGCATAATAAATACTGTGTGACAGCAGGGGGAAAAGCAAAGAGGTCAAGGCCAAGGAGGGAAGTGCTCCGGGTAGTCCGTGCGTGCTGTGGCGCAAGACCTTGTCACTCACCGCCACACCACATCAAGACTTCTTAGCAAACTCCTAGGGTCTCTAATGTTATTGGTAGCATCGTCGTCGTCGTTGTATCTAACACTTGCACGTCTCCTACGTTCGCTAGATAACTTTTGCTATACGCTTTCGGGGGCTCTGAGCACCCCACAATAAGTACGAATGGGCACTCAAATGGGCGGCCCAGGCGGCGGCCGCAAGATCCAGAAACCCATCCCGTGAGTTCAATTTGTATTCCTATGTCCATCAACCCCCTAATCCCTCCCTCTCTCTTTGTCCCCATCTTCCTCTCCCGGCCAGCTTCGCTCTGCCCAAGGATGATATAAACAAACATTTTCCTCACTCACCCGCCTTTTCGAATGAAAATAGCCCCGAACGCGGCTCCTTTCCACTCGACCACGACGCCGAGTGCAAATCCTTCATGACATCCTACCTGTCCTGTATCCGCACGCATCGCGGGCAGAACGCGACGCCGTGTCGGCTACTGAGTAAGGAGTATTTGGAGTGTCGGATGACGCAGTAAGTTGTCTTTTTTTCTTTTTTTTTTTCTTTCTGACTTTGTATTTGCTATCTCGTGTTTTTGTTTGGGAATTTTCGAGTTTTCATTGGGCCTGCTTAGAAAAAATTCCGTGGTTGCTTTGGTGCGTTCTGTATGGACTCTTGAACTATGGGTTTTCTTGGCATCGATTTCTGTGTTGGGAATTATATATGGGAGTGTAGAATTAACGCGTGTGGGTGCTCTAGTAACCTGATGGCACCGGACGAGATGCGGAATCTGGGGTATGGCGAGGAGTTTGAGCGGGATGTGAAGCGGATTAGAGTTGGCACGGGTGGGAGTGTATCGGATGTGGAGGCTGGGAAGCCGCCGGATAGGAAGCAGGATGATAGGCCGGAGATCAAGTGGTGATGGGGGGAGGTGGTGGTGTTGGTTGTGGTGAGAGGGAAGGGAGAGGTGGTGTTTGAGTATGGGCGTGTACGATATATCTATAGTGAGAGGGAGATGTGGATATTTGGTGTAAAATACATAGATGAAAGATGTGGTACGGTTAATGGTGAGATGGTGTGTCTGAAAATGTTCAACTTTGGGAGCACTGCAGTGTGGTGGAAAACAGACGTCATGTGAGTGGTTTGTAGGATTGCATTTGTTGTCTGAGTATTTGAATGTCGAGAGAATTCCCACTCTGTATCAAAGCCAAAGTTTCTATATCACGCGGATAATCCGATCTTAATATATGCACAATCTGAATGAATTCCATGACACCCAAAACGCCATCCTTATCCAGGAACCTCGTCTAGGAACGTCATCCAAACCCCGTTTCCCTCAAATCAACCTCGTCCAGATATACTCACACAATTCCGCAATGTCCGGCGCCCACCCCTGTCCCCTATCCCCGGCCACACTCTCGATCCCATCATACCCGATCCTGACATCCCTCCGCTCCATTTCATCCAGATAGCCCACACTGATCCGATACCCATCCTCGCGCTGGCACATGTTCCGTCGACACATCGGACACTGATTCGACATCCTTAGCCAGTCCTCAAGGCAGTCTTTGCCGAAAATGTGTCCACACGGGACCTGGACAGGACGCTGGTCACGGCTTGGGACAGCAATACTTGAGGAGTGGTGCTGCGAAGCAGGGCGTGGAGACTCGTGGCCAGATCGTTCCAAGCATGCGATACCGAGTCGTTGTTTCGGCCCTGGGGCGGTGGTTTGGAAGGGGTCGAAACAGATGTTACAAGTGCGGTCGCCGCGTGGGAGCGTTTTGATCGGCAGAGTTCGGGCGTCGAGGCTAGCGAAGAACTCCGCGTGCGGTATTATCGCAGAGGACAACGAAGTCCGAGGCGATGGAGAGCGCGAGGAGCGGTCTGGCGAAGACCGTCTGCCAAACGCAGCACGACGGAAGCGCGAGAAGTATTCTTGCTTCGGAGCACTCATTGTGTTTGCGCGAAGAGTATGATGAGAAGAATCCGCAGTTAACGAGCCTGGTCATGGAGGCAGAAAGAGCACGCAACATATGCAAGTGAATGTGAGACTATTCACGAAGTCAGTCTTCAGAAAGATGCTTCACGCGACACGGCCAGGCTAATCATTCTGGTATGAGACATTGCACGGGCGAGATCGTCGTGACCTCGAGCGGCACCTGGCAGCGATCAGGTGAGGGGGCCGTGAGTGACCCGCTTTGCTGCCTGCGGTGATGTAAGACAGCGCAGCATTCATGGCGGTACTGGGGCTTTTCGGAGTGTATTGTGTTGTTCTGTGGTTGGTGTGGAAGATTTGGACGTGGACAGTAGTCTGGGACTGAACCGAGAACGAGAGAGAGGCCTCAGGCCTGCAGGCATCTCTGCAATAGATTCCATGGGTAAGAAGTGAATCGGGTAGTGGGGCTGAAGTGCCGAATACGTCACTATTCCATGACAGCATCTATCTAGCTGCGATCAACAAGCGGGGGCGTCCATACTGTCTATCAATCGTGCACGCAACCTTTCCATGTAAACAGTAAATACCACCGCTCACATCTACAAGTCAAACTCGTCAAGAACAGTCCTTCATATCACCATGTCCAACGAAAACCAACAGCCCAGCCTCGTCGCCTCACATGCCAATTTTATCTCTGGCGCTGCTAAAGTTCCATCTCCCCAACACAGCACTGTCCGTATCGGCTACTGACATAAACCAGGAGACCGTCGGTCAAGCTCTCGGCTCCACTGAGTGGAAGCAGTCAGGCACTGCGCAAAAGGAGCACGCTGTGCAGGACATGAAGGCTGCTGGCGAGCAGCGCGATCCTAACAAGGACGGATGGGGCAAGGCTGAGGAGATTGCTGGCAAGGCGGCTGGGTGTGAGGGCATGGAGCAGGAGGGTGCGCAGAGTAAGAAGTGAATTGTAGTCTCATAGGTCATGTACGATATGACGAATGATGATGTTGCGATGTATCTTGTGTTGAGATCTCACTGAAAAGAAGGCTTTGCTGTGTATGAGGTCTCTTCGCCTTGAGTGTTGAGCGTTCCAAGACCTGATGTCGCGAATATGTCCTGCATTGTGGGAAGATCCCTCTCAGTCTCTACTATCATCGCCATCCCCGCCTGGCACCCCCTATACATGCTCCCACGTTTTATCGACAATCACGACCCGCGCTCACGCGATATCGAAGCGTACCCCAAAGCACGGCATACGAGAAAGGGAACGCACATAATCATGATCGGCGAAAGAATTCGTGGATATTCCCCTAATGGCTGAGGCAATGGTTTCGGGAAATACGGCGATGTTCCGAACAAGGGATGAGTTAAGTTGGAAAGCCTTGCGTCTCATGTATGTGGACAATGATACACAAGGTAGGAATTTGGTGACGTGTCTATGGGTCGAAAGGTGCATATGGAAGTTTGTTACTCGATTTCTCGGCATCCAGCGAGGGTGTTGCTACATGAGGAGTATGGTATGTAGACAGGGAAGACGTGGATTTGATAGGCTCGACACTAGTACTTCGATGTTGACGCGCATATAGGTAGTGGAATTTGACGATAAGTTACACTCGGCTGCGATCATGCTCGTCGAATTTCCCACTTCATGTCGGTGATACTGACTTCTTCGCTAGCTTTCTCGTCGTAATCAAACCAGTCGCCCTCGTGTAACTCGATGCCTGTGAATTTGGTTCCTGATTCGAGACCCTTCGCGGTCCATTCGCCCTACATAACATCAGTATTTACCATGGCCGGAAGTATAGTCCTGTCATACGTCAGGTTTGAACTCGACAAATTCAAGTCCTCTACAGTCAAATTCGAGAATGTTCTGCTTCTTTGCGGCGTCCGAGTGCGGGTATGCCTTTGGCTTTTCCTTGATGTTTGCGGATTGCTCTCTCTATTCGTTCTTAAAATCAGCATTTCCCAGGCTTTTGCTTCGTCCATGTGCGCCGGTGGAGTCGCACCTTGCAGGACTTACACCTCCAAACAAAATTGGCTTCTCCTCGGCTCCCGCTTATTTCATTTTGTTCCTGGCGACTCAAATCAGCGATGTGAACAGTCAAAGTGCCAGGGCAGACAGACAAATCGGCTCACAGTCACCCAATTAGGGTGAATCTCGCGACAAGAGGTGCATTGTACTTTGAACGTGTAGAAGAACGGATTGTCTTCAGTGTCATTGGGAAGAAGGTCGGTAACTCTGTGTACAAAGGGAATTGATATCAGCAAAAGGCCCATGCAGTCATGCAAGGTCATACCCGTTTAACTCTGCGGTCAAGGCAAGGGCAAGTACCATGATGACTACGGAACGCTCGTTGCGACCGAGGATGCATTGGTGAGTGAGTGATCACAGTGGGGCTTCGAGAAGAGCTCGATTTGCGATTGCGCGGGCACATGGTGATCAGTGCGTTGCACCACCACTCTTCTCTGATCTAATACCCTACCTCTCCTCTCCCGATTCCAGAGCAGCACTACTATATCGCGTCAAGAGGTGGCATTCTGTTGGAGCTCGCGATCATCTTCCCGAAACCACACAAGCGCTTAGAATCCTGTCAGCGGATTATATCTTCCTCCTCTAGGCCACGTTGAACCCTCAGGAAGTCATCTGACAATGTTGCGGTAGCAATGCAGACAGTCTGGTCTCGAGCAGTTCAGACTCGATGTACATGCCGATGCGCCCAATGCATCTCGAAGCCCTCGACAGCAAGTCGACGGGCTGCTTTAACAACATCAAGGAAAATCACTTTACCTGGGCCGTCCGCGACCTTCTTATACTCGACGATCTTCGCCACGGCTGTGGTAGCCGATAGCAAGGCGAAGCAAAAGAGGAGGAAACAATGGGACGACGCGATCGCAGATGTGAAAGGACAGATCGAGGAACATAACGTTCAAACACATACAACAGAAGAGCTCCCACGGAATGACGGGGCCGAGAATCGTAGGACATTGGGACTACAAGCGTCCAAGCCCTTGCGCGCAGCTTTTGCTCCTCTTCAGGTGGGCTCCGGCTTGCCAGCCCATCTACATGACGCAGTCATTAAGCCGCACGCTTTTCTCCAACCGAACTCTAGCCTGCTGTCAGATTCCGTGAAGACTCCTCTCTCCACGTTCCAGGAACATATCGACGAGAGCAAAGAAGCAAAAGTCCCCGAACGACCACTTGAATCTAAGAGTTTAGCATCGTACTTCAATACCAGCCATACCGAAAAAACAAGATTCATGCCAGCACACACAGGACCTCGGGTGCCGCTGTGGTGTCAAGCGCCCCAATCTATATATGCAGAACCCAGACGGCGTGCGGCGTGTCACAGTAGATCATGGACTGCGAAGAAAGTTCGCATCTCCGAAGTGCAAGTTTTCATGTTCATCCTCCATATCTTGGGTCTAGCCTCGCCATCAGAGGAGGATCTAGCTACCTGCTCACCGCAGCTCAAGACACTTGCCTCGGCAAGAACATCGCACGATTGGCACCTAGAAGAGTACCACCAGGCGGTCTTTTGCGCCACCGCGGACCTTGAAGGATTTGATAGGCCTAGACCATGGCTATGTCCACATTTCAGACTGGAGAAGGACGAGCTTCATCACGATACTTTGTCACAGCTGCATGACAACCTCAGATGTTTATTAACCTCTCCGACCTCTCCCTACGGCTCGGCATCAGTCAGTCAGCAATCCATATGTGTCCAGATTTGCGACCTCCTACTCACATCGGTCGCCGCGCCAGACGTTCGCACGTACAATATCCTACTTTCTGGTTTGGTTCGGTTGGGTCTACATGAATTCGCCCAGAAAATTATTGATTGCATCATGAACTCTCGCATTCGCCCGAACGAGATCACGTGTGCCGCTATCCTCCACTACTACATCGAGCAAGGAGATCCGGCGAAGTTCAGTGAATATATTGCCAAGATGCGCGGCCTCCACGGTGGACTTATGAAAGCCAATCCAACCATCACTATAACGGAGATTGGTGCGCCTCGACTCATTCAAGCGGGGAATCAAATCATTCAGAAGGTCTCACCTTCCCCTATAGTCTTTTATGAGCTTATAAGGGGCGTCCTGCAATTCGCAGGATTCGAGCGCGCGCTCGAGATATACATCAACATGCACAGTGATGGCTGGGGGCTCGACGTGCGGGGCATCCGCCTGTTCCTGTACCACTGCGTCGTGCACTCGGACTTCAACATCGGCATCACGTTCTGGCACCAACTGAGGTCGCTCGTGGGCGATCGCCCAAGCGAAGTCGACATCAAGGACTTCAGCATTATCCTCGCGCTTTGCAAAGTCACGGGCAGAACTGAAATCTACGCCAGTATCTATAGTGAGGCCGTGACCGTGCATGACAAGGGTGTCCTGTCCAATATGATCCGCGGTCATGTGCTCAGCCTCGATCCAAATAGGTTGGACGAGACGCTGGAGGCGCGCTTTAATATCGCTAGCAAGCAAGTGCCTGTCCGGACTGCGTTCGACGAAGCGTGAGGGTCTCCCTATTTAGGTTATATTTCTCCAACCAAACTTGCATCTGGCTAGCAAGGGAGAGTTTTTTATTTGTATGCTTCCCACGATGGACACTTCTGTGGAATACGAGGAGTGGCTTTGTGCATTTCTGGGGATCTTCGCTACTTACTGTGTAGCGAGAGGGCTATATGACACGCATAATCATTGAAACAAATGAACGTAGACGCAGGAAATCTGCTGACTCTGCTTTATAACAGCAGTGTCTCGGATGCCGATCCGGGGTGGTGGATACCCTCTGGGGTCTTTTCTCTCATGAATATTTCAGGTCCCAAGCAAAGGCGTATAGAGAGACAAGTCTTCACGACTGTGTCGATAGAAAAAGCCTGCTTTCAACGCAGCATCGTTAGTCATGAATTGTATATATATGTATGTGTGTATATATATGTATGTGTGTATATATATGTATGTGTGTATATATATGTATGTGTGTATATATATGTATAAAATGAACAAATACCCATCGTGCATTTTTCACACGGCAAACTCCCTCTATGCTTCTATTATCCCACAACTTTTACCAACCGACTTTTATCTTCAAAGCCACCGCCTCATCCTCTCCTTGAACGACAACGACGACGCCGCAGCCTCTTCTTCCAGCAGATCCAACTCGTCAATCTCCCGCCTGCCAGAGTCCAGATCCGCCTCCGCAGCGCGAACGAACGCGGTGCGACAGACGAGCTTATGCCCGACCCACAGCGCCACAAACAACAACAGACTGACATACGCAACGAAGAAATCCGTGACGCTAAAGGGGATAAACGCCGTGAAGCCCTGCGTGAGGATGATGAGCACGTTGAAAAACAAGCCATACCACGTCAAGTAAGGCTGCAGCGGGGCCTTGTAAGGCAGCGTGTCACGGCTCTGACCACGGGCCTTGAGCGCGTCCATGAAGCGCAGATGACAGACGCCGATACAAGCCCAGACGATGAAGCCTGCAACGGCAGTGATGTTGAGCAGCCAGTTGAAGACGTTGCCGCCGGAGGCACTGAGGTTGAGAAAGCCGAGCAGGCCGAAGACGGCGGTAGCGCAGACGGCTAGGACGGGCACGCCGCCGCGACGGGTGGTGCGGGCGAAGAAGGACGGGGCAAGGTTTTCTTTTGCGAGGCCGAGCAGGATGCGGCTGCCGGAGTAGACGTTTGAGTTTGCGGCGGAGAGGACGGCGGTAAGGAGGACGGCGTTGATGATGGAGGGCAGGACGGCGATGCCGGCGAGGTTGGCGGCGATGACGAGAGGGGAGGCGGAGGCGTCGCTTGCGTCGCTGAGGAGGGCGTCGTTGTCGGAGGGCACGAGCAGGCCGATGAAGAAGATTGTGAGGCAGAAGAGGAAGAGGATGCGGAAGAAGGTTTTGCGGACGGCGGAGGGGACTTCTTTGCGAGGGTTCTTGGTTTCGCCGGCGGCGATGGCGAGGAGTTCGGTGCCTTGGTAGGCGAAGCCTGCTTTGATGAGGACGGCCCAGAAGCCGACGAATTTGGCGAGGGAGTCGTTGCCTGTGATGAGATAGGGGACAAAGGGGCCTGGGTGCAGCCAGTTGTGGAAGCCGAGATAGGGCTGCTTGCCGACGCCGGCGTCGACGCAGATGGCAAAGATCATGAAGCCGATGATGGTGACGACTTTGATGCTTGCAAACCAGAATTCCAGTTCGCCGTAAAAGCTTACTGGGAGAAAGTTGATTGAGGTGAAGAGAACCCAGAATACTCCAATCCAGATGCCGATATTGAGACTAGGATCCCAGTATTGAATGATGTAGCCAGCTACACTCAGCTCAAGAGCGTATGTAATGGCCCATGAAAACCAGTAGATAAATCCCATAGCAAATGCAAGAGTTGGGTCGACGAAACGACTTGCGTATGCAGTGAAGGCGCCCGAGACTGGAAAATATTAGGATCAAGCTTAGAATAAGATGTCTGGTATGTTCACTGACCTGGGATATATGTGGTCATCTCACCAAGGGAGACCATGACAGAGTACACGATGGTCCCGACGAAGACATAGGCAATTAGAGATCCAATCGGACCAGCTGTCGCCAATGCAGAGCCACTTCCAATGAATAGTCCAGTTCCAATTGTGCCACCTTGAAACCACAGTCAGTACCATCTTGATATAAGCACGTGAGGTCTCGATAGACCAAAAGTAGCTTACCGATTGCTATCATTTGCAGATGACGGCTCTTGAGCTGTCGCTTCAGCTCAGTCGTTTGACCGACCATCTGTTTTTCTTCATCGCTGTGGCAGCTTGGTGGTGCCGGTCCACGCTTGGCCGACTTGTCGATATCGCGAGTCGTAGAAGTGTCGTCCATGGCTAGTATGACGCCAATTAGGCCCTAGGATGTTTATTGACTATGTGGATCCAGCAATGTATGGTAATAGTTCCCACGGTCCAGGAATTAATAACAAACTTGGACTGAGAAATAGATTAGTACCACGGGAGAGTGTGGAAGAAGAGGAAAAGAAAGAAGACTGATGGACAGGTCGTCGGCCAAAATTTATGAAGAGTAACACTGCTACAGCAGCAGCGGCCGTACCCGCAAGTCAAAGATTTGAGGTCCCGCGCTGATGTGGGGATTTTTCACGTTTTCGCCTCCCGTCCCTCAATGTTTGACTGGAAGGTGTACACATATTTGAGTCGCAGCAAAAGAAAACTCAGCCCTAAGGATGAATGAGGTATGGCATCTCCGACGTAGACTATGTAATCCTTCAAGAATGGCCTTTGTTGATTCGTGCAACAGGGCTGGAGTGAAGGTTCTAACGCGGTATCTCTCTATGGCAAATCCGGATGGATCCATGGGCCCGGGTGGGTGCAGGGAAAATATTTGCGCATGACGATCGGGGCTATCCGAGCGAGAGCTACGCCGAACCATGTTCACGTGCCCGTCTTCAGATATACAGAGTATCTTGACATTTGGAGCAGAGGCGGTGGCACACAAATACGTGTTGCAGTCAAGAACAAGAGATGACTTCGCGCCTCTTGACACAGTAGAGTTGCTGGTCTCACTAATTACCAAGTCTCACCCTTGGATGTTATCCATGGATGACATAGCGGGGCTAAGCACTTAGTCTTCCAGAGCCGCGAGAACTGGCTTGCTTGCAAGTGTGTAGAGAGACCTACGAGCTCGACGTCTGTCGGGGCATGTCGATGTTATCAGATGATTTTGCTAGTGTTGACAACGAAGTCAAGTGAAAGTGAAGTATCTGCAACACCTCGGACTGCGAGCTGCGAAGACGCGCACTACTAGAGCTTCCTGATGAGGAATAGAATGGCATAGGTAGCTTCGATGATGCGAGCTGCGAAAGGGACCGCGTGGCTCATTCGTGCAACGTGCCTCTCTGGCATCCTCAGTATTCGTCCCGTCCGAAGACATACATTTTTATAACCCATCATCAGCACCGTCGTCATCTGCGACCTTCTCTGGTACATATCAACCGTGTCTTCATGTCAAACCACCATTGGCAGCCGTAGCAGGCCGTCATTTCGTACTAAACCTCGCCGTTCCATGGACTGCACACCTTGAGAAACAGAGTTGGACGTAGCCTGTAGAAATGAAAAAATCATGATGGCGATATATAATGCGAAGGGGCGCTGCCTCCTCAAGATAAACATCTTCACTACTTTGTTGGCAATACTCACATTACTTTTATTCACTATTATGTTGCGCAAGCAGCTTCTCCTCGCAGCCAGCAGCGCTGTAGCCTGGGCAGTACCCCTTTTAGAAACTCCTACTGACACCGTACGGCCAATGCTGAAATTCACCAAGGACGGTGTCTTTCAGATTGCCGTCATGGAGGATCTGCATTTTGGAGAGGATGAGGCCACCTTTGGGCCTCCGTCTGATCAAAACACACTTCGTGTCATGAACACGATCTTGGACGCGGAAGCACCGCAGCTCGTCGTACTGAATGGTGACTTGATCACCGGAGAGAACACTTTCAAAGAAAACTCAACAGACTATATCGACGTGATAGTCAAACCTCTGGTGGATAGGAATCTGCCCTGGGCGTCGACTTATGGAAACCATGACAATCAATACAATTTGTCAACGGAAGCAATGCTGGATCGGGAGCAGAGCTACCACTTGTCCCTTACGCAGAAGATGGTATCGACAGAGAAGTCTGGCGTAACGAATTACTGGCTGCCCGTGTGTGCTCCTGATGACATTGGGGACGGTGTTCCTGCCATGCTGCTCTGGTTTTTCGACAGTCGTGGAGGCGGAGAATATCAGAAAGAAAATGCCCCGATAGTCGGTGTTGTCGATAGTACAGTTGCCGATTGGTTTTCGAGTACCAACGCCGACCTGGTCAAGAAGTATGGCAAAGTGATACCCTCACTTGCGTTCGTCCATATTCCTGCGTATGCCACAAACAGGTTCTCTAATCAGGGGGTTGACCCAAACAAGGAACCTGGCATCAACTTTGATGCAGTGTCACACCAGGGAACGGCGTGTCCTGACGGTCCTTCCAGCTGTCGTTACTTGGGGACTGATGAATCATTCATGGAATCGCTCGCGAATACGGAAGGATTGATGGCTTTATTTAGTGGACACGATCATGGTGACGACTGGTGAGTAGCTTCGAATCCGCACCGTGATCATTAGTAAACTAATCGAGTTACAAGGTGCTTCAAATGGAACTCACAGTTACCGGATATGAAGATCACAGGATCGGGGGTGAAGCTTTGTTTCGGTCGGCATACTGGGTATGGAGGTTATGGACAGTGGACCAGAGGAAGTCGACAAATTGTCGCTAATCTACAAACCATTCAAGACTTGGAGGTGGAAACCTGGAATCGTTTGGAGACCCAAGCGATCAGTGGGCGTGTCACGCTCAACTCGACCTACGGCGATGACCAGTATCCAGCGGTCCAAGGCTAAAGTTGATCTTCCGGAGGTGATGGATGTTGCATAGTCGGCAGAAGGTGTAGATTTCGTGTAGCATGCATGATCAGTAATACTATCGAGGTCAAAGAGCCTTTTCACGGCTTTCCCCGACGTGACATGTCAATTACTCTCTTCTGTGACGATATAACATTGGATAACTGTCAAAACAAGGCTAACACGGGGCCGACGGGGGGAAGAGTGGTGGACGGCTTCAAGCAAGCCGGTTGGCGTTGAGGCCGAGTCTTGAGTCGGGCTCTGGATAGTGAGGATGTTTTCGAGCACTTGGTGTAGGATAGCGGGAGACTAAAGACATGCGCATGGGAGGTATTTCGGTGATTGCGAGTGGCTTGTGAAGGCGTCGACTGAGGCGAGTCCAGGCCTGAAGTCTAAGGCCGAGGTGGACTTTTTGCAGGACAGCGACCTCCCATTGATGTCGTGGTTACTCATTACTCATTGACTACTCCACTTTGTGTAATGCCCCAATGAAGCGTTTCGTTTCGTGTAGAAAATAAAGATGAGATATGGTAGCGTGGAGCATTAGATGCGTCATCATCGTATGATGTTATGGAACGAGGCTGATACGAGCCTCTGTACGAGAGACGATGGTCGGAAAGGGTGTAGTGTTGTAGAAGCTAGAGAAATGCACCATCACTGGCCACTGGCCGCTGCCCATAGACCCACCGGAACAAGTGGGCACACGAAGATGTTGTCGTTGTCGTGTCATATATTTCTATTTCGAGAATCTGGTAGACGAGTGCACGACTACCAGTGTTTCCAGAGCGTTTCGGCGCATTTGGTGAGGCGGGGAGGCTAATACTTTGGACGCGCGATGGATGAATATGGATGGCAGGCATAGGCCCGTGAAGAGTGGAGTGGCTGATGTATGGTGCAGCGCCTCCATAATTCTCACCGACTACAGCCTCAAAACAGTATTACCATAGTGTTTTCTCCATCGGCTCGTGCCCAGAGTCATAGCCTTTATTGCTTTCTGGAACAATAGTGCTTGTTCCGCATGCGTTTGGCTGGCCTGACGAGTGATGAGTGTACGCTGAAGACCAACACCGTAATACGTACAGATCCAATAACGGTAATACTGTGCATTCGCTGAGGCTGCAATCCGTTTCGACAATCTAGCTGCGAGGAACTATTGATCATCCTGAACCCTTTTTCTGTTTGGGTAGCTTCTTCAACGCCTATTGGACGGCGCTTTAGAGATTGGCGAGACAATTACTTGCTCGGACTGGGAGTGGGGTGCGGTCGATCCCTGGAGCATGGCTGTGCAAAAGTCAATACATTGTCTGATCCTTTCGCCGTCCGTGGGCTGATACAGTATGCGCATGCTGCACGTCGCGGTTAGGTCAGTCATCATTCATCATTCATCAGTTAATAACGGTTTACAGCCCGACAGTCCATCATATATCACCCGCTACCAGGGAACTTTGGGAAAAAGTGCCGACATATGTGATCCATGCCAAAGATAAGCTTTGTACCACACGTGTAGTCTACTTGTCATGGAGACTGTCGGGCCCTGGTGTACCACAGCACGACGATGATTTGTTGATGTTGAGTGGGCGGTGTATACAAGTTCAGAAACCTGCCGTGTCAAGCTGAATGTCTATGGGCCTGAGCTGGATGATTGTCTACAGTAGTTAGGAGATCTCTCATGCGGGTAATGGCCGAGTCGCGAAACCAAAAGGTGAAGATGGTGTTGAGCTAGGGACGTCGGATAGGCGGAGACAAGATCGGCAGTCCTGGGGAGCGTTACAACGGTTACATCGCCCACACGGGCCACAGAAGGTATGGTAATAGGTGAGCAGACCAATAGTACCTCTGGCTTTTCTACAGAAAGAATTGAAATGCTTATGATAGCCCAAACACTTTTAGTGTCATTGCACATAGTAAAGCGTTGAATATCTTTATAGTCTTTTCGTGTATGATAAGTGTATGTTAAATTTAAGATCAAGCTACCTCTCCTAGATAGACTTTCACGGTTCCATAATTATTGACTACGCTACTATGTATTTACTCTATACCTGACATGTGTTTGTCTACTAGTAGTGGCACGATAAATGGACCGGAATGTTTAGTATTCCATTGAGAGAAGGCCCAATTGTCTGCACGTGGTTACCATCAGTTTGGATCCAGTGCAAAAAGGTTGCCCTTAGCCGAGCCCACTCCCGGTCTGCTTCGCTCCTATTCTGCTGCATCATCATCATCATATCCGCTCTTCGTATCTCTTGCAAGCCTCTCCTTTTCGGTACTGACCTCGTAGCCAGGTTTCTTGTAGCGATTGTATGTTCGTCGCTCGTCGTATCGCCACTTCTAGTCTGGCCCACATCCAATGGTCGTGCAGGTGGTGTCCTACCACTCGCTCATTCATGATATCCTCCTCTCTCTCAACTCTTCGGCGCAATCCACACCCCGCTCGCTGCAACTTACTTGTTCGAGCCTTACACAGTACAGATGGGTACTGTGTTTCAGAAGAACACTCACTGCACGTGCTCACTCTTGGGAGAAACATGCTGTAGGCTGTAGCTGGCCGCCCGTGCTGGAGGATAATCGTGGCGTCTGCATCTACACATCTACGCTATCAGGCCGCTATCGCTAACTCGCACGACGAGGTTCATGTTTAGAGAATATGCATATGCGGTCTAGCACTCACGGTACAGTGTGAGGTAGCATTTGCATTCCCTCTACACTCTAGTCTCTAGCGGTCCGGAATGACACGTGACGCCATGATTCTATATTTGGCCTTGTCAGCTAGATCGTTCGACATATTGTCGATACTATCCACTGCTGACTGCTAACTATGCCGTTAAGGTACCGCGTTGACGGTTCCCTTCCGCCTCTTTGGGCGTCATCCACTATCGAACCCTCCCGGCGCTGTAGTGGGTTTTCCGTCTTTGGCCTGGCCAACATTTGATCATCCTGAACCAAACCCACTGCCAGTTCATACTCTATCTTGAACGGCTAAGCATACTGGGATCCACTATCCCGTTCGGTCGTCTTTCTGTCTGTCCCAGCCCTGCCACCTGTGCTCATACGTCGAACTCGAGATTCAGCCTCTTTGGCGCCACGTTCCGACTCTGAGCAAATGGTCTCTATTACGTCGCTACCAGGGGTCTTATGCATTGGCCCAGGACGATCCCTAGTCCTATATTACTACATTCTGTTCTCCATATAACACGCTCACATGCCTCCTTCAACATATCCGCATCGTTGGATCAGTCACTCGCTTAACACATTCGTTTGATAAAACATTTCAAGAACTACAACAATGTCTAGTCCATCTTCACCACTCCATGAGCTATCGTCAGAAAGGAACACCAGTACCAGTGCCAACAGTACCAGTGCTAAGGATCGTAAGAGGAGGAGAATCTACAGGGCTTGCGATTACTGTCGTTTACGAAAATCACGATGTGATGGCAAAATGCCTTGTACTGGTTGCAAGGCCATTGATCATGGTACTATGCTTTACTACTGGATTCAGACGTCTGCCACTAACGAGCAATTGTAGAATGTTCGTACAGTGATTCTTTGAGGAGTCGGCGTGGAGGTCCACGCTACATTGAAGAACTGGAAGGAAAGATCCGCAGTTTGGAACATGCCCTGCAGACTGTCAATGCCGAGGAACGTATCGAGAATGCACATGTCAGAGCGCTTCTGGTCGAGCAGTTGAAGGATGCCGGTGGTCCTTGGAATTCAAAGTCCTCGGAATATCTCAGCAGATCTTCGGAGAATAGTCCCACGAAAGTTGTCGATGAGCTACCCGAGGAGGGCGAAGAGCTGCTCGAGACCATGATCGAGGTGAGCATCAATGGCTGCGGACTGACGCTCAGGACTGATTCCTGTCTACAGGCTACTGGTATTCTCAATATTGACATCGTTGCTACTGAGTCTGAGTATCGCGCCCAGATGCTTCCAGCTGCATACACGGGCAGTCGGCCGGAGTCGTTCGTTCGTTCTTCGCCTTTACCTCCAGACTCGCCACACTTCAGCCACCCTCAACTTGGAATTTCTCCGAATTTCTCGAGTGGTAGCTACGTAACATCGCTACCTCCAAAGAAGACTGCAATGTTTTTCATAGATGTGGCACTGAATCACCCATGCTGCTTGATGAACTTTGTCCATCGCCCAACACTCAATGAGCTTCTTGAGGAAGTGTACGAAGACAGTGACATGCCTATGGGGTCTCAGACCGCTACTGCTCTCATTTATGGTTTCTCTGCCATTGGAGCTCTTTTCTCGGGTAGTCACTTTGGTGCAGACTCCGAAGAATGCACACCACCGGGGTAATTTAGATTTTCGCTTTCTATTTGGACCTTACTGATGAGCATCCGTGTAGATATCAATACTTCCAGACCTGTCAAACAATGATCGATCCACTCGCTTGTAACGACATTGTTACCATGCAAGCTTTGATATGTGCAATCCTGTATATGCAAGGCACGGGCATGGTGACGCGATCGTATTCGACGATCTGCGCTGCTACTTCCGCTGCTGTCCGTATGGGCCTGCATCGCGCTTCACCGCCTAGCAGTCTTGATGCAATTCAACTTGAGCTCCGAAAGCGTGTCTTTTGGGTCTTGAGAACCATGGACACTTATGTCACTTCCATGCTTGGCTTTCCTCGGACGCTCGGAGAAGAAAATGTGGATCAAGAGATGCCAATCGCTCTAGAAGATCATTTTATCACAACTTCCGGCATCATCGCAGAGGGGCAATCAAGCAGTATACAGTCAAACATGGGCCCAGTCAACGCCCATACTCGGCTGATCAAGATCATGGCGCAAACCCTTCGCCAGATCTATCCGTCGAAGCGACCATCTAGCTCTGTAAACTTTGCATATGGTGTCTCTCCAACGAGCGTGTCTCAGATTGAATCTGAGCTTGAGCAATGGTTTGAAGATTTGTCCCGATCCGACAACACTTCTGTTCCGTCAAGCTCTTTCGAGATACGGTAAAATTACATCTATCTTGTATGGTTAGATTACAGCTAACAGTTTTTAGAACTCAGCTCCTCCTTCGCATGGCGTATGGTCACGTTCAGATGGTCCTCTATCGCCCCTTTCTGCACCACATCTTGAAGCCACGGTCTGAGGGTAACATCCAACTCCGATCCTATGCGTGTGCTTCTGCATGTATCAAAGCTGCAATGCAAATTGTTTGGTTGGCTGAAGAGTTGGATTCACGAGGGCTGATCCACGAGGCGTACTGGTTCACTTCTTACATCACGTCGTTTGCTGTGACCACGCTCTACCTATTCATCACCACGGCACGCGATGATCCAACAAGAGAGGAGACACGACACACTGCAGAACGCGGTCGTGCCATTGTCTACAAACTGGCCAAGAGCAACCCTATGGCGGATTGGTGCCTTTCATCTCTCAACGCGAGTCCTTTTCTCCAGGACCAGGAATTCTACTTCAATCCTCCTAGTTGACTAGCCGGGGAGAGTCTGAAGTCACAGCAAGCAGCTGATGTAGGTCCATCGCACGGTGCTACAAGTAGCTCGAGCTCGAGCACCAATGCAACTCCGGATTACCGGCACAGCATTACTGATGCATCGCATCTTCGTTTCCACCCACGAGCGCCCGACCCACAACCACAAATGCAGCTGCCCTTCTCAGTCTCTCCCATCGATGACCATGCAACTGGCATGGCCATTCCAGTTACTGCAAGCGGCGAATCTCTCTACGCCATGCCTTATGTACCTCTATCGCCATTTGAGACCAAGGAGAGCACGTCCTACTTTGACGTGCAAAACACGAATTCGGAACCTCATGATTCGCATATGTCGACGCCACAATTTGGTCACTACTATGGACCAGATGTGGCCAGTCAAATGGCTTGGGATCCATCAACCACCCAGCCAATGCCTTTCAAACTGGATCTAGACCTGATTAGTTGATATCGTATACGATGGCATCAAATCGCGCAGTGCGCATTTGACGCTTTGCACCTGTTTTCAGTATCATGCAATATTTTTGCCGCGCAAAAAGTCCTGGTTGTGAGCGACATGTTATTTTGTACGGGATCAAGTTTATGCGTCTTGTTACTTTTCAAATCACTTGTTTTTGTTTTATTATATATAGATCTGCTACGACTCTCCTTGAGATACCCACCAACGCAGCACGGATCGGCGTTTAGCACATGACCATATCTGTCATTATGTATTGTACATTTCTTGGTTAGAGATTATTAGCTGTACTGGATACATGATAGTTGATGAATATGCACAGACTAACCAAGTAACGATTAATTAGTAATATGAACACCAGACTTACTCGATTTCACAAGCTCGTCTATTCTTCCTTACAACTTAATCTCTCTTCAACTGTCGTTTCTCGCGGAAGAGAAACCAATAGTTGACAAATCGGACACGAACATCAACAACAGCAAATCATCCATATCGCCCTTGTATTACTCGTCTTAACTTTGTACTACATGTGTATCGTAAATTCTTGCAATTGTTTCAGGGATGATGCTAGGTTTTTCTATGGGGACTGCTACATGCTTGTTGCGAGCCCCGTATATATGTCATTTATTGGGATTGGGACGGTACGGTATGGGATCCACAATAATTGGAAAGACCCATGCACAGACACACACAGACACCCACACACATACAAGGTGAAAAATGAAAGAATTGAAGGAGACTGCGGATATTGAGAGTTTGGATACTGGAGTGGATTGGCTTTGTTTTTTTTGGCACTGGTTGCGTTTATGTGTCCGTGGTGTGTGTTTGTTTTTCATGTGTGTATAAGACGTACATGTGAATAACACTTCTTTAGAATGGAATGGAATGCCATGCCATTCTTGTGGGTGACCGTGTGGGTGTGAGAAGCAAGTCTTACTCGTGTACTGCGTGTGTGCTGTGGTGTGCACGTAACGTGTACACGTGCCACGTGAATAAGACCTTGCCTGCGTCAAGACCTGGTCATTACCATCCGATATCGTCTAGTGGTTAGGATACCTCGTTTTCACCGTGGGGGCCGGGGTTCAAGTCCCCGTATCGGAAGAATGTCTTTTCTTTTGGGTTTTCTGACGTTTTGGGAGGAGGGAGGGGGATGTGTTTGGGTTCGGTGTGTGTTGTTTGGAGGTGGAGGGTGTTAGAAGGTGTTCATAACAGAGGAGAGTGGAGAGAGAATGAGCGATAGAGTAGAGTAAAGAGATTGAAGTAGACATGTTTTTGCAAAAAGAGATTGCGGCAGATGTGTAGACGTAGTACTTACTAGAGGGTCTAAAAGAATAGTCAAGAGATATGGATAAATGATAGATGATCCTCTGCAAGAATATTGTCTTGGGCCTACGTGATAGTACAGTACTATAGCTAGACTCCTCAACTTTTATGTATATATAGTCCTACATATCCAAGGATATGAAACTTGTATATGAAAAAAAAAATCTTGCACATGGAAGTACAGTGACAGCCCATTCAGCCAATTTTGCGATGACTATCCGACGTGCTAAGGGAGATTTGTACGAGGATTCGTCGCGAGTACGGATTCTTGTTGTTGAGGTACAATGGACAGCATTGAACGCAACAACGGTATGACTTTCTCAGTTCTGTCTCCTATAAGGTTCGTAAAGCATTAAGCTTGATGACAGACTATGTGACACACAATCTGCCTTTGGATTCTGTCGGAGGTGCTAGGCTTAACTCAGCATCCTCGACATTGCTTCTAATAGTATCTAGAATTTTGGAAATAATAGCAATTATGTATCTAACAGCACCTGTGCTGGGCTAAATATAGGTTTCAAACGTGTGGCCGAGGCAGACAGCTCCAACCGCCGCCAAGGATCGGATAGTTTTGATTGAAAACACACAATGCCACCTACCAGGACACGCTTGAAGAGCAGGGTCGGGTAAATATATCACAGCTGCAATCGTGATGTACGATAGTAAATTTAAAGCTGCATTCCTCGTCTGTCGCTGTGATTCGTCGCACTCGTGCAGGGTCCTTGCATGGCGCTCTTATTTGCAGGCAAAGCGGAACGGAGCGACGGATAAATTCGAAACGGGCGGGGAAGGAAGCAATAAAGCTTGTTGTTGTTCAGATTTTGAGGATCATTTGTCAAGATGACTCCGGTCGCTCCAGATATGAGCCAGAATCGTGGTCTCGGATGAGGACCGGAGCGAAGGAGCTGAGATGCATGCAGCCACGATGGAACGCTTTGCAACAGCAATTTATTGCCTGGTGCTACGTTTCCATCAACCGTACATAATGGCGTCTCGGTCTGAGCAGATTTGGTGCATTAGCGCGAGGAATACGCTGATCTTCGTTGGAAACCAGCCGATTCAACCTAATTCAGTGGGCCGTGTTCGTTTTAACCTTGTGAGCTGAGCATATGCCTGTTGTCTGTGCATGTTTGTGTAAGACGATCGATAAAGATTTAAATCCATCGTCTCTCGCCCACTGCACCTTGACGAAGCTGACTACTGCTTTCGATAACAATAAAACAACATGCGCGTCTCAATCGTCTCAGCTCTTTTCTTGGCGCTCAACGCCAGTGCCGCGACTATTGGTACTTTGAACCACTCTGACATGGACGAATGAACCTTGCTGACACTGCACAGCGGCCCGCAAAACGAAGCCGTACATAACCATCAACACCGAGACCGATCTCCACTGGAGTCGCGAGTATCCAGACAACCTGAACCCGGTTGTTGAGTACTACTATGGCGTCACCTCAATCAATGTGACCTGCTGGGTCGAGACAACCATGAAGGACGACAAGGGCATCGAGAACGGCAACCCAGTATATCTTGGCGTGGCCAACGCGACGACCTCGCTATCCGCATACATAGCCGAAGACTTCGTCCAGGGCGGCGATCACGACTTCCAGGACGAGCTGGAGGAATGTCCTGCCATAACGCACGCAGCCGGTTCCGTCGAGGAACAATACTGGATCACTGTCAACAACCCAGACGGCACCACGGAATGGTATTTTCCCTGCTACGAGCAGCCGAGCACGAAGGCAGCCTTCAAGAAGGACTATGATGTTATCTACCCGGAGATTCAGTGCTACCAAACAGGCGGCGAGGCTGTGAATGGCAACACGTACGTGCTTGTGGAGTCTTAGAGAAGAAGTCCGAAACGAAAGCTGACAGTTGAGCAGAACGTGGGTATATGGATTGAGAACTAGGTGTTTCTTGCCTGGAGGCTGGTTTAGTTCAGTGGAGTACCATGGTGAGGTCTAATCATTGAATGATGTATTGACGTGTTACTGATTAACAACAGGCGAGGCTCCTTTGTGTTAGGCCCAGCAACACAACGTTATTTGATAAGAACGTGTGTGAAAAGCAGGAGTGTGATCTAGTATGCATGTAGTGATAAAATATACGCACTACATCCTGGTCGCTAACCTCTTCCTCGTCCTTTGTTCCGAACGTCGTCCCATGCTGCCGACCGGCATGGATGTATGACATAGGTAGCATCAAACTCAAAGGATGTTAGTCATACCCGTGTAACAAGTTCCTCCATGCTCGTCCTACAGTTTCGAACTCAGTGTTGCGGCACCTTTACGCAAGAGACGTGATTGGCTATACAATAGCGTTTTCGAGCCTGCGGCAATTCACGGCGATTGGGCGGCCCGACTCGGCTTAAGAATACCAAACGTTTATCCAAGCATTTAATCGGACATCATGGACCGAGTCAACGTTACAAGCATTGCGGGTGACCTGAAGTGCGGAGAACCGATGCGGAGACTCGATACTGTCTTTAAAGAGCTGGGACCGCCGCTGTACACTGCTATACTTCCTTTCTGTTTTCTGCTTTGCACTTAAGTCGAGACAGGCAACTAGATCGATTAATGGAAGGACATACACAGCCTTCCATCATGACTGCTAGCAGCTTCGCATTGGAGCATCCAAAGACAGCTATAGTGTTTGGTGCTGTCCTCGCGTCCTGGCTTTATGTAGGTCTTTCCTACGACACGACCGTGCAACAACTGACAATATCAGCTTGGAGGTCTAGTCATATATCGTCTATGGTTTCATCCACTCTCGAAGTATCCTGGGCCATTTCTAGCGAAAGTCACTGATTGGTGAGGATTGGTGCCGTCATGCTCCCTGTCAAACTGTTAATAGAAGCAGGTACTCTGCATACCACGCATGGAAAGGAGACAGACACCTCGAGTTCTGGAGATGCCACGAGCAGTACGGCCAATTCGTCAGATTTGGCCCTAACAGTCTGTCTGTCAACACCAACACGGCCTTGAAGGATATCTATGGCTTCAAGGCAAACGTCAGGAAGTCAGACTTCTATGCAGCCTTCCCACCCACCAAGGACACCTTCAACACCCATAGCAGCATCGACAAGGTAGCTCACGCCCGCAAGCGCAGAGTCTTGTCCCATGCCTTCTCCGACAGCGCTATCAAAGCCATGGAGAACCACATCATCGCCCACATTCGCGTTTTCTGCGACAAACTAGGCGAAAAGGCCTTTCCACGAGGCCGCACCGTCGAATCCCTCGAAAAGTACTCTCAGGAGAAGTGGAGCAAAGCGCAAAACATCGCTGACTGGGCTAACTACATGACCTTTGACATCATGGGCGACCTCTGCTTCGGCAAGTCCTTCGGCATGCTCGAGCGACCCGACAACCGCTTCGCCATCGACCTCCTCGCGAACGCCGCCCACCGCCATCTAATCTGCGGCACCTACCTGCCCATCCACACCTACCACCTCGACAAAATCCTCTTCCGCAAAATCGCCTCCGGCCGCGAGCGCTACATGGCATACAGCCGGGCCCAAGCCGCCGAACGCACAAAAGCCGGCCTGGACGTCGACCGCAAGGACTTCTTCTACCACCTCCTGCGCGCCACCGACCCGGAAACCGGCAAAGGTTTCAGCGGACCGGAACTCTGGGCCGAAAGCAACCTGCTCATCATCGCCGGCTCCGACACCACCTCCACCGCCCTCGCCGCCACCTTCTTCTACCTCACCCACAACCCACACGCCCTCGAGCTACTCACATCCGAAGTCCGCACCGCCTTCTCCTCCGTCGACGACATCCGCATCGGCGCCACGCTGTCCAGCCTCGCGTTCCTGCGCGCCTGCATCGACGAGGCAATGCGTCTCAGCCCCTCCGTCGGCGGCCTGTTACCGCGCGAGATCCTCCCAGGAGGCCTCACGCTCGACGGCCACACGCTACCCGCCGGCACGGTCGTCGGCGTGCCGCACTACGCCATCCATCACAACCCAGCCTACTTCCCGGCGCCTTTCACGTTCGACCCGGCACGTTGGCTTGCGCCGTCGCATCCGTTGAGCACGGGGTATACGGCTGCGCAGGTGGCGGCTGCGCAAAGTGCGTTTTGCGCGTTCAGTGTGGGCCCACGCGGGTGTATTGGGAAGGGCATGGCGTATGCGGAGCTGGGGATTGCGGTGGCGCGCGCTGTGTGGTTGTATGATGTGCGAGTGGCGCCGGGGACGACGTTGGGTGAGGGCAGGCCGGAGTGGGAGTGGGGACGCAGACGTGCTGAGGAGTATCAGTTGAAGGATACGTTCACGAGTGTGAAGGATGGGCCGTTGGTGCAGTTTGCGTCGAGGTTATGAATCGTGTCACGGCGCAGATGGGAGCGTCGAACAAAATTAGAGAATGTGAATTGTACGAATAAGCAACATTATCATATCACTGTGTATAGTGCTTCGTCAGCAGTCTCGAGCAAAAGACTTACACTAGCCACAATGTAACAAGCAATATTGATTTCAGATCGGCCATCCACTATTGCAATCTCTATCTGGTTCAATATCAGACAGATCTGGAGCAAGCATGTGGGCAACCGTTGGATGAAACAGGGCGATTCTGTACGTAAGGACTGGCGGACACAATGATGACTTTCAAGGCTAATTTAGATAATAAAACATTTTGTGATGCAGTGGCGCGTTGTGCCGATGCTTATTGGTTTGTGGAAGGTGACATGACCAACATTTGTACCTCCTGTACCTCGCATGGCCGCCAACATCCAGGCATGTTTCATTTCGTTTCTTAACGACTCAATCGTACAGCCAATAAGTGCTTTAAGTTATAAAACAAGGATCAGTACGGTAGTGGACTTGTCTTCGTTCTAGTTAATCACGCAAAGAATTGACTTGAGTAAACAAGAGATAGTTGTTCGTTGTAGGTGGGATATCTCATTTAGGTGACAAAGGAAATGCTAATCGACCCAACATCCGAGACCTCTATAAAGCCAGGAAATAATGCTAGACAGCGACTCCCAATCGCTAGTGCCGTCCAATGCAATGCTGTGAACAAAAGAGAGTTATCTAAGTTTACCGAACATCAATGGCACTTTTGGTATGGTCGTGGTCAGTTGCCAATAGAGTGGGCGTTGAAATTGATACTAGAGGCAGTAGTTTTTAAGATTGACAACGTGCTTACGCTCGCCACGTCGCCTCCTCATCAATTGGCATGGGAGTTCTCTGTTGTAAGTCGTCGACCGATTCTTGATCATCATCCTGATACGATCTTGTAGATGATGCAGACCGCACAGGGGAGGACTCGTGGGAGAAAGATTGTGTCAATGCCTCCGTCAAAGCTGCCTGCCGACTCCGGTCTTCTTCAGAATCATGACTACTCGGCTTTCGCTGGGGCTTCGATATCGATCGCTGACGCCGTAGCTCATCTCGTTGCTGCATTATCTCAAGTTCTCGCTCGACAGCTCTTGCTCTCCGCTCCTCCACGTCCTTTCTTTTGACAACCTTCTTGAGTGCGTCGCTTGCCTGTATGAGGCCATCGATGCTTATAGCATGATTCGTCATCTGATGATTGATATAATGGTATATAGTTGCTGGATTATCACAGTCCAGTAATTGCCGTTCGTTGAGCTTGAGAAGTGCAAGGGCAATTTGAAACATGAAAGTAGAGCCGTCGTGCATGCATAATACGACATCCCAGACACGGAATAACGCTTCAGCAGACAGGCAGTCAGTAAAGACAGAGAGAAACCACTGGAAGGTCAGGGCTTCAAGCTCGATACCGAGATCGTCCAGATGGTTTGACAGCTTCGGCAGCATTTCTGTCACGTAGGATCGTAGTACGACCTGATCGGCCCTCGACGTAAGGAGTGAATGGTCGTAGTAGTTATTGGGCAGTATATTCTCGATCATAGACGCCAAAACCCAAAAAGCATCCTCGGCGGTAGGCATTATGAGCAGAAGTGAGGCAGTAATAAGGTTCATGCCTTGACAATAACCAACCTCCGTGTTCCGGCGGGAGTAGGCAAGGAGAACTTCGTTGAGCTTTTGTACCCCTGGGCCCTTGCGGAAGAAGATGTTGTCTGTCAGGGTTCGTGTAATGTCCATCTGGATCTGGCTTGCAATCACAGGATCGTCCACACCATTCTTGACGAGGTCTTCGTAGTATCCAGGTACCCTGAGCTCAGAAGCACCGCTACACTCAGCCCATATTTTCGCACGATAAGTCACTGGAATCCCACTGAGGACGAGCTCACGAAACTCCTGCCATTTCGCGCGACCAACTTTTCCTTTGTTGCCGAGACTTGCTACACCCACGATCTCGCCATCCATCAGGAGAGCTTCTGGCATCGTGAGCCCTTTCGCACGATTCTCGTTATTTACTTCTCCTTCCCGCTTCCGTTCAGCTCTGACTTTGCGCAGAAATTCGTTCCATCTCACTGTTTTATCGCGCTGCAGTGAGTCATGTAATTCGGTTAGCTGCTCAAGCAATGCTTTCACCGGGTCAGGCTGTTGCTTGTTAGGCATTGGATTAACTGGAGAAGAGACAGCTGGACTGGTTGACAACTGAGAAGTGGCAAATTCAGCGTTGCTAGAGGATATGCGAGACGGTGACGGCTCCGGATTTATGCTGAGCGCAGGCACGGAGCCTCGCTTATCCACTTTCACATTTGAGGGTCTGTGGCTCGTCTCAATCTCTGTCGCTTCTACAGCTGTGATAGGTGCAGTCGAAGGTGTATGCGACAATAACTCCGTTGGAAATGTGGCAAGCTTGAGAAAGTCCTGCCACCGCTTGCCAGACACAGCATTAAGATCCTCAGTGGAGTGCGTACTGCTAGGTCGCTCATAACTTTCCGTGTCTTGACGATGAGCGACTTTCCTTTCGTCTTCTTCTTCCTCAAGAGTGACTCTGACGTCTCTAAGAGACTCGACGTTACTACCTCTCTTGTGCTTACGAAGAGCTGCTGCTGCTTCGCTTTGCCTTTTCTTCCTTCGCTGATCATATATGAAGCCGAACCTGTCAGTCAGAAATTCTTGACTTGCACCTATGTTATTGTGATGAGCCATGAGCGTTGGCGGACGCGAATCTTCGGGAAGGATGGTGTCCATCTCGACAGGACCGAGATTGCTCGCCCCTCTCCGAAGGTTTCCATTAGGACTTGGAGAAGCTAAATTTGATGTTCGTAGGCTATCTGGCGAAACTCCTTTGCCTCGTATTGTTCCGTTCGGCCCAAGCGAACTACGTGTAGCTCTACCTCGGGGTGCACTTACAGATGCGACTTTCGAAACAGACGCAGCCGACCCCGTAGAGACTGTGCGAGCACCTCCCGGGCGTTGCAATGATGGTGTCGAGCTTTTCACTTTCACAGTCTTCGCCTTGTCTGTCTCCTTCCCGGCTTGTACTCCTCCCACCAACTTCAGTGCCCATGAGGTCATTGTATTTGCTTGTCGACGCTCAGATGAACTCCTTCCGATATCTTGGCTCTGCAGTCTTCGAAGGTTGGGTACTGCTTTTCCCAAATCGTTAACGTGCCCCAGGGGTGTGAATAAGTCCTGTCTTAGGGCTTTTCGCGCCGGTTGTGATCCACTGTTCGCCCTTGATCTGTCACGTGTCCCAGTAGCATCACTGTCACTGATTAGGCTGGGCGCCTTACTGCCTTTCTTTGTTGTACCCGTCCAAACATACGACTTCCAGGTCCGTGCTCCTGCAGGCTGTGTCGCTTGCTCCTCATCTCGCCTAGTACTACTCAAAGCTTGGCTGACGGCAAACGATAAGTCCTCGTGGAGGCTGAGGTTTTCTGAACATTCCGATATGTCATCTTCCATCGCTCTCATAAGCCTTTTGTCAATATCATCGTCCAGATGTGTGCTATCAGATTCAAGGTCGCCTTTCATTCGCAATGGATCAGAGACCACCTGAGATTTTTCCAGAGTCCTAAGACGGGTTTCGATATCGAGATTGGACACCTCACACGCTAGTAGCATCTTTCTCAGTATCCTCTCCCTCTCTTCTGTTTTCCTTCTTAGTGCGGTAATCTGTGCATCTCTTTCGGCGAGGTCATTAGCGAATTGGCGGATCAGCGGTATTGCACCCGTACGGTCAATCATCTTCTGAATATGCTCATCATCTGTATAATGAGTATTTCCAGGCACCACCCTGGCGTACTTTGGTGTATCATCGAACAGTGCGTTCCGGTTGTTCTCAGACGACGGAGTGGCTACAAGACTTCCTACTAGGGAGCGTGAGGCTTTAGACACTTTACGTATCGTGCTCGATTCTGCGGAAGGCACTTCCTTGGTTGCATCGGCTGTTGTCTCGGTCGTCGATATCGTGTTGGGTGCAAGGGATAGTTCGCTAGGTATTGGTGGGCTGTCGAGGGTTGGGGACAACGAGGGAAAGGATGTAAGACTCTTCTGAGACGAGAGAGTCGAGCTCTGAAGTGAAGTGTTGGATGAATGTTTACGAGGGCGTACCCTCACAGTGCTATGTTTCCTGCCACTCGAATGTGAGGTTTGCGAGGAGGTACGGTGGAGTGAGGCGTCGTTGAGGGGCTCCATCTCCACCGCTCAGTCGTATCGAGCACCAGTATGAAGCATGAGCGACACAAGAATAAATGTGAGGGTCAAGACAATGTTGAGAAGTACTTGGCAGAAGCTTTAATATACCGCGAGTGGAGCTATGTCGTGTGCAACGTGTGCGCGGAGACGTCATGGGCCGCAGGGATACGCGTGGGGCTGGGTACTGCTGGTGTACCTTTGCGCGACGAGAGGCAAGCAGTCGTCGGTAATTAGATGTAGATATGAAAGTGTGCGTAGACGTGGAAGCAGAATTAAAGGATCTCCGGAGTAGTATTGCCTCTATGGTGCAGCCTTGTCTCAGTTGTTGTGCCTGCAATTAATTACACGTGAATTTGCTGAGTTCGCGTCAGAATAGGCCCGAGCACCCACCCAGCATCCCCTCGGGCTGCCCAGGTGCCCAGATGTTCCTGAAGAATCCCTCGGTACAGCCACAACCACAGCCACACAGCCCTACGCTTGCTGATCTCTTCTCTTTCCGATCTGAATATATATGCGTGTTTCACCACCACCATACCACAGTTGAACGATGAAACACTTACACAGTTGAGGACAGTCGCGCAATGCCTCTCACTGACGAAGAGGCAGCATCGCGAGCCATCGAACCTCTCTCCAACCTGTCAGAACGACAGATCACCGCATCACTAAAGATAAGCTCGCTGCTTCATGGCGACAACGCGAAGCCCTTCGTAGATATTCATGAGCTTTTCGCCCTCTACAACACCCTATACTTCTGCGATGTGCTACTTCCACGGGTGGAGCTGTCATGGTCGAAGAGATTGACTCTGTACGCGCGAGACTGTGCCGTAGATGCGTCAGATAACTGATTTTGGTCACGGCAGATGTGCTGGCATCTGTGAGCTTGTCAAAGACGAACAAGGCAAATACCGTCGAATCCTGCTCAAGCTTTCAGAGGCACTCTTGAAGTATCGTGCACGAGACGATACGGTGAATACTCTCCTGCACGAGTACACTTTACCATTTGGTCGAGATGAAGCCTATGGCTGACAACGTCTAGAGCGATTCATGCCTATTTCTTCATTACCTCCGTCTGGCGCAAGTCGACAGATTCTGATGAACTCGACCGCTCTGGACATGGAACAGGTTTCCAGATTCTGGCATCGGCTATAAACCAACATGGCGGCTACGATATAAGTATATATCATACCTTCCACGATGAAGTTGAGAGTTATCGTACTCATATCTGGCAATGTGATGGACCGTGCCGTTCTCAAGCGCCGTTCTTTGGTCTTGTGAAGCGAAGCATGAACCGTCCGCCTAGCAACCGCGATTCCTGGTGGCAGAAACACCAAACGGAATGTGGAGGCACCTACACCAAAATCTCTGAGCCAGATCTGACCAAAGAGCAAGTCAAAGCCTTGAGTGCTAGAGAGCGCGCAGGACGACAAACTAACAAGCTCGACTCCTGGATACGACGCTCTGTGCGACCCATGACCAATTCTGTTGAGCCCCAGGGCGTCGATGAAGATGCTGAAGACCATAAAGCAGGGTCTATTCATCCCCATGAACCCCAGAAAAGACGTGTGAGTATAGACACAAGAGATCCAAGAAAACCCAAGAAATTAATGGTCTTCTGTCCTATTTGCGACGTACCTGTCGACGAACATGATATCAATACACATCTCGACGCACAACATGCGTCTTAATGATTTGACGACAACTGTGATAAATGCGCATCCATGCTGACAGTACGGATCTGCCAAGATGCTGGATCGGTAATCGGCACGGAGAATCCTAGATGTTGATTTGTTGACCCGGACCTCATAGACAAGATGAATGGCAAGCGACGAATCCAGCATTGTACCACATATCTTTTGCTTTGGATTACGACTCCGGATGATGCAAGCTTTACTCTCTTATCCTGTTTCCAGATTCTGGACAGCCCATAGAGCCCCCGATGAATCACCATGCTGGTAGTCCTAAGCTGCTTCCGCGCCTCAAAGCCGCAGGCATACACATGGGGACTCAGTTCCGGGTTTTCATCTAGAGCTGAGCTAAAGTGCACCTCGTAAACCTACCCGCTGCGACCGCCCAGAGCTGACCACAGAGACGAGGTGTTACCACTTGCATGCTGTTGCTGCGCACACTGACTCGTGATTGCACAATGGATCAGGTTCCTGAAACAGCCATCGGTATTATTGCGGCATTGCGGCAGCGATCCGGAGCGTCGATGGTGCGAGGAAGAATCCGCTCCGTTTGATGCGGTAGCACCCATATGTTTAGTTTGTATTGACTGATCTACATAGCCAGCTTCAGCGTATCATCAATCAATAACGCTTGGCTATTGGCCTCTGACGTTAATCAAACACATGCGCTTCACATTGTATTCAGTACAATAGAGTCTAGGAGGGAGTTGAAGGTCTTCCAACAAGGCTGATATGTTCAAGTGCGCCGCCGCCACACTGGCGTCGAGGCAAAGTCTTCGACGGGCGATAGTGAGGGTCGGGAGGGCTGCGGCACGACGTAATCCTCCAAGCCATTCATGAATCTGCGAGCGCGCATTACCGACGATCGATTCTTCAAAACACCTATGCAGGGATTCTTTTAGCAGCTTATTTTAATTCTTGAAAACCATAGGGTCATGTATCTCCACTATCGTCGCACGCCAAGGTACACGTTCTAGCAGCTTGCCTCGCTCCTTGGTATCTCGCGCTTATCAACAGCCGGCAGTATTTACTTTTTCCTCAAGTCTGTAAGCCATGATAGGTGGCCTCGTTTTTACGCTCGTTTACCTCTGGTCGATAGCAGGAATAGCTGCGTCTGAAAAAAACGTCACTGAGACCACTTTCCAGAAAAGAGGCGTAGAGGCTCTCCTTCCCATATCTTCCACTTCCTGATCTCATCGTCGAAGCGGCCAACTCCCTCCGCTATCCAACTTTACTTCTTCCATATCCACAGTAATGCTGGCATCAGCATCCTCTTTTCACTACGATCACGCCGCAGCCGCATGATAGTGAATTTGGAGCCTTGAGGATTTCCGAATCGCTATGTTTGGCTCTGGTGTCAAACCACCATTAGTAGCAAAAGGAGCCGATAACTATGGAGGTGTCATTGTCGTTGTTAGCTTCACTCTCATGGTTGTGACCGTGCTCTTCGCGTGCATGCGGGTATACAACACGATTGCCAGAAAGAAGGGCTTCGGATTCGATGATCTTACATTCTATATGGCTTTGGTATAACAAAGTGTAACTTTTTATCATTTCCTACTACTGACTCGTATGAGTAGGCAATCATCGTGCCTCACACAGTCGCAGTGCGTAAAGCTGTCGATCATGGTCTAGGAATGCATATTGCAGCATTGTCGACTTATAATATCAGCCAATTCTTTAAGGTAGAAACAACGTGTTACGAAGGTCTCGACTTTGTCCAATTGACCAATTCACAGTGGGTATATATTAACCAATTATTGTCCATCCTCTGTCAATGTTTCGCAAAGTTCTCTGTCATCTTTCTGGTGATTCGTCTCGATACTAGACCGTCGACCTGGATCTGGAGTCGCGTCCTGAGCGCCGCTATCGTGATCTGGACCGTGTTCTCGGTGTTTACTATCGCATTTCAATGTGGTTTCCCCGATCCTTGGATCCAGTCGCACGATCGATGCGCCGCGCACGGAAGCCTATACTATGCCATTATCTCTCTCAATATAGCCACAGATGGCTTCCTTGCTTTTTTCTTCATACCGGCGATCTGGAAGCTTCAGATGAGGGCAATGACCAAGCGGACAGTGACACTCCTTTTCGCCTCTCGCCTATCGTATGTATAGGATATACTGAAACTAGACTCCTAGCTAACGTACAGAGCGTCTGCGTAGTCTCCATCAGCCAGCTTGCAGTGCTTCACAGATTCAGCATCCAAGAAGACAAAAGCTGTACGCAACCACTCCAAACCCCCCTCCCCCTCCTAGTCGACCCACTAATCGTTTTCTAGGGGACCTTATTATCCCGATCGTCCTTGACGAGCTCATCGTTAATCTCTCTGTCATAACCGCCGGCATTCCTCCGGTCCACCGCTTCCTCACCAACCTACAATCCGGCCAATTCGGAGCCCACATGACCGACCACGAGCTCTCTGGTGGGCACCGTGGCTCCGTTCTCACACCATCTCAGACCTGCAATCCGTGCTCACAAGTAAGGCGTCTTCCTCCCTCACGAGTACAGTGCGTAGCCAACACAATCAGAGATCTGCGTCCCAGGTGGTATCGGCGCCTTCCGCAACCAGAACCTCGCCCAACCCGCGCACCCGAGGACGAAGAGCCACTTCGACTGACCCCTGAGCCGAGAAACGAGATTTCTACGACCATATATGCGAACAAAGGCGAAACATGTGATTTCCCGGAACATGTTCAAGAGGGCAGAGATGGTGCCGATGTGGCGCGTGACGAGAGCAGGAGAAGTCGGCCCTTGAGTACGAGTGGAGTTATGCAAAGGACGGAGCTGTCAATCTCTGTGGAATATGTAAAGAGTGAACACAGTTCGCGGCTGCACGACCCATGAAAAGGCTCACGAGAGCGCTAGTGAATTCATATCAGGGACAGAGACTACGGAGACCTGTTCGTACCTGGGACTACATCCGGAAAGCATTGTGCAGGTCATGGGCATCTACATCATCGCAGGGACAAAAGTCTGTAATGAGCTGTCACGGAACAAGGGCTATGGGTCACGCATAGCTATATAGAGAGTCACTACTGTGCATAACAACTCCTTCGTCCTCAGTGGGCAGATAGGACATACCGAATAGATAGGAGTGTCTGACACTGTACAAGAACTGCACTTGTCTCAGATTATACTGGACAAACAAGCCAGTGAACTCGCATGTACAACAAATTATATGCCGAATGAGACACGCAGTATATTTTCTTGGTATAACAATCTACCATGATATCCACCATTTTAGCTCATATAGCATAATGAATGATACATTTTATATAACTCTACCTACTTCTTTTATATCACTTATAGCTGTCTACTACATGATATGATCTCTATTATTAGTGCTAGCAATTTCGCTTAAAACATATAATAAAGAAAGTGACATATTTCTTAACAGGAGAATTAGATAGATCTACCTGATACCTTCTTATCTTACTTACTTTCAAAGGTATTGATAGATAAAAATTTTAACACATGCGATGTATTCTTGTAAAGTCTATGCGAGTATGGATCTTGGAGTATAACAGCACTAGTCGAGTAATTATTCGTTGAAGATTCAGACGGGATCTAGACGGGTGGTGTTAGTGTCTTCATTGTTCAAGCGAGATGACCATGTGATTGCAATTTTCTATAATTTGATACGACTACGACTGGATGCACGTCGAGATTTCAGCAGCAACAAGAATCAGTCTCAGAAGGCTGATCCTGCGCGTCTCTCGAGCCAGAAGCAGCCTCAATGCGAAGCAGTGACTGACTAAAGTCCTCCCAGACCTTTAGCACCATATCCAGATGCTGGATTTGCACCCTGCTATCTTCAGACGCCGCAAGCGTCCGGGCCGTATTCACCGCATTTGAGATCTCGCGCCCATTCATCTCGGGCTTCGCAAGCCGATCCAGACACGCCTCGATTTCGAGATCGACGTCGGTCTTGTCCAACAAGACAAGTTGCTGCTTCCACATCAACCTTCGGCGCCCTTCATCTGGACTGTGATACTGGAGCGCCAGATGCACACGACTGCGAATTGCGCGGTCGAAAACCTCGACACGGTTGGATGTGAGGAACAAGATGCCTTGGTAGTACTCGAGCTGCTTGAGGAAGAGGGCGACCATGTTGTTCTGCCTTGCGTCGCCGCGCTTGCGCTGCTCAAGGAAGACGTCTGCCTCGTCGATCAGCACCACGGCCTTCCAGATGGACGCATATTCGAGTTTCTCTTTGAGCTCGTCGGCAATTTGGTCGCCCCATGCACCGAGTTCGCCAGTGGAGATCTTAAGTAGAGGACGTTTGCAGTGTTCAGCGACGAGCTCGGCGGTGAGTGTTTTACCGGTGCCGGGTTCGCCGTGTAGCAGGATGACGAGACCACGACCTTTGAGAATGGACTCATCACGCGACTGGTCGGGGAATTTGTGTGCTGTAACAAGAGATTGGATGAGCTTGCGCTCGGTGGCGGGAAGGATGAGGGAGTCCATGGCATTGGGAGTCCACTCGAAGTTGTGCAGAGAGTCGACGAAAAACTTGCACCATTGCTTCATAGAGAGGTTGTAGCCGTAGAGGAAGGGCGGGCATAGCATTGGGTCCACGTCCTCTGTTTGACGTGGACCGCCACGACCTTTGGCTTGGTCTTTATCGTCGCCTTTGTTGAACATGGATGTCCAGCGCGACATCTCCTCCTTCTGCCTTCGCATCTCTTCGATGAATGTCTTGCAGTCCACAACTACACGGCCAGCACCCTACAGTAGCGTCAGCGATCTGAGACCAAAGTGATCTGGCCAGCCGTAGCCCTCTATTTGTATGTGAAAAGAGAGCTGCGACACCTCAATCAAAGAAAACAGGAGTAAAATATGATGAGAGCAACACAATGCTTCGGAGCAAGGCAGTTTAGGGGGATACACAGGTAAGGAATGCCACTTCGAGAAGAAGGGACATGGCGTTGAGAAGAGATCGTTCCATGAAACACAGCTGTTCGACCGGACAAGGGCCAACTCACAGATCTTGGGAGCCAAATGCCGTCGTATTCCTGCCTCTCGTCATAATGATCGTAAGGCGGCATCTTCAAGTACATGAAGAGGCCTTCATAGCTGAAGCAATTAGCGCCCCGGATTGCCAAGTATCGTTGTCCACGTTCTGTAAGACTCTTCATAAGTACTTCTGGCTCGATCTCTTTCCTACCAAGAAATTTCAGAGGTACTGCGGAGAGCGAGGTGATTTTCGATGGACTTTTCCCTACGAATTCTTCTTTCTCCCAAATAGGAATGTTGGCATTTGATATTCCTGCTCGCTGTCCGTCACAGGTGGTGAATTCGACAGAGATCTCGAAGAACTTTCCCCTAGCGCTGCACGAATCCTGATAGCCGGTCTTTTGTAATTTGTACAGGCGCTCGTATCCGTACTCTTCCTTGAAGATCAAGTCGCCCGGCTGGAAGATCATCCACAGTAGGTCGAATGTGATCAGGCCGGACTTGAGGAGGCGTTCGAGTTGTGGGCCATTATCACCCATCTCACTCTCCAGAAATTCAATCAAGAGCCGAAGATGAGATTTAGCCTCCTCGTCCTGTTCTGTAGTGACATATTCTTCGATCTCCTTGCGGTGATGATTGAGTAATTTGAAAGGGCTATCATACGAGACCTGAGTGTCGAATTCAAGCGGCTCGGCTGGATAATATGAGACGATTTTCTTCAGAGCAGACAGAATATGTGGCGAGTTGATCTCAACGACAGTCTTCTCAAGCTTCTTCTCATCATAAACCTGCTTGACAACCAGGGCGTATGAACCAAAAGCTTTCTTGTTTAGTGAAGTGAGGTATTCTTCTTTCTCGATGGTCTCATCGCCTTTCTGTACGACAGCCTTGATTTCACATACTGAGCCTCTGGGGGCAGGAGGCTCCTCCTTAATGGCTGACTTGGACTCGTCGACAGCAATATCCTTCCCATTTAGCTCGTGATTTTCCGATAAGACGTTGCCGTTCGGCTCGTTCACAAGCTGAGTTGGCGGTGACATGGTGCCTTAGGTCATTTCATCAAACCCCGGAAATCTGCAGGAAAAGTTGAACACAGAGAAAGGATGGTAAGCGGAAGAATTATGATATAGCTAATTATGAGACACAGCAGGCGCGATCAGTCCATATATAGTCGACGCTTGACTGTTGCGACGTCCGGCCAGAAGAGCTGAGATGTTCAGCATAGCTCTACCCAGCAAGGCACAGTAGGCAACAGTACTTTAGTGGAGAGCGTCTGCTGTGTACTGATTGGCTGTAATTGGAAGCGGTTCGACGTCTGCATACGCAAGCTTCATAGACCTGAACGTTTGGCGAGAAACGGCCAATATGAGGCCAGATGTTGTTGTGCTCCACCACGATCAAGCCACCGACATGTTTGAGTAGTCAGAATGCAGTATGAAATCGGTTGATCACCGTGTCTGAAGCTGAGAGGCCGGCTTTTGACGTCAGTCAGCGCTGTATGGACAGAGCCATGGCTGCCTACGACGAAACGACAACGTATAATTTGCAGAGGAAAAGCTCTTTCTCCCCTGCATGTCAGCTTTGCATGGAAGAAGGTCTGGACTACTGCAGCGGTTTCCTTCTCATGCAGGTGGATGTACAGCTAAAGCTGAGCTGCGTCGGATACTACCGTAGTAATTGAGCTTGGGAGATGGAGGCCCTAATGCGCTACTTAATCAGATAGATGATAAACACTCCTCATTTTCACGCTTCTGTCTCAAGAGTTCGGGATGACACCGATGTAGTAGGTACATGCGTTGATTGTGTGAAAGGAGAGAGCATGTCATTCTAGTAGTATTTTGATAGGGCACCCGATGTCCATCAGTCTATGCTGGGCTTGCTATTCTTATTCAGCGCGGTGAACCACAACTAGATATGCGAGATATTGGCGAGCACAAGGACGGATAGCTATGTGCCCAATGTTTATGAAAGGCGTAGTAGTCAACGTGATGGACGACCAGGTACGGGTCGATCTAGCAAACTCTGCAGCGTTCAATACTAGTTCGGACCGATGAGACGAGAGCATTAATGTTTAGGGCAAGTGAATGTCTGACGAAAGGGGAAAGTCGCGCATCGGATACCATCCATCAGTACGGCGGAGGGCGGGAGAGAGGGCGGGGCTCTCACGATTCGCGACCTCTCACTTGCGCGTGGTGACAGGTATTAGCACCACTGGCTGTCAAAATAAGGCGCGAAAATCTGTTATTGCATCTGACAGCGACCGGTGAGCAGTCCAACAGTCTAACAGTTCAGCAGCTCAGCAGTTTAACGGTCTCTTTCCTGCTCTGCCATATACCATTCATCCTCGGCCATCGGGCACATGCTACAGGTTACACCGTACGAGTGAACAGCCTCTCGATACTCCAACTCCCATCCTTTCTACTCAAGTCTCTCTTTTAATCACTACCTCTGTCGAGCCGCCCTGCATGACGCCTTCACCATTCCATCCACGCAACTGGCCGTAAGCGCCTGTCGACGAATGAGAACTGCGATGCTGGCGCAAGTCCGGTGGAGCTTGTAAGGAACGACACCACAATCTGAGCACCGTGATGACCACCACCGTCGGAATCCCCTCGGCCGATGTGAGTGGCAGCCCTGCGTGATCTTGAAGTCTTTGAACCCCACCAGTCCGTCACTGCAACCCATACTGACATCTTCAAAAGGGCCAGTGGCATTCTGACCAGGAAGATATCGCCGTCTGTCCTCAATCCTCACTCAAACGTCTCGCCCGTCTTCATGCGAAACGAGCGAATATGCGACATCTGAAGGGAACTGCGACGGTCCGCCATTTCGATGACCTAGATAACGATCTGTATCCTCACCCACCTCAGCATATCGACCCGCGAGAGCTCGTGTGCGACCAGTGCAATACTACCGCCTCATATTGTTGTGCAGGCCAGTGTGCTCCTCCGACGAAGAGAAGGGCTACGAGCATCGAGGTAGACCGGTTGAACAGATCGCTCAGTCCCATACCATCTTGCGACGACGCGTCCCTGTACGACATGGTTGACGAATGCTGCTTTCAGAGCTGCGACGACAGACATTGCCCTGAGGCTGCTACGATTCCATGCACTGGAGACGATCATTGTCCATCTAAGACTGCCTGCGCAGATCCAAAGTGCGAAGGCGCGCCGTGCTTCCAGGATGAATGTGGGAGTCCACCATGTACTGAGCCTGCCTGTCCTGATAAGACATGCAAAGAAGGCGAACCGTGTATGGCTGATGGCTGCCAATTCGACCCTTGGGACTGTTGTGACCTACTGCATCCGAATGAGGACTTCTTAAATCCTTCATTTTATGACGACCATTGGGCGCAATTTCATCCAAATCAACCCTTCGAGCCACAGTTTCCCAGCAATGTGTCATCCAGTCTCCAGCAAAGTAATGTCAATCAGTCGGATCTTACTTCGAATCAGCATTCAGATATCAATTGGTACACGGCGCCTTCCTCAATGCCGCAGATGGCGCCAACGATGTTAGATGCCGCGGGAAATTTTAACAGTCTAGAGCCTCACCTCTCCGCTGCTGAAGGACTAGCTTTGTTCCAAAATTCCAGGTCAAATTTCACCTTCCAAGCGCCTGATGCCCCAATGTTTCCGGGCTCATCCAGCAGACAAAGCCACTCCGACCAGGCCGGATTCCAAAGCTATGACAGCGCATATCAAAATTTGGGAAGCTCTACCATTTCTCCACGCAACTCAACAGGACCTCCTAATTCTTCATATACACCATCAACAACAGCCGAAAACTCCAAAATCAACTCTCCAAATGTGTCCGAATGCCATACGCCGCTATACGGCTTCTATCCTGGAATGAACCCTAAATCCCTAACTGCGTCTGCATCTCCTGTCATGCCAATCAAAACTGAACCTCGTCAAGACGTCGAATCCCAGCTCACATGCAAATGGTTGCTTCCCGGCACCCACTTCGTCTGCAACCATCAGAGCGCTTCTCCTTCAGACCTGCAGTCCCATATACGCGATGTACATGTCAAAACCATGAAAGGCGCGCTCAAATGCCAATGGTATGGCTGTCGCAATGACAACGACTTCAAGCAGCGCTCAAAATTGACCCGGCACGTGCAAACACACGCCGGATACCGGCCGCATGTCTGCACGTGGCCTGGATGTGGCCAATCCTTCGGCACAAAGCAGACTATGGACAACCATTTGAAAACCCACGAGCAGGTCAAGCCGTACAAGTGCCGTTACTGCGACGTGACAGCGACAACACCGACGCAGATCAAAACACACGAAAACAGCGTGCATCTGTGCCGGAAGAGGTTCAGGTGTCGATTCTGTGAATTTGCCTGTACAGACAGCAGTAACCTCAGCAAGCATGAGAAAAGTGAGTGGGCCCCCCAAAAATAAAACAAGTTGTCACCGAAAGAAAGGAGAAAAACAAAACCCCGCAAAAGCTAACACCACACAAAGCACACAGGAAACGCACATTCAAATGTCTCCATCCTGGATGCGCTTTCAAGCCGGACTGTCGATGGGGTAAGTTTTTTTCTCTTTTCCTCCTCCCGCTACCCATGACATGCATACTGACCGTGTAATCTCAGAAAACGCGAAACGCCATTTCATGAAGTCAGGCCACTGTCCCGAGCTCCTCGTCAAGGGCTCCGAGGCCCAGGAACGATACAAGAAGGAGGCCATGGCAGCAGCCTCGATTCCGGATGAGGAGGTGCTTGGTGGCCAGCTTCGAGAGAGAGTGCAACGCCTGAAGGCCGAGCCATAAGTCCTAGTTCGGAGGCTAGGCGGGAGAAGGGAGGCGCAACATACGGGGTTGGGGGGAGGGGAACGTGAGGTGTGAGATATGTCCATGGGATGATAACGAGTAACACGGGAACTGAGCATTGAGCTCCAATTGCAATTGCATTAACATTGCATTGCACACCTGGTCTGCTGCGAGCAAACGCAATAGCTGCGCGACCAGGACGACATGTATGTATGAATCGCGCGTTAGCGCACATGCTATAATATCATGATTTTACGATCATGACGTCAAAAAAATACAATAAAAGATAATAAACACTACGGACAATGCAAAGCTTGCTACCTATAGTATCTCACAGTGTAAAGAGCAAGGATATCTCGACTTGCGATTTACATTGTTCAGTGCACTTGCTCTACCTCTTTTGTTCCCGATTCACTACGGCCCACTTTCCCCCACTTTTCCCCCCGCGAGAATTGGAGCACGAACTTCAACGTTAGTGTGTGTAGGAGAATTGCTTCTTTGAGAGTGTGGGTAGAAAGCTCATTGGTTGACTGGCGGGCGTGTTTTGTCTTTCTCGGCGGTGTAACATCCGGTTCAGCACAGTGTCTGGCGTGGCCTGGTGTAGGCACTGTTCAATATGCACAGCACAGCCACTTTGGGCCCGTGGCTCTCGAACTGGCCCTCCCAAAACCTAGCTCTTGTCAACCATGATGTGTATAGATCGGGTAAAATTAAAAATATACCTCGACTACTAGTCTGAACGGCGAGTATCTTCTCGCAAGGTACAAATTGCTTTCTCTTGTGGGATGCGAGTTATTGGTAGCTCTATCGGGAGTGACCGTGATGATTTGCCGGCTATGTCGCTATTAAGGTTGATGTTCGGCGTGTATTTGTCGTGGACTCCTACTGCGCGGTGCCTTCGTTGCCGCCGCATTGAGCCTGGCGTGTGTTCGGCCCAATGGACACCTGAGATCGAATAGGGTGGATGCATAGTTCGACGTGTGATACGGTGTAAAGACGCAAGGAGGCAGCGTGTCTTACTTCGGTGCGTGCTGCGCGTGACAATATACCCGTGCTCGGTACGAAGACGGAGAGGTTGTGCTGCCCTGATGATATGTTGCAGTTCATCATGTTGCGCATCTTTCCAACCAGTTTATGATGTCGACAGAATCTTAAGCTCTTCCAAGCCCTCATTGCCTCCCATCTTCAACCCCAAAACCCGCCATCTGCCCCACCGCACCCCCATACCCACCGTCACTCTCCGCCCCCGAGAACGCCTGCTGATTCATCACGATACTGTACACTGAGCTCTTTAGCAGCGTGAATACAAGTGAGGTCTTGCGCTCGAGTCGGCGCAGCGCATCAAGGATTTCCGCGGAGGGGTTGGTGGACAGTTCGGAGAGGAGGGTGGACAGCTTTTAACAGTCAATATTAGTGAGCAATCTCGTTTGAAACTGGCAGAGGCAGATTTTTATTTAAGAGGGGGTTGCCTTGGAGTCGTACATTATTCAGATTTCCCACTAGACGCGCGTATTCGTCGAGCACTTCTTGCTCGAGCGGACTGAGACTTTCTGGAGGCTGTGCACCGGTGCCGGAGGTCTGGGATGCGCCGAGAGCGTTATCGACTGGTTGTGATGTTGTAGTCATCGTGTCTGGGTTTTGAGGCCCGTGGAGCTTGGAAATTGAGGCGACGTTTTCAAAGGAAGTTCGAGTTATGCCTTGAAGCGGATATATAAGCGGGGACACGGAGGTACTCGCGTCGTGCTTATGAGACGAAACCGGGCTGAAGATGCCTAAGCAGAAGAGTCGAAAATTTTAGGTTGCTATGTCACTAGTAAGATGGGTACCCCGTGGAAAAGCGCCGCTCAATGTTGTGATGCTCATACATTATGTCCGTTGTCCCTTGACGAGTGGACTAGCGGATGACGCGCCCGTCAACACAATTCCAGCCGAGATATCTCCGCCCTTCATGCCTGAGGAGGTTAGGTCCATCTGCAAGGGGCGATTATGGCCAGTATGGCTAAATATCAGTGATATGATATACCTAAACAAGGCTGTACTGGCTCATAAGCACGATGAAATTGCGGTCTCCACCATCGTAAAGCCGGTCCAACAAGCTGCGGTATTCAATTAGTATAGGGAAATCTCCAATGATCATTCCTTCATTGCTAACAAAATATACAATGTCTGCTTCTAAGAGTCATGACGTAAGCAATGTGCATGCTTCCAGGTCCGCCGCTTCCTGCCGCCCATATAGAGTAAAATGATGTGATAGACGGGAGTACGACTTAACTCCACAATTCCACGTATGCGCCGGATAAAAGATGACATGCTAAAGAGACATCGAAGTCTCTGACTTGACATAGTCCTTCGTAGTTCAGCCAAAACATCATCCAAATGAGCGGACAGAAAGCACTAGCCTTCGCTAATCGAACAATTCCTTGACACTAGGGAAGAACTTTTGATAGAGGAATCCGCACCTATTATCTTGCGTGGGTACCATTCATGTCTGAGTCATGGGTGGTGAGGTGGTGGTGATGGTCGTCCCCGTCGTGGTGGAGGGTGACGCTATTGAATTCCTCGAAAGGATCGCTGATCTCACCACCGGGCGTTGTGAGTCCGGAATCAAGGGGTACACCCTTGACTTTTGCAGCCCCAATATCAACACTTTGGCTCTCTTTGACATTGCGAAAGTTCACCGTGTCAATACCACGGCCCTGGTGAGGGATCATTGGGGGCTTCATATGCCGCAAAAGGGCCCACTGAGTTTGGCGGAAGAATGGGTGGCCCTTGACATCAGACGCACCAGCTCGCGAGCCAAGCCGTCTCATCTCATCTTTTATCAGAAGCTTACGGATAAGAGATTTACAGAGACTAAGCTTCCGATTTAGCAAGTGATCGTCATGACTGTTATTTGTTTTACTTACTTTGAGATCGAGGGGGATCCGGAATTCTCTGGAAAGGGCACATCGTCTCTCAAAATATTTGAGAATGTGGCGTTGCGATGCTTGCCCTTGAAGGGTGTCGTTCCGTAAAGCATTTCGTAGATCAAGATACCCAAGGTCCACCAGTCAACAGCACTTGTGTGCCCGCAGCCTTTAATAACTTCTGGGGCAATATATTCTTCTGTACCGACGAACGAGTTGGTCCTGAAGTTTGCAATGCAAGACTTTGTATCTATAGCTGGCAGGTTACTAGACGATGTCGCGCCCCTTCCAGTAACGACCATGGTCGGCTTGCCACCTGGGTCTGACTGTTTCGATAGATCGAAGTCTGACAACATGATGTGACCGGATTGATGAAGAAGGATATCTATGAATCTCAGCTACCACTTGGCACGACGTTAATTACGAAACTTACTCTCTGGCTTCAAATCCCTGTATATAAAACCCATAAGATGGAGATACTCAAGGGCAGCGGTGACTTCGGCAGCGTAGAACCTCGCAGCATCTTCGTCGACACATTTATTCGGTCGCGTTTGAAGGGCTCGGAAGAACTCCCCACCACTACAATATTCCATGCAGAGATAGAGGTGATCTTCGGATTGAAATGAGTGGTACAAGGTAACGATAAAGGGATGGTTGCTTGTAGCCAGAATTTCCTGCTCTGCCAAGGCGCGCTTGATCTTGTTCCTTTTGATCATTTCTTTCTTGCTTAACACTAGGAGTCGTTAGTGGAGTTCTCTGGACTGATACCTAAGTCACGCACCCTTCATAGCATACAGTCTACTAGACTTTTTTTCTCTGACCAAGTACACTTTCCCTACATCCCCTTTGCCGATGAGCTTAATTTTGTCAAAGCTTGCGGGGCCGACCTCGACATTTCGAACTTTGATTGAGTTTGAGCTATATGTCCTCCGGAAAGCGACGGCGTTTCGTATCTGTCCTGGCGCTGGAATAGAACCCTCAGTGCCCGGTGGAACAGGCAGAAGGTGCCCATTAGAAGTTGTAGCGGGTCTATCAATTAGACCCAAAGCAGCTGTATTCTCGTCTTCAATGAGAGGCTCTTTGCCGAGCTCGGCTGTCTGCGGTCTTCCATCTTTGTTGTCTTTGGAGAAGAAACCCTGGGCGTTTGGTGCAGATGCCACTCGCCTTAATTTTCGTGCCAATTCCTCTTTGCCCGCTAAGGTAGCTTGATCACTTGTACCATTGGCACTATCTGTGGTATTGGAATGTAGAGGTGGTGTGCTCGGAGGAGATGGGGGAACACTTCCAGCATTATGATGACGTATCGCAGGAGGGCCTTGATGGGCAAAATACGGGTTGGCGTTCGCAGTAGGGGATAGCTCGTTGTCCAAGGCATTCCCTTCGCTGACGACAGTTGCAGATCGATTCCGACCGATATGGGGGAGGAACCGAGATTGACGGAAATTCAGTTTGCTCTCCGACTTTGGGGTGCTTTCAGCAGAGTGGACGCTTTCCTTGGTGTCATGGCTGCCGGAGCTGTTGATGCGAAAGAAGTTCTTGATCTTTTGAGAGACCTGACTATTCGTACCATTGACTTGCTTGTTCGACGAGAGCGGTCGGCCAGTGAAAGCGCGCTTTTCTGATTTTTCTGAATGGGCGCTTGACTGGGCGGACGATGAGCTGAAGAGCTGCGTCATGGTAGCGAGAGACGTTCAGAATGAACGTTGATTATTTTGAATGCTGCACAAGCCGAATGTGATAGAATCGGGGAAGATGCAGTGAAGGTGATTCTGGCAAGCCGGTAAGAGTCTACCAGTTACTGTGCCATGTCTCGGAGTCTCGGCAAGGCAATGGGCTTCAGCAGTGGCTAGCTGATGCCCGCAGATGGAATCGAGGTCGAGCAAAAGATAACGAAAGCTCTAGATGACAACGAAGGGATTGAAAGGAGAGAAGCGGTAGAGGGTTTACGATGGGAGTGAAGTTGGAAGGAGGTTGCGTCGGCGGATGCGAAGGTGGAGTCCAAGCAAGCTGAGAGGGTTGGAGCAAGAGAGTACGTAGGTTGGTTGATAGGTACCTTAGTAGGGACTAAGTAGGTAGGTAGCTGGGAGTAGCAGCGGCCCCGCAGCGAGGGAGACAAGCTTGCAGTGGTCGGGAGGCCAGTTGGATGATTTGAAAGCAGCTTCGCTAGCTGCTGCTAATTAGATGGATATCTTCCGCCGCCACGCTACTAAAAACAACTCACTTCTTGCCGCAGCAGCTTGCCTCACATATAATAATAATAATACATCCAGAAATGACTGGCGTGAGGCATTGCCATGACCGACTAGGCTCACTGATGCCCTGAGCTCCGAGCCCCGACCTAGCTCGAAGCCTTCTCAGGTGGAGGTATTGAGATCCCACTTGGCGCTTGTGCAATTGCATTCTAGTTCACAGAAATAATTAATATAAACAGGCCGCCGGAAATCGAACCGAGTTACTGCGTGGATGGTACTGGGATCAGTTGACAGTAATGTCCCCTCTGCTCCACTCTAGCCATGCTTCCCGATCACTCACTTCAATCCTTTGTCGACCATGATAGAATATCTGGAGGAAGGAAGCATGGCGCTATACTCGATGTCTTGGCGTCGAGCGCCATATTCTTGTACCGCATCACATAGAGGTAGCAGCAGTGGTCCCATCTTCAGTGGGAGAGAGCAAACTTTTCTGCCACTCCTCTGTAAAGAAGACGACAATATGCCGACACAGCACCCAGGACTGGCAGCGGCTGGCCTAAAGGCACTGTGGAGCGTTCTGTAACTGGTAATGTTCCCGCTCTTTAATGATAATGGAACGTTACCCGCCACGTTGCCGGCTATTCATGGAACCATGGCGGGCGTCCTGGGGTTTGGAATCGGAACCTTGGACTATATCTCCACGTTGTACTTGTATTGACCGTCTGCACCACATGTAACTTTGAGATTCCAGGCATGATATTTGATTGGCTACGTTTGCCCACAGTCCTTGCAAAGAGACGAACTTTGATCCAAGTCGGATCAGGAAGGAGTTTCTTCATATCGTGACCCCGTGTACATAAGGTATTGAATGAGTCAACTGATTCCTAGGCAGCGGTTCGGGTGGTCGGTTGAGCAGACAGTGCAAAATGTGGACTGGACGTGACTAGGTATCACGCACCATGCGCCATTGAGCATTTGCAAGAGAGCTGTCAGGAACCCGAGTGACGATATGCGAGCAGACGCAGGCGCCCGTTTGGCCATTTAAATAGTGCCTGCATGACCAGATTCGGTCTGATGCTAAATATACTATAGATGCCACTGTCACAATCCCCTTCACATAGGGTTTTACTGGCGCTTGGCACTTCTATCAGAATAGCTTGATCCTTCGGCTTCTCCCCACCCTCTGAACCCACATCTTCTGGCTGTCGTGTATTTCTGCTGGTATCAGCCTTCTCTTTGCCCGATCCTTTCTGACCCTCACCGGCATGTCTGGATATGCCGCCTGCTCCTCCTTCGCCAACCTCGATTCCTCTTCTATAATTGCCTTCAACCTGTCCCTATGCGCCATATGTCTCGAATGGAATGCGGCCAGTTCCTGAACGAGTAGGTGATCATAATGGCGCATGACTTTGTTATATTGGATATTGTCGAAAGGATCTGTACTCCGCAGCCCACTTATTTGTCGTAGATTATGCTCCCATAAGTCCTCTTGTTCAGCGAGCGGGATATGCCAATCTCGTAGCGCAATCCGCGTGTTGATGATCTCTAATTTGTACAATTGTTGGTACCTTATTGCGCGCGAAAGACTAGGTGGCTGCGGTTTTTTGAATTGAATGAACGTGAGCATATCGGACCCGGCTGCAACTAGGGTGGGAACATTGCGCGGGCCGTTGAAAGATTCGAAGGGTCGTGGGCGCACATCGTGTTCTTGTTGGCCTTTGGGAAGGGGTGCCCTCGGTTGAACAGACTTAGCTAAATCTTTGACTTTTTTAGGTTTCTGGAGCATGGGAGTCTTCAGCTTGGGGTGGATTTTCTCGATAAGTTGTAATGTGCTGTCAATGGCAGCAGGGCAGCCTGAACTGGCCGCATCGAGGCGATCGAGGCCCTGAGAGTGGCGGTCAGACCGTACGTCTGTGAGAGCTCATGTACGTATTCACATACCTCATAACCAGCCAAGAAAGCATATCTCAGTTGATGATTACTGTTGGCTTTCTTGTTCTTTCGGAAACCATGTCGCACGACGTGTTGTAAAGCGATACGATCAAGCTCAGGAATAGGAGCCGCTCTGCATTGTTTCAGAAGTGCTCGAAAGAGAGCGATTACTGTAGGGTCTTTAGTTTCTTAGGTAAGGATGTGCATTCGACTTACCCGCTGAACGATGTTCACCAGACTGGCAGAACTGTATGTAGCTAGGCATGGAAGGCATTCGCCATGGCCTGGTCAACTTGAGCAATGGAAGGCAGCTAACGCGATTATATGGATGGAGTTGAGGAAAGACTAAGAAGAGGGAAAGGGCTCGGTGATCCGAACAATCTCCGACTCCGTAGATGGATGGATTATGCCTGAGTGACGCTGTACGCTTTGTATTGGATGTTTGTTCCGTCATCGCAAAGTACCATTTATGACCCGAGAATCGCTATGAATGTGCCGATCATGCTGGTAAGAATGATTTTGATCATGGTTGTCTGTGCGATTCTCAAGCATCTTCACAAAACACCACGTAAATGCAACAGGTCCATTCGACCATTCACGTTTATATAGGCTTCCTTCGCATGTCCAGCAGGCGTGTAATATTCTTGCGACTCTCATGGTACTCATGACCCGCTGCACCCATCATGTTTGTATCTAACAACCCCAACTGTACTGTGTAAATCAAGTGTAGGTGGTATTTTCCGGCGGTTGTGGTAGTTTCTTGTGTTGTGGAAGGGCCATGAACCTATGGTTTGATCAGCATCCCTGGAACTTGTGGCTAGAGATAAATTGATTACCTTCGAAGCTCGATCAATATGGTTTCCATGGTGAACTCGCGCTTCCATTGTATGAGGCATGGCAATCTTGACGGATCGACCTGTGTCATTCTTAGCATTCCATACTCTTGCTCTTGCAGACAATATCCAACCTTTCCATTTCGCTGGTCGACACAGGGAAGGTTGATCTTCGAGATGAAAGAAATCTCAGGAGGGACATCAGGGTAGTTCGGGCCGCAGTGGATTTTCAAGCTGTAGATGCGGTTCTCGTGTACGCTCTGGCATGCTTGGGTCAATGTAAACTAAGCTATGGATCAATATATATCTTACGTGTGGTGGTCCAAGAATAGTTCCATTCCAGTTTGACATCAGAAGGTCGTCGCTCTCATCAAGCCCATAGGAGCAGGCCTCTTACTTCGCGTAAGCGATTAACCCTAGAGCATGGGGTCATTCTTATCGTTGTTACCTGCACCAAGACCCTTCTCGCCTTTCTCTAACTCTTCCAGAAGCCTGAAGTTCCTGGGGACTTTTGCTGCCATTATGGATGGCGGGGTGACGATAGTGGGGCAGTCACAAAGAAGGTTTCAAAACGTGATCCGTCCACAACTTACAGCCGGTCAGAAGAAGAGTATGATTTCGACTTTAGATACTGTCAAGTGTGTTGCTATGATAAGTTTGAGGAAGGCGTCAATCATCAACAGCAATGTGACCGGTGAGAGCTGCAACTGAGAAAGCACCGTGACGCTGTCCGATCTCAGACTGGAAAGAGTGTGCACGGACCTCCGTTGTTTCTGGCACCAAGAAGGGCAACGTAAGCATTCCATCAAACATCACGAATGTAACAAATCATGCACTCCTTTTCCAGCCCTTGTATGCAACGTTGATCCTCGTTATGCCCACGTATAGTAGCTAGACATCATTCTTTAAGGCTGGCATACTGTTGTTTTCTCTGAAAACTATAGCATGACCGCCCAACTCCTGACTTCGGAGCTCACCAACCTCATACAAGACGCGAAGAGGAAAAATCCTGATCTGAAAAATGTGAGAAGTATCGTAGTCAGAGTGCTGTACTCACTAACGCGGGAACGGCCAGGCAGCCGAAAAATCTTTACAGGAACTCAAGTCACTTCATGTCACCTCTGAAGAACAGTTGACTGCTGGTCTGTGATGATCCTTCTCATAATATAAACTGTTGCTGACTACGAGAGAGATCTTGTCCGTCGCCCTCAGTTCATAGAGCCATTTCTCATTGCCTGCGGAACCCATAACTCCAAATTCGCTAGCCCAGGAGCGGTATGCCTGCAAAGGCTCTCCGTTTCTCGTGGTATCCCAAAAGAGCGCTTACGAGATGTCCTCCAGGCACTACAGCAGTGCATCTCTCTCAGTATGTGCTATGCTGAATCAGTATCACATTGATCGCTGACTAGTTAGGCCTGGATGTCCAACTGAAGGTTCTTCAAACATTGCCATCCCTCCTTGCAAATTACTCAAGTGAATTGAGAGGCGAATTGCTAGCAGCAACTTTAACCATATGCTCTTCGCTCCAAGCCGTGAAAACTCCCGCAGTCAGTAGTACTGCAGTAGCTACACTCCAGCAGCTTGTGAGCTCGGTGTTCGACAAGGTATCCGATGAAGATGGTACGTGGCAAGTTCTGCATTACTACTTGTTACTGATGACTCGATAGAAAAGGCCCTCGAAATTCCCGCTACCGTTGCAGTACCTATAAAGGATGGCTCCATGCCAGTCCGTCCTGCAGCTCACGATGCGTATTCTGTGGGTTATGTCCTATCGACCTGCATTCTGTCGCAGATGCTGATTGACCCAGATTTTCCATGATCTTTGCCTCATTGCAGAAGGTAACCAGCCAAAATATGTCCGCTTTAGTGTCGTGAATCAAGCGTCTGGTCTCGAACTCCTAGAGACAATTCTGTCAAATCATGGCTCTATTTTTTTGTCTCATCCTGAGCAAGGCCACCTCCTTTGCGTTTTAGTAATGCCGCTGGTTTACCGGTGCTTGAACGAAGGATTATCATTCCAGATTACGGTGAGAGCTTTTCGAATACTGCATGTCCTTCTCAGACAGCATCTCTCCATCTTGTCGACTGTAAGCGAAGAAGCCCTGATATCCGTTGTGCGTATGCTGGACGAGAGCATGCCTTCCTGGAAAAGGGCACTTGCTTTGGAATTATTCCGCAGTATCCTATCTGATCAATTCCTCATCGTCGCTATCTATTCCACATACGATCAGGTAGAGGGTCGCAGTGACATAATCCGCGATAGCTTGAGCTCTTTCGTGCGCATGTCTACTGAAAAACCTTCACTCATAGGACTGGGACAGCAGTCTTCAGCTCCGTACATCAGCACAGAGCGATCTCAAGAAGACCATGCTGAACAAGCTGCCATGGAGGCGGGAGCTATAGGTGGTATGATAGGTAGTCCATCAGTCTCGACAAACAACACCGGTATCTCCGTTCAGTGGAGCACACTCAGAACAGCCTGCATTGATTACCTCGATAAAGCAGAACCACCTCCACTTCCAGAGACATATCTGTACAGTTTGGTCCTTACATGCATCAATAATCTCTCGGAAAGCTTGGCCAGGTTCATTTTACCGCTAACAGTCCACATGGAGACGAAAAGCAGAAAGAAAAGCAGAGCGCAAGGGGTAGTAGACGAAGAAGCGCCCCTGGCTGATGATGCTGACATTAGTATCAAAAGTAAACGAAGAGTATCAAGAACTCAATCCTTCAGAAAAAAGACAGTCCCTGTCAACCCGCTTTCCCTGGGCAAACACAATGCTCTACCAAGGGTCAAGAGCATTGCAGATCTCGTTGAGACTTGCTGGCCAGCGGTGCTCGCCACGTGTTCAACCTTTCTGAACGCATCTCTGGACAATGACTATTACAGGGCGCTTGTTAGGTCTTTCCAAAAATTCACACAGGTCGCTGGGTTGCTTAGACTAGCTACTCCAAGAGATGCGCTCCTAACTACGCTTGGCAAAAATGCGGTTCCAGCAAACGTGCTCACTGCTGGCGTTATATCGCCCAAGACCGGACAGAGCGATGGCAGTGGCATGTCAATTGGTACTAGAGGATTACTGAGCGTCGACAGCATTGTTAGTCAGGCTTCCTCCCTGTCTTTCGATCGAGTACGACGCGGGTCAGTGGACGTTTCAGCCCCTCAACCGTCGTTGAATGCACGGAATCTCTTGTGTTTGCGGGCCTTGTTGAATCTTGCTATTGCACTAGGACCGACTCTAGAGACAGCATGGAGTATCGTATTTGAGACTCTTCAGCAAGCAGACCTCATCTTGGCAGCTTCATCCGGCAAGGGAGACTCTCGCGATCATCGCTCTACTCAAGGTTCGGGCCCATTGCCAAATATAGCGGAGACCAGCATACAAGACGTTAGCACAGAGGCTACAGCTGTGCAGGCCGCTGCTTCTAGGCTTTTTGAAAGCACCGTTGACTTTCCCAACGAAGCATTCATAACGGTAGTCCAAGCTCTCTGTCGACAATTGCGCGCTATACCCAGATCTTTTCTACCAGGAGGTCCTACCCCAGGGCAAAAACCTAGTCATCCACGACGTGTAGGCAGCGTGACTGGCATTACCCTCAATACAGATTCTGGTGCTCAAGAATATGTGTTTGCGCTTGGAAAAATTGGGGATCTTGCAGCGATGAATCTTCACAGATTGACACATTATAGTGCATCTGAAAGTGGGTGGGACATTCTAGTTGAGGAGCTAAACTTGATCACGAAGAACCATAGCATACCCCCAAAAGCACGCCGAATGAGTGCGGACATTGTTGGTCAAATCGGGCAGGACATGGCGAAACTTTCAATGTCTGAGGAGCTAGATGTACGCAAGCACGTGCAAAGCACGTTTTTGGATGCTCTGCTGTCGCAAATATCCTCACTGTATCAAGACCGGGATATCATCAAATCCGACGATATCGACGATGTTACTATGGACATTCATGATATCGCACTTCAAGCTCTGAGATCGATGCTGGAACAGTGTGGCGAATCGCTCACCACGGGATGGGGTTCTGTCTTTGCTATCCTTCGCAGTGTTTTCATATACACTGGATCTCAATCATCTCAAGTCGCGGTCGAAGATCATATAGATTCTGAAGAGGGATATGAACTATCCAGTCCGCGTAAGCCACCGACAAATGTCTATCAAACATCATCTACGATCTCAAGACGGCTGGCTCGCTCTGCATTCGACTCTGTCCAGCTAATCTGCTCTGACTTCTTGATCAACATCCCAACCGAAGTTGCGACGGTATTGTTGGAGCTCATATTGAAGTTCACATCACAAGACCAAGATTTGAACATGTCCTTGACTGTAAGTTGAAAAGACTATCATTAAGTGTGAGACTCATTCGCATAGACCATAACTTTCCTCTGGAATGTATCAGACAATTTAAATCACAAGACACAGAAGATAGATCTGGAAGATATGTCTTCTACCAGAACAAACGAGCTCGAACTCGCGCAACTCATCAGCGAGCGAGCGAGAGATGGCTCCGTATCCGCATTATGGCTGCTGGTACTGGTCCAGCTTTCGGCCGTCAGCATTGATCAACGCATCGAAGTACGCAACGGAGCCATCCAGACGATCCTCAGGATCTTCGAAAATACTGGTGATGAGTTACTTCCGAACGGATGGCGATTATGCCTGCATGCTGTCCTTTTCAGGCTCGTTACGTCAAATCTAATCATTCAAGAGTCTCTTTCTGCTACAGACAGCACTCTACACATAGAGCGTATGAGAGCATGGGATGAGACTTCTGGAGTCGTTTTATCTGTCGTATCCAATCTCTTTGCCTCCAATCTAGATTTGATTATGCAAGTGGAAACAGTTGATGATATCTGGCAGGTTCTCATAGGGCTTTGGCGCCGGTATCTAGCCATAGGATCTCATAGCTTGAGCACTTCGACATACACAGCTATCGGTAGTATACTCTCCAAGGTCCATGACAGAGATGCTATTGGTAGTAGAGCTAGCCAGCTTGTCTCAAGCCTCTTGATAAACAATTTCCCCGAAGAGATCAGAGTCATGGAGACGGCAGATTCCAATCAGGAAGCATATAATGCATATGCAAAGACATTCGGAGAAGTCTATCGACTAGTGTCGGCTGATCTGAGTTTAGACATAGTTCGCCAAGCTCTTAGGAATTTTCGGCGTCTTGCCGAACAGTCTATTGCTGCCCCGTATTCCTCTGATGTCGAGTATCCTACATCATTGCAGAAAAGCATGATTGAATGTCTCTCGAATGTGGACTCCGAGTTGGCGGGTGTACCTTCAGCTCTACTCACACTCTACAGTGATCTCATCATGCTACCATATAGGAAAGCAAAGGGTGAAATAGCGCCGAAGGGCCCGACATATGTCGCGCTATCCAAGGCTGCGATGAAACTATCAGTGAGAGTGACCCTTCGTCATGTCGCTTTCGACGAGATTTACACCTCAGGTGCCATATCAAAGGTACTCGATAGTTTCGCCTTAGCTATAAGTCAGAAGTACAAATGGAAACTGGAAGGGAAGACATCCACAACATGGCAGACAGCGACGAAAAGCGCGCTCACAGTTCTGGAGTCGATCCTTGATCATCTACGCGAAACTCCCCTTGACCTGGATATCATGAGACTCATATGGGGAAAGGTTGTAATTATTGCTGAGCACATCGCTCACGCAGATCTCGCTGCAGCTTCGCCGACCTCACCCCTAGTGGCCGATGAGGAATTTGACATATCTTCGCTGGAGAATCTTCAGAGGCTGATCATACCTTCTCTCGGCTCCAGCAAGACATTAGAGGCGTCTCGCCGTGCTTACACCTCGAGTCTTTTCCGCAGTTCTCTCATCCACGCTACGGAGGCTGGCGAGATCCCAGATCTAGACGGAGGGCCACTTCAAGGGTTGTACACGATTCGTTTCGGACGGACATACGATCCGCATCCTTCACCTCGTACCAAGATGTCCCTCTTCTGTCTTTCCGAGCTCATTGCCCTTGTCACAGCGAAAGATGGCTCAGCAGAACACGTCAAGCTAGCCCAAGCAGCAGCCCCATATCTCATCCTACGGGCGGCGCTACCCATAAAACGGTATATTGCAGATCAGCCGCTACGTGGAAAGATGCCCCAGCCGGAGAGCCAACGACAGGAACTGTTGTTTGTGCTACAGGCAATGAAGGACTTGGAGTCTGAGCCCAAAGCCATTCCAGATGCTGAGGGGATAAGCTCGACGACCAAGAAGCACCTACATAGGCTATTTCCACTCGTCACAAAGGCAATTATAGTCGCAGAGCGCGACGCGGAGATTCTAAGAGCGTTGACGGACTTGTTAGAAGTTGTTAGTGATGGATTTGGCATGTAGACAAACACGCTCAGAAGGCCAATAGCAAAACGTTGAAAAGCAATAAACGCCTCGGCCGCCCTTCCACTCGCGCGTATTGAATGTGCGTAGATCTCGATTGTCGCGTAGGAATACACCATTCTCGATGCCCCACATGCGTGTTACTTTGCAAACGTTCACTCAATGCGTGCGCGGTGCGAGATAAACACGCTCCCCTGCAAGCGTGTTCATACGGGCTATTCTGCCATAAACAGCTAGCGCAAGACGTGACACCATACTCAACCAATCGCGCGTCACATCATTAGCCGAATGCATGCGTCAACATCAACCCTCTATCCCGGTAGACCATCTACATAGTAAGTGTCACGGGCAGTGCACAAGCATCAGATTTACAGGCAGAAAAACAAAATAAAGAAGAACTGGAGGGGACAAGTCAGATTGAACGGCGACGATAATGTCGCTGGACGATCACTACCCAACATCATGTCCGTTCTGCGGCATCGCATCCGCATACCCTGCACCGCCATCATCGGCCTCAACATCCACATCACTTGCCCAATGCATTCCAACGGAAGAAGCATCCTCACCAGACGAACTTACGCCCGCCGCTTTCGTCGTCTTCTCTGCGCCTGAGGTAATCGCCTTCCTCGACATCATGCCCATGGCACGTGGACACCTGCTTGTGGCGACGCGACGGCACGTGGAGAAGGTAGGGCAGTTGGATGCTGCGAGTGCCGGAGAAATTGGTATGTAAGCTCTTTCTCGACTGTATCGCTGGGAATTGTGTGGATGCGTGTGTGATGTTTGATTAATACTGGATGTAGGCCGCATTCTTCCCCTTCTCAGCACTTCATTGATTGCGACTGTGTCTTGCACAGACTATAACATTGTGCAGAATAATGGTGCTGCTGCTGCGCAGATTGTGCCGCATATTCATTTCCATATCATACCGCGAAATGCGTCCACACATGTCCCAGAGATGCAGGCGAGAAGCTGGACTATGTTCGGGAGGGGTCAGAGGGCAGAGTTGGATGAGGAGGACGGGACGGTGTTGGCAAGGCAGATTAGAGAGAGGCTGAGAGAGGAAGTGAGGAGAACAGAGCAAAAGGGGAAGTTATGAGAATGCTAAGGGGAGATTCGGGTCGTAGACAATGCACTGTATATGATGCACCTGTTTCCAGATGCGTAAAGGACCATGCGAATGGGTTACCACTCGAATATATCGCAATACGGGACAGAACATGAGACAATGAATAATCGCAGAATCCCTTTCATTATACCGAGAAGTCACTTGCCAGCATGTCGCGACCACGGAACTATGCACCGTACCCCATCCTCATGCAACAAAGTCTATCTAAAGGTGCTGAGAAGAAAGACGCAGAAAATACAGTACTGAGATCATGCCTAGGTAGAATCCCTAGCGGAACTTCTCAACCGGTCTCAGAAAAGATGTGCCTGCGCGTGAGCTTCTTTGATCCAAAAACAGGCGTAGAAGATGAAGGGATTGCAGCGGTACGAATGGTATGCGCGTAGACCGCCGAGGCTGGTGGTCAATGATTGAGCTATAGACATGAGGTTCTTGGTGAGTTGCTGCCGTTCGTATCCAGGCCACGCGGGAAACGGAAAGTGATGTGTAGAACGTGAAATAACAAAGCCATTATGTCGGTCGCCCTTAAACGCCGTTACGCCTAGTCGTAAATCGATGAATGAGTCTTACGCCACGCCTATGCTTGCATTGCCACGCCAACTGTACCGCTGCACCAAGGACGCTTGGCGTAGCACTCAGAGGACACATAGCCAGACCTAGAAGATCGGCTCCTCGTCCCCAGTTGATGGTAGCCCGGGACGAGCATTGCCATCAACATCAACGACGTCACCATGCTCATGGACGAACTCTTTAGCCCACTTGCGGCAGAAGATAGATGCTACAAGAGTTAGTATTCAATCATGTAGTGTGTACCTATAGACAACGAACCCTTGTAGAATTTCTTGCTAGCATATTTCTTGAAGAATGCCTCATGAATGACTGGGCCAGAGATGTACTGGATCATCAACTCAAGAACGGGCTCGATCTCTTTGGCGGTGTAGCCCGCATAGTGAGCGATAGTTGCGTCCTGTAGGCTTTAGCATATATCGCGAGTAGATAAGACTCAGTGACTTACCCATTCTCCACGGTTCAGAATCAGACGAGCCATATACATGGAAGCAGCGGCGATCTGGCTTGGAGGAAACTTGATCATTTTGTGTTCTAGACAGCTGATCTCCAAAAGGTATTTGCCGACAGTACGTGTATGGATATCGTAATTGTCTGCCTTGGATATCCTTCGGAGAAAGTTCATAGGGTTTGGGTAGCTAAGATCGTAGTTGAGAGCAGCAAGGACGAAACGCTCAGCACTGAGGATCTCGTCTTCAGTAAAGCCGTCATCAGCAACATGCCGGAAATTCTGCACATGGGGTGAAAGGACCTCTTCGTATTTCGATGCAATAAACATAGCCGTTACGCCAACGAGTTGTAGACGGTCAAGCTGGACGACCTTTGCCGAGAGAAACCGGTCGATGATGTTGACAGCCAAGAAAAGAGTCTCCGGTAGTAGACGAAAGCGAGTGTGAACCTCAAGCAACCAGTCAATGAGGATACCTCGCATTTTCCATTCGAGTTCGCCTTGCATATCCATGTAGTCCTCGTTTGGCAATGTTCTCAACTCCAATTCTTTCAGGTAGTCAAAGATTTCGTGAACGTATTCAGCAACCATGAGGGGATCCTCTCTGTCGTCTTCGTCTAGATCGAGGATCATCTCATCTGAAGATTCCTTGAGAGGCTCAACCTTCACTTCGTCACGCTCAACTTGCTTCTCAATTTCAACCTTCACGGTTGTTTTCGTGGTCTGCCTGTTCACCTCAGGAGCAATGTTTTCTGAGTCCTGGTAATCTTCTTCGACAATTGACTTGGTGCTTGACCCGGTGTGACGCTTTTTCGTGACGGGACCTGTGGCGCCGGAGCCACTGGCGGGTCGTTTGAGTTCCGACGCAGTGTTGTTTTTGTCTTTAGGCTGAAGTATGGATCGAGACGTGGTCGTCTTTGTTGTCTTCTGGACTCGTGAGGGCTGTGCTGCCTTGGATACAAGGCCTGTCTTGCTCGCCAAAGGTTTCTTCACCTCTTTGCCGTCTTTACCCTCCCCCACATCACCCTTGACAACATTGCTCACGTCGCCCAACGCAGCACGTCTTCTAACCTGGCCGCCAGTTGCAGCCGATAGAGTATTCGAGGTAGTCTTCTTGGTCTGAAGGGCCTTCTTTGGTGGGGCTTCATTTTCATTGCCAGTGAGCGCCGCGGCTTTGGCACGCGTCAGTCGCGTTGTTCCAACATTTTCGTCATTCTCGTTCGTTATGGCCCGTTTTAGGGGACGCGCAACCTAGAAAAATGTCAGGTCATGCTGAAGCAATCTTTCAATTCGCGTCAAGAAGCAGTATGTGATGTTATCAAAACAAGTGGCGGGAACGTACGGGAGGCATGATGAACAGTCAGACGTTCTGACAACGTCCCGGGCCAGAAACTTGAGTGAAGCCGTGGTGAGGTGGGGGTGCTGATATGTTCTAAGTGAATGTATAGTCAGTATGCAGTCTATTCCACGCGCGATAGAGCAGCAGTGAACATACATATAACGCGGTCAATAAGCCTGCTATAACATAAGATCTATGAGTACCTGCTCAAGATGCTCAATGAGGATGTGAGTCGAGCTCGACGCGAGATATGAAATCGTGAAAACGGATTGATGATGCTCAATGGTGATGTATGCGCGAGGAGGATGGCCACTATCGAACGCGAGGAAACGCGAACAACAGATAGCTGCACTGAATATCTATCTCCACGAGAGGAGTAGATGTTATGCACTCGAGGTGGAGGAAATGGTAAACAACAATGGGTGGAAGACCAAATGTCGAGGTAGAAGAGAGGAGCTGCGAGGTGCAGAGCTGGTTTGTTTTGGGTGCGCACTGTTAGATCGGTCGCGAGTGCCAAGACCTGGATTTCGTCGACACGACCTGGCGTAGCAACAAAGCAGCAGGCATATTTGCGCGCGTCGGATTGGTCCGTTCGTACGCGCTTTTACCTCGTGCAAATAACGCCCTATGCTGCAGACGAGGTGATGGCATTGAACTAGGTGACGGTCGCTGAGAGTTCACATATATAAACTGCAATTAAATGGAGGATACAGGTGGATTATATATTCTGTTCCTTCAATCAGACAGTATCGACACCCTTGAAAGTTGGTTGAGCGGATCCTCGCGCATCGAACGCCTAGCAACACGTTCTGTCCACGGCCCTTATTTATCGCCTTAGTGCCTTGGTGCCCTAGTGCCTTAGCGATTCTTGTGTGCCTCAGGTGGACGCAATCTAGCGTGCTGCCAAGATGAAGTCTCGGGCGAATCTTGAGACCTCTCGATTAATTGACAAAACCTCTCACTGCCTGCATCGACAATCCCCGTCGCATCATTCGGTTTGTGCTCAAATGGCTCCATAGAGCTGTCCTACCGCCCTCATTAGAATGCTACAACCACGGATTCCGCTATGGCGGTGCTTCCAGCAGTCGACAAACTCCCGTTCCTTTCTTCGAACCTACGCAACCTCCCAGAAAACCAAACCGCGGAGCTCGCAAAGCGACATTACTAGCACAGACGAGGATGGCTCCCCGAAGAAAAAGTATTCTCAGCGAGTTCGGCTCATCAGGTCAGATGAGAAGTCAATATGGTTACGAGGAATAACAAACAGTACACGAAACTACAAGAGGCAGATTTTTACACATCTGTGGAAAGGTGGACCATATAAGCCATTGACTTACCCAAAGAAGGGTATGGCAAAGGGAGGAAGGAATAATCAAGGCCGAGTTTGTGTACGGCATCGCGGTGGGGGGCACAAGAGAAGAATTCGGATATTAGACTTTCACCGCAAAGAGCCTGGTAGGCAAATAGTCGAGCGCATTGAATACGACCCGAACAGGACCGCGCATATCGCATTGCTAAAGAACGAGAAGACTAAGAAGCGGACCTACATCGTCGCCGCAGATGGCATGATGGCAGGGGATACCGTTGAGAGCTTCATGTCGGGCATTCCAGCACGTATAGTAGACGAAATGGGCGGTACGATTGATCCTGGTATCCTTGCGTCGAAAACAATCTTCACCGGGAACTGTTTGCCGATTTTTCGCATACCGCCTGGCACTCAAGTCTACAATGTTGGTTCTAAGATCGGTGGCAAGGCCGTCTTCTGTCGTACAGCCGGTTCCTTTGCAACCGTGACACAGAAGAATGTGGAGAATGAATCTAAACTCAATCCTCAGTACCAGTCCTGTGAAGTCCAATTAGCAAGCGGCGAAATCCGAAAGGTTTCTCCTTATGCTTGTGCTACCATAGGACGGGTCAGCAACCACGAGCATCATAAGAATACGCTGGGTAAGGCAGGCCGAAGTCGGTGGAAGAATATACGACCAACAGTGAGGGGTATGGCCATGAATGCCGGTACGCTCGCCTAATCAGATAAATCTTGCAGTTGCACGTACTGATCGACTGTTGTAGCGGATCACCCTCACGGTGGCGGAAGAGGCAAATCGAAGGGTAAGAGGATTCCACAAAGTCCATGGGGACAACAGGTAAGCTAGCCATTATACGTGCATGTATCAGCCCATGTCCTTACACTGTGTAGGCCAAAAGCGGTTTCAAGACTCGCAGAAAGCGCAACAGACATACGTTCCTGGTCAAAGACCGCGAGAGAAATATGGGCAAGAGAAGGGCACCCAAAGGAACACAATCTTAGCCATATTATATTCTGGCACTACACGACTCCAGTGTAGAATTAACCGTCAATAGCCAACGCACCGTCCGGCTTGTATACAGAGCATGAAGTCTAGAGGCTGTAACAATAACAGCGTGAGTTAAATAATATATATCGGGGTTTGGGCTGTTTCATGTCAAGGTTCGAGTTGTATCGTTACTTGAACCGTCAACATTTAGCTTGAGAGAACAAGAGACAAATTTTAGGATGGTTTCCCGTCCCACCCCTATAGATACGGGAGACTGGTGCGATAGAATAAATTAGGGCTGACGAGAATGGTTGCCTTCTGGGGCCAACATCGTCGGCGTCCGCGAATGAGTCGTCTACGCCATATCGCAAAGCAGGCAGAGCGCTGTGGTTGGCTGCTACTAATTCCGGCTAAATCTACCGTGGATAGACAGAAACGTGTGCCTCACCCGTGTGCTCAGCCTCAGCTCTATGTGTGAGCCAAATAAGCGACCAACTCAAAATGTGTACTGTATTCATGACCTACTCCATGTCTCGTATGTATGTAGTCTTCGATTTCTAAACACCTATCTCCTAATATCAATTATTGTATGCTTTCACAACATCTTGAGTGCTGCAGCCCACTTTGACGGAATATCATCGTCATCATCCTGAATCCCAACCTCGAATCCTTCCACGCCGAGCGTGGTTCCGATCCCGTCTGCCCCAAATCTCCTGGACTGCACTCTCATATATCGTGCCAGACCACTCTCCTACGTGTTCTCAAAACTGACAGAACGTCGTAATGGGCATAAACTCCCCAGAAGAAGCTTACTTTAACGATCTCTCTCAACAACCGCCACCCTCGGAGTTCAACGCCCGAAATAGAGAGCTGGCAAACAACGAAGAGAATGGCATACCGAAGACCAAGAGGATAGCTTGTATTTTATGCAGAAAGAGAAAGTTACGATGCGACGGCGCCAAACCTGCATGTGGAACATGCAAGCGACTTACCCATGATTGTGCATATGATGAAGTTCGTCGCAAGAGTGGACCAAAACGAGGATACGTCAAAGCTTTGGAGGCTCGACTGCGTATGTGCGCTAGACGTAAGCAATGTCTTGAGAGCTAACACGAGCTATAGAGCAGGTAACGGAGCAAGTCGAGACCTTGATTCGCACCCAAGATGGCCCAGAGCCAACACGAGAACAGGCGCCGGCCAATGTACCTTTTCCCATGTCATCGTTGCCTCCAAACATGACAGACTCGTCTATCGTACAAACAGGAACTACTGATCAATCAATGTTCGGGACAAATGGTGCATCCCCAGGAGGCTTTGCTGGTCTTTCAAACGGCATCGAAATGAATACAGACGAACAATTCCCTTGGGAGATAATAAGCCTGGGTCTAGAGGAGCCTCTACCGCCACAAGAAGATATTAATGAATTGTAATTGCATGTTCGTTTACACTAATGTAGTCGGAGCTAACACGAATCAGAAATCGACTATACTTTGAAAAGGTTCATCCATCCATACCAATGATTCACAAGCCGAGATTCCAGGCTGCCATGAATCTCGCGCCGCACATGCGCCCAGCTGTCTGTCTGCGATACATTATGTGGGCCTTTGCAGCATCGCTCACCGACAGGTACGAATCTTTGCAAGAGCACTTTTATCAACGAGCTCGAAAGTATGCCCAGATGGATGAGATGAAGGGGCACGGTGAGGCCATGCTGACCTTAGGTCATGCCCAAGCTTGGATCCTTATTTGCACGTATGAATTCAAAAGCATGTATTTCCCCCGTGCGTGGATGAGTGCTGGCCGTGCTGTTCGACTTGCGCAGATGATGGGCCTGCACCGACAGGATGGTGCATTCCTTGACGTGAAGCAGTGCTTGCCTCCACCTAAAGACTGGACTGAGCAAGAGGAAAGGCGACGGACTTTCTGGGGCACGTTCTGCATAGATCGCTATGCAAGCATTGGGACTGGGTGGCCAATGACAATTGATGAGAAAGATGTAAATCAACCACTTTCGTATGGCATGAAGGTGCATGGAAACGTGCTAACAATGCATTAGATCATGTCAAATCTGCCCGCTTCAGGCGAAGCATACGAGAGAAGCAAGGCCGTGCCGTCAATATCCCTTGAGCAAGCATTGACACCCTCGGGAGCGGCATCAGTCTCCGCGTTCGGGGCCGTCATTCTCATGGCGTGTCTTTTCGGCCGCAATCTGCATCACCTGCATCGTCCAACACCCGACGATAGGGAAGGCGATCTCAACGGCGGATTTTGGAAGCGGCATAGGGACATGCAGAACACCATCGACAATACGTCCTTAAACCTCCCGGATATGTTACGGTTGCCGAGCGCTATGGGGAGTGCTAATGCGATCTTCACCAACATGTGTTTGCACACGTCGGCGATATGCCTGCATCAAGCCGCAATCTACAAGGCAGAAAAGAATCGACTGCCAGCAAGCGTCAGTAATGAGAGTAAGATTCGATGCGTCACTGCGGCTGCGGAGATTGCAAACATTATGAGAATGATCAGTCACATGGATCTCGCTGCAGTATGTATTGTCGCCAAAAAAGCTTCAGTGTCGCTGACAGAAATTCAGATGAACCCCTTTATCTCCTTCTCGGTCTACGTTGCGGCACGTGTGTTTGTGCAGTACCTTAAAACGCGGCCAAACGATCAACAGATGATCTCTTCTCTCCAATTCCTTATGTCAGCCATGCAGGTGTTGAAGCGGCGAAATCCATTGACTGAATCGTTCATGGTGCAGCTCGATCTAGATCTGGAAGATGCAGGCATACCAGGCTTACGCACTAGCGTCGAATCTTCAGAAAACGTAGGTTTCTAAAGAGATCCTAGTCTTGGTGTGCAGTCATGAGTAGCTGACTCGATATTCAGGGCAAGACCCCTCCCAGTGTAGACAAAGCGCGCTGCAGTCCCATCGTGGTTATCGGCGAGCAACAGTCTCAGTCTACAACCCTTGAGAGAAGTGATGGTGGTTCCACCGGCGACTTGGCCACGGAGCCAGGTCTAAGCATGCCTACGCAGTCCACTACGTTTACCGGCAACACACCTATATCATCAAGGCCTTCCTTACCACCAAGTGCATTCTATGAAGACATTGAATCCAAGGGCGCGCTGCGCGGTATCATCGTCCCAGTCATGGATAGCAACACTCCTGAGGGTGAAATGGACACGTCCCCGGATACGAGCGGCGACCAGCCTACTCCATCTACATCAAACTCTCGACACGGCTCCTCGTCGCATACCTCCTTCACGCCCCCACGACAAGATGATACCACGTCACATACACATCACTACCACTCCGCCCACAACCCATTGACGTCGAACAATCAGTCCTCAGCCGGCTCCTCAAACAGCCAAAGCATTCACTCTGCTGACTTTTTTCCGGCATCTAGCGGTGGCTATGCAGGCATGAATTCCTACTATCCTGTTCAGCCTAGTATGCCCAGCCTTGGGCTCTCGGGTGATTGGGATATAGCCAACGCCAATTTGTCTGATAGCGCGTGGAGTCAGATGCTTGAAGGCATGGGCATGAATTGGGATGGTGTGGGTCCCTCTGAGATGCCTCATTCGCAACAAGTTGATCCCTTGACTGGACGACGAGTAGTGTAGTGAGGGGTTAAGCGCAGTAGATCTTGTTGGGCGAGCGACTTGATCTGAGATATGGCGTTTTATATGGCAAGCAAACTTTTCAGAGATACCACTATACATTGGGATATAGCAGTATCACGGACAAAGCATATTGTAATGAGTACAAGCATACCTCTCCCCTGATAACGGCCATAGAGAGCTTTGATGCTCGATCCACTAATGACATAAACATATACCACTTCTACCTCCTGTTCGTTTCTTACGTTATCGTGAGTCTTGACGGAAGCCTGTATCCATAGCAGAATCCGCTGCCAACGTCTGTGTTTCACAGTGCTCTTATCATACCCTGCGCCGCGGAAGCTTTCGGTGTCATCCCATCTTGCGCTGTATGATTCCTTTCTTGTTCAGGTGTTTCAATCAAGATCTTGTTCGGTTTGCCTAGCCCTAACCATCTCCTAGTCCTGTCCACACATCCCGTCAACACCCCCATGCCTTGGATATTACAGACGTTTTTACCCCAAGTCTCCATCACATTCCCTGGCTTTGCCCCTGGCGTCCATAACTACGAATGTAGCCACTCCATAGCCATTTTTAACACCACATCCTCTCACTTCCTAGCTTCTTGTTTGATCGAAAGCACACCCCAGATATAATATGTGTCCAGCCATTCCCAGTCAAGTCAGTCAACTTAGGCTGCCGCTGTATCTGCATCGAATGCAAGGAGGACAGTAGGCGTAGGCATTGTAGGCACGCTCGCAGTGTTACGCATAGCGGTGAAGGTATATCCTCTTCGACGACAAGCGCGAACGGAGGAACGAGGAGTGATGATATAGCAAGTCTGTGACAGCTATGGCACCTGCGCTACAGACAATGCCTGCACTGATGGATACTATGGAGGAGATTAGCACCTCAGCTACACCATATGAGCCTGTACCCGAATTGCAAGGCTCAATGCTAGGCGCCCGGACGTGGGAAGGTAGTGAGGAGTTACAAGGGTCGTGTGAGTTGACTAGAGATGGAGAACAGAGCGGCTACTGCTGATGAGGGTGGAAGATTCCACAGTTCTTTAGCTGCACACACTGTTCAAGCAAGCGCGTCACTTCTGCCCGACTGTGCGGTCACGTCCACATTGACGCGTGACACGTCATGAATCACAGCAAACGACCCTGTAGGTACTATATAATCTATTTCGTGATGAAGAAAATTCATCCAGCGACCTACACTTCTGGCCCACTAGTCTAGTGGTAGTCAACAACGTGGTTAAAGGAATCTTTATAACCCAACGATTGGCCTTTGGTTCAATCCGCGCGATACGAGTTTCTTTTGCATTTTTTGAGCGAAAGCTAGATTTTTGATTTGTTTTTATACTTTTGGGGGCCTTGTTTTTGTCGGCCTTTTGCCTTTTTTTTGGCTCATTGTCCAGTCCACTGCTGTGCTAAGCTGCTCGCACTACTAATATAACTGACACAACCGTTCGTCGTGAGGATCTAGAGGAGGAACTTTTACACAAAAACTAGGAAGTGAATAACTCATGGAGACGGGCACTAGCTTCGTCAGGACAATCGATAAGCTCTGAACGGACAACCACTGTAAGTGTCATCTATACCTAGAGCTTGAAGCCTACACGAGCGACTGCTGTGAGATTAATCAACTCTCTTTACGAGGCCTCTACCTAGGTAGGTCTCTCACGCTGCGGGGTGAGACAGGACTTTTGAGCTGCCAAGCAAAGAATCTACGAGCAGCGTGTTTTTCTCAGCGCTGTCTCAGCACCAAGGTACAGTCGTGCTGAACGCGTGTAGTAGTAGCGGGCAGACAATAGCTTGTAGCATCTTTGGCTTGTTCTCAATGTCGAGAGCACCTTGTATTGTCAGATTTGCTAGCTATTCATCCATTACAGCTGCTCTAGATCTATCCGTGAAGCGCCAAAACGACGAATGTATATCATGGCTAAGTAAGGATTGCATCAAGTAAAGTGAGTCACTCTTGATTGGCAGCAAAGTTGTATTCCCAGTGTAATCTTTGAACATGAGCCATGTCCTGTGCATCTACCAAAGCCCAAAACTCTTCCATACCGTCTTCCTTTGTAGTGGTAGGTAGACAAGATGAGTTGTTCGAAGAATTGATATATTATAGAAGGACAGCGAACGTTATGAGCATGTGGAAACTGCTCTAGCTGTTAGCAAAACGTGCTTGTCTGGACGTTATTCTGGGAATGAAACGCCTTTTCAAGATGGACTGTGACCTTTTAAGCCGCCATTTGACGACCCATATGATGAGCTAATCTCAAACAGAAGCTTCTATCATGATTTCTTTCATCTCTAGACAGCTATCGAAGACCGATGCCATTGCTAGTGACAGTCGGCGAGGAACGGATGGTCGCGGAAGGCCGTTAAACACGAGAGGTCATCGCAGCGCGCACGATATGTCGCTTGGTGACGACAGGAAGGAACAGGAGTGTTCGAGGGTACTATTGTTCGTAGAGCACGGAGGATGAGAGGATGAAGGGCCACGCGTAGGGAAGATTGCATAGAGACTGCGGTCTTCTCGGGTCGTATCGCGACGTGGCCAATTCGTAGGCATTGACCTTGGACATAGTCTATAGCCTGGTAGAAGAAGGCTCGCTGGATCTGATATATGAAACGATGATACACATAGCTTGACTCTGCCGAGTGCTGAGACTGTCGTGATGTATCAAATGGGCAGGCGCGCATCTACACGCACTGAACTTCGAGGCCGGAGCTAATTCTACGCAATCGCGAGCAAGAGGTGGATAAAGATACACATGATCTACGAGAGAGTAGTACATATAGCGAACATAGCAAGAAAGGATTTGATCCATTACTCTATCTATGCTAAGATATTATGTACATTGTGCTTCTACATTGTTTGCTCGCTCACATTTTTAAAAATGATGAGAGTTTCCAATGTCGCCACGAGGAGGCCATGTAGAAGACTTAGACATCGCGGCGCGAAGGGGAGGGGAATTGGGAATGTGACTGACAGCGACCAGCGCCCGTTTCACTGTGCAAAAAAGAAAAACACTAAAGCTAATACAAGCCTATAGAAATGCCGCCCTGGCAATACCCAACAAAGGAAACTCGTCAAAGTAACGCCCTCTACCCAAACAAAAGAAACAACTAACTAAAGAAATTCGCTATATATGTGCCCTGTACCCAAACAAAAGAAATGGTTGACCAAGGAAACTCGTTATAAATGTGCCCTTTACCCAAACAAAAGAAACGGTTGACCAAGGAAACTCGTAATAAATATGACCTTTACCCAAACAAAAGAAATGGTTGACCAAGGAAACTCGTAATAAATGTGCCCTTTACCCAAACAAAAGAAATGGTTGACCAAGGAAATTCGTTACAGTAATACCCCCTACCCAAACAAAAGAAACGGCTGACAAAAGAAATATGTACAAGGAGACAGGGCCACTTACAGGCAACAGACGAGACGCCCACAGAGCTGTCCCAGCTCTCTGCCTTGTCTCTTGACCCAGCTCCGCCAGGTCTCTCTCACTCCCATTTCCTACAAAAAAAAAAAGAGTTAGCTAGCAGCTCAAATCAAGTAGAAGTGCTGCAGGAACACAGGATTGTAGCATAGCTAAAAGAGTAGAACAGCGAAAAGTATGAGTGCAGCGCCAATTCTACGCTGTAGCCAACAGGGGAAACAAGATAAGGTGCGACAGGATAATGAGTGGTAAGGTATAGCCAATTGAGAGAAAGAAACAAAGCGCAAAAGAGTACACTGAAATCCACTTACTTCATCATTGTGAATTGTCACAATGCAGAATGCTCCATCTGGGAGCTCCATCCTCTCCTGGTTGTTAATGGCGAATGGCATTGTTGTTGTTGAGATTTCTGTTGTGTAGTTAACTGAGATTTGAAAAAAGGTCACGTGGTGCTCACGTGATCGATTTTTCGGGGGGGAGAGATGTAGAGTAGTTGGAGATAGTATGCGAAAGATTTCCTTTTATGCTTGAGCAGACAAGCTCAGACCTCTGCTATCCGCGCAGCGCCGGGCTGCAGATCCAAACCAAACTCCTTATCGTGAACTTGGCAGAGAAAACCCACTCAATGAGCCTGATAGGAAAGGCGCACCACAAGCCGACCGGACGATCACTGTTCTAGTCCTCATCAGGGCCAAAGAATACTGGATAGAGACACAGGTAACGTCACCATCGTACGATTCTATGACTCCTAGGATGTCTGCATTTCGTAAAGAGAAGAGCTAGTCTCGCCCTTTGGCAACGTTGCAACAGCAAGCAGCTAAGGCGCAAAGCTAGGCAGAGGCACTGCCTGAGTCTAGGGTACAATTGGGGGCTGCAGTTGCAGGCACCGCTGGCAGTGGGCAGGGCTATGGCGAGGCCGATGGGGACAGTTGTATGTCAGTCGGGGCGCGTGTGCTACAGACTGCTCGAGGAGGCGCTGGCAAGGTCTTGTCTGGGCAGCATGTCCATGCGTGGTTCTTGCTGTGCAGACTTGTAGTAGTATGATACAAACTCCTTCGTGCAGGTCCTAATGTATAGACGCCAATGACGATAGGAAGTGGTGATAGATCCGAGTGAGCGTGCCCGATTGAAGCGTATAGGCGCCAGGTCTGCCCCCAGGTCTGCCCCCGAGCAGACACCCGGCACAGGGCTGTAGGTGCCTGAGTGTCGCTGAGTGTCGCTGTGTGTAGCTGTGTGTAGCTGCTCGAACAAGGACGACGTAGGCTTGCATAGCTGTGTCGTCTGTAGCCCAGTCCGGCAGGCAGGCGCGCCGAAACCTTGCAGCGAATGGACATAACTGAACATAATTGTGCAGAGATGATCGCTCTATGTTTCGTATTCGACACATCTACACTCCCTCCATGTATCATGTCTCATCCATAATGACATCTGCTCTTGCCTCTCCAAGCTCTTACAGCGGCCACGGCGCGACGTACCACTCTCACCACAAACACATCCTACGAGCCGCGCACGACGACTCTGCCTCCGCCAGCAGTCTTTCACTTCTTAGTAGCGGCAACCTTCGGATGCTCACAATAACAATAGCGGCAGATATGAATCTGCCTCGACGCTGGCTCGTGGCTTCAACAGTGGCGACACCGGGTAAGCTTTCATGCATGAACGCAATCAGAGCTTAACAGACTGACGCTGCTGTTTATAGCTCTTTGATCAAGCTACATCATTTCCACCAGGACTTGCCTTGGAGAACCTTTGTCTACGGCATTTTAAATGACCAAAGGTTACCTACAACTGTAGCTCGTCTTTGCTGCCACTCAAGTGGACATTAGCCCCGTGGTGTCGATTACTGTTTCACAGCAACACGCACACATATGAGACCACGACCGCCACCCCAGACATGAAGAGAGATATCGACCTCACAGACATGACCATACGATGGCATGAGAACAGCAGAGGTCTCTAATTCATAGCTGGAGAGATACTGGCTGCCGCTAAACTTATAAGAGGTATGAAGGAGACAAGACAACTCACACTGATCTTCCACACAAAGGCGTCGGAGAAACCCATTGTGTTCTCTGCCCGTTCCATTCCTATGGATGGTTGATCTTACTTCGATGTAGAGCCATCCCACAACAGCTTCCTTCGACTATCCAGTGTTTATGAACAAGCTGCGATGGGAGCTTTGTTGTGTTCTACACACTCACATTAGACGGCAGACTCATGGCTTCCTCCGAAGCCGCTTTTCTCACCCTCATGGTTGTATTTCGTCTTACCAGCCTCGCTGACATGTACAGTCTCAGCAAGTTCCTAATCGATGAACTTACATGCGGTCTTGTGTCAAGGTCAGGCCTTCGCGGCAAGCTCTTCACCAACGACTTCTTCTGCATCTATAGCATGTCGTCTATTTTAGCATCTGCTGCGATGACTAATAAAGAGTCGATGTCACTAGTGCATTCGCTGATTGGATATCATCCGGAGACCCTTGCGTTCTATAGGGGCTAAGCCAGCAAGCGTTTGATAAGACCATAACGGGTTTAGTGCTGCGGCTACCCTGCCTTTCTTTCTGGTTAATTAATCAGTGTCTTGCAGTTTAAACAATTAATAGCGTTTCGAGACTATCGCTAGTAAGTAAGGCATGACCCTAGATAGCTACAAGTATTGTCAAGAGGTCAGGTGTATGGGAGCAAGATTCAGGCCTCGAGCCTTGGTATGTCATGCCCTTTACGTATTTTCAACATACAGCCTCTGCTTGACTCTACCTAGTGGACAAAGCAGACAGAGCTTGAAGATGGACTATGACGAATTGAACAGTCAACTCCTCTTGGAACAATAGTCGAGGGCAATGCTCAGTCTCAGGTAAACAAGTCACCATCGTCGCGTATCTTATTTTATCTACTGACATGGATTTAGTATTCTGGCTGTTACCATCCTTAACTACGTCTGCAGTAAGACACAATCGCCGTACCCATCGTGATGTCAGCCAAGTTACTGCCGTAGTACTTGCTCACACCCGAAATTACCATTGCGAGGTCATTTAGGGATGGTGGGCGCGATGTGAGTTACCTGTTGCGTTACGTCCGCATGGGATGCAGTCTAGTCATGTGGACATAGACTGCTATTGTTAGTTGGCTCATTGGCTGGCTCCGACTCTCTGAGCACCCTACAGCCATCCCTTCTTTCTATGTTGTCATTCAGTACGTTCATCTGGCTTCTGCTGCCGATGACATCGAGAGCAGTTGTCGAACCTTGAAATACGACTTAGGAGTAGATAATGTTGGGAACATGTTTCGTCACGTCGGTAGTAGTCGCAAGTGTGATGCGAACATACTCTGGACCTTGATGATTTCAGTAGAAACTGAGTTTAGATAGAGCCATGGATGACTCAGATATATAAGAGGCAGCTGTGCAATGCGAAGCTAAGTTTGTGTGTATGAATACTGAACTATGAAATCAACGTGACAGATACTACGCTAGTATCACGTAGATACCAGTATGGCATAATTCTAGTTCGCAATCCCATCGCATCGGTCAGAAGACATCACGGTACAGCCTCCCCAGGATCTATAAAACATGTCCCAGGCTGCTCATCTCCTCTCCTCTGCATCGCCTCCTGTGCTTTCTTCCCTCCTCTCGCAGGCCCCTCTCACCGTATCACCAAGCCAAGCACACTCCCCTCTGGCCATCAGCACACGCTAGCCCATTCAAGCAGCTCGCAAACATCTTGGCTCCGCTGCCACTTGGCGCCCAGAATCACTCATGGCATGCGTGCGGACATGCCCCCATCTAAAGGCACAGTAATAGATGATCGCTCCGCTAGAGAGCTATCTCTTATTACGGTCCATCAGCTCAGACCTGCCTCTTTCGATCGTCGCGCTCGATATGACGGCTCGGGTGCCGTCTAGGCAGCCAAGATGATCGATAGCGATATGCGCGTAAGACATTTGGTCGTTTGCGTGATGCGGTGCAACGCATTCAAATTGTGACAGGTGCCGGCATTGGGCTAAAGGGAAGCTGCGATCTCGTAGTCTGCTCTTCTCGTTTCGTGAAGTCCCAATTGCCTCATTTTGTTGCAGGTCGAGCATTGCTGTCATTATGAGATTCATTCGACTGAGCGCTGCCGTCGCAGCTCTTGTGACATTGGCACATGCACAGGACTTCGCCATAAGCGAGAGCTGGCGGAGTCTCGGCGAGAAGAAATATGCTGAGCTGCTATCGAAGCTGATGCAAAGAGACATCAAGACTGATAAGTATGCTCTGACCATTCAGGGCATGGTAATGAGCATAAATACTAACATCCCTTCTACGTAGGCTAATGAGCAACCTTGTACGTCTCGACACGATAGCGAACGAGAATGGAGGAAACCGCGCCTTTGGTCTGCCTGGCTATGCAGCTTCTGTTGACTTCATCTGGAGTCGTGTTGGAAAGATTCGGGGCACTAAGGCGTGGAAGCAGGACTTTCCGGCCTTGTTCAACAACGTTGACTCTATCTCATTCATCGTCAATGACATACCGTACTATGTTTATGGCTTGACATACTCTCCTTCAACGAGCGCCGAAGGTATCACTGCCCCACTTGTCCTAGGACCACTCGATACCACTGCTTGTACTGTTGATGGATTGCAAAACTACGACTTAGCCGGAAAAATCTTGCTTGGGCAACGAGGTACATGCCCAGATGGTACAACCCTTGCGGGCCGCGTACGAGCTGGCAAGGCAGCAGGCGCTGCAGCAGTCATACTCTTCAACAATGTGCCGACGAATACCACGGCGGGGACCCTTTCAGCGCCTGACGAGGTCAATCTGGCACCAGCCGGCTTCATAAACCTGGTCGATGGCGAGGCAATTGCTGCTCAGCTCCGCGAAGGCCAAGAGTTGACGGCATACTTCCAACAAACCCAGACAATCGAGACCCGCACAACTCAGAACATCTTCGTCGAGACCAACGGCGGCGACCCGAACAACATCATCATGCTCGGCGCACACTTGGACTCTGTCAAAGCCGGTCCCGGCATCAACGATGATGGTTCCGGCACAACCCTAATCCTCGAAATCTTTGACGCACTGCGCAAGTACCCAACGAAGAACAAAGTGCGCTTCGCCTGGTGGGGCGCCGAGGAGAACGGTCTTGTCGGATCCGAGTACTTCTGTGAACACCTGACTCCGGAAGAGTCTGACAAGATCTTGGCATATCTAAACTTCGACATGGTGTCGCGCGGCTACTACGGTGTGTTCGACGGCGATGGCAGCACACATGGTCTCGCAGGTGCCCCAGGCTCAGACACCATCGAGAAGATCTTCTACGACGACCTGACTAGCAAGGGCATCAATGTCACTGCTGCACGTTTCACCGGCGGTAGTGATTATGCGCCCTTCATGCAAGTTCTGGGCAAGCCCGTCGGGGGATTACATACTGGGACTGGTGTGACAGAGGATGACTGCTACCACCAGGCATGCGATACGATCAAGAATCCCAACCCGGAGCAATTGACCATCAACGCGAAGACAGCTGCGAATACACTGGCTCAGCTAGCGGTTCGTGGGACAGAGCTGATTCCAAAGGTCTTGGCCAATTCGACAATGGCAATGCCGCGAGATTTGCCGCAGATACAGTGGTCTGAATTTGATGAGGAGCGTCATTTGGCTGGGTGTGGTCATGACATCTAAAAGAATTGGGATCATGCTCTGTGAACTAAAGCCGATTCGGAGTTCACGCTGAAGGTATAAACAGCTATCCTGAGGATCTTCTCGAGTTTATGGAGATTGAATATACATATCCGTGATGAAAATGCCCTTGTGCTTGTGCTATATGATCTAGAACACCCCCTCAAGCAAAAACGTCAGTTGCAAACCTCTCCCCTTTCACTCCCTCAAACCATTCTTCCGCACTCTCTTCTGTAATCTCTTTCCCCTGCTCCTTCTGCCTCTCAATCAGCATCTTCATACTCATCTTCTTCACCCCTTCGCCGACATCCCGACTCCCACACACAAACACTCGTGCACCAGCCTCCCACAGCTCCGTGATCTTCTCTCGCTCCCTCCACATCACGTCCTGCACATACTTACATCCCTCGCTCTTCTCCGGCTCCCGACTGTACGCCCACAGCACCCGAACCGCCCCTATAGCCTCCCACCGCCGCAGCTCGTCCGCATGGATATCATCCTGATCCTTGTACCGACACCCCAGAATCAGCAGCGCGGGCGCAAGGTCCCGGCCCGCGCCCACAAGCGCCGCACGTTCCTGGACGAAGCCACGGAACGGTGCTACGCCGGTGCCAGCAGCAAGCATGAAAACAGGCGTGTTTGTGACGTCGCGTGGGAGATGGAAGCTTGCGTGGCTCGGGCGTACGGACACGTAGAGCCGGTCGCCGGGTTCCAGGGAGGAGAGGTAGTTGCTCGCGACGCCGACGTGGCGGCCGGCGCCGGACAGGGCGGGGGTGTCGAGGACGGCGTACGTGAGGGTTACGTGGCTCGGGTTCCAGAGTGGGGAGGAGGAGATGGAGTATGTGCGGACGCGCATGGGCGGGAGGAGAGCGAGGAAGGTCGAAAGGGGGAGTGGGATGTTTGGGGCGAATTTGGTGAGGAGATCGAGGATTGAGACGCGCTTGCCGCTTATCTCGGCGGTGAAGACGGCGGGGTCCAGGAGGCGGGTGAGTTCGGTGTGGGTGGTGGTGTGAGAGGTTGCGGAGAGGAGGGCGGCGAGGTTTCGCTTTGAGGCGGGCTGGGCGAGCTCGACGTATGCGCCGAGGAGGTCAGCGGCAGGTATGGGTGTGTTGGTTGGGAGGCTTGATGGTCCGCTGGTAGAGATCGTTAATACTGTGTCCCAGGCGAGCCCGAAGTGGCGCATTGCTCGTTGGACGTTCTCTTTAGGATTCAGGGGTAGAACAGCAAGATAGTCTCCAGCGGAATAGGCCATGTCGGAAGGTAGTTCAATCTCGATGTGACGTTTCTCTGGGACATTCGGTGCCGTGAGAATCTTTGTCGAGCTGACCTGGGCCTGATTGACGTCCTGTCTGAGTGTGGATGTGCGTGGTGTAGAGATCTCAATGTTGAGTTCTGATGAGAAATCAGCTCCTGTCGCTTCAGGTAAGCCATATTTCTCCTTCATAGCTGTCCAGAAAACGGTGTCCTCCCAGCTCTCAAAATCGCTGAACATGTCACCTGCTGCTGCATCTGCTTTTCCCATGGGTGCTATACGTTTACCCCCACGTTGTTCTAGCAGGCTGTCAACGAGGCTCGGGATACGATGGAATGTGTTGCCCCAGTCATGGTGACCGCAGGCAAATACTGCATAATTGACGTTCTCCATCTCTGTCCCTTTCAAACTCTCAAGCCAGGTTACAAACAATCCCGCATTGTCTGGTGGCTGGCCTTCATACGACGCGGTAATTACAACCACTGGCTCATCTGTAGGCACTTTCTCTTTCGCCGTATCCAACGAGTTAACGACGCTAGCCTGGAAGCCATGACGAGGAGCATCTGTAGCTAGCCTCTGAGCTAGAGCCTCACATGTGCCTGTATTACTGCCGTAGAAGATTGATAGCTTTTTGAGATTGCCCTTGGGCGGAGTTTCAGCACCTCTCGACACGATACTCTCTTGAGGCACCTTTGAAGAGGTCTGTAACGCGCGCTCTAGATCTGTTGCGGTGGCTCCATGTCTCAAGTGTGCATGCATGTAAAACCCCTTCGGTTTGATGGTTAGAGTCTGCTTGTAGGCGAGTGTATATGACGGATCCGCCGCGGTGAAGTTGAAGGTCTGCAGTAGCATGGCTACGCAGAGTAGTGCTTCTTGCCACGCAAATGGCCGTCCAATACAAGCTCTCATGCCATTACCAAATGGCTTCCAGTTGTTCGGAAACTCCTTGTTACGCTTTTCGAATTCCTCGTCCAGCATACGCTCTGGTTTCCATTCATTGGCATCTTCTCCAAAAACAATAGGATCCCGGTGGACGTTCGAGAGAAATGCCAGAATGGAGTCGCCCTTCTTAACATGATATTTCCCACCCAGAGTGGTATCCTCCTTTGCTCCAAAACCAATCATCGGAATATTGCTCGCAACACGAAGAGATTCGCGAAGTATGGCGTTTAGATATGGTAGCTTACTCATGTGCTCGACAGTAATCTTGTCGCGACCAATGACTGTGTCGACTTCTTCTTGGGCTCTCTGGTAGGCTTGTGGGTTCTTAATCAAGAAATGGAAGGTGAATGCTAACATGCCAGAGGTCGTTTCATGGCCTGCGATTAGGAAAGTTATCAAGTTATCCGTGATACTTTCATCACTCAAGGTCTCTCCAGTCTTAGGGTCTTTGCCATTCAACATTGCATTTAACCTAGTCTACCATTAGTGACACTCGATTCTGAAAGGACTATTTTACTCAGTGACAAGGATCATAACTTTCAACTTACAAGTCTTTGTTATCATTGGGCCTCGATCTTCGAGCGGTCACAACGTCACCAGCAGTCTTCTGCAGAACTTTGATATCATCCCAGTACTTCTGATCAGTCTTACGATAGAAAGGAGCCATGAAACCTGGACGTCGACCACGATTCCCTGATTCCAATAAGAAGTCACCCATTGCATCGATGAAAGGATGCATCTCGTCCCGATAATAGGAATTGAAGCGATAGTCCATGGCACAGAGAGCCAGAGTGTCCAAGGCAAGACGTGTAAAATCGTCGACAACATTAATTTTGTATTCTGGACCATGACGAGCCCATTTCATAGCCAGCTGAGCAGAAATATCATGCATTTGGTCGAACATATTCCTGATAGATAGCGGTCCGAACGCGGGCATCAAAACCCTGTGCGCGATACCCCAATTCTTCTCCTCTGGTCCAAAAGCCGTGAAGAGGCCTAGATACTGATGAGTACGTGTACACAGAACACCTGTCTTTAAAATTTACCATCATGGACTCCATTTCTAACTTGTCTCAGAGAGGAGTTCAATTGCTTTGTAAATCTGCTTTCGTCGGAAATCTCGTTCATATATTCCTGACTGCCAATCACGACTACCCGCTTACCAAGGATTGTCACTTGGTAGATAGGTCCATATATTTCAGCCCATCGCAAGAACGTGCCATGCGGAAATTCTGCGTCAATATCTGCAATGTTGCCTGCCCACTTATAAGTATATCATGTCCCATCTATGGTGGGGGCAGGAACTTACCTATTATGGGCAGGGATGAAGGCCCCGGAATGACGGTCTCTTCAGCAGCCATGTCTCTCGAGAATAGGTTCAATGATTGTATAGGGGGCACCTGGAGCATTTGCAAGGACTTTGGACTTATAGTTATATGAAAGAATAGAAAAGCAAAGTAGGAGCGACAGGAAGCAACGGATTCGGGGTCGGCGAAAGCAACAACAGCTCGACCGTCATTGGTGGCGAGGCAACTTTGCATTGCAGGCTCAGCATTGGTACAGTTTCAACCTTGCAAGGGACGTGTCAGAAGATACTAACCCTTTTCGGTAACGGCCAAAGCAAACTTTGAGCCTTCCAACTGGCTCAGGGTTGGACGACAACGAGCCATTTTCAGTATCATTAATTAATTAACATTACTATTATTACGACAGGATCGGGAAAAGGTGGAGGCGCCAATGTTTTCCCAGCTGTGCCAATCCTCCCGGACCGTTGTTTGCATGGCTCGCGGATGAGTGATTGAGACGTCCGGTAAGAAGACAGCGTAAAGAAGCTGAGGCATCGCTGTCATGCATTCTACCCCACATGTAAATGATACTAGGAATCACTTAGTGGGCGATGATTCATTAATGCGATCTCGATTAAATTCCTGGGGCTGAATGATACCATGATGGTCATCCTGGGTCCCGATTGTTCAGTTGAGACTGCGGAGCCATTCACAATAAATGCCCGTCACCCCCCTTGGTGGTCGCGTCAATATCCTAGTGAGGCCGACTACCGAGGGAGAATCGCGGACACGGACTCCGTTCAGTGCCCAGCGTTTTAGAGCATGTCGCTATTATCTTATCACTCAACAGTTGACAGCATGCGCAGTGATCGGCTGGTGTCTCTTCTACATCTGTAATATCATACAAACCAATACGCGAATGCCTCTCACTGATGAGCATTGTGCACTATGTATCATATTTGGTTACTCTTAAAGCTTACGTGCCCAGATCTAAGTTGCCGCGCCACAAAACGACATCAATGCTTACAGTCTCAGTGACATTCATTGCTATCGCCAAGAACATAGAGCGCGTCACCCTCGATACTTGCCGGTTGGTACCGCTATGATGCGGCTTCTTGACGTGTATAGCTTCAAGCTAGAAACGTACTTTGAGCCAGCGATCTTAAAAATGCGATTCTCTCACACACGTGGCGCGACGAAGAAATTCTACTTCTGTATCTAGATGACTCTTCTCGATCGAAGAAAGGGTGGTACAAGCTTTTTAAGTTTTGCAATATCGCTGAGCGCAGAGACTATACGTATGTATGTATCGACACGTGCTGCGTCGACAAGAAAGATCTGATAGCGCGCCGCTTTCAGAAGCCATTGTTTCTATGTTCCGAGCACAAGAAAGCATGTCCATTATGTAGTTTTGGACGATATCATGGCAACATCAGAGCGAAGAGCTGTCGCCCAGCGGGTTCACACGAAGCCGGACTTTGCAAGTGCTCCTGACTCCGTCCAAGGTAGTGTCTTCTTAGTAAAAAAGTGGCAAGAGCTGGTGACCAAATATACCCTTGCCTCACAGGCCTCTGATGTTACAGACATTTGGAAATGTGATTGGGACCTTGAGAGTTGTGATATTAGTCCCAAAGCTACCATGGGCAGCTACACGCAAAGTCTCTCGACTGGAAGATGGACCTATTGACTTCTGGGTCTGCCTAAAGTGTTCATGCCCTTGGTGTATCCTGGATTTAGCCTTCACACACATAATTCTTAGGAAATCCGACCCGAGCCGAAAAATACACCCGATTGACGATCAAAGTATGACAATTCGCCTTGAATCTTAGGAAGGCGATACTATGATTTCGGCAAAGACAATATCAAGAAGGACGTTATGGAAAAATGAATGAAGGGGGTTTATAGTTAAATGCGATGGACTGATTTCACTACGGAACTAGGGATTGTCGTTTTACAATAACCACCAGATCAGGGAATAAACCATGAGATTTTGTTTGAAGAGAGCGGTCCACCGATTTTAGCATATCCCACTTCAAGTTGTCTACCTTGCGAACTATCAGGATACTTAATGTCACATAAACAAAAATGATCCCAAGAGCCGTATCACAAATATAGTTTGTTGACGCTTGCACTCGGCAAAATATGTTCCAGCGCCTCGTCCATGAACTACAGTATCATTTGCACGGACTGACACCCCAGCAATCTACGCACCATCAGCACATTGCTCAGCTTAATGCAACACACAGATCACAGCAAACAGAGACTTACTCTTCACCCAGCTGGCCGGGATATACTCATACGGATCACGACTGATCAACTGGAACCACATGCTGGAAACGGTTAACTTTCACCATCTTCCGCCAAAACCATCGCATACCTGTCATTCTGCACAACATCACCCCAGCGGTAGCAGTAGACAGTTACATTCTCCCCCAGCGCATACGTCTTCTTGACACGGCATTGGTTTGTGTTTGCTGAGGTGCATGAACGGCTCGTGGCGCCGGCAGTGGTCACCGCACAGGTGACCTGTGTCTGAGCGTGGACGAGAAGAGGGAGAAGGAGGGTTGTCAGGGGGATTAGGGAGAATTTCATGGTGATACTAAGGTAGGCTGATGATGGGGGAAAGAAGAGAAGAAGGTAGGCTCGTATAAGCGTGCGGAATGAAGAACGAATGTAAGGAGGACGGTAGGTTTTTATACGTTGTTTGGTGCATCTTGCTCATATTTGATGCGTGCGGGCAGCCTAAGTTTTCTTTTCAAAGAGGTCTCGTCAACGCATTTTCTACATTTGGACCGAGGTACCTCGTTGTGGAGTTTTGTTGTTGTACATGCAGGTATGACAGCTTCGCTTAGTTCGTATTCGGGGAAGTCTAGACCTTCAGTAACGCTGAATTTGGGTCAGCCAGTTTCCGTATCAATCTCTTGGATTGGTCTTCGGTCACAATATTATTCTACGCGTGTCAGATGCTTTGTTCGTATAACTCTACAGGCAGACGTGGCGTCCAACCCTGCTCGTTTGGATGCACAAGTTCATGAAAACGTCCTACCTCAGCTTCGGCCGGATGCTTCAAGCTATCACTTCACGCATTCTCGTACTCGCCTCGAGAGTTCGTTTGAGAACGATGATGTAGTGGTACACTTCTGGTCTGTACACCATCGTCCCATGGTTCTGTTCGCCTACTTGAGCTCGACTCTCCGTGGTCACGACAGGCTGTTTGAGCACTGGCGTCCAGTATCTGATAGGATTCGGCAATGGTTCTGGCATATGAACGGGTTTTCTAAACGGTGATGGCCGAAATGGGATGCGGTCTTCGGAGAATGTAAGCATCATCCATAAGCAACTCGGCTTCGCTATCTGAGCGAGGTGAAGTGATAGTAGATTGACCGGATGTATGAGACTGTCTTCATCGGACTTGCGTAAAGGAGGACTCCCCGAGCGACTTGTGTTTGACTGTGTGCCCTCATTTTCAGACATAGGAGATGGACTCCTTATTTGAAAAGTCTTATAACGAGAGATAATGGACGTTGTTGAATCAAGAGATTTGAATTCGATATCTTCTCCGCATGCTATGGCGTCAGAACAAGACTTCTCTATGATGATATCGAAAGAGTCAGGTTCCAGAACAGAGAGGATGGAAGGGAATGAAAGGAGATCTACCGCCTCCCAATGCATCATGCCGGTCGATAATGGCTCACGAGGAACCGGAGGCAGTGCAGTCATATCTCTTGATGCTATCTCCTCGTCTCTCTCAACATCTTTCAAGATTTGTTGGATCATGCTTATGCGGTTTTTGTCATTCAGTTTGTCCCAAACGCCACTCTTTACAAGATCATTCTCCCATCGTCGGCCAAGCTCGACCGCATTCATGGAGAAATCAACATTCCAAATTTGCTCTGGATTGTCTACCAAGCTCCGTAATTGCATGGAAAGCAACGATGTGCCGCATCCGATATGGAGGATCTTGGGAACAATTCCCCTAGATTTGCACTGAGCTATGGCGCCGGCGACATGGTCGTCCAGAACGTTGGCAGGATGAAGCCAGTCGAATGGATTTGACTCTTTCTGGAAACGCAGATCCCAATACTCACGAGAGTAAAACGGGGCTGGTGCTCCTGAAGGCATTTTTCTTTTGGCTTTGACGCCAGGTTTGGTGTCGCGTGTATAAGGGTACTGGCAAGCTTCTTGGCTAGCCGTTCTGAGATAGCATCGGATACCCTTCGGGCAATGCTCCGTATAATTCTCCACGAGTTTTGTATCTTCATGCCAGACTACCCATTGCGTTTCTGCTCACAGATATCATCGATACTTAATTACGATGTCACTGCCTTCAGCCAGCCGGGTCGCTCAGTTTCAGCGTTCTGCAGGACGACAGCTCCGATTCCAAACCTTCGCATGCCCATGGCTTCAGTCGAGACGGACCAAGACAACGAATGCGAACTACGAACCCATCGTCCTAGAAAAGCCCGACAGGTTTCGACCTCCTTCCCATCCGCAGCGCATTGTCAAACCCAAGCCGAAGATATACGGCCCTGATCTCACGGCGCAGCAGAAGATGGAACATAAAACCAAGCAGTATCCACACCTCATGCCTCCAGAGGACAGCTTTATGCATTGGTTCCTACACAGCAGATGGATACATATGTGGATCACACTAGTATATATTTATTCTCATATTGTGCTCTGGATTAGACACTAACTGCGACAGAGCGTTCTCATGTCTGCAGCTACCTACGTCTTCGTCCAGGACTTCTATCAGACTACGCCATACATGGATCTTCTACCCCCCAAGTCGGAGTTTCTGAGCCATCCATTCTCATTCATGGGACAATATCTCCAGGTATATAAGATGACGGTCATCTACAACAGCGAACAAGTTGCCGAGCTACGGCGCAAGAAGATTGAGGATGCGGAAAAGCAGAAGGAGTACAGACGTGCACATGGCTTACCAAACGAGCCATACATCCTTAGAAAGCTACCTGGGTACAAGGATGAGGTCGAGAGAGAGGCGGCGAAGAAAGAGGCAGCTGTCGTAGCAGAGGCAAACGCGGACGCTTCGCCAACCGCGGCAGCCGACGTGCCCGGGAGATTCAAGAGCTTTGAAGGGAAGATTGAATCGCCCAAGAAGTGGTTTGGAATCTGGTAGAAGGGTATGACCTTTAGAAGAGAGTGAAACGGGGATTCTCGCCATTTGTATAGTATGAAAAACATGCTCTGTGTACATATGATAGCGGGCGCATAAAATTTTCCTAGCAGCGTTCTAGCAGACGACTTCAAAGTAAAATTCTAGAGCCAGCCATAGGCCATGGGACATCGACCCGATGAATAACGAACCCACAAGGCCCAGCTGCCTGTTAAATTCGTCTCAGTTCGCGGAAAAAATAGAATTTGCTTTCTAAACTATTATAGTACCGACATGTCTAACAGTGCTCCGGGACAAAGAAATAAAGTGACTTGGGCCTCATACTTCGTTATATGCCTCGGACAGACACTCTGATTCACAGTGGACAGGAATAAAATGACGCAAGACTATGCGGCCGCCCGGTACTTGCGTACTCCATAGTGCTGCTATTAATTAGCGCTATCCCTACTCTACTGCACTCTGCTGCTCCATTGTGTAGGAGGGCTATGCCAACACATTCGATCGACTGTGACAAATCTACCTGACGGTGAATCAATCACTGTGCTAGTAGAACTTGATTTGTCCCTGGGATTAGCGAATCACAACAAGCCAGCACAGCCTCGTGACTTAGCTGCGAATCAGCAACCTCTTATGCCTGTCTGACAAGCTGGGACACCCTACCGTCTAGGTGTTGCTGCCTCGTCGCCCCCTCATCTTTGTGCAGGTTCACTTCATTCATACTTGATCCAAATCCTTCAATTAGGTTTTTATTATTACTTGCAATTGTAACAAGTACTCACTCAGGCCTACCTTTGACCACACTCTTGAAGTACAGATATCACTATGAGTCGCCTCGCAAAGATCGACACTGATTGCGAGCGTCTACCGTCGGGCATGCGCCGAGTTGCTTACGACGCTGATACCCAACGTTACACATACAAGGACCCAACAGATGACTCTCTATGGGAAGGTGCAGAGGGCGCCCGATATGGCCTTCTCCGACGAAAGACAATATCTCCACAGAGGCTTTTCAGTGATGTAAGTCATTCTACTTAAGTGCCATGGATACCGATGCGGTCTGTGGTCGTGTTACTCTTCGAAGTATTACCATCATCTTGGTGAAAAGCACTGTTAACTTATCATCACAGCACTACGATAATGACCTTCTGCCTCCATACCAACAGCACCCAGCTGGCAATTGCACACGAACCAACCCAAGCGCTCACTGTTCTTGCTATTTCTGCAAGGCCTCCGTAGCTGTCAAGCCGCCGATGCGCGAACGCTCTAGTTCTTTAGTCCAAGGAGTCCAGTCTGTAGCTCAAACTATCAAGAGATCAGTATCTGTTAGGGCGTCGAAACCTTCTGCTCCTAAATAAGTACTTAGGAGGAAATTAAGATGAATAATGCTACGCTACTAGGGGTGTGGGGTAGTTTGTAGAATTAATCTGCTTCAGGGATCATGCGACGACAAACAATACGTGTCTTAAATTCCGTGCCTGCATGCACGAAATTTCAAATAACTCATTATTCACTCAACTCTCTAAGGATGCGCTACTCAAAGTTATAATGTCACTGATGTTCTGACATCAGCGCTGTTTCAGAGGCTTCCTACTGCGGCCCGAATTCAACGTCACGATTCCATGTCTAGTACTAAGATAATTCTAATATGACTCTACTGTGCGGGGTGCATAACTATCGTTATACTCTCCCCTCTACGCCCTTTTCCATTTTAATCTAGTATGGAATCTTTGAAATGGTCTCCTTTTTATCATTCGCTGTCCTTGCGTATACATTCTTTATCCCATGTCTTGCCGATGGACTACCATACTATGTGCATCCCACATGTGTTCATAATGACTCAGGTGTACAAGAGGCTATTGAAGAAGCAGTCTTAATGGCGCAACGGAGTGTCGCCCGTCTGGATACCAAGGACCCTGATATCCGAAAGGTCTTCTGGTATACATTTGGTGCTGATATTTCTCGTCGAACGAGTAACATTCCTATGAGGAAGGTGCGCAAGATTATGAAAGGCATTGGTGACATGAAAGGTGTCGAGACAATGCAAGATAGCGTCGTACGTATTATTTGCGACCACGACAAACGCTGGAAACCGCCACCCGAAGACATGAAACTGCAAAAAGACAAGTTAGGCAACGACCTACCAGATTGGTCACAAGATTCTCTAAAACCAAGCGACGAGAGAGCTCTAATTGATGCGGAGCAACTGAAAGATGGCACCCTCGACACTGAGCCGTGGCGTTTGAATTTTGGGCATAAGCGAGTATGCCATGAAAGGGGATCAATCGCTATGTACACCCTTACCTATCATGGTAGTATCCCTAAATTCGGGAAAGGAAGAGCCGATGTGACAATCTGTAGTCCATTCGATCGTGCTCCAGTGACGACACTTAGAAAACTTATGACCATACCTGACTTCGACATTGTAAGGGACACAACTCTGGTTGGGTCTAGGGATTCACCTCCGACAGCCATGGCTCCAACAGCGTTGATGAGTTTCATGCTCCTGCATGAACTCACACATCTTGTGGACTTCGACCGTAAGTTCCTTCATCTCAAATGATCTACCAACGAGCAGTTGACTAATAATTATTCCTAGGTGAGGATGTACCCGAACCGGATCCATATGGATGGCAACACATTATACATATGAGTTTGGAATCGAGATTGCTTAATGCAGATAATTATGGTAAACTCTTGTGTCTAATTATATACACGTGCTAATAATGACTTAGCGTTTCTTGGCTTACTTGCTCTCCTAGGAGACTATAGAGTTAAGCTGGATGGGGACCAACGTCGGGCCAAGGGCGGATACTTGGTCAACACGGATTATGACTTCGGGTTTCGCCCATGACTGCCAGAGGATATGGAGAAAATAGACTCCTCTAGAGCTTTGTCCAAAGAACCGCATAGCTATCAACTAGAGCCAAATGATGAGCTCACAAAAAACTGTACTGGATATTGGCACCGAATAGGAAGTACCAATATTAAAGCAGGCTGTTCAACCTAGCAAGCGTGTTGCTCCTAAGGAATGGCTAGGGGTATGGAAATATGCTTCAAAGTAGGATGTCTTTATCTCTTATGTGGTGCAAGCTACAATCACAAAGGCACCCTAAAGAGTGAAACCCTCTAATACTACTCGTGTAGCATCGTTCCATGATTCTAGCTACTTGAAACAGTTGATATATGACAAGAGTACACTTCTGAAGACCAAGCCGACGTGCCCGCTAGGTCTCCAGCAAAGTCGAGTACTAACCGAATTTGGCGTAGAGCCTGTAACGAGTGAACTGCCTATGTGGGTTAGCGGGGTAACAGCTCAATGCACGATGGCGTACCAGCACTCAAACCAGGCATCCAAACATATAAACCTCCTCGATCCAGCCCTCCACTGTCCTTCCGATTCCCCGACATACAGTTCCAGAATTCCCTCAACTTGAAACAAGCCAATCTCTCATAGATACCGCAACGATATTCGCGCAGTGACGTCATACCGACAATCCCACAATGGCCGACAGAGCAGAAGAGTGGAAGACTAAGTTGATCGGCAAGAAGCTTGGCGACAATCATGACGACTCGGTACGATGCAAACAGTCCACTGGGTCGTACGCATGAGTAACGATATGCTGATTCAATCCAGACGTTCAGCAAGACAGACCTGCCTGAAGGCCACAGGGTGTTGGAGGAGAACGAACCCACGACAAAGGAGTTTTTTGTCGACAGGTGTGTGTACTCGCTGAGGCTTCGAGGTCGCTGCTAACGAGAAGGTAGATTGAACGTGGTGAAGGACAAGGAGGGTGTGGTTTCGAGGGTGTATTATGGGTAGAACGGGGACGTCCTGCGATCGATTCCCGGTGCAGATTCTCACGTAGCTGGGGCGACGTCTTCTCGTCAAGTGCCGTCAGGAAGTAGGTGTCTGTGACAAGGATGTATCGTATCGGATATGGGCTCTTGGAATACCGATTCTTGTTCGCCACGTGTATGTTGTCTCCAAAGTGCTATGTACTGAGAAGTAAGAATTAAAGTACGCCTGCGATGCTCCAGCTATAATTTTTGATGGCCACTTTACTAGGTCTGCACCGACAGCTCGCTTCAAAACACCATCCAAAAAGTACTATAACAGTTTTCCCCTTGCTCGTTGAGTTGTTCACGATTGTGTCTACCTCGAGACGATCGCACAGCTCCTCACCATTCGCAGGCAACCTACCGTCATATCATCTATAAAGTAGAACCTTTTCGAGCACCTATGAACTCGGATATTGGGTTCGTGTTTGTGTGTTTGGATTGAGGATTTGCGGTAGCGATATTCGGAGCGATGAAGTCCCTTGGAACGCTGATCATGATCTGATGCTTGGTCAATCCGTTCTGCAGGGAAATTCTGTGTGTCGTCAAGGGACCCTCCCCTAGCTCTTCCTTATCAGGTTGCTCGTTTCTCGAAGGCTCTTACTCGCTGTGTTTAAACATAACCTTCATGAGCTATGTGTCAAAAGTAACATTGACATGGAAACTGTGCGCTGCGACTGGGAGCGAGAACTCATGCATGCCCAACGCATCTTGTATACAGAGAAATGAATCCGGGTTATGATTGCTGTAAGTAGTATCAGTGTGACGACTAATGACCGATTCATTCGTTCAAACTGGGACTCCTAGCTGTGTTGGGTTCCATCTATAATCAAATATCAGCCAGCCTACTAGGTAGTCTCCTTGGTCATTCGAGGGCATTCCTAACTGGAGATCTCCTCCGGAAGGTGACTCCTTCTCGTCATCCCTAGAAGTCATATTCGCGTGGAGTACTTTGGTTCTAGTTGATGAGAGCACTTCTGAGCGTTAGTATGAGCGACTGACCCGAGACAGGCCATTCTACAACGAATGGAAACATAATTTGACAGTGATATCAAATCAGGAATAACACCCTGTATTCCACCAAGAAATGGGGCATGAGAATGTGCCTAGAACGTTGTACCGGTCGATCAGGACCTTGGCGTTGTTATTCGAAGCGCGTGCCTGAAATCACTTCCCACGTGAATCAACTTTGTTGTTGGCACGCGTCGCGTACCGTCCTGACGTATTTGATTTTCTTGCGCACATACGAAATTTGTAGCTGGTGCGTCGCATATAAATATACCCAGCATCTACAGCTCTTTTCAACAACAATCCCTCCAGAACGATACCCAAACAACTCTTCGCTATAGCTGACCAACAACTTTCTTCTTTACAATGGTATAGCCCCGACTCACTTGATTTATATCCACATCACTGACAGTGGTAGTCTCCAACGTCAGCTAAACTTGGCCCTGCAGGTTCGCCAATCAAAGATCTGATCCCATATATGCCAACAGAAGAATACTTCCAGGAGCTCTTCGACGGCGCGCGATGGATGCGAAATAGCAACGAGAGGACCGAACATAATGATAATTGCCCGACCGACAAGGTTGATGACAGCTCTTGGCTCTTGAAGAGCTTCGACAAGAACGAGACTCCGCCAACGGGAGCGGACAATTCAGATCATCCAGTGTCATCCGAATCGCAAAACAACGTCCGCGACGGACGAAGAGCTTTGGTGGGTATGATGGACGAGGCTCAAGTGCTCTTACGACAATTCTATAACTCAGAAACACGTGTGCCCGAGAAAAAGGAACTTCCCACCTTGAAAGACGACACTTCAACCGAGGACGGTATGAAGGCTTGGGTGAAGCTGCTCGAAGATCAACAGGCGGAGTTGGAAGAGAATTTGATGAGTCTTGAGGGGCATAAGAGAGTTGACGGATTCATCGAGCAGCGTGCCAAGTCCAGCAGCTTCACAGGACTTCCACCCCATCCGCAGCAAGATCCAAGGGAGCGTTCTCGACAGCTCGCACGCAGAATGCGATGCTTCATTGACCGGACGCGAGGGGCACTTAAAGTGCTCCGATCCAGAATCCGATCGATGCGGAAGGTTCGCAAGGAACCTCCAACGGGACCCCGGAGCTGGGATGACCCTCGAGACCACGAGGAAGAATGTCTCGACGACAAAATGGACCGGATGAACGACTGGTCCTCCAGGTTTGAACACGGTCGCCTTGTTCGCGGCCGAGGACCGCCCTACGGCAAGCGTGGGTACGGACGCTTGTGAACACACCATGTCAGCAAGCATTCAGCAAGAGTGCATACATGCGGAGACAAGAATTGGACTGTATTGGAAAGCTACACAACTCTTTGTGGATATCTTACAGCGAATCAAAGGATCAGAGAAGGTTGATGGGCCATTGAGGACACATTGAGAGAGCCATGTCTCGATGCCTTGTGGAAAGCAGGAAATTGGACGGAGAGTTTGAAGAAGAAGACCTAGTAGTCTGATAGCTTACGCGGATACTCGAATATCCCAATTCCACTATATGACGTGCCCCAAATCTACTGCCAGACTCGTGCAAGTGACCAGGTTTGCTTTGACTCAGCCATCGCCGTAAAACTAGTGGCACTTTATGAGCGTCCAGAGTTGCGTCGTCGTCATCCACGTATTGTGACCAAATAGTCGTAAGGCCATTCTTCTCAGCACAGACGTGATGCACCTGCTGGGCATTGGCCGCAGACGTTGTCTACTGATGGCGTTACAGCCCATGCAACGAGGATATCTATCGTATAGTAGAGTCCTATCCGTTGTCTCATCAGAAGCTCAAAACATCCCTCTCACTCGACCCTCCTCCTACTCGCTCTCTCCCCCTCGTTCTGTTCCGCCGCCACGCCCCTCACGGCATCCGTCACCAGCTCCCTCAACTGCCTCTGCCCCTCCTCACCCTGAAAGTCCTCTCTCGCAGCCAACTCCTCAATGCGCCTCCTGAACTCCGGATCCGGCGCCTCCAACCCATCCGCATCCGCAGACACATGGCCAATGTCAATCTTGACATTCTCAGGCAGCGCCGGCGGGACACGCACACCATTCGCCCGCGCATCTACATTATCCGACCCAGACGCATCCGACGCCGCACCGTTCTGGATCGCGCCTTGTTGCGTGCCGGCAGCAGGTTGCGAGACGCCGGTGCGCTCGCGCAGGTACGACGCCACGAGAATCCACTCCTCGGACTCGGCACGCTCGAGCACGGTTTCGCCCTCGCTGTTGCGCGCGTGTGCGTCGGCGCCGAGCTCTTCGATCAGACAGCGCGCGACAGGCACGGTTTCGGCGTAGAAGAGCGGTGTGTCGCCGTCGGAGTCGCGCGTGTTAGGTGAGGCGTTGTACGTGGTGACGAGAGCGCGGAGCAGGTCGATGTGTGCGTAGGATGCGGCGGCGTGGAGGAGGGTGTAGCCGTTGGCGTCGGCGGCGGTGGCGAGGGTAGGGTGTTGGGTGAGGGTGGTGAGGATTTGGGAGGGCCGGTCGGGGAGGATATTCAGGAGGAGGTCAATGGAGGGAGTCGCCATGGTGTTAAAGTTCTGGTTGTGTAGTGGTAGAGAAGTTTTTTGGACATGGAGGGAGGGAGTTGTGGTGATGCGGGCACGCTAGCACATGGATATCCTGGGGTTGTGGTATAGCTATTATTAGGGAAGACGGGCGCCCTTCTCGAGGTGAAGGTATTACTCCTCCATGATAATGTTGCATAACATGACGAAACTCATGCTCTCCCTCATTTTGACAAGATTCCAACTGCTCAACATGAACACCTTAGCAGCAACACAGCAGTTCCAGCCGGAAGCGCGCGTTTGGCGGCCAAGCAGCTGAGCCTCGCGCCTTTTGCTTGGCTGACGTGACCCCAAACACTCGATTTGTCGCGTGCTCGCACTCGCTGCAGTGTTGTGAAGTCGTCACACAGTCATCAAGACATGCATGGATGCAGCATTCCTCTCTCCACCTGTAGCCTTTCCCGTGTTCTTGGATGAACGAGGTCACAAGCAGAAGAAGATACGGCGATGGAGCGGCTGTGCGATCTCCCAGTGGATTGAAGCTTCAGGCTCTCCATCTTAGTGCCTCTTGGCTGGCGCGAATGTTTCTTTAAACATGTCCCCTTCCTCGAATCGTCGGTCTGCTCATCTCTCCTATATCCATCATCTCACCAGCTCACGATGCCGACTCTACGCGCATTTCAGCTGCCGTCCAAACGTCTCATCCTTTCTTATGTGCTCGACTGGATCGTTATCATGTGAGTTGCTGTCGCTGCCACAAGGCTGATCTCAGGATCCACTACACAGCGTGCTAACGTCAATCACAGAGCTATTGCTGGTGTCGGTGGTGGCTTCAATAGAATCGGGCCGTATAGAAGGCCATTCTCCCTGGTCGACCTCAATATCTCATATCCTTACACGGAGAACGATCAGGTCTCCTGGTGGGTCGTCCTGATAGTCGCACTGATCGGACCCGGTGTCATCATCTTCCTGACCTGCCTCTTCTTCGTACCCGGACCGCGCGCCATCAGAACGCACCCGTGGTCACTGGTATGGCGACGCAAGTTCTGGGAGTGGAATACGGGCTGGATGGGCCTTGGCTTGAGTCTTGCGACCGCGTTCATGATCACAGAAGGTCTGAAGAATCTTTTCGGAAAGCCCAGACCTGATCTGCTGGCGCGATGCCAGCCCGATGTTGACAACATCGAGCAATATGTTGTTGGAGGTTATGGTCAGGACATCTCGCCAAAGTGGGTACGGGTTAGCGCAGCCATTTGCATGGGTCCGAATACCGATGAGATTACGGATGGCTTCCGAAGCTTTCCAAGCGGCCATTCATCTTGTGAGTCCATCCCGACGTATCCCTGACTATGTCGATCAATCACTATAGACGTAATGTATTTGAAACTGACTATCCACAGTTGCATGGGCTGGACTATTATACCTTACGCTCTTTGTCTGCTCAAAGTTTGCCATCTCTATTCCTTTCCTACCGCCCAGAGCATACTCTACCGACTCAAAAGCTGTGGCTCTCGAAGCAAAGCGGCACGACCGTCTGCCATTACACGAAGATGACGAGACGTCTATCATCCCGATCCGCAACCAAGCAGCTGCGCCCCCCAATTATCTGCTTGTCTTGGCTCTAGTTCCGGTCGGGACTGCGGCGTATATCGCTTCGACGAGGTACTCTGATTACCGCCATCACGGGATCGATATCTTCGCTGGCTCACTCATTGGTATTGCCACTGCATGGTTCTCGTTCCGCTGGTACCATCTGCCCATTCAGCAAGGCGCAGGCTGGGCCTGGGGAGCGCGGAGTCGTGATCGGGCCTTTGGCATCGGCGTTGGTACAGGCAACTATGTGGGAACAGAGGGATGGGGTCCTGCAAAGTCGAGCCAGCTTCGTGACGAAGAATCAGGGCGCAATGGAATCTTGGGACCTGGTCTGGATGGGCAGCAGGCTGTCTCGAATGAAGCACCCAGTGCCGATAGCCTTGCGCGCAAGGCCAGCACTGATAGATGAGGCATGTGGTAGACTAATCTTTCCTTTCGTTTTTCATCATTGCACACCCCGTTTCTTAGCGTAATTGATAATGCAATAATGGTAGCAGTTTCGCACTCGCTCTATCGCAGCATTTTGATCTATATTTCAAGCTCCATTACACTGCCTGCCTATCTACCCGCCTACAACTCCATCCACATCCTCCTCCCCATTCTCCATGCTTCTCCTTTGACAGAGTCCACCTCTACAGCCCCCATCTCACCAGTCCACCTTTCCCCCAAATCCAAAGTCTCACAAAAGCGCCGCAGCACCAGCAACCAAAGCCGCAGCCGCCAAACCACCCATGGCAGTCGGCACAGCAGCCGCACCCGTCGCCCCAGTAGTCGCCGCCGAAGAAGACGAAGACGACGACGACGAAGAAGAGGTAGTCGGCTCCGATCCCGCACCCGTCGTCGGCGCAGCCGTAGTCGCCACCGAGCTGTGCGGCGCCGAGCTGTGTGGCCCAGTGCTCGCTGCTGGCGGCGGCGCGGACGAGTGCGCGGCCGAGCTGGGTGCCGGGGCAGAGGACGGCTTGTCGTCCGCGATGGGGTGGCCGGCGTCGGCGCAGGCGCCGCGCACGGCGGACAGGGTGCGCTGTTCGTCTTCGTCGCTGCAGGCGGCCTGCACGCAGGGAAGGAATTTGGGGATCAGGTCGGGCTTGTCGCAGTGGCAGCCGAAGTTTGAGAGGCCGACGCAGCCGTCCATGGCGACGGTGGTGGCGAGGCAGCCGCTCTGTTGGTCGGATGGTGTTAGATTGGTGGTGGGATAAGGGGGGGGAAAGGGGGAGGGGGTGAGGGTGAGGACGTACAGCGCATGATGGGATGTCCGGGAAGCTCTGCGAGGAGCCGAGGGATGCCAGGGCGGCGAGGGCGAGGATTGAGGTCTTCATTGTGAAGGTATTGGGTTTTTGGAGGGTGTGAGTGGGTGTGAGTGGGTGGTGGTGTTGGTTGGATGGATGAATGGATGGATGGATGGATGGATGGATGGATGGATGGATGGATGGATGGATGGATGGATAGATGCTGTCGAAGGCGGTCGAGATGAGAGATGATGGATGGCGAATGAATGACAAAACAGCACAGCAGACATCAACTCTTTATATATGTATAATATCCATCGATCTACACAAGCATACGCATGTCTAATTAGTATCCATGGCATCTACTAGACAAAGCCCTCGAATGACACGACCGCCTTTGCCTTCGCAAGCGCATCTATTTCGGGTGCATTTACTCGTGAATGCTGCACACCCACTGGCAAGCAGGTAGCAAGCAAGTACCCGAGCTTCGCTCGTGGAGAAACACGAGCGCGCGACTCTGTTCTTGGCAGGACATATACGAACGACGACAAGATGTGGTCTGAGGCTAATTTCGTTTTTGATGGTTCTAATTAGTATGGGGATGGGGGGATCCGAGCGCGAGGCGAAGACATGGATGACAGTCTTGGGTATGAGGTTTGGATGCGTAATAGACTGTGTATGCAGACAAGGTGTGTATGTCTATGTGTGATTATGCTACTTGGTGTAATTATGCGATGATTGGAATGAGAAATGCTTGATTACATACTAATTATCTCTGTGTGTAGGAATCTGATCTAGTAAGGCTGCATATGTACGGAATCAGGGTCTCTCAACATCACAAACCACGCATGCGATCATTAGGTTACGTATGTGATAATAATAGAGCATCCCATCCATCCATTACACGAACCGTCCTCTATTCACCGCACACCACCGATATAGCTCTTGAAACACATAGCGCAGTCGATGACACGTAGAACAGCAGCGACCCTTCCATTGTATATGACGCGGTCAAACAACTCTTCTGCGGATACGATACGATGGCGATCCGACACCATGAATGGATGGACGATGCAAAACACCAAAGACAGACACTGATGACGTGACCTGCCGACTGAATACCTGCTTCCACTCTCTCCTCCCTCTCAATCCGCTTCTCTCTCTCTACACTCGTCCCTCGTAGGATTTTGCTTGGCTGTCGCACCTACAAGTCTACTACGACCAGCGGGAAACGAGCTATGATCGTACTCGTGTTCGGCCAACCACGGCTGCACTGCAGAATACTACTACCTCTGCAAACGCACCGCCTCGCAAGAGAACGCGTGCGTACGTATTAAGGCATGCACGTACGCGTACACATCTTGAGAACCTAGATAACCAGCAGTAACCCACCCACCATCGTATTACCCCGGACCCGGAATGCCCCAAAACAACAGCAACAAGAACAACAACAACAACGACAACGCAGCCTCCTAGGACAGCGAGAAAGGGGACGTTTCGGAATGCCGGACTCCACAGCCGTCAATACGACGCGGCATTCCGATTCGTGTGGGCTCGGGCAAGCCTTGCTTGCGGTGCGGTGCGGGTGGAGCATGGAAATGTCACTGCTGGTGGCCGGCCAGTGACATTTCTTGGTCGCGGCCCGGATGGATGGGATGCGCAGCCGGACCTCCTGGATGGTGGAGGGGGGGCTGTGCTGTGGCTTTTAATATATAGAGCTGGTGTCTGCATTAGGCTAAGCGGCCAAAGCACCAGCCTGCCTGCGTGTGTGCACGCGTCGACGTTGACGTCGATGTCGTCGTGAGTCGTCCGTCCATCGCGCACCTATTACCCATATAATTACCTCCCTTTCTTCTACTCCCATCATCTTTCATACAACATGGCGCTACGCATCGGACAAGTCCTCCGAGGCGCCGCAGGTAAGTACGAGCTCGTAGAGGCGCTGAAGGGGTGCAGCGTCTTCAAGGCACGCGTGCTATCATCCAGAACCCCTTCATCTGGAGGAGAATGGTAAATAATGTTGCTCTCGTCTTCTTCCTGCCTTCTTCCTTCCTTCTTCTCTGTCTCCTTCTCCTCCGAAAGCCACTCCTTCAAGCCATAGGCAGACAAAAGGCCAACCAAAGCATGCGCTTATCATAACGCTTTTTCGAGGGCCATGATCAAAACCGCCACGTCCGATGACGAGAAAATGGTTCTGAGGCGCGAATACCGCAATTACGGGATCCGCGATATCGCGTCGTGTGCGTATATCCGACGGCTGCGTGATGTCGTTGCCGTGCCGGCGGCGGTGGATGGGGAGGAAGAGGAAGAAGGGGGAGGAAAAGGAGGAGAGGGGGAAGAGATGATGAATACACACGACCCAGACGGTCTGGTGTTTGAGTGGATGGATACAGACCTGCGGTGCGTCCCAGCCAGTCGGTTCCGAGGCGATGCGAGGCTGCCAAAGGGGGTGTCGCGAGCGGTCCTGTCGGCGCTGGACGTGTTTCGGACGTTGGGACTTGTCCATACGGGTAATGATTTTGTTCGAGGATTGATTTATGCCGTGCCAATGCTAAAGGATGTAAGATGTGAGTGTCAACAACGTGTTTGTGTCCGACCTCGATGGCGCGTCGCCGGTTGCCAAGCTGGGTGATTTGGGGAATTGTACGTGTTTTTTTTCTGTGTTATAATCCTCGTCCTCGTCCTCCTATCCACCAGCACTCACGTCCACAGTGATAGTCCAAGGCTCCACAACCCAACGAGGCCAAAGCCTGCCCTGCCGCGCACCAGAAGTCTGGCAAGGCCTAGGCTGTCGACATTCCTCAGATATATGGTCCCTTGGAGTCACGGTTCGTGCCCCCGCTACACTCCAGGCCACCGTTCCGTCCGGTCGGGCGCTAACCTAGAAGCAAGTTGGCACGTCGTCTATCACCGCACGCGCACTTCGGAGCCAGCGACAAGATCATCGAGGGCCACACCGAGGCATGGTGCATCGCGAAGATAATCCGTCGCTGTGGCCCGATACCCGACCCACCTGCCGACCAACACAACTACTACCAGCCCTACAGGGAGGAGTTTGCGCTGGCAGAGCAGCTTGCAGTCATGGATAATCCGCATGATGGCACGAGGCTGATCAAGGGAGGCACGCTGCGTGAGGAGTTGCTGCGGCTTGCGGAGCCCCCGGTGTCGGAGGAGCTGGTGGATTTTATTGAGGCGCTGCTGGTTGTGGATCATGGGGGGAGACCTGTTGCGTCGGAGGCGCTTCGGCATGCTTATCTGCGGTCTTCTACGTGAGGAAGATCCTGGCTCGTTCTAGGGGGTGTTGACACGGCGAGAGGAGCGGTGTAAGAGTGCACTCATCTTCCATTGCCAAACGAAGTGTCCAAGTTGGGGCAGAAATCTCTCCTCTTCTGTACTGTAATATGAAGTCTCCAATGTATACTACATAAATACCGCGGTTACAGTGTACTATCCGTCAAGTGACAGCCGTCCCAACCGCATATCAGCCAGGGCAGACAGACAGACAGCCAGACAAGGAACAAACGCGTAAAAGAGGGCGAGAGTAGGGCACCGAACCAAACAAAGAAAAAGGCCCTGTAGTTGCGTACCTCTCCTATCTAAACTACCCCTTGTATATGGGAAAGTTAGTTAAGTAAGGTTTATTAGTAGCGAGTAAGACGAGGAACCTTTGTACTTGCGTAGCTCTAATCTTAAGACTGCCCTTTATTTGTAGAAAAGGTAGACAAGTCATATTATATTACTTTTATAGCAGGCAAGAAGGGATATAAGCTTACCTACCTCCTACCTGTGTTGAACTTGCTCTTTGATTGTAAGGTGACAAAATATCCTATTGCAACGTCCACTCCCTCCTTAGGAATCGTATACTAATGATAACGGAGCTATAGTCATTCAAAAACCGTCACTTCTGCAAGGCATGAAACTATCTTAGCATAAAGTAAAGTCACTCTTCACACCCTCGACTATATCCCTTTCCACAATACATACATACATACATACATACATACATACATACATACATACATACCCGTGAAAACACTGGTTATGGCTTGTGCCGAAATGCTCGATTATCTGGAGATACCGAGTCAGTAATTAGTTGTTATGAATTTTGACTAATACATATGAATTTTCTGCGTCCCGATTGGTCAGCTATGTTTCATTTTTTTCTTTCTGAAAGGTACTCATGGTTCTTTTAGAGCAACTAGGGGCTTAAGTAGGAGAGTAAGTAGAAGAGTAAGTAGAAGAGTAAGTAGAAGAGTAAGTAGAAGAGTAATAGGAGAGTAAGTAGGAGAGTAAGTAAGATAACAACCAACCAACCAACCAATTAATTCTCTTATCCCCCTCTTCTCCCTCCTTTCCAAAAGCTCCATACATCTAGCTATATAAACACAACACCTCACTTCAAAACGTTATATCTGCGACATTAACAACGGGCACGACAACTAATGATAGCACTATAGCATTCTACTAATAGCTTATCTATACACGAGATACATAGTCTATATGCTACCAAAGTACTAGATATCGAACTTACCTACTTAACATAGTAATATTCATTCTATATTATAATCTACTATATAAGATTATTGGAGCTTGGAACTATGTAGCTCTCTCTCTCTCTCTCTCTCTCTCTCTCTCTCTCTCTCTCTCTCTTTCTCTCTTTCTCTCTTTACATAGTATATATACATGGATAAGCTTTACTACCTAAGAACGACCAAGAACGATCAAGAACAACCAAGAACAAGCACTACCTCTCCTACCTCCTATCCCATTCTTACTCCCTTGAAAGATGAACAGAGTGTAGTATTTAAGACTAGTATACTAGTAAGTTTAATCCGTTGTTACGTACTTACTTTGATTGACTATGTTATATGTTATATGGAGTTTGGATGGATAGATGGATAGGGTTAGGTCATGTCAAGGACTGATTGATTGATTGATTATCGGTGTTTGAAAACAGTGGTGTATTGTCTAATAGGTTAAGAGCGGGGAGATGTGTTTGTTGTTAGAGGAGGGGGGGGGGGGGGGGGGGGTTGTCGACGACACTACTATTTCGGTGATTGATTTAATTATCTCTTCTTCTCCTCTACTATCCTCGTCTTTCCTCTCCTCTTCTCTCCTCTATTTCTAGTCTCGTTGTTGGACTGCTAGGATGGGATTGGGGTATATATATATATATACTGATTACTGGACTGGTTAGTGGACTGGCTGAGAGTCGAGGTGTTTGACTTGGTTGGTTGATATACAGGCGAAGGAATGGGGAGAGGGACGGATTGTGTTATGTGATATGGATGCTGGAGATGTCGATGGTAGAAGACTTATATTCCGTGCATGACGCGGAGATCGGTGTAAGTTCGAAAGCAGATATGAATTCTATAATACTACAATCTACGCAGTATCTCATCCATCCCATCCCATCCCATCCAAACCCCAAGGCAAAAAACCACCCAATCATTGGCAATCTCCATCCCAATCCTAAGCCACAACCCTAACCAGCCCCTCCCCCTCCAAATACGCCACAATCCTCCGCACACTCTCCTCGACACTCTCCTCGGCACTCCGAATATGTATCTCCGCACTCTCCGGCTCCTCATACGGCGCACTCACGCCCGTAAACTCCATGATCACGCCCTCGCGCGCCTTCTTATACAAGCCCTTCGGATCGCGCTTCTCCGCCTCCTCAACACTGATATCAACCCACACCTCCACAAACCTCAGCGGCTGCCCCTTCTCCTCCTCTTTCCCATCACCACTCGTCACAGCCTCATGCAGCGCCCTCGCCGCCTCCCGATCCCGGCGATACGGACTAATAAAGCTCGTAATGGCCACGGTGCAGGAATCCGCAAACAAGCGCGCGACCTCGGCAATCCGGCGGATGTTCTCGTTGCGGTCGGCCTCGGAGAAGCCAAGGTCGCGGTTGAGGCCGAAGCGGATGTTGTCGCCGTCGAGGCGGTAGGCGGCCATGTGGTAGTGGCGCAGCAGGTGTTGCTCGAGGGCGGTGGCGATGGTGGATTTCCCGGAGGCGGACAGGCCGGTGAACCAGATTGTGAAGCCGGGCTGGTTGCGTAGGGTTGAGCGTTCGGAGTGGGAGAGGGAGGGGTGCCATGTTATGTTGCTGTGAATTGGGGGGTTAAGATTGATTTTTCGAGGGGTTGTTTTTGGGTGGTGAGACTTACGTTGCCATCTTGGTGTACGTGAGGCGTCGGTCTCGCGGTTTGATGGAGGAGTATTGGATGAGTTCGAGATTAATTGGTGGTCTAGTAGCAAGAAGTCGTTGGAGAGATTCAAGTTGGACGTTGAAACACAATATTCGTTGAAGAGGAAACTCTGCTAGCTCTCCCACCACGAGGAGGAGGAGGAGGGGGACCTATGACGTGATCGGCCGCGGCGCGGGTAGAGCCGCGGAGGGGCAGTCACGCTATCCAGTTTAGGGAGTTTATTTATACATACCCACATCGCGCGCGCACATGGGATGCTCGTGTCACGGAGCACACGTGACCATGTTGATATCCCATGGATCGTGGATCCGTGACGGGTCTCTTCTGTAGTCGCTGTTAACATCAAAGTCCTTGGTCAGGTGGTGCCCGACTTTGAGTCTGGACTGCTGCGCACCCAATTATGCTGTGTGCATCGTTAGTCGTATCGTATCGTTTCCCAGACATCCGTACGCGCGTCATGGCATATCAGTCAGCGACACGGCGGAGTATTATTAACGCTGGACTCGGGATTCCGTGTTTGCCCTCAGCATACCCACTCACACCTGTACACACACACGCACACACACACACACACACACACACACAGACAGATACGGCCCCCAAGCAGCGAAGACGCGAAGAAGAACAGTGCAGCTGCATAGAAGACGGGATTGCAGCATGGAACAGTTTAGGATGCATGGGTTGCCTGGATGGCGGATGCAGCCACAGCTGTAGTTAGCCAAGTTGGAGGGTACAGTGCGTACTATTAGCACACATGGTTTGCTCGCGTAACAGCCGGGGTATAGCCATACACGTATAGATGGTGGTATAAGTGGGTGGGTGGGTATAGGTGCACGTCGTATGTGTGTGTTTGGAGGTTGTTGGAGGGGTGTGCACACCGGCAGAATAATTAGACGACAGCAATTCGGAATTCCCATAGATCATCAGGCCCGGAGCGGCTCGTTCGATCGCGCACACCACAGACCGGTCAGGAATGGATCGCACGATGGGTTTGTTGGTTTGGAGGAGGCAGAGAGCGGCTTTGCGGGTGTGGTGGTGGTAATGGTGGTGGTGGTGGGGATAATTATGCCAGGTGCAGGGTTTGCAGATATGCAGACAGGTAGGTAGCATTGGTTGGCATAGGCAAGCAAGCAGGCAGCAAACCGGGCCAAGAATAGCATCTTGCGCAGCAGTAGTAGTAGCACAGCGCGTCGAAGCTCGTAACGAATGCCTCTATCGGTGTGGTGACTGTCACTTAGTAGTAGTAGTAGTAGTAGTAGTAGTAGTAGTAGTAGTAGTAGTAGTAGTAGTATTGCTGCAACAGTAATTAGTAGCAGAGCGATAGACGATGAAATGTGGGGATGGAGAAGAGGCAAGTAGGCAGGAAGGAGTCAGTCGGGCAGACTGTTCAGCCGCAGATTTCACATTTAGAGTTTGGGGGGGGGGAAGGGAGAACTAAGCAGGCAGGGTAAGTCAGTAAAGTATAGCGAGCTGTTGCGCTTGCGGACCAGCGGGCGGAGGAAGTTTGACGCGCACGAAAAGTAGAGGATGGAATGGATGGATACGCGGACAAACTCTGGTGGATGGATGGAGGGATGGAGGGGTAATTAGTAGTAGTCGGCCGAGCCGGTCAAGCGTATTTTGACCTTTGCTTACGGCCACGCACGCGCAAATCACCTTTTTTATGCTGCTTGGCCTGGCTAACTAATTACCTGCCTGCCTGCCTGCCTGCCTGCCAGCCAGCTGCCCAGCTAAACTGCCCCCGTTTTACAAAACCCGGGGAGAGATGGAGGGGCAGACTGGGCGCCAGAAAGGGGGGGGAAAGGGCAAGCGACAGGGCAGCCCCGACAGCTGAGAACCGGGGGGAGGAGGACAGCAAGGAGACAAAGAGAGAGACAAAGAGAGTGCGGGTCTCAGGACTACAAGTACAATCCCCAGGACTACAAGTACGCACCACCACACACCCACCCCCCAAAAAGTTCCCAAGTCTAAGCCACCCTGGCAGCCAAGCCGGACGCTATTCGCTACGGGACCGTGGCACTGGGCGCTGGGGCTGACGGTGACATGCGTCTCTGCCTGGCTGGGGTTCGTATGTATGTGTATGTATGTATGTGTATGTATGTGTGTGTATGTATGTGTGTGTATGTATGCTGTACAGTGTATGCGTGCATCGAACCATGTGTACGTTGTGTTGTTCATCGTTTGCCGATACTGGTGGTGAAAGATCGGTTTGCGACTGGACTGCGCTTGTTTTGCTATGCTGTTGTGCTTCCTGTCTGGATGTCATGTGTGTATGTGTATGCGCGTATGTGTCTGTGTGTTTGTGTGCGTGTATACGTCGGCGAGAGCCATAGGGCTGCCCTACACTGCCACCTGCTGCACATCAAAACAATAGACAACAGACAATAGACATCGCGCCGTTGTTACTGCCAAGCGCATCATAATCTTGCCCATCGTCGTCGCCCAGAAGTCCGTCCGACCGACCACCGCCCGGCCGCTCTTCTTCAGCCGTTGCCGGTCTTCTTTCTCTCCCCCCCGGGCATTCTCAGCGTATGTATAACTCCGTCCCCGGCCGCCGGTCGACTAATTATCTAATCAATTGGCCCGTACCGTACCTACCTAATTATTGCCGTCTGTCTTTCTTGCTAATATCCTCACAACAGTCCCCACTTCACTCACAGTCACTCTAGCTATCTCCCTCCTCCTTCCGGCCCCCATCCGTGCTGTCCTTGTGCCTTGTCTTTTGTCTCGACTTATCAACCCCCCCCTAAACCCTGCCTGTTGTTGGCCGCTACGCTGTTACCAGGACTGGTAATTGAACGAGTCTGGGATCTAGGGGGGAGGGGGAGGGGGAATCCATTTGCGTGTCCCGAGCAAGCATTCTCTGAAGCCTTCTTCCCATTCTTTCCATCCTTCCATCTCTCTCATCCATGAATGATAATTAGATATCCTGCCTCCGAGTCGATGATGAAGATGATGCTGCTGCTGCTGCTGCTGATGATGGATGATGCTTGTGCCTGTCCATGTGCTACCTTACCCTACCCTACCCTACCATACCCTACCCTACCCTCCACTAACTAACAAACCCCCTCCCCATTCCCTGCCGACACGAGGTCTCTCCTAAGACGCGCACGCGGCCTTACCGCTCTGCAGGGACTACTATTCTCGATCTTCCTTTCCTCTCCACCCATGAAGCTGCTGGCCGGCCGCATGCACCGCGGCCGCCTATTTCTTTTGTTCCTCTTCCAATTCCATCTCTCTCACACTCACACACACACATCCCTGCTCTCATGTCTACCTACCCTCGTTACTTGCCGTTTTATTCCACTAATCGCGTTTGCGTATTGCTCTGCTGCCCCAAACCCCTGTGTTCGGCGACCTACTGCTGCATATACAACAATGAAAACAACATTAACAACACTAATTACTGCTTGTTTTGAATACCTGTGTATGTATGTATGCATGTGTGTGTGAGAGGGTATCTGGCCGCCGAACCAACACCCTCCTACTAATCATCAAACGTCAATACGAGAAAATGCGCAATCTTATTGAATTTTGTCGTCCCTTTTTTCTGAAACGGAGATGGCTCCGTCCCGTTGTAAGATGGGCGGGCTGGGCGTGCGATATTAACTTCTTCTATCGTATCCTTCCACCGTCGTCGTTGAAGCTGCCTTTCCACGCCTGTCATTTGTGGAACTTTCCACGCGATTGTCTTCTTCTATGGTGCCCCCCTGTCTCCCTTGGCCCACTGCAGCTCGTGTTGTCTTGCTCAAGCGAAAGGCACACACCACCACCACCACCACCAGTGCGTTGCAGCCGAGCACTCCTATCTTCCAACTTTCCATAATCACAACGCTAGATTTGTCTTCCAGTGGTCTAGAACGACACGCGAAACCACTCCTTGTTCGTTCGTGCTAGTTAGATGTCCATATACCCTGCCATTGTTGTATGATGTTGTTATTGTTGTTGTATGTTGTTGGAAGGGGTGGTGTAATTTGACCTGCAGGCGCCACACACACACACTCATACACATCCACGCACATCCACGCGCATCCACGCTTTCTCTCAGGCACCACCACCGTAGATCTGATAGCTAATCAATCAGACCACACATACACACACACACAAACCACGCGAATGGATGCGCGCCCCTGCCTGGCTTAAACGTTCTGAAACCGACGCAATCTGACAGGCCGTTTTGTTGGGTCTTGTCTTTTCTAGAATAAATGGATTATTTGCCAAATCGAACCGTATCTTGACCTTGGCTTCCACAACCACGAGGACGGGCAGCTGAGGCAAGAACAACTGTTGTTGTTGTAGGACGTTTATCTTGACAAGGACTCCTGTTATCGCTTCCAACGCAGGTCCTACGTCCCGACTCACCTACACTGCTCACCACGAGCCGCGATAGAGTTCTTACCAAAGAGAGCCCAGTAGATTGGTTGACGGGTTTGCTGCTCTCCCCAAGGTAGCGAGGGCTAGCTGGCTGGCTGGCTGGCTGGCATATGTCATGTCCTGTCATGGCATGTCATGTCATGACATGTCAAGGACGCAAAAATGGCTGTCTGCCTTGGGGAGACGAGATCCACGGGACAGACAGACAGGCAGACAGGTACGTAGGTAAGCCCTCCCCCCCTCCCCATGTCGACGATTGCGCTTCTGCGTCAAAGGACTCGCCTGCCAGTGACTTGTGGAATAATTACCTCTTCTTTCATTTTAAGGAGGAAGGAGGAAGGAGGAAGAGGAGATGGGCTTCGGATATGCGAGCCATGCGTGCATGTCGGAAGGTGCCGCTGCGTGACTACTCTCCTATCCTATACTCTACTCTCCTCTGCTACATTCGACTCTACCATGCTAGATTACAATCGCTGCCCTCTCCAAGCCTGTGGACAGGACAAGGTCAGGTCAGGACAAGGCCAGGAACAAGCGACCTTCAGGTCCTTGACCGCGAAACATATTGCCCGATGCGGTAATTGGCACTGATTCACAGCCTCATGGCTACCTACTGCTGTGGGGGTCCTCCCCTGGGTCAGTGGCCATCTTTCCCACCCCCCCTCCTCTCAGGTCGGAGAGTTTGTTAGGCATGCCAATATGTTGCCGGGATAGTTCTCCTGTTGATGATGGTGGTGTGCACGGTCGGGTCGATTGTGATGAGCCTCGTGCGATTAGCTTGGGTGGGTGGGTTGTGCGTGTGCGTGTGTGTGTGTATGGGTGTGTGGGTGGGGAAGAGATGCATAATTAGAACAGTGAGCGGTTTCTGGAGAAGAGAAGAAAGGGTGCCTGATTCGTAATGTGCTATGTATATGTTTAGTGAAAGAGAAAGCACTGCCGAAGTAATGACTAGTTCCTAGCTAGCAGATCGCATCCATTGCAACTTCCATTTCTTTTTTTCTTTTAATAATTCTTCTTCTCCCGAGCACAACGTTGAGATAGGGATAGAGATCCATCCATCCATCCATCTGCCCATCTGTCCATCTGCCCATCTGCCCATCCCCATGATCCGTCGCATGGACCACGTAAGCAAAGCACAGCACCTAATTACATCCATAGATAGATGATAGATGCGAACTTTGCGCACCTAATTATTCGGTCTGCGCCAAGTCTCCTTGTCACCATGAGTCACGTTGACGAAGCCGCCAAGCGGTCCTGTTTCCAACAAGACCTAATTACAACCTGCATCACCTGTACACACACACCTGCAGGGACAAAAGACGCCATCCATTTTCTAGAATGATCGGAGAAGACAGAGCTAGCTAGGCAGGCAGGGCGTTCACCGACTTCTCGAATACAACGCAGCACGCAAGCAAGCAAGCAGGGAGAAAAGCACACAGCAGCAGAGTGCCGTGCATAGATGCGTAGGGCTGGCCAGTAGAGATAGGCGGGTGCGGGAGAGCGGTACAGTCAGATGGAAACCGTTGCTAGGTACTGTATGTAGGTAGGTAGTGTAGATAGGCTGTGATGTGATGCGATGCGATGAACTGGAACGGAAGCCAAAGTCCCACACGGGGGCCACGGGTCATCATGGGTCCATCCCGAGTAGCAGTTCGAAGAGGCCGTCCGTCAACGTCGTCGTCTGTCGTAATGTGAACGACTTGTCGTTGGTGGATGTCATGTCCGCTTCGTTCGTAGTCGGACGGACGAATACCTAAAACCTAGTCAATCCATGGATATACGCACGCCCGCACGCACATAACAACAATAAATGGGATTTCCATGGCGCCGGCAAGATACCGCCGCCTCGCGAACACATGAAAAAAAAAAGCCGATACCGACGACGCCACGGCCGATCTATTTAGAGCGCAGAGAGCAGCAAGTGCGAAGAGATATGAGGATGACCAAGCAACCGCTAGACCAGGTAGTTGGTTGTATGTAGTCCACTAATTACTCTGCCTCCACCCCCCCCCGAAAGTCTCTAACCTTAAATCCAATAAAGGAACGGGAACGGCTAATGGCTATAATGGCTAATGGCTATGGCTATGCTATGGCTATTACCGCTACATTGTCGTTGTTTGGGGGGGGTTGTTTCTATAATACTACTACGCACACACACACGCGCGCATGCACTTACTACTACTGTGCACCGGTCGGTCTCGTAGAGCAAGCAGCAGCAGCACACAAAAGAGTCATCTGGTGTCAGTGGAGAGAGGCTCGTAGGCAAAACACCAAAGAGTCCTAACGTTATGCAGTATTTGCGCCAACACTCTGGCCGGCCGCTTCGTCGATTCGATTCGATCCCCTCACCCGTCACCCACACACCCACACCCATGCCCCGGGCTGAATGATGATGAATGCTTGAAATCGTACGTTTTGTGTGATCAGTGCGTGGTGCGTGGTGCTGCGTGGTGCTGTGCTAGAACCAAGAGTTTTCCCCCCCCGTCCGTTCGGCATTCTATCCTGTGCGGGACAAGCCTCGACTAAAACGCATCCATCACTCGCAGAGTTGGCTCTCCCGTGTGTGCAGGACGAGGGAACTGCTTAGGGGCCTTTTCCGTTCGTTCGTCGGGGGAAGAGAGCAGCGGTGAACATGGACCCCGGCATGCAGCTGAAACCCAGCAGGACGTCACTGCTACACTGCTACACTGCTACACAGAACAAGGTCCAGGGATGGGTTTTGGGCCATGTTGTTGTGTTAATTAACCGCCATTCTTTCGACTAGCCACTGGCTGCTGCAACGTTCGAACCTTTCGTATACTTCCTCGTCGCATGTCGAGCCCAATCAGGGGGTGCCCGTGTATTTTTGGGCGTAGGTAGGTGGTATCGCGTGCTATGGTATTGGGTGTATAGCTTTGTTTGTGTTGTTGTGTGTGGGTGGTGGGGCGCGCGCCCAGTTGTAGCTGGAGAGAGCCCAGAGCCCCGCGCTGTTGGACAAGTCGAGTCGAACATGAGCCATAGAATTAATCAACCAGATGCATGATGGATGAATGAGCGCGAGCATTTGCGACCGCCTTCACATGTCCCTGGATCTGTCTGTCTGTACACTATGGCCGCTGTGTATAAGACACCGCTTGTCTTAAGACCGACGTGGACGGAAGACCGATGATTAAGGAAACCACCAGAATGAATCATATCTTTTGACAAGATTGCCCGGCCGAAATCAATAATATGTATGTCATGTGTACGGGTTGCCTGTTCCGATTGAGCGTACTGTTATACGATATGCCCCCGTGGACCGGATCGTACGGAAGAACCCACATTACCCAACAACGTCCGTCCAACAACAATGCAACATATAGCCCGGAACCGGCCTGCTGCTCTCTTCTCTCCAGCCCCCAGGTGTGAGTTCGTGCCATTTTCCTCATTCGTATAGTGTGTGTCCAGTCGGCCGCAGCAGCACCAGCACCAGCACTAGGTGTCGTGAACAGCATGCTGCGTCTTGTCTAGATAATTATCAAGAAACTACGCCATGCGTGGTGGTGCCCACTATGTACTATCTTTGTGACCCGACTAGGTTTGAATGGTGGTAGTGGTGTGTGTGTGTGTGGGCATCTATGTTGGCAACCCCCCTTGTCGCCTTTCTCGTGGAGACGCAGCGACACGAGCGCAGAATGATACCTGATTGGAAGGAGAATGCGAGGAATCAGTACATATGGATTACTGACCGACCAGCAAACACACACAGACAGACAGATGGATGGATGGAAGGCCGCGTTTACGACTGCAGCCCTAGCGAATCTGGCTTTTGGTTGTAGCCAAATTTGCGGCAATTTCTCGAGAGCTAAATGCGAGAATGCATTGCTCAGCCCTGATGGCCGGGGTGCCGTTGCATCCATGTACGGGGGGGTGTTGTGCTCTCTAATCACCGCCTCGTGGTGTGGCCCGTTCTCGCGAGACGGCCATGGACTTTCCTATGTGCACACACTCCCGCTCTCCTCTCCTCTCCAATTGCACTTTCGCTCCAACGAACCTCTTTTACGCATCGCACGGCCCTCGCCACGAGAAGGGGGGGAGGGGGGAGGGGGGTGAGGGTCCCATATCTCTCTTTCTCTCTCTCTCTCGCATGCTGAACGATGCCTTTCTACCTACAGCTCCAAGCTCTCTGGCACCACAGAAAGGCTGGGCTTGCAGGGGGGGTTCAGTTATCACAGCCCTCAAGATAAATATATGGAACATCTGCCCCGAGTTCACACCAGTTTGTTGGTTCACTTCTTCTTATTCTTCAGCCTTCTTCGTCTTCTTGAATCATCATATACTACTATATACTCCTGATCTATCATCCTTGGATATTAGGCTTCTCATTCAAGCTTGTGTGTGTGTTTACACCTAACCTCACCACATACCAAACACCATGAACCGACACGCCGCATACACCTACCCGCAGCCTGCCCAAAGTACTCACAGATATTCGGGCACCAGCAGTGCTTTCTCCGCCAGCGCAAATCCAAACGAGGACTGGACAAAGATCTCAGACCTAGCTGAGCGCCGGAGAATACAGAACCGGATCGCGCAGCGCAACTACCGTAAGTCCGCCGCATAGCTCCGAGATATATATATCCTTTTTTTTCCATACCAGATTCCTAATACTGCCACGCAGGCAAGAAGCTCAAGAAGCGATTGGAAGACCTCGAGAGACGCGCTGCCTCGAATTCAGCCTCGCCAGAACAACGTCCCGCGGAGCTGCACCGGTCGGATTCCCACCAGTCGAACGGATACGCACAGCACGAGGCTCCCCAGGACTCGGACCGCCACTACAGCAGCAGACAGCAGTCCCACGACTCGTACCAGCAGCACCACCACTACCCAACACATGCCAGCCAGGACGACCGGGGCCTGTTTGCGCATCAGTACACTCGCCAGCTCTCCACGTCGCCGCCACCGTACTCGTATGCAACATACCCAAGCCACGAGACTGTCTCCTATTCCACCTATCCTCCACCCTCAGCCTATCAAGCCGGTGCGACGGCCGACTCGGGTTACACGCCGCCATACCTCCCTCCTCTCTCCTCGGCCTATCCGAACACGCTGCCGAGCATGGTGCATCCGGTCAAGCAGGAGTACTACGGCGAGGAGGTCATCAGTCCGTACAGCATGAGCTACGCCTCCATGGCCGGGATCGACATCCCCGCCCCTCTTCACTACGCAGACTCACAACACAACCCTCAAGTAAATCTCCCCAAGCCACACCCTCACCCATATCCACATCCACATCCACATCCACCTCGTCATCACTGAGAGAGAGAGAGAGAAGAGGAGAGGAGAGACAAGCTGCACCACCTTCTTGTGTATAAAACGCGTTTTCATGACGCGCCCTCTTTCGTTCCCCACCTTACTCGCTCGCCCAACACAACTTTCTCTCATGAACAAACAAACTCGAACCTCCATTTGCTGACTCGCGGCCTGCCTCAGACTCCTCCTCTCTCTGATTCATTCGATGCCTCGGTCGCCGGCTCACCACCGGACTCGTCGGCCTATCCTACCACGCCCGGCTCGTCTGTGGCGGGTTCTCCGCCCATGTGCATGGACAAGCATTGTACCAGCTGCTCATGATGACGATGAAACATGATGAACATGATGATCATGATGACGATTGTGATTGGAGGAGAGAAAGATGGGGAATATGCGGGCGAAGCAAGACCCGGAATTGTATAACACATTCAAACTCAACCCTCTTTTTTTTCCCTTCTTTTAAAGGATATTTCATCCGCTTTTTTTTGGAGGGGCTTGTATGCATGGATAGCGAAAAAGCATCATGAGACGGTCTCCCCCTCAACTCATGATGTGGTGGATATGGCGTTTACAGGGTTGGGCAAAGGGGGGAGTTGGGGATGGATAGGGAAGGGAAGGAGGGGAGCAAAGGGGCTCCTCGTCCGCGTCCTCGTCCTCCTCCCACCTCAGCGACGACAAACAGTGAGAATTAGCGGGAACTTTTTTGCATAGCGAAAGAGAGGCAGGTAGTGGGCAACACCGCTTTCTGGAATGAGACTTTTTTATTTATTTATATTCTACTCTTCATGAGGTTCTATCTACAACTTTCCCCCTCCCTCCCCTTTACTGTAAAGGATAGCGGACAAGTATACTATGGAGATATGTAGTGAGAGATATGATATGCTGCTACTGCTACTGCTGCTAGCTAGCTAGTATGACGAAATGGAATTTAAGCTAAGCTACTTTTTTTGATTGACAATGAATGCAATGCCCTTCGTACGATACGTATTCTTCTATTCAGCTCAGTAGGCTAAACCTTTTGAGTCACAGGTTAACGTTAGGGCCCGTGTAGAGAACAAGCCCCTACCTACGTCACTTGCTACCGTCAGCTAGGTTCCCCGGGGACGGGTGTTACTAAACATCAGGTTAGTTTGTCAGCAGCGAAGAAGAAGAAGCACCACCACCACCACCCGACAACCTTAGTATCGACAAGACAAAACAAAGTCCTATGCCTAATTATGCCCATGCCTATGCACTATGCCCATCTATTCATGCATCTCGCATTCGGGGGCAATGCTAGCTTAGCCTACAGTAGTAGCTCCCTACCTACCTAACTTAAGCGGGTCCCTTGATCGGTCAGCAACGAAGAACATCGCCTTACCTACTACTACTAATAACACTACAGGGCCTAATTAACTAAGGTCATCAGCGGGTTGTGCTAAACCCTAAAACCTAGCCCTAAACTCCGAAAACTTTGGGTGGAGGGTTTTTTTGTGTCTCCCCGGCCCCGGCCGTGAGTGAGTGGGAGGCCTTGGAATTGTAGTTGGTTTGTTTGTGCGCCCTTTTGTCGTTCACCGGTTTGTGTTTGGGTGGGTGAGTAGGTAAGGCCGACCATTCCATTCCATTCATATGCGTACCTAATTAAGGGAGGGGTGGGGGGCCGGCCGGTTCTGTGGCCCGATATCTTGGGGGGAGGGCGTAGATGTTGTGGTTGATCTGTCGATGTAGGCTAATTAGAGGACCTCTCACGCTTTCGCTTTCGCGATGGATATATCTGTGCCCCTACTACTACTACTACTGCTACGTAAGGTGTAGCAGCATTGTATTGTTTAGCCAGCATAGTTCGAGGCGTCTGTCTTCTTCCCTTCTCGCGCGCGCGGGGGTCGAGAGGATAGACTGACACTGGGAACTCTGTTGGATTAGATATTAAATTGCTCTGCTCTGCTTGGTTTTGGGGAGGGTTCAAGCATGGTTGGCGGGTGGCATGCCCAGGCTCTCTCCAGGCTCCAGCCTTGCTCGCTCGCTCGCTGCCTTTCTGGCTGGGACTGTTCCCGGACAGAGATGCTGCGGGCTCTGTCGTCCTTGACTCCTTGTTCTTGCGCGCGCGCACACATCCCATCCACTGGAGATCTGCTGCGTGGTCTACTGTAGTTACTTGTCGCTTAGCTGGGGACGCACGTCGGGGTGGTGTGCCGTATGCGGTCCATCCAGAATGGATCCCATTGCCTCACGTGTCTGCCCCGAGTGTCTCCCAGGAACTAATCACTTACTCATTGCTATAGAAGACCCCGATATATACCGGATTAGGTATGTGCGATCATGCTGTCTCAGCAAGAAGAGGGTCAGTCAATCCTAGACTGGAGAGGGGGCCAGGTCCTGATAGACCTGTCTACCTATAGGTTGGGTAGGTTAGTCAGGCGTGGGAGGTGCGGCAAGGATCAGTAAGAGATGATCGGTTCTACCTCCTCGTGTGTGTGTGTGTGTGTGCCATGGATAGTGACGAATCGTTTTCCCCTTTCTCCTCTCAGCCGCGAATTTCTCTGCCAGAAACCCTACCCGCACGAGGATTGTGTATATTTTGTCCAGCTTTGCTCGGAATGGATAATGGTAGCGTTAGGACATGCTGCTTTGTTAGGGAGGGGGAGGGGGTCATGAGCTCGAACATTATCCCGGTCTTTTACACGCGTCTCCCTGTCTTTTGTCTTTGCTATACGACAAGCAGCGTTGTTAATGATTAATAGGCATGGGTTAGATGGTTGGTTCGGTCGTCGTGGAGCTGCTGCCCACTACACACACACACACACACACACACACACACACACACACACCCCCTTCTCCCAAGTTCCGCGGAAGAATTTTAGACAGCCTGTGAAATCCTATCACTAATTATTACAGTATTCTCTTTCGACCCAGTGAGATGTTGAGAAATGAATGTTGCGGCTGGGTCCTCGGGGGTCGTCGGCCTTAATCACCTTACCCGTCGACCGTTCGCTGGAGACGCGCTAGTCTCGCGACGCGTTGACGCGATCCATCGTTCGAGCTAATCGCCCTTTTTCGAATCTTATGCATATCTCACTTTCGTTGGCTCGTCTTACCTGCTGGCTTAATTAGACCAGGTTCCACGCACGCCATCCATTACCAAACGAGGACCGGGCCTAGCATTTCCTGAAACTCAATTCCGGACCTTCTTTAATCCCGGTCTCGTCAATTAACCAAACCCCCCGCCCGATACCCGCGCCGTGGCCACGATACTGTTGTCCGCATGAAGCCTCCTTCGAGAAAGCGGGTCAAGACCGAGCGTGCCCGGCGCATCCTGTCTGGCGGCGCAGCTGGCCCTCGCGACACGTCCGACGACGAATCTGCCGCTGCAGATGCGGGCTGGACATGGATTTACGGCGAGCCAGAGGAGGAGGAGGACACACTCGCCCTAGCTTCTTCTTCCAAGGCAGCACCAGCAGGAGCAGGTAGTTCGCGCAAGAGAAAGGCCCCGGATCCAGATCTGCCAGCGTTGCCAATCGTTGGGGCGCAAAAGGGCAATGTGCATGTCAAGGTCGGCGATCCGGTGGTGCTGAAGGGCACGCAGAATGAAGTCTGGATCGGCATCGTCCAGGAGCTCTTCCAGGACGACGATGCCAATGATATGATGGCCAAACTGGTCTGGTTCCATTACCCGGAGGAAGTCAGAAATAAGACTAAGAGGCGGACGGATGCACTTGCGGTACGGCCCACGTCATGTCATCTCTCCTGTCGAGAGAGGGCCACGTTTTTGCTTTGCTGAGGACAGTGCTGATGTAAGACAGAACGAGATCTATATATCCTCTGCATCCGACGTCAATTCCCTCGAGACCATCAACGGCCATGCCAAAATCCTCTCGCCGGGCGTATTTAATGCGCGATATCCTACCGGTGTGATTGGGAAGAGGTCCAAGGACTACGGGCGAGTCTTTGTATGCAGACGTGGCGTCACTGTGCGCACAGCAACGTACACAGAAGAGTTCATCTGGGAGAAGGTCTACAAAGGTGCCGAGGACCTGGAGCCTCTCCTGGACCTCGTCACCTCCCAAACCAAGCCCACGAGGAAGCGTGCGCCGGCCAAAGCGAAAAAGGAGAGCTATGTATACGACGACTTTGTCGCAGATGAAGACGACGATGACGACGACGAGCCAAAGACGCCAAGAAAACGACAGAAACTCAAGGGCGCCGCAACGCCTACATCTGCACGCAAAGCACGTACTCCGAGCAAGAACTTCCTCACGCCGACCCACAAAAGGATCGTCGTCAAAAAGCCACTCGAGTTCACCCCGCTAGGCACTCGAGTGCTCTCCCCGTCAGCCCTTTCGTCGCCGTTCCAACTCGCCCGGAGCCAGCTCCATGTGTCCTCTGTTCCTGCTACGCTGCCTTGTCGGGAGGAGGAGTTCTCCACCGTATACTCGCACCTCGAAGCAGCCATCACTGATGGCTCAGGCTCCTGCATCTACATATCTGGCACGCCTGGGACGGGCAAGACTGCGACTGTTCGAGAAGTCGTAGCGCAGCTCAATACAGCCGTTGTAGCCGATGAGCTCGATGATTTCATCTTCGTCGAGATCAATGGCATGAAGGTCACGGATCCTCACCAGTCATACAGCCTTCTCTGGGAAGCCTTGAAGGGCGATCGTGTGTCTCCGTCACAGGCGTTGGATCTGTTGGAGCGCGAGTTCTCCTCTCCCAGCCCGCGACGGATACCATGTGTCGTGCTCATGGACGAACTCGACCAACTGGTCACCAAGAACCAGAGCGTCATGTACAATTTCTTCAACTGGCCTAGTCTACGACACGCTCGGCTGATCGTATTGGCTGTTGCGAATACTATGGATCTGCCCGAGAGAACACTGAGCAACAAGATCTCTAGCCGACTAGGTATGTATTGTTCCATTCTTTGTTGATTTCTCATCTATGCTGTTTGAGTCGTGCGTGTTTGCTGTTCTGCACACACACACACATACACACACACACACCCTATCCACCACCCCCTTTTCTTTTTCCACATCGACTATCCAGGAATACCCTCTCTCTCTCCTGCCTTCTCCTCGGATGGACCAAGGAAAAGCATATACCAGCAACTGCCGGCGCCGTTTCTTTTTTTGGAAGAGCTGCGCTGGCGTGCATGCAGCCTTTCTTCTTTTTTTGCTTTTTCTGGCTGCACTGTCGCGTGTTTGGAATCTCCTCGGCGAAGGCTCCGCCCCAGTCCCACCGCGCGAGAGAGACTATGCCGCCCAACACGACGCAAGTCTTGCTATGTAGCACTCGCGCAGTCTACCCTACCCTGCCCTGGCCTGGCCTAGCATGGCATGGCGAACAAGAATCAGGGCCAGCCAGCGACGGGCGGGCACACGACAGGCAAACACACGCCGCCGACCGGTACAACAACCAACTTTTTGGGGTGACATTCTTTGCGCCGGGGCGGGCCATCGGGGTTCCGGTCAACGACTCGATGCTCCAATTAAGCGTGTGCTGCGCAAAAATCAAGACGCCTTCTGAAGATACGTACGGGACGTGGTGGGGACCTTTTTTCTTGTCTTCGCCCGCCTGGGTCGGGTGGATCCGCTCGTTTATTCCTTTTTACCCAAAAGTCAACGTCACATGCATGCATGCACCCAACCACGCACGCACCACACCGAAGTCCATTTCTTTTTTCGTTGCAAGCGCGAACTACGCAAGGTCCAACAGGGAACGGGCTAGTAAACGACGAGGCTGGCGTGTGTCCCGAACACCCTCTCCTTTGCGGTCTTGGCTTTTCCATTGTCTGTTTCTGCCTCAGGCATGCATGGATACGACTGCTGTCCTTCGGGACTTCCGTCTTGGCGCTCGGTCCTCCTAGATCTTGCGATCCGCGTATTTACCTTCATGGGCATGCATTTTCCAGGCTGCTCCGGTTCTGCCTGAGGCGTCCTCCCGCGTCGGACATCCAAACCCCCTGTCTTCTATACGCGTATCTGTGCATCGTCGTACCGTACACGATACGACACGACACAGACCGCAACTCCTCGTACTATCGTTCCTGTCATGCATTCATTCATGTATCCATTCATTCAGCCTCCACCGCCCCAGCCCCAAACACGAAACCACAACCCATGGCGTTCAGCTTTTGCTAACCTTCCCCTGTGTGCACCCACAGGTCTAACCCGTATCACCTTCCCCGGCTACACCCACGACCAGCTGATGCAAATCATCCACTCGCGCCTCTCCAACGTCCCAGACCACATCGTCCACCCAGACGCCGTCCAGTTCGCCGCCCGCAAAGTCGCCGCCGTCTCAGGCGACGCCCGTCGCGCCCTCGACATCTGCCGCCGCGCCGTCGAGCTCGCCGAAGCCGAAGACGCCGCCTCCACATCCATCTCCGCACCTGATGATCCCGCAAGTGCCCCTGACCCCCCAACCCCAAGCCGCTCACAACGCGCAAAACAACACCCATCATCATCATCATCAAACCTCTCCCCCAACAAGAAACGCATCCCAGCCCCCCTGCCCGCGAAGAAGGTAAGCGTCACAATCGCAACTATCAAACGCGCCATCGCCGAGGCAACGTCCAGTCCGCTCCAGCAGTATCTACGTGCTCTGCCCCTTGCCTCGAAGCTCTTTCTTGCTGCGCTGCTGGCGCGCGTGAGGCGCTCTGGGGTTGGCGAGGCGCTGCTGGGCGATGTGCTGGATGAGGCGAAGAGGCTTGCGCTTACGGCGCAGGTGGAGGGTGTGGAGCGGTGGTTGTTGGGTGGTGCTGGTGGTGCTGGTGGTGCTGGTGCTGGGGGAGGTGGGGGAGGTGGGGGAGATGGTGATGGTGGTGGTGGGGATGCGGATTCTGCGGTTGCGGATTTGGATGGTGGGGATCGGGGGGACGATGACGATGATGGTAATGCCGACGATGACGTCGACGAGGAGGGAGAAGAAGAAGAAGAAAACGAAGAAGCAGAAAAAGAAATAGAAAACGAAGAAGAAGAAAGAATAAAGAGCAAGAGAGCGCGCGGCACAGACGGGAAGAGCGTGCCCCGTGTGCTGGGCCTGGGCAGTGCGGCGGTCGAGTTGATGGAGGCGGGCGTTGTCGGCTTGGAGAGTAGACGGGGGGAGCGCGTGGGGAGGGTGCGGTTGGGTGTTGGGGAGGAGGAGGTGCGGTTGGCGTTGCGGAATGATGAGGAGGTTAGGGGGTTGGGGTTTGGGTCGTAGGGTGAGGGTGAGGGTGTAGAGAGGGAGGAGAGGGGGGAGGAGGGGGATTGGTGATTGTGGGGTGGTGATTGGGCGTATTTATTGTGTGTATGTATGTGTAGATGTATGTATAGATTAGGTGTGCATGTGTAGATGTATAGATGTATGTAGGTGTATGATAGAAGGCATTCCTTCCTTCATTCATTCCATTCGCATTGCATCGCATAGCTAGACATGCTTTTCTTCCACGAAATCATGTCTATGAGGAACCCGGTTTTCGTCCCTTGGGTAAAACCTACACCCCACACATCTCTCTCTCTCTCTCTCTCCTCAAACTCCATCCACCCGTTGTATATATAGATAGATAAAGAGAAAGAGAGACGTGTGTTGTGCATCTAAACTCCGTAATCCCATGCGCACACACTGCACATCACTCAGTACAGTCCAGTGACCGATCTCATTTATGCACAGTGTGCCCTGTTTGTCTGCCAGTACACCTGCCTGCCTATCCTGCTTGCCCTGCCCTACCTCTCGCACGCCCAATCCAACGACCCAACTCGCATGCTATTGACCTTACAAGCCAAGCCAACCCAAGCTAAGCCATACCAAGCCAACCCAAGCCAGCCACCCACATGAGAATGAAAACAAACTCAAACGAGCAGAAGTACAAGTTCACAAAGAACGCGCACACAGGACCATCTCCATCTATCTCATCGCCCACACGCCACCGCAAAGGGGCAAGCACCTCTCTCGAGAGTTCCGGGGGAGGAGGGCCTCAGAGGAGGAAGGGTCTAAAACTTCCGACGGCCAAGCGTAGGCTTCCAGTCAAGCGGGTGTGATTCAGGCGTGGCGTCATCGTCGAGTTTCCACATTTTGACTGTTTTTTTGGGGGTTTAGAGGTTAGCTTCTTGTTGTTGTTTTGCAAACTTTTATGACACTTGTCTTAAGGGAGGGGAGGGGAGGGGGAAGGGGATGTTGTTCTTCGAAGCAAAGGGACGGACTTACTTGACTTGTCTGCTTCGCCGGTGATGAGGCGGAGGCCGGTGCGGTCAAAGGTGGAGCTCATGATGCCTGCTTCGGCGTCGAGGGAGCCGGGTTGGGCGATGCTGTCCTGGTGCTGGAAGCGGTGGCCCGTTTTCCAGTCCCAGAAGCTGATGGTGCCGTTGTCGCCTGTGCACGGGTGTGTGTTGTTAGTGATCAGTACAACGGATATTCAAGGCAGGCAAACAAGCAGGCACTTACCGCCGGAGAACAGGACGTTGTCCTCGTTGACGCTGAGCGAGGAAATGATGGAGTTGTGGCCGTCAAAGTTCTGCATGAAGGCGCCCTCGGGGCACTTCCACTGCTTGATCTGCCCGGAGCTCCCGCTTGCAAAGGTGAATTCCTTGGGGTGCACCGCGAGCGATCGCACGCCCTTCTTGTGGTGTGTCAGGACGCCCATCGTCTTGCCCGCCGCGAGATCCCACATCCTGATTGTCGAGTCTAGAGAGGCGCTGATGACCTGGGGGTCGGCTTCTTGACACTTTAGGTCTGCCACTGTGCCTTTGTGGCCGCTGAGCACGTGGATGTTACTCCGTGTCCGCATGTCCCATACTCGACACACTCCGTCTCTGCCGCCCGTTACCAAGACATCTAGCGTCGGGTGTAAGCTGAGCGTGTAGACACCGCTCAAGTGTCCGTGGTAGTGGCGTATCACTTTGTTCGTCTCCAAGTCCCAGCACTTCACCATCTTGTCTTCTCCGCACGAGAACAGGTACGGATGTCGCGGCGACACCGCCAGTCCACGAACAGTCGAGATGTGCCCGGTCAAGGTCAGCTTCAGCATCCCAGACGCCAGGTCCCAGATCTTGATCGTGCGATCGCCCGCTCCGCTGGCAAACCACTTGTTGTCCGGCTCGACTGCCAACGCCCTCACCCAGCCCAGATGCCCTGAGATGACGCGCATGAGTTTCCACGGCGCATGCCAGTCCGGACGCACTTGTCTAACAGTATCCTTGCGCACAAGAGCCGTGGAAGGCGTGTTCTTCTGCAGCGTAGGCCCAAGCGCATTGGGCGCCGACCCAGTCCCTTTCTTCCGCACCGTAAGCGCCGTGGATATGTCTGACTTGGCCGCCGAGCCCTTCTGTGCCACGCCTTCTATCATCTTGCGCATCTTCGGGTCTGTCGGTTGCTCGTCAGCGGCATCTTGGCCCTTCTTGCTCTTCTTGCGCGCGGCGGCGACGGCGGCTGCGTTGGCCTGCTTCGCTGCGAGTGCGGGGGGGAGCTCTTTCGCGTCTTCGAATTCGTTCCGTATCCGCGTCGATATATATGATGTGTCTGCTTGCTCTCGGGGTGATGGGCGCGACGGTTCTATCGTGAATCGAGGTGTGAGGGTGTGATCGAGCGCGGCAGGCGACGCGAAGTCTGCTGCGAAGACTTCGCGTGTTCGTTTGGCGGAGTTTCGTAGAACGGGCAATGGGTTCTCTGATAGTGTAGCCATGACTGGACGTGTATGGCTGTTGTGGGCGGCGTGTAGTTGGTTGGGTGATGTTGTAAACTTTTGAGATTCATATTAGCCCTAGCTTGTACTCAGATACCGCTGCGGAATATCACCGGCGCGGTTCCGAGACCGGACTGTGGATATATCATCACAGTGTCCGATATAACGTCTCTCCTGTCCGACTAATTATCATGCTGAATCGTCAAGTAATATATTGCAAAACAACTATCTTTACAGTAAAACTATACAAATCACCAAAGAAATTGATACAAAACATGTACATCCACTCGCCAACTCTTTTTTCTCCAGCCATCTCTTCTTGCGTAGCCCAGATTCAGATCTTCCCAAACGGACATCCACCCCTGCCACTGCCCATCAAGTCCTCCACGCCCTTCTCAAACTCCTGCAAGCCCTGCCCCTTCATCGCAAAAGGCCCTACCTCCTCAACTACATATCCCTCACTCTGCCACTGTTTCGCTGGCAGCGCAAGACCAAACACCCATCTCAACGCCCCCTGAACACTCCACTTGTACCGTTCAGGCACATACCAGGGCTCCGCAAGATACACCTTCCGATACAGCTTCCCCGTCTCCTTATCCGGCTCCTCACTCAGGAACCCAAACGCAGTCCGCCTCGGCAGCGCCGCATACCGCATCACAAACTTCCTCATCTTTAGAGTGGCATCAACGACAGACTGCAGCCACGCCGGCGGCTTGTCGTACATCATCGCAATCCTCAACCGCTCATCCATCAGCGTCGCCGTTACCAGCCGTCCAAACTTGGTGAAGCCTTCGGACTCCGGCATCCCGTAGGTCAAGATCTTGGTCGTATGGTCTGCTACCGCCCGGTTGCTCTGCGCAGGCACCATGTACTCGGCCTCATACGCGTCCGCCCACGCAGCCAGCTCGTCGAGCCAGTGCAGGCCATCGCGCCACTCATCGGATGCGAGGAGCGGTGGGTATGAGATGCCCATTGCGTCGCCGACGGATTTCCAGAAGACGCCGAAGGCGCAGAGCTCAAGTGGAGTGAGGGCTCGCCATTCGTGGCGGGCGATCCAGCGGGAGGGCTCCAGGGCGAAGAGGGCGAGGGTGTAGAGCATGTCTGGATTGGAGATTTTGCCGGCGCGTTGGTATTTGCTGTGGATGTAGTTCATACGGGATATGCCTGAGCAGGCGCGTTTGGAGGATGGTGGGTTGTTGAGGAACTCGCCGATGAGGATGGTGGTGTCGACGGCTCTCTTGATGGTGTTAGTTTCGAGGCAGATAGTACAGCACGTACGGAGAAATGAACTCATACCTTCCCAGCTGTATTCTTGGCCGAGAACTCGGTCGTCTTCTGCAACAAACTGCTGATAGTTGGGATGCCATATGTCCTTTGATCTGGTTAGCACACGTGTATCATCCCTCTACTATGCTCGAGCAGGCCATATCCTAACTCACTTGAAGAGCGCAAAGTTCAGCGCCTTATCCACCATATATGGGAATTCCCAGTCCATCACGATTCGCTGAATCTCGTACGCCTGATCCACTGTCATACTCGCAAGCTCCTCCTTCGTGCGCATAGGAAAGCGCCGTTGAAGGTCATGCAAGCGACGGAAGCGCAGCGCCTGACAGATGCCCAGATATCCGAGGATGGATAGCGATGCGATAGGCCTCCATTGCTGCAGAACTGTAGCAATAAGCTCCATCGTATGGCAGAAGTGAAGCTGCAACAACAAGTACAATATATGCAACGATGGACCAGACCTATCACCACCCGCCCGAGGTACGTTTGAGAATGTGGGGTTTGGGCAACGTGGACCCTTTACTCCGGAAGCTGGATGTATCGAAGATTCCGACAAGAATTGTTTTACATTTGACCCACTAGCTAATCGAAGAAATAGCTGTATGCCCTGCAGAGGTGCTGTATGTATTGAAAATGCACAGTAGAAGCTGCGATATTTTGAGCTATCGGGTAGTCAGGCAGGCAGAAATTCGGAGCGCGAATATAGAGGTTCGTCATGGCCCGTTCCACTACTAGGCTGCCGTCGTGCGGCGTACATGAATGAATGGCGTGATATGGCGTTACAGACAGGACAAGATGAGAACTGTGAGTCCAATAGCAATGGTGGCATTACCGAATCTTGAGATCACATCACGATTGGTTGTATCCGAGTCGTATCAGATTGTACTGCTTGAGTAGGACAGGCAGCCTAGTGACCTCTGCAACAATCTCCAAGAACCAGATCATGCGAGACGACCGGAATTAACAAAGTATAATTAATGCAAAAGTCTGCTATACCATACCATATTCATTAGAGTTTGGCCACGTGCAGCAAAAACTTTGAGATTCTGGGTGGTTGATATGTAGTTGGAGGCCACATAAAGGTGAGGAGTACTCCTGGCGAGCTGGTCACATCACAGTAAGCACAGTAGATACGAAGATTGTTTTAGTACACTAAGAATGAAATTATTATCAGATAGCAAGACGCGATGCACAAGCATCACGTCGTAACGTCATAAAGACATGGCCACGAGTCAATCCCATACGGGGAGACATCAGAACCGACCAGTCTGTGAGATCAAACAATCGAACGACAGGCACCATTCGTTTGCGGCAACGACAAGTCGAAGCCGGACCGAGACGGTGAGAAGCAACCAAACAGTGACAATGAAACTTTTCCTACACTGGAGAGGCATTGCCCTCTCCAGCTCCCCGTTTAAATCATGAATAACCAAAGTTTGCGGACTACTGAGGGTTGTCACTGAGAGTTGCACTGAGAGCCAGTGTCTTCCACCTCTCAGCCTCAGCCTTCAGCTGCTCCTTCTCATCCTCAAGTTCCTTGATACGGTTGGACAGAGTCTGAACATGCTCGTACTTGCGCTGGCGAGAGTCACGAGCAGCAAGAGTATTGCGAGCTCGCTTCATTGCCGCCTTGTCGTTAGGGTCGACCGCGATTGGAGGTAGAGGACCTTTGCGGCGACGAGGCTTGCTAATACCAGCGTTCATCGCAGGAGAAGCGTTGGTGGACGACTTGCGACGATTTGACTGATCAAGGACAAGAGGAGAGTTGGTGCTGGAGGCGCTGGACTGCGCGAGCGATTGGGTGCTTGGGTTGCGCTCGAGGGGCTGAGAGAATGACGAAGAAGCGTTATCGGTGGAATCGGGGAACAAAGAGTACCAATCGTTACCGGTGTTGACGTCCATGGAGTTGTCAAACATCGGGGACGTGTCGAAGCTACCAGACATGAACGGAGAAGCATCAATATCAGGAGAAGTCAGGTTGGTGAAAGCGGCAGATGGTGGTGCAGAGAAGCCATCTTGGTGCAGGTCCTTGGGAGAGACAGTTCGAGTGGACGTGGACGCGTTCGAAGCACCGTTGATGGATGTGAACTTCACATCTGTGGTGGAATCACCAAAGATATCATTCAGGGAGGCATCCGACGCGAAGTCGTTGTGGCCGAAGCCACTGCCGATCCCGGGGAAGAGGTCGAAATCTGACGGACTTGAATTAGAGGATGTGTGAGAGAGTGGTATATGCAGTGACAAAGTACCTGTAGCCATGGTGCCGGTTGCAGTGTTCTGAGATCTCTGACGAGGGTATTGATGCACGTTCGGGGTGCTGTTGCTATGGAAGAGAGGTACCGGGGGTCGATTTGACGGAGGTTGCTGGTTTTGAAAACCGAAAGAAGACGTCGGAGCCGAAGTGGCGTAGAAGTTCGATTGGTTAAACGCTTGACCAGGCAGAGGAACGCTGGGTCGACGAAGCGGCTGAGGCTTGGTCGGTTGATCGTAGAGTACGAAGTCGGTCGCAAAAGTTGGTTGATTCGATGATTGCCTTGAGGCTGGGGGAGCTGGTGAGGAGGGCCATGTTTGCTGTTGAGAAGCCGTGGTGAACGACGGAAAGTCGGACAGGGTAGTAAGCGGCGAACTGAAGATGCGCGAGGCAGGACTTGAGTTCACAGATTCCTGAAAGGAAGACTGTGAGAAGGGGGGTTGAGTGGGGATTTGAGTGGTTGGTTGGTGGTTGGAAGGTATGTTGTCGACGTTGGGCGACGTGAGGGGTGAGAAGGTTAGTAGGCAGCCATGATCATCGACTGTCTGTGTTGGATGTGAGTGTGATTGTGTATAGCAGGGAGGTGGTGAGAAAAGAAGAAGAAGAGGAGGAGCCTGGGGCGCTGAGGCGAACCTTTTGTAAGATGCAGCAGGCAGAAGTGCGAAGGCGGAGTGGCGCTAAGGGTGAGAGCACGCTAAAAGTCCTTTGACTCATACTTCTACATCCAATAGCAGTGCCCGTCTGTCCTGGACCCCGGGATGCGCACGTTCACGTTGCTTCAACGCGACACATGCACAAGTACATTTCCTGCAAGACATGATTGTATGCTCCTGTCAATTGCGCGTTAATCGATACCAATTACATCTGTACAGTAAATGTGAGGGTGAGCTGCAGTCTGGCTGGAGAGAGGACGGGCGTTGGGGTGAGTCGTGTCGCGTAGGTGAGCTTGTGGACTGTCAAGAGCCAAAAGCGGTATGGATTGAACGCCCCACCAGCCGGGGTCATACTACAAAGTGCGCGCCCTTCAGCTGACAATTAGCGCCTTTTTCGGGGCATCGCGTCCACTAATTTGACTTCTCTGCGGGCTTACGGGCTGCCTAAGCGTCGTTGTTGAATTACTCCGCCCGCCCTAATTACTTGATCGAGACACCGAATGCGCTGACTCGGAGTTAATTGTCTCCTGCTTTGCTGCCTGCTAGGTTCGTTTCAGCCTACGCGTACTCCGACAGAAGATCTTCCATCTCTTCAAGAAAATGGACTGAAGTCGTGTTGTTGCAATACTTGAATACTCTAGTAGACAATTAGTAGATAGTAGAATAGGGCAAATGCGACATGCGACAGGCGACAAATGCCACATGCGACAGACGATCCCCCGCGCTTGGCATCTGCAAGTTGTCGGCAACGTTAGAACTAATTAATACACCGTTGGATTCCAGTAGTCATTCCGACATTTCGCGACAACGATGCACGTGCCAGTCTGGGGCCAAGGCTGTGTCTGCCTTAGGCTTTTGACTCATTCGTGCATCGAGTGTGTGCGTGCATCGAAATACGAGACTCAGCCTCCTCCTTCAATACAGTCGTCGTAGCTTCAATTTCAGCTTTAGTCTTTGGCTTTCAATGATCGACTTCATGCGCGTTCGTATGCATTGACGATCTCTGCCATGAATTAGCACTTGCTTCGCTACCTTTTAACAGCTTCTGGAGTATCAATTTTGCGATGTCTTGATTGGTTGTATTTCCGATTCCGAAAGATGGGCACCTCTTTAACTTCATTGATGATCCGGAGCCTTGCCTCGACAACTCAGCGTGGGGAGTGAAGGGCATAGTAGACTTGCCAGCACGTTGCTGATAGAATATTGCCTGGAGGAGCTGCTCTTAAATACTGGCTCCCCTCCTTCATGTTGACTCCCCCATGGTTCAGCGTGATTCATACCCAAAGATGCGTCACGCCAGAATCACCTAATCACCGCCCAACAGTCTCCCATGTTCCACGCGTTTCCCTGCCAGCAATGACTGCGACTTCTATTCAATATGGAAGACCTGCCTACGTTCGAGTGACTCAGACGCCACCTTTCTCCAATATTAGCTGTGAAGTGTCATCGTTCGTCAAGCTATGCACAGTCTAACAGGCAGACTTCAAGAATCACTCGTACGATATTCGTCAACTAGATATGACGCGAACTGAGACATGGTAATTCAGTCATCTCTTGGTCACGTATGTCGGGCACGTGAGCTGTAAGATTCATCGCTACTTCTTTTGAACTTCTTCAACACATCACCTGACTAGCTGCCTGGTATATGGTTCTTCAATCCACTACCTTGCAGTTCATGAGCGCCATTAGGTGCTTCTAGCTCCGGTCGATATGCTCTCGTTTCCCCCATCTCGTGCTGCGTAGTCGATCCTGCTAGCTCATGGCCCGGCTCTGGATACCTTTTCTCCTCTGTTGTCATGATCTCATGAGTCGGTTCTTTCGGTTTTTTGTTCTTTCGTCGCCGCATGAACAAGAATGCTGCTCCACCTACAATGAGTAGAGCCACAAACGCTCCTACACCTATGCCAACCCCAGCTCCAGCACTTAACCCGCCTGTTCCAGGTGTGTTGTCCGTGTCTGTTCCAGGTGTGTTGTCCATGTCTGTTCCAGGGGACGGAGTCACTCCAAAACTGGCCTCAGGACTGGAAATAGTCACACTCCCTCCAGTTGCCGAAGTACCCGGAGTGAAGTCAGGACAATCCACGACGGCCGTCGGGAGCAGTCCCAACACCTCCGTATTGTCGCAATCCCATCCTATCGAGACCGCGTCCGCAAACAATGTCGACCGTGCAGCGCTTACCGTTGTGCTCGAGCCACTCAGCGCAAAGATGGATGTCCAGCCATACGTTGGGAAGTTCGACACACAACCCAGTTTGTTGTCAATGCCAGTCTGTATCTCCGCAGCCAGCGTGCCAAAGTTAAACGAGCTGGGGCAGCACACCGCAGACGTCATGGGGACCCGCGCATTGCCAGGCTTGACCAGCGCAATCGTGTATCCCGTTGGACATACGCCAGGTGAGAACGCGACGTCCGTCTGGCGAAGGATGTCGCAGCCCGAGGTCGCCGGGGCAAGGACGGCAAGACATGTTGTGGAGGTCGCGGTCTCGCTGTGGAATGGGATACAGCTGATTTGCGTCAAGCAGCTGGGAGCGGGCGTGAAGATGCTGGTGAGTGCGCTTGTGCTGGCGGGCCAGGAGAAGTCGTCCGATGATGTGATAGTAGTAGGCGCACTCATCCTTATGGATTGCGGCGCAGGTGCCCGTGGACGAGTCGTTTTGGTTCTTCCGGATTCGGTAATTCTACACCACAATCAGTGTCGAGACATTGACAAAGAAGCTCTCCCGCATCGTCCACAGCAGGCAATGCGACGGCGCACTGAAAACATGTAGCACAGCAGTAGTAATAAGGCTAAAGGTCTTTGCCTACGTAAGATTATGATCTGATACAACGCTAGGCCATAAATGTGCAGTCCATATCCATGGATGTAGCTCCATTCATTTCGCATTATGGTCATCAAGTGGAACCTTTCAGAATGAGTCTACAGGTACAAACATATCACGTTCAGTGGTTCAGTAGAACAAGAGGTGACTTCGACTGAGAAATAAGCTTTTTCTTAGTAATAAATACAGATTCCAACGGGAGGACCCGCTTAAAAGTGCTGAAGCCGACCACTTGCGATTCATGGATCATGACCTCAAGCCAAACATGCCCATTCAACAACCTCCATAACCATCACACTCCCCGCTCCTCCAGGAATCTTCGCCATGTCAGCTCCACCGTCTGGATCATCAACTCCAAACTCCCGCTTCACATCACAAGCACACACCGCCGAAGACCTCCTCAAATCCCAAACAGTCGGTCTCGTAAACCTCACCGACTTCCGCAAACGTCGCGCCGAAGCCCTCGAGCAAAAGGAGCGTGAGCTCCAATCCGGCTCCGGGTAAGTCAGCAGCTTCATGGAAACATAGCCTTGGACAGATCCCCATCAACGCCACCCAGAGCTCGAGCTAACAGACAAAGTACAGCGCCTCCACACCCCAATCCGATCGCGTCCCATTCAAGAAGCGCAAGAAAGGCGCGTTAGCCAAAGCAAAACTCTCCTTTGGCGTCGACACCGACGATGCCGACAACGACGATACCACCGACTCCGCCGGCCTGTCCAGCGGCATACCTACCCCACGCGCAAAGTCACACACACCAGCGCTCGAAGGCGAGGACACGGGGGTAAACAACACCACAGTCGCGCCACGCAAACGACTCGGCCCAAACACCCTCTTCGCATCCAACGCACCCAAAGCAAAGACCAAGTCCGCCCTGGCAAGAGATGCCGCCACGCGCGACCAGCTCCGCCGCGAATTCCTCGTCATGCGCGAGCGCGTCAAGGAAACACCCTTCATCCTCCCCTTCGTCTTCTACGACGGGACAAACATCCCCGGCGGCGCGTGCCGCGTCAAGAAAGGCGAGCACGTCTGGCTCTTCCTCGACAAGGCGCGCAAAGTAGGCGCCGAACACGGCGCCGGCAGCGGCGACAAGGGCCGGCGTGAATGGGCGCGCGTGGGCGTCGACGACCTGATGCTTGTTCGTGGGGATATCATCGTGCCTCATGTGTGTGCTTTCTTCCCTTTTCCTACCCTCACTCGTACTCCTCCGTCCACCCATGCTTTTTCCTCTACCGTACATACAGAAGTATACCTAACCCCCGCCCCCCCTTCTCAGCACTACGAATTCTACTACTTCCTCGCCAACAAAACCCTCAATTTCTCTGCGCAGCGCCTCTTCCCCCACTCCGCCGAGCCCACCCCCGCCACCCCCGCCGAACCCGCATCCAGCAGCGCAGACACAGATATCGACCCCTCAACATACGACCCGCTCGCGCGCCACGACAAGAAAGACAATGACACTTCTTCCTCTTCTTCGTTTACGGTGCTACCGGACAGCGAGCTCGAGGGTGCAGACGAGGAGCCCAGCGTGACGAAAGTGGTTGATCGCCGCTGGTACGAGCGCAACAAGCATATCTATCCGGCTAGTATCTGGGAGGAGTTTGATCCGGGGAAGGATTATAGTAGGGGGGTTCGGAAGGATGCGCAGGGGAATTCGTTTTTCTTTTCTTGAGATGGTGGGTTGGGGGGGGCGGGGGGCTTGCTGTGTGCTGTGTGCTGTGTGCTGTGTGTGGGTTGGGTGGTGGTGGGTTACAGGGGCGTGGATGGCTGGATGGATGGATGTGGTGTTTGTTTTCGCACCGGAGACTAGTCCTTACTCTTTCGTTGTAGAAGGCTGAGATTGAGTGCTGGTGCTGTGTGGTAGTGAGAGCTCGCTGACTACTCTGCAAACACCACGATGATATAAACACTCTCGAGACCAATGACATACAGACGCCGTATCAGTTCATTCATTGCATATACCATCCCTGAGCTCTATGACATACCCCGTACTACATACCCCATACTCCATCACCCATGTCCAATACTCTCTTCTATGGATATCCCACACAGTCTCTGTCTTCAGCCCGACGACAATTCTCGTTCTACCTCTCTCTTTCTCTCTCTCCGTGTATGTGTTCCCTGCTAGCATCCAGCCCATACCCGCCACCCTAGTTCAGACTCCTATGAACTGAATCCCACTGCTCTACTCGGTATCCGGAGAAATCTCAACGACAACAACGACGAATTCCAGTACGCCGCTTTCCTGCCCAGCCTAGCATATCTAGAGTCCTGCCATCACCATCACAGCCAAAAAACCAGTCAGTCCTTCCTCAGTCCCGCAGCTAACGCACAGACATGCACGAACCCAGAGAGAGAGAGAGAAAAGCTCCCCTCAAGGAAACCCAAAGGAAGGCACTCAACGATTAAAATTCATATTATACCCGCCCGTCCTCTCATCCTTCACAAACTGAAAATTATCCGTACTCAGCCCAAACGGCCTCAACAACCCGTTGCCCAACCCCTTCAACTTGCCCATCATATCGGCCATCTCCCGACTCTTCGCCGCGTCCAGCCGGGCAGGTAGTGTCCGCAGCGCGCCCTGTACCGTGCGCCGATCTGCGCTGCTGAGCTCCGCGTGTTGTTGGGAGAGCGCCGTGTAGTCGTCTATTGCGCCCTGGAGCTCGGCCCAGGTGCCGAGTTCGGCGCGGGCTTTGGCGCGGCGGAGGAGGGCTTTGGTGCGTAGTTTGTGGAGGTCGGAGAGGGAGTGGTTGAGGGCGGTGAGGATGGCGATGCGGGCTTCGAGCGCGTCGGAGATTTCGGAGATTCTGGGTGTGTTGGTGTTGCTGTTGTTGCTGTTGCTGTTGTCGTCTTGTGCGGGGCTCGTGGCGGGCTTGTCGGTTTGGGACTGTTGTTGTTGTTGTTCTTGTGGCACAGGGTCGACGTGGTGGAGCTCGTCGAGGGCCTGGCTAGCTGCGTCGGCGGCGTCTTTCCAGGCGCGGAGACGCAGGTGGCAGGCGGCGATGTTGGCGTGGAGGACGGCGATTTCGTAGTGGCAGTAGCTGGGCAGAGGGGTCAGGGCGCGGGCGTAGAAGTCGATTGCGGAGGAGAGGTCCGAGGAGGTGAAGGAGGCGGTTGCGGTGGCTTTGAGGGCGTGGGATTCGGAGAGGAGCTCGGATTCTTCGTCTGCGGGGAGACGGGAGAGCGGGGCGGCGGCTGGGATGGGTGAGGATGAGGAGGAGGGTTTGGATGTGGGTTCAGGACGCTTGGGGGTTGGTGTGCTGGTCGACATCGTTACTTGGGTGTAATGTAAGATTTTGTGTTTAGGGAGGCAGATTGAAGCTTTCACACTTAGAAACGTTGCCCAGCCAGTGTTTAGTTACGAGCCGCGCTAGTCCCCGCCTGACGTCGATGGATCGCGAATTTCACTTTGCGGGCAAGCTTCGGGAGGGGTATTTTGGAACTTGAGGTCGTCGCATAGCATCAATTTACTGCAATTCCAAGACCGTACCGTTGTCGCATTTCCTCTTACCTTACTTCAGAACCTCCAGAGCCTCCAGAAACCTCGCAATGCCCCCCAAAGCGTTCGTTATCCTGCACTCAATGCGTCTATTGACACCATCTGATAGCCCCTAGCGCCCCTGCGCCCATCCGGGCCTGTCTCTTCGACATGGACGGCCTCCTCATAAACAGCGAAGACCTCTACACAATAGCCACAAACGAAGCCCTCCTCCACTTCGATCCAGGCCACGAGCCGCTCCCATGGCCCATCAAAGCGCAACTGCAAGGCCGCCCCGCGCCCCAAGCAACCGAGATCTTCATGGCATGGGCCAACATCCCTGTCTCGATAGCCGACTTCCACAAGCACACAGCGACGCTCCAGGAGAAATACTTCCCGCGCACGGAAGTGTTGCCTGGCGTGCAGGAGCTGGTCGAGAAACTGGCGGGCAACGGCGTGCGCATTGCGCTGGCGACAAGCAGCACGACGCGGAACTTCGAGCTGAAGACTGCGCATTTGGGCAAACTGTTCGACTTGTTTCCGCCTCGCCAGCGGGTGCTGGGGGATGACAGGCGCGTAAAAGCTGGGCGGGGCAAGCCTGCACCGGATATCTTTCTTGTGGCGCTGCAGACCATTAACGAGGAGCTGAAGGGAAAGGGCGAGAAGCTGATTACACCGGATGAGTGTCTGGTGTTTGAGGATTCCGTGCCAGGCGTGGAGGCGGGACGGAGAGCTGGGATGCAGGTCGTTTGGTGTCCGCATCCTGGTTTATTGGGAGAGTTCAAGGATCAGCAAGAGCTGGTTCTTGCGGGACTGACAGGGGAGCACAAGGGTGGTGATGCGTCGCCGGAGCCGAATGAACTTATTCCGCAAGGCACTCGGTCGATAGGAACTCCCGGGGATATCGACGATGGTTGGGCAACTCTGCTCGGCACTCTAGAGAATTTTCCGTACGCGCGATACAGTATAGGAGAAAAGAGTGCTCTATAGATATATAGTTAGCACACCACTTGAGCATTATACATAGAAACGAGCTAGAGTCATTGTGATCATCGATTTCGCTATGCTATACTTGCCCAACAACGTTCTGTCGCTAGACATATGCCAGTGCAAGTGTGTGTAGCATTGCTATTAGTTACACCGCCGTTGCCACGGACGTCCCACCCGGTCTACGCTCATTTCGAAGACAGACACTCGGCATTTCCAACAGTCGAAGTCCTGGACCCATAACGCCAACGGGGCATGTTGCAAGGATTCTGTCTTTTATTCGACCTCTTCAATCTTTGCCTTGCTGGCATCAGCAGCGGGCTTGTCGTCGCTCTCAAGTCCAGGCATTTCCTCATCTTCATCTTCATCTTCCTCCTCACCGGCGGCGCCAAGGTCGCCGAGGTCGGGCATACCGCCAGCTCCGCCACCAAGTTTGGAGAAATCTATGCCGCCGAATCCGCCATCGCCACCCATAGCGTTCATCTTCGACATGTAGTCCTCATCCTCGCCAGCCACGTCTTGCTCGTCCTCGTCAACCCACTGTGCGACTGTTAGCAGATGCAATTGATCAGTCCGTTTTGTCGAATGAGCATGCATACCTTGTCAAAATCAGTCTTGAGGAAGTGCATCTTCTTGGAATCCTTCAGTAGCCTCGGCCAGAATTCCTGCTTGAGGTCCTTCTTCCTAAGCACCAGTTCGATCGAGCGATCCGTGTGCGAGATCTTGGTGGCACTTGGATCGATTTCTGCAAAAAGCACAAGCTCGACAGCGTAGGTAGCTTTCTTTGAGTTCGAGTAGCCTTCGAAAGTAACACGGTCGGCCTTGACATCGAGCTTTGTCTTATCCTTGGATACGTCTGGGGTCATCAACGTGACGAAAACGTAGTTGCGCTCGGCATCGCTATCGGAGGAGCGTTGTGCCCAAGTGACTGCAAGGCAGAGTTAGCTCTCGTACCTCATGCCGGTATGTTCGTTGAGCAGCCTGAAGATGTAGAGTCCATTGGGACGATCTCTGGTATGACCATCTGAGATGTCCAGAAACCGAGAGTCATATATCAAAGGCGTGAAAGGCTGAGAACGCACCTTCGGGTGTTAGAGACATGTTGGAAAGTGAGAGTGCGATTGTTAAGAAGCTCGTAAGTTGTAATCGTGTGGACACGACAGATGTGTTGACGAATTTATGGTAGTGGGTGGAAAGTGAAGTTGTGGTAGATGCAGAGAAGTGCAATTTGCAAGAAGTAAAGGATGTCGTCAAAAGCACCTATTAGCGCGGGAGGCTGAAAAGATGTTTGTGGAAGACGATCGAAATGCGGAGCAATGCTTGCTTCCCTGCGTCAAGATGACCGAGCGTCGTGTGATTGTTGATTGAGGCAACGATCGTTTCGAAGCTGTGCAAGGGCTAGAGAACGCAAACTTTATACTTTGATTCTTTAATTCACCTGAGAGCGAGGACGTTTGACTGATATCTGGATAGCTTCCCGTGTTGTTTTGGTGCCTGCCGGCCGGAGCTGTGAAAATGCCCCGCCACACAACAACGTCAGTCTAGAATGGATACGTCTATGGGCCCGTGCCGTCCGTGCCTTAAGCCAGCCTGAATGTCAACGTCGTGGAGTTGCGATATCTGCCAAAGCATATCAAATCTCATTCCTATCAAAGATCTATAGACAGGCTCCCTCAGTGGGCTCGCACCTCCAGTCATGGACGCTATCCGATCAGTTTTCTGGAAGCCGAGCCCAGAAGAGCAGGTTCGCAGCATACTCCAACCTATCATCACAGACCGCTGACCAGATTCTCAGAAACGTAAATGTAATGCGCTTGTGCGCCAGAACGTCCGGAAACTTGATCGCGACATCCAGAACTTGAAACAAGCCGAGACCAAGACCAAGAACTACATCCTTCAGGCGTCGAAGAGGGCGCAACGGAATCCATCCCAAGCGAAGCAGGCAGCCAGCGAGACACGTATATTTGCGCGAGAGTTGATAAGAGTACGGAAGCAAAATAACCGCTTGGCGACATCCAAGGCCCAGCTGCAGTCGGTACAGATGCAAGTGAATGAGGCATTCTCAGTACGGAAAATCGAGGGAAGCATCAAGGCATCAACAGGGATCATGAAAGATGTCAACTCGCTTGTACGACTGCCCGAGCTGACTGGTACAATGAGAGAATTGAGTCAAGAGCTGGTTCGGGCGGGGATCATCGAGGAGATGGTTGGGGATTCTCTACCAGACAGTGAGCTATTAGAGGGCGAGGACGACGAGGCAGAAGCAGAGGTTGACAAGATACTGGGAGAGATCTTGAAAGACAAACTTCCTCCATCAATGCAGAAGCAAGAGGAGGAATTGCCTGCACAACCTGTCGAGGAAGAGGAAGAAGAGGATCAACAAGAGATGCTCGCACAGATGCGTGGACGATTAGAAGCTCTTAAGAGTTGAACAAAGATGGCTTGCCCATTGAACATCATTGTTATGTCTTGTCATGCTGTGGCATTTCGTATGCGGTGCGTTGCATTCATCAACGCTGAAGGCGCAGTATTAGTTCACGCGGCGTATTTGCTATACTTTGTAATCTTGGAGATGACGAGTCCCATATCGTCCTCTCCGAGGAATACCATTAGTTGCACGATGTTGCTCGAGATCTGCTATGACCTGGGCTACCGATCCCACGTTGGAAACCAGTCACATATCGTAATCCGGAATGTGGTCGGGATCATGCCTGTGACCAGCAATTGAGTCTATCCATAGAATTATGTCACAGAAATATGAATTTTTGCTCGACGCGTAGCATTTCACTCCTGTACTGTGGTCTTATGGTAAAAATCCCCGTCGTACAATCACAACAACGCAATATCACAATGCAGTAAGGTCTTTGCTTCTTGATGTTATGATCATTGCTGTAAATGCGCGCGAGATCCTGACCGGCTGCATAGCATTCACCAACGCGACCTGGGATCTCGATCGCATGCAATGCCCCTGATACCAAATCATAATTCCACCTTTCGTCCAAGCATCGCGCGACTTTGTTCGTGACTGACGAACAATAAAGAAATGAAATCTCATGCAGCTTGCTCCCTATTCTCAACGCAGTGTTAAAAGGCCCAGAAGCGGGCAGTATGTGATAAATAAAACGCCGTAACACCTGTGCATTTCCCCGAGTGTATGTCAAACCATCCCACGTAGGGGCGTCTGCAGAGCTGTTTTCGTGCAAATGGGTATAACAGGAATACAACGCATAAAGATGCGGACTTCGACCAAAGCCTCCAATCTGAATGGGATTGATGTCGTCAAAATACAATGCTAGATGGCCAGTGATTTGCCAGTGATTTGCCAGTGATTTGCCAGTGATTTGCCAGTGATTTGCCAGTGATTCAGACTCCTGTGTTCGTGTCTGTTAGGGCAGATATGGCGCGCCGGGACGACCGGATCGTCTTTTTGTTTCTGTGTGGTATGCGTCTCGGAACGCATAAGATGTACGGAGCTGTATCCTTAGGCTTTCGACGATCGTGTAGATAGATAGATCGAATTCATGCTCGACTCCAAGTTGATATAAGATCAAGCCGCGTGTGCTTGTATCACAGCAACCATGTTCATCGCTGGTTCACTCGTACCATGTTACTAAAACCTCCAGGTCGCTCATTGATCCCGAGTGGGTTACCGGCTGTGAAGTCCTGTGTCAATGTGTTTAGCCAGGTCTATGGTTCATTAGATAGAGGTTTTTGTACCTTTCGACGTTTCTTATTGGAACCACGTCCATTTTCTTCTCCACCGGTCGAGTCTGCCACATCTTCTTCGACAAAGGTCTCACCGTAACCTGTATAACTGGAATCATCATATCGGCGCTTCTTCCCCGGTCGCTGTGGACGCTGAGCCGTGGGATGAGATGATGTGCGCGCAATTTGTGGTGCCGGGGTGGCTCCTGCTGGTACGAATGGTTTTTTCTGCGGTGGGACAAACCCAAGTCCAACTTTCGGCTTATTGAATTCGTCTTGACCCACGATATTCCGCCATTTTCGATCGTCCTGGGGGCTCAAATTTCCAGATTTCATACTCATAGCGCGGGCCATTAGATCGTCTCCGAAGGGCTGTGCAGATATAAGACTACTATTTCCGATAGACGACTTCCACTCTTCTTCGGTAGTGTCGTGCATACGCGTTAGCTCTCCTGGTCGTGATGTAGGCTTATTCTTTCCTGAAAGATGCAACAATTTTATTTGATTCTCATAAGATTTGCGTAGCTTGTTGATTTTCTCGCCAGTGACTGGATCTGTACGAGCGACACTAGCAGCTAAGCCATTGAGATTGTAGGTCGAGATAAGGTGTTGAGAGGTATGCGGTCGGGACTGTATAAGAGCTACCCAAGCACCTGTGTTAACATTCGTATTCCTAAGGAAAATAAGCACGAGCGAAGGGAACCTTACGATCTAGAACTGGGAAAAAGAGGGTTTCCATTGGCGAGGCATCAGCCAACGATCCATCTCCTTGCCTTTCGTGATCGGTTCGTCTGTGGCTGGCTTCTTGCATATCTTCCATTTCTACGTCCACCTTACTCTGATCATATTTGACTTCCTTAGTTTCTCCATGTACCTGTGATGCCGAAGACATGTACGGCGGGGATGTAGGTGTGTTCGGATGAACCGTAACTGACTTTTGTTCGGCGTTCTTCGCGGGATGGGCGAGGTGATACGGCGGTGACGCAGGTGAGAATGATCCTTCGAGACGGGGCTTCTTATGCGGACTGGCCGACATAGGAGCGACACTTCTCTTCGAGGGCGTGATAGCGATACCCGGCTTTGGAGGGTTGTTGTACGTGCTGGCCGAAGTAGGCAAAGTCGGAGGAGGGGATTGCGCTGACAACACTTCCGGTGAAGCGTTCAGCAGTTTCGCTTGTACAGTATCGACATTCGAAGAAGTATTGAGCCTTTTCTTCTTCACTATGCGCTGTCGCTTTATTCTGGTAGTGGCCGTCGGGTTGGGTGGTCGTGACGATGAGGTTGGAGGGAGTTGGGTGGAGGTCGAGGTGGAAGCCCTATCCGGCTTTGTTCCAGAGGCTGACGGCTTGGCTTTCCTCTCGATGGCCATTTTGTCACGTGCTGAGCTGTGGTAACTAATCTAGGTTAAGCGGGTGCCAATGTCTGAAACGTCACTCGGTCAATGGCGATGCTGCTAGATGTTCTGCAGATTGATGAGTATTGTGTAGAAGAAAGAATGAGAAGTATGAAGAAGGAAGAGAGAGAGAGAAAGAGAGAGCGAGAACTGAGTAGAGCAGCTTGTTAATAAGGTGCCTGCGACGATTGCGCATCAAGTGCCCGCGTGCCCGCGTGCCCGCGATATTGTTATTGAGGTAAGTGAACAAGCAATCCGCTGTGCCCACACTCGGAAGTTCACTCTTCCAAGCAAAAATCAAACCACAGCCATACCTTCACCTTTGCCTGGCTTCTCGGGACGACTGCAAAATGACCGATGATGATTTCGGAGGCGATACTCAACTGAATGATGCCTTTGAAACTGCTCAACAGAATGTTGAACGCAATACCCGACGGTCTGATCCAGATGCACCAAAGGTACAGCAGCCGAAACCTCAAGCTCTACCATCTCGTGCAGGACCAACCTCAATTCTTGTTTCAACACGCCAAAAGGGCAATCCGATCCTCAATAGCGTGAAGACGGTACCTTGGGAGTATTCTGATATTCCGGCTGACTACGTGCTCGGCGCAACTACTTGCGCCCTTTTCCTATCACTTAAGTACCACCGCTTACATCCGGAATACATCTACAATCGCATTCAGAAATTACGTGGCATGTACAATCTTCGAATCTTGCTCACGATGGTCGACATACAGAACCATGAGGAGCCTTTAAAAGAGCTATCCAAAACATCCTTGATCAACAACGTTACTATAATTCTCTGCTGGAGTGCACAAGAGGCTGGGCGCTACCTAGAACTTTATAAGACATACGAGCATGCCGCCCCTACGAGCATCAAGGCACATCAATCTACCAATTATTCTGATAAATTGGTGGACTTCATCACTGTTCCGCGCAGTATTAACAAGACCGATGCGATCGGTTTAGTTTCTAACTTTGGAAGCTTAAGGACTGCAGTCAATGCTCAGCCTGAGGAGGTCGCCCTCATCGCTGGTTGGGGGGAAAAGAAAGTGCAACGATGGTGCAACTCTGTCAGAGAGCCATTTCGTGTCCGCAAAGCGGCTAAACGCATCTACTCAACTGAGCAAACTCGCGCCTCACTCTCAAGAGAGCCGTCACATCGAGACGGCGAAGGCCCCCCAGAGGCTGCTGCAGTGGGTCCAACGGTCTTGGATGGACCATTTGGATCCGAAGATAGTCAGCGCCCTGGAAAAACACATGACATCGCGGAAGAAGTGACTTCTGAGCATCAGGAGATTTTACAGAGCAAAGCCGAGTCTATAGGTGAGACGTCTGCGACAGTCTCGAATCCTGCAATGACAAAGACTCAAGAGCAAGATTTAAGCGAAGGTGTAATGGCTGCACTAGCGAAACTACGGAAGTCCTGAACGTGTGCATACTAAAAGGAGAACTTCTGGTAGTCCTTGTGGGCAGCGGCTCATAGAAGCTGAGGTACCGATGGCCTTTTATCGAAGATCCGATCATGAGTGGGTTCGAAATATAATCTGCGAGGAATGGAAAGCTGATGCGCCAAAGAAGCTTTGGGTTAAAACAACTACATATGTGAAATATATGTTCATGGGCGAGCCATATTAGATTTGATGAGAGCTTTAAGTACTCTTAGCCTTTATCCGCACCTTAGTGTCATAGAAAGTATCATTAGAGTATTAGAGTCCTCACTTTCTAGGATGAGCTGATAATAGTCTGTCGGCCGAATTTCCCCACTTGCCACTTTGTGTAGGTGACTAATAGGTTGGAGATCATACCTGCCGATATCTCATAGAATAAATATATATATGGTAGATATACTTGATAGATTTGCAGTAGAAGAAAGAGACTGCAGTTGATAAGTCCATCTATTTAAATTGTTAAAGAAATTCTACTATAGGTCTTGAGTTTTGGTTATGTTGTTAAGGCGAACAGGAAAGGGCCGGCCGGCCAAGATGATAGTCTACGAGTAGAGTGAATTATGCTATAGCATAGCAACATGTATAAAAGAGGGACGGTCTATTAAGTGCTAATCATACCGAATCTATACGATGGGAAGAGAATTCAGCTGTATAGTACCGCGTTGTGTGAACCGTCCACTAAGTAAATTTGGGAAAGGCGTTCGTGATACCTCTTACGCCGAAGTTTGCATTTTGCATCATGGCCTGGACCCTTCCAACTTAGATAGGCACGAGAATTGAGCACGCGACGGATGCGCGTCAACGCGTCAGGAATTCTAACAACCACGGTTGGTGGTTTCAATATGACAGCATGAGAACGTTTGTCGACGATTCCGATGATGGTGGAGGTGACACAGTTAGCGAGAGTCAGTCGCCTGTGTCTGCCAAAGGAAACCCAGCCGAAATATGTGAAGTCGAAGAGACGCAAGAAGCAGCTTGTGCAGGTCTCGGTATGGAATGCTAAAAAGCATTGAAGGACACTCTTTGACAATGTAAAGCTGACTCAGTCAAGGACATTCCGTTGAGGCCTTCACACCCCTCGTCGAACATATCACTCCTCTGAGACCCTCGAGTAAACGTAGGAGAACGATCAACGGCCACGTTACTGATAGCTCTCCTACCAAGCGGTTGGAAAGAAGTAAGACCATGCGAACTTATGGAAAGCCAACGCAGCATAGAGCTGCAGATTATTCAGAGATCAATGAGACTTTTCGAAGAACACAGTTCACCCAGGGGGATACTTCGGCCATCAAGTCTTCGAATCAGTCGAGAAATCCAAGTAGCCAGACGATTCATAGTGAGATGACCCAAGCCTGGCATTTACCCGCGTCTCTACAGCAAGAATTTGCTTTACACGAGCCAAACGCAATGTTCCCCGACCCATCAAGCACAGTGCCAGACAACAGCTCGACACAGAAACACCTCGTTCAAGATGCGATCGACGCCTTTAGAGCCCCTACAGTCGTGGAGATTTCTGTGACAGATTTCACTACCCAGAAGACGAACGAATCCTCCGTGCCGTGGTCAGACTACCTTCAGACGCAACCTGCAGAACCTGCCAAAACCCCGACGAACGCTGCAGCCCCAGAACCCCCTTCTACAACAGACCACACAGCTTTTCTTGATACACTACCAAAATTGAGTGATTCTTCTACTAGAAAGCGAAAAGCAACTAGTTCTCAGATCATTGGGACGCCAGATCAGGGAGTAGATTCAAGTCAGACGAAGCACCGGAAAGGCTACGCTAGTAGCACTATAGATCCTCTTGATTCTGATGAATTGGCTATTGATCTACCACAGGAGATGTATAAGCCTAGGCCGAGTCGATCACGATCTGCGAGATATGCGGACGATCCAATTGACTCGTCTGCGACCCTCCAGAGATTTAGTCGAAAAGTACCCAAGCGCAGCAAGACAAGTTCGGAATGTGCAACGCACACAATGCAGCTGTCATCATCTGAAAAGATAGAAATGATATGTGCCATGGGATTCACCAGTTCTCAAGCTCATAACGCTCTACAGAGATCATATGGAAGTCTTGAGAAAGCTGTCGATCAGCTCTGTAACGTTGAATCCCAAGGACCGCATCAATCTGTCGAGGAAGTATCTTTTGTTGTCCAGACCAATGTACATCCTTCGAAAGATATCGATGAAGCGCAAGTGAAAACTTCGACCGAAGAAGTCACAAGTGTTGCAACTGTAACTGCAACTGGAACTTCTATCCCTGTGCCACCAAAAGCAGTAGATGAGCCGACACAGAAAGAAGTCAAAGCCATCATTGACTCTGAAGATGAAGGCGATATCGACTCACCGATTACTGAGAACGCAGAATATGTGCTTGCTAAGGAAGCCAATGGCACCTCGGCTGTAGAAGAGGATTTAGATGAAGAGCAGGGAACGGATGAAGACGCTGCTGTCGATATGCGCACGAAGATGAGGAGAACCAAGTCTATGCCGGTTCTTGCTGTTCAACGAAAAAATGAAGGGACGAAAACCAAAAAGCGACGTGGTCGTCCACGAAAGGAAGCGGAAGTCGAGCTCGAGGATAGTCCAAAGCTCATCGACAAAGATTGCGGAAAGACACGTAAAGGTAGGGGCAGACCCCGCAAAAATGTCGACATAGTCCTGGAAAATATCGAAAGTCTGGTTGAAAAAGAGTTCGACGAAAAGGCCGAAGCTAAGACTGACACGGCGGTCGCAGAAGAAAAGAGCAAAGTTACCACTGCATTGACGGAGGACTCTCCTAATCCGAATGCCGTCCGTACAGTATTGCAGGCCCACTCACCTCCATCTACTCCGCCTCAGCAGCTACCTGCGTCAGCGCGGGATAGACCGGAAAGCAGGCACGGTCCTGAGCTCCTCTCACCGAAGAAGCCGAAAGCTCTGAGTCCTCATTCGCCATTGATGAAAGGCAAGGTCTCATATAGAGTGGGATTGAGCAGGAGGGCTAGAATAGCCCCGTTGCTACGAATTGTCAAGAAGTAATGGGATAGGAAAATGAGGTCATGAATTTATGTGATATTACCTTTTATAGCGATATACCCTAGGGATCAGGACCATCAAAACGGCCAAAAAGCAAGCAGAATTAATACAGTTGAGTCACAGACTTTGAGTACTCTATCTTTCTATATAGTAACAGATCTTACCTATGCTAAATGCTCAATAGCGACGGTGAGAGACATCTTACATTATCCACCCTTGTCATGCATCCCCGTTTTTACATTTGCTACTCTCTCAACGCACAGCCGTCTTCCTAAAGTGTGTCTTACTGTTGTGTAGTCGCAATGAGAGCTCGTCATGCGATATCAGCCGGGTGGCGAATATCAAAAATGCGTACACGTTTTACGACATGACACGCTGATGACCTCGCGCATATGCAGTGTGACCTGACGAGGGGTATAATGGCAGCTAGAGTGGAAGGCGAGCACGCGACTATTTTGTGAATTATTTGCCAGTCAGTGTCTCCTCACAACAGGGTTCTCCACTACTTCTGGTATACTTGTACTCTCATTTAATTAGAGATCAGGTCAAGATTTTAATTCAGCGATCTACTGTGGATCACCAGGCAGAGGTATCACATCGTTTTTCGCCTTCGTGCGAACTAGAACTTTCGAACCACTCCCGAGACGGGGTACCGGCGCCATTATGCAGGGACAGGTTCGCTGCTTCGTGTCTGCACGACGATGGAGCGATGAGCTCCACTGAAGCGTCATCTTTGGCGGCCTTCAAGCAGCAGTATTCGGCAGAAGTGCAGCATCATGACCAAGAGGCGACAGGGGTACGCATACACACGGCAAGTCAAGCGGACTATCAACGGAAAGAGAACGATGGGAAGATGTTGTGAAGAGAGTAGATTGGTATGGTAATTAGTGTGTAATTAAACTAAAGGTTGGGAAAAGCCAGGGGAGTGTTTTACCGCACGCCACATACAGGACTGGCGAGTCGTTGAATTGTTTTTGGTCCTGTCGCCCTGAATATTAATTACCTTCTTACTGGAAAGGGGTCACGATGTTGGCGGGGCAGGTACGCTAAAAGGACTGGGCGTCACTTCTCTTTTTCACACGTGCAACACCCAGAGCCTTTCACTCGTATTTATTACTATTGCTGTACCACTCACTGCACTACCACCACCACTACTACTACTTACTACCTTACCACTGTAACAAGAATAAGCAATTATATCTTCAAATCTACTTCACGCCCTTCCTCGTTCACCATGCTAGCTTCTTAGGCCATCATTGGCATCTTACTTTGCGTTTGCGCCAGCCCCGACTCTTTCCTTCCAGCTCTCGCTGCCATACGTGCATATGACTGCTCTTAAGCATCATTCGTACTGAGGCATCTTCTTGCCCAAGGCACTTCCGCCCGGACAGCGCGAGCTCCAATTAGATCCTGGTATTAAGCCACGACCCTCACCAAGCCATCATAACATATCTGATACTGAATCCCTCCGTCCCGCTAAAAGCCGCTCTTGTCTCGCTCCATTTCCGACACTGCCCGACATATATAATACACTACATCACATTGCGCATTGACAAGCAATAACCTCCTGTCACATCAATTTCACTTCCCTGGGCGTCACATATTGACTTTTCTTGGCTTTCGCGCTCTGACCGTGGAATCGCCAACGCGAATCTTTCTCTATTGAAATTCGCACCCGCTTTATACAGCTTTTCATCACCAATGGTGGACTAAATACACGATGAAGTTCGGTCATAACCTACCAAGGAACCAAGTTCCCGAGTGGGCTTCGTCTTATATTAACTACAAGGGCTTGAAGAAACTTATCAAGTCAGCACAAGAAACGGAGCGACAAGGCAACGAGGCTGATCTGGTTGGTAAGTGACTGCGATTGTGATGGTTCTTCAGGAGAACTGAAGCTCTATCTCGTACCACCCCGCTTTTTGGAGGGGAGCTCTGACCAGTGTCAGAGTTTTTCTTCTCGCTTGATCGCAACTTAGAGGACGTGGACAGCTTCTATTCGAAGAAATATGGGGAATCGGCGCGCCGACTGCGACTTCTTCATGATCGTTACGGTCGAATGATCAAAGAACCGGACGGTCTTGATAAGGAAGAGGTCGATGATCTCATGGGAGCATTGTTAGAGCTCAGGGGCCAATTAAGAAAACTGCAATGGTACGGTGAAGTCAATCGTCGCGGCTTTGTAAAAATCACGAAGAAGCTGGACAAGAAAGTACCAAACTCCTCGGCTCAGAGACAATATCTAGCCTCCAAGGTCGATCCGAAGCCTTTCGCTACCAACAATCTTCTGGCTGCGGATGTAAAAGCAATTAATGATTGGCTTTCGGCGCTCGGAGACGCGAAGACTTTTGATGATGCGGGATCAGTTGGCTCAATTTCCTCTATGCGAAGAGGCACTTCTCGGGCGGCATTGAATCTCTCCCAATCCTTTCTGGACGAATTAGAACAGACCATTCGAGCTGACGATGCGGACACATTAATGGCTAAGCTAGCCGAGATCAAGACAGAGGAGGATCATGCGAGCGCTGCCTATCAGCAGCTTCTGCTTAACCTACTTCAACGCGCGATTTCGTGCAAATGCAGGAAAACGCTAGTTGCCCTGCTGCCAATCATTGACTCTTTGGAAGAGGACGACGATATGAACAAGCGAAATTGTATCCATCGGCTGGTGATCTCTATTGGGAGAATCAAATCTGTCGACACACCCTCAAATTCAGGGGCACATAAGCCGTCGCCTGCGGAGGCGCCGAGCTTCATTGTGCCTGCAGCATCGCCAATGTTGGTACCGGCGCCCTGCGCAACGACCGAGCAAGAATCCGCACAGTTCCTCGGGAAACAAGATGAGATGGTCCGGCTGTTGACATTCCTGCTCGATAACCTAGAGCCAGAACAGCGAAAATCACTTGGTTCACGAGATGCATATGGACGGCTGCCTCTGCATTATGCAGCACAATATGGGTTCGTCGTGATATGCCAAGAAGTCATCAAACATATGCAAGACTGGGGTCAATTCGATGTCTCTCACTCAATAGATTCTGAAGACTGGCAGGACGCTGAGGGCTACGCGCCGCTCCATCTTAGCGTGATCGGCGGTCATGCCCTGACTGCTAAGTGCCTACTAGATGCTGAGAGGTGGAAAGGTGCGTCTTATGAGATGCGAGATACCAGGAAACGTATAGACAAATCCGGGGCAGTACTGATGTTAGCCACGAAATCGAATGCAATCTCCATCGTAGAACTTCTTGTCGAAGCTGGTGTCGATATAAACCATACTGATGAGCAGGGTGAAACCGCTCTCCATGTGGCCGCACACTTTGGCCACACTAGATGTGCCGAAATTCTGCTTAAGGGGACCGACGACCAGAAAGCCGATGTCAACATACCAGAAACGACATTTGGGTGGACTCCGCTCTTCGTTGCTAGCGTTGATGGCAACCTCTCCGTTGTAGAACTTCTGATTGGCGCTGGGGCAGACGTAGATAGGGTTGATCTATCTGGGTGGTCTGCCAAAGAACATGCAGCACTCAGGGGTCACCTGGGAATAGCTCAGAAAATTGCGAGTCTATCACCTTTACCGGAACTGTCCACGTCGGACACGTCTTCACCCAATAGCTCTCCACCCCAGACACCAGCCCTCGGGCCTCAACGCATAAACGGAAAGCACGGCAAAATCCATACTGAAGCAACCAAGACATTTGGACATCGATATCTCACCAATCAAAGTATGATACTAGTCAGTTTGGGCAGTATGGACTCCAGGAAGAACTTTCCTGCAGTAAAACTAGAAGATATTCCCTTGACAGACGCGCACTCTACACAGCTTGACACCGCTCTGTCGATTGTGGTATCAGCCAATGGCGCGTCTGGTGAGCCTACCATCATCGATCTTCCTGTGCAAGAAAACATCAGCACAACCCCAATCACATTCATGACGTCCGACGCTTCGAAAGTTAAGCTTTTGTTTGACATTGTCCCGACCTATGCAGGTTCAAAGGATCGAGTCGTAGGCCGGGGAGTTGCCTTGCTGTCCACAATCAGGCCAAATGTTGGCTCCAGAAGAATCTCTTTACAGGGTGATATTAGTGTCCCTGTCATGGCGGCCAGCACGCTGGACGTTATCGGCTCTGTGAATTTCAATTTCTTGATTATTACGCCGTTCCAGCATCCTAATATGTCTCTAACCGAAGACCGCACATATTGGAAAAGTATGGAAGATTCGACAATGGTTATCGGGCATCGAGGTAAACACGTCGTATCATTTGACTGGTGCTTTCTCAAACTTTCCAATAGGCATGGGCAAGAATCAGGCGGCTCAGAGGTCACTACAATTGGGTGAGAATACCATTGAGGTTTGTCGGTCTTTTCGTTTGCGAAACGTTTCTCTTAACGGTCGGTGCAGTCCTTCATAGCTGCCGCAAATTTGGGAGCTTCATACGTCGAGGTAAGTCAGTCTGAAACTTCACACGGAATTCGCTAATGAGACTGTAGTTCGGTAAGAATTCCCCTAATGAGCCTGTGCTATCTCTGACGCATAACAGATGTGCAGTTGACGAAGGATCATGTACCCGTCATTTATCATGACTTTCTTGTCAGCGAGACGGGCATAGATGCTCCTGTTCATACCCTCACTCTAGAGCAGGTAGGAGTTTCTGATGGGAATTGAAAGCACGACTGACATCCGTAGTTCCTACATGTGAGCGAACAGCGTACTCCTCGACATTCTCGTCCAGTCTCTCCTTCCGAGTACAAAGATCCTTCGAATAAGGGTTCGAAGGAAGGTCATCGAACACGATCCTACTCTGTGGGTTTACCACATGATGCTCGAAACACTGACATGAGCGAACGGATGAAGCACACGCGTGACTTCAAAGAAAAGGGCTTCAAAGGTAACAGTCGGGGTAACGCGATTCAGGCGCCTTTCACAACTCTCGAAGAGATGTTCAAAAGACTGCCTGAACATATAGGATTCAACATCGAAATGAGTAAGCAAAACTGACCACGCTCGTTAGGACGTTCGAGCTAACAAACGTCCCAGAGTATCCAATGCTTTTCGAATCAGAGGAGCAAGAGATGGACACCTACGCAGTAGAGCTAAACTCCTTCGTCGATACTGTTCTTACTCAAGTCTACGACATGGGCAAGAAGCGTAACATCATCTTCTCCTCCTTTAATCCTGATATCTGCCTTTTGCTGTCGTTAAAGCAACCTTCCATACCAGTATTGTTCCTCACTGATGCGGGAGCCTCCCCTGTTGGTGATATTCGTGCCAGCAGTCTCCAGGAGGCGATTCGCTTTGCTTCGCGCTGGAATCTTTTGGGCATCGTGTCAGCCGCGGAACCTTTGGTTACGTGTCCACGGCTAATCAAGGCCGTCAAGTCAGCGGGTCTAGTGTGTGTCAGCTATGGCACACTTAACAACGATCCAAAAAACGTCAAGGTATTAAAACCCTCCCAGCCAATGCGACATGAGTTTCTGATCTTATTGCACAGCGCCAAGCCAGAGAAGGCATTGACGCCGTCATCGTTGACAGTGTCCTCGCGATCCGTAAGGGGCTCACGGGAGCGAATCCGAAACGCCGGACCTCTTCAAACGAAGGTCCTTACTTTGTAGTCACCGAGCCATTGACGAGTTATGACGATGCGATACCGAAAGTCTCGACCCCAATAGAGAAACTTGCAGGCAAAGGAGAGTAGAGCGGCGGACATGCGTCCGACGTCAAATGTTTCAAAGTTCTGAATAGATCCTGGCGTAAGATGATTGCGCTTCTTATACCCATTGGGCGAAGGGGATATCTAGATATCTCGTTATTGGTGGTGGACGTTTGGTTCCAGCACAGATAGGCGAGCTTAGAGCTACGATGGTGTATATCCATCTATACTGTGATACGCCGGGTAATACTATCATCCTTTTCCTGGTCCTTTATATGGTATATGGTAGGAAAGTATCGCAAAATTGTTCCTTCGAGCGTAGCATAACCTCGTTGTGCGTGACTCTCTACGCTGGAATCTCACTATCTGTATATGCATAGCTCTTATATGCGCAGGTGCCTACTCAATAATCCGCTATATGCATGCAGGCAAAATATCACTCCGTCCTACTACCTATCGAAAAACAGGGCTGTGTATTCAGATACAACCTGTAATCTACGATAACTGTGCACTGGACTTGAGTTAGTGAATGATGTAGAATCAGTACCTGGTGGGTTGGCTATTCTTGAATTGCTGACCTGTTTGGGTCAGAAACAGTGTTGACACAGTCGAGTTATCAGAAAAGTAGCTGCATGAACTGCGTAGATTCTTCAACTACGCTATTTAAAGGCGAATTCCTCGCCCCATGACCCTGGGTATAATATACTAATGCCCCCCTCCGTACTCCCACAACCCCACTGCCCAAACGTGCCAAACCACCCAAACGCCATCCCAGACAATGCAAACCCGGCGTCCTCACCCATCGGAACCCACCACACGCTCACCAGTGTCGCGAGTGTACGAGCCACCCGCCCTCTCGTACACTCGCGATCACCGCCTGCACACGCTTCCTCTTAACCCCCTCACGCACCGCCACGTCTTCGAGCGCGCGGCGGCCGTCGAAGTACTTGAGCAGCGTTGGCCAGAGCTCACGGACCTCCTTGTCTTGGAATCCGTCTCGGATGTGCTCTAGCCAACGAGCTTCGACTGCTGTTGCGCGGAGGGGGTTGAGGATGAGCGAGGTAGTGAAGTCCGACGCCGACTCTCCGGGCTGCGGGGTGAAGAGAGGGGCACCGGGGACTTGCGCGGCTGTTGGACGTGATGTTGGCGAGTGGTGAGCTGTGATGGGCGAGGGAGGTGAATGCGGTGGTGAGGAAGTCGATATTGACAGTGGCGAAAGACGCTTGTGTGCAGCATGCGTGATTTTTGGACTGAGTGTCGTGCGATTGCTGCTCGTATTGCTTGCTGTGCTTGGTGGACGAACATTTTCACGTGCGGCGCGGCGCTGTGGGCTGGAGATCTGATCAGTCTCATTGCGTGCTGCTTCTTCCTCGGCGGCCATCTCTACTGCGACTGCGGCCTTGATCTCGGGTGTGACTTTAACCCATGCGAAAGTACGCAGCTGCGTGACCCAGCCCCCACGCATCAACCAAGCGAGGATCTCCATATATCGTGTGCGGTGATCTGGGGTTGGGATGAACAATGAGTACGCGCGTGGCACACCAGACATCAACGCCAACATCTGCGGCAAACTAGGCATCGTAGGAAATCGAGCGGCATAAGCAGGGATAGCAGCGGACAGGGCACGCAAGTCGGCATTGGGTGAAACAACGTAGGTGTCGCGATGGTGTAGAGGAGGTATCAGGCGAGCACGACGCCAGTAAAGGAGGTGATCAGCGATATATTCAATATCCTGGATTGGGATGGATTGTGTAACGGAGATTTTGTGCAAGGATTTCGTAGGTACCAGGCTGCGAAGGTAGAAGGCTATAGGAGTTGAACTGGCTACTTGTGCGCCTTCGATCTCGCGGATCAGAGTCTCGCAGTCTTCGAGAAGGAGGAGGGCATAGCGGTGAGTGAAGGGTGTCTCGGTATCATCGTCGTCAATAACATTTGAGGTGGTGAGCCATAAACCAGGAGGTTGGGGGTTGATTGAAGTTGGTAGATAGGGAGTGGAAACTTGTTGGGGTATCTGGAACGAGGCCTCGGAAGCTGCGTCTAGGTGGATGTGGGCGATCTTTGAGTTTGATATGGAGTCATAGATTATCGCGAGTGATTTGGCAAGAGTAGAGGCGTTTAGTATGTTCGGCCAGACGATGGATATCGGTGATTCTAAAAAAGGTCGTTAGTGTAGTTCGAACCGTAAAGGAGGCGCACAAACGCTTTTCACGAGCTTTGATCTTGATACCCAAGATCTTTTTCGATTCCTTCCACACGTAGTTTGACTTGGCCTGCTCACGCTTAAGAGCTTTAGAGAATTTGCGAGCAATGTTGTCATACATCTCTTTGACTCGTGGCTGGTACTCCAGTGCGGGAGGGTTAAGAACGAAAACGACATGAAACATTGACATGTCGTTGTCCAAGCTCGTGGACCCAGTTTCGGACGCAGAAGCAGAAGCATGTCCATACCCAGCTTCAAACATTTCCGGTATTCCAGTACGCGACGCGTACGGAAGGCCAACATCTATACCCTCATCTTCGTCGTCGTAAAGTTCTTCTTTGTCATTGTCGACTGTTTTGTCTTTCACACTTGAGGAAACAAAGCTCTCCTGTCGATTTCGATGACTGCTCTTTTTCTGACGGCGTCGCTTCTTTCTCCACAGACCGTCATCACGGATGAACATCGGAACACCGATGTAGTAGCAACCATCTACTCCAATCTCAAACTTCCTCTTGTGGAGCGCCTTGTGTGGTGAGAGTAGCTTCTCTAAGCTTGTTCTTTGAAAGCCGAGCACGCGATCCCAATCAACCTCTCCGTTCTCTTTACCGGCAATATTCTGGCCAGAGCTTACAGCATTGTTCTTCATGGCCTTTCTACTCAAGTCGTAGCCCTTGGAAGTCAAGTCGGCCTCGTCATCCTCATCTTCATAGTCTTCGCGATTCCAGATGCCTCTGCCTTTCGTGCCACTACTTTTGCCACCAGCCGTGCTGCCCTTACCACTTTTGCTGCCATGGTCACCTTCGTCACCCGCATCGTCCTCCGAGGATGACTCTCCATCGCCCCAACCCGACTCTGAGTCTCCATCCACGGTGTCAGTCGCAGAAGACGCGTTACCGTACCAAGCAGGCGAAGCAGATGCGCCGTTCGAGAAGAGAGACGAGGAAGGATTGACAGGTTTCGGTGGATAGTGGAACACAAGCTTCGGACCACCACCAAGCGACTTCGCTACAAGGACGATCGCAACAAGATGTGAGGATTGAGACAGATTTGGCTGCATCTTGCGGGGAAGCGCCCAGTCAAGCTTGATTTGGAAAGTTTAGCTGCTTATTCCCTCGTGGTAAGGAAGAAACGATACTGGGAAATTCATTGGAATCCAATGTGCTGCTCACGGTTCATCAATTGAGTTAAAACAACTTTGAGCAAGTGAGAGTTGGTGTTGTGCGAACTTGAGCTTAAGCTTGGGAAATAAGTCGCGACGAGGATAAGGTAGCTTGAGCTTGGACCCAGAAGCCCCGCTAGCGGGATCAGTGGGGTGGCAGAGTTACAATATTAGCCTTATCGCCTTATGACTAACAAGTAGTTCAAGTGAATGATCCTTCACAGGCACGTGCATGCCGACATGTATCTCGTCATGCAGCGCTAAAGAACAGTAACAAATGTTCACCGACAGGCTCGCGTTCATAAGATTGTCTACATAGCGCGTATGGAGAGTTCTAGCTGATCCACTGACATGCGAAAGTGGTACAGTCTAACATCTGTGTCAAACATCTTGTATTTCGCACACGTCTATTGCTCATTTCCCCTCTCTCATGGTGCGGAAGAAGTCCATGACACCAGTGAACACTACGAGCAGAATTCCACCACCGGGTCCAAGTCTGAGAACCTTTGGTGCAAAGCCCTTGTAGAGAGCGCTGAAGCCTTCCTCTTTGAAGACGGTACCAAGGGCAGGCCATGCCCAATTGTACTTGGGTACACCTCCAGGCACCCGGGGCGAGTTCTGAATGCGGGACTTGATAACATCCATTGGGGTATTCAGAATAGTTCCGACCGTGCCTCCAATAGCACCTGAGACGAGATCATTCTGAATCTGCTGACGCTTGTTCTCTGCCTTGGGCAGCAAAGCGCGGACTTGGAAGATGCAGCCGAAATATCCAGAATTCCAAAGTATGTGTCTCCATGCCGTACTTTCAAAGCCTTGGTAGAGTGTCATAACACCCTCGGCCCGGACAGTCTTTTGAAGGCAATCAATCATGCCATTATACTTGTGTGCTTGCGCCTTATCTTGTAATCGAATCTTGATTAACTCGAAAGGTACCACGACGAATGATTCAGTAGCTCCAGCAGATGCACCAGTAAGAACAGAAAGGCTCTGATTCATTTCCTTAACGCCAAATGTTGTTCGGTAGAACTTTCCCCATTCATCGTTTGCAGCAAACTTGGTGGCACTTTTGGAATATCAGATACGATGACAACTTTGCACCCATAGGACCTTACCGTTTGGGGGCTTCCATAAGGATTGGAGCACTGATTCCGCGGTATAATCTCGATGCACTGGTAGAATTATTAACCACCTTCCTTTTTCCTCTCTTAGGGTGAGGTTACCCTTCATTCTTGATGATCTTGCGGAAGCAATCGATCATGCCATTGTAAGCATCTTCACCCACGCCCTTTCCTGTCTGCAGTTGCCTGCAACTCTTAGCTTCTCACTATCGTCCTCGTATCCTTGGGCGCATACACTCGAGTCTTCACTACATCCAGCGGGTACCTGACAGAAATGTTAGCCTACAACGTGGATGCTGATGAGGGAAATCTCACATTACTAAGATCTAGTACAACATGAAGGATTAGTCAATTGCTTGAAGTACCTAGACCTGTTGCGGCCAACATACTTCAGAGACACCGGCCACCGCACCTACTTGGATTAGCTTTCTCTGTGCAATGCACATGGACAATACACATACCAGCGGCGAATTGGTATACGAAGGGGAGAGGCTTTTCGGTCGTCATGGTTGTCAGATCTGAAGGAAAGGTGCGACGACTGGAGACAGGCTGAAAAGCTGTTGAACACAGTTGGACCGTGATAGGAAGTGGATGGCCAGAGCTTCCAACTTCGCGGGCCTGGGTCTCAGGTTTTAAGACTTGGACGATGTACCACACAGAGAGACCTTTAGAAGTAGTTCAGGATTGTAGAAATCTCCGCATCAGTGTGTCATAAAGTAAAAAAACCTTGATATATCGAAAAACCACAGGCAATACGCAATAATTAAGAGCCGAAATGAACGTATAGCTCTTGAGCCGAAGGTGTTGCCGAGGTCGTGCCAAGACTTGCAGCCTTGTCGCCTAGTTCGCGTACACGGATGGCGTGTAAAGTGGAAGTCGACGCGTTCTATAAACACATATCATATCTCGACAACCCCACTACTCACCGCAGCGCATAGTCTCTACAAGCTGGTTACAGGCTACCTGGCGATGTAGTCTTAATGTCTAAACCAACCAAGTCCTTCTTTGACCAAGAACAGAAGCCCAATGTCCGTATATGGGTTTTCAGACTGTATCGTGTCGTTGGCTAATGGCTATAACAGCATCGATATTCTAATTGGAAGCGGAGCAGCACTTTCCATGCTCCGACATGCATAGAGACGAGGCCTACCCGAGACTTCATGACTGGACCACCCATACCGCCGAGCAAGCGCACGAAGTCGAAGCTCAAGGCATTCCAATTCATCGATGGGGCTCCTCCAGCCGAGGAAGAGAAAGAGAACCAATGTGGAACACCAGACAAGCAGCGACAGAGATCCTGCGAGACGCTGCACAACGACAAATTACATGAGAATGTATCCATGACTGTGTCGCCACTCGCGCCACCACCTTCAACACCAGCAACTCGACTTCCACTTGCACTTCTGGTCGGCAATTCGGACGATTATTTGAGGAAGGGACCAATAGATGACTCCCCAGAGGATCTTGTCTACTGGCATCACAATGTCTCACCTCGAAGCTCTATGGCTAATGTCATCACGCCAGCACAACTTCGTGGAAAGAAGCGAGCACGCAGCTCTTCGCCGGTCACATCTTCACAACAAGACAAGTCGGGCTTTCTCTGCGATAGAGACCCATTGAAACCGATACCCATACATGCCACTCTGACCACACCCCAAGCTGATCCAGCGGCGGATCTTTGGAACAAATACTCGCTCAACGGAGAAGGCTCTCTTAAAACGCCTGCATCGAAGATTGATACTATATTTTCACACCTTATCAATGAGTCTTCTCCGCGGTCCAGCGCAACTGCAGGCAGCGTAGGTGGGTTGCGGCGATGGGCAAGCTGTGGTGTTGCTTGGCCCACATCCAAAAGTAAAAGGAGAAGGCTTGCGGGCACCTTTCGAAGTAGCAAGGGCGATAGTGTTGTTGAAAATGAGAGTGGAATGAATGAGAGCAAGCCAGTCACCACGAAGGCAGAGAGACTCTTGGAAAGAATCCAAGAGACTTTGGCCGATGACAAGCGACGGAAGGTATCAGCGCTACCATCGAGTTCCTCTCCTTCCGCGAATACGTATCGCACTGTGGAGAAAGACGTTGAGTCTCCATTACAACGTAAGAGGAGGAGCCAGCGGCCCCCATCCCAGGAACATGTTGTCAAGCGATCTCCTCTTAGGTTGAGTCCAGCAGTGGAAAAAGCTGTGAGTTCCAGCTCGTCAGACTATGGTGACGACGACATAGACCTCGATGTTGTCGCAGCCATGAATGATCCACTTGCTCGACTAGCTGCAAAAGAGCCCGCTGGTAGGACGTCCGAAATTAGGACATCACAACCCCTTGACACTTGCGCTGTGTCATCTTTGCATGCACCACCACAACCTACGAATGATGTCTTTAGCAGCGATGACGAGTTTGGCGATGAAGATCTGTTCAATGATGAAGCTGATGCCCTAGCGGCAGCGTGCGACAGTGCAGGTCCACCGCCAGCTGCAGGTCCTCCTAGACTTGCATCGAAGCCAGCGCACGTATTTCAGAGCCAGCGGTCTGTATCTGCGACTAAAGATTCCCTAGCTAAATATGATGCGTCTGATGACGAATTCGGTGGCGACGATATTGACGATGATCATTTCGTAGCAGCCGTCAATATTGCAACTCAACAAGGCAAGGTCTTGGGCGGCACGCAGGCGTCTGTACGTATTTGGTCATGATCTATGGATATGTCATATGCTGAGTCTATGAAGGTTAGAACGACCTCTAAGATCATAGATCCACTACTAGTCATCGAAATTCAAGAGACCTTCTATGTCAATGCAAGAAACCAGCATGTACCTCAAAAGGTCTACTTCCCAGGTTCTGTTGATTCGATCGAGTGATCATGTACTGACCAATCCTAGGTCATACGAGTCAGTAATGAGCGACGCAAAACGACACACTCTATCTCCCTCCGACAGTCTTGGTTTGACAGCCAATGTATCGCAGGCATGTACGTCCATGTTATCGGGAAATGCGGTGACGACGGAAGCTACATAGTCGACGATAACTGCAACCTATTCATAATGCACCCAGACCAGCTTCTCACTGCGACCGCTATAGCAGAATCTTCCGAGTGCGTTCGACGTTCGGTCTTGAACGACCGAATCAAGATACCTTTCAGCAAGAATGCTGGTCTTGTATACGGCAATATCCTGCACGAACTTTTCCAAGAATCCATGAAGTCAAACCGGTGGGACGACCAGTGGCTGGACAAGACTGCACAAGAGATCATACCTAGACACCTTGAAAGCATCCTCGAGATAAATGTGACCGAATTTCAGGTCCTCGATCACCTCAGGAGCAAAGCTCCTCTCTTCCAGGCATGGGCTCAGCTCTTTGTCCAAGAAAACCCAGGTGTAAGTCATGCCAACATTGTGTACTCCCTTCACTAACGAATGCAGCCTCAATCCATGGTCAACGGAAGTAACGGGCAGAAATCTCAATTGAGTATCAGCAAGCTACTCGATGTTGAAGAGAACATATTTTCGCCGGCCTATGGCATAAAGGGGAAGATTGACGCTACCGTCCAAATCAAGACTATTGAAAAGGGCGTAGAGAAGACTCTAGCGGTTCCATTTGAGCTCAAGACAGGTCGCGAGAATGCGTCCCATCGAGCTCAAACAGCCTTGTACACATTACTGTTGTCTGATCGTTACGACGTTGAAATCGCATTCGGCCTTCTCTGGAATATAGAGGCATCGTCCATGAGCCGTGTACAAGCCGTAAGACATCTCATCAGGCCTCTCATAATGCGTCGAAATGAGCTAGCGATTTGGATCCGCGAGCGTGCAGCCCTCCCTCCAGTGCTAAAGGAATATCAATTCTGTGATACGTGTAAGGTCAGGGATCCTTGTTTCATCTATCATTCTCTTGTCGAAGGCGGCGATGGGCGAAGCTTCAAGCCTAGGGTAAAGGAAGCATATGATGAGCTAGTGAAGTATCTCAAGCCCAGTCACAGTCAATTCTTCAATACATGGCAAGCTCTCTTATCAAAAGAAGAAGCAGACATGATGAAATATCGCAAAGAGCTGTGGACACTTCTGAGTAAAGAGCGCGAACGCCTGGGACGATGTTTTTCTAATGTACTAATCGAACCCGGATCCTTTCAGGAAATTCACGAGGGCTCTCGTATGAATCGTTTTCGCTACACATTCGTCAAACAGCAGCGCTCTTCCGGATTTTCTTTTGCTGAGTCTCAGCTTGTCAAAGGAGAGCCAGTTGTTGTGTCTGATGAAAATGGGCACTATTACCTAGCGAAAGGTTTCGTCGAAGGTGTCCACAAGAAAAGAATCACAGTGAGACTGGACAGAGCACTACATAACGCACGAAGGCGCAAGTCTGGGTTCAACGCTGAGAACAATCAGGTTTTTGCAGGAATTACAGAGTTACCTGGACCGGGTCCATCGACAACAGACTTTCAAGAGGAACAGATCGTGTACCGCCTCGACAAAGATGAATTCGAGAACGGCATGGGTGTACCTCGCAACAATCTCATCCAGCTCATGAACAGGAATGCAACAGGACCTGACCTTAGATCTCTCATCGTTGACCAGATGCCACCAAAATTCAGACCAAGTACGACCACCTGCTCCTTAGGCAGTCAAGCTGCAAATCTCAACCAGGATCAGAAGGCTGCCATCGGAAAGGTTATGTCTGCGCAAAACTATGCCCTTGTCCTTGGAATGCCTGGAACAGGCAAAACAACGACTATCGCGCAGATTATCCGTGCCCTTGTGAACCGTGGCAAGACCGTCTTGTTAACATCTTTCCAGCACAGCGCGGTAGATAATATTCTGCTCAAAATACGTGAGGATAACATAGGGATACTTCGACTCGGCGCTGTGACAAAGGTTCATCCCGAGGTAAAGGAATTCGCCATTCTCGCCGAGCAACCTAAAAAATCTTTGGAAGAAGTCGAACGTGCATGGACGGATCCCCCGATAGTCGCTTCAACCTGCCTAAAAGTCGATCATCCGATATTCACAAGAAGACAGTTTGACTACTGTATCGTGGACGAAGCCTCTCAAATTACACTGCCTGTCTGCCTTGGACCTATACGTATGGCACGTACTTTCGTTCTTGTTGGCGACCATTATCAACTTCCACCGTTGGTACGCAATAGAGAAGCCCTCGCTGGCGGCTTAGATCAGTCCTTGTTTCGCATTTTATGCGAGCAGCACCCCGAAGCGATGGTCAATCTTGAGCACCAGTATCGAATGAACGCCGACATCATGGCCATTGCTAATACACTTATCTACTCCGGACGACTCAAGTGTGGCTCGAGAATTGTCGCAAACCGCAAACTCGATATCCCGGACGCTTCGACTGCTCTCGTCCGTTTTCATACACCATCCTCTTCATCAAAACCGGTTGTCTCACATTCAGCATGCCAGTCTGCCACTTCAGTCAATTGCCATCTCACTCGCTCGTTAGATCCGGAATCTCGCGTTATATTCTTGAATACTGATTCTCTTGGCCCGACCGCTCTGGAAGTGTCCTCATCATCTACTACCGCCACTCGCATTACTAATCCACTCGAAGCCATTCTTATTACACAAATATCATCCTTGCTTCTCTCTGCCGGTGTGCCAGGCTCAGAGATCGGTATCATAACGCCCCATCGCTCACAGCTGTCCCTGCTTAAATCGCACGTCCGCTTCATCTCTCATGCCGGCGCGAGCCAGATTGAGCTCAACACTGCAGACAAATACCAGGGCCGCGATAAAGAAGTCATCTTAGTATCTTTTGTACGAAACAATGAGGCTCGAGATGTAGGCGAGTTGTTGCGCGACGCTAGGCGCGTGAATGTTGCTGTAACCCGTGCACGTAGTAAGTTGATCATGGTTGGAGGCCGCAAGACGCTCGAAGGTGATAAGCTGCTCAAACAGCTCGTCGGGCTGTGCGATGACAGACAATGGACGTTCAATCTGCAAGCCGGATGTGTCGAAGGCCATTCATTCGAAGATCTGGGCACGACACAGACCACTGCCGCGGCTGGAGCCACACAGACGTCTCCTATTCAAGCTCCGATGTCGCGGACACCGCAAGCGTTAGTCTTCACAGATGATGGGCGGCTCGTCAGCCCGGAGAAGAAGAGGACCGCGAGGTCTCAGACGGCTAGGAAGGCGCTGAGTCCGCTCAAGGCAGCATCGATCAACGCTCGCAGGGGACAGGCAGCACCAGATTCGTCGATGCAAATATTAAGCTCGGGAAGTCAGAAGGGGAGGATAAAGATGAAGAAGCCATTAAAGGGAACTATGCATGGAATGCTAGAAGGGTTTTTGCATACAAGACCGGTCTTGAAAGATTTAATGAATGATGCGGCGTAACTGTGGGTTTCAAGAATTGGCTAACTGTTTGGTTATGGAGCTTGACTATGGAATTTGGTTATGGTGTGCAGACACGTTTTGGTTTGTGCGATTGCATACACACTGCTGAAACTTGTGCCGATGTTAGCTCAATCATTCAGATAGACCTGTACGATCGTGTTTGTGAGACAAGCTCTGCTATCATCATTGAATGACTTCTTACTGTGTGGTGAGCTCGCCGTTAATTAGCTGTAGAAGCTAAATATACTTCAACACACAGTATTTCTCGATAAGCACACTTGAAATCTCTCTTGGCGGTAAAAGTGAGTGTGAAACTCCTCCGTTGAATCGCTTATCCTGGTAAATGTAGCGGTAATTAGGCGTTCGGAAATAAATGTTTAATGCTTTCGAACCGTGTATCATTGCATGCTCCCGATCTGATCTCGAGTCAGTTTCACTTTCCAATCTAAGATTATGTGTTGGGAGCTGATTCATGTGAATGAATGTGACAAATATCAGATTTGACATACTACGGCTACGCTGGTTCGAAGCCCTCAGACAACCCTATTAATATTCCTTGTCGATACCAGCTGTATCGAGTAGCAAGTACCTGAGTTCGCGCTCTCTTTCTCATAACATTGCAGCTGCGATTCATGAGCGGATCCTTTCGCTCTTTTGCTTCCTCATTGCCCAATCTTTCAGAAAGGAGATATTGCAAAATGTGTCGACGATCCTCAAGCTCAACGAAGACGCAAAAGTCATGAGCCTCAAAAGTAATGCTGTAAAAGTGCAGCAAGGCTATGTCTAGCTTAGCCCTGTTATATGAACTCCTGAATCGTCATAGATTATTTAACTTGAATTTCATTACGCGTCGCTATTGAGGCTGTATATCGCTCTTCATCATCGTTCACCCTGGAGTATGCTATAACAAGATCGACGTGCAGTCCATGATCACTACCAACCAGGCACTCTCGTCAAATGAATCCTCAGTCCGCCCCTCGGCTTCGTCGTCACCGCCCCGGTGATTTCCACATCTCCATTGTCTCCAGCTAATCGGTTGACCTCAAATCTCCCCAGAATCGACGCCAACACACATCTCAACTCTGCCTTAGCAAAGTCGCGTCCAATACAGGCTCTCTGTCCATGCAAGAACGTGATCTCGCAGTAATTCGATTCCGCTCCGCCGTGCCTATTTGGCCTCATCGTCCCATCCTCCAACCTGTCAATCCATCTCTCCGGACGCAGCTTATCGGCTTCGGGGCCCCAGAAGTGTGGATTGCGATTGATGGCCCATGGCACGACGAGGACGAGTGTATCAGCGGGGATGACTTGGCCCGCGAGTGTGGTCTGGCGGATGGACTCCCGTAGTGTTGTGGGAACCGCGGGGAAGAGACGAAGAATCTCCTCGCAGAGACCATTGAGGTATGGAAACGACTCGAACTCGTGCCACTGTGGGCAGTCTGCGAGTTCGAAGCTCGCTGCGTCGGCGCCTTCAGGGACTTTGATGCCGGCGCGTATCTCGTCGCGGATGAGCTTCTGGTAGTGCTTGTTTTCGGCGAGGGTGAGGAGGTGCATGGCCCAGCTGATGGATGAGCCGGTGGTCTCGTGGCCAGCGGCGATGAAAGTGAGCATCTGGTCGACGAGCTCGTCGTTCGTAAAGTCACCGCTTTCGATGATGTTGGTCAAGATGGTGTGTTCGTTCTCGTGGTCGCGGCCCTTTTCCTTTTCGGCTCTGAGGCGAAGGACGCGCTGTTGATCCGCAAGGAGATCGTTGCAGAAGTTGCGGAGGTAAGCGCTCTGTGTTTGGACGACCCTGTTTGCTTCGACTGGGAGCAGCCTGGTCAGGGCTACGGGGAAGATGAGGTTCAACCCGAGGAACCGGACCATATGAGGCTCAGGCTCGAGTATTGATGCGAATGACTGGGCTACAGGATGTTCTGAGGTGGTTAGAGAACGGAAGTTGCGTGACAAGGCACTGCGGCCGATGATGTCGAGCGCCAAACGAGAGGCCCAGTCGCCAACCTCAACCTTGCCATTCTTGTCGCAGTCCTTTTGCATCTCCTGCAATAGTGTACCAGTCTCTTGCCACATGGCAGGGTACAGGGCACGGATATGCTTTACATTGAACGCTGGCACCAACGCTTTACGTTGTCTCTTGTGTACGTTTCCTTCGGTGGTAATGAGGCCATATCCAATGATACCCCCAAGGAAAGTGCGCAGTCCACTCGGTTTGACAAAGTCGTAGGTATTGGTCGACATCAGGTCTCGAAGAGCTGATGGTGATATTGGGATAATGGTCTCAGGCATGAAGCGAAGTCCCTTGATATTGAGAATGTCGACATGCGGGTTCTCTGTCACCCACTTCAGAGGCGTTGAGCCTCGAGGAGACTCGATTATCAGGTCATGATCCCGCCCAACCTGATTTTACGTGGTCAGCGAAGCACTCATATGCTACCTGAGGGCAGACTTACCGGAATCGTTACAGTTGGAAGTGTGCGTAGAGGGCTCCGATATCGAGGATAGAAAAAGCGGGCATCAAGTATGAGGCCAACTAAAGATATGGTGACTGAAAGAACGCCCAAATACGGTACTATACCAGCGACATGTCTTTCTAATACCTTTGCAGAAGCCCACCAGAGGACAGTAGAGACCACGGTGAGGCGGAAGAGGAAGTAGAAGAAGGTATAGAGTGGCAACATTATCAAAGGACTGTCTTGAAGTCACTACTAACTTTTGAGGACGACATACCAGACTTTTCTCTCTCTATTTATCCTTCATCATAACACACGATACTTCCACTGCATCACGAAATAGCATGTGAAAACCTTCTCCACACGAGCCTCATCAGGCATAGCTCGAACCTTAGGCATCATTCAAGCTGGGGTTTTCACGTGAAAATGCCTATTTTTTTCGCAAGACTATCCTATAGTGAGCAGTGCAAAAACGTTTCATCTCAGCAACCGGGACCGGAAATCATCACGCGTACCGATCATGACGAAAGTAATGGCATACCAGCTAAATCTTACGCGTGGAAGTGGTATTGGCTTGCATGTGATTGTGGTTTTGACAGGCAACCGTTCGCAAGGTGTGCCGGAATTGGTATGGTGCGGACAAGCTGCCCAGGTTTTGTGTGTTTCCCAGGGAGCTAAGAAGGCGAGCGGATGAACAAACAGGTGGATGGGATGCTGGGGTAATTGGTTTCATTAATAGCGTTTTTGTTCAACATCAAATATAGTTCATGAATGCGTCAAACCTACCACATTCGGCCATACCAACCAGAAAGCAAGCGGTCCCGTTCGCTCCCGCCTATTTAAGCTGGTTAGGGGTGGATTAGTAGTTAGGTGGGTGACCACTAGCGAATACCCACTGCTGAATGTTTTGTATTTTTACACGTTCTAATAATAATATTCCAGGGAATCATGTTGGAAAAGTTTTTAGACTTATGCATTTATTTTGTGAGAATGACGTACGCGTAATGCGAGATCATTACATTGTTCATGTTTATCATCGTGCAAGTGTGGCAGCACTTAGCGTGCTAGCATTTGATATCCATCGGGCAGCCCGCCGTCTGTCCTAAGCAAGGTCTATAATAATACTCATAACTAGAATGTAGGCTTAATAACATTAAGCACATCTCCAAGAATTCCATATACTTATAAAATATTCCATGGAGATAGGGCAAATTCACACGAAATCTAGATTCCTACAACGTGCGCCGCGATCCCGAAGCGGATCGGCGCGCGCCACGGTCGATCGATCGGGATGATATCGTTGGGGAACTGATAAGCATCGACTGATAAGAGTTATCTATTATTTGGATTGTAAAAAGTTGGGCAGATCACGCTGAGCATGAAAAGGTTCTCCTCTGCTGCTCTACGCCTATAGCTTCGTATGAGGTTGTTCGTTTGTAGTTCTCCAGATATGCTATGTCGATACTACGCTCTTAAGTTCTGTGACCTTGGTCTATGATACGCTCTTCGGTTTTACGGACTTGTCTCTGAGGATAGTGGTTGCTCGCTGAACTTTGTTTCCTTCTCAAATTCTGTAGAATAAATTCCTCACTCCGTTTCGATTCTACTTGATCAGAATGGGAGACAACGCCACCCCAGAACGACCACACTCGCCCACCGAGCGCACCTCCCTCCTCCATAACCACATCCTCGAAACGTCCCACGACCACATCGACGAAGAAGCGACCTCGCACGTATCCAAAGAAGAGCCTGCCCTCGCAGAATCCTCCATTGGCGAACGTATCCCTTACAATGACTACACAACCATAGACTGGCTGCACGACCTGGTGAAGTCGACCTACCGACAACGCACTCTACACGCAACGACCTCACGCTGGTACCGTTATGTACTGATCCCGCTCGATGCTTTGACAGGCTGGGTTGCAGTTGCATTGATCGGGACACTGACAGCGGTAGTCGCATTTGCGGTCGATGTCGCGGAAGCCACTGTGAGCGACTGGAAATTGGGATATTGCAAGCCGGCGCCGTGGAAGACGCGTGGAGGCTGTTGTCAGAGGAGGACACCATTGCTTCCTCTGAGCGATGGTGTGTATCGAGGGTCTGAAAAAGGAGGTGCTGAGAACACCTGCTCAGATTATGTTATGTGGAGCTCGAGCTATGGCACATCTTTTGCCACATATGTGTGTATAGCTCTCGTGTATGGCGTTATTAGTGCATCTGCAACCACCTTAACGAAGACAAATCTGCCGGCTGTACCGACTACGGCGAAGGCTTCCGTTAGCCACGAGAAACCTGCGCGGGGGAAAGTTATGTTTATGGCTGCTGGGTCTGGTATTCCGGAGATCAAAACAATACTATCTGGATTCGTTATTCCGAACTTTCTCTCATTGAAAGTACTATTGGTCAAGGCATTCGGCGCAGTCTTCATTGTAGCCACAGGAGCTTGTCTGGGCAAAGAGGGTCCGTTTGTGCATATTTCGACATGTGTAGGGTACTTGGTAGCTTCGTGCGTTCCGAAGTACCGCGATAATGGACGGAAGATGAGGGAGATACTGGGCGCAGCATGTGCAGCTGGGCTCAGTGTAGCATTCGGAGCACCACTAGGAGGCGTACTATTCAGCTAGTATGTTGTACCTATCCCAGTAGGAAAGAGAGATACTAATCGTACCTGCTCTAGTGAGGAGATTAGTACCTTCTTTCCAAGAAAAGTGCTGTGGAGGGCATTTTTGTGCTCCTTGTTCGCGGCCATGGTTTTGAAAGCTTTGAACCCTAATGGAACTGGTAAACTGTAAGACTGTGACCTGCCTGGCTCCTCAGATGATCTTGCTGACATGTTACTGGCTCGAAGCGTCCTGTTTGAGACGAACTATGGTACTAGTTATCAACCGGTACATTATCTGGTTTTCGTCGCTCTTGGAATCGCTGGTGGTGTTTTTGGAGGAGTCTTCTGCCGAATGAACTTTCTGTGGAGTCGTTGGTTTAGGTCATTTCCAGTGATCAAGAACCACCCAGTGTTCGAAGTCTTCCTGGTAGTTCTGACTACGACTTTGTTGCAGTATCCAAACACCTTGACTAGAGAACCGGGCGATACCATAATCAAGAATCTACTCGTTGATTGTCGCAACGCAGAGACTACAGACACTTACGTTCGTAGAAGCGAGACGGGAGACGGTAGTGACAGATATGTTGGGTTTCTGGTGTACGGAACTCTGGTGAAACTGGTCCTCACCATTGTGACATTCGGCTGCAAAGTCCCTTCAGGCGTAATCATCCCGGCGTTGGATGGAGGAGCATTCTTTGGCCGGTTGATAGGTCAAGCAATACCTGGTATTTCACCTGGAATCTTTGCGATGGTAGGTGCAGGAGCGTTCCTGGCAGGTGTCTCGAGAATGACGCTATCGCTCGTCGTTATCATGTTTGAAGTGAGTAGAGCCTACAATATGAAATAATTCATTTCTGACAAGGCGTAGCTGACTGGCGAGCTGGAATATGTTGTTCCACACATGATAGCAATTTTAGTGGCCAAATGGACTGCAGATTTGATATCAACAGAAGGCGTGTATGACCTTGCACAGACGGTACTCGGCCATCCATTCCTGGATCTCGATCATTCGCTCAAGCTGGTACAAGGCCAACAGATTCCATTGCTCGTGGAGGAACTCATACCGCCACGTCAGACAATGGATGAAATTACAGTCCACCTGCCGGCTAGCAACACTGTCCCGCGAGGGCTACTTGAGAAGAAACTGGCGCAACTCCACCGTCGTGGGCTTCTGGATGCAGGGCTCGTCCTTGTTAATGGATCCAATATGTTCCAGGGTTACATTGGTGAAGGAGAACTTGATTTCGGTCTCAATCAAGTTGGAAGTCCGTGCGAGCCGGAAGTTGACGTTCGCCTGCTCGGTGTACCTTATATCAATCCAGATGAGGATGGGACAACGGAGATTGATCTTACGACATATGTTGATCGAACAGTGCCGTTGATTAGTGCTAAAGCACCATTAGAGTAGCCATCGAAATGTTTGGTAAGCTTGGTCTTCGACATCTTTGTGTCATTGAGGAGGGCACAGGACAGCTTGTGGGATTCATTATCAAGAAAAGACTTGTCAGCTTTCTAGATAGCTTGGCATACTAAACATGAGACAGCAATATATAAAGTACAAGATTCGGCACTAGACTTTTGCTGCCTACCTCCGAGATCAGCTGTTCTGTTGTCGCAACATCCTGGACATGTCTCGTGATGCGAGCAGCTAGAATAAGCGATTAACCCATGTCTTTCTGCTGCATATGCTTTGGCGGGAGGTCGTGTAGAACCTCGCCTAGTGAAAAGTTAAGGTCACGCGCAAGTTGTAACACAACACGGGCCCACTCGATGCATACCCTCCTTCTATGGCAGAGATGGCGAAGTTCGCCGCCGGACAATTATGCTCAAGCGCCGAAATGGACCGCGCATATCGAATGTAGACTGTGGATATCCTTAGACGAGTAGAAGTCACGGATTGAGTCTGTGAATGTGTGCTGCTCGAGCTTGCGATGCGGAGGCCAGCTAGAACATTTTTTTCCTGTACATGGAGCCATTCGATCGGGCTACGGAATTCCAAACATCCGTATACTCCAGAGACTGTGGGCTTGATGGCATTTCAACATCGTCCTGGGTATCGCTCACCATACGCAAATCGATATGGATGATTCATTCCAGGTAGTCACGATCGTCTCGGACTTGAGTGTTGCCATATCCGTATGTACGTGACAAGGCTGATATGAGTTTGCATGGTGAAGTCGCCGCCGAGCTTGAGCTGCGGTAGGGGTGAGAAGAAAACATCTGTATGTCAGGGGTGTCAATTAGTACCAGCCTACATGCCTCGTAGACTGATGATTCGGTCGCCACCAAGCCAGCAGTGTCAAGTTTACCCATGTCTTCTGTCGAGATGATCCGCGTTCGGGTGGCAGAGTGGCCGTCCAGTCCGCCCGGGTTAACAGCTTCATCAGCGGCTGGACAAAGATTCTCGTTCCTCGCTTAGAACTACTTAGGCGGCGCGTGCAGGTTGACGGGAGGGGCTGCCTCTGTGCCTTCTTAAATAAGCAGGCGTGGTCTCGCTGTACCGAGGGTTCGACCAGTGTCGACCAGCTTCCCATCGCTCATGTTTTGAGGACATTTCTGTCTTGCTGTTTATTGTGTATGTGCTGTGTTGTGGGCAAGATAGCGCTGTGTTTTGACAGCGCCTGTGTGTAGCCTACATTGAGGGCCTCAGGCAGCTAGAGTCCTCGTTGCACAGCCAATCAGACGGTGAATTTCGGCCCGCAGTTGATGAAATGGTACTGGCGTCGACGGCAAATTCCATCTCTCCCATGCCTAGCCAGAGCGACAGCAACAATAGCATCGACCATGGCACCGGACGCTCGCGGCCAACGTCAGCTAAGCACAACGTGAGTGGTCAAGATGAGTCCACAGCGATTGGCACAGCACTTCATGTCCCGGAAAAAGACGCTGCCGCTCCTATCATCGGAGAACTCGTTTCGGAGACCAAAGCCGAAGAAGATACTTCCCCTGAGCATCATGAGTCCGAAGTAGAAAATACCGCCAATCACCTGCACGGAATTCCTCTGGTCATTCTTACTATCGGTTTGTGTCTAGCAACACTGACTGTTGCCCTGGACAATAGCATCATCGCTGTAAGCCACTCATCTCAGCACCACACTCTGCTCTGGCCGTGCTGATCATATCAGACTGCGATCCCTCGCATCACAAGCGACTTTGATTCATTTGACGATGCCGGATGGTATGGCTCGTCATATCTTTTGACAACGACTGCATTGCAGCCAAGCTTTGGGAAGGTCTATTCTCAATACAACGTGAAATGGACCTACATGATAGCTTTATTGCTGTTCGAGATAGGTTCCGTGATCTGTGCAGCGGCACCAAACTCTGTTGCTCTCATTGTTGGCCGTGCAGTCGCTGGAGGAGGAGCTGCTGCCCTCTTTAGTGGCGCGATGACCATCGTTGCCTTCTCCGTTCCGCTGCACCGACGAGCAATTTACATCGCGGCCTTATCGAGCATGTTCGGCATAGCCTCTGTTATAGGACCTATACTCGGAGGCGTCTTCACAGATCGATTGACATGGAGATGGTGCTTTTGGATCAACCTTCCGATCGGAGGTGTCGCCATTGTTGCCGTGTTTTTATTCTTCAACAACCCGAAGCGTCCTGAGAACACGCTCACGAATAAACAAAAACTGAAAGAGATCGACACTCTTGGAGCTTTATTTCTAATTGGTGCAATAGTTTGTCTACTCCTTGCCCTACAGTGGGGTGGCACTACGTATCCATGGGGGAACTCGAAAGTATGGGGAAACCTACTTGGCTTCGGACTTCTCTTGATCGTATTCGTTACCATTCAATGGAAGCGAGGAGACAAGGCAACTCTGCCTCCACGAATTCTGCTGCGTCAGAGGACGGTACTGGCATCCGCCCTGTTCTCGACATGCCTTGCTATAGCGCTCTACAGCCATGTAAGAGATTACCTTTCACTTGGCTATAAATGTCCTACTTGATAGTAGAGCATTGAGTTCGGCCACACACCTTCCCCCACCGTCCTTCTCTTTTCATATCAAAATTGAGATTTGACCATTTCTGATGACTAACCACGACAGATATTCTACTTGCCGTACTACTTTCAGAGTGTCAAAGGAACAACTGCCGAGGAAAGTGGAATTCGTTGCATCCCCTATCTAATCGCGGTCACTCTGGCTTCGATAGTAACTGGCGTGGCCATCACCTATCTGGGCTATTACAGCCCTTTCACTTGGATTGGTGCAGCTATTTTTGCAATCGGAAGCGGTCTGCTGTATACGCTTCGCGTTAATTCCTCGTCTGGTACCTGGATAGGATACGAAATAATGGCTGGTATGTTGTTCTTAAAATCCTTCTTCTCCTAGTATCAATCTGATGATCACCAGGTTGGGGTTCTGGGATGTGTGTACAGATCCCTTTCGTTGCCGTGCAAGTTGTGACCTCGGAGAAAGACATGCCTGTTGCCAATGCTATTGCAATCTTTTTCAACTCTCTCGGGGGTGCTGTCTCAATTAGCATTACCCAGAACATCTTCGCGAACACACTTTCAAAGGAGCTAGCCAGTAGAGCACCTGAAGTGAATGCGCCGCTGATCATCGCCTCAGGGGCTACGCAGCTTCGTACCTTGGTTCCGCCTCGACTGTTACCACAAGTGCTTGATGCATACATGAAAGGGATTACGACTGCATTTGTATTGCCCATTGCAGCTGCTTGTCTAGCATTTCTTAGCTCGACGCTGTTCGAATGGAAGAGCATAAAAGGCAAGAAGCTTGCTATGGGGGGAGGTGTGTGACTGATAGATAGAGCAAAATTGAGATCTACTTCAAATCTTGGCCAATGTGAACGACACCTCTTTGTTGCGATTCTTGAGCCTCTGGTGGGATGAGCGTACACCGTTTTGTGAAGCAGCCCTCGTTGCATCTCCTGTACGAACGATTGGTGGAGGGGCATTGTCTAGCTACCCTGTAAGACCTAGCTATGACGACATAGGCTTCACAAACGTGCATGGTTGTAAGGCTCTGGCTGCATGAAGCATGAGCTTGTGTCTAGGGATGCTTACTTGGCCAGAGACTGATATGCATATGCATATAGCAGCGAAGAGGTTTGAAGGCGTGTAAATAGTAGAATGTTGCACCGAAGTATTTCTCCACTCTTGTTTACGACACATACAAACAAAAGCTATTCATTTCCATCGTTGAGTCGCGCGGCCATAATTAATAGTCCGACTGAACAGCATCCACCAAGATTTGACGTGTTGTGATTGAACCCTGCACCGCTCCTTCCCTCGAAGGCTTGCCCCCACACCAACGTCCCCGCTTCTTTGCGCCGCCAACACCAGCGGCCGCTTCTCAGGAACATCACTTCGTTTTTGTTGCACGCGACCTTGCCCACCACATATTTCCCGCATTATCTTCAAAACCCCCCCGCGTTCGTTCTCTAGGCTTTCTGCAATCACTTCCAACTATATACCCATACTTTGTGGCAATCAAAATCTCTGATTCACCTTCTGGTACGCTGTTCTTCCCCTTTTCACATGTCTGCCGAAAAGGGACATCTGTGAACCCTGCTAGACCCTTTTTCTCGCCAACAATAAACCATTGCGCATGGTCGACTGATGCTTTCCAGAAGACAACTTCGACCTCAATCTCAGCCTAGGCTCCTCCTACCAACTAAAATTCTGTCTCGGCCGGTACAATGACAGAAAGAATACAACGAATCCCTCTCTCCTATTCCAATAATGACTCTCGTGGTTCGGCTTTGCGCCTCTTACTCACGCTCAGACCGGACTGGAAAGACTCTCAGGAAACGATAGACTTTATTCGCTTTACGGACGGTATCACCAACACAGTATGTACACCTTTTGAGCAGGATGTCATGATGGCCTGAGGTTCACATGCACGCGATGAGCGAGCGCGTGAGCATCAAGAATGCTTTGGAATACAACTACATCATGGCGATATAACGGTCGGAAAAGGAGTTCTTACAAGCCAAAAATTTCGCCGATCTACAACTAACGATTCTTTCACCTAGCTTCTCAAGGCGGTAAACAAGTTGCCGGGTCTGTCCAGCGAAGAAATCGACAAAGATGCCATATTACTACGGGCATATGGGAGAGATACGGAGGTGCTAATTGATAGAGAGAGTAAGCCATGATTTTCGGAATCGATTGCTCGAGAAGCTACTAACAAGTGTATAGAGGAAACCAAGGCCCACCTCCTTCTTGCTGAACATGACCTCGCTCCATCCCTCCTTGCGCGATTCGAAAATGGACTGTTGTACAAATACATTGCAGGTCAGGTTTGCACACCAGAAGACTTTCGCCGGAAGCCTATTTGGCGGGCGATTGCCCGAAGGATGGGAGAATGGCACGCCAGACTTCCAATTTCAGCAATTAGTTCAGAACATGGCACAGCGAATGGGAGCATAGACAGTCATGAGCAATCGTCTGTAGACTCCAAGAACGGATGCTCTCCCTTACAGCGTCGTAATCCTGATGACTTTACTCCGAATATGCCAGTACCAAATTGCTGGTCCACAATGCAAAAGTGGATTTGGGCACTTCCGACTGCCACCGATGCCGACAAAGACCGTCAGGCCAGATTACAAAATGAATTGGAGTGGCTGTGGAAAGAGCTTGGGGATACTCCAGGCATTGACAACAGGCCTCTTGTGTTTTCTCATTGCGATTTGCTGAGTGGAAATGTCATTATTGAGCCTACCAAAGCTACCAGTGCAACACCCGCCGATAGCGACTGCTTGAGTGTGAGCCTCATCGATTACGAGTATGCTAGTCCAGCCCCTGCGTCCTTTGACCTCGCCAACCATTTTGCGGAATGGGGCGGATTCGACTGCGACTTCTCAGTGCTACCCACGCGCGCCAACCGAAGAGATTTTCTGAGCCACTACCTCGAAAGCTACAATACGCATGTCCATAGAGAGACAAACGCAAAAGACCTTGACCATTTGTGTGCTGAAGTCGATCGTCTGCGGGGACTTCCAGGCTTTTACTGGGGCATATGGGGGCTGATTCAAGCACTCATTTCTCAGATCGATTTTGATTATGCTTCGTATGCAGAGGTGCGTTTTGGTGAATTCCACGCGTGGAGGAGTGAGTACGATGGCTCGAGAAAGGCAAAGGGCGAGGAGATGCCGTTGAGGGAACGACGTTGGGCACAGGAAGAATGAGCGTTCTTCCCTTTCTTAGACCCACGTCGGTTTCAACAACCATAGAAGCATTCTGGCGTCTTATATCGGCATACATAGACCGGCGTAGGTGGCACAATTCCGTTTCTGAACTTTACGTCGCCAACGGTCGACCGGTGGTGTTGACACCATATGGGCAGCAACTGCTCTGGAGGCAGGGCTTTCTCATTGGAGAACGATTGTCTTCAACGACGATACGATACCCACAACCAAGGAAATCTGCTGATGGCGCTTTGTAGCTACTCATGTTAGACACGCTGTACTACATTATAATAATTTTAATAATCTAGCGCCAGAAACGGACGCATGAAGTCCTGCGAAAACAACCAGCATATGAGTGAATTGCTTGAGTTGTCTACATACCCCAAAAAACGGTATGTAAAGTGGTGCAAATCTGATGGATTCCTTGGTTTTTTCCCCGTCGGATCCTCATCCGGGATACGCATGTCATCGAACGCCCCTCCCGCCTTCTCCTCAATACTCGAGTCCCCCAAGGTTTCTTTCCCCACCTTTCCGCAATGAAAATAGGAAAATCTCCGCTCTTCTCCGCTCTTTTGGGTCTTTCCACTACCCTTTTTTTTCTACCCTTTATTTTTTTCAGGGATTTATACTTTTTTGCTTTTATACTTTGAGAAATGATTTTTTTTCTAGGTTTATTATGGCTAGCTCTTGGATATTTCAGCATAGTTGTAGTTCTGTATTATACATCGCATCGTACATGTGGAGGAGACATCCATGGAGAGGCAGAGGGGGTGGTTCACCTAGTTTAGTAGTATTGTACCGTGTATGATTAATTACCCCACTGTTTTTTCTACGGCTAGTATGGTAGCAGTAGTCCCTTGCCACTTGCCCCTTGTCCCCTGCCTTAATCCCCCTGAACGCCATGAGGATTTTGAATTGTTCGGTTTGATTGTTGATTAGCTGTTTTGGCTTTTATGCTTGGCTGGCGGGGGGTTTTTTTTGGGGTGGGTGGGAAGGTGGGTAGGTGGGTATGAGGGATGTGTACCGTGGATGGTGAGGATATAAGGAGGAGGAGGAGGATGAGGAAGGAGGAATAGGAGTAGGAATCAGGGTGTGTTATGTGTCAGTGTTAGTGTCAGTGTCAGTCTGTATGTATTGTCTCTCTGTGTGCATTGTCAGTCTGTGTCTGTGTATGTCTGTGTATGTCTGTGTATGTCTGTGTATGTCTGTGTATGTCTGTGTATGTCTGTGTATGTCTGTGTATGTCTGTGTATGTCT